TCCTGCCAGTCCTCTCCAAACAAGCCCACATATGTTCCAATCTTCTTTCCCCGCCAATTTGTCTCGCCGGCGCTTTCGAGAGCTTCGCGAACTACTTCCAAGGACAATCTTTGATTGGGGTCCAGGTGAGAAGCCTCGGTCGCCGTGATTTTGAATGTAGTGGGATCAAAATTTGATAGATCGGCGTCCAGGAAGTAGCCTTGTCGCGTGATTACTGTGCCTTTTTTGCCATGAGGACTGAAGTGAGCGTCGATATTGTATCGATTGGGGGGAACAATCGAGCGAGCATCCTTTTGCTCGATGAGGAAATTATAAAGCTCTTCCTCGTGATGAATCCCGCCAGGCAATCGCATTCCCATGCCGCAGATGGCGATAGGGACACTCGACCCTAGAGGTATTGGCTGAAACATATTGAGTCTGAAGAGTCAATAGCGGGTCAGTGGGTGACGAGTCTTGGAAATGAGAATTTGAGTTACGCTCAAGTGCTCCGCTAGTTCAACTTACGTGATGAGATACTAGTAAGTATTTATAGCCTCAATTGACTGACCGAACTTGGAAGTCGCGTAAGGCTAGACTAGGAGCTTCTCTGCTACTTTTAGTACTTGCTTTCATCATGGCACTTCTATGCTCACGTAGTCAAAGTCTAATTTACTCTTTCCTGGATCATAGTGGATTGTATGCACTGTAATACGGCCAGAGCATGTTAATCATAGCTGGGAATGCGGAGCGGAGCGGACATCGGGATGAATCAGATCGATAAGGACATGTGGGCACTGGGCAGCCTACAATTTAAGTAGATGATGATTATTGGCTTTTTGGCTTGTGTAAGGTTTTAGAGTCTCCATTGATTTCCCTTGGACCCATGCCTAATACAGCAGGATCGAAGTCCGTTAATGGAATACAAATCGCTGAAGAGTGTGGATATCCTATGAAGAGGCTAGCGATTTGCTTTTCCACGTAGAGGATTTTAGCGTCTTCACCACTTAGCACGTCAGGGACAGTGGGGCTGACATATTGATCTTACAAAGATCAAATTAGATCGCCGAAGAGTATAGGCGGCCCAGAAACTAACGATTTGAATCCTGTAATAGTATCTACGGAGTACTTGTAGGGTAGAAGGCTTGTTAATCAGGTAGAAGAAGAGCACTAAGTCCGACTAAGTGAAAGGGTGTTTCCTGAGGGACCCTTTAAGAAGCCTCTGTCTTCAAGCTATTTAACTTAACATACGCCCTCCAACATGGCTTCCTACCCGACCAAAATACACTGCCTGGGCAACGCTACGCCGATAACTGGTGCCTATCGCAATTTACAGGTATGTATTACGTCTACCCGGTAATATAAAATCGTACCTTATAAATGCGTTTAACATGGTAGTATTATCGTAAAAGAAGCAAGCCTACATGTTGGTTGAGCTAATGTACCGTGGAGCTATCGGCGTAGCGCTGTCAAGGCAGTGTACATAGTACAAGTCAACTCAGCTGAGGTCTGGCGTGGAACAAAGAGGTCATGCATTCGGGCCGGCTTCCCCGTAGAAACCTTACCGAGAGGTCACCAATCTCCAACCGATTCATCGTCATCAAAGCGGAGCAGGGGTAACTATAGAAGGCAAAACGTGTGCAGCGCTTCCCCGTTCAGTCACACTATCGAGCGGCCTTGATTCACCGCTGAAAAGCCACAGCCTCATCAGAACCCGATCAGACCCTTCGGCACAAGGCAGTAATGTAGGAATAGCCTCTGAGGCCTTAGAGAGATATCGTACAGTGGTTTTTAAGAGTATGTCAAAGCGAGCTGAATTGATATAGACTAGTATGCATATAGCCCAATGAGAACTACTTGAATCATCAGAAAAACGATTGATTGATTGAAGAAAAGGACAGACTCGAAAGAATGGAAAAGAGGCAGCTTGAGCTGTCCCATGGCGGTGTAGCCGAGTATTCAAGTGACAATACCGATGTCGAGGGGTTGCATATTACATACAAACACATACGGGGGTGCAATCCTGCAAGAAGGACTCACGTTCATAAGCTACGCGATTTCAAGCCACGTTCCAAGATTTTACATGTAGATCTGTAGATCTGTCTCCTCTCAATTTTTCCCGGGCTGGGCCTAAGAATAAAAGGTTATACATTTCAAGATTTGAACCATGGAAATTCAGTCTGTTACAAGGCTCACCGCTTAGCATTGGTCAATTGGTTAATCGAGTGTTTGGACAACCTAGAGATACTGTAAAATATATACTACCAGCCTTGGCTGCTCTTTCAATGCTGTCTATCATTTCCCATGTAGGAGGATTTGTATGCAGTTCTCGGGCCTCCAAGTCCCACGCACTATTCGCTTCAAATTTCTACATATAGTCAGGTGTAAGATACTTAAATCGCCACCCTTGTTTGTGGTAGATACAGGAGATCGGATTCTGTTCAGAAAGGCGGCATCAAAGCAGTATTTCAAACAATTTATACTCCACTGTATGCATATCTGAGCTCTGTATGTAAAGCTGTATGTAAATTGTAAATCTTTGAATCTGCTGGGGCCAGGGACCGGTTTCCACCTCCCAGAATCTCGATATAGAAGGAGAGACGGGTGTCGATCACTTTCCCCTCTCCGTTCACAATCTTTACCTTCTGCCGGTGTCATTAAGACCAATAATTCCCTAAGAAAAGGCGTCTGCCTTCTGCTATCCAATCCTCTTCCCAACTCATTTTAACGTCAAATAGATGCTCCGCAGGTAACAGATCAAATCTGACTGGGCTGGCTGGAGAAATCTCCTTCAACCGTTGTACAAAATTCGATGAACAAAGCGGAGGGGCCTAACGAAAGCATCCATGATTAGCATGCGGACATCAAGGATTATAAAAGAAATGACTGACTAGCGTGTCATTCACCCCATGAATAATCCAAACCGGAACAATACCGGTCATTTTTCCTTCTGGGTTGTTGTGTTGCTGTGCAACTTTTGCTGCCATCCTCTTAACCATATTGAACATGTCCTTATTGCCTCCACATTTTCCCTTGAGCAACCGGCTAAAGTAGCACTGCTGTGTCATGCATAGGAACAGCTCCCACATCTCAGGAGTCGGTTCTTGCCACGTCCGTATGCTGCCCGATTGCTGTACCTTCTGCATGTATTTCCTAATCAATATTTCGGCCTGCCTGGGCGGAGGTGGTCTCATGCCCATAATGGTCCTAGGACGCGGGATCCTGAGCTCGGGGACATCAAGATCAAGTGGCGCATATGTGGAAATAACAGCCTGGATGACAACTTGAACATCCGTGCACACGCTGATAGCTGCCTCTCGGTCATGTCCAGCCTTACCAGATAGAATAGATGATAGCTCAAGCCCCGAATACACCGCCAGAGAGCCCCCGGAGCTCTCCCCACAGCACAATATCCGCGAGAGGTCAGGGATAACCCCCCACGAATGTTCTTCGGCAATTCGGAGCAGATCACACTGCACCCAGCGCCAGAAATGGTCCACATCACTGAGGATATCGCCCATGTTGGATTCAGGAAGGAGTCTATAGTCGGGACGAATAATTATTGCGTCATGGGCTTTTGCTAGGTCCAGAAACCATTGTGCGAACCAGGGCTCATAGCGACGGTGGCCCAGGATGAAGCCACCGCCGTGGAAATGGACCATCACTGGACATTTCTGCTTGTGATTGGAGCGAGATAGGAAATGAGTTGGAATGAAGAGTGTGGCATCGAGCGAATGGTTTTTCACGATGCGGTAAGGAAGATCTAAGAGGGTGAAGGGATCGAAACGAGACATCGGCAGGAAATTTCTGAAATGTTTTGCGCTTAGATGTAGATTGATATCCGGAAAGGAGAAGAATAAAATATAGCGAGCCGGCAAGGAGCCTGGGCGATGATGCAAAGCTCACTTTGAGTGCTTTGAAACCGCGAGAGTCGCCGGAGCCAGCGCCGTAGTTGGTACCCTTGGTTCTCGGCATCATTTCCAGTGCCTAATTTTCGTATTAATACAGCTCTAAAGTATGTACAGTACGACTGGATATGATCCACACGGACATCTGTCGATCCGACAAGGTGGAGAATGGTGAATATAGGTCAGCGAGGGGTCTCTGAGGTTCATCGAGGGGTCTCTGAGGTTCATCGAGGGGTTGACCCACTATTTTCTGCTCACCCGGGGGTTGTCAGTAATAAATACGCGTAACTCATAGTATCTAGTAACTTAACTTCTTGTAAATCTTTTACAACTAACTCCATCTCTATTAAATCATACTAAACAAATCGATAAGGATTTCCACCTTTTCACTAACTTAAACTCTCTTTATTTTATATAAAAAGAGTTACCCTTCGTATTTTAATATATTAAACTACTCTTAGATTAAAAAAATAGAATATCGTAGTTATATAGATAATACTCTTATATTCAGGACCGCCGTAATTCTTGGTTTTAGAGTATATGCTAACCGGTAAGAATACTCTGTATAATTACCACGTGACTAGTGGGTCGCCAAGGCAACGGGTGGACCCCTCGATGAACCTCAGAGACCCCTGGCTGACCTATACTCTGTGGAGAATGTGGAGCCATATCTTGTACCTTCTAAATTGATCTTTGCACATCATGATTCAATCGTTCGATAGACTTTGAATATCAGTGGTTACTCTGTAAATTTCAATAATGGCTTCAATTTCTTGGTAATCTATGTAATACGGCTATCCAGCACCTTCAGTATAAGCAGTACTTCCAACCCACATGACTCTCAAGCAAGGAATATTCCCTTTCGAGATAGTAGCAGGTCTCCCTCCACTGGCACGGGTCACATAAGGCTATCGGGTTAGCACGCAAAGGGTTGAATCTTCGCAAGGATCCCATTTTGGCTGCGTTTGACAACGCTGGAAGATATCATCCGACGACCAGGCATCACAGAGAGATTGATTGAGCCACAGCTTTTTTCTTTCTCAACGAACACTTAGTGCACACAACCTACCTTTGTGAAACAGTGATTCCTCTTCAGTGAACATTCAGTCTTGTGCCATGGCCATCGACAAGCCCAGTCTAACCTTCAACCCACTGCACCCCACATTTGGAGCCGAATGCAAGGGTGTAGACTTCTCTCAGCCAGTGCCTACAGACACCATTGATCATATTCGCGCCGCGATGGCCAAATATGGAGTCCTGGTCTTTCGCAACACTGCTCTCGACGATACGAGCCATACGAACCTGGCGCGTCAATTCGGCAAGCTTGATGTTTCGACAGTGATGAGGAATTCCGGGACACCGTATCGATTGGGCCCCGAAAGCCAATTGACAGACGTTGCGAATGTGGACCGGAATGGCAATATCGAGTCAGTGAATAGTTTACGATCGCAAGCATTCCGGGGAAATAGTCTGTTTCACGTGGACTGCTCCTTCAATCACTTTCGAGCCGGATATTCTCTCCTCCGCGCTCACCAGTTGCCTCCTCCAGGGAGTGCCGGCGGGACCGAATTCGCCGATACCCGAAGCGCATATGCGGATCTGGATGAGGATATGAAGACTCAGGTTCATGACTATGTCTTGTGGCATTCGATGCTGCATAGTCGAATATTGGCAGTTCCGGATAATTGGATCTTCAAGATTGTCGACTGGACGTTGGACATGCATGGTTTTCGTCGTCTTCCCTATCTCATTATTTTAGTATGTTACAACCTTTCTATACCGAGTCACAAAAGCTCATACTAGTCTGTGGCTGATACCCTGTGCTCATCGTTTTTAGCTGCTAACCATTCGTTTCCTGGGATTTTGGGTTCGCCTGGCAGACACTACGATGATTTCAATGTGCTTGTTCGGTCTTCTCCGACTCCTTCTGTTGCGTCTGGCACCGCGACTCTTGGCTGCGCGCGCTCCTCATCGTCTGGTACAACTACACAAACCGAGCAGCCGTATGAACCTGTACATTGCGGCGCATGCATACCGCATAGACGGGTGGACCAAATCAGCTAGCAAACCTGTGATCGAGGCTTTAATGCAGCATGCAAGTCAAGAGAAATATACTTTCAAAGTGGATTGGGAAAACAACGGTGATATGATTATATGGGTACGTAATATCGAACTCTCCTGTCTGCTAGAGCAACATCTGATCCGCTCATATCCACAGGATAACACGTGTGTAATGCACCGATCATCCGGAGGCTCATACCAGGGACGTTATGTCCGCGATATGCGAAGAGCCACCGTCTATGACTCTGCCTGAGCACCTCGGTGATTCATCAGTATCAATGCAATCGTATTCACGGCACTGAGTCGGTCTTATTGCATGTGGCAGAGAGGGAAACACAAACTCAAGCTAGACCTCATTTATACCTGATTTGCTTTTCTTCGCGAGGTTACCTCTCTTTCTCTCTCTCTCTCTCTCTTATTTTCTTTTTGGGTGTCGTGAAATACTATTGAGCAATCTAGAATCCTTCTGAGGACTTTAGGAGCATATGCAGAAGTATAATCTTGCAGGAGTCCCACAACTGGCCCATAGGTAAGACCTGTCATATACACACGACCTATTGTGGAAGACGAGACAAGCGTAAAGAAATGATATCCGAAGCTTTTTCCGAGTAATGAAAAAGCGGTCAGAACTGAGAGGTCAAGGAAGATAGCCTTTTCAAAATTACGGCTAGTGACGACTGGCGCTGCTAGCTAAAGCGATGGTCACAGGAGATTCGTCGGCCCGATCTCAACAAAGTTTTGAATTTCCAGTTGGCCAACCTATTCTGATGCAGCTGCAGATCCCTCACGAGTCTTCTTGTCGCCTGTTCTTTGGCCACATGTACGGAGTACGTGATGATTATAAACATCGCTGCTGTATTAGACTTGGTATTAATTAGCAAAGGCTGAAAATAGATCACTTAGGCAATAAGCAAACTTCTCTGAAGTTTCCTTCCTCCCAACGCGACGAATAACTTTCTGCATACGTAAATCTTTCAGTCGGGTTGTCACCACTGGATTAAACTGGCGGTTATTTGTGTGAGAATTCCCATCATGGCAGTCGGTAATAGTTTCCTGGCTCTGATGGCCTTCACCCTCACCGAGGCCTATTTCCTCCATCGCACCTCTGCCAGCCACGAGACCTTCCGCGCCGTACTTCTCAGCTTGCTAGTCGTCAATGTTCTTCTCAAATGCCTCTATACTATATTCATTTGGCCATTCTTCGTCAACCCGCTGCGTCATCTGCCAAAGGTTCCGGTTAGTATTAATCTGCGCGAGTAGTATCAGAACACATTAAGAATCGCTACTAAGAAATGATCCACAGGGGTTCTTGAGCAATCTTAAGTTCTTTGACTTCCCCCGTAGGTGCAAGCCACTGTTCTGGATAAAGACCATCCCAAATGAAGGGCTAATCCACCTGCACGACATCCTCGGCCAGTCTTATCTGCTTGCCACCAACCATCAGGCCCTGGCAGATGTCATGAGCACGAATGTCTATGACTTTGAGAAGCCCTGGCGTGCGCGTAACTTCATCGCTCGCATCCTGGGCTTCGGTCTGGTCCTGTCTGAAGGCGTTTCCCACAAGAAGCAACGGAAGGCGCTGACTCCGGCTTTTAACATCAAAAATATTCGCGCCATGTACTCCCTGATATGGGATAAGACCAACCAGCTCTTGGAAGAGATGGAAAAAGAGTTGAGACTTAGTCTGATGCAAGCAACCAACCTGGCCGATGGGGAGGGTACGCTCGAGATGGGGGTGTGGGCGAGGTATGTGCTGTCTTATTCCCTTTGGCCAAAGGTTTGCATGAATTTTTAGGTACCCTGCTAGGTATATTGGTACCCAACAGCTCATAATGAACTGTGTAGGGATACTGAACTATCTAAAACCTTTTATGGCACCTAAAAATAATGCAAATGCATGATCAGAGGAGGTGGGTCGTTGCGATAGTTCGGTATACTGATGACATTTCTCTAGTCGTTTAACTCTCGATATCATCGGACCCGCTGCCATGGGAAGAGACTTTCGCTCGCTACAGAAAAATAACAATCCCGTGGCGGAAAGCTTTTCCCGCCTTCGTGAGCCTAGCTTCGAGAAGCTGGTGTTTTTTGCCATAAATTTCATCCTGCCACAGTGGCTGGCGCGACGTTTGCCCTTGCGCATGAATAAAGTAATCGAGAACGAGACTAATTTTCTTCGAGGTCTCTGTCAAGATATTGTCAGCGATAAGCGACAAGCTTTGGACGTATCTAAGAATTTAGCCAAGGATCTTGAGGCTGATATCCTTGGTACGATGATGCTAGGAGGAGACTTTTCGGACGCAGAGCTTGTTGATCAGATGTTGACATTCCTGGCTGGGGGAGTAAGTTTCACTTTTAATTTTCAAAGTTCAAATCGATGTGTGATTGATTACATTGTCCTGCTAGTCAAATCAACATCATAGTATCTGCTAACTCTTAACGCTTCTAGCACGAAACCACCGCGCGTGCTATCACATGGGCCTGCTACCTACTAGCCCAACACCCGGATATCCAAGAGCGTCTCCGCTATGAAATCCGGGCAAAGATCTCTTGCGCCAACAGCTCAATAACTTACCAAGACCTCGAATCCTTACCTCTACTAAACGGTGTCTGCCAAGAGGTCCTACGCCTCTACCCCACAGTCCCCGCAACACTTCGAGAATCTATACGCGATACTACAATCGCTGGCACTCGCATCCCCAAGGGCACACGTGTGATCTTGTGCCCATGGGCAATTAATCGAGCTCCAGTCTTCTGGGGTGATAACGGCGAGGAGTTCTTGCCGGAGCGGTGGATCGATAAGGACAAGAATGGTAACCTGGTGCCGAACAACCATGGTGGTGCATCAACCAATTTCGCGCAGATTACTTTCCTACATGGTCAGCGGTCGTGTATTGGGAAAGACTTTGCGCGTGCGGAGCTGCGGTGTGCGGTGGCGGGCGTGGTTGGCCGGTTTGCTTTTGAGATGGAGGATCCTAAGCAGGAAATTCATATTGCTGGCGCGTTGACGACGAAGCCTGTTGAGGGGATGCATTTGCGGATGCGCCGGCTTGATGCCTGGTAGTCAACAGTCGTAGACGGATGGATACTTTTTATGGCTTGCCCACATTCGATATCGTTTCATGAATCGATTCTGGACTATGGGTGGACTATGGGTGGCAGTTTTTCAGAAAGACTGCGGAAAAGATGAGATATGTATTTTTCTGAGAGCCAATAACCCAGATTTTGACTCCCTCAATTTGAACTGAGGCTGGAGTTGACGATACAATCCTATGTATTATAATGCAAAAAGGACATGGCCGTCTACTCCCTTTCCAAAGCAGCATCAATCAACTTCTTAAAGCCCGAAACTGCATCCTTGACGTCACGCACGGTGAGAGCTTCATTATCACCATGAGCAACAAAGATGCTTCCAGGTCCATAGAGATAACGCTTCACACCCTCGCGTACCTTCAAGTTAGGCACATCCGTGCCATAGTTGACAGGCATCACCTCGAAACCATCCACATCAGTATCCAGGTCTTGAGGGGCGTACGCCTCATTGTGAGTGGAAAAGTCAACCACAACCTCAGCCTCGACGTCACGAGTCGCATCCTCTACAGCCCGACGAATAATCTCCCGCGCCTCTTCTGGTGTACCAGCTGCCAGACGAACGGCGACATCCGCACGCGCAGAGGCGGGGACAACGTTCGTCGCGACACCGGCACGAATAGTACCGATGTTCAAAGTAGTAGGGCCATACTTGGACGACGAGGGCAAACCACCCTCGCTAACGGGGATGTTACCCAGCTGATCAACACGGCTCAATGCCGGCAGGATGCCCGAGACAGCACTCTTGCCGAGCCACGGGTATCCCGAGTGCGCGGCCTTACCGTGAGCTAGAACCTCGAAACCAAGCATTCCCTTGTGTCCAGAGACGAGCTTGGCTTCGGTTGGCTCGCCGAAGATAACGGTATGGTAGGCGGTGTCCTTGTTTAGGTCGGATTCGGAAAAAGTCTTCATGCCGTCACCGCCGATTTCCTCGCCGACGACGAAGAGCAACGCGAGCTTTGCGTCTGGGTTTGACTCTAGAGTCTCCAGGACGGCGAAGACTTGCGCTGCGACACTGCCCTTTGCATCGACAGAGCCTCGGCCCGCGAGAACTAGATCGTCTGAGTTTGAGCGCATACTCGGGGATTCGGGCTGGTGCGCCGAGTACGGGATAAAAGGTGGGACTGTGTCGATGTGGCTCGAGACAAGGATTGAGGGGGAGTCTTGAAGAGAGGAAGGGTAGGCGTAGATATTGTAACGGGTCTTGGGTGTCTCCTCGTCATCGTCATTCTTCTTTTTCACAGGAGCAACCTTTTGCTTGACGACGGTGAAGTTCTTAGACTCGAGGAACTCGGCAACGAAGATACCGACATCGTGCTCGTTACCGGAGATGGACTCGATATCGACCAGATCGCGATGGAATTGTAGAAGTGGATCACTAGCGATCAATTTCTCGAGGCGAGCTTGCTCGAATTCCTCGATGCTGCCCTGAGAAGCTGGTAGCGAGCTTCCGAGCGGCTGCTGTTGCCGGTATGCGGGGTGCGGAGAAGCATTTGTGACGGCGACAGCAGTTGCGGCCGCCAGATACCTGGTGAACTTCATTGGGTTCGGATTTGGCAAGGCGAAGCTGTATGAGGGGTAGAATTTTGTGATCCCACTCGAGAATTCTCGATCTCCGGTGAGTCAGTGGATGGAACATCGCGCAATTCTCCCTGCAGGCTTCCGGATGTTTGTCCGACATTGGTCACGTGAGTCAAAAGCTTGGAGCGGAAATCTCCCCGAATTATATAGATAGTCGGAAGATTTAAATGTATAAGCAAGGGGTGTCCTCTATCATTGTAAGTTTGTCCCCTTCGACAAAATATATGGATCCGTGGACTACTTACCAATCTTCTCATCCTCGCTGTCGGGCAAAGGCTCACGAGTGGCCTGAATCTGCGTCAGCAATGCCTGACGCTTGGACAGGTGGTCGACCATCTTCTGGTGCTTGTCGAGTGCCCGATCTGTTCTAAAAATCTCCTCAACGAGGTGCGAGACGCTTTTATACGCCCCAGGAGTTGGCCATAGCCGCTCCTTGTTGGGAGGCGGCGCCTCACCACGTCGGTCGAGATTTGGACCCTTCTCAGGTGTTTGTCCCGTGCCTTGGTCACGCGACGAACCTCCAAGTTTTAATCGAGACATCTTTATATGCCTTGGGGGTCGGAAACGGCTGCTCTCTGTGGGCAGGCGGCATCTCTGATTCACTGTTAGCGCGTCACTCTTATCCTGATCGCTCTACTTTAACTCACTTGAAGGACGTGGGGAACCACCGGAACGCTTCTTCCCCTTCCCTGGGGATTACTCCAGATTTGTTGGCTGTGACAAAAACCCGGATGTTATGCAAGGCACGGTTCTTCAAGGATTTGAGTCGCTCGGGGAGTCCTTGCGGCTCATCGAGTGTGGTTAATTAGTAGAAGGGACAAGGGTTGAAATTGTAGTGTATGCCCAAGATCATCGTATTCTTTGAGATAGAGTAATGGCAGGACACTCTGGGTCGTCTTTGGGGTATCCTCATGTATCCCAACGACTCTCTCGGTTGATTCCTGGCAAGATTAGTGGCTGAGATCACTCTGTATAGTAGTTATTTTCACGTCACCTTGAAAACAATGGCCCCTCTCCTTCGAAGAAGGGTTGTCCGCGGCGGTATGGTATCACGCTGGTGAATACCCTTTACCCCCGAAGCTGATCCCACATAACACAATGCGACATTTCACTGTCAAGAATCCCCCGAGCTGGGAGCACAATGCCAGTTACTCTGTTGTCAAAGATCTGACTGCCGTGAATGCCCAAAGGGTGTTTCGCTGGCATTTCTGTCAAGATTTCGCTATCGAGAATCCCCCGAGCTGGGAGTACATTGATAGTTCCTTTGTTGACAGAAATTTGATTTCCAGGAGGATCCCGAGGGAAATTCACCTTGGCTCCTGTCAACATGGAACTGGTAAGCGAGCCATTGCCAGTTCTCTTGTTGACAGAAGTTTGACTGCCAGGGATATCCGCAGGCGGAGTATCCATGTCAATCGTTTCACCTTTCTACTGGCTATCAGAGATCACTCGATCTGAAGCCAGATCGATCAGTGTCGAAAGTTGGAGCACCCCCACTAAGCCCGTATACACGCGGGCTGGCTGCTAGTGCTTCATTCGAACAATTGCCGTCACGAGTATCAGTGTCGACAAATCGGCAAGTGCTTAATTAGCCAGGATCGTTATGGCGTCTTTTTGATCGAGTCATCATCGAAGAGGTACCGGGAGGGGTGTTACTAGGCTTCTTAGGGTTATTAACTGACTGAGAAGTAGCGTGCTTAACATTGTCACTAATTAGTTTAGAGGAGCAGTCGATACGCTTACCTAGTCTTTTTTTTCTCAGAGACAAACATGGCTTCGAACAAGGTATGTCAAGCGGTATAGTGAGATAATAGAGATTTAAGCTATTCCACTGAAATCGAGTCTGTGAGCGAATATTGATGGAAGAAAGACGAGAGGGTGGGATCTCTCACTTTGGTCTTCTAGGTCCCGTGCACCATCACTTGACCACCAAACTAGCCCTAGGTAATTTCCTACCCCATGAGAATTAATTGCTGAAGGATGACAAGGAATATGTTAGTATAAATTATTTCATCTAATGGTATATGGCTTAGACGATAGTCATTATGATCTTTGAATGATTTCTCCCCGAGGGACAAACGGTTTATACTTTGGTAGTGGGTAGCTCAGTAATTGATATTGGCTGTTGGGGATTATTCTGCCTTTCGAATCAATGTCATTACCCTGGATCAGGATGGCAGTGGTCAGGATGAGACTTACCTTTGGCCAGGCGCCACGGCAGACCCCTAGGCCGGCCAAGGGCCCCACACGAAAAAAGAGACGGTGATATCTTCTTTTGAAGAGGAAAACGAAGCAAAGTTGGAAGAAAGCTTTACGCAGGGAGCGAAAGCGAAAAATTGAACATAAGAGCGGTAAAGAGGGACCTGAGTGGGAGTGGGAGTTCTGGAAATGTATTATTTACGATACTTTAGTTCGAAGGTAGATTATTTAAAAGATGAATGTGTATTGCGCGAGCTCGACTGCCCCCACCAATGGGTAGCACAACGAGCGTAGTATATACATACGAGACAGCGCTTTTTCGTCATTGATAACGAACCAAGAAAAAAAACAACATATGGAGGACAAGTCTATGGAATGCTCATGACATATGATGTATGCAAATAGTCGTGGGTATATGGGTGAGAACAAGGAATGGACGGGTTTGAACCCAAGCCGGGGGATGCCGGACACACGATTCCGATTCATGGTCTCAGGATCCCCGGCACAAGAATCCAGGAAAATAAGAACAGAATGACTCTGAAGCGAAGGAGACGAAGGAAAGGCATGGTGCCGGTGCGAGAAGCAGTAGTCGCAGATCCGGACCGTGAGTCGTAAGAGTCATCATGAAAAATCGGAACGAAAAGACAGGCATTAGTCGTGAGAGTGCGAGCAGGCACTGGGATTATTGGCTTTATAAAGTCTAGTATCCCTGGGTGCGAGCTGCGGTAAGTCTATAGGTCATTATCGTAGGTGGTGTCGCTGGGAAGAATGCGAAAGGATAAAAGAAGAAAATGTGGGCGAGAGCTTCAAGACCTGCCAACTAGGTCTTGAAAGAAGCGGAAGAAGGTGCGCTTCTTGTGCGATTTCGTACGGCATGGACCCGCGATCTCGGCTACCGGCGAGACGGTCATGGGCCCAACGATGTCCTCGTCACCCATCTCGGGGAACTTGGCATTGTCGTGCAATCGAGGGACGCAGACTTGTTCGCAGGGGCGTAGCTCGGTATGGGTCAGCGTGAGCGCAACGCCATCGACAGAGCCGAGTCCACGGAGAATGGCCTCGTGCTGGGCACGCCACTCGCGATCAATGGACTCCCACTTCTCGCCGGTCAGCTTGTAGATGTTGGAGGTCACGCCGTAGTGCTCGCCAGTGCGGACAAGGTGCTTGGCAAAGTTGCATCGAGCAATGTCCCAGTCTGCGCGCAGCTGGTGGAAGCTTTCCAGGTCACATGTGGCTGGCACGTACGGCTCCGGCTGGATATTGAAATTGGCATGTCCGAGCTTGTTGGCCCACTCATCGTTGGGATCGGTTAGAACAAAGGGCGCTGGCTCCCCAGAGATCGTCCGCACCGTGCTTGCGCGAGGTCGAGAGATCGATGCCATGGAAGGCTTCGAGGAAAGAGGTGGCGAGGGGATGCCGGTCACGGCCATGAATCGGGGATCCGAGGTAATGGCATAGTGCGCGGGTTCGCTCACGTCTGCGACGGAAGGCGATTGCAACGGAGATTGCACGCGAGAGGCGGCCATGCTCGTAGGGTCGTCGCCCAGTAATGGGGGAAGAAGCGGAGTGGTAGCTTTTTGGGCGTCGTCGTCATCCTGGCTCAGGCTATTCGCGCGAGCGATATCAATTGGCTTTGAGCCTGAACTATTGACGCGCTCCTCAAAGATTGTCTGGGCGGGAGACGGAGGAATGTGCGAGTCGATTCGACTGATAGGGGTGGTTATGGGACTTGCCAGCGCGGAAGAAGCTGCAGAGTTGGCGCGAGATCGCAGATCATCTGAGTAGATGTCACGCTCGGGACTCCCTGATGCGCGCTTAGACTTCCAACGGGACGAGACAGTCGACATATGGGAGCCGATTCGCGAGACACCCTTCATTGACAAGTTATCGGAGCGGCGCTTCTTGGGCGAGTGAGGAACGTCCATAGCAGCGTCGCTTAGATCGTAGCTGTCCGAACGGTTCATGGGGAAATAAGACTCGTCAGTGGTAGGTATGCCACATTCGAAGTGCTCTATTAATGACATCTTGTTAGTCTTGGTTCGGAATGAGTCATTGAAGGGCAAATCAGGTCAACATACGGAAGTATTGATCCTCTAAAGAATCTCGCGCACAGAGTTCCTCTTTGACGTCCGCCAAATGGGTCCGACTCGAGCTATCCATTGAATTTCCCAGGCCGGTTGACGGAACCAGAGAAGAGACCGAACTCGACACGCGATTGTGGCCCGCTACTGAAAAGAGGGAAACAGCGGGCGAGGCGGGCGCAGAGGTATTCACGGTTAAAGGTGATTGAGGAAGGCGGGGAGAGTCGATCGCGTCGAGAGACTCTCGTTGCGCGTCGATGATCTGAGACAGTTTACGCATTGCGCGAAAGGCGAGGCCGCAAGGCGTCGCGGAGGCTGGTGGGAATAAGGGTCGGTCGCTCTGTATTGCATTGGAGGTGGACGAGGGAACGGCGGGAGGGGACGCTCAATTAATGAGCGACGGCGGGGAAAGAGTCACGGCGCGTGATGGTTGATTGCCTGATGACAGGCCTGATGGAGGAGGAGGAACCCGACGAGACGTGGCGGTCAGGAAACAACCCAATAATGGCTGGATGAACACGGCGAGGGAGCCAAAAGGAACGCCAGCGCAGACGTGGGCCAAACAGGAAAGTCGATGGGGAGCTGCCAGCTGGCTGGGCAGGATTGCGATGACTTCTCCAACAGGGAGATCCCCGCTAGTGCAACCCTGCGGATGTCGGGGCAGGAAGGAGGGTGATGATGGTGGTGACGATGTTGTAAAAAAAGGAAAGAAAAAGAAAGAGGAAGAGGAAGAGGAGAGGAGGAGAAATGACAAAGAAAGCAGAGGAGGACCGAGTCACCGAAGGCGAAAGAAACTGACCCGTCTAGACCACCAGCAACAGTTGGTCATTCAGAGACTAAGAAAAACGAGCTAGTCGCTTCCCCCGGAGCCAAACGGTTTAGTGGGTTCTCTCTAGGAGTCCGTACTGTAAGTCGCCCACGCGACAGTCGCCGATCTTCGCTTTGCCTGAAAGAAAATTCCCTCCGTCGTGTTCCGGTGGTAGCGGAGGGAGAGAACCACGGAACGCCAGGCAAGAAGAATAATCTGGAAAGTCTGAAGGTTACTTAAGCACCTTTTACATAGTTTCTTCGTCCAAGGTTGTTGATTATCCGGCTATCTACATTGATGATTGACTATATCAATGGCTTCACCACGCTGTATATCAGATCCGTTGTGTTACCCTGTGTCTCTTCTTCCCCTCCATTCCCCCTCCCCCAGGACCCTTTCCACACACAAAGCCCCCATCGTCATCGTTTGCGACCGGAGCAGAACCTAACCCAAGCCCTAGGGACTAGGGTACTGGGGACTAGGGTACGTCTGCGAGATCGGCGGTGTCTAGACTCTTACCGGTGGAGTTCCCCCGTTGAGGTCCCAGTTGAACGCTTATGATGACATTTCCCCCCTCATTTGCTCAACCTGGTCAAGCTGACGGGATTGTTTTTGAGACAGGTCGTTGGGAAAAGCCTAAAAGAGTTGAAAATCATCGCCATTCTGTCTGCCGTCCGTGCTCCTGGAGCTCTAGGGTACTTTTGTTCTTCGTCCCTAATCTGACCAGGCGAGACGAACAAAGGCCAGAAGAGATATGTCGCACGGCGGTCTGCTGCGTAACGAGGGACGGCCCTCTGCCACTGCCGCCATAAGAACCTTACTCCCGACTCTCACAGCGTACCTAGTCCTTGGACCTGTGCACCAGTCCGGTACTGCCACCAGCCTGCGATAGCCATAGTAGAGCTAGTCTCACTGTCCCTCTGTGCTCTCTAAACACTCTCAATCCTTCCTCCCTTGCGAAAAAGCCTCTGAATAACTATCCTCGGCCAAACCCCCCTCCGAGGAACATGTCAAACTAATCTGCGACAGCATAAAGCCATCATCGCAGCAATACGAGGGACATTCTATCAAAGTCGGCTAACGAGGATATAAGCACTACCACTTCTTAGCCCATTAATAACGTCTGGCACCCGACGTCAGATCCACATGGTTCCTATTTTTTCGGGCGACTCGGGGAACATGTCAGCATTGGCTCATGATTGGAAGCGAACCGTCTGAACCAAAAAATCCCTGTGAACAAGCACCTGGAACCAACGTAAGAGGCAAAGGGGTTGGGAACATGGCTCTGGGCCATTCCCATGGATAGTCACCGCTGGCTTTCCGCTGGTTCTGTACCTCTTGGCGGTCTTTCGGGAAGCATTGTCGGCTAGTTATGAGAGGAACATATTTTTTGGCGATTATAGATTGGACATGTCGCCTCTTCGAATTATTTGATACAATAGTACTAAATGATCGAGTGGCTAATTTCCCAGTGACCGAAAACCTGGATTTGGCTTTTTCATCGCCTTTTTTGCTTTTTGTCTTTTCTTCTTTGTTCAAATATTAATGATCCACCTATCACAGGTGCCAGGCTCATCGCTTCAGAAGCCAATCATAATCCGTATATCCCGCAGGGATCGGTAAAAAAAGAAGTGCAAACCTAATCGTATTTATGGGTCTGTCGGGAAAGGAAGGACTTTTCTCAAAATGACAACATAGCTAGACAATAATGATATAATGATAATGACCAGAGCACAGGACGAATATCCTTGTAAATGTTATCTCTCACATAATTTACTCAGCATACAATTATTGCTATACATTAGAATACTCTAGCGACTGCAGAATCGATATGTATGTTCCAGTGGGTGGCAAGAGGCAGTGCTCGCGTCTTATGTCTCCTCGCAACCCTCGTCGCGATCGGAATATCTTGCGAGGGTCACACTTACACTTGTACTAGTACATTGTGTATATGACAGATTCGAAAATTGAATGATAATGCACCAGCAACAATAGCAAGAACAATATATTGCCTGTCTACGGAACACGATAGCGAGATGACAAACACGATTGGTGAGGAACATAAACCAGTAGATATCAAAGTACTACGTTTCACAAAGCCTATGGTTATCTACCCCAATATACACCGAGCAGCCATCCATTCCCGATCACTTTCCCCTGCAGCCACCCCATTCGGGGCGCACTTCCCCGATCATAAACTAGTAGATATCGAAGTACTATGTTTCACAACGAGCCGCTGGCATCAATGCCCCGGGCGGTGGCGTATTCGTCTTCTTAAACTCGTCGCACATTTGCTCGAATGTCACCCATTCAACCCCCTCATGTTGATTGATATACTCAATGATCCTGCGACTCCCGTTAGCTCGTGTTTCCCCCGGGCCTATTCCCAACGGCCTACTTCCCCCACTCTCTCCGATGTGCTAAATGGGGGTTATCATACCTCTCGTGCATTAAAATCGCGTGTGGCCGGCCTGAAACGTCGGGATGGATCGTCATTGGGAAGATGAATTCATCGTATTCGCGGTAGAAGTAGTCGAAGTGGTCCTGGTAGATGATAAGGTATTGTCAGCCAGCCATGCTTAAAATATCCCCGATGCTGCGTCGGATCTCGACGGAGCAACGTAATATAGTAAAGGGAATGTGTCGAAAATTACCTTCCAGATGTCCTCCACGTCCCGCGGATTAACCCAGCCATGGCTATTGGCCGAATTCTTGATAAACATCATCGGAGGGAGATCATCTATGTACCAAGATCCAGGTATTTCAACCAATCCAGTCATCTGCCCTCGTACAAGCGGCTTCATCCATGTCTCTGCCTTCTGCGTATAATCAATCTTCGTCCACGAGTCCCCTGTGCGCAACCAATACATCTGACAATCCTCATGAGACATGGAATGATCATACTCAATGCCATACGCAAGCAATAGCTCGACCATCTCCGCGCTAGCCTCCCACCACGGCGCGACAATGCCGCGGGGTGGCTTACCGCAGAAATCAGTTAGCATTTTGAAGGTCTTGTCGAGGATGTCGCGTTGTTGTTCCTTGGTCATGCTAGCCGGGTTCTCATGGGAGTAGCCATGAAGTCCGATCTCGTGGCCTGCGTCCCGGACTTGGGCGCATTCCTCGGGAAAGGTCTCGAGGGAATGGCCCGGGATGAACCAGGATGCTTTGATGTTGTATTTCTCGAAAAGCTTGAGGAGTCGCGGGGTTCCTACGTGGCCGGCCCAGAGACCTGGTTTGTTGTGAGTATACTGCGAAAAGTGACTGATGGTAGCAGATGTGTGCTATACATACCTCGACTAATGTCGCTAACGCTGTCCTCGCCACCATACGAGCCCAGCCAACCAGCCACAGCGTCAATATCGACGCCGTAACCGACTAGAACGCGTTTCTTGCCCATCGTGTTTGTAGCTTGTACTGGATAAACCAATTGTACGTGGATGATGATGCTTGAACGAGTTACCCTGGGAGGTACAGGTGTCGGAGTGCAAAGCGAGTTGATCTCGGGATAATTCAGGGGAACTTTTGTCTCCGACGAAACTGCAGCTTTAAGAGGGGTAAATGAGGGGAAAGTTTTGGTGATGTTTATCAAGGCTCCCCCATCATTGCAGGTATGTAGGTGACAAGGGTGGGGGTCGATGCATGCTTGCATATGCCGCCGCTAGTGACGGGTGGCATATGCCGCGTGGATGGGGGCAACACTAAATAATCAGATGTATTATCGGAAAGGGGATATTCTCTGAGGGGACTTTGGGTTGACTAGGGTTTGGGGGTAGTGGGTCTGGCCACGGTCTCTTCACTTGATGCTGGTGAGGAAATTCAATCACTCTTCCAAACGAGGATGGATAACGGTACTAAATTCCCAGACTCCACATCAAAACCACATTGACTGTGCTCTTAGTCGCCCGGCCAAATATGGAATACGATTGAAATCCGTCATTGATTGCGCCAACTATAGTACTCCTTTTAGAGGATCCCATCTGTTTCCCAAGTTTGACAACAAGACCAACAGGAGAGAGTCCTCCAAAATCCCGCGACTCATACAAACAACATGATACTCTAGAGCGTGTCATGTCCGTGGGTCTCAAATGGCAGCCCAATACAGAAAACCCCAACGGCTACCCAAAGGGCTGCGCTGGCATAGATAGGTGCACTGGTAAATCCTGTCTGGGACGCAATAAGACTAGCAAGAAGACCACCAAGTCGTAGAAGGGCAGCAGCCGTACCAGTTCCAGTACCACGATGTGGAGCCGGGAATGACTCCGGGGTAAAGGCATACATGATGGCATACTCTGCAAATTTCTGTCAGTCTAGGGAACTAGGAAATCGAGATGTCTCTGTAGAACGTACCAAAGTTGGCCAGTAGACTTGTGATGCAAGAAAATGCCAGGCTCGCGGCGGAGTTGTTGACTCCCACATATGCAAATAGGAACACAGCCGTGACAGCAGCCGAAAGACCCATCATGTACCGTCGTCCTAGCTTTGTGTTCACTGCTACAGCAGCAGACAGCGGGCCCACAATCCCGACAGCTGATGTGATGCAGTAATTGCGGTAAGTCAGGTACAGCGAAGAATTCTCAGTGAATTTGGTTGCTAGGTATGACGGGAGGAAGTTGAAGTAAAGTGGGTATCCGATCCCTGAAGAGTATGGTTAGCACAGTCTTGGAAATATCAATCCCAATTGCCCTTACCAACAGTCAGCCAGATTCCCCAGATAATGATGGTATGTCTAGAAAGCTTTCTCGTGGCAAACAGGGCTCTGTAGTGCTCTCCTCTGAAGGCCTGCATGTTCTCAGATATAATCTCCTTGGTTGATAGTCGTGTTGTTCCACCATCCTCGGTGGATACCGAGCCCAGCCTGGCATCAATCTCACGAAGCATCCCAATGGTCAAGGGCTCCGGCTTGCCGTTTTGTCTGGCAACATAGTTGACAGCATCCACGGCATCTTGATCTCGACCCTGAGATAGGAGGAAACGCGGGGTTTCCGGAAGCTTGAAGACAAAGATTCGGATGAATGTGAAAGCAAGTGACATTGCACCGAGTGTGATCATAGTGTACCTCCTATACAAAGCACTAATTAGCGTTGGATCATCAGTGTCCAAAGGCATACCTACCAGCCCATGTTGTCCCGACGAAGGCAAGTTGCGGGTGTTGCATCAGTCGGGCAACTAAAGTTAGCCAAGAAGACCCATGCAACCAGAGACACAACAAGTTGACCCAAATTCCACCATGCAGATAGAGCAGTGAGAAGATATTGATGACTAGGCTATCATTAGTATGGGACTGAGAAGACCCTTCTGACACTTGAGCCTTACCTTCCAGGGACGAACTCTAAGAATATCATTGAGTCGACAGGTACATTTCCACCTGCAGCAGTGCCAACCACAGCCCAAAGTCCACTGAAAGCAATGAAGTTCATAGAGCCAGCCACTGCACAGAGGAAAATCCCAGCTATGAGAAGTGTATAATTGAACGCAGGGCGGCGGCCGATGAGGTCACTCGATATCCCCCAAAAGGATGCGCCGAGGATAAGTCCAACATAGTATGCTACAGAACTGTAGCTGACTTGGACGATACCAGAAAACTCTTGTTCGATGGGTGGTTGAACGCTGCCGATTCCTTGGGAGGCAAACTAAAAGGATTAGCCCTGGATATGATAGTAGTAAAAGAGACATACGTTGTCAACGATCCACCCAAATCCTGTCACCACGAATAATTTCCATTGAAACCTGGCTATGTCAGTGGTAACCCTGCTTTTTGAGACCTTGAATGCGTACTTTCCCATCCCAATTTCCTCCATGCACTTGCCTACCAACTCGGACTTGAGACGGTAGGCCTGTGTGGTAGAAGAACCATAGAATTGTTCGACTTCATGGTCGTCCAAGACAATCACTTTCCCAGTAGCCTCTTCCGTGGCCAAATCCTGAGTTGGCTGCCTATGCTTCTCGTTTGATCGAATTTCATCCATCTTGGAATGCTTGTTGGATTTGATCTCGTCGCTCAGATCAAGCCGACTCATATACTATGCCTGAGGGCTGGTAGTTATACTGAAAATGCCATTTGGCCAATAAGACAAAGCCTTTTACAGCCACAGTCGACGATAACAAGGGTGGGCAACGGCCGATATGCTGGCTAGAACCCCCCACCTTTGGTGTGAAATCGAAAGAAGGAATAACACGGGCTTAGCATTGCTGAGCTTAAACCAGTTACGCCTATTGATACGGGATTATGGTGAGTGATACTGACATGATTCATTCAGTATTCAATTTATACTAGGCGAGAATAGCAACTGATTGTTTGCAAAATTCAAAATCAATAGAAGATACATCCTATAGCTCATTTCATGCACCATGTCCAGCCACTATGCGCCAACAGCAGCAACTGAGGGTACAACCGCTAGCTTCTTGCTCTCAATCTCTTTTTTGTATTTCTCTGCTCGTCCGTAACTCTCCTTATAAGCTCCAGTCACCATATCCTGGACAGTAATAGGCGGATATTTCGCAGGCTCGCCCGGTGCCCGGCAATTCGGAAGGCATTCACAGAGGTAGTCAGGGTTCCCGCTGAAGAAAAACGGAATCGAGTATCTTTTTTGCCCGGACTTATTGATAACACGGTGTATGTTAGACTTATATTTGTCGTTCGCCATGCGCATAAAAAGATCTCCGAGGTTCACAACGTAGGCTCCTTCAACTGGTTTCACCTGAAAATAAAACAGAACTATGTTAGCAGTATTAGAAAGATGGGGACATCCAATCACAAACATCAAGCCATTGCCCAGAGGGCGCGTCCAGAACTTGAAGACCGTCCACTTCATCTTGAAGAAGCAGAGTCACACAGCCAAAGTCAGTGTGAGCACCAATTCCACGATTCAATCTCTCGTCTTCGTCTTTCGGCTGTGCTGGGTAATGTAAATACCGCATCGTCGCCACCGCGCCGTCAGTGAGAGGGTGGAAGAAATTAGAATCTACGCCTAGAGTTAAAGCAATCACTCCAAGGACGTCCTTCGCCAACTCAAACACGGCGTGGTAGTATTCCATTGTAGTCTTCTGGAACTCCTCTCGGTCTGAGACGGTTTGCGGCCATTGATTTGGACCACTGTTCAATTTCTTCTGCACAAAGTATGGGTGATCCTCGGGAATCTCTTCGCCAATATAGAGACCTTCCTTCAATTCGGGTCCGGTCCCAGCTTCGAGCATTTGCGACCGGAGAAGTTCGTAACCACGATTGAACGAATTGAGATCTGATGCGTTAGTCAATTGACGTGGATTTCTGGGAAAGTGCACATACTTTTGTCAATTTGCAATTTCTCGTCCAAAGGGAGGTCAAAGAATCGTTGGGAACATTTCATGACGCGTTTCTGTAAGTCGAGCTTCACGCGGTGCCCAGTAATCTGGAAGAACCCATTGCGCAGGCAACACTTTCTAACATCCTCTACCAGCTTTTCCTTTGCATCGACGTCACTGCCGTAAAATGCGGCAAAGTCTAGAATGGGGGGTGCAGTAGGTGCGGACATTTTGCTAGTTCAATTGTATTGTCGTGGTTGTTTCTGGTGTTCAAACTCCTTGATAATGCACCCCGGGCCACTCGAATATATCATGCTAAATTCATTTTCACCATCCCCTCATCGACCCCAAAAATCGGCAAGAATGCCGAAGCTGGATCATTGATGAACGCTTCTTGATGGCATAGGCGAAGGGTGGGGGTTTTGCAAGGAGGATGGGGGTCATTCATCCCGTCTTTGTGATAAGCCCCAACTGCGGGGATCGCGGCACGACAGGGGTTGTTATCTCAAGAGTCGATAATTGGCTGTGTGTAGAAATGGTATCTGTAACTCTAAATAATATCAAGTGACAATTGAGAGCTCGTCGTAGTGTTACCAACAAAATGTTTTTATGGCAGCTATAAGAGCGGTTAATAGGGGCCACCTATCCTGAATAATGCTGGAGGAAAAAGCAAAAACAACAATTTTTTGCCCAAAATGCCTGGAGAAATCGAATTTTCTATGATCAATAAAACAATGGATGATGAAGTCAATATGGGGCGGCAAGTTGCCTCTTCAGACCCCGAAGCAGAAAGGCAATACGTCAGGAAAGTGGATTTTTGGGTTTTACCCATGCTGTGTCTGGTGAGAACTATCGCGATGAGCTGAAGGGGTTGAGCTTCCTGAGCTAAGCAATACAGATGTACTTCTTCGATTGTATGGATAGAGTAGGGTATTACATTCCCTCATCACACGCTCCATACTGACGAAACCAGAGCAATTTAGCAAATGCCAAAACGGATGGCCTCGAAAAAGATTTGCACTTTAAGGGGAATGACTATTCACTCCTCATTTTGCTGTTTTACATTCCATTTGGGTTATTCGATCTGCCATGGAATTTGTTGATCAAGCGTTATTCCGGTCGTTACATGCTATCATTCAGTAGGTTCACATACTTCGGGAAACCTTGGAGCAGCACTTACTTCCTGACCTCAAATAGTGTCGATTGTTTGGGGCATACTTGCTCTCTGCCAATGTGCAGCTAAAGGCTTCAATTCCTTGCTTGCGATTCGAATAATTCTCGGTGTCTTTGAAGCAGGATTTTTTGCCGGAGCCACTTTCTACTTGACTCTTTTCTACACCCGAGGAGAGATGGGATTCCGCCTAGCCATCATGCAATCATTTGCAGTTCTGGCCTCGGCTTTCAGTGGACTCATCTCTTTCGGGGTCTTTAAAATCGACAGTCCCGTCGTCAAGGGGTGGCAATGGCTTTTTATCATCGAGGGGAGTATGACTTTCCTCGTTGGAATCCTAGGGTTCTTCATCTTACCAGATAGTCCGCAAAAGGCCTGGTTCCTCAACGAAAGAGAAAAAGAGGCGGCAACGGTCCGTTTACTTCGAGACTCGTCCTCTGAAGTCGCAACAAAGTTCAACCTCAAGGCCTGTTTCCGGTCTTGGAATGATTGGAAGTTCCTAATCTGGTGTATTATTACCTTCACCTACCCAGTCGCTTATGCGACCGCGATGAACTTCTTCCCTTTGGTAGGTCTTTCATTGGCATATATTCGAATCAAAGGTCTAACAAGAGCAGATCGTACAACGTCTCGGCTACTCTGTTGTCAAAACGAATCTGTGGACTGTCGCACCAAATTTGGTTGGCGCAGTTGTTCTGCTTTGCGTTGCCAAGTCATCGGACTATTTTCGCGAGAGGACATTTCACATTGTGTTTTCATTGACCATGTCACTAGTTGGTATGGTCATCTTGGCTGCTATAGATGTCCTCCACAATAAAGGAACGGCATATTTTGCCTGTTTCTTAATCGCCTCCGGGGCTTACATACCCTCGTGTCTTGTTCATGCTTGGCATAACAATAACAATGTTCACGAAAACTCTCGCGCTGCCAATACCGGTTTCTTCGTGGGCTTGGGAAATTTAGCCGGCATCTTGAGCGCTGCGACGTTTCGCACGCAATACGCGCCAAAGTAGGTCACGCCGGGCTTCAGTGTACAGCCACCATAACTTACTCACTATTTAAATAGGTATATACCTACATTGGTCGCAACCTGCTGCTGTAATGTGGTCTGTATCTTGTTTGTGGTAGGATTAGGGTTCTATATGCGACTTGAAAATCGGCGGCGCGACCGAAACCAAGGGCTGAGGGTACGAGAAGACCAGGTTAACACTAGTGAAGTGAAAGATGGCAATCAGAGTCCGGAATGGAGGTACTTTCTGTAGTCAGTGGTTAGGACTGTGTGATTTAGTTAGTTATCTGTCTGGCCGTATACACTTAATAATCCTGATTCTGAGGTCCATCTTCCGACCGCCGAATGGCCATCTTTTTATTTACCCTCTGGGTATCTCCCCTACGATTTTTGTAATCTGTTGCTAAATAGTATGGGAAATGCGATCTTAAACAAAATTAGTCTCATCTTTTTTCTCATCTTTTTTCTATCAACATCTCGCGCTGATTTCTTTTTCATCCTAATACTCTGATTATATGATTAATTCCAAGTCAGCCTGTGTTACCTCTCTATACATGGAAAAGTGCCACCTCCAATTTCCCGCGGCTGGATACTGACCTCGATTGTGCTATAGTACATAGTTGTACAACATTTTCTCCACATCTCGCTCTCTTGCTCCCCTTTAGATGCGGTGTGATTGGTGACGACCAATAGCACCACAGATAGGCAATATGTACAGGCTGTAAATGGGCACCAATCATCCGCAAGCTATTCCCCGCATCCTTATCAGTAGCTGACATCGGCCAATACTCCGATAGTTTGTATTATTATTGCCCAGAGGCCACTTTGCTATGGGGAAACTCTCATTCTCTTTGCTCCTCTTTTTCTTGTAGTTTAAGCATCATGAAACCCCACGTTTGCGATTACATTGGCTGTGGGAAGAGCTTCTCCCGCGGGGAGCATTTACGAAGACACGCGCTCAACCACGAACAACCGCGAAACGGATTCACTTGCCAACGATGCTCGGTTCACTTCCAGCGCCCAGACCTCTTAGCCCGACACATGGTACGCCATGACAAACGGGACGAAGAATCAGGAGGTCCAGGAATGGGCGTTTTAAAAACGCGGAAAAGAACGCGCCGAGCTCGTGATGGGACTATTATTGTTCGACCGTCACAGCGAGAGATTCGATCGGCAGCACGTTCAACAATATCATGTTCTAGCTCTGATCAAGGCCCAATTGGAGAAGACGAGGCGCCCATATCGCCACCAATTTCGGGCACAGATCCGAGCTCACTATCAATCGACGAAAATGATCCATTCTTAGCGCCTATGATGACAGGAGGTCCTTTTGAGCCGTACGTTGAGCCGGTCCCTGGTCAGTTTGATGCTGCTGATGGCTCCTTCAACGTTGGCCAAAATGAAATGGGTGATTTCTTTGGCATGGACACCGGTATGGAATTTGTTGTGACTCAAACACATTGGATTTCTTTTCTGACCAGATCTAGCGACCGATTTTAATCTCCCATTCGCAGCGACTTGTAACTACAATTGGCTGTTTGATGTCGCGTCCCTGGATGATGCATTCCACCACGTCAACTTTCCCCTTGGATTCGACGCTGAACCTTTTCCAGATATGCTGAGCGACGGGTATAGCCAGGGGGTGAACAAATATGATGGCCCATCGGCGCTACTAGAGGTAGCGCAAATGATAAACAAGGGCCAGACGCCACAGGAGACAATGTCTTCAGTGACACCAGACCTACTAGAGATGGACTGGATGTCTGGATCTTCCTTTTTTGGGTCAAATCCACCACCACGTCTACCGCGTCTCTCCGAGATCTCCCGTCGAGGAATAATCTCTGTTGTTGCGCAAGCATCACCCATGGGAATCGATGGTCAACCAATGACTTTGGACTCGCCACTTCTTACTTTGGGTGCCCTACAAGGCTATTGCGATCTTTTCTTTACTCGTTTCAATGTCACATATCCACTTATTCATGAGGCGACCTTCAATCCAGACCTCATTGACCCAGTCTTCCTTGCGGCTGTTCTGTTCATGGGCGCTACTTATAGCACTCGCGAAGCCCACCAGCTGGCTGTCGGAATACATGACAAGCTTCGAAACCAACTCTTGTGTCATCAAGATTTCTCCCCGCAGCCCGATCTTTGGGTTCTACAGACGATGCTCTTGATTGACTGCTTTGGTAAAATGAGAGCCGGTCCCAAACAGCGGGAACGGGCCCAGCTATTTCACTGTGTTCTCATCAAGCTTATACGCCGTAGCAATTCCTGCAGTATCCAAGACTCATCGCATCTGGCTCGATCGGAGGATTTGGAGCAGGCATGGCGGCAAGCCATGGATGAGGAGCAGCGGAAGCGTCTAGCTATGCATTGTTTCATGTGGGACACTCAGCACGCCGTTTTGTTTTCTCAATCACTCTGCATGTCTGCGTTCGAACTCAGGTCATGTCTACCTTGTAGTGCTATAGCATGGGAAGCCGCAACTGCTCGGGAATGGGCACGTACGGCTATTCGCGAGACAAACAGGTCCTTCCTGGCGGTTCTCAAGAGTTACATCACCCCTGGCGCTGTCTCTCGACCTCGAGATCTCAATGTGTTTGCCCGCACAATCATTCTTCATGGTCTAATGTCTGTCTCTGCCGATTTGAAGCGTCGTGATCAAACCACTCTGCGGTCAGAGACACCTGAAAAAGTTGGAGCTTGGACCCCTCGGATGAGTCGATCGTACGATTTGTGGAAAGTTGATTTTGACGCGGATTGTCTCGCTATGAAGCTGGCTCAAACGGCAGATCACAGACACTTTACGGGGCTCAAAATGGCTGCGCACGCTCTTTATCACGCGGCTTGTCTGGCATTGAATGTGGAAGTTCTGGACCTACAAATTGTCGCCGGAGCCCATCAGATTCTGAGTCGAACGGTCACTCCCGCAGACCAATCTAGGTCGCAACGAAATATCCTCCGCTGGCTTCATGAAGACTCGGCTTCGTCTTCAGTCGCCGCTAGACATGCATCTCATCTATTGCAGGATGCAGTTTTGAGTCTCCATGACTGGGACCAAACAGATGCTTTTCACTTCCCATGGTGTTTGTACCTGGCAACATTGACGTGCTGGGTATTCCATCGTGGCATCGAACTTTCCTCATCGGAGGGTAGAATCGCTGCAGATCTTTCATCACTCATAGTAATGGTTACAAACTGTCCCAGTACTACAGAGCTTGCTGCATTGTCTGGGAAATATGACCCCAAGCCTCTGGCAGCAGCAATGGCTGCTCAGTTAGCGACCGTTCGCTGGGCTGTCGTGCATGACGCAATGAAGGTACTCGTCGCCTTGTCCTAGGCCCCTTGTTAGTCGCACGACAAATCGGGTCTGTCTGTGTTAGCCTTCCCTGCGTTGATAAAAGAAATGGCCTAAATAAACACACGCTTGGACTTTCTTTTTCTTTTTTTAAAACATAATTGAGAAAATTTTTCAAAACTTTAGTTGTACTACAGAGTACAGAGTATAGCATGAGCCATCCTCATTATGCAAACTGACACCCTTGTGGTTTGAGTAACAACATCATGCAACATTACGTGTTAATAGTGAAATGGATTCAGATTTGGTTTTCATCCCATCTTTATTTACTGTAAAAAGGGTAATCCGTGTAGCCCTTCTGAGGGGGTTCGGCTCCATAAAAGGTCGAACGGTCGTATGGGTTCAGCGGCAGTCCTTCCTTCAATCGTTGGGGCAAGTCCGGGTTAGCAAGGAACCACCGGCCAAAGACAACAGCATCTGCCCCATCTTCAATAAGCTTTGGGCCTGCATTATCAGCATTAAAGTTCCCAGCCGCCAGGAGTTTGATGCCACCCTTCTTGAGAGTCGGTCGGAATATGTCCAACGAGGGCTTCTCTGCAGCCAGCGAATCGATTTTTGCTCTCTCATCCAAATTCTCGTCGAAGCGGGGTTCTACCATATGCACATAGCCTGGGCGGAATTCCGCAGGCAGGTTGGCAATCTGCGAGCATAGAGAGAGCCAGTGGACATTTGGATTAGAATCGCGAGTGTCCTGGAAATAATTGTATGGTGACAGGCGAATCCCTACGTGGTCTGCGCCAATGACTTCAGAGACTGCCTGGAGCACCTCGAGCACAATTCGAGAACGGTTCTCGATGGAACCGCCGTATTCGTCTGTTCGGGTGTTGACATTGTCATGAAGGAATTGGTCGAGCAGATATCCGTTCGCGCCTAATAAGCAGTTTTCGTTAGCTACGTTAATTTAAGCCCTTTTTTGGAAACAGACGTCGCACCATGAACCTCAACTCCATCGAATCCGGCCTCAATTGCCCTCTTCGAAGCAGCTGCGTATTCTTTCACGGTATCATGAATTTCCTCCACGGTCATAGGCCGTGGAGGAGCAGCAGCATACTCAGAACCATCAAGTGCCTTCCCAATGATTGGAATATCGCTGGCGCCCAAGACTTGATTCCCGTCTAGAAAAGACGGAACAGTTGCTCTACCAACATGCCAGAGTTGGAGGTATATATATCCTCCCTTAGCGTGTACCGCATCGGTGACTTTTTTCCAACCAGCGATTTGAGAGGCAGTGAAGATGCCAGGGACACCGGGATACCCAGCGGCCTGTTTTATTAGCAAGACCGTTCGAAGAAACGAAGAACTAGATACGCACCAATCGACTAATCGGAGTTGCCTCTGTAAGCATCAGACCCCCAGGCGAAGCGCGCTGAGAATAGTATTCGACATTGAGATCATTGGGTACATAAACTCCATCTGACTCCTTTGTTGATCGCATACGAGTAAGAGGGGCCAGAACAACGCGGTGGTTTAAAGATAAAGCACCCACGCGCAAAGGCTGGAAAAGTGGTCCAACAACGTCGACTGATCCCATTATTGTGATGGAAGTGCTGGTTTGCAATACTTTTTCCTGTACCGGATAATCAAGCTATGGTTATATAACAAAACAACATCAGAAACATCCCATTGTTGATTTCCATAAAAGGTGGGACAATAGTGGGATAAAAAATTGTTCCTTTGCTTTATCAAGCCAGTGATCTGAAAGTTGGAGGTCACCCCCACCATAAATGCCCACCCCTGGGAGCTCATTCCCCCTCCCCCACTCTCGCCTGCATCAGGTGGAGTCTGAGCATGAGGAGACGGTCGACACAACAATCGAGGAGAATTTTTTTAAGAATAGGTATACAAAGTTGATTGGGCTATGAAAAGTACAAGTCGTGTAGCCATTCAACGATGATTTTGGTAGTTACTTGGTTTCTACGAGATCAAAGGAAAACACATCTTTAGCGCAACAAACGATATATTGTCACTAGAATGGCAAATATAGGTTACATAAAAGGTGCAAAATACTCTTCTATCCACATCTCGACCGCTTTTGAAGCACTCAAGTCCCAAATATCAATGCTCCCGATATATCCGTCCGGACGAATAATTGCGACCCCGACATCGTCTTCTCCCAGAATTCCAAACCACTTCTCAGTACACCGAGGGGTGTCAGTATTATCCAGGTATAGGGTCCAACGACTGTCTTGGAGAAGCTTTGGCAAATCTGCAATTTCAAAAGTACTCTTTGGAGATTGCGTAATCATGGCAACCGTGAAAACAGTGGACGTCGATGTATATCTTTGGGGCTGTACAAACTCATCGGACAAAGTCTCCCCTAATGAATTCTTGGTATAAGATTGCAGGGCCCTCGATGATGCTTGTCCCAAAGTACTGGCAGGGCTAGTGAGAGTATCGCAAATGCTTGCCAAGAACTCCTTTGCTCTCGGAACGCTCGGAAGGAAGAAAAACAGTCGGAATTGGCTCAACATCGGTATGTCGAGTTGAATATCCACAGGGTTAGCGTCGATAAACCGAGTCACCTTCCCTGGAAGCTGTAATGCACCAGGCTGCAGCTTGGTTGTGATATTTTGGTTGTGTCGGGTTAGAATACCTGCGGAGTATTCTGCTCCTATACCTGAGATGAAGCGGATGTTTTCATCGAAGTTCCTTGCAAGCGCAGCCTCGCCTTGTGAGAATGCTTTGCAATGTTCAGCATCGAATCTGATGAGGTCATAAGCTATCTTCTGACGCTCCTCTTCGTAGGTGAATAAAAGTGCTCGCTTTGCCAGTCCCCGAATCACAAGGTTTAGCTTCCATGCCAGATTGAAGCTATCATGCATACTTGTATTGGCTCCTTGGGCAGCCAGAGCTGAATGGCAGTGGCCAGCCTAGATATAATCAGTATTCAATCTCTCGTACAAGCGAGACACAAGGCCATACATCACCGGCGATCAAGATTCGAGCCTCTGAATCCATGAATTGTTTGGCGACGCGTTGGCCAACGACATAGTTGCCGAACCATTCAACTGTCTTCCACTCCAATTTGAATGGGTGCATTGCCTCACGAGCTCGCTGCATGACATATTCCGGCGTAGCTTTCGTTTTATCCACTCTTTCGCCATCCGTGAAACTCAGTTGAACATAGAGTCGAGTCATGTTTCTCTCTCTAGGAATCCAAAGAATGGAGCCAGCAACATGAGAACGAACTGCAACCTTGCTCCACAGGTCGGGAAAATCGGTGTCAATGACGCCTGTCTCCTGGTTAATATTTTTATTCCCAAATGATGTCGCTCGAACTCACCATCCAGCACACCCCATGACGCGTTCGTCATTTCACCCTCTAGATCAGCATCAGGGATAAATGTTCGAACTTTGGAGCGGGCACCATCACATCCAACCAGATAGTCTGCGCGGATCTTTTGGATGGTATTCGTTGATATATCCTGATATGTTATATCCAGCTGTCCAGTACCAGGCACGCGAGCGCAACTGGTAAATCTGCTGTTCCGCGTCACGAAGAGACCCCTGGATTCCATGTCATCAATCAGAACCTCCTCAACCATGCCCTGATGTGCAAGAAGGATATAAGGGTCAGAGGCGCCGACAAGGTGGTCGGGGTAGTGTGTTTGGCGACCGGTCCGTTGGAGTGGTTCGTCTGCTGTTGATTGCTAATTTCTGTCAATATGATGCAATATCGCACGAGTCGAATAGACTCACCCAGAATGAGATGTCGTACACACGAGCTGCATTTTTCAACAAGGGCTCGGCGAGTCGCATTTGTTTGAAAGTCTCAATGGTTTTCGGTTGCATACCGTCCGCTTTTCCAGTGGAGGTCTTGTTTGGGCGATCATCCAGAATTTTAACACCGATACCGAAGCGGGCAAGGTTGCATCTTGGATGTGGTGAGTCGAACGTTCATAGTCAATTCCATGTCCACTTACGCTAGCATCAATCCTGATGGGCCTGCCCCAACCACAACAACCGTGGTCGTTGAATCGACAGGGCCACCAACATGTCCTTCATAGATCGCACCAGGAGCCATTTTTGCCAATTTGGATGTATTCTGAAGATAGAACAAATTCATGCAAGATTTTCCATTCCTATGATTCACATGCACACCTATATCATAAAAATGGATGCATGCTGCAGCATGCGGGGAACCAACCCAACCCCCACTCTTGCGATATCTTCTACCATCGGGTGACTCCCCCATCTACAACGATATCCTGCCCTGTCATGTACGCACTGGCATCACTTGCGAGGAAGACACATGCCCCCATGATATCCTCGGGCTCGGCGATACGCCCGTTCATTGCATCTGCTTCCCAGCTAGGAATCAGGTGGGAGAACTGACAATTAGCTAGCAGCCCTGGAACAGAGTTGATTTCTTGTGGAACTTACAGCAGCGGTCATTTCCGTTCGCACATACCCAGGGGAGACGGAATTGACTCGGATACCCTATGTTCGGTTCGTTAGAAGCAGTTTATTCCTCTCATCACCACAATGCTCACATATTCAGCTAATTCTTTCGCAATGGCAGGGCACATAGAGCGGACAGCACCTTTGGTTCCACAATAGGCACTGCATAGTTGGCTGCGCACTGCAATATGACTGGCCATACTGGCTACTAGCACGATGCTTCCATGCTTAGTACCATTGGCTATCATTTGTTTTGCCGCAAGCTGGGCAGTGAAGTATAGCCCGAGTACATTAATGGATACCAAATCGTGATGCTCCTTGTAGGTGAATTCTAAGAAAGGGAGGTGACGATTAATCCCCGCGCAAGGGACACAGATATCAATGGCGTTGTCAAAGTCTTTTTGGAATTCCGCGAAGCCATGTTCAAGAGATTCCTGTGAGGAAACATCGACTCTTCAAAGGCGTCAGCAATTGGCCCTCGTACTGGAAACAAACACTGACTTGTAAAAGGCTGTGCGAATACCAAAATCTTTCGCAATATTCTCGAATGTAGCGTCCGGATCTATGACGTCGAAAATAGCTACGTTCGCCCCTGCCTCTGCTAAACCACGAGCAAAGGCCAACCCACAGCCTCGGGCGCCTCCGGTCACTAGCGCAGTTCGGCCTTGGAGAGAGAACTAACAAGTCAGCGTGGTCACTCGAATTACTTGAAGGGAGCAGCTTACTTTGGACATGATGCACAATGTACGAATTAGCCAAGAGAGAAATTTGTTTATCGCTTTGCAATACACAAGTGGATGGCTTTTTGTCCCTAAAATATAGTAATTTTTTGAGATATTGGACTAACCCCCATCTTTGGGGTCCCGTAGAAATCATAGCTATCATAAATACCCCAATGCCGTGGCAGCGATTGTGAATGGCGTCTCCAATACGCACCCCGCATTACACTTACCTGGTACACGATCATCCACAGATCACGATGGCCCCTCGAATTCATGTCAAGCAGCAGCAAATTCGCTTCGAGTCATGCAAGCTCCAGATACTCATCGTTGGTGCGGGTCTTGCTGGCCTTGGATCAGCTATTAGCTGCGCTCTTGCTGGACACGCAGTTCACGTTCTCGAAAGCGCCCAGGAGATCAAAGAGGTCGGAGCTGGGATTCAGGTCTTGCCAAACAGCTCTCGCGTGCTGCAGCATTGGGGTCTGGAAAAGGCCTTGACCCCCCATATGACTATCCCTAGCGTATGCAACTTTCTCGGTTGGAAAGGCAACAAAATCTCGTTCCTAGACTTTCACCAATCCGAAAGCAATTATCCGGGCACTTGGTATCGAGATTTCCATCGGGCGGACCTTCAACGTTGTCTAGTCGAGAGAGCTTTAGAGCTTGGTGTGCAAGTGACGTGCGGCGCGCGTATCGAACAGGTTCTTGTGAGCGCCGACGGGGCAACATCAACCGCAATTGCAGCAGATGGACGTGAATGGGAAGGCGATCTCCTCATCGGCGCAGATGGAATATTCGGAAAGTTGACGGAACAGCTTCGCGGTGAAAGCGATCCTCCTGTGAAAACAGGGGACCTTGCGTATCGCCTTTTGCTGTCTACCAATGAGATGCGTAAAGACCCCGAGTTGGCATGCTTCGTAAATGAGCCACAAGTGAATTACTGGTTGGGGCCAGACGCACATGCCGGTATGTCTTATTCTAAGCCGTCCTCTGTGCCGTCTAACGAAACTAGTTAACTATGTCCTCCGCGGAGGTGAACTGTTCAACATGGTTCTACTCGTGCCAGATGATATTCCCGAGGAGTCTCTCGCATCCACTGTCGAGGGTAACGTAGATGAAATGTGTGCCTTGTTCCAGGGTTGGGACCCACGGTATGTGCTATGCCTAAGAATTTATCAAGTGAAAGGTGCTGATGACAGCAGAATTCAGAAGTTGCTCAAGCTTTGCCAATCTGTTCAAAAATGGAGACTTTCTATTAGGTTCGGCGATTTCGACTGGGCGCACCCCTCGGGTTCATGGATAATGCTGGGTGATGCTGTACATGCAACGCTACCATACCTAGCTTCGGGAGCTGGAATGGCTTTTGAGGATGGGGCAGTGCTTGGTGAATGCCTCTCTCGCCTCCCCGACTCCCCGACGATCACAAAAGCTTCGAGCGAATTCTTGGACGCGAAGAAGCACGCCTTGGCCGTTTTCCAGCAGTGCCGCAAGGAGAGGACAAAGATGGTAGTTGAGCGAGGGAACATCCAGCAATATCTTTATCACCTGCACGACGGACCAGAGCAGCAGGAGAGAGACCGTAAAATGCAGATGGTGCCTACGCCTGAAGGTGAAGCTTTAGCCTGGAGAGATCCAGGCTTGGCGCCCAAACTGTTAGGCTATGACCACATTTCAGATGTCGATCGCTACTGGGGGATCATGCATGGTGAAGGCACAGTGATAGAATCTCGGCTGTAACTAGCTACTCGAAATTGAAAGTGTTGTAGAGAGTATCTAGTCCCGAATTTCCGAAAAGCCGAGCTATACTATCCAGCTTATCGGGTTAACCCCCACTTACCCCATCTTTGCTCATTCAACACGATAGGAATAGCTAGCAACTAAAACATTTCCCCGCTTCCTTATCCTCTTGTTTATGTCGAAGAGAATGAATCCCCGCTCGAGTTCGGCTCTATATGAATGCCCCAATGGATTCTGCCATCGCAGCCTTCTAGTGACCAGCCCTCCTATTCTAATATCCGTGCAAACCTTCTTGCGAAATGTGGCGACTACTGGGCTACTCTTCTAAATTCCCCCAGCATGAACCGCCTCGCGGTATTCCTGCATCATGGTATCGTTCGGAGGCGATGTATCAGTTAGAACGCCGAGCGATCTTTTCCAAACGGTGGCTTCTCCTCAGCCACTCGAGCCGCTTAAAAAAACAAGGCGACTACCTCTCGTTCACGATTGCAAATTTTTCGTTCTTCCTCATTCGAGACCGCGATGGTGATATAAATGGCTTTCACAATATCTGTCGACACCGTGCATTCCCCGTCGTTTCGCAGCAGTCCGGCACCACTTCGATTCTTAGCTGCAAATATCACGGGTGGTCATACGGGTTGAAGGGAAATCTATCGAAAGCACCCCGCTTTGAAACAGTTCCAGAGTTTGACAAAAGTCACCATGGGCTTCTTCCAATTCATGTTCATGTCGACAAGGCTGGTTTTGTTTGGGCCAATCTGCAGGCGGGTGATCCTGATGTGAAGTGGGACGATGAGTACCAAAGAATTGATGAGCAGCCGCGGATGCAAGACTTTGATTTCTCGGGGGATTATAAATTTGACCATTACTGGGAAATGAATATTGATGCGAATTGGAAGGGGGTGATTGAGAACTACAACGAGTGTTATCATTGTGCGACTTCGCACCCACTCATCAGTGGTGTATCAGATCTTCCTCGATATCGAGTGGAACCTAATGCATCCTATATGGAGCATCACATTTTCAACAAAGAACAGGCCGGCTCTCAGTTCAAACGGGCGATCACATATTTCTTCCCCACAACATCAATCACCGTCACGTAAGTATTCTTCGTCGCCTGGAGAAGATCTTCTGGCTAACTCTCCAGTGACAAATTCTTCTACATTCAGCGAATGATTCCCGTCACTGCCACCACGAGCAAAGTTGAAAACGAAGTCTATCGTCATAAGGATGCTACTGATGCTGAGTTTGAAGCCATCAATGCATTCTACCGACAAGTACTGGATGAGGACAAAGAGTTATGCGTTGGAGCGCAGCGCAACCTAGACGGCGGAGTCTTTGTTAATGGAGAGCTTCATCCAAAAAAGGAGAAGGTATGTATCGCATCTTATTGTGAGGGATCCAATGTTGAAGTAAGGAAAATTATAGGGCCCAATCTACTTCCAAAACAGTGTGAAGGAGATTCTTTTCCAGCACCGAAAGAAGGAAGAACAACAAGGAGGACGGGAAATATGGCCAGCTCTTCCTAAAATGCCGCAAAATATGACAACGAAATTGGTTGGAGAAGAACAATTCTGCTCACAATTGGAAGCTGCCAGTTGTATGAGTAGGCCGGAGCTTTCATGGTAAATAATACTGGCTGGCTAAATGTATCTATAACTCCCTTCCTCTTATAGACAGACATGGGTCCGAACAAGGTATATAGCGCGGTATACTTAGCTGAGAGAGATTCAAGCTGTTTCACCGAAATCGAGTGTGTGAGCCAATGTTGATCGAGGAAAGACCAAAGTGCGGAATCTCTCACTTCCATCTCCTTGGGTCCCGTGCCCCATCACTGGACCACCAAGCCAGCCTTAGGCAATTCCTTACCTCATGAGAATCAATTGGTTATGATTTGCCATTTTATACAATGTTATATTGCATAAAAGATAGTCATTATAACCTTAGAAAGATTTCTCCCCCGAGGACAAACAGGTTGTACTTTGGTGGTGGGTAGCTCAGTAATTTGATATTGGCCGTTAAGGATTCTTCTGCCCTTCGGAGCATCAATTTCATTGCATGGAGTGGAAGTACAAATATCGAATCTTTTGAGGGAGATGATTCCAAATGGCTCTCGAAAATACTTCGAGAATGATTCTCAAAAGGGTTTTTGTTTTGGAGTGCCTCGCTGCCTTGGGCTACCCTCCCGATTAGGAAGGCACCCTATGACTTCCACCCTCACCCTCACACTTCCTCCTCGCTTTTTCTTCTTCAACTCTCATCACGTCTTGCTTTCGACCTCGAAAAGCTTTCGTTTAACGTGTCCTCGTCTTCTTTTTAAAAAGAAGATTCCGCCCTTTCTTGGTGCCGCCGACATTCGGTGCCTGCGGATATTGATATGGTCGCTTGTTGGTGTTGTTTTTTTCTCTCTCTTTTAACTAGGTAGTCTTCACTAATAGCTACTACCTTGGAAGGCCAATAAAGTCTCCTTCCCCCGAGAGACTGCATAATTGCCCACTATACTGTAAATCAAGGCTTCATTTTCTAAGGCAGAAAGTCCGGCAGAATTCACATAACCTACAGAAAATAAATAAAAAAAAAAAAAAAAGACAAGAGAAAAGACAAGAGAAAAGACAAGGAAGGGGATAGTCAAATCGGTACTACAGTAATAGCGTCGCCCTGGCCTAAAGAAGAAGGCATTAGGGCAAAGTCGATAAACTATCTAATTAACTATAGGTTTTGAGTAACTGGCGTTTATCGTCCGCCCCAGCCTTTATAGGTGAAGATTAACAGCCCGCCGGAGCACATCAAGCAGAGGTTACATTGCCTTGAAACGAAATTCTGAGATATTGCCTTATTTGTCAAGGAAAATTGTAGAATAATGCCAAGGTGAATTCCCGGGGTGTTGTGATGTCGGGTCTGGAGCTTACCGGCATTTCCACATACCTCAACGGTCCCGGCTTCTACCGAGTACTTGGTAGCTCATGACGACTTACATAGTTTCATATCCATATCACTGATCTCGCTCAATTCAGAATAATTCGATGGAGAATCTTAACTTTTTATTGATAGACTTCTATACTTCAACAGTCGGACTGTGCAAGGCTATGCATTATTTTCGGTAGTCAGCTCGTCCTCCATCATCTCCAACTCATCCTCGAGCATTGTGACCGCAAACTCGCCTATCACCTCGTGGATGGGACCGTGTAGAAGTCGCTGTCTAGACGTCTCGGGTTGAATTTCCTGGAGAGCTTCAAGGTAATCGGTCAGCGGACCGTAGTCCACCACGTCCCCCCAGTTCCCTCGATCAACTCCATATTCATGCAGGAACATCTGCAAAGATTCCAGCCCATCCTGCAGGAGCCATTGCTCGAGCACTTGTTGGTCACCAGCCAAAGCGCGTACTCGCCCACCGGCTGGGGCATTCTCGGCCTCATCTTGCGGAGCATCATCGGTATCCTCTCCATCGTCACCCCCTGGAAGCCCCGGGAACCGAATACCAGCACCGTTTTGCATTTGATCCAAAAGGTCACGAAGCCATTGTGGCCGCCCAGCTTCTGGAACTCGTGCGAGATAAGACGGTGTTGGATCGGCCTGTTGGCGGAAAGCTTCGGACTCGTACGGTGGGAGAGGATCCGATGCGGACATTCGACCGGAAACAAAGCGAGTTGGGAGATGGGTTGTGACTTTGGGGATGTCGGAGAGAACCACATGGCGGGCGATATCCAACGTAATCTCTGGTGGCTCAATAGCCTGCTGATCGTCGGAAAGAGTATCGGCAACTTCCACGATGAGAGAAACAGCCTCCGGTGTATTCCAGAGGTCTTTCGCTCGCGAGATATATAGTTCGGTAAGAAGTTCGTGAGGTCCAGTCGGAGGCATCTTGCCCCAAATCTGTTTAGGGATGTGTTGAAGGTCCAGCTCTTGAGCGAGTCGGTTGAACACCCACGGGTAACGGGACATGGCATAATGAAGCTGCCGGCGGCAGTCTTGGGGCTTGTTTAACCGCAGATACGCCATGACCAGCGAGCATTGAATGTTTGGAAGGTCAGCCCAATCGCGACTGAATCGTGTTTGGGTACACAGATCCACGAACTGAGCATACTCTCGGCCACGTAGAGCAAGATGGTCGATCAGAAGCTTCATGCAATAAGGGTCGGAGTCATTCAAACTCAGTAATAGCTTGGCCCATTCGTACGCAGTTTTCCATGTGCCCTTCATACCCAAGTTTGCAATATACCTCCAACCAACAAGCCACAACTCACGATTCTCCATATGCAGGAAGTCCAGTCTGGCTTGGCCTTCTCTGGCACGTGTGTTGAACGATGAGTGAGCCGAGCGCCCAATATTGAAGAGTGCTCTCTCCAAAAGATCGGCAGAGACGGCATGATCGCTTTGGTGCTTGGCGATCTCAGATACTTGAAGTAGAGTCGAGATATGATAAGGGTTGTATTGTAGGTGGTGGATCAGGCGTTGTGGATCCATCGACTCGACACACAGCTCGAACTGTCTCTGTACGTCCTGATAGCCTGCATTGTGAACGATCCGGTACTGTGTGACGCCCGAAGCGAGCTTCTCCTCGAGCTCCATGCCAAGTCCTCCGCTTGGCGCTCGAGGCCACTCGTCCTTGCCTTGCATCAAGATATTCCGCCGTAGTGTCACACCCGCTAAGCTCTGGCCTCTACTGGCCGGACTGTACCGTCCGGTTAAGGCTCGACCGAGGTCTACCGTTTCGCGATTGCGATCCCGTCGACGACCAGAACCTGCATCGGCCGGTTGGTCGAAGTTTTCCAAGACCACATTTCCAAATAGCCGCTTCATCTCATTTGTCGCATTCAAAAACTTCGGATCGACCGCGAGCAGTTCGTCGGTCGTTTTTGCGAACGAGGCATTTTCATTATCCTTTGTCAGGGCTCCTGCACCCGCGCCAGCTGGTAGTTGACCGTCCGTGGCGAGATCCTTCAACGCTCGATCGATTTCGTCCAGCTCATCGTCGGATTTATTGCCTTCTGGTTCAGTAACTACCGCCGCCTTGGCCTTCTTCTTCTTCTTTTTCTTCTTCTTGCTGGCACTCTTGGGCTCAGCAGGCGCAGGCTCAGGTTCGGGTTGCTGAATCACAGGTTCTTGAACATCCTCCTCCGATTCTAGGTCGTTATCATCGTCGTCGTCGTCGTCGCCGCCGGCGTTCAGAAGATCGAAGGCGTTAAACTTTGGCTTCGTGGGGCGCGGGGGTTCATCATCGCTAGATGCGTCTTCGTTTTCTTGTTGCTGCAGCAGCTCCTGCTCGCGCAGCTTCTGCAACTTCCGAATCGCACGTGAAGACATCCTCAGATCTCGCGCCAGGCGCCACGAACAATTGAAAGGAACACCTGTGAGTCCCAGATGAGAACAACGACAAGCAAAGATCCCGCGGGGAATGACGAAAGGGGACCCGATGAGGACTAGCGTGGTTCTTGTTGCATACCCACGTGACCCCTTATCTGACGGTCACGATGCGCGTGCATTCCCCAGTTTCCTCGTGTCTTTCATTCGATCCCTCGGAGTGGTCTTGAAAGGGAGCTCCGAATATCGTCCTGTATTGCGAGGACATAATTTATCAGCTCGAACCCCCGCCGAATCAATGCGTCGGGCGGCTTTACAGGCGTTCCGTACTGCTCGGCGTGCTCCAGTATGGAAAGTCACCGGTAAACGGCCGTGCTCGCTCACCTACACCCACAACTCGGTCCGAGGCCTACGGTCATATTCGGGAGGCCGACGCCCATCATTAGCCCCAGTGGCTCTTCAGTCCTCCATGCATCTCCGCAGGTTCTCCCTTGCCGTCATCTCAACCGTCGTTGCGTCTGGAGCGTGGTATGCGTATCGAGGAGACGGCACCGCGCAGTCACTAGCAACCCAGGTTCGAGGTTTTGCCTCGAGCGCCATCACATCTGCTCACGCTGAGGACCCATCCGAGTCGACTCGTCGCGCTCTCTTAGTGAGTAACGACCAATTCTACACTGCTACGCTTTCCGGAGATCAACCCTTATCGAAGAACACCGACGACTCGGATCGACGTGTCCTAGAAATGTTGACACCGGAGCAAGCTACGGAGAAGCTACGCAAGAATGAGGAGTCATATTTAGTGAACAGAGGCAAAGGTGTTGTGCGATACGATATCGTACAAGTGCCTAGCAACTCTCCCATCGAGGATGACCATGCCGAGAAGATCGTCGAGGTGTCCTCATCGACGGCGGCTAGCACAAACGGGGAGCCAAATAGCGACTGGATGTTCTGGGCGGTCTTTGATGGCCATTCGTGAGGACTCTCCCGAGGCTGGAAATTGGGATGATTTTGTACTAACTTCAAGACAGGGGCTGGACTACGTCCGCAAAGTTGCGAAATGTGCTGATTTCCTACGTTGCACGAGAACTTAACGCTACTTATAAGGCTGCTGCGGCTGACCCCACAGTTCTTGTGCCATCTTCCGAGGCAATTGATCAGGCGATCAAGCAAGGCTTTGTTCGTCTTGATAATGACATTGTGCATGAGAGTGTGGATAAGGTCCTGAAATCCAAGTCCCGTCGTATGGCTGCCGAGCTTCTCGCACCGGCCTTGTCGGGATCTTGTGCTCTCCTGAGCTTCTACGATTCTCAGTCAAAGGATCTCAAGGTCGCTGTTGCTGGTGACTCTCGCGCCGTCCTTGGTCGCCGAGGCGCTAATGGAAAATGGACCGCCACCGCTCTGTCTGAGGATCTTACCGGCGGTACCCCATCTGAAGTCAAGCGCCTCCAGGAGGAGCACCCTGGCGAGCCTTATGTTACCCGGAATGGCCGTATTCTAGGTGGCCTGGAGCCTAGTCGTGCTTTCGGCGACGCCTTCTACAAGTGGAGCAAGGAAGTCCAAGACCAGATCAAACGGCAATTTTTCGGCCGCACACCTCACCCCCTTCTGAAGACTCCCCCCTATGTCACTGCTGAGCCCATCATCACTACCACCAAGATTGACCCCTCTCAAGGCGACTTTATTGTGATGGCCACTGATGGTCTCTGGGAAATGCTAAGCAATGAGGAAGTTGTTGGCTTGGTTGGACAGTGGTTGGAGCAACAACAGTCTGGCAACGGCGGGTCCAAGGCTTGGCTGCAAAGCTGGTTCAGCTTCGACAGCCAAAAGCAATTGCCTGTGGAGCCAGCCAAGGATCAATCCACCGAAGGCCAGCGCCGCCCCATCCGCCAGCAGCAATATGATATCTCCGGCGCGGCCAGCCGATTTGTCGTTGAGGACAAGAATGCCGCGACTCACCTCGTCCGCAACGCCATGGGTGGAAAGGACAAGGACATGGTTTGTGCCTTGTTGACCTTGCCAGCCCCGTACTCCCGCCGATACCGGTATGTGACTTTCACCCTCTTCTACCCTGTATGATCTGCTGACCACTTGTCCCCTTCCAGCGACGATGTCACCGTTGAGGTCATCTTCTTCGGTCAAGGCTCCGACTCCCGTACTGGTACAGTGGAGATTAACAAGGAGGCCAGCGCTTCAGAAGAGCCACCCAAGGCGAAGCTATAAGCCATTTAGGTCTGAATCTATCACCCTGCTTTCCAGAGTAGGATCATGGGTCATGGAGGCTGAATTTACCATTCTTTTCTTAAATAATCTCGTTCAAATACTCGTGCAACGCCTCACAGGTTTTGATGCCCAGGACCGAAGGTCTAGCCTTGATATTTGCTGATTTACTGCAATTTTCGTATCTTTTCAGGGATTGGGTGGTTTCGTGCCTGTTATCGGGTTACTATTGACATCTGTACAAATCTCTGCTATCTAGTATACTCGAATTTACGATTGACCCGCAAATTCCGGGTGACTATACAGAGACTAGAAATTCAAGGCAATGGTGTCGAATAAGAGTTTAGATTCTCCAAAGTATAGGAGGTCGAAATAGACCACTGTTAGAGCCATGCGCGAGCGGTCACTTTAGTGGTAGGGTATTGGACGTGATTTTAACTACTATTTTTTGTGTTGAAACATATGGAAGTAAGTGGCTTGAGAAGGTAGTTTCTTCCTTGGTCCCTGATTTTCCTTCATGTACACGTTTGATGATAGGGAATCTATAGTACAAAAGCCCACTCCGGCCCCTCACGATTCGTTGCGTGGCTATTCCATGCGTCCGTAGACTGACGAAATTCTGCAAGGAGCTAAATGCCTCCCAATATGCACGAGAAGGTCTCGTTGTATCCGGGTTGGCTCCCTGGATGTCCATTTCGTGGCTTGGACGTCGGCACTGGTGAAGATCTTGAATCTGTTGTAGCAGACACTCAAACCTCCAAATGGGTCAATGCGTGTCCCAGGCCTGGCCACCGTATGAGGGGTATCGTTCTGCCAACCGATTGATGTTTGATGATATTTTGCAGATTCACTCAGCGAAGTTTCATGCGGAACGGATCTGGAGTGTCGGGATTACTGTAATCGACATAGCGTCTCGTGGACGCCGGCATTGGTGGCTTCACAAACATCTTCTTTCCCAAGATGTAGGTCTGAAGCGAGGCAATATTAGAGCTACTGATCCAGTAGATCAACAGCGCGGCTGGCATCTCATAGAACCACCCGGACAGGCCCACGTTCAGCGCCAAGAGCTGAATGAAGACGCGCAGACCGTTAAAGGAAAGCGATCGGTACATCTCTAGCCTAGGCATATCGGCCAGATCAGCGCGTGGTGTAGCCTTCCAACCCGCTTGAACATTGAGAAGAATGGAAGCTGCGAGGACTGCTGGCAAGATACCAGTCGAGTCACCCGCAAGTAGATCGGGGAACCATAGCGCGCCCTCGTTGGCAAAGGTAGGCTCCACCGTTAGATGAAGGGAGTTGACGGCAGCATCGGTAGCTTCTTGGCCCCCTTCAATTAAAGAGAGTAGCCAGGGTACCAAGCCATTCTTGTTACCGGACATGCCACGGATGCTCTCCATGAGCAAGATCCAGACTGGTAATTGTAGGACGGGCGCGTAGCGGGACATGACCGAGATATGCCAGCGGTTGTATAGAATCTTGATCTTCTGGTCATATTCTCGGTTGATTTCATTGACAGCCTCCCTAGAGTCTGGTCCTCCCTTCAGGCCCTTCTTTGCCGAGTTGGCCCAGTTTGCCCAGGCCAGCTTGAGGGGCCCAATGTCTTGTTCGCGGCGTGCGTTGACTTTGCTGTAAATCTGAGCCGGCAATCCGACCAGTGTTCGCACTATAAGAGCCGTGAGGGGGATCGAGGCGACCCAGGGCAGGCCGGTGATATCGTGAACGCCGTGGATAAGCCCGGCGGAGGCATCGAGAGCTTCGTTGATCAACGGAGCAGGTTTGGTTGGATGGAAGTGTCGGACCTGCGAGCGTGCCGCCAACGGCAGGGCCCTGCGGGGGATGTGTAATGCCCTGTAGCGAATCGAGTTCATGACCGACGAAAAGGCACAAGTGGCAATTCCTGTTTCTCCAAGTCGCAAGGTCAAAAGATCATCTAAAAGAGAGCTCCGAGCGGAGAAACAATCAGCTCCACCCCGGTATCATGTGACGCGCGTATTGTAAGTTACGATCCACGTCAACTGATCTGAATGGCGGGCTGTTGATGGTAATTCCGAACAAGTCATCTCCCTCTTTCTTTTTCCCCATTCCCCTTCCCTCTACTTAACCCCCTGGATACCACATTTGAATCCCGGGTACTATGCGTGGACACTGGTGAAACCCAGACGCAACCATGGCCATCCTGACCACCGCCATTCTCGCGCTCTTGATCGCTGCGGCGACAGCTGTCCTGCTCCCTCAGCTTATAGGTGGCGTACTAGGGCTAGTCCTGCGCGGCGCGGGGTGGTTGATCCGCCGACGAACACGATCTCGGCGCGAATATGTGATCGCGCGGGCGCGATCAGATGAGGAGGAATTATTAAAATCGCTGCGCGCAAAGGGTGCAAGCTCGGCCGAGGATGAGGATTGGGAGAAGGTTGATAGTACTGCCGGCCCTGGTGGAGTAAAGACACCTAGCAACAGTGACAGCGGTGCTGGTGATGGGGCAAAGCGGCCAGACGACTGGGATGGAATTATCGGATTCTTCCATCCATTCTGGTAAGCCTGATTTCTCTATTTACTTTTTACTTGTGACGTGGAACTCGTCACTGACACCGCGATTTTATAGTAATGCTGGTGGCGGTGGAGAACGAGTTCTCTGGGAAGCAGTGCGCGCAACACAGAAGCGCTGGCCCAAGGCGATCTGCGCTATCTATACCGGCGACCACGAAGTCAACAAGACGACCATGTTGGAGCGAGTCGAGAATCGGTTCAACATCCACCTACATGCCCCGAGAGTGGTGCTTCTGTACCTAACCACCCGCAAATACGTCGTCGCCAGCTCTTATCCACACATGACGCTGCTGGGCCAGTCGTTGGGATCGCTGGTTGTCGCATACGATGCCTTTACACTACTGGTGCCAGATGTTTTTATCGATACCATGGGCTATGCCTTTACTTTGGCACTATGCAAGTGGCTCTTCCCTACCGTGCCGATAGGCGCGTACGTGCACTACCCGACTATTTCCACGGATATGCTTGCATCTCTAGATGACCGAAGCGGGATCCAAGGGTTGAATGCCGGCGCAGGCAAGGGGCTCAAGGGAACCGTCAAGCGACACTACTGGCAGCTGTTCGCCCAATTGTATGGCTGGGTCGGTCGCCACGTCGACGTTGTCATGTGCAATTCTTCCTGGACTGCAGCCCACATCCGCAAATTATGGGGCACTGGCAAGGATAAATCAAGCAATGATGCTGCGGACACTACTGGCAAGGGTACACCTTCCTCGCCTGCCGTGGTCTTCCCTCCCACGGCCGTATCAGAGCTAGAGTCCAGTATCACCGTGGACGCCGAGAGTGAGAGGTCCCGCCACCCCACGCTGCTCTACATCGCACAGTTCCGCCCAGAGAAGAACCACCCGCTCGTCCTCCGCTCCTTTGCGCGGTTCCTGCAAGAGCGTGCCCGCAACCCAGCGTATGCGGACAAACCCCAACCCCGACTGGTACTAATCGGATCCGTTCGCCACGCCAGCCCAGACGAAACTCACATTTACAACCTCCGCCTGCTAGCACACGAGCTACGCATCCGCGACCACACAACGTTCCTCTGCGACGCAAGCTGGCCCGCCGTCCTGTCCCACCTCGGCACAGCATCCGTCGGCGTAAACGCCATGTGGAACGAGCACTTCGGCATCTGCGTCGTCGAGTACCAAGCCGCAGGGCTAATCTGCGTGACTCACGACTCCGGCGGTCCCCGCGAGGACATCGTCGTAGATCTCGGCGACGGAGCGACTGGATTCCGCGCTGAGACAGAGGAGCAATTCGCGGCGGCCTTTGAGGCGGCGCTTGCGCTGCCGGAGTCTGAGAAGGTTGCTATGCGTTTGCGGGCGAGACGGTCGGCTCAGAGGTTTACTGAGGAAGAGTTCTCGCGGAAGTGGTTGGGGCAAGTGCAGAAGTTGGTTGAGGCTTCGCGGTAGAGTTGAGTAGATATTCTCTCGTTTTGATATAGATGAATGCTCATATCCTGCGTTGATGAAGTGGTTTTAGTAGTTCTTACTATGTGAATAGATGTAAACCGTGAATACTAGGCAGAACTTCCTGTTATAGACTACATTGAGGACATGAGGAATATACTCGAGATCACATGATGTTCTATAACCCTTATCCAAGGACCAGCTTCATTCACCTCTAGTTTACTACAATTTGATCCAGTGGCACCTCAGTCCTCAAAAAAAGCATGAATACTTGATGTATAATCGGATTTCAAAATGGTTTATAGCACTCATAGATAGAGGTATCTCCAACAAGATCTCTTGTTCAAAAAAAACCAACAAAAAGGTAAACGGGTATGAGAAGCTCGAGAAAATCATCAAATGCATCACGATGGCAAGCTCTTGCACTGCCACAAAATGGATAGCAGCGAGAAAAAAAACGAATGATGAGAAGATCAACGCTGAATCTCCATCATAAAGGAGAGGCAAGAATGCCATGACAACCAAACGAATGCCAGTGTATAGATGTTGAGCGCAGACAGTTGAAATCAAGAAGAAACCCCCATTTCTGGCCTTGGCCAAGAAAATCAACCAAATTCAATTCAAATCAAATCAAATCACTTAGTCTCCCACCGTGTATCAGAACGCCAGTAACCCTTCTCTATAAGGGATAAGCCGGGGAATAAAGAAGGACGAAGGAAAGAGAAATGCAACACGAAGACGGGAAACAAAAAAAGATCGGACCAAGGATGTTGAAAGAACCGAGACTCGCAGAATGAAAGACATTACATAGTCTTTTTCTGCAAATCATCGCTTTTCCCTTATTCCAATATCACAAGAAACGCGAGGGGTATAAACGAGTGAAGGCAGCATCGCATCCGTCATCAACTCCATTTTTGATCCACGTATCCAGGATCACCCGGATTCATCCCGAGAATCTGGCCACCATACATGGCGCCCTGGTTATTACCATATCCACCACTGATCCCAGATACGCTGCTGATACCAGATTCGTCGTCGTCGAAACCGAATTCCCCACCTGAGCTAGCGTCGAAGCTACTTCGGCCACCAATGTCGCTGGGGTCATCACCCCCGGCGGCGAGCTGGTCCCACTGCAGGGTTTGCAGCGCCGGGTATTGGGCGAGCAGAGCTGCGGGAAGAATAAAGTTACCAGACGATTGGCCGTCCATGCCAGGGACGCCGGGCATGACGAGTGGCTGGGGAACGGGTTGCAAGTGTCCGGCAGGTTGCTGCTGGTGCTGTTGCTGTTCGGCATTGATGCGGTCACGCTCCTGTGATTCTTCGTCGAGCAGTGGCTTGATGCAGACACGACCCGCTTCGGACCTAAAATGGCGGCCGAGAGCGTCTGCACGTGCAAATCGACGGCCGCAGCCCCAATGGCCGCCCCGTGATAGGTCACCGCGGCAGACGAACTTCTTTTCGCCAGAGTGGAGGCCCTCGTGGCGCTTGCGATCGTGTTGCCGGGCGAAAGCCTTGCCACAGACTGTACACACAAATGGCCGTTCGTCAGTGTGGGTGCGGAGATGCGAGCGCAAGTTGTACGCCCGAGTGAATCGCTTAGGGCACAATGTGCACTGGAAAGTGGCGGGGTGCTTCTGGACACGCTTCGAGTCACCAGGTGCTGCACCGGGGCGTCCTGGGTCAGCCAGATCTAGAATATAGTTGCGACTCTCGATCGACGATGTCGAAAGACGTCGATTAGACCTTGAAGGAGATGCGTCCCGGGAGCCAGGGTTGCTGCGCGAGTGGGGCGATAGTGATCGCGGGGAAGTAGGGGCGAGGGGTTCGAGACTGGTTGTCGAAGTCGCGGGAGATCTTTGACGAGAAGCAGGGTGTGCATAGGGATCTGACTTGCTGCGCACGCGAGATCCTAATACGAATATGAGAATTGAGGTTAAAAACTAATGGCCAGGTTGAAAACTCACTCATCGCGGGCGGACTCAACGAGTCCAAAGCAACTGCTTTGGGTGGCCCGAAGCTTGGGCTCCGAGATGGGGGCGCAAATTCCACATTAATTGAAGGAGGCGCCATCTGGGATGCCTGGCCAATGTCGCCTGCGGGATGCGATCCCAGCATATCATCACCCGGCATTCCATACATATCCGTTGGTGCTGGGGGGAACTGGTTGCTAGTCGAAGAATACTGGATACTAGGAACCATATCATTGACCTGTTGGGGCATCAATCGCGGCGAGATATACGGGCTGTGTGCAGGGCTGAAGCCCTGCTGGTGCTGCTCTGATAGCGTAAACTGCTCAATACCTAGAGCGTTATCGTATAGGGCTGGGTCACTCTGTGGAGCAAGGGACGGCGAGGTATTATTTTCGATGCCGTCATAGTCATGCTGAGATAAATAGGGCGAGTGATTGGCCGACGAGACCTCCGAGACCTCTGACGGCGCTCTGCGGTGGGTCTGGAAGGCACTATTATTCATGACTGACTGCCAATCCGGGTTCGCCTGCGCACTGAGATAGGCGGCCGTCGCTGGATCCAGCGAGGTGTGTCGCGAATGCTGCGGGGTATAGTATGTTCCGGGAGTGCCTCCAGGAGGGGACATGGGCCCCGGGGATGACTGCTGTGGGTCTTGCGACGACGGACGTGAGGACGCAGAGGGATTAGAGATAGGGCTGACGAGATCAGCTGGATTGACCGCTTGATGCATGGCCTGCTGGCGCTGATGCATTTGCGGATCCAGCAGTAGCGACGAATCATACTCGGATGCGCTACCGCTGTTAGGACTATGATTCTGGTATGTTGCGAAATCCAGCTCTCCCGAATTAGAATTCAGCAAATTGGAGAAATTATCGGTGAGTTGTCCCGTTTGCAAGCCCGACACTCCTGGATCTAGCTGTTCCACCATATTCGGGTTGAATGATTGCGACATCGAGATGTTGGTTGTATTCAGCGTTGGCGGGAAAGGCTGACTAGAAGGAGGGACCAAGTTTTGCGCAGGCGGAGGCCCAGAAAAGTGGTAAGTCGCCGAGTAACCGTAAGATTCGGTGCCGCTGATGCTGGGATCGGCATTGGAGTTGTCAAATGGCGGATTTGTCCCGTATGCGGCTGACATGGAGGGGTCCAGGGCTAGGCCCGCGGTTGGGTCGTGATATTGTCGTTGGGCGTGGGGTGATGGGCTCACGCTGCGATGTTTGATGTTTGCAGAGACGGAATGGGTATGGTCGTGGGAAGCCATCGTGGCGGGGAGAATTCGCGATGACCGGCGATGTACCTCTGGAGGGTTATAAGGTGGGACAGTCGAGAGCGCGACACAGGGCGGCCGCGAGCGCCAAACCGGAGGGAATCAAGGAGAGTGGAAAGCGGCAGATAGCTAACAGGGAAGACGGCAAAGTCGGTGGTGATAGAATGGCATTCGTAGTAGATAGACCGGGTATGCGCGCAAAAAGAACCAACTCGCCAGGGTCAGCGAGACAACAGCATCATCTAAAGTCGGGGAGGTCGAAGGTCGGGGTGGTGATGGAGGGACCCGATAAATGGCGACCGCACGTGCGCAAGGCGGTCTGCGACAATCAGACGGGTTTGTGGTATTTTTTTTCTCTTTTTTAATTTCTTTGGCCCTGGAAAAAAAGTTCAACTTTCCTTCGCGACGTGTTCGATGGCCCACCGAAATACGACCGGGACCGCCAAAAAAGGTCCAAGTCAAGAGTTTGGCCCCTGGGGATCGTGTCTCACACCTGTAGCCATGCAGAATGAACCCATAGTCACTTACTCCAGGACTTTCCGGACTAGTGTCGGTATGGACTGGTTTTCCCACCCCACATCGTGTCCACTACGATAACAGATAGGCACAAGAGCCCCTCCTTTTGTTTTTGGATTGATGATATTCTCGAGATCGATAGTCTTTCGTCCCTTATGATGATTATCGTGATGGTATCAGTCCTTCAGCATGTCAGGGCCAACCCTGTGCAGAAAAGACGACACCCTTTCCAGACGATTGGAAAGCTACCAATCGTTCCCTCGTTTTTATGGTGGAGCATCCACGTCCGGCTAACGCAGCGGGGGAGTTTAGCTTATGTTTTGCACAGCCACGCAGCTGAGTTTCATCCACGGTCCGTCCTTCCAGTTGGTCTCTGCGTTTTCCAATTCCAGGGCTCGGACCATTGGAAAGAGTGATTCGCTGGAATTAGGGCAAGGCAGATTTCCATAGACGACTCTGCCTTACGTGACGTATACTACTTGATAGCTCTTCCGGGGATCTGGTCTAGGTCCTGACGATGTTGACGCCTGATAGCTAACTAAGCCTCAAACTCCAAAAATATCCGAGCATTCAACTTATTTTAGTATTTTAATCTTAGGAATGCTGCTGCCTTTGAACTCAAATGCTCCATTCTAATTTACTTCGATATGCTTGGATTAACTCAATAGACAGGACATACTTCAATTGGTCATGTGACCAGACATTCGCAGAACTCTCAAACTACCTCATGATATCTCACATCCACCAGAAACTTCCCAACCTAAACTGTACCCAGCGTCTCCAAACTTGCCCGCTCCTCATCATTGGTATAACTGAACAACAAATTATCCGCACAACTGCTCCCCAGCCCAGCATTATCCACCCACGCCGGCTCCCAGTAATAAATACCCAAACCACCCGAAACAGCCGAAACAACAGCCGCGAGATCCTTCAAGAAGGTCTGCTGTCCAGCAACAGAGAATGGAATCGACGAGAGATCCGACGGGAACGAATAGGCCGGGTTCGGGCACGAATACGGCCAATTAGTCTCGACAACCAGCACGTCCTTGCCATACGTCGAGTGCAGGTTGGTCAGACTGGTCTTCAGGGATGCCAGGGTCGCGCTGGAGCTGTAGAAGGGATAGTACGAGACACCGATATAATCAAAGTCAGTCGAGACAAAGGTCGAGCCGCTGTTTAGAACGGTGTTGTAGAAGTATTCCTGCTCGGACCAGGACCAGCCGTTGTCGAGGTGGATCATGATCTTGGGGGTTGTCGCGAGACTGGAGTCCTTGACGCCCCAGGCGCCGGAGTGCAGGAGGCGACCGATGTTGGCATAGCTGCTTGTTTCGCCGAGGGGCCAGAGTAAACCGGCGCGGATCTCGTTGCCGATCGAGACGATGTCGACGGTGAGACCGTTGTCTGCAAAGGTGTCGCATACTTCCTTGGTGTAGTTGTATAGTTGCCAAGCAAGCGTGTCGATATCGGTCGTGGACCAGCCAGAGGGTGTAGCCTACCAGTGACATTCGTTGTTAGCTTGGATAACACTTCATGAAGCATATAGCGAATAGCACAGCATACCTGATGACTCGGATCCGCCCAAGTATCACTCAAATGCAGGTCCAAATACGTCGTCATCCCCTGTGCCTGCACCCGCTTGGCCAATTCGATATTATAGTCCAGATCGTACGACCCATCACTAGGATTGACCCACACACGCTGGCGCACAGAGTTAATCCCCGCATCCGCAAGTATCACCTCCAACGCCTGCTTCGTGCCAGCAGTATTCTTATACGAAATTCCCGCATCCTCCTCCACAAGCAGAGACGAAATATCCGCACCGTGGATACTTAGCGCTGCTGATGCTGGCGCCACCAGCTGAGAAGCAAGCAAGAGAGCCGTGGGGAGCAACATGGTGGTCGGCAACGACGCGATGGGATAATATACCGATAGCTAGTTATCGAATCGGGATTTTTGGGTTCACCACTCCTCACTAGTCACACAAAAAAAAGGGAAGAAAATAATTGGGAAATGGATGCTATATAGATACTCCTCTCTCTCCTTTTTTTCTACATGCTCGTCCCGGACCAGTCCTCGATCCGGACGACTGGACCAGACGGGGGAATTTCCTCCTGTATACACTCTGCCCGCCGCGAAATTGCGCAGTTTGGGGTAAACAGGGCTACGTGATGGGGGAATTTGTCCGAAGAAAGTGGCCTGGCTAGGTTTAGCACGCGCGGTGAAACACCCGGTGTGACGGGGAAAAGGGAGTGGGGAATCCCTGACAGTGCTGAAGACTGGATGAATGGTGGTGGAGTCGGTGACAAGTCTTAATCTGATCGGAGTAAATACTTTATTTTTGCCGGGTATGGCAACGGGCTGGAACGCTTGTTTGTGGTGTGTCGTTAGGTTGGTAGGGATAGTTGTGTGATGCAGTGTGGGGATCAATCTCGAGGTTGCTTGATGTAGCAGTCTAGGCCGAGCGCAATTTATGAATTGGGTTGTACTACGTGAAACAAAAGGATAGCCGTGCTATTACAGTCTGCAAATACTTGCTCAATCTGAGACAGATACATTTAGCCTAGCGCTGATGACGATCTCACTTCATATACTCACGCTTGACTTCGCCCATCGTTATTGGTGGAAGAAGAATCTAGATAATTGACCAGGAAAATATACAACTGACGTATTCACTCTTCACAAGCGAGCCACCCCGATATAAAGCCGCACCCCACCGGAGCAAAGCAGCTCATGTATGGTCAAAACTTCACGGAATAGACAAGCTTCACTCTAGCCTCCGCGTCCTCCGCATTACAAAAAGACAAGTTCATGCAGCCACAATATTCAAAGGAGGGGGGAAAAGACCTTTCCCCGTGATTTCATATTTCATCAGGTATCATTGCAGCGGGCGAATGTAAAGCCCTCGCCAACCAGCCCCAGCCCAACCCAGCAATCTTGTATCATGCAGACATTCACATCCTCACACAGAGATCCAATAACTGTGGAAGCCTTTTGGCAGATCACCACTCAGACAACATTACATACAGGTAAGACGGGAAAAGGGGAAAGAAAGAAGTACAACCTGCTTCGGGCTCCCCGAGAACGGGCCCTGCAGGCGCATTAGAAGAAAAAAAGGAAAGCAGACAGCCGATGTACAGACCGGCTGATGCTTGAAGCAGGGAATAAGGCGGGGGAGGGAAGACAGAGTGAAAGTCGCTGCCAGCACAAAGTGTATATGTACAAGACATGTAGAATGTATGTCAGAAAAAAAAAACTCTAGAATGTCAAAAGTTCCAGAAATGACACATTGGTGATCAAATTGGCAAGTGGAAAAAACAGAGGGTGATATACAACAACCTCACAGTGCACAAGAAGTGTCGAAGCGGGGAGGGGGAGGAAGGGGGAATTGAAAGGTAGAGGAGGGGATAATATATTAGAAGGGAGGACGGCCCTGCCATCATGAACCGCCAGCTGGCTTCACCACGGGCTTGATCGCTGGCTTTTTCTTGCCGATCACGAGACCTTCGTCCTCGGACTCGGTTTCGTCCTCATCATCGCAGTAGTACCTTGACTCATCTTCCTCTGGCCGCGGTGAGCCTAGCCGGCGAGGTTTGACAGTCTCGCCAGTGCGAAGAATCGATGGAACTTGACTCGAGTCGTCCCCGTCTTTATCCCTGGATCCTAGATACAACCCATCGCCCGAGAGAGACGAGGCACCCGATATGACGGACGGAATACTCGGATGAGACGCGCTCTGCGACATGCCACTGGTGAAGTCATCGGCCGAGGAAGACGAGATAGTGGCTGCAGACGGCGTCGAGTTGGTGAGGCCACTGTTCGGAGCGTCGGTGGAGCACACTGGCTCAGGAGCCGGAGCCGGAGCGGTGATTGCCGTAGGGAGCGCCAGCGATTCGGTCGAGTACATTGCATAGTCGACGCGATTGGCCAAGGCGTGGGTCTCATCGACACCCGTATCAATGTCGCTTCGACGGCGGCGGAGCAAAGCGTCTCTGGTGAGATGGAATGACTCCGCGGAAGACTTGCCGATGAGCTGCTGGGAGCGGTTCCGTCGGTGGGCTGAAATGGAGCTTACACCTTCAATGGGCGAAGGTGCCTGAGAATGCCATAAACCGGTTGACCGCACTTGACCGATGGCGGAGGCATTGCTCAAAGCAAGACTCGGCTCCGAATGACGGTCTGCATCGAGAGAGGCCAGAGAAGCTGAATCGCCAGATAGCGAACCACGTCTGCTACGGCTAGTAGTGAAGACGCGACGGCTGGCACCGGTGAAGAGACTCCCGAAATTAGTAGTTCCCAGAGCTTCGATGATAGAAGGCGTGCCCGTTCGTGGGCGGGGGGCATAAGGTTCAACGGTGGACTGCTTAACAGTCTTAGTCGACTCGGCGGTAGACATGGATGATTTCGCACGACGAGGAGGAGCCGGTCGGGATGGCATGGCTGGAGCAGGGGCAGTCGGTTTGAGTTCGGGAATAGGGGTGGCATCGAAGTAAGACGTCCAAGGGGCTCCCTCTTCCACCGGGCTGGCAGTCACGCTCTGGGCGAGAGGGTGTTCTCCGTGGACGGCAAACTTGGATGTGCGGAAGATTTCTTCATCGCCTCGAAGACTTGACCGACGGCTATCACGAGACGCCTTTCCAAAAGTACTGGTGCTTGACATGGACGACAGTGTGTCGGATGAGTTGTTTGAGCTGCGCTTGCGACCTTCCTTGTCCTTGGACCGGCCAGAGAACCACTTCGCCACGTTGGAGCGCACACGCTGGATGAAAGGTACCTTGCTAACGGCACTAGTGACTTCCTCGTTGGAGACCTCGATCCTCTTGCCCTTGCTCTGGTACCCGGGATCGGTCTCTTCAACCCACGCCTGGGGGTTGGGCAAACCGTACAAGGTCCAGGGGTGATGTTTGATCTCCTTCAGCGTGATTCGCTTGATCGGGTCCTTGGTCAAAAGGCGTCGGATCAAATCATACAGTTCATCATCGATGTCTTCATACACAAGCTCATCGACGTTGCGGTAGTTCCGTTGACTGGAAATAGAGGCAGAGTCGTCCACAACGGGAATAAGGCGCTTTCGTGGGACAAAGACCTCCTTCTTCACAATGGTTTGGAACATGCTGTACTCGTCATCGGAAAGGAAAGGGAGACGACCGAAGATCATGCCGTACAGGGTGACACCCAAAGACCAAACATCAATAGCCCCGGTGATTTTGGGCACCGCACCAATGTCGTCCACAAAATCGTCACCAGTATAGCAGAGTTCTGGGGCGTAGAAGGCAGGTGTACCTACGGTCTTGGACAGTTCTCGAGCATCGTCCAACTCGGTAGCATCAGTCTCCGCCAACTGCTCTTCTTCCTCATCCCGCATCGGTCGTCCCAGGTAAGAGACGCCAAAATCGGAGATCTTAACACGATGGCTGCCGGTAACCAACAGGTTGGCCGGCTTGATATCACGATGAATAATACCTTGGTAGTGGAGATATTCCAGGCCAAGGACAGAGTCACGGAACGCATTGCGAGCCTCGGCAATGGTCAAACAAGGAACGTATGACATGTCGTCCGTATCTGCAGACCACTCCGGTTCGGACGGAGCGTAGCCAAAGCTGCTGGATGCCGTACTGAAGCGCCGCTCAAAGGGATAATCCATATAGGCGCCGTACATGCTGCCTTCGACCGCAGCCAGCGCGTCTTGGGCAGAGGACTGACTGGGCGAACTCTCATCCACAACTGCAGTGGATCGGGTGGATCGGTTGGATCGGGTAGAAGGTCGGCGCATCGTTAAGCCAAGTCCGTCCACTTCTTCCTCGTCTTCAGACTCTGCACCGTGTTCCAAACTCCACCCGGGGATTGGGCCTTGTTGGGCGTCGGCGGCCTGCGCTTCGATCCGCTCTCGTGCCTTTTCACGTTGGCGACGAAGGTGTTGTGCCGTCCGGATGAACTGGCGGCTCTCTTCCAAAAAGGCCGGGGTGTCGGGGACTCCGTTCTTTTCACGGTCAAGGCGGAGCTTGTCGACGTGAACGATCTCTCGAAGGCCCTTCTTTCGCCAAACAATTTCGCCGTTCTCAACGTACTCCAACACGATGTAAACTTTTTGCCGGTTTGGGTCATCGATAACCTCCAGCAAACTCACGACGTTGGGATGCCGTGCCTTCTTTAGAATAGCCACCTCCTTCTTCACCTTGTCTTCTGGGTTCCCCAGTTTACCCAAACGACGGCGTTTAGAGTATCGCTGGACGATCTTGATGGCCACCTTTTGCTTGGTTGTCACATGCTGACCCAGTTTAACCTTCCCATGTTCACCGCGTCCAAGCTCCTCCAGAATCTCGTACTGGTTGATGAGCTTGTTTCCCGTCTTGGAATCACGATCCACCTCGGCGGTGTGGGTTTCCTTGGGCGGTTGCAAGTGTGAGGGATGGAGATAAGGGCTGCTGATCAAGCCTTCATCCTCGGAACCTAGTGGGGTCGAGCGCGGACTCCTCATCGAGAAAAGTCCGGGGCTTGAAACGGGAGTGTTGCCCGCGGTGCGAGATATACGAGGGAATCGAGGTAGTGTCTCCGAAGTCGCCGGTGTCGAGTAGGAGCTTCGTGACCGCAAATGTGGTGGTAACCCCCAGGTGGGATGGACTTGTGACTGGAGGGAGGCATAGGATTGATCGGGGTAAACGGGATACTCGGGCTGCTGGTCAGAGTGCCGAGATGATCTTCGTGAATTTCGTCCAATATTGCCCAGTTGTGTGCGGGCATCGACCACGGTATCCTCATTCAGCGCTTGTAACGAGCTCGAGGAGGAGCGGGTGGAGGGGGTACGCGTGGAGGTATAAACGTGGGGGAAGGCTTGACGCAGGGTTGTTTGTGCCTCGGACAGGTCGGCAGTGGTGACTGTTAAGGGCGCCTGTTTGGTCGTCGTGCGAACGTCGGGTTTGTCGTTTGCTGCTGGAGGGGCAGGCATTTGTACTTGTGATTGCATTGCTTCGTCCGATCGGCAGGAATCCTGCTTGGAGTCATCCACGCGACCATTTCGAGTCGACGGCTGGTCGGCGTTATCCAGACCAGCCGTGGGAGTCTGACGATCCGTCAAGTTCATCTTCCTTTCCTGCCTTTTTTTTATACGTGGTTTTGCTTTTCTTTCGGAAAAAAAAGAAAAGATTCAGGAGTGCGGGCCAAGTTTGCCGAAATTACAGTTGAGCATGGTCCTCGCGATTTCTGTCCAAGTGATCGGGGTCTGAAGATGGGAATCGTTCACGGAGAGTTGACGAGAGGCTCGATAAGCACACACGAATGGACCAGCATTACTTTCGGCGCAAGGCGGGAGAGGATATGGCAGAGGGCAAGACGGAAGATGGATGTGAGCACCCGTGTGTACCGGACAACGGGGCCGTCGAAGGGAGGGGGGTAGGATGAGTCGTCGAGCAAGTCTGAGACGATCGAGGTAGACCTGCTACAGCACGAGGTACTCAGGTTTTCCCACACACGTGGGGAATGGCGGACAGGGTTCCAAAGGAGTGCGATCGAGGGATGATGCGATAAATATAGGAGTGGGACGTTAGGGATAGTTCGGGAGGACTCGCTCGGCAGAGGAGGAGGGGGGGGGGCAAAGAGGAATCGAGCGAGATCGGAGAGATCGGAGGTAGGCGAACTATTTGAGAAGGAATGTGCCAACTGAGTGGGCAAGACCAGTCACGGGAAGAATGGCCGTCCTGAAGGAGAGAAGACGGTAAAGTTGAAGGAGAGGGGGGTTGGTGGAAGAAAGGGAGGTTGGGTTGTGGTTGGGTTGGAGGAGCGGTGCAGAGAGGACCAGAAGTATCAGTAGGCCAGAGGTGTCCACTATGACTGAGAGCGATGATCGGATGCCAAGAGACAAAAAATAGGAGAAATGGGAAAATGCGAAAACCAAAATATTACCTCGACCTGCAAATTGGCTTTACAATTCTGTTCTGCAGTAGGGCGAAGTCCAGGATAATCTGAATATTTTAATTAGGAGTATAATTGTACATCTTTCTTAAGAGGATGTCGTATAGGTAGTATGCGCAGTATACGTAGTATGTAACTATACTCCCCAAATACGGAAAATTACCACCAAAAATACCAGAAGTGGGGCTTGTCAGACCAGAACCTCTCCAAACTTTTCCACTTTGAGAGACTTTACTCTCTGAGTCTCTCTGAGACTCTTTGAGCCTTCGGGACCGACTCCACCTTCGCACTTCGGCCGATACTCCGATGGTCCGTTCCCCTTCGTGCCTGCCAGTTGGCTGCTTTACAGTACGACAGTATTTAGCTTCACAGTGGCGATTCCTGCCCAGCGCCAAGTCGTTTTCGCTAAACCTGCAGTTGAACCTCGAGGACTTGACTCGTTCCTCGTTTCTCTCTTGGCCTGTTTGCGTGCCGGGGGCGAATAGCATCCAACCTCCCCTCATGGGCCACTCCAATTACCCGTGGATCAATGCATTCCGGGCGGCTGGCCATCAAATGCGAGGGCCCTGGCCTTTTCTTTCCTTTCTATCTTGATCCACCAACAGCTTAATCAGGCTAACGGTACTAACTAGTCGCAGAGGCCCAGGTGCAACATGTAGCCATCATTTATCGTCCCTGTGGCTGGCTTCTACTTAGTGTTATGGACGGGCTGGCCCCCCGGCGACATCGCCTGGACCGTGGTTGCCAGTGCGGCGAAGTCAATCCTTAATTCAGCGACAATCCTGTTTCGTCTGGGGGTGATGATTCACTCAGGTGCCCATTTCGGCCACAGGCAGTGCTCATATTATTGATCAGGACCGAACTTCCTTCCAAAAAACTAACCACTAACGGTGGTCATGATGCCTCTTCCTTCTTTGGGACTGGAAAAAAAGAGTGGAGAGGGGCGCGATTGCTCTGACCACACCACATCTGTACCCTTATTTGCCCCCCAGCCGCGATCGAGCCTACGGGCAGCTTTGCCTCAACCAATTGCTTGCAGCCGAGCCGCGATGGCCTTTTCAGCTCAGGTAGAAACTCCGAAAACTGAGTTCTGCCCACCCAAGCTGTTGGGAAAGAGAAGCGAAAGTCTGTTCTTTGTTCAGGCAAGGCCCCCCTCCGCGCCTTCTTGTCTACCTTGCCGTCGAACCCTGGTGCCAGAGCCCAGTCTAATGAGGGTTTTTTGCCTTCTGATGGGCTGGGACCAGCGCACGCTAACGTTTCGCCCGGACATGGCGGCGAGCCAGGGGTGCAGGGGGAGGTGCAGGGATTCGAAGTGATGCGACTGGGCCGGCTGGGCACTAACGGGGACGGTTCGTTCGTGGGGGTAAACGCAGTCGCTGGTTGAGTGTCGACTCGAGTCGTAGACTACGTACTGAAGGTGGAGTGTTGTTGACTCGTTATTTAGTGCCTAGAGCCACTAGAGGAATGCATAATCCCCAACTTATACAGCACTAACTATTCAAATCCCGCTTCGACCACTCCATACTTCGTATACCCCGGACGGTTTCCTCGCTCGGACTGGGTGATCTCGGTCTGCACGGACATACGAGCCAGTAGTATAGGATTGCTCAGGCATAATCCACCCATAGCTCGAGGGAAGGCCTCCGAGAGGCGTCCTGCAAGATGCCCCTTTCGAGCGCCGGGAATGTGCATCGCCTCTCTTTTTTCTCGCCGTCATCGCCCATTATGAATTCGCCGTCATCGCAGGTACTGTACTCCGTCCAAGCTTAGGCTACGGTATCCCCCCTCGACGCCCGAGCGTCGTCCGTGCGCATCTCCGTCAAAGTTGACGCCGGATGGGGATGTCTTACGTCATTACAAGGGTCTGGCCCACCCTAGTTAATTAGCCTTCTTTATTTCTTGTTCCTCTCGACTACTTTGCTTTCTTGACATGGATTTGGTTCATTCTCGTGTTTTGTATGGACGAGCCATTTAAGGAAAACTTCTCCTTGGGGTAAATAATATGCATTACGGGGAACATACCCGTAAATTATGCTCGGAATTCGGATTAGTATCCATCACTGCTATTACGATACTGTATTCACTATTGACACAATTTACTAGTCCAACATCAATCATTTCTATGCTCGACACAGGCCGTACATTTGACTTTTCGCGCACAGGTCAACTCCTCCTCTCGCCATCAGACTTTGTGGCGTGCAAATCTCTACGGCGTAATTTGCTTCCCATCATCGAGAGGGGGGGCGGCGTTACACTACCAGGAACTCCCAAATGGTCCTAGTAGGCGGATCTACCCATATTCGCCGTCGAGATAACCACAACTTTTTTGTCACACCCCTTACTGTTACTCCGGAAATGGTATAATCTAAGGTTCCTGGAAAGGACGCACCCTGATTGATATGATACGGTCGATGATGTCTTCTACGTGCGCCGCGCCGACATCGGGTGCTACCTAGCCATTTTTGACTGGAAGATAAGAAAGAGTCTGCGGGTTGCCTGGTTGGAAGTTAAAATCGTACAGTTATTGGGAGGCATTGAGTACTGTCTGTAAGTGATAGTTAGGATAGGTGTAAGACTAAGATCCAAATCTCCGAGGATCAAACCAAGCCTATCCTAAAGGGGCTCCACGTATGCCCGTCTAAGACTTAGTCTCAGTGTAAGTGAAGCCCTTCCCGTGCCGCAGCATGTTACTTGCATACATTCGTCTACCGGAGCCCGGCATGAGGACCAATAGATGAAATCCAATCTCTCCGTATAGTCTCTCATGCAGTCTCTCGGTGAGAAATAGCTCATTCTTCCTTTAGGTACTTGTAGGACATTTCTGTCTGACCAGCACTGCCTGGCTCTGGAGTTCCAGGTCAACGCTCATTTCTAGCCGCTTTCTGCACGCTGAGCTCAGGGAGTAGAACTGAGCACGCCTCTCAACGCCCGGACCAGGACAGGTAGGTCTATGTATCTTGAGTTTCCCGCCTGAATTGGTTGCCCGACAGATCCATGGCCATTACATAAGCGAATAACTATTGGAACTAACTTAACTAACTAGTTAGTTAACTACGTCGAATTTCCAATCTTGCCTATGAGCTATGACCACTTTTGGGGTGTATTTGAGCGTGGGCTATTGCTGATAGGTCTAGCCATGGGAACTCGGATAATCTCATATCAAGCCACCACGAGGCTAAATGCTATTTCAGAGCTACAGAATCAGCAGAATACCAAGGGGCTATGATGCGACTAATATATACGGCAAGGGGTAAAGATACATGATATTACGCGGTGCCGACTGGTCACTATGAGTTAGAAGGTCTACGGGTATACTTGCCTAGTTCTAACTACGGGTTCCAAAAGTATCTCTTAATCGTACCGTTACTTCGTAAAGCCCCCCTACGGATTAGATCCTACTAAGAAAGTACATTCAGCGAGGGATTTATATTATACGCACTCTGTTTAAAGACTATTGTTAAATACCATGGCACTCTGTGATATGACAAAGCTTGTCCAATCCCGGGTCTTCGGCCTAACGCGCCTTGCATACTCTGCCGTGCTTCAAAAACTCAAAATCTGGCTTTGATACTTAGATCACATGAATTGACGATAATCCCAGATTCCATTATCTTCTCCTGATTAGCTCATTACATCCCTCATTGTATTCATCCTTATGGCGACTATCAATAGTCCCCGCTTATGCTAAACGGAAGCGCGCTCAAAAGCGCCGTCGAAAGCTCTTCGTAAACTCATTATCTCCGCTTAGGACCACCTTCAAAACGAACAAGGCGATCGGCAGCGCAAGTATCATTGGCAAAATCGTCGAAGAGAGCACCGGTTTCTTTTTCTGAGTTCGGATCTAGAAGTTTCCCGGATTAGCTTCAATGGAGACTTTTGCGGGCAAAACGAGACTTACATCGTAGATCCATTCATTCGAAAGTCCTAGATGGGTGTCATACCACATGTCGAACGAGCTCCATGGGTAAATGAACCAGTTCTTTTGAGTCTTCTGGTCGATGAAATACTACCAGCAGATAATTCAGAAACGGAAACTTTACCAGATCAGATCAAAATTTGGTGTGGACTCACGCTGAAACAGGAGTTATTGAAAATAGTCTTCCCGATCACTTCGTGTAATATCTCATTATATTTTTTCTCACTGTCGGCTTTGACCTCGACAAAGGTAGATTGGTCCCGGATCACAGGTGCGATCACCTGGATAATGAGATCGACGTAGCTAGACAGCTTTAGCGGAATTCGATGAAAAACAGGAGATAAGAACAAAGGACGTACTTCTCAATGGAGTAGATGGTAGAAGTATGACCTTTGCCCGAGTTGGGTCCCAGGACGTAGAAGAAATTGGGAAATTCTGACATGGCAATGGACTTGTAGGCTTCCTTGTAGCCGAAATCATCCCAGTGCTGTGCTCGAGATCGACCATGTCGACCGATCAATTCTACATCGTACTGAGTCAAGGAGAACCCTGTGGCGAGGACCTAATTTTTGCCAAGTTTGTCTGTTAGTCTGAACGGGAGCTATATGTTTGGGTAGTGATCATTGTCAATGGCAAAGAGTTTATTACTCACGATTGTGTCTGCAGGGTATTCCCGGCCAGACTTGGTTAGAATTGAACGGGGACGCAGGGCAGTAATTGGATCATCTGTGAGATGAACGTTGCTTCTTTGAAGACAACTGACATATTTGCAGCTGTCGAAAACTCGTCGCTGATTTTGTAGACTCAGTATATAGTTTGCGCCTTCAGGAGGTCGAGAAACATACTTTGCATCCGATCTCATATTTCGGCATGAGCAGTGGCCAATATTCCTCTAACAGCCAATCAAGATCAGTCAAGTGTAAAGACACAAAATCATTTTTGGGCCTACCGGGTGCGTTTTTTTTAATGTACGCTCGACTTCTCTCAGCTGATTGATTCCTGGCTCTCAGGCCACTCCCAGTTACCTTGAATCTGATCGCGGTACTCTCTAGGAAGAGGAAGACGAGGATCCTGAAAAGCAAGAGAACACCTGGCACATGGCGTAAGATAAAACGCCACTTGTCATTGATTTGCAAATTATCATTTTGCAGATAGTGTTGGGGTGTCTGGTCATGTCAGAAGTCTTATTTTCTTTGATCTGGGGCAGATCTTACCCGAATAAATTGCGAAATACTCTTTGCCTCATCAGCAATTGCCGGGACAAGTTGAGCTGCCGAGCCTAAGTATACTTTAGCATCATTCAGTAGAAATCAAAGGTGTATCTTACATCCATTGCCAACGACAATCACATCCTTGCCATGAAGCCACACATCCGTTTTCCACCGTGCAGTATGAATGATATCACCTTGAAAGTCATCCATCCCCGGAACATCAAACTTGTTGGGGTTTACTAGACCCCCCACGGCAGAGATGAGGATCTTGCATTCCTGGTAGTATAATTGACCATTAGATAAATTCCTTAGCTTAACAAGCCAAGTACTAGTCAGTTCCTGCCAATAAGCTCCCTCCCATTCCGTGTTCGGAATAATATGTCGAGTCACGTCAAAGTTTTCCGCAACGTCGTTGAAGTAGTTTAAGATCTCGGCCTGCGAGGGAAATATTTTGGAAAAATTGGGATTCGGGGCGAAAGATAGACTGTAGAAGACAGCCGGAATATCGACGGCACATCCTGGGTCTTGATCATTCTGTTAGTCGCGGTTGTCCTAGGAGCTAGGAAGAGTGGACTCAAGAAACATTTGTTCGCCCACCAAGCACCACCTGGCGCAGAAGAACGGTCGTAGATCGTATAGTCATCGCAGTTAAGTTTTCTTTGGAGCTGGCATGCCATGGCTAGCCCGGAAAAGCCGGCTCCAATAACGATCACATTGGTGACGGGTCTTTTATCGAAAGAAGCCATGATTCAAGGAAGAGCTAGAGATTGGAGTAAGTGTATTCATACATTCATTTACATAATGTCAATGCCTTTTTCCAAGGTCAAATTTATATCTTTGCCAACTTAGATTCAAATTTTTGATCGGAGATTCTCGCGATCGATCGGAGATCGAAAGAAAATGATGAAGCTAGAACTGAGTCCATTCCATCTGTTTATTGGGGTTGCACAAAAATCCTCTATCACCAGTGAGTGATTAGATTCCGACACGATGGATAGTAGTCTGAATTGGATGGCTTCTTGATAGTGGCAAGTTGAGCTGCAAATGCGCATTTCAGGCTATTCTATCTGTATGTTGAGGTTAGACAGACTAGCCGAACAGCCAGTAATCCATTGAGCCTCTACACCACTTGGCATGTCATCTTCAAGCATCGATGCCCTTATCTTTATTCAAGGGTGACGTTGGGGGTCATCCTTCTGTAAGGTATTCATGGATCGAGATCAGCCAATAACGGGTCTCCGACTGCTCGGGTTCGGCAGCGGAAATCTGCGAGTCTATCTCCTTCGGGTATATAGGGCCTTTCCCAATCTAGCAAAGCACGCAATGATGTGCATTCTCTTACGAGTCTTCAGCTTCAAAGATGCATTAAAGTGGCAAATAAAAAAATATAATGACCCTTCCTTGCTATACTAGACATGACAGTTCAGGCGCTCGGCGTATCCTTCATAAGCTTCAAAAATCAGGCTTCAAGAACTCAAGTTCAGACATACATCTTCGCGTTCAAGACTAAAATGTGTTCTCATATGACCAACCAATATTTCACTGCCCCGCTAGTTGCAATAGTCGGCCTTCTGAGCTTTATCCATTCATTTCGATCCAATCCTTTCTCAGCAATCAAGGATATCCTTGTTGTTCTTTCATTAAATATAGCTGATATCTTTGATGATGTTGGCTGGCTCCGCGCTTTTAGTTTGATACTGCCGATTTATGTCTTGGTTATTCCTGCTATTGTCTTTTCCTGGGCATCAGCGGTAGCATACGTCCAGCGAAAATTAATTCTATGGTGTCAAGAGGATCCAGAGCAGGAGAAATGCTTGCTAGGAAAGCCTTTGTTCTTTCCATCACAACTCACACACGCAAGGATGTTTCCAGAGAAGTACCATTATGGGATCGACTACTTCCTCGTGGGAGTTCCCGTGGGGCTTCGTGGTCGGATTGGAGCATTGATGTCAATTGACAGTGATGGGTCAGATCCACGATCTCAGAATTTCAAATCTTTTCGATATTCCTTGAAAAGACTCCTTCAGAGGTGTTTCTGGTTCAGCACTGATACGAGCCGGTACCTCCATTGTGGAGACGGTCAGATGAGCCTGACGCAAAAGTTGGAGCATTTCTTGAAAGAACAGGTATGTGCATCTCAGAGCCGAAATACGTATCTCCAATACTAAGCTTTCCAGGGTGAGGATATCAACGACTATCCTTACGCATATCTTATTAGCATCCCCCAATTTTGTTGGTGGACCAAAAGTCCAATCTCCTATTGGTATCTTTACTCTCCTTCAAAGGAGCTCAGCGCAATAATCATGGAAATAAACAACTCCTACGGAGAGAAAAAGAACGCCTTTTGTCGGCTCACTAAAGAGGAGAATTCCACCTTTGACAAGGCGAAAACTTCTGAGACTCTCAGCACTATATCCGGAAGAGGGCACAGGGGTATCCAAACCGTCCGATTCATGTCTTCCGCACCCACTGCCAAGTATTACAAGGGCAGCTGGGACAAGGACATATTTGCATCCCCATTTGAAAAGGTCGAGGGCTGGTTCAATCTTCGTTTCATGGATCCTCTTGACCCATTACACGAAAAAGGAGGCCCGCTACATTCCAATATGACTCTTATGAGCGTGGAAGGCAAACCGAAACTCTCTAGTCGTCTGTTTTCATGCGGAACACCCCTTGATCCCCTCTCATCATCATCCTGGGAATTGACCATGTTTCTTCTTCGCTGGTCTTTTGTTATTCCAACATCTTTGGGTCGGATCGTGATGGAGGCTCTTCGAATTCGGTTCCGAGGGAATATGCCTTACCTGAATAAACCGGACGTGAAGAAAAGTAATATACCACGTAACGCCTCAAAGCCAGAACGGTAATGCCCTGACGTCCTGTGCCTATCATTTCTGTTTTCTAACACATCTTGGGATAGGACTTTGGAGCAGTTTTTCCGGATGTACCTCTCTTATCTGGTAAAACAATGCCAGTTTCCCCTGGAAGTAGTCTATACACCTGCCAAATCACTGCACCTCCATCCCATCTCCATACATTCCTCAGCTAATGACCTCGCTTTGGCACCGGCCCCCGTCTTGAAAATTCAACCCCTCACGCCTCGGTTCTACACCAACATTGCAAAATATCCAGATGCCAAATTAGGCTTTCCCGCAGAGATCGAGAACATGCCACAGGTCTCCGATTCGATATCTCAACGTCTCTGGGTGTCCGATCCAGTACTGTTGAAAGATTTGATTAACTCGGAAAATCCTTGTACTGGCCTCGAAAAAGTCAATCCCTGCTCGCCTTCTGCAAGCCGTCTCCTGTGGCAAAGCACGTCAAGAGGCAAATCATTCATGGACAACTTCACCGACTCACACTGTTCCAATACTCTGCACACAACTTATCGGGCCGCACGCATTCATTGCTACCTGACGGAAAAGTTCGCGTGGGGGTCATACAAATTAGCTACAGTCTATGGTATTCTACTGCGCGCGATTATCATGCGTCTTGTCTGGAAGGGACTACGGCAGATGCAGTGTAACTTGGCTACGGGGTGGTTCGCAGACATTCTGACGGTTTCTGGAACCTTTTTCCTGCTGATTCGTGCATGGAGGGCGTTAACAGGCAGGTTTTACCAAGACTTGTAGTCCTTCCGTACAGGCAGTGGTGTGGGACGAGATGTCGGTCGAGCCAAAGCAGCCACCCCGAGAGATGAGTTATAGCTAGATTGAAGATATAGACCCTCAAGAATGCTTATTCATGCTTCTATATATTTTTAACGGGTTTGAATTCCAAGAGTCTCTCGCATTCGTTAACAACAGCCAAACAACGATAATGAGGTGTCTCCTGTGACAGACCACTGGTGCCAAGATCGGTTTCATGCAGTACTCGTAAGTCTTCGTAGACTCCACATTCCTCGTAGATCAAGAGGGCGGTCAAGGCAGAGCGTGTATACTCCACAGTAAGGAACGCCTGTGCCGGGTCCTGTGGGTCTGGGGGGTAGCCACATTGTCCAGCGCCGATTCCGTATACATGTAATGCTGCTAATCTGCCAGCCGGTGCTGCCGGGGTTGTAGGAATAGATATTGATAGAGATTTGGCGGCAGAGCGGAGGGTATCGAAGAAAGGGTCTGAGATAGGAAATGGGACTGTGATTTCAGCTGTTAACACCGAAGTCTCGTGATAAAACTCGCTGGCTGTCTTTAATGACTTGAGCATTCGCTGAAGGGATTTATGAGTGTGGTTGTGACCACCAAGCCAAGGTGGCAAGTGGTCGCGAAAAGATTGCCAGCTAACAGTTGCTTGTGTGTCGGGAGTAATGTCCTTGTAGACGTTCGCGGCGCGCATCCGTTGCTGGAACGTGGGATTTCCTTCGATTTTGGCGACTTCCACATGGGAGCCACTAGGAAATGATATACGTGTAACGCTATTTAGATCGTCAATATATGTTCAAGTTGTGCAGAAGATGCGTATGTGGATCTTATCCGTAGTCTAGGGTTAGCTCAAAGCCAACGCCGAAGTCCGGCTTGGAGGCAACATAGGCCACTGGGAGAAAACAAGCTGCTAGCAGACACCAGATATGTTAAGTCATGCCTTAAAAACCAATTTCTGGTTGGACTTCGATTTCATATCATCTGGAGAAGCAAGTAGAAACAAAATGGAACAGGAGCTGAGAGTCTGGCAAGCTGGACGACCAAATAACCGTGCCAAGTGGCCCACCTCACGCCTGCCCGCCCGACTTGGCACACGCTTAATGTTTGACCCTCATCAACATCGCCATCGATCAATTTTCAGCCCCAGGCAGCTGTTTCCTCTTGTTTACTAGTCTACTTGTTGGACAACATGATGTGATACGCCTCCATCACGGTTTGGACCCTTGAAATGGCCCCATATCATACACCACATATACAGGCCCTTGCCGTTCACAAGGGTAAAAAGTGGCCGAAACAGGGAGCCAAATTCATGACTTCATTGTTCACTGGCCGCAGGAAATATATGGGTGCATGGGCATTGGAAGTGCTATGCAATCTAGTTTCTTTTCCCCCTTGGCTCTGAAGGCTGCAACCGGACACCAAGATCGGGGGCCAAGTAGGGCGGAAGGACAGGAATCAAACTTAGTGATTCGATGAACGGAATATCGAGATGAAAGCGCTCTAACAATCAGTCTTTCTAAATATTTATAGTACAGCCAGGGGCTCAAGGGTCCTTGCAGAATATATACATACCAAGATTTTGTTATCTCTTCGCTATGATCCCCGCCCCCATCGAATGACCTCGATGGGCCCCTATTTCTAAACAGCGCATGCAAGTTGAGCCAGATAAGTGGTGACTAAGAAATGGTTATACGGTAAGGCATTAAGGTTATTTTCTAGATAGTCAATTAGAATATCTTTTTTTTAAGCATTAGGCTTCAGGATACGTAATTTTGGTCTTGCTCTTCTGCTGCTTTGAGGCCTCATTACTGCAGCTCTTATAACTGATCCACCGGAAAGTGTGGATATCAACAATCCATCTGCTTCGGACCCTAAGATACCTCCTAAGAAGATTTCTTTTCCTAAACGTGGGGATAACCCATTTCCTAATGGTATTCCAACTCAGCCGGAAAGATGCGATGGGGAATTTCCATCCGAGGACTGCTTCCACGCCATGGGAAGCAGTGGTGGTTATCTGTGTTATGAGAAGGACTCCGGATGCAGTGATAACCAGGAGAGTGCCTTGAGACAGGGCTGCAGTGTGGGAGGCGACGACCCTTGCTTCATAGGTATTCATCCAACTTTCTGCGAAGGCTCTGGATTGGAATTCTATTTCTTTGAATATTCAGTAATTTTCAAGATTATGTTGGACAGACATTCATCTCGATATTCGGCATACCGAATCTAAGGTCGTTCGCGGCGGTAATTATATGTTTCTTCGAGGTTAAGAAGGCACAATTCAGTAGACTGGAAAAACTCATCAATCAAGTGGGCGTTTCTGTAATTCCAACAACTCATAACAAATATTCAGCGCCATCGTCGATTGAAGCAGTGGCTTTCCCAATGAGAGAGTCCAATGTCTAGTTTCTGTTTACTCTCCGCAATACTCCTATTCGCCGTTAATCCCTTTAGCGTCCTGGTACAATTCGACCCCCGCATTTTGTTAATGCAGTAACCCCAGCTACAGTGTTAATTTTACGCCTGACTGAGCTAACCTAGCTCAGTGATGCCCCTTAATCCCGCACTCTTAACCCCGCACTAACTGGCTATTCGGGTACAATAGCTCATTCGATATTGAATCGCCCGCGCCGGTTCCCACTAGTACATGCAGGCCCGATTGCGGAGATGTGCATTGGGCACCTGCTGCACAGACGAGCCAAATCAACCACGGTCTCTATACGATACTAGAGCTAGTTTCTGCATCATAAGGGGCTAGAAAATAGCGCTAGGCGTAATCGGAACGAATAGGGGTCTGATGTGTATGATGCGGAGTATGGAAGAGGGTCTCCGTACTGAATACCGGAGATTGAAAACCGAAGTATCATATCCCAAGCTCATGTCTAAAGCAGCAATTACTTCCTCTAGCTCGTGAATGCGCGGTGTGTTATTGGTCTATTTCCGAGAATCCGGCGCCGGAAATCTGCAAGACCGGCGCCGATGCTTCTCCACGATCGGTCTCTTCCTCTCCTGCTAGGTAACACGGGCGGCGCGGGTGTGGAAATGTGGTTTACGGGTGTGGTGCCGTCTTCGCTACTCCGCGTAATTTTCCATTGCTCTTGGCTTTGAAACCCCTGCTAGGCACAGATACTGGCCACAGTACAGATTTTAACGATGTTTGTACGGCGTGATCGAGGGGTTTGGTGGGGCCGGGTTGTACTTGGTGGTAAAACCATGTATGGAAGTATAACTTCTGATAGTTTACAGTGGCATATTAGTACACTGTGACGGGGCTGCAGTAGTGGTAATTGAGTACTACTCTCTACCAAGCATTTTGGACAGGAATGACAGTATATTCTCGGATATACTTCAGGCATACGGCCTCGATCTAAGGGTGCTAGACAGCTAGCCAGGCGCATTGCAAGTGGAATATTATCGAGCTTATATTGGGGAAGAATTCGCTTTTGGTATGACTTTTATCATGATCATAACTTTGCTCACTGCCTAGCCGAAGTTCTATCCACTGGTAGATCTTATTTCCAAATACAGGAGATAGATACATAATGGTGTATCTCGAAATTTATTTTAGTCGACAATATAGCCTGAGCTCTACATGGAGGACGGTTATCTCAAACTGGTTCAAGATGATTGTAGGATGCAAGCTAGAAGAAATGAGCAATCTTTGGCGGACGACGATACCCTACCCCCCAAGCCCAATCACTCCTCAAATAGCCCCAAGCAATAAACATCATGCCATCAAATTGAACTTTAACCCACCCAACGTCTTCCAAAGTACACCCCTCAAGCGGCTCCTCTTCCTCCTCAATCCTTTCCCCGTGATCATACGGCTCATAAACCTCCCAATCCGCCCGAATAACACGCACAAACCCATTCCTCTCATAATCACCCGCAAGAACAGAATCCAATACATCCTGCGTAACCTGAATGCAATACCTATACCGTTGCGACCCCGGATGTACCTGTCCCTGTCCTTGGACAGTACCCTGTTCCTTCTGCACGGCATCCACAGCCCACCGATTAAAATGCTCCCGAACCACCGCCGTAGATGCCCCGTTAAACATCCCCGAGTCCTCGAATACAGTCAGCGCCAGACGATCAAGGACCTCTAGGTCCGTTTCCCAATCGAACATCTCCTCAGTGCTGGCGAGTAGACGATTCATGAATTCGGTCCAGGCACTGTCACTTTCGTATGTACATCTGTAGATAACGAACCCCCAAAGTCGGTGGCCGTCGTCCCAGAGATCGTGCTCGACGTGGTCGGCATCGTGGAGATATGGGATGCGGGGATCTTGTGTCTGTGGCGGGGGAAATTGGGCAAGTGGGCGGGTATAGTTTGCCATTCGGGTTTGGAAGTAGTTGGGAGGTAAATTTGATGGTGGGAGGATGTTTTTATATTGCTTTCTGTGCCTGGCGCTGAATGGGCGCGATGTGTTGAAGGAAGTGGGTTGAATAGGGGTGAAGGGCCGGATGGCCACCCTTGCTATACTCCTAGGAGCAAGATTCATTTTGTTATGTGCGAGAATGAATTGCCGTATAGGTACTGTCATCGTTGATTTGGAACTCAAGCTTTTTTAAAGTCGATAGGGGCAGTTGGAAAACAGGTCGGCCTAGTGAGATCCTAAACCTTAAAGGGTAAGCTCTGCCCCTAGCTAATCTAGTAGCCAGATAAGCTTGCAGGAACAAGCAGATGGAGATGTCATGCAAGGTGGAAGACGGCTACATTTAGGCAATTCTGCTACAGGCGAACCTAATAAAATGAGCTCCTAACTCTCAATGGTGATTACAATTGTCTCAAGAATCATCATTGTTCAATTTTTATTCTTTAGCCGTCATCTAGACAAGACCTATCTCACCACCAAGCCAACGAAGTCTCCAATGTTACTCAACAACAATTGGAATCTTTCCTGGCACCGAAAAACATCATCACATCAGCATCAAAGAGTGCAACCAAACAACCTCGTGGATATCAAGTAACGAACGAAAAAGGTACACGGCAACAAGTCAAAAAAAGACAGGTACAGTTGAACAAAACACATCAAAGGCGCCAGCTATCCGAAAAATCAAATCAGTGATCGTCAAGCCGTGAGAACGTCAAAAATCAAGGTCTTGTGTACAATCTTGTAAACCTTGGCTGTTGCTCGGGGGAAAATTGGTAATGAAGTGTACAATGAGAAGAGAAGAGCAACAGGGCAAAAAACAACGTGCAAGGGTGTGCCCGGTCAATCTAGGTAAATACAGCACAAGGCAAAAATCAAGCTGCTCTAACGACTAACTCGTCGATAACTTATCGAGTCGCTGACACGTCGCACGCCACCGCTAATAGATCGCTCTGAGATGTTATCCATATCTCGAGCCGAGGCATTGACAACCCGCAACTTCTCACGAGGAACGGTATAAGTCATCTGCACACTACGACCCTCTGCTGCACCCTCCACATCCCAGTCATCCTCGTACTCGTCGCAAGTCTCATCATCACCAAGGTAACCCGGTGCCCCGATAAAGAGGTCATCACGTGTACCGCGAGGCATGACAATGGGTCCCTCGGACAGGCGTTTCTTCGCGTTCCAGTCCTTCGCGCCTTGTTTGCGGCGAAAGAGTTCTGCAGAAGCACTCACTGCACGACGGGGCGTGGTAGTGCCGCTGCCGATAGGTGTGGGACCAGAACCCAGGATTGTACTGCGTCGGTCGATGCCCGAGGCTAGGTAGGCTGTTTCATCGACCTCGTCGTCGCGCTGGGTGGATGGACCGCTGCGACGGGTGAGGGTTAGAGCGCGGCGGACCGTGTTGAGCATCCAGTCTGATGCTCTGGGCTTGGATCCGGGTGGGAGTTTGGAGGGGGATGATTCGGTTGGGGTAATAGGGGTGAAGGTGTCGTTTGCATCATGGAGGAGAGCTTCATTCTCGGCTTGCCGGTGGGAGAAGGTGGTTTGGGCCGTGGAGTAGGAGTCCGTTGAGATGGATTTTATCGAAGGCGCGTTCATGCCCTCTCCATCGCCGTGAGTCGATCCAGCAACGATTTGTTCGGCAGAGCGACCACCACTGCTACCCCAGCTTAATGGCCGTTCAACAAGCACGCCTCGAGCCTGGGAGACCTGTCCGGTGGGCCTAGTTGTGGCGGAGCAGAAGGAGAAGGCCGAGGAGTCAGAGAGGTTAGTGGATGTTCGGTCACTCTTTCCAGTGGGAGAGGCACGGCCGTCTGATAAAGAGCCATTATCCTTTCGTCGGCTGTAGAAGGGTCCTAGGCCAACACCAAAGATGGTGGTCCGGGGTGTTACAAACGGGGTGTCTGAAAATGGATCCTCCGTGTCCTGAGCGGCAGGCATTTTTTCCTTCGGAATTGTTGCCATCAGGCGTTCCCGGAACATTGCCTCATCCTCTTCGCGCTCGTCAATCGGGTGAATCTCGCTCGTGTTATCACTACGCCGGTACTCAGCATAACTCGACGGACGGTACGATCTTTGCTGGCTCATGGGGCGTGTTCCTTTGGTCGGACTACCGGAAGAGTCCGCTAGCAGACCAGTCCTCTCTGCAGCTCCGTCGCCATTGTCTTTCCATGATGCAGGGCGTGATATGACACTGCGATTCGCGGACCAAGGATAGGCAGGCACCGGGTCTTGCTTCTCACTCAGCTGCGAGCTCCGTATACTGCTCGCCTGATGGGGCTCATCTCGAGTCCAGAAGTGAGCCCGTTCAGCGCCGAGCGCCAACTCACGGAGTTGTGAATCTCGCTTTCGTTTTACAGTGCGCTTCCGATGGTATCTCCATACAAAGAAAGCAATGGCAAGGACAAGAAGTATTCCAAGACCTAGCCCAGCCCCGAATCCAGCTTTCTGACCGGAAGAAAGAGCGTGGGGATGAGATGATGTTGTCGGTGTAGAGCTGGCAGAAGGGTTTGAATAGGAAGTCACCCAGCTGCTTGAGGTCGTGTTGTAGAGATAGACCTGAGAGTTACGTTCTGCCACAGACGTCGCTCGTTTCGACGATGATTGTTTGGGGATAGTGTATCCTCCGGCAATCATCAACACGCCTCCCGGTAGCATGGCTACCGAGTGACCAAACAGTCCAGTTCCCTCAGCAGTTCCCACTCCTTCGGAGGATGGGACAGTCCAGGCCCATTCACCATTGCCGCCATACTCCTGCCCAATATGAAGGACCGCAAATTGAGGATCAGCAGGCGTAGAGGTGTCTCCGACCCAGCCTCCAACCACATAGGCCTTCGTCCCATCCTGCGATAGAACGGCAGCATGTCCAGATCGAGGCTCCACCGTGACAGCATCTCGCACTGCTAGCTCCGTCCTAGGCTTGGGATCCGAGGTGACGGTAACAAAACTCCAGCTTTCTTGCGGCACCGAGAAAATCGCGAGCTGGGACATATTAAGGAAGGCCTCGCGTGTATGGCCGCCAATAAGCAGGAAGTCTTGTTGGGTTTGGGTTCGCGAAGTCGTTTCTGGAAGTGGAACGACAACCATTCCTGCCTCGGGGACAGGTGGTGCGCGGTCTCCGGTAATCGCAGCATTGTACTCAGTGTCGTGATCCGAATCAGGATCCATGACAACCATGGACTGCGAATAGTTCGCCGCGGAAACCCAGGTGTCATCCGTGCTGTTTGCAAAGGGACACATTCCTCCAAACGAGTAGAATATAGTCCCAGTCGTGTTGTTGGGTACGAATGAGAAACCGGCGGCCAAATAGTTCGGTCTTGTATTTTCCTCCCCCGAGTTCACGGCGAACTGTGTCCAGGATCCATTGCCGATCGAGCTGGTGTTGTCCGGCTGGAAGCGCCACAGAGAGTCGGTTTCTGACCCATTATGACAGTTTCCGGCGTAGACTGAGATGATGCCGCGGTCGTCAATGACGGGAATAAAGGTTGAGTTCTGCTCCGTACTCTGGAATGGGGTCTCCGAGAGCAAGGTATGGTAAGTGGGGTTTTGGGAGTCGAGGTTCGTAGAGATGTTCAGCGACAGGAACTCAGTCTTTCCTTCGGTGGAGCTGCTAGGCTGCAGCAGATAGGCAAGGGAGTCATTGTGTGACGGAGAGAGGAAGATGGAGGAGGGAGTGTATGGAATAGCGGTGGTGGAATCGAGGAAGCCGAGGAGTAGCACAGTGTAGGAGAGTGGACTGCGCTTGGAGCGGCGACGGAGCTCCATCGCGCGTTTGCGAAGGTAATCTGAGACACAATCAAGGCAAGCGATGCATTCCAGGATCGGCAAGCATGGTGCCACGCGGTTGACAGAGGCAAGACTACCGGAGTGCCGCTAGGGAATTTATTGATGGGTCTTCAGGTTGTCTTTTGAAGGATTCGTGGCAGCGTAAGAGAGGAAGAAATACGAGCGATGCAATGATGGTTGAGTGCACCTAGGGCTGGCCTACAAATTACGTCCAGTGTCCTCTCCACTTGACTACAACGGAAGTAAACACACTTCAACTTCGACCAGCCACACCGTCGTAATCGCCGGTGTAAATCCGGCCAGATCGGGGCCGACACAGCCCTTGACCATCGATGGTGATTGAAAAACACCAATGAGCCTGCTGGACGGTGTGATGGCTGACGCCTAGAATGCCCCCCCTCAACAAAGAAAGTGACCGGGGCCAGACAAATAGAGCGCCGAGCACCAGATCAACATGCGATCAACGTGGTTGCGGGGGCAACGGCGGGTTGAGGTGGTGGGTGGATGGGGCCAAGGGCGGGATGAATTGCGTGTATCTGAGTGGTACTGCACCAGTGGAGTCGCAATGGATATTTACAGCCTATAGTAACGGTTACTTTGTATCTTCACAAATGGTAGACTAAAAACCTTTAATCTAAGATAAAGTAGGAGGCGCTACAATTCCAAGGCACAGTCCTTCCTTCTTGCCTCAGTGCGGGGCAGCATACTCTAATACAGTGATGATTTCATCTCGCTATGGCATCGACTAGTAAAAGACCACACATTATTATCAGTAGGGAGGGAAACCCCCAGATTGGTGACCAACATACTAAATTAATAGGTGCGCCAATTCCCTCGGCAGAAAAGTATGGATTCACGGGACATGTTTCGTGGCTGAGCCACCTAGTAGGGTTGGAACTTGTGATCAATCTCCAGCGAAATACGAGAAACATGGGTCAGCCAGCTTAGCTACCTTGATATAAAAGGAGATCGAATATCCTGTCAACTTTGATCTTTCACATCATCGCCAATACAACATGGGTTCCACCATATTGTTACAAACCCCTATTGAATATGCAGTCACCGGTGGCTACTGGAACAGCGAATATCAAGTCAACTTGAACGGCAGTACCCTATACCATGTGGTAAATGAAAGCCCCACGCCAGACAAACCAAATATCACCTTCTTCGCCGGAAGCAGCACGGATGGTCCAATCGTGGGGTCTGGCGTATCCATCCCCTTCTCATCCGATATTCAAATCACCCTGGGAGATCCCGGCCTTCCCAAAACAGTGACCTCGACCAAGCTCAGCAAGAAAGGGTTTATCTCGACGCGCTATGTCTTTGAGTTGGAAATTGATTACCAGATGCGGACCTTCGCTTGGAAGGACACTAGCCTCAACGAGAGTTTCGGGCCAGCTGGAAGCCATAAACTAGTAGACGAAGCGAACGAGATCGTGGCGGTATTCTCGCCTGGTGGTGGCAGGGTGAAGAAGGATGGGGCCTTGAATGTCCATGTTGATTTGGGAGAGACCTTTATTTTGATGGCGCTTCTCACTGCTCTTGTTTTGCGAGAGAAAGTAAGGCGGTCGGCTGGAGGCCTCGCTGATAATTCCGGCATGCCATCTACCTACGTACCAGGCTAATTTAATGAGATTCGGGTATAATATCTTTTAAGAAGTCTGACCACAAGTAGTTTGAGACAGTATAAGTACATCGCCAGAAGCGAGCAGCATGGCGTGTTTCCCAACAGCCTGGAAACTAGGATGATGGCACCGTCCAGATCACAATCAATAGATCTGTAGGCGATCGCAGAAATGAAATACAAGTCATTTTTGTTACGACCCTCTCAGGCACAGCCCTCGCAGGGGCTGCATACCTAAGTGGTCTATATGAAATATCCAACCCGCCAGACTTTGGAAAGCTTATTCATAATCATTGCTCATGCATTTCATTCAACAATTTTGTCTCTAGTCCATGCGGACTTTTGGATATATAAACACCGAGAATACAGCTCCCCAACACACAGGAACAGTAAAGGAGCCAGCAGGCAGCACAACACACAACCAGGATATACTATCTATCAAGATGTTTCATGGCCACATGATACATCATTTGCCTTTCTGCCTCATCTCACTTTAAAAAAACCAACATACTGTAAAATCACTTATGCACCGTTAGGAGCGGTAGCAGGCTTCGTGGGCAGAGTGGTGGACAGAGGCGGGAGAAGGTTCTTGGCACTCTCACGGGCATACTGAGCCATCAGGGCATCCATGATGACCAGCGCAGACATGGCCTCAACGATAGGCACGGCACGGGGCACGACGCAGGGGTCGTGGCGGCCCTTAGCCTCGAGGATACCCTCCTCCAGACCGTAGGTAGCAGTGTTCTGGGCCTGGCCGATAGTCGCAGGGGGCTTGAAGGCGATGCGGAAGTAGATGGAGGCACCGTTGGAGATACCACCCTGGATACCACCGGAGTTGTTGGTCTTGGTGGTGAGGCGCTGATCCTCGGAGACGACGAAGGGGTCGTTGTGGATGGAGCCGGGCACCTCACAACCGCCGAAGCCAGAGCCAATCTCGAAGCCCTTGGTGGCGGGGATGCTCAGCATCGCGTGCGCCAGCTTAGCCTCCAGCTTATCGAAGCAAGGCTCGCCCAGACCGACGGGCACGTTGCGGATCACGCAGGTCACGGTACCACCGATGCTGTCCTGCGCATCGCGGAACTGCTCAATAACCTTGGTCATGCGGGCAGAGGCCTCGGTCTCGGGGCAGCGGACGGGGGCGAAGCTGTCTACCGTCGTGCGGTCGATGTTCTCGAGGAGTTTCAGGTACTCAGGGTTGGTAGAGGCGGTGGGGTGTTCGGGGGTTGGGGGAAAGAGGTGCTCGTTGCCAACGGAGGAGACGAAGGCGACGATCTCGACATTGTGCGAAAGCTTGAGGTACTTCTCTGCGATAGCGCCGGCGGCGACACGACCTGAAGGGGTAATTGTTAGTAGTGTGTCTATATTTCCTTTTTCAGAGAAAGTGTGACTCACCAATGGTCTCACGGGCACTGCTACGGCCACCGCCACTGCTGGCCTTGACGCCGTACTTCTCGAGGTAGGTGAAATCGGCATGGCTAGGGCGGGGGTACAGGTCCATTGTGCTGCCACCGTAGTCCTTGGGGCGCTGGTCCTCATTGCGGACAATCATGCCAATTGGTGTGCCCAGGGTGACACCGAACTCAGTACCTGACTGGATCTCGACTCGGTCCTTCTCGTTGCGCGGGGTTGTGAGGGCACTCTGGCCGGGACGGCGGCGAGTCATCTGGGGCTGGATATCTTCCTCGGTGAGTTGCATGCCGGGAGGCACACCGTCGACGATACAGCCGACCGAGCGGCAGTGAGACTCGCCATAGCTGGAATGGAAGTGGTGAGCAGTTGGCGCTGGGTTGCTATATGGAGGGGCAAACTTACGTGGTGACTCGGAAATGTTCACCCCACGTCGACATTTTGGCGGGGAATAATCAAACGGTTCAGACTCGACCGGTAGAGTATATGCGGGGAAAATAGGAATGAGTAAAGTTGCCTCAAGATCAGTTGGCAACAGCAGATCAAACAATATATGACCAATGGGACAGGGATGATGCGACACAAAAAAAAGTAAGAGACCCGACGCCGCCGAAAATCGACTCATCGATAGTTTCCTATCTTGGACTAGCGTCACCGACTATCGGCCGCGCTCTTTGCGATATTCCTAATGATGCCAAACTCCCCTTGCTCCTCTCCAAATGCTCGTCCGACGATGTCTTGCCTCGTCGCTGCGCGGTAGCGTCAGGCACGTCCGCTATAATTCGTCATATTCACTCGACCATTTCTCAGAGCTTGCCTGTCGCCCATCATCTCAGCACCAAATCTATCAGTCGCTTTCGACCGACCCTTACGTCAACCTCTCAATTGAGCACTTCCTCCTAGAAAATGCACCGGTCGACTCGAGCATCCTATTCCTCTACATAAACCGACCATGTGTGGTAATCGGTCGGAACCAGAACCCGTGGCTGGAGACAGATCTGCGAGCACTCTACAATGACCGTCGGCCGGGCGCGGGTCAGGACGATGCTGCTGTTTATGTCCGGCGGAGGTCGGGAGGTGGAGCTGTGTTCCACGATGAGGGAAACCTCAATTACAGTGTGATCTCGCCGCGCACCACTTTTACTCGCGATAAGCATGCAGAGATGGTGGTTCGGGCGCTGCACCGTATTGGCGCAGTGAACACGAGTGTCAATACCCGACATGATATTGTTATGACCCCTCCCGAGACGCACGAGGACAGCGATGAGCCACCTTTCCGAAAGGTATCCGGGTCGGCCTTCAAGCTGACCCGCCATCGAGCATTGCATCACGGCACGTGCTTGCTGGATTCACCCAATATTCACGACTTGGGTCGTTTCCTACGCTCTCCCGCGCGAGGGCATATACAGGCGAAAGGCGTCGAGAGTGTTCGGTCGCCTGTGGGAAATGTATCGAGTGCGCTGGCGGACTCGTTCTTTTCTATGCAGTCAGTGATGGACAATGTGGTTGAGGAGTTTGCCCGGATGTATGGCGTCCACGCTGACGTTGTCCGCCGGGCACGACGCGCACTTGCCGGCGAGCCTGAGATCTTTGCCGGTGACAGCTGGGTCATGGCAACCGTGGGCGATGCTCAAGGAGAACGGGAGCCGGAGATTGGTAAAGGAATCGCGGAGTTGCGGGTGAGTTGTACTGAATTGTGGTACTTGATACGGATTACTGACAGGATGGCAGTCGTTGGAGTGGAAGTATACTCAAACGCCGCAATTCACCTTTTCCACATATCCCACCGAGGATGATCCTCGTGAGCGTGCATCATTGCCAGCAACTCTTCCCCCTTCGGTGAGTCCTCATCAAGTAATCCAGCGACTCATTTTTGCATTGCTAATAGCAGTTAGACACGCGTGTTCCTCCGTCTAAAGCACGGGGCTATCATAGAAAGCAACGTCTCCATCTCTTCGGATGCTTCGGTTGCTGCTGACCAGGCCACCCGTGTGCATGAGGTCTTGAACGGTCAGAAGCTACATGAAATCACCGCCGAGCGCTGGACAGAGATGCTCCGTCAAGGTTTGACGGGGACCGATGGTGCAGATGATGCGCTTGTGCAGGAGCTGGCAGATTACCTGGGTGATCTGCTAGGAGGGCAATGACACCGCAGTGTGACACTTGTATTATATTAGCTGGCTATCCAGCTACTGTACATTATTGGATCAAACCCATACGCCTACCTAATGGCGGCTTCACATCCAGCCATATATTTACGACTCCATTCTTCCATAAACCTAAGCGAGGTATTCAGATAGCTTTCAAATCAGTTCAATGTATACATTGTACTGGAGGTATCCAACCGCAGACCACTACCGCTCCTCAGTGCGAGGAGACTGGATCCAGCCAGCTATTCCAGATCTGACTGACAGCATCTTAGACCGTACACATCTATCACCATAGCCATACAAATAATCAATGATAGCACCCTATGTCTCCCTGAATATCTTGTACCTGCATCTCGGTCGTTATTTCGATTGGTGGAGCAGAGATTTTCCGCTTATCACGAGGTGCCCAGTCTTGGATGCTGGCCTTTAAGGGAGAGCAATGCCTCACTGCTGGAATGCTCAAGAAGATAGTGACTGTCATCTATGGTCTGACTTTGACAAGTCTCACAGTCTAGGTCTCGGCTTACTGTCAATATTATCAATCCACTCTATTTATCGCAATATCACAGAATCATTGGGCTGAGTTGAATAAGAGTGGTGTTGCAAAAGATATAGAACCCCAATTGTACTCGATATAGATCGTCCACGTCCTCCGTATGAGAAATCCTACCATTGATTTCGAGGGTTCACACCAAGCCATCCTGTGTTAGTACTTGAGTACTTGCTTATCTTCTTCTCATCCAAATATTTTCAGTGTTCAACACCATCTGACTGCCAAGACAGGCTAAAAGTCCTTCCCCGCATGGTGGTGTGTATACCCTATCAAGCAAGGATATTCCACTGACCGGCTAATTCCACGTATTCAGCCACCATTCACTCATGTTTGCCGAGCATTGACTATTCCAGGTCACTGTCGTATCAGAAATCTCATCCCACCCATCCCCATGGGGTGGTGATCTGCCCGTCACACCCTGAACTTTAACCTTAGGACCCCCACATCCCCCGACCTCCCCACCCGTCCAAAGCTGGGGGTACATACTACACAAAGCACATGGCCAAGAAAGTTCTCGCTTTGGCCATGTCTGACCATGTGGTGACAAAGGTCTCTTGGCTATTCAACACCGGCTCGGATTCGTGGAGGTATTCCCCCTCCTTTTCCTCGCCTTGACTGCGTTCTCTTCCCGTTCCTTATAGGCTGAACAAGAGAGCCAAGAAGCAAGCTGGCGCGGATGACACCTTCTGTGGAAAGCGTCGCAGTCTGAGCTTGAGGTATATCAGTAGCCGACGGTAATCGAGCTTTTCAAGTTGGTTACCGCGGACCGACTTAAATCATCGCCTTTGGCCCACATTTGCACATAGCTGGCCTATATTTCATACATTCTTCTTCTTTTGGTCTTGCAGAGGGCTGCACTGTCAACATGTCGTGGCTGCTTCAAAAGATCGTCCACAATGAGGCGATGAGGACTGATCCTAAAGAGATTTACGGATGGAGAGTCTATGCGCTGGCTTGCTCGGTGAGTACTTTTGAGTAGATTGGCCATTTTGTTTGGAGCTGATAGATAAACAGGCATGCTTCGGTGGAATGCTTTTCGGTATGGACTCCGGCATCATTGGCGGAGTTCTCACCATGGATCCCTTCAAAGCGTAAGCCTGTCATCTTTCGATCTTTCTTCTCTACCGTGCCCCCCATTGGCTACGATGTATGCTAATCTACTTGTCTATTATAGCAAATACGGCTTAACGGGTCTGAGCAAGACTGCACAGGCCAACCTGTCTGCCAACATTGTCTCCACACTTCAGGCAGGTTGTTTCTTCGGAGCACTAATAGCATCTCCTGCGGCGGATCGGTGGGGAAGAAGGTACGCCCTGCTTGGTGCAGCGGCCCTTGGAATTCTGGGTGTCGTTATGCAAACAGCGGCTAGTGGTCATCTTGAGGCCATGTATATCGGACGGTAAGGTTATGTGACGCTTCCGGGTCTCTGGCCTTAAGAGAATTTCGTTTATACTAACGACAATCTAAAAGTCTCGTCACTGGCTTCGGCGTTGGCTCTGCCTCAATGATCAACCCCCTCTACGTCTCCGAAAACGCACCACGCGCTATCCGTGGTGGTCTGACAGGCCTATACCAACTCTTCATCACAATGGGAATTATGCTCGCTTTCTGGATCAACTACGGCTGTCTGTTGCATCTGGATGGCTCGGCTATGTACCTTGTTCCTCTGGCAATGCAAGCCTTGCCTGCAGTCCTCCTATTGTGCGGAATGCTCTTCTGCAATGAGTCGCCTCGCTGGTTGGCCAAGCAAGACCGGTGGGAAGAGGCGCGCGCGACTTTGTCAAAAGTCCGAGCCCTTCCTCCTGACCACCCGTACGTGGAAGAAGAGTTCCAGGCTATTGCGGCCCAGTTGGAACAGGAGCGTGCGCTGATCGGTGGCTCCGGTTTCTGGGATCTGATGAAGGAGATGTGGTTGATTGCGGGTAACCGCAACCGTGCTATGATTTCGATCTTCTTGATGGTTTGCCAGCAGATGACTGGTACCAATGCTATCAACTACTATTCTCCTCAGATCTGTAAGTTTTGACTCGCTTTTGAACGGTATCCGGGTTCACACTGACATCATATAGTTAAAAACGTGAGCCTACTTTCTCCTTCAATATTTGGTTGAAGTATAACATGTAACCACGAGAATGACTAACAAATATTGTCCTTCTAGTTGGGTATCGTAGGTAACGCAACCAACCTATTCGCAACCGGCGTCTACGGTATCGTGAAAATGGTCAGCTGCGGCGTTTTCCTCGTCTTCGTTGCTGACTCCCTCGGTCGTCGCCGCTCGCTTCTCTGGACATCCATCGCTCAGGGTATGGCAATGCTGTACATCGGTCTATACGTTCGCATTGCCCCTCCAGTTGAGGGAGCTCCAGTCATTCCGGCCGGCTACGTCGCCTTAGTTTGCATTTTCCTATTTGCATCTTTCTTCCAGTTCGGCTGGGGTCCTGTCTGTTGGATCTATGTCTCTGAGATCCCGAGTGCTCGACTCCGATCTCTTAATGTGGCTTTTGGTGCGGCGACCCAATGGCTGTTTAACTTTGTCGTTGCTCGGGCTGTGCCAGTCATGTTGACCACTGTCGGTGCGAATGGTTATGGGTAAGTTTTACCTATCACGCCGAACACTTTTCTTATTTCGCATCGTGGTTGCTAACTTGATAAATTCTAACCCGCAGTACTTACATCATCTTTGCATGCTTCTGTTTCTCCATGTTCTTTTTTGTGTGGTTCTTTATCCCAGAGACTAAGGGTGAGTTTGGCACTATGTCGAAGAAATCATATTTATCACTGACAAATTTTCCATAGGACTGTCACTGGAGAAGATGGATGATCTCTTCGGAGTCACTGAGTTGATCCAGCAAAAGGCAGCTGATCCCGAGCATGGGATTGTCACTGCGGATGCGGACAAAATCGCTGGCTCTCATGTCGAGCACGCGGAACCTGGTACGAAAAGATAAGAGCCGTGAGTTGACAGCCAAATGACAGAGTTGAAAGGGTGGAACAAGTGATGTTAAGATTGTAATCGAGAGAATCTAGCCCTAATCTTGATTTGATTATTGGTTTATTATTCCTCATAGACCTAATGGGTTGCGTAGCATAAGGCATATACCAGGATCATCATGAGAGTTGGTCAGAATTGTAGTCAATATTGATTCCCAGAATCAAATGGGTGTATTCACATAGCTCATATCGTCAAATCATGTACATCATAACCACTGAGCCTAATATGCAGGGCGGCTTCAAAAATGGCAAGGAAAAAGGAACAAGAACTCGCCGCCGCTATGAATGTAAACTCGCTGGATCAACCTCCTCCAGATAAAACCGAAAGTAAAAGCAGAATAGCTCAGCTTAGTAAAAATGCAAAGAACAAATAGATAGGGGAAAAGGGCAAGACAGCAATCTGTTGCAGAGGGGTAAAATGAACGCAAGTGCATCAAAAAATAAGCTGGTAAAGGGGACGACTAGAATCATTTGACAACACGGCCTAGGAATCTTCGTCCCGTTAGCCCTTGCTGTGTCTGACTGCGAGTAACGCGCCGAGAAGCAGGGCGATCTTCCAGACTCAGACCACTGATCCCTGGACCAAGCTCGTTCCTTCGAGGAGAAAAAGCTGAGCCAAACTCGGAGCTGGGAGGCCGGCCGTACCGAATGTTACGGGTAGTGGCATCGGTCATTGTGGTGGTGGTAGTGGCCACGGTTTCAGTGTCTGAGTCTTGATCGTAGTCCGATGGTGGATCGTTCACTTGTAGATCACTCATCGTGAAGCTGTGAGGATTCTTGCGCGCTGTCTGGTACCGATTGTGGCTCTGAGATGAAGCAATTCGGTAATTGGGAGCAGGTGGTAGGGCTGATGACAGCCCCGAAGAAAAGCTAGAGCTGCCAGTGGTCGTTGAGAAGGAAAGGGAGGGAGCTTCTGAGTGCGAAGCGACGGATGGGGCTGGAGGAGGGCTGCCGAATGTGGAATGAGTGGGAGACCAAGGAAGAGCTTGTTGAACTGGGGACGATAAATGTGGCGATGCTGGCTGCGGCGAAACGGGCTGCGGAGACACTGGGCTGTGTGCCTTGGATTGTTCGGGATCCGCGGGAGCTGATGCCCCTTTGTATGAAGTTAATAACCCGAGCCCCTCCTGAACAGCCATGAAGACAAGAAGCAATTTGCCATATCGGTCAAAGTATTCCCGTTCATAAGATGCTTGCGGCAAATGAGCCCCAAGATGAACGGCAGCTGCGAGCTCAGTGACGTAGACCAAGATCTCCATGCCATTCCAGTGCACCAGAGGTCTTTTCACTGCTTCCAGGAGAGCAAAGCCAGCAATAAGACTGGCACTTCCCAAAGCACAGGCTTCAATATAGTTTCCGGGAATCGAAAGCTGGTGATTCTGAGAGAATGTCCAGGCAGTCATAGATCCCAATAACAGAGCGAGTCGAAGGTATTGGAATACAATTTGACTTGAAGGGGGAGAGTAGGATTTCTGATTGGGCGGTGGTTGCTCCCAGTCCCTCTTGGGACTATCAGGGTCAATGTCGAATGCGCGCTCAAACAATGTTTCTAGGCCAGTAGAAGTATTGAGATCGCTCGTCGGAAAGAATGATGGGGGCCGAAACACCGGTTCCGGGCTCGAAGCCTTCAGTTGCCATTGGTTTTGAGAGTTAGGTAGACCTCTGTGAAATGGGTTAGGTTGAACAACCTGCTCAATGGGCTTTACTGATGGCTGATTGCGGAGATTCCAAGCCGGCGGCTTCGGAGCAGGTGGAAGGCTGCCAGTGAAAGGGGAAGGGCCATCAAAAGTAGAGGGCCGTTCCTGTCGGTGGACGCTCACTTTCGGCTGGAGAACAGGTTGAGCGGCTGATGGTGTCCATTCCATTTCGTCCACTTCCGGGGGAGGAGTAGGGAAACCTGGCGGTGGTCTCGCCGAGGGCAAACGAGGAGCCAGCTTATCCAACGGAAACCGCTGATCGAGTAGGCCACCGGCAGGCCTGGGTGTGACAGTCTCTCTTGAAGGACTGGAGCCGGAAACAGGAGATGCTCCACCGCTTCGTAGAGGCTTCTCCCAGGAGTTATCAGACCAATCTACCAAAGGCTGGGTGTTGTAGTCAACGACGCGGCGTGAAATCACAACTGACAACAGCGTGAAAGCAATCATGAATATATGCAATGCTGGGGGAAGGCTGGGTCCAAGGGCGCTTGCAGATGGGTCCTTGAGCAGTTCCCAGAAAACGCAACGAGCCACGAGAGTGATAAGCTGCGCCTGGTAATATTCAGCAAACCCAGCGAATCTGCCAGTTCGACCCTCTACCTTCATGCGCAGCTTCGGATTCCACCATATGGAGAGAAGCCCTGCGATGAGCGCGAATCCTGCAGTTGAGGCCAGATCGAACGAGCATTCACTGGGAAGGCGACCAATCTGCGCTGTCTGGCTCACACAGGAGAACATTGAGACCGGAGTATCCGAAGACATGTCAGGATCAAAAGATGGACCAGGACTGGTCAAAACGCTCGTAACATCCCATGCAAGCTGACCACCAACGCTCGTCCAGTAACCAAACGCGCCGGCGTAAACAAGCAAGCTCTGCCAGCTGCGATCCCTGGCCTGTCGTAGAGTCTTGCTGGCTCGACTGCGGTCCATCATGCGACGAAGGTGATCGGCCTTGGCTTCGTAGCCTTTCTTACGGATTTCTTCCAGGACCCGGGGCCCGCAGGCATCGCAAACTTGTGGGTATCTTTCCTCGAGGCCTTCCTTGAACTGCGCGTAGCCGCGCTCATACTCGGCATCCGTCGGATCGTCAGAGGGCGGAAAATATGCAGCAAGCGATGATCTGAACAAATGTTGGTTTCGAATGCATTTCGAACAGAATGAATTGGATCCTGCAAAGTCGGTGGATTCGAGGGCTGGACTCGAGGCATCAGGGCCCTGGTTCAAACGATTCGTGTCCTCGGCTGGAGGGTCTGTGATGTCTCCATTCTAAACGAAAAATGACATTAGTATCGCCTTGTAGTGCTGGCGTATTTCTCGCGATGCGCACCTGATCCAAATAGTTATCGGCCTCGCAGTGTTCACAGTGGAATTTGCGAACCTGCCCACGAACGGGCTGAGAAGCGCGCCGACCGCAGTAGAAGCAGGTCAGACGTTTTGAAAACAGCGCCATGACATGTTAAATCGCGGTGGATCGCCAAGGAAAAACAGCAGACGCGGATTGTTGTTTGGTAGCAAGGGAGAGGAGAGTGGAAACTTGAAAATAAACCCAAGAATCCCCGGGTTGCGCTAGTTGCGGCTGCACAGACCACTTGGAGCACGTGTTGCGCGGACGCGACAGCTTCAATTTTGCCCGAATGGAAAGGAAACTACCCTCCATGAAGAATCGGGGCGGTGAAACCCTCTTTCCTGTTCGCTGCCTTCTGCCTTGGCTTCTGCCTGGTTGAATCATGTCTCTTTCGCCATAGCAACGCTTACCTTCCCTATCCTCCCTCAAGCACGCAGCCGCAGTGACATCATGGCTTCGAATCTGCAGCCCCTCTGGGACCTTGCCTTGAAGATACTCGGCCTTACAGGCGCAATTGGATTTCTCATCATTCTCGTGTGTCAAAGTTTATGGCTCGAATAATGAACCCTCTGCAGAACTAACCATTAGCTATTCTAGGTCATCCTAGTATCGCTGGTGATTTCTCAAAATGCCACGCTTCCCAAAGTCCGTCGAAGGGGCACCCCAGTCCACCTCCTTGTCATGCTAGGTAGCGGTGGTCACACGGCTGAGATGCTGGCAATTCTGGAGAACCAGTTTGACTATTCCGTCTACACCTACCGCACCTACGTCGTGAGCTCTGGGGATGAGCTTAGCGCCAAAAAGGCCGTTGAGTTTGAGGACACAATTGCGCAACAAAACGGCAACGAAAAAGCGGTCGATAATTACACGGTTGTCATGATTCCACGGGCACGACGGGTGCATCAATCATACCTGACGGCGCCGTTCTCAACTCTCCACTGCTTCTGGGCCTGTCTTCTTGTTCTACTAGGACGACACCCGGATCAACGTCCCCTCCCCGCGCAGTACCCTTCTAATCACCCCGACATTATCCTCACCAATGGTCCAGCCGTAGCTGTGTGCATGATACTGGCAGCGAAGACCATCCGGTTCTTCATTTATTGTCTCCGCTGGGCATCCGGCAAGGGCTCCAAGCCCGAGATATCAAGACTTCGAACCATATACGTGGAATCGTGGGCTCGAGTTCGCACACTGAGCGTCTCTGGTCGGATTCTTCTTCCTATAGCGGACAAATTCCTCGTTCAATGGCAGCCTCTGGCGGGACGGCGGGCTTGGTGGGGTATGAAGGAAACAGAATACTGTGGCTGGGTTGTCCTTTGAACTGTCCCATCATGTGTTGAATTATTCGCTACGATGTCTATGCAAAACATACGATTTACCAGGACTCGAAATCCAGTTAGCTTTTTACCCCACAAAGAATAGACATAAACTGGAAGATTTACTTGATTCTCGGCGTTCTGGCCGAAGCGCGGTGCTTTTCCCTCCACATACCGATGTGGGGACTACAGACCCGTTGGATCTGGGGGGATACCGGTTAGCAAAGATAACGTACATAAGTACGGCAAGGTATAACTATTCTTCAAGAGAATCAGTTCCAAAAAGAGTGGAGGGGCATTATCAGCATCGGAATAATCCCGTCTCAATCCCCACCGTGCCTGATAAATCCACCGCACCTCGGATGATTGCCATCGCATCGCATAACTAGCCCCGCATCCCCCCTCACAGAAGCGACCCGTCAAATAATTGCCAGACGACCTGATAAGATACAATTTCGCATTTTGTCGACTTTTGCTCAAGCGGCAGCTTTCGAAAACGAACCCCTTCAATTCAATCAGTTCGCCATGCCTTACTCTTTACGGGGCCGCAATGTCCTGATTACCGGTGGTTCACGGTAGGTCCCGTTGTGAACAGGGCAAGCACGTCAAATATCCAGAACTATGGCTAATCAAAATGCTGAAACACAGAGGTCTCGGTGCCGTGATCGCCCGGAAATTCGCCGCGGAAGGAAGCAATGTCGCCATCAACTATGCATCGAGCAAGGAGACAGCCGATAAAGTCGCCTCGGAGCTTGCGGCCCAATATAACGTGAAGACAATTGTTGTTCAGGGTGTACGAGCCTCCGTTGCACATCGAGAGTCCATTTGGGCTTTTTGCGTCTACAGCAATTGTGTGGCTGACTTTCTCATGGATATAGGATGCGGGAAGCCAGAGTGATTGTATCAATGCCGTGAAAACCACCATTGAACACCTGGGAGGTATTGACGTTGTGATTTCGAATGCTGTAAGTCTCTCTACAGAAGGACCGTCAGAGCCAACAACGTACTAAGACCTGAATAAGGGCTGGACGAAGATGACGAAATTTGCGGACCTGGATGCAATGGACGACGCAGACTGGGATAAGGTAATTATACTTCTAATCACATTGTTGCGACGCCAAGGAGACTAACGGCGATAGTGCTGGTCCATCAACGTCAAGAGTAGCTTCCACCTTTTCAAGGCTGCTTTGCCTACTTTCAACGCCAACCCCGACGGTGGTGTCTTTATCCTCACATCCTCAACAGCGGTATGTCTAGAAAGATGATCATTGCCGCCTGGTTGCTGATACTGACCTCGATTCTAGGGTGTTGTCCCCAGTGGCAGCAGTTTACCATACGCTGTGACCAAGGCAGCCTGTAAGCACTCACTATCATCCTTGACGAACAAAGAACCCGCTGATCACAAATCCAAAGCAATTCATCTCATGAAGAGCCTTGCACAATCCCAGGGCCCCAAAATTCGCGTAAATGCCGTATTGCCTGGTCTTCTGCTGACTGAATGGGTAAGGAATCCATCATCACTTTTTCCGCACGGTATGTTAGCTCATATTATCATAGGGCCAGCGCTTTTCTCCAGAGCAGATCAAGGGCTGGACGGATAGGACGGCACTCGGGCATACGGTACGTAGACATAAGTTCCAAGTATACGTGGCTTCTCATTAACTTTCATTGTAGCCCGAGGTGGAGGATACCGCAGAGGCATATCTCTCCATTGCGAAGAACTCTTCTATGACAGGCCAAGCTGTCCAAGTCGGTAAGATCATTGACCTCAGATGAATAGCACATTGCTAATTGACTCAGATTCCGGATTCCGCTAGAACTGAAATGGATTCAAAGGGCATTGGGGATACTGGCAAACAGGGTCAATCAGTTCTTGGGAAACAATTTACATAGGGGCTTTCAATATTGTAACGGGTATCAGGCTGATAGAATAGAACCATATTGTACATGTTGCATCATTTTCATGCAAGTGGGTTGCGGAAAGGAGTAAACTCAGCGCCGCCAGACTGGAAAGACCGATCACCAAACATGCGGGCCTTGATTGCAGCGCGTAGTCCCTCGGCCACGGGCTCACCCTCTACCTTCATGTGGTTGATGCGAAGTGCTTTACCATCCTTAGTGAATACATAGAGTGCCCGGTTCTTCTTTGGTTCCACTGGGTGCGGAGTATTCGTAAACGGCAATCCAGGAACAACAGCGAAAGTCTCCGATCCCTGCGGGGGATCTACTTCTTCCACGTCCGTAAGAATGACTCGCTTTTGTTGAAATGAGATGGCCCCCTCTGTCGGTTTGCTTGCCACAAGGGCTTTGCTCCATAGATTTCCAAGGACCCGGTTGCGTCGGTTGAAGTTGACCAGGTCCCAGTTGGCCCAGTCAACGTGTCGATCTTCAGGCATGATTTTGGCAGCATGAATGAGGTTCTTGCTGTCTTCTTCTGATAGCCATCCCGCATCTTGTACTGGAGGCACGAATAGTCCATTGTGGATGCCGTCAAACAGTAGCTGCGCACCTTTGACGGAAACTATGCTGGTCAACTTGGGCACAGTACAGGATTCAGGATTAGGAATGTCGAATCCAGGAGCTGGAGACTGAGCAAGAATTGTCCCATGGTCAAAGCTCTTGTGGTCCAATGTCTGGAGTGTCACACCAGTCTTGGTTCTGCCAGCCAAAAGCGTGTGGTGCAATGGCGCTGGGCCACGGAAGCTGGGTACATCATGTTAGTCCCCCCCTTGATCGAATCGCATGGTGATTATACTTTACATACTCTGGAAGTAGTGAAGGATGCACATTCAAGCCTCCGTACTTGGCAGTATTCAAGATCCGCGGAGGCACGAAGAGACCAAATGATACAGCGATGATCAAGTTGATCGGACCATTCGGGGTTTCGGGAGGCTAGCATAATTAGTAAAAAGTAAAGTCATATCAGATCTTAGACTTACAGTCCATCCTCTGAAAGTATCAATCTCATGAACGGGAAGAGAGAGCGCAGCTGCAGCCTCCTTGATTGGCACTGTTTGAATCTCGAGTTAGCTCTCGAGGTAACTTTAATTGGCACCAGAAAGTACAACTAACTCTCGCGAATTTTCTTCAATCCTCTTCCAACTCGCTTTCCTGGACGGCAGACAACATCTATTGAAGAGATCTTCTCGGGATGTTTCAAGCGATAGTCGTGGAGAGCTTTCAAGGAGGCAATACTAAACTCGTCCGAGCCGCAAAAGAGGATTCGAAGCGGATCAAACGAGCGAGTTGCATAGCTGCGATACGTAGGCCATCGAGCAGCAGCAGAATACCTGCAAAGCCCAAAAGCACTACTACCGCGAATCACGAACATATTGGGCGGAACTTCCAACTACTGCTACTTGGAGCTGGAAGAGATCCGCTCGTCTGGACTAATCCGTCTTATCGATAAAGTCGCCACGTGATGTCAACATCATCGGTCCCTCGACTTCGTCGCGACGCAATTACCCCACAGTTGCTCTGCGATCGCTAAGATAGAGCGTCGAGCGCTTACGATGCGATGCCTGAAACAGAGACCGACTCTGTGACACCTGCGCAGCTCTCTTATCTCGCCATTTACAACCCGACTCTTGGCCCCACGGACGAGACATTAGAGGACCAGATCGTGTTCTACACCTCGAAATCTGGTGATCTACAGGAAACGAATGATGCGACTGCCGAGGAAGATGGCAGTAGGCCTTCTGGGAATGACAAGAACGAGAGACTGCGCCAGATAGGTCTGGCGCAGGGGATGGTGAACTTTGCCAGGTGGGAATTACTTCCTTGATCCCCGCAAGTGACCAAAGCTTATGCCCGCTCTTATACAGTAACTTTTCCTCTGGCAAACCACTTGAGTACATCGAAACTGATAAGGCGCGGGTCGTCGTTCTCGAGCTCGAGCAAGACTGGTGGATAGTCGCCGTGAGTCTAGCTAGGAACCTCAACTGTATGATGAACGTAACTAAAACGATGCCAGTCTATCGACCTTACGCGGTTACCCGTCGACCCAGCCCAGGCCTCTTCGACCGATAAATCAAACTCTCCTTCATTTCAATATTCGTCGAGAGAGATGGGACCTCCGCAGCTACTCATTCAGCAATTGCGCCGCGCACACTCCATATTCCTACTGCCTCACGATTTCTCTATGACCGAGCTCTACAATCGTGTTGGAAGGTCCTCGTTCTGTCTTTTCCTGGAGCGGTTCTGGGAAAGGTTCACATGGAACTGGGAACTCCTCTTGTCTGGAAACCCGATTGTGGATATGTACAACGGCATCAAACTCGCAGCAGGAGGCGAGCTGGGCATCGGTGTTGGAGAGGAAGAGTGGGGTAGCGGTGAAAGAGAAGTCCTCGAGGACTTTATCGCCCGAACAGACGGCCTGCTAGACTTGGTTGTCTCGAGATTTGGTGATTTGCCTGGGCAGGCTGAGGGGTCACCACCGGCTCCTGCAGGTGACAATGAAAATGCATGGCTAGGCTCAGACGCCGATCCTCGACCAGCTGATGGCGTAGTCTTTTCCGGCGCTGGCGCCGTGGATCGACGGTCTCTAGCTCGAGTTTCCCACTGGATGGAATGGATCTACCGATATGGCGACGCGGCGTATGGAATCGGGCGGGATCCGACCTCTCTTCGCCGGCGAAAGCCCCGGAGAAAGCGAGCTCGAGCTCCTAGCCAACCTGCCACACCGGAAAGAGTGCATACCCCAGGCATACCTCGACCACTTGTCATGGCGATGCCACAGCCACCTCTAGACACCCGAAAAGAGAATAGTCATGAAACAGGGACCGGAGACTCGCCGTCTATCAGTGATCAGCAGGCCGACAAGTTGGCTTTCGGAACGGACACGGTTATGAAATACCTTACTCTGGGATATGGTTCTGCATGGAGCTTCTCCAACAAGTCAGCACCAGCGTCATCGCCATCTTCACCACCCCCCGAAAGCTCTCCAGCACAGCCCGGGCAGTCCACCACTGGGAATGGAGAAAAGGGTGAACATCCATCGAATGCTGTACGCTCTCCGCCGGCCTTGAAATCCCAACTTGGTGGCTCTCGGGGCGAGACTAAAAACAACGTCCCTGGTCGTTTTGTGCTAGGGCCGCGCGATGATCTGGACACATTGGATGACATAGAAGAGGGGAGCCCAGAGCCGGAAGTAGATGCTGGAAGACCCAGGAGTCGGATCGTTCATCGATCAATTCATGTCCGCTTAGCAGACTCTTCAGGCGAGTGTTTAAAGAAGCTTCAAGCAGTTATTTATGTGGTGGGTATACCCTAGATCCATCAACCCCTGTTAACCCGGCTAACATCGCAATAGCATCAACCCTTCATGTTCACCTTTCTATTCGACCCAGATACCCCCGCTCTATCATCTCCAGCGCTCTACTCCAGCATCCACCACCAATTGGGTCCTCTTCAAAAACCTCTTCTATCATCAACATCCCCTGCAACAGCCGCTTCCCGCATCTCCACATCCGAAGCGGCCGGCGATCCAAACAAACGCTTCTCTACACGAAGCCAACCCGTCTACGACATAGTATACGACCCCTCAAATCTGACCATCCGCTCCTCAATCCCCAACATCCCCAGCCTCGGGAGTCCAACCCCTCCAAACGAAACCTCCCAAGCCCCCAGAACTCCATCACCCTCCCCATCCCGACCAGCAGATACACCCACATTGTCTCGTGTGGAGAGCATAGCGATCCACCAACGTCTCCTCTCCACATATATCGACACCCGCCCTCGACCCCAGGAACTAGAGCGCACCTGCAAAACCAGCCGCGGGTGGTGGATCGTCTGGATCCGCATTCCGACCCCTAACACACCTTCCCACCGGCCACACGCTCTCTCATCTGCGTCTTCATCCGCAGCACTCTCCACCTTAACAGAGGACAATCAGATCCCGGGCCTTGCCTCCCCAGTTCCCGAACCAATTCCAGAGCCGCAAGAAGCATTCATCGTCCGCAGGGCGAGCGATTACGTTTCCTCGTCGGGCCATGCACGCATGAGCAGTGGCGCGCGGTTCTTCCGTGATCTGGGTGGTGCATCGTCGTCCAAATTGGCGGCTTCCCGGCCTGAGAATACGCCTTCCAAGTTGGTGGAGGGTTTGGGGATGGATGCGAGGCGGTATATTGAGGGGCTTTTGAGCTTGAATAGATGAGAACATCTGGGTGTCTTATGTCGGGATGTAAAATAGTTCTATCAAGTATTGCAATGTGGTTGTATGAAGTGATGATTTGAACGGCCAAGATTTCCGTATATTGTTTGAAATTTCAACCCCTTTAACTAAGGTGTAGGTATCGGCCTCAGTCTTAGCGGTTTTGCATAGCTACCTGGTCATGCAAATGAACAGTTGATGCTCTACATATCATGTCCGACCCTATTCGTGCCACGCGCCGGGTTAACATGTGATATATACCTATATTGTAGCTAAAACTGGATCGTAATATGGAACAGACTAGGGAGATACCGTCATACATTCCAGTGACTTTATAGAAAGAGTTCAAACTCAGCGAGTCAAGCTCTTCTCCAGGATATATGTGCAAGAGAATGAGCATTATCCCGTCTAACAAGGAGTACGATGCCAATGCAAGACCTAGTTGACCGAGCCCGCACAATAAGTAGGTTGGAAGTGTTACCTAAATACAGTACTTTACCGTGCTACATCCAAGAGAGGAGATCTTGCTCGGGTGTTATGTTTTTTAAAAATTTATACTGCCACAAGTGTAGATTGAGGCACTTTGTCATTGTGATCCAGATTCCATGGAGTCGGATTGAAAGAAAATAGAGGGTAAATAGGGCGTAGGGGCGAGGGGCAAGAGGAAGACGGGACAGGAAAAAAGAGAAGAAAAAGCCCACAGGGTTATGATGAAGACAACGCCTCCCTAGACAAATTCTGTAAAATCAAGGCAAAAAAGGAGGAGAAACACAAGAAAGTCTGCGACCAACGAGGCAGAGGAGATTGCAGGATGGGAATTGGGGGTGAGGAAAAACAAAAAATGGGGCGGAGACGACGACAAAGGGGAAAATATTGCATGACTTCAGGATGGCCCAAAATTCGACACTGTCCACGATTATCGCATGCGGGTTCCAGCAGCTTTCCCCCCTCCTCGAAACCTCTTTTAATTTCTCCAGGGGGAATCAGAATTATCCAAATTGGTCCCCAATCTCAGCTGTTGGTCGGGTTGTTTCGCTCGAACCGGAGCGCTGCAAAGCCGGGGGGTAGTTTACAGGATCGAGCACTTGCTCTTCTTGCCGGGCTTGCTCTTACCGACCTTCAGGAGGGCAGCACGGGTAGCGGCCTCGAAGACCTCACGGACACCCTCGTTGGTACGGGCAGAGCACTCGAGGTACTTGTAGGCACCAATCTTCTTGCGGATCTCCTCACCCTGTTGGAAGATGAAATGGATTAGTTTCGGAGTTTTCTCCCGGGAGGATATCGGTCGTGTAAATCAGCGATATCGAATTGAACGTACCTGCTCGGCAGTGACGGGGCTCTGGGAAGTCTTGTGCAGCTCCTCGATGGTCTTGGGGTCGTGACGCAGATCCTTCTTGCAGCCAACCAGGATAATGGGGAGGCCCTGGCAGAAGTGGAGAACCTCGGAAATCCACTGTAAAAAAAGACCGCGTCAGCATGTCTCCAGCAAACGAAGAAGCACGCCATGTGCTCCCCAAAGGAGTATTCAAAATGTTCAGGCAACCAACCTTCTCCTGGACGTTGTCGAGCGAATCGGGGGAGTCGACGGCGAAACAGATCAGGATAACGTGGGAATCGGGGTATGACAAGGGGCGGAGACGGTCGTAATCTTCTTGGCCAGCCGTATCCCAAAGAGCGAGCTCAACGTGCTTGCCATCGACCTCGACATCGGCGACGTAGTTCTCGAAAACGGTGGGGACGTACACCTGGAATGGGCAAAGAGTCAGAACGTGCGTGGCGAGCGGGTAGACGCGGGTCCCCGAGAGTCAAACGCAAGGAGCAAGGAGTATCGCTATGTGGTTGAAGACGAGCGACAGAAAAGATAGGAGATGGGGGATTTAGGTTCGGGGGCATCGGAGCCTAGAGGAATGGGCTCACCTCAGGGAAAGTGCCCTTCGAGAAGACGCTGAGAAAGATTCCGGTCAGTTGGTTGATCCAAGAAGGGGCACTCAAGGGGGATGCAGAGTGGGCGGTTCTGATGTCAGAGTACTTACATGAGCAGACAAGTCTTACCGCAGGCACCATCGCCAACGATGACGAGCTTGCGACGGATCTCGGCCATCTTGACACGGGGCAAAGAGATGTTAGCAAATGATAAGAGATTTCGGAGTCAACTAAGACGTTGAACGAGTCGAAGAAAGCATGTGAATGTTGAAGCCGGTAGATATGGAGAGATGGGGGGTCAGGGTAGATTGGTAGGACCGTGTATGAGGCAGGTTGGGAAAGGGACAAGTTCAGGCTGCCGGGGGGTGTAGGAGAGGGGAGTGAGGAGGCACTCAGGGAGAAAGGGTGTTTTGGCGTACTGTGATTCAAAGGGGCGCAACGGCGTGGATTTCACGAGATAGGTGATAGAGACAAAGCTAGCTATTGCAGATTTGCAGTAGCCAGAAGAAAGAGAGGATGGAAGCAAGAAGATTTTCCGATGGAGGATGGGGGGGGAGAATATTTGATGACTTGGGGGAGGTGGAGGGTAGACGATAGAGGCCAGACTGCCTGGGCGGTGGCAGTACCGGCCGTCTCTCGTGGTATCTCACGGTATTTCATGGTACGAGGGCTTGTATTTGGAGGGTTCCGCTGCGGTTGAAAGGGAGGCGGAGCATGGTAATAACATGTATCCAATGGTAATACTCGTCCTTCTGCTATTTATTTGTTGTGGTACTGCCGCTGCTGGTCTCGTTGTATCGATGTGGTATTCCTCGGTATCCCCTATGTATCTTTTAGGGGCTTGTTCATTTTTGTTTTCCCCTGGGCCCAGTACGGGGCATACTCCATACAGAGCTCGACATGGATGACTGCTTATGGACTGCGACGCCATTTCCAGAGACATTCGAGGAACTAAATGTGACTCTATCAAGGTATCTCGATCCGCTTTAGCTGACCTCTGCTTTCTTAGGTGTGCCTGATATGCGCCTAGCCCATTCTTTGCCCCCAATCGGGGCCTTTGTTTCAGCTAATGCTAACTAACTAATAACTACAATAGTAGTTACCCTTGCGCCTACCTCAGGCTTTGTGACCGGGGATCTCCCTCGAAGCTCTCTTTCCGTAATACCGTTACTCGGCCAGCCCTAGCAGGTTATGTGTGGCTGAGCAGGTCTATTTCCGCGTCACAGGCCTCCTCCGAAGGGCCCACTCTTTGTCCTCCTTCCCGGAGACACAGCCACCGTGGCTATGACTTGAAGAGTTATGCCATGATCTAAGATTCTGATATCATAGTCAAGGAGGGGGAAAAGGGGGCTCTAAAAATGATGCTACCGATCTAACCACGGTTGACATGAAGTATGTATGACTACCCTTGCGACCATGTCCTATCTAATACCATTTGCCTGCCTGCTTTGCGCCCGTCATGGACTGGAGACTCTCCTGGTCTGTCGCACGCTACGACGCCTCAGGCTACTCTAAGCCCGTGGCTGAAAGTATCAGCTAGATGCGCTAACCCCGGATGATCGATCATAGCCAGGAGTTCTAGAGGATATCTGAGACGACCGATTATTTACTTATCTGTCTCCTCTTTTTCATGTACTTCGCCTACAGCAAATCCGTGTATCCTTGATGGCGCGTGCGCGAAACGTATACCCTGCAGGTAAACACCCTGCCTAATAATATTACCTATCATTGGCGCTATTTCTTTTCTTTTTTGCTTCCATGGAGCCATTATTATTATCCTCGGGCATGCGCACTTTGAATTAGGGATGAACGGAAGACTCCATACTAAGTCAAGAACCGTGTAACTTGAGGGAGGCCTACTGTAATGCTGTGTATCCATAGTGCGTGGCTACGGATACCTGCGCTCCCTCGAAGGCTTGACTCGACTGTCGACATAATTGATGATCCCTCCAATAGCTTGCTGTAATTATCTCCATTCCGCCTGACACATCACCCTGCACAGATGGCGTGCACTAACTGGTAGAGTCGGTGGAGTTTGGTGCAGCTAAAACTTATCTAGACTTGCTCTGCCTTCTCCTGATCTCCTCTAGATCTTGGTTAACCTCATCTAATAATTCTTGAGCATCTACTAATAATATTTGCAGTCAGTGGTTGTCTAAAAAAAAAGGGGCCTCTTCCCATCGGCGCGCTGTTGCCAATCTACCGATATGGCCCCCCACCTTCATCCCTTTCTCCTATCCAATCACTTACGCCCCTCGTATTACATCCCGAGTTCCAGGTCCACTTGAAACGTGCATCCCTCGAGTTGGCTTAGGCCTGATCCGTCGGGGAGCATGAAGCGGTGGAGAACTGAGCACCAGCACATCTCCTTCAAGTCGTGAAAGGAGTCAGAGCCGCGTCTCAACGTTAGGTTAGTTAGTTGAACTTGGATGACTAAAAATAGGTTTTAGAACTGGGGGGCTAAGAAGCTCGATGCTAAAACTTAGTGATGTGTCTGATTGGTTTCTCCCCCCTTCTTGAAAAATAGGAGAAGTGAGACTCTTCTATGTGTGGAATGGCCCGCTAGGCTACAGCGCTTTGTGAGTGGACGCGAGCTCGAGTTATCAGGTTAGCGCTTTACTTCCGGCGCTATTGAGCTACAGACACGTACCTTTGCGTCTTGCAAATCGTTGCTCCGCAGGTCCGGATCATAGCGACTACAAAGTCAAGTCTAACACTTGACATTCGACCCGGTTGCCGCGTTCTACGTTGGTTTATTTCTGTCGCAAGCGCTCCTTCCACTAGTGAAAGCCACAGGATCCTCCCGATCGACCAGGATGGCTAGCGTTTCCATACTGCAGGACCCATCACTGCAAGCCCGACATAAGCAATCTGTCACGCTGTCCGATGGCCGCACGCTGGGCTATGCGGAATTTGGATCTCTCAGTGACGATGCCACCATAGTTCTAGCTTTTCACGGTTGGCCAGGCTCCCGATTGGAGAGCGCTGTATTCCACCCCGCCGCCAGCCAGTTAAACGTACGAATTATTGGTATTGATCGCCCGGGAATTGGTCTATCTTCTCCACAGCCAAAGCGCAAGCTCCTCGATTGGCCTGCCGATGTGCGAGAGTTGGTGCGGTACCTGAAACTCGAGCGATACTATATCATCGGTGTTTCAGCTGGCGGGCCTCATGCTCTCGCATGTGCACACGAGACTGCAGAGAATGAATTGCTCGGAGTTGGCATTGTATCTGGCCCAGGCCCGTGGGCGCTCGGTACGAAGGGCGCGAGTCTTGATCTGAAAGCTATCTTGAATGCCATAGCTTACGCGCCGTGGCTGGTACGGTATTTCATGAATTCAACATTCGTCAAACCTGCCCAGGACCAGGACCCGGCTAAGCTGGATCAAATGATGAGATCTCAAATGAAAAAGATGCCGCCTGCAGATCTAGCATTTGCGGAGAAATACCCTGACAAAGTGGACATCATGATTGCTGCTGTGCGGGAGAGCTTTAAGCAAGGTGTAGATTCCAACGTGCGAGACGGACAGATGTTGACTTCAGATTGGGGGTTCGAGTTACAGAATATCAAATTCGAAAAGGTCCTCGTGTGGCATGGAACGGAGGATGTCAATGTCCCTGTCGCCCGTGGACGTTATCTTGCGGAGCATATTCCTCACGCCGTCCTGAGAGAGTATGAAGGGGATACCCATATTACCATTCACGAGCATGCAGCTGAGATGTTGAGAGATTTGATAACCGTTTCTACTTGAAAGGTATAGTCTGTTGAAGTTTGATCAAATGGGACCGTCGTTAGTTTTTGGCAGGCCGCCGTGAATGCATGTAATGAATATGATTCATAATGATCTTAGGGAAGTCTAGAATTCAAACATAATCTGACGCTACAGGCGGTGTGACAAGAGCCATGTGCTTGAACGATCTAATAGACCTAAAGTGAAGTTGATGGGTGAACCAGTCAAACTCAGAATAGACCCTTGGCATGCTGTAGATACACTTCGGACTCGGCCTCGAGTCTTTTCGCCGACACAATACCCACATCACAATGAAATGGAAAAAAGCCTCTATGCCATTACCGAGGTAAGTTCTCCCATTAGCTGTCAATACAGCATCTCGGATAGGCAACTAACTCTTAGAATATGATCTGGGGATGCGGGGAAGAAAATCCGGGGCAACGCATACCAGGCAACCTATATAACATGTCTTCCCTCCGTTCTTCTTCCTATTAGAATATTCATTAAGAGAAACATCACACGTTTATATCTCAGGCGACAATCACTGCTACCATGACGGCTTGTCAAGAGGAAGATTTGCCCATAGGGGTGAGACCCGATGTCGATCTCGAGGAACGACAGAGTTTCAAACGATATGCGGCGACCAGAATCCCAACCTTGAAGCCCCCAATGAACCCAGTACCGAACCCATTCAAGACAGTCTTATTGTGAATAAGCAGCAATGGGCTTTTTTTGCGGTAAGTGTTTCATAATGAAAGTCGAGACGCAAATATTGACATATTCAGGTCGCTTTCTGGGGGTGGACATGGGATGCATTGGACTTTTTCACTGTTTCCCTCACTACAACTGAGCTTGCCGAGACCTTCAACAAATCAATTACGGATATTTCATGGGGAATGACCCTTGTTCTCATGCTCAGATCTGCGGGGGCCATTACCTTCGGCATCGCGTCAGACCGTTGGGGCCGGAAGTGGCGTTTTGTGGTGAACCTCATACTGTTCTCTGTGTTCGAGCTGGCAACTGGCTTTGCACAAACTTTCCAACAGTTTTTGGCCTCTCGTGCTTTATTTGGGATTGCCATGGGTGGTCTGTACGGCAATGCAGTAGCCACTGCACTGGAGGATTGCCCGACAGAAGCACGCGGAATCATGTCTGGTATCCTACAGCTCGGCTATGTCTTCGGCTACCTGCTTGCGACAGTGTTCTCCCGAGCATTGGTCAATACCACATCTCACGGATGGAGGCCACTCTTTTGGTTTTCTGCTGGCCCGCCAGTCTTGATCATAATTGGCCGGGTATTCCTTCCAGAGACGATGGCTTTTCAGCAGCGCCAACGACTACGAAATGAACGTAGAAATACAGCCGCTACAACGTTCATTCAAGAGGGAAAAGACGCTGTCAAAAACCATGGGTTGATATTTATCTATCTATTCCTCTTTGCGGCTGGAATCAATTTCATGGTGAGCAAAGTCATTACGATAGCCAGGATTAATTGACTAAATATTTGGTACTAGTCACATGGATCTCAAGATCTTTATCCGACAATGCTTAAAGTACAGTACGGATTCTCATCAACCCAGGTAACTGTCACGCAAGTCATAGCCAAGGTTGGGGCTATCTTCGGTGGCACCTTTTGTGGATGGATTAGTCAAATCATTGGGCGTCGTCTGTCGGTGATTATCATCAGTATCATCGGCGGCGCCCTCATCTATCCTTACACTTTTGTGGGAGGTAAGGCTGTGATCGCAAGTGCCTTTTTTGAGCAATTTATGGTTCAAGGAGTGGCTGCTATTGTCCCTATTCACATGTTGGAGCTATCGCCAGCCTCGTCTTGCACTTTTGTCGTGGGTGTTGCCTATCAATTGGGCAATCTTGCCTCGTCAGCGAGTTCGACCATCGATTCTACCAGGCGACAGCGACGGGGAGTGTATCAACATTCACCGATGATCACTCTGAAAAACCATGCGCACGAAGATCTTCATCATCGGTGGATATGATGTCCTCGGTGTCAATCAAAGTTTGTTGGATTTCATTCAAAGCCTAGACGATTCCTTTGTCAGAGGCCCTGCTGCGCCTGGTTGTGGAAAGATCTTGGTGAAATCCAGGAGAGGCGTTTAATTACCTTTTTCATACCCTCTGGGCTAGCATTCCTCACGAGAGGCAGTCTATCACCGCTTAAAATTGAAGGAATGCTTCCACCATTGTTTTCATTTTTGCTAGAGGCGGAAAGTGTGCCATAGCTGACCAGACCACCAATAACAGCTGCTGCAAAGAGGCCAGGCGGGTGAAGCGTTGAAACGGTCCTTAAGGGGACCCTCATGTGAGAACAAGTTGTACTGCTCAAATGCTGACGTAGACACACTCTGGCTGGGCACCTATGAAAAGGCCGACGGGTCAATCCCACAGTAAGAGCAGAAAAGCGCATTGTGTATAAGGTTCTTTTTCTCTCTCAATAAGGTTGTATGGATTCAAACTTTTTGACTTGAAGTATCCACAAATATCTCATTGTTTATATCGCCTTCCCTCAACTCTAAAATGGGATATTTTTCCGAGCTCCAGCTATCTAATAACCGCGACGGGCTGTTCCTCCCGCGTTTCTCATAATTGCGGAGTCGGCGTCCGAAGCTTTCCCCGAGTGGTGATCAATGCAACCGAGCTTCTTGAAGATGTCTCTTGGCAAAGATCCTCGAGGGTCGGAGTAAGCTATCCCGATAGCCATCAAAGAAAGTCCTCGGCATATACCTCGTACTCGCGTATGAAATCCTCAATATTGAAACTGTCTTTCAGCTTCCGTTCCGCTAATATTATCCCACCCGCCTCAGAGTAACCACTTTTGAATGCTGCGAACAGACTGGGTGTTAATCGGTAATTGGGAATAAAGAGACAATTATCGCCAGTCACCATGGTGCCTTTAAAAGCTTGATATACCACATCTGGCTCTTGGGAAATATCCACCTCTTCGCATTGTCCGAAATCGAGCAGATAAAGCCCTAATTCGCGATGCTGGAAGTCAAGAGGTTCGGACTCTGACCCTTTTTTCTGAGCGATGGATGTTCCAAGGACAAACTCCACATCATCACTGTTGACACAGGCAGCCCAGTGCATGATAGCATATGCTTTGCCAACTTCGTTTGCTAACTTCTCGACGTCCATAACAAAGCTATTCATAGACTTCAGGTAGAGAGGGAAGTTCCTCAGCGATACTGGTTCTCGAGGGATTGCACCAGTAGCTCTGCCCAAATAAACTCGTGCGAGACAATGCTTATTTGCGGGGTTCATAAGAGCGCGGTCGAGCTCAGTTGAGTCTAGCTGGTTCTCAGAGCCATAGAAGTGGTCTAGCAAAGCCCTTCGCACAACTTTGGGGAGGGGCAGGATTCGTTCCATTTTCACCACATCGCCATACTCTCGGTAGACAGATGGAATCATGGGGAAGATATCGTTCCAGAACTGATGATGCTTGCTCCTCGAGATTAATTCAAAGGTTTTGGGGACTTGGACCCAGCAGGAAGTCGTACCGCTGTAGTATTGAAATGCATCCGAAACTGCACAGTGCATTTGATATTCATGTCGTAAATTTGAGGGCAGAGTCTCATTTCCGGGCTTTTCATTTTTAAAAACATAGCACTCGCCAACTTGTTCAAATACCGCCCCTTGTAGCCCAACTCCAATCTCGCTGATGCTCCGTAGCCCGGGGTGAGACCGGGACTCCTGAATCAGGCGAGCGAAGGAGGACGAAATCGAAATGACCGAGTTTAGCGAAAGCGATTGGCCGAGAATTTCATTTTCGGGCAATAGTTGAAGGTCATTTGCCACAAGATATTTCCGCAAAGGACCCGAGGATTCCATTGCATCAGTTTCAGTAAGCTGATTGGATTGCGACATGGTTGTGTATCGCTCAGATGATAGGCGCTGTTTGAGAGTATTCGAGTTAAGAGATTGATGGAAAGTTCTCGCAGTAGCTATGAATCCTCTATTCATGATCTTTTCCAAGCGACTTGGCTAGAAAGGCAACACCGTTCCTAGGTCATCCTTCTAGAATCTAGGCACCCATCAATCTAGATAACAGTAATCAAATGAGTTCATTATTTCCAGGCTACCTAGAAACGCTCACAACGATCATATAGAGAGGCTACAAGGAATTACACAGAAGAAGATATGTGTATGAGTGATATTTTAAGAGAAAAGGGAAAGGAGGATAAGGGAGCGAAAAAAAAGTCCCAAATAGGCAAGGTGCATACATCCGCAAGCCTCAGGCTCCAAGGCCTCATAACTAACCATGTCCCAAGTCTCTCGCTCTTCATCGGGCGAAGAATTGCGGTTAAGACTCCAGTTTTAGAATACTAGAATTGGATCTGAAAGAGATCTCAAGGGATTTTCATGAAGGCACAGTGTTGATCAGGTGCTCCATTTGGATTTGTCTGCATCATCTGGTGAGTCATCAGGTGGGCAACCTACGGGAGAAAGCTGTCCAGTTGGGGGCTCGATGCTTTTCGATTGAAGCACACTTCAGAAGATTTGTCAAAGCTCTGATCCAAACTGTAATCCTTTAATTTTCTTCCTTCCAAGAAACAGCTTTTGAATCATGACAACACCCCTTTATCTCGGAATCGTGGGTCTGATACATCTCCCTTGAACTTCCATTGCCTTAACTCAACGCCGGTTGCTGACGATATTGAACAGGTGTTGGTGGCGTTGGTAATGCATTTCTAGAGCAGCTTGGACAACTGCCAAATCCACCAAAGCTCATATTACTCGCCCGCTCGTCGCAAACGCTCTCCTCCCCAGTGCCTGCGTATTCGCCAAGCATCCCGTTCGCTACCTGGGAAGATGCCGCGAAATTACCATCTTTAGTCAAATCGGATGCTTTGCCACCAACTGAGATTGCAGCCTTCCTAGCATCTGCTCCAGGAAGGACTATTCTAGTGGACAATACATCCGATCTTGCTTTAGCGCAAGCATACCCTATTTTCCTGGAACGAGGTGTGTCGGTGGTGACGCCAAACAAGAAAGGCTTCTCGGAAGATATCACTTTGTTCAATGATATTTTTGCCTCCGCTGTCCGGGGAAATGCCCTTGTTTACCACCAGTGTACGGTGGGCGGTACTCTACCGGTCCTATCGACGCTTAGGGATCTAGTAGCAACTGGTGATGAGATCATCCGAATCGAGGGGGTTCTCTCGGGGACTCTTTCGCTTCTACTATGCGAATTCATGCCTGGAAATGGCACATCAAACGTTCGATGGAGTTCTCTCGTTTCTCACGCCAAGGAAATTGGACACACGGAGCCAGACCCTCGTGATGATCTTAACGGCCTTGACTTCGCACGGAAACTCATAATTATTGCCCGGGTCATTGGTATCGAGGTCACCCGTCCCGATTCCTTCCCAGTGGAATCACTTATTCCTGACGAGCTATCCTCGCTACCGTCATCGGCCGGGGGTATTTCTGAGTTTATGAACGAGTTGCCGAAATATGATGTCAAGATGGATGCAGCAAAGAATGCAGCACGGGAGCAGGGCAAGGTTCTGCGTTATGTTGGGAGTATAGATGTGCCTACCCGAGCCATCGAGGTTGGTCTTCGGCATGTTGAGAAGGGTAGTCCAATTGCCAATCTCCAGGGCAGTCAGATTGTTAGCATCTACACCAAGCGATACGGGGCTAATCCATTAATACTTCAAGGTGGTGGCGGTGGAGGTGAGGTTACAGCCATGGGCTTGATGGCCGATTTGTTGAAGGTTATGGAGCGGTTGAAGTAAGAAGTCTGTGCACAATTGGAGACACTACGCTTAATCGATGTGATCATGATGTCAAATCATTTCTATATCTGGGTATCTGTGATCTACATACAAAACATCTTTCCGGTGTGAATATTCACTCAATCCAATCTTATTTGCCACTCTCTTTCCCAAGCAATTGTCGTAATACCATCACTTCTCCCTCCCATTTGGCTGCCTTCAATCGCAGCTCATCTCTTTCCCTTGTCATCTCTTCCAGTTTTGATTCGAGATCGGACATTTGATCCATTTTCTTCTGGCGTAATCTCCGGGCAGCCAACTTGTTTCGACGCCGCTTCTCTTGAAGACGGCCCCCATCCGAGTCTTGAGACGAAGGCGAAACACTCCTAGTCGAGACTTCTGTGGGTGCTTTGCTTTGTGATCCTGGTTTCAGATATTCAGGTTCTGGTAAACCGAAGGCTGTCGCGTAGTCGGGAGAAGGTGTGAACTGCTGGGGCCCGCGAACACCCAGCAACTGATTCGTATTTGAAGGCAAAGGCGAATAATATGTGCCTGTCTCGAGTGATGAAAGCAACTCGTTGTTGACATTAAGGCTCCTTTGATTATCTGAAACTCTCATTGGGACAGCTGAAGGCACGTGGAGAGTGTTCGAGTCGATAGTATTCGTTGTAAACCCGTCCATTGAAAATCCAAGGGTCATAGAATTTGGCTCTGGTGGGAATTGTTCCAAGCTGAATGCGATGCTTTCCAATAGTACCGGATCCATCGATAATATATCAGATGATAGTGGTGTTTGTGAAAGATCGTGTTCCAGGACATTGCTATGGGAAGTGGTCGGAGGCATGAAGTTACACCATGTTGAAGCCAACCCAGTGGGCGGCGTGAGAGCTCCGGATGTCGTCGTGGTCTCTACTGACGAATCCCAGTCAGATAGCATCTGATTGGGACTGTGCTCCAAAGACAATCGGGAAGACCTTGTTTGGGCGGGCATGATGATCGAGGCTGTTGGAGCCAGAGATAAGAACAGTATTCGAGTTTCTTCAGTACTTTAGAACGAGATTGTTTGCAGATATTGAATGAGATATGGAGGCAATATTAAAGGTTCCAGATCTCCGGGAATCCGACCATGCTATATATTCCATCTGAAACTGATCTACACAGTATAACATCTCCGATAACCATCCATGGGCCAAACCTAATAATACTTTTGTCCGACAGTTGAAATCTGGAGATTTCAGATCAAATCCGACCCTAGCGTAAATAAGTCCGGCGCTAGTGAAATATCCATCGTATTCTATTGGTGGACTTCAGATCTGACCCACTATTTAGCCTCTTGTGGTTAGCTTGAGTTTAGGTAAAGCCAAGGCTTTCTAGGGCCACAACGAGGTTGGAGATTCCCCTCCACGCTTGATGTCCGTCTCCCACGCGGATTTATGCAGCAGGCATTTGACGTGCCAGGATGGATTCCCTGGACTTAAATGCCAACTCGGATCCGAGCGCCCAGCCGGCGAAAAAACGAAAGCCGAGACCAAAGTTATCTTGTGTTCTCTGTCGTCAGAAGAAGTCCGTGCCCCATCCCCTCTAGTTGCCACCTTCCTGATGTTACATTTCCTTTATCTTCTGCCCTAAGATGTCCACTGGGCGTTATTTCTATACAGATCCTGATTAATCAATTGATTCAAATGACATTCAATACTGACTGAAATTGTAGACTAAAATGTAATCGGCAACAGCCCTGCGACAATTGCATCAAGCACAATAGAACATACATGTGCCATTTTACTGGCCCCCAAGGGCTGACGAGAAAGCAGTCTCAAGGTATTCAAGACCATCTTCGTGAGATACAATCTCGTATTGAGCAATTATCTGCGATCAATGTACAGCCTCAAGGGCCAGGTCTCGGACAAGGTTCTCAGCACCTCATTCCCAACACTTTACAACCTCAACCTGGATCAAGCGCAGAACATGATCGATCAGAAACGCAGAAGGACTTTACTGGAAATATGGTAGTGGATCAAGACGGAACACGATATGTAGATCCAACCCATTGGCAGGCAGTCCTAAATGAGGTAGGCGGTTCCATCAGACCGATAACGCTTCAGGTCACAGGGCTAATCGAACATGCAGATTTCTGAGGTCAAGGACTATCTCCAACTGACAGAAGACTCATATTCCGAAGAACAATTCGATGATTCGTTTGCTTCAGGCATCCCAGGCCCAGAGCTTCTCTTTGGCAATACAATATCGGCCCCCAAGTCTGATCTCATTGCGGCATTGCCGGCTCGGCCAGTTGCAGATCGTTTAATTTCTCTTTATTTGAATTCAAAAGAATCTACACTTGGTATTATTTCTCATACCTCTTCCAACTTCATGTCAATGATGCTAACCGATAGAAAGTTCTCATGCATGTACCCACATTTACAAAAGAGGTAACTGTCAAACACTGTATGCTCGGCTTTCAAGTACTCACATCTGTTCCATATAGTACGCTCAATTCTGGAGAACCCCCGAAGATGTGTCCCCAAACTGGCTGGCATATCTTTTCAGTATTCTATGTGCAGGGGCAGGACTGCAGTTATTTTCCACGTCTGGCCGAGCAGACGGAGAGCTCGCCGAGACTTTTGCAGAGTATCACCGACTCGCGTCGCAATGCCTTATCATGTCCAATTATACGTCACCGGGTCGATATACCATGGAAACCCTCATTCTCAGTGTGGCAATGGAGATTCTCAGAAGCACAGATAATCATCTCGGCCCCTCCGTTCTCCTCAGTCTAGCCACGAGGCTAGCTGTTCATGCAGGGTATCACAGAGACTCAAAACATTACCCTGAGATCTCTGTGTTTGACGGAGAAATGCGTCGGCGGGTCTGGACAATTCTCTCTCTGCTTGATCATTATATCTCGCTCCAAGCCGGTCTGCCACCGACTACAGTACAGACACAATCTGACACGGAGGAGCCACAGAACTTGACAGATGAAGACTTAGATCCGACAGTGACATCACTGCCTCCTGCGAGACCCTCGACCGAGAAAACTGCTATCCTCTTCCCGGTGGCACTCAATAGGATAATGTTTGCCGATGCCGACATAATCAGCAAAGTTTGTTCCGTCAAGGGGGTTCCCTACCAAGAAGTTCTTCGCTTGGATGGAAAGCTCAAAGAGCTCCATGCAACTATGCCTCCACCTTTAAAATTCCGACCCCTGAGTGAATCTATCGCAGACTCACCAAACACCATTATGGACCGCTACAATATCAACCTCATGTATCAAAAGGCCCGCTGTGACCTCCATCGTCGGTATCTCGCACAGCACCGTCTAGATCCCGCATATGCGTATTCTCGACGGGACTGTCTAGATGCCGCCAGGACTGTACTCCAGCATCAGTCTGATATCTTTGATGCGAGCAGCTCTGGTGGTCAGTTGGGCTACACGTCCTTCTTCTTTTCGCCAATCGTCGCAGTGCATTTCCGTTCTGCGGCCATGATCATTTCCTTAGAGATTTCCTGTCAGTCTCGCTATGATCTGAAACAGAATCTGCCGCCCGATCAACGAAAAATAATCTTGGAGGAGCGAATGCAGCTTTCTCAAGAAATTGAGAGAGCATACAATATCTGGAACCATTTGCGTCATCAATCTAAGGAGGCGACTAAAACAGCCGACGCTCTTCATATCATGCTTAAGGTCACGAACAACCACTTGCAGCACGGCGCAACGCCTGAGCAAGTGCAGCCATTAAGTCCACCCACCGGTTTACCAGTTACAAGCGACGCACCAGGTTACGGTAAGTCAACTTGTTTCTCATCAATCCCGGCTCAGTATCCCTTGATGGCTAACCTTGTTTTCCAGCAAATTCAATTCTCTCGACACCCGTAATGCTCGATTACCAACTACCTTCATCGGTTCTGGATAACGAACCCAGTCCATTAGACGTTGATCTAATGGATGCCACATTCTATCTGGGACGAGATTCCATACCCAGTACCAGTGATACGCGATTCGCAGGCTCGAACGGCGTTGTCGATTTTTATGAAAAATATTGGGATAATCTGATGCTTCTGGGCGGTGATCAGTCATTCTTAGATGTACCTCCAGGTGGTTCAGATCAGGAGCTGTAGTAGATGCTAGCTTAGGTCTTGTACTTCCTCCGGTCTCATTAAGATTGGATGTATTTGGGGATGCATCAGTTAATGAATGAGTAATAATATCTTATGTTCACTATTTATGAAAGAGATTATGGAGTTAGGTTGGGAACCTAGAACTGTGACGGTAGGTAAATGCAAGCTTTCGGGGTGAGCAGTAGTTGTGGGTGGTGTGGATATATATCGAGCGTCAAGGTCAACCTCCGTTCAGTTACATATACCTGAGTTGCTGCTGGACCACATTTGCGGGAGAATCGTAAAATTACCCAATGTGTCAGATACCTCTCCCTTCAACTATGCCATTTTGCATCATTGACCTTCCTTGGATCTGTAAGAAAGATATGCTTAAGGTTGGAAGGTTGCCCCAGGTATACAAATATTACATAATCCACATCGGAGCACGTCACGTGCTTCAAGATGCGGCCGCAATTTTCCGTCCGCGCATTTCACGGAGTCGACGAGCAGCAACATTTCAGCCATTGCTGGCCCTCAATCACTCAACATGCAGAAGGTCATCCAAAGGACGGCCTCGGCCAGAAAGCAGGCCCAGAAGAAGCTCTTCCGGGCCAAGCAACAGGAATCATTGGTGGATCGCAAGGACACAATTCGAACGCGAAAGGAATACAACCGGGCTCTGATCGACAACCTCAAGGAAGCTCGGAACGCCCGCTGGGAGGACTGGCAGAAGGGAGAGCTGGCCCCGAAGCGTGATACTGGACTCGAAGCTACAACCTACGGTGCTCTTGATCCTGCCTTGATGCACCCACCGCGCATTCCGCAACACCTCCGCCGAAAGCACACCCTCTTCGCACCCGGAGATCGAGTCTGCGTTATTCGCGGTCGGGACCAGGGCAAGATTGAAGAGGTCACCCAGGTTAACGAGGAAAGCGAGACCCTGCTGATCAAGAACGTCAATGAGGTATGGCCGAGCCCCCTTGCCTGTCGTGTTGTTGTTCCACCCGCGACAATTGCATCTCTCCCGACTCGAGTGACTAATTGAGATACTTTCTTTAGGCCGATATCAATGTTCCCGAGTGGGCCAAGGCTTCAATGGGAATCAAGAGCGACGTTCTCGCCCAAAACATGCCAGTGCCAATGGACGACGTTCGACTTGTCTTCGCCATGACTGACGGGAATACCACCAAAGACTACATTGTACAACACGCCCATGTCGGAAGGCCGTATACCGAGCGACCCCGTTGGAGTAAAGTGCCCAAATACACTCGATATGTCTCCGGCCTGAACATTCGCATCCCTTGGCCTACCGAGGAGGAGCCGCAGTACGAAGATGCAGCATCCGACACAACACGAATGGAAGTCGAAGAAAGCACTTGGGTGCCTTCCTTGGATAACTCGCCTTTCCCCTCTACCATCATTGACGAACTGCGCAACAAGTACTCTCGATTCCGAACACGCCACGACGAGGAGTACGTGCGGGAGAAGGTCATGGAAGAATACCGCCAGGAATACCTTTCCCAGCAGGCTATCTTGACGCCCGCTGGTGAGTTGAAGAAGATGAAGGTGGAGCAGAGCATCCAGGCGAGACAGGCGCGGACAGATGAGGATGGCAACTTGATGATGGATTCGGAGACCACCAACTTCATCGAGCGCTTCATGAGCCAGAATGCGGCCTCCAAGAAGGCAGGCAAGGCCAAGCAGACTGCTTGAGTGAAGTGGAGAGATGGGCAGTTTCTTTTTCAAAGATAGCGATGTGTATAAATTTCAACTGTATTCTAGTCTGGCATATGCGACCAATTTTATCTCCCTGCGGGTGCAATTTCTTTTGGATATTCCCTGCAGTTCTCCTGGTCAGACCTAAGCTTTAAGACAGTGGCGAATGTAGGGTCTATCATTTCCAGTCTATTACGCGGGCCGCCAGGGGAGAACGATAGGCGGTTCCGCGTCCACGCCCATTCATTCTTAATCTTAGTTTCCAACTCCCTCCTACCCAAATCTTTCCTGCACTGCCTCCCCTTTCTTGGGCAGTTGCAAAATCAATCATGGCATTCGCTGCGATCAATTCCGCAGGCAAGCCCATCATCGCCATTGAGGAGGCCTTTGCGACCGAGCCCTCGCTCAAGAAACGAGTTTATGATGCGATCGGTGCGTGCCCAGTTGGCGGCACAATCTAAGCCCTCCCAAAAGCGTCTAATGAAGTTGTTGAACACCCACTGACCAACTTTTACTCGATTTAATAATATAGGAGCTACGCCGCAGCATGCACCCCTCTTTGAGGATCTCGCTCGATATACCTCCTCCCTGCTGGCCAGGACTGCGAAAACTGCTTCCCTTCCGCTCGTACCGCCGCCCAGCGAGGGCCCAGCCGTGAAGAAACGCAAAATACAAAATGGAGAGCCACAAGTAACGGCGCAGGCGCCGGTTGATGTCAAGGGCGATGCGCCCATCCAATTCGTCGTCGAGGATGTCTCGTTTGCTATCCCGCAACGCAAGAAGCTCACGCTCGAGGTTACCGCTGGGAACAGGTATCTGCGTGCGAGGAACCAGACCTCAAAACAGGTGGAGTTTGGAATCCCCATGGATCGAATCCGTAAGTTATTGTCTCTCTTTTCTCTGATTCTATTTGGTTCTATTTGGCCTTGAGTTCATGTCGATGATTGAGGAAGGATTGCTAATGTTCTTTATCGCATACCCTTAGGTCATGCCTTGTGCCTCCCTGTGCCCGAAAAGACGCAAAAGCAGTTCAACTTTTGTATCATTCCCGAATATGCTGATGGAGTCACGCCGCCGCCCGAGGGTATTACCACCTTTGAATGTATGGTCTTCACGGTACCCGACGGCCCAGCCAAGGCCGCATTCGACGGATCGAGACAACAGATTGGGAATAATGCTGGCGAGACTGCCGAGGCTCTGATCCGGAAGATCCTGAACGACAATTTGACAACCACTAGCGTTGTGCGACCTGATGAGAGGCAATTCGTGAGCGCAATGCCCGAGGCGCATCGCAAATCCGAGAAAGCATACCATGTCAAGGCGTTCCGGGGTAGTAAAGAAGGTACATTTATACTCTTGATATTATGAGGCTGTCATTAAGAATGGCAACCTCACTTTCAGCTCACTTTTTATTAACTAATATTAGGTTACCTTTTCCTACTTTCATCTGGCATTCTCTTCGCGTTCAAGAAGCCCCTTTTGTTCTTCTCCTTCGACACTATCGAGTCTGTCTCGTACACCTCGGTCCTTCAGCGCACCTTTAACTTGAATATCCTGGCCCGGCCAAGTGGCGGCACTGATGATGATACGCAAGAATTCGAGTTCTCGATGATCGACCAGGCCGACTTTGACGGTATTGACACCTATATCAAGCGCCACGGTCTTCAAGATGCCAGTCTTGCAGAGGCACGACGGGCGAAGAAATACAACGTCAACGGCGGCAACAAAGCCGAAGATGGCACTGATGGCGCCGAGGGTGCTGGCGAAGAAGAGAGTGAACTACAGAAAGCCCAGCAAGAGCTTGAAGACCTGGAGGACGAGGATGAAGAGGACTACGATCCGGGCAGTGATGATGGGAGTGATGGCAGTGGTTCTAGCAGTGAAGAAGACTCAGATGAGGATGAATTCCACGAGGATGCCGACGCGGTCAGTGATGGAGACGAGAACCTGGTCGAACAGGAGCTCGGTAGTGAAGCGGAGGATATTGGCGACGAAGAATAGGCCGGGCATTGACGGAACCCCCTGGATCTGAATATCCGGCCTCCCCTTTGGTGACCTTGTATCACGATTTGGCCCAACTGCTGTTAGAATTGAATGTTCGTTGAATGTTCTACCGGGGGCATTGAACCCGGTCGACCTCGTTGACACCTTTCTATACCATAACTGTAGACGACAAGTTAAGAAACCTTCTTTCACCGTCTTCTGCAATGTTCAAGACAAGCGCCCCCGATGGTCGGTGGGTCGAAGAAGACGTGTCAAATCTGCGACCAAGGGGTTAATCTATCTGCCTCGATGCCTCAGAACCAAACAGTAGCTGCAATAAATAAGCAGCTGTCAATGCATTACATCGGGCTTGGCTCGCTTGGTTCTAGACTGACCACAGATTCTTGCTCCTATATGTATTGTACTACTTACTACGGGCCGAGGAACGATTTCCAAGGCAGAACAGGTCGATCACTGACTTCATAGTTTAGATTACATCTTGACCACGATCGATCCTTTTGGGTTTAGGGCCGGGACCATGGGCTATGCCAAGCCCCGTAATCTTACCGCTCGCTTTTAAGCGCATTCCAGCCAAAAAGAGTGAGAAATGGCGACAGAGGGAAAGAGAAAAAAACTCGGTTCGCAGAAACGGGAATCCGCTGGTACGGCGATACCCGCCACAACTACTACATAGATCTAGTAGTATGGAGTAGATACTCCGTGACTCCATCTTAACTAACCAACTCTAGTCCTAGGGTAGGATACTCTTCGTATGGAGGTTTTCTGCCCCCTATCAGAGGCTCAGAGCCCCCCGTTCGGACCCGGCCATGTTAATCTTGTCCACCTAGTCCAAACTTTAGGGTAGTCCGGCTCCGTGGCCGTGCCTGCAGCACTGATCCTGCAGGGTAGCGCCCGAGAGGAGGGAGAGTGAGAAAAAAAAACACCCAAAGGACCGGACAAAGAGCTACACGGCGCTAGACACAGGTACGATACCGCCGCGTCTGTGGCCTGTGCCCTAGGGCATGAGCGTTTCACAGGCGCCCAAAGAAAAACCTGGGTTCGAGCCTTTCCATAGATAGTGGTATACCTGTTCCGTAGATATTCCCTAGAGAGAGAATATGGATGGTAGAAGGCAGGACTAACGTATATCTTGTAGTGACCCTATCACCATAACCTACGATGTAGCGGTGGTGAAGAAAAGACTCCGCAAAAGAAAAGGCCCCGGTTCTCAACGGTAACGTAAACGAGGCGTGACCACCCGTGACCGCCAGTTCTGGCGCTTCCCCCGTGGTCGACGGGTACCAAATACACTCCCAATACCCTCCGCTCCCTTCGCTCAACTTCTCCCTCTCTTCTCTTCTCCTCATCTCCACCCTCCCCTTCCCACTCCTCCCCCTTCCCTGGAATCCTCCTGTTCAGTACGTGCGTGCTTGCAGTCGAGTCCTTCGGGTTCTCTTTTGGTTGCTTTTTGTCTCGCTCTCGCGGTCTCGGCATATCCTTCCCCTCCCAGTTCTACCTCAGCTCGCTCTGCTTGGACTCGTCCACCCCGAAAACCTTCAGCTCTTGGCCCTTGAAGAAACCTCGTCAATTCTTCCTCAATAGGTCCCAATTCTGTTCAATCCGCTACTCTAGCTCCCATTGCTGCCACTTCCGCTTGTCTTCATCGCTCGGCAAATCGACCTTTGTCGCCTCGTCCGTTCGATCTTGCGTCTACCGGCACATTGGTCAAGCCGTGCATATCTCCTCCCCCCATTGAGATATCGGGAATCGCTTCAGGGCAAACCAGGAACTATCCCCTGCGGTGTATGTTCGCCTTCAGCGACTAGTTGTCATGTGCTCCCTGGATTGACATCGTGCTGACTGTGCCTCGTCTAGACGTCGAATCACGTGCCTGCCTCCCTGAAGCCGTCACCCCGTGATCCAAAGTCTCCTTCCTCAGACCACCGCCCTCGCAAGCCTTCGTCATGGCGTCTTCCTCCTCGAATGTAGTGGGCGTCCACTACCGTGTGGGCAAGAAGATCGGCGAGGGTTCTTTTGGTGTCATTTTCGAGGGCACCAACCTCCTGAACAACCAGCAGGTGGCCATCAAATTCGTGCGTGCTCACATGTTTCTTTGTACCCGTGATGGGAGGATACCTTGATACTGACCGAATCAGGAACCTCGCAAGAGTGATGCTCCCCAGCTGCGTGATGAGTACCGGACGTACAAGATCTTGGTCGGATGCCGTAAGTTCTCTCTCAGGAAGCGCGACTCCCCGACGCCCCTTTCTTCCATGCTAACTCTCGTTCGCAGCCGGTATCCCCAATGTCTACTACTTCGGACAGGAGGGTCTGCACAACATCCTCGTTATCGACCTTCTCGGACCTAGTCTCGAGGATCTCTTCGATCACTGCAACCGCCGGTTCACGACCAAGACCGTTGTTATGGTCGCCAAGCAGATGGTTCGTCTTATCGAGTCTTTTGACATGAAGACTTCCGGCTAATCTCCCTTTCTATCTAGCTTTCGCGCGTGCAAACAATTCACGAGAAGAACCTGATCTACCGTGATATCAAGCCCGACAACTTCCTCATCGGCCGCCCGGGAACCAAGGCCGCCAACGTCATCCATGTCGTTGATTTCGGTATGGCCAAGCAATATCGTGACCCCAAGACCAAGCAACACATCCCTTATCGCGAGCGCAAGTCCTTGTCAGGTACTGCTCGGTACATGAGTATCAACACACACTTGGGTCGTGAGCAATCACGACGAGATGACCTGGAGGCTCTGGGTCACGTTTTCATGTACTTCCTGCGTGGTGGTCTCCCCTGGCAGGGATTGAAGGCTGCCACCAACAAGCAAAAGTACGAGAAGATTGGTGAGAAGAAGCAGACGACCGCTATCAAAGATCTTTGCGAGGGATATCCTGGTGCGTATTCTTGATATCCTGATTTTCGTCAAACCCGATTACTGACCTTATCACAGAGGAATTCAACAAATACTTGAGCTATGTTCGCAACCTTGGCTTCGAGGACACCCCTGACTACGACTATCTGCGCGATCTCTTGACGCAGGCCCTCAAGAACGCCGGAGAGGTGGAGGACGGAGAGTACGACTGGATGAAGCTGAACAATGGCCGTGGTTGGGACTACAAGTCCTACTCGTCACAGGCTCACCTCCACAACCAGCACCACAGCTCCTCGGGCCGCGACTTGCAAGGAAACCAGCTTCGCAACAGCCAGCGGCCCGGTGTGACTGCCGACCGTTTAAACGCGGCACAGCCGCCGCCTCCATCTCCAGCCAACAAGGCCGGAGCTGGAAAGACGCGCGAGCGACCAAGCGCCGGCGGCGTGCCACCGAAACGCCAGAGCGGAGGCTTGGAAGCCACGACCCCAGCCGCATCTACTCAGGCTCAATTCCAGAACTCCAACGCCCATCTTCCCGGTCGTATGGGAAGCCCCGGTAACCCCGGCCTGAGCAGCCAGCAAGTTGGCGGACAAGGGAACAACGACCCGCAGCCCACTTTCGTCCAGAAGGTGATGAAGGCTCTGTGCTGCGGTAGGTGATCCACCTACCCGTGAACCATCTTTCCAGCTTTCGTGGCGGCTTGCTCATCATCATGCTCGGGATTGCAGGTTGAACTTGACCAATTGATGCGGCGACATGGTTTCTGGATTGAACACGGCCCTCGTTTTCCTACTTCTGCTCTTTCTACCCATAAATGTCGTCAACAAAATGGCCGAAGAATTTACAAAACACGTCGGCATGGGATTTACAGTGTGGCCTTTGGTTTGAACTTGTCAGGCTTTGGCCGTTATTACGGGCAAGTCTGGCGAGTCAAGCTGCTTGGCCTTCTCTCTCTTACTCTCATCCATTTCACCCTCCTATTTTCTTCCCATTCGACGCTTCGACCTACGCTATTATCTCGACCTGGGTAGAAACGACCTTTCTCATTTCTCATTGATGTTACGTCCCATCACTCTTTTTCACGGTGCCACGGCTCGGAACGGCGAACTTCAAAGATCTTTTTGTCTTGTGTTTTCCCATCTTTCCTCGTCATTATATCCGGCGTCTTTCGTCGACTAATACAAAATTTCCTTGCAATCGAGTGGATCTGGGGTTTGCGTTTCTCCCCGCTCGAGTCCTGTCGTTTCTCAAGTCCTCTGCGGCGTCCGTTGTCTCCCCCAGGGAATCGCGTCGATGAGGCTCTTCTGGAAAGAAAACATTACTTGTCGTGGAGGACCTTTGAAACGAACAGGACTTGTCTCTTTTCCCAGGCCGGAATTACACAATGGATGACACTCCACAGAAGGACGACAGCCTCTATCTACAACCAGGACTTGAGAAGGTCAATCTTATTCATGAGCACCCGCTGTCTCTTTTTCCCATCCCATTTCGTTTTCTGGACATGATGGGCTTTTTAATGTTGTCTTTCTTTGCTTTTGTTCGGGTTGTTTCTTCTGCTGGGTTGTTCCTCATGATGATCTCTCCATGCGCCATCACTTTTCATCTCTTCCGGATTCAATGCTGCATTCTTGATCGACTGCATCGGCCATGCGATTCATCCCGCTCTCTCTGGTAGGGACCGCATTGTTGCATATATTCCGCTGGCCCTTGGATCCCCTCCTCCCCTCGTCCTCTTGTCTTGAGTATCTTGGTTGTTTCATCCCCTTGTCGAATCTATTGGCCTTGTCTATAATCGTTTTCCTGTCGTTCTGCTCTTGCTCCGTTTCAGAAGCGAGTCTTTTTTTTGTGCTTTTACAGGTAGTTTTGGCATAAGATAGCATTGTTTTTTTTTCTCCTTCGTTCTCCCTGCTTCCTTTGTCATGTTCGGCTCTGCGGTCTTTACATGTGTGGTGTAGCGGTATATACTCGGTTCGCTGTTTGACAGCTAATACATTTGCGACTTGATCTGTGAGTTCTTGGTCTACAGTAAGATCTAGAGAATACTGGTGGTACATTGGCCGGAGTACCTGTCCTGTCCACGTCTTGGTCCTTTCATGAGAGCAGTATTCTGGTCTAATTATGCCATCGCCATGTTCGTCTCACTTCACGCTGGCAGTATAAACCCTTTGGCCATCCTCGCCGCCATATCGTGACCCATCCCATTTTTCCTCTACAGATAGAATTGTCCATCATTAGATCACACAATGACCACATACACCAACCTCGCTAAGAGTCAATCCTCGTCAAGACCACTGACGTTCTTCGCCCATGATAAGGGGGTGGCAACATCAAACATCCCGTCCTCCGTCATCGCAACGGCATCATCACTTTGCAGAGCCTTGCCAAATCTGGAGCTAACATTGAACAATCGTGCATGGTAGGTCTACCAATGATACCTTCCAATTCACCACACCATCACTACTCGCGTAGAATATCGACAGGAAACTAAAACACGCCACCCGCCGGTGCAATATCCAGATGATGATTCCTACTGGCTTGACGTCGCATTTGGATGGGTGTTTAGTCGATTCTTGTCTGTATTGTACTGCAATTGTAAAAGGTAATTTAGATCTAGTCTGCCCTCGTAGAAGAAATAATAGTTATGTTTTCATGGTTTATTGAATAACAGTCTAATCATATTCGCATGTCCACCTACAAAATCCAAACCCCATCTCGGCCTCACCCCCACCCTGCACGCACTGCACTACACTACACTACACATCGGGCCTCGGCTCTACAGCATGCCTATCTCCTGTAGTCTCCAAATCCGTCTATTCCCCGTAGGCATCTCTGCATGACAGGGTACTCACCCACACAGCCACTCACAGCCCCCAATCCCCGCAGTTGGGTACGAGTGTAAGTCTTGGCGGAGGGTTAGGGTCAGATTGTGACTCGTGAGGCAACTGCGTTTTTTTTTACCAGGGATTATGGATAAAAGGCTATAGGGAGTGATGATGTGTGCCGTGGCTAGGCAGAGACTTTTCCGTTTTTTGTTTTGTGCATGGTTGCGGTGTTGTGAGGGGTGCTGGGTGGGCTTACGGATTGCCGGAGTGGCTGTGTCGGGGCTGAGGGTTGTGGGTGAGGTTGTGGGTTGATCGGAGGGTTTGTGTACCCTGTAGGGCGTGGGCTTGGCTTTGTGTGAGGTAATTTTTGAGGAATTGGGGTTGCTATTGGGGTTGAGGGTTGTACGTGGGTAGAAGGGTTGTGGGTGTTAGATTCTGGAGAAGGGCGGATGGTCGGATTTAGGATCGTGAGGTCAGTCCGGTTGAGATACTGGGGTGGTCCATGAATGGTTAGAAATTTAGAATATGGTGTGACTAAGGTGTAGTGGCAAGCAGGTAACTAGTCGAGTACAAGTTTAGTTCAGTTACTTACTTCTCTGTTCATACTTTGGATGATAAGACGTTTTGAAGACACTGTGCTAGGTCTTCTGATTCATGATCTATATCCCTGGATCTGAAATTCACACTTGAAGTAGGCCAGTGCTTGTCTAGTCCATACTATAGCCTAAAGCTTCCCATAGCAGCAAAGACTTTTACAATATCAAAATGGAAACCAATCTCGGCATAAGCTGCAGAAAGACTAGCGCACTCCCCAAGCTCGACGGTACATGTCTCGACGAACAAAATCATATGATGATCATGTAGCAAGAAATCCTTTTGGTTGGGCTTGGCCCCAGAGTAGCCCTGTACTTGGCGTGAGAATGGTGGAGGTGTAAGTGGGGTAGCTATAGTCAAATCTGATATCCCGGGATGAGTTTCAACCTAATGCAGACGCGGGACGAGTGGGATGATTTGGCCCGAAGAAAACCCGAGGAGGGGGGTTTTCGATCGCGTCTTGTAGAGTCCGTAATATACTTGCTGGTCATGAGGCAAGTAGTATTGTATTGGAATTGTGAGAGGAACTTTTGTTGTTTCTCGGATCATTTAGCAAACGGGAAGGGAGAAAGTCGTCGGGAGACTGATAAGTGATCTGATTTTGGGTCTCAAATCTATACTTGAGGAGAGCGAGCATGCAGCCCATCAGACGAAAGCCGGAGGATAGTCAGCTCTTTGATCATGGACAGTTGTTATAATGCCCAATCGTTACGTGTGCCCATTTGATATGACTGGACAAGGTGGTAGTTCAAATGAGGATCTTACAGGCTCATCGATGACCAGACTAGGACATATCCTTATGCGTAAACTCGTGTGCGTAGATGGGATTATTTGCCTTTCAAGAAGGATTCTGAGAGTATTTGCTCGATTCTGTCTAGTCCAAGCTACAATCTTGCTATGCACCAAGGTCAGTAGCGTCTGCTAGAGGGGTGTGATTCCTTGAAGTTTGAATAAGAAAATAACCGGGCGAGCCTAAGCCTAACCTGACTGTTGCCTGAAAATTCTTGTACAACATAAAATACTCCTATAGACTAATGTCAACAATCACGTCGCACCTATGCCTTATGTCATGCCACGATGGTATGACGATTACAGATATGAATATCATAATGAAACAACCTAAAACAGTGGGTCATCTCCATTCTCCATTATTCTAACTCCCTCCTGAAGAACTACTTACACCAATACAGCTGAAATACCTGATGATCTGATGATCGACCTTCTCCCCATCAACGGACTGTGTTAGTCACCTGAAGGACGATGCAGATCCAGACCCGCCTTTTGCAACCAAAGTATCCAGATCCACGCCACAAGAAAAGCCATAATCTCATCGGCCGGGACCCCGGATCCGATAAACCGCGCGCGGTATTGGCAGGCACTGGGTGAAAAGCTCTCGCTTATTTCCGAGCCTGAGCCTTGGATCTCTCTGAGTTTGATCATGTGGTGGCTGGATGTTGATCGTATTGACTTTGAAGAGCGTGATATGGCTTTTGTCAGCAAGGTCTCGAACTGCCCTCCAGTTAACTATAGAGAGGGGCTGAGTAAGTATTGATAATGGATGGTTTGCGAGTCCTGTACGTCATTTGTTCAAGAGCTTACAAACTTTCTTTTGTTGATCTCAAATGACAGTTCTCATTTTTGTGCCACTCTAGTTTTGATAACGTTTCAGTAACCCTTTCATCACGGGTATTCGGAAAGGGGGGTTGGAGCCTGGATTGACTGATTACATCGCGCCTTGGATCATGATCGGCTTGTAGTTTCCATTTACTCTTAGAGTATTGTGGCTAAGTTCTAGCGAGCAACTTTAGTTACTGACCTTCCTCTTCAAGATCTCCAGTCATTTTTACCCCAGATTCAACTGTTGGAGTTTCTGGGAACATGTACCAGGTTTCCAGTCTGTCCAAAGCCAGATATAATTTTACAATATTTCCCCAATTGGCCAGCTAAACACGAATTCAACTGCCTCAGTCTTGGCCGTCAGACTCGGCATAGCTCTCGTCTGCAGTATCATCCAAATAACCACCAGCACCGTCAGGTAGAATACATATGAACACGCGAGCCTTTACCGAAACCTTGAATACCGAAAAGGTAAATCCAATAGATCACTCACCCCGCAGTCGATCACTGCAATTCGAGAAAGGATGGAAAGGATGTTCGAAAGACCAAACCTTCCATGGGCAACGAATACCCAACCAATCAAACGGCAGGACGATGACACTAATATCATCCATGTGACCAAATGTTGCGCTAGTGGATTCAATGGAACCAATCATATTCGCAGGACACTCGAGCAACAGCGGGATGCCAAGGCTAAAGTGCCTGCCTGCGATACGAACAACCCTCTCAGTGACCCTGGGAAATAATCAAACAGACAATACTAATCGATATCTTTGACCTTTCACAACGCTTCCTTTGGCAGATTGCTAATCTTGAATCCTGAAAATGGCAGATACCACTCCTAAAGAGGTCCCTTGGCACGCGGCGTATCCCGCCCCAAAGTCTGTTGTGGCAGCGTTACCCCGCCATGAGCTTCTGCAATGGTTCCGTGACGGGAAGAAGGCTGGAAAGGACTTTGTGCTTGTAGACGTGCGGCGTACCGATTTTGAGGTATGCATTGACTTGATTTGGTGGATGATCTTTGGGTTGCAAGGGTGAATGTACTACTGTATCAAATCAAGGCTAACATGATCGGGTTAGGGTGGCACCATTCGTGGCTCGATCAATCTGCCAGCACACAGTCTTTACCCGACGTTACCAGCAGTGTATGCGCTTCTATCGAGTAGTGGTGTGAAGCATGTTATCTGGTACTGCGGTAAGTCTAGGATCTTTATGCTTTTGATTGATAATCCGGCCAATGCTCATCATTGAGTAGGATCTTGCAACGGACGAGGCCCGCGGTCGGCAAATTGGTTTGCAGACTACTTGGCGCAAGAACAAGACACGACTATGCAGAGCTTGATTCTGGAAGGCGGAATTAAAGGCTGGGCTGCAGCTGGGCCGGAGTACACTGAGTTGATGGACGAATATGATGCAAGTGTCTGGACTAAGAAGTGAAGCTGCAGCTTGGATTAAATGCCAAGAAGAATGTGTTGTGTGTACAGGAGCATGCTTGTACATAATAGTAAACATACATTGGCCATGAATTGTCTCTGATAGAAGGCCTTACATACAAAGATATTTCTTGAGGAAGAAAACTATCAATTCCATGGAGGGTATAATAGTGTACGACGGTCAATTTTGGAATAGTTCGTGAATTGTAGATCCAGTCCCACCGATGATATCACAGCCTCGAGTTGGGGCATTGTAGTTGCAGCAGAGCACAACTCAGGGATGCCCATGTCTTCCACCCGAGGATGCAATGCTGCATAACGACGGTGCCAGACTCTTGTCAATCTGAAACCTGCAACCAGCCCAGCACCTTTATCAATCGGGCGCCAAGCGATCGACTCAGACTGGATTCGCACTCGATCAAACAAATTATACGAGCGAGCTCTTCCAGTCTGGACCACGCCATCCTAGCCTTACTGTAGGTGACTTTGACCGGGGTTGGTCACGGCATGCGCAGCCTTGAGCAATAATAGCGAACACAATACTGATCCCTGTCCACAGCACAGACTAAACAGGGTAATGCAGCACACCATCCCGATTGAGTGCACGCAATTCTGGGATCTGAAATATGGGTACGATTATCTAGGACTGTAGGCAAGTGCAGAACCAAAACAGTGGTAGTGCAGATCCCCCAGCGGCAAATACATGGACACACCAGATCCGAATCACCAGATGGCACGCCCGTCGGGTCATCGCGCTCGTACACTTTTGGCTAAACAGCTAGCGCTTCGTCGAGAGCAAAGTTGGCTCGTACAGACATGACTGGTTGATGAACAAGGTGGGAGGGGCGAGTTTGGCGAGCTTCGTTAATTGAGCTCGTCCATTTGTCTCCACTGTCCATTGTAATGAGACTAGCATCGAGTTTAACTAAAGTATCTTACCTGACTAGCCCTGATTCTATATTACAGACGATAGAGAGTCAGCGCATGTACCTTTCCCTCGAGAACAGGAAGCTTCACTCACGCACGTTGACTTGGTTAGTGCTGTTCTTGTTTCAAGTAGCGCCCAGCCTCGAGCCTCGTCCGTCGCACATCCCGTTATCTTCTCCACCGCGGCGTCTGTAAAAGCCCACAGCGTGCAGCGAACTCGTCTTTTAACTTGACTATGTAATTTCCAAAGACTCCACCGTACTCTATACGGTATGGAATCTTAATCTCCCACGATCCCGTTCCCGCGCCCCCGTGTCGGCCTAGCCAGAACATCGTGAAACGGCGTTCGAATCTGCTAGCGCTAGTCGGCCGTGTCGGAAACAAGATTTGGGCTAATGGTTGTGGGGCGCATGAGGTCATTTGCGGCTTCTGCCGTGCGCTCCGTTTTTGATCGGCTGGTGAGAAGACGATGTTGTAGGGAGCGGAGGCTACTTGAGATGTTTTTTTCCCCCTTTAATGTTGGATCTGGTGGAGTCAACGGGGAGGAGGAATTGACGCGGGAAAGATCTGGACCGTGGCGATCATGGGATGATTATTGCGTGGGTTGTTTTTGCCTTGTCTCTTCATTCTTGGTTGAAAGCAAATAGGTTTGTGTGACGGATCTGCTGGGATAACTGTGGATATCTGAGTTCTGGACGGACCGTAGTTTTGGACGGGATCGAAAGGTTATGGAAGAATGGAAGTATGGAATTGGAAGTGGAAATTACATTGGAACTCATGACGATTACGTCTTGGTACGTAAGACTTATCACTTATCTTTCAGTATGACTTTGGAAGGTTGGATGTGTCGCTGTTGACGTCGGGGATGGAAGCGAGCTGGTTCGTAATGATATCTATGCACCTTGTCTGTTGGATGGTTAGTCGCTGCTGGTATCGCCGTCATTTGAGCGATTTGTGTAACTTCCAATCGTCTTCGGGACCATCTAAATCCGCGAAATCAAATCATTGAGCGACAAACCCCCTGCGCCTCCCCCGGTCAATGCACATAATTAGTACACCTGGCTGTCTAAAGTAGGGTCGTACGGCATTCTGTAGGATGCAGCAGTTAGCTACCATGTTCAAGAGTTATGTATCTACGGGGTACTAGGCGATGATAACTTTTCTATGAGGTAGTTATCTCCGACACTCAAACCCTTTCTCCCTTTCGCAAATTCCAAGCCAATCAATGCCTTGTAACACCCTCCAAAGGCAAGACCAAGCACTGTTCACTCAGGAGCCGTTCCCTCTGACCAGACAGGACAAGACGCACACGAGACCTCTCAAAAGCACAAGAGTTTCTGCGCACGGGGCTCGAGTCTCGACAGATCACACACTTTCTCCCCCGCCAACATACTAGCGCTAGCAACGAGATTGCATTTCCCCCAGGCAAAAACCCAGTCGGAAGGCCGCTAGACAGCCGAGCCGAGCTTCTCGATGGCCCCCCAGCGCAAAGTCCCCCAGGTATTGTGGTAAGCAGGCAAGTAAAGCGCGATGATCCCGTGCGTGTGTGGGGAATCCTTGCTGCCAAGGGGGCCTTGGTCGGGGAAATTGTGGAGCGAGTTAAGCCCGCTAGACTGTGCTGCGAGTTCCTTTCCCCCCTTTTGTCTCTCGTACAGGATACGGTCGCGTTTTATTTGTCGATTAGTCGAGTTTTGACACCTCTGCGCGCGATGCTTGCCCGACTGGGACTGGCCTGGGTGGACTTAAAGACGCTAGTCAGACTATCGTGGGCGAGGGAGTCTTGGCTGCATGCGAGATGGGGTTGGGAGTTGGGGGTAGACTGGTTTTTGGAAACCTTTGGTTGGATGGTCAACTTATTACTGTGCAGTTTTCCCTCTTCCTTTCGACTTACACTAACCATCCCCGGGGGTTTATGTCGGGGACACGTCTGGGCGGACGAGGAGGTGCAGCGGGGCTGCATGCCCAGACATTAGGGTGGTCGAAGCTAGAAGCTCCGGGGTGTAGCTCTGGAGGGACCACGTAGAGGTACATACTGTAGATAGGGATTTGTTGCCTGCTGCTGTCTGTAGGCTGCGAGATACTGTAAGATAGCTGCTGCTGACACGCTGCCAAGACCGGCCTGAAAGCCGAGCTCAAGCTGTCAGTGGATGTGTCCTCCGACAAAATAGAGACGGTGAGAACCTGCCGATTCATCCGTGCTGGCCCTTAGAAGGTTGGAACTGTTCAAGGTTTACTACCACTTTTCTAGTCGTGGGTGTACAGAATGTTAATTGTGGAAAAGAAGTACTAAATCTGTATGGTACCTTAATGTATGTATACAGGGGTGTTCACCCTTGACTGGGCCTCAAGTTAGCACCAAAAATAATCGCTACTACGTCGCTCTATCTCATGACCAGGTATTTTCAAGCAACAAGGCCGTTCGAACCGCCGACAAACCGATTCTTCCGTGAACGAACTCGAAGCATGCAGTGGCACGAAACTCGCAGTATGCAGGACCGATACGCTACCACGACCAGGCCCTACCCTAGTCACCTAGTGCCCAGTCATACACAACTCTCTCGATACAGTTCTGCACACGAGAGGTTTGCGAAACAGCTCCAGCAACTCGGGTCTCCATACCACGTACTTTGTACAGAGTAGTGCTATGCTAGCTGCAGTTCCAGCTCCTCAAACCTTATCCCCAGTAGCCCCCGGTCAGTCAACCGTAGATCCTAATAACAAGCATTTATCCATGTCTTCGTATGTCGTACAAGGGTAACACTGGTCGTACAAATGAATCCATGTCAGTCTCGAATGCACTTCTGGCATGTTTCTATGCGCCCACGGAGAAGAAAATTATGCAGCGATGAATCTGCTGTGCTCTCGAACAAACTTTTCCCGAGGTGTCACAGTGATCGGTTGCAGGTCTCTCATTATCACTAACACTACTCCATAACTTTGTATAGAATGAATCATCGACTACTAGTAACTATCGCTCGGTGTCCAAATCTATCTTATCACTTTATCAGTCTTGCGATAGTTAAACGTTAGACTCCGCTCTCGGAGGAGCTTATCATCAGGTCTCCGACCGAGTGGGACCCGTTACCCGTAAAATGCCTTCGCACGGAGTCCCTAAGGGACTGGAGCCTCTCTGGGGCCGACCGCTCGGCCGCTCTTGGCTCTCGGTTTGCATCGGTCCACAAGAAAAAGTTCACCGATTCCCGCACGGCAAAGTCCCCGTGTGGGCTCTGGGCATTGTTCTCCGGACGGAGAACGGAGATGGCGACGGAGAAGCTCAAGCTAAGAGTCTTTTAGAGTGGGGGGGGGGAGTAGGATAAAAGTCGTGTTGTGTGTAGGAGGCGTTGAAAATTCTGATCTGATCGGGATAAACAGGGCTATTGACGAAGGTTACCCATGCGCTTTTCATGCAACACTGTTATTTCTCTCAAGGGCTAGATATGTATGTACATACGCACTGCTACTGTAGTGTAGGTTAAAACTTACGGATGATATCGACGTTGAGTGGAGTCGTAGGTAGATCTTCGGAGGACTGGGTGCCCGTCCGGTGGCGAACTCGAAAACTCGATCCCTGCAAGCATGAAAACTTTAAGCAGGCGTCAGGCACAGTGGTTGCATCTTCCTACAGCTACGTATGAAGGTCTCACAGTAGTTCCTTTTAACGTTAATGCTAACTACTAAGTGCATGATCATATGTGTGTAGGCTGATGTGTGTATCTGTATTAACGTAATTAATTCTTCTATTGGCCACTGGCCAAGCCTGTCATAAAGAATGAAAGGGCCCAAGCAACAGAAAACCCTGTAGCCCCCACGTTAGCAAATACCTAATCCATATATCTCCCTTATGTAATTTGAAAAAAAAGGAAAGAATGTATCATAGAATAATATTGGAAGGTAAAAAGAAGACAAGAAAATTTCTGTTCGGGTGTGGCGATCGTGGGTACGCCAAGGGGTGGCTTCGGCGGGGATTCTAGAATTCTAGAAGCCATGGGCGGTTATTTCCGCTAGCGGAAGGTGTAGTATTGGACCAGACTCTTTCAGTGAAAAATGTGCCTGATGAATACGGACTGAATGACCAGGGTTTAGAACCTGTTGTTTTAATATTCAAAATCTTGATTTCAGCCGCAAGTAAAACAGGTTCATTAGTGGCCTCAGACTTTCGGCCACCGTGCCAATTAGACTTTCCCTGGATCTTTGCTTTTTCGGTACTCTACTGAAAGAGGCAAAAGGTGATATCGGATTACTATACTCCTGGAAGCCTCGGTTTGGGTGTTCGGTGTTGGCCGAAAGAGTTTCATATCAAAGGAGAAAGCCGCCGTGGATGGCGCCTTGAACCCGACTGACTGTCTAAGGAAGAAAATTTTTGATATCGTAAACGCCCGGTCTTGCCACCACCATGGTCAAGTATTCTCAGACAGTTATCTCGGATATTTGACAGTGCATTCCGAGAGTGCCCGTCCGTCTGTAGATCAGAACAAAAGCAAATTGAAGACATTGGCTCATACGTTTGTAGGGAGGCGTGATCTTGATTCCATAATATTGAATGTTCAAAGCCAATTCTGGTCGGGAGGGCTGTCTATCAAAGCTTCGACAACACATTCCAAGCATATTCCAAGGGAGATCGGCAGGGCGATTCACATCCTCTTCCCACCTTGAAGGCGCGCTAGACCGGAATGGTGTCATACTTGGGCTAGGATAGGGCTAGTTTGGGGAGGGGAATTTGTCTATGTGTGTGAGATACTGAATGGTCAATGGCCAATACCTTGTCTTTACAATACAGTTGGCTCCACTAGGCAGGTCCGAGAAAATGACGTGACCCCCCTCCCCCTTCAATCATAATCCCTGGTATCTTGTCCAGCGATACGCAAGGGGATGTGCGTGTCACTAAAGTAATGCGGGGCAAAGACTGGACGCTGAGTGGACCATTGCCCATGTTGAACCGTGGGTCTTTAAGAAAGATTGACATTCCGAGACCGGATACTGGCGTGATTAGCGTCGTTGTGTTGGACACCGTGGGTCGGTTGGGCCTGGGGATTGGATCGCTGTGCTTATCCTTCGTTCTTGTTTATCAGCCAGCAGGGCGTTAGGGAGCAAGATCCGTATCCTATGATATGATAGGAAGAGGCAGCTTGCGAGGCGTCCGACTAGTGGATGTGTAGGCCGAGGAATAGAGGACAAATAATACTCTAGAGAGAGAAAAGAGAGCGGTGGTGGAAGGAAGGCCACGAGGGAAAATCGCCACGCGGAAGGATTGGGCACACGCACTGGTTCTTCCAGAATGGACAGAATAGATTCTGGAAAAAAAAGAAAAAAAATAAGTCTAGTCAGGCTGGGGCTGAGAAGCTTCGTAGTCATAGGCAGAGAGTCATGGGTCAATACAATATTATGGAGTCTGAAGTACTCCGTACAGTATGGAGTTATCGCCCTTTGAAAGGCGTTCCTCCCCCCTGCAGGGATTACTGGTTGTTGTTCTTATCCCTTGCGCCCGGCGCTTGTCGTAACCACGGCGGTTTAGAAGGGCACTCAAGAATAGAAAAAAAAAATCTCGAGGGTAGCACTGTAAAGAAAGTCAGAGGGTTGCCACCACACATTCTTGGATCCCCCATCTTTATCCACTTGGGCCGTCAAGTAAATTCCTACATAATTGGCAGAGGCCCAATTCCGGGTTAGTCATCGACAATACGAGGACGTTACAAGATTACTAAATTACCCAAATTACCCAAATTACCCAAATTACCCTAGACTAGACTAGTCCGCTTACCCTCCTACTGCCACGGTTCCAGAATTCCAGAATTCCAGAAATTCCAATTAAATCATTTCCCATTTCCTTTTAACGGAGCGATAGTCGATCGACGAATGATTCCAGAACTCCTCCCGCCAAAGTGGAGCCGCGCCCTTTTTTCCCTTTTCCTCTCTGGCTTGGGGGTACCTTCCTGGTCGCTCTGAACCTGACGACGTCCTGACTATATCGATTCCATCATTCCCTCCTGTGATCTTCACTCCACTTCCAACCTTCCTACCTCTCTCTACCACTCTCCCTCTCTCAACGTCAACTCTCTCTCTCTCTCTCTCACTCTCTCTTTCTCACTCTCTCACATCTATATTTACTTCCACCCTTTTTATTCTCAACTCCTCACTACCCTCATACTCGCTCTCTCTCGCCGTCTCTCCCATGAGATCCTACTCCATCCGCCTCCTCCCTCACCAATAACCCTCCCTTCCCTTTTCTCTCCGGTCCCAAGCTGGAGTCTCGTCCAGCACTTAGGGGCGGACTGGTGAGAAAACGATCCAAGTTCCACGGACCCCGCCGCACGCTCAGCGCGATGCTCAAAAAGAAGTCCCTGGCGCCCGCCTTCTTCTGGAACTTCTCCCCATCCACCACCCCCGAACTGTCCCCCACCTCGTCGGATAGCGACTCCGACGAGGATATGGAATCATCCGGCTCCCGACCGGTCAGCCTGGCCGTCTCGGCGGGAGCCTTCTGTCCTATGCGACCGACCTTGAACGAAGTCCTGGCCAATTCCGCCGCCCCGCCTTACACGCTATCCGCCTTTATGGCCTATCTCTCGCAGAACCACTGTCTCGAGACGCTCGAGTTCACCATGGAGGCCAACCGCTATCGAGATACCTACGAAGCCTTCTCTGTCCGTCTCGGTCCCGACGCTTTGAGTAACCCAGATACGAGGGAGGCACAACATCTACACATGTTGTGGCAGCGCTTGATGACGGCTTACATCTTGCCCGGTGCACCGCGTGAGGTGAACCTGTCCAGTGAGGTCCGTGATGGTCTTCTCCGCTACCGTGACGTGACCGTCCCGCCTACCCCAGATACGCTCGACTCTGCCGTCAAACGCATCCACGACTTGATGGAGGAGTCTATCTTCCTGCCCTTTCTGAATAGCCACACCACCTCGCCATCCATGGTGGCCCAAGCCGATTTCCCCTTTGGTCCAGACGACACCATGGACTTGTCGAGCCAATACGACGAGAACCCGGTTAAGCACGTCCGCTCCCGTACTAAGCGTACTTCTCCGCAATCGTCCACCAAGGACCTGCCCGCTACCGCTGGTCGCTCCAACATCTCCCTCGGTGCCATGCATGCCCTCGGTAAGCGTGCGTCGGGTGCCCTGCTCAGCACTTCCGGCGAGTCTGGCTCGTTCGCACTCACGGACGACTCGAGTCCGCAATCGAGCCCGACTGCCGAGGAGCCCATGACTCCGCCGACCACGCCCCCAGCTAGCGAACCGCATCTGCCTATCCACAGCCCCAAGCTGCGTACCGAGAACCCCTGGAAGAAGATGGGCATGAAGCTGGGCTTCAAGAAACGCTCTGGGGCTGGTAGTGGTGGACCCTCGAGGGATCCCAAGATCCTGGGCCTGGACGACTAAAAAGCTTGCATTTCCCTCTTTCCTATCTCCTATATTCCCTCTTGCCGACCCATGACCACCCCTTCATATCACGACACGACCAACTTTTTCATCCTCAACGACTATACTCCTTGTCTCTACTACACTCTACTCTCATCGATCCTCAACCTCGCATGATCTTCACAAAAACTCACATGTTGCATACCTTATCATCTACCACATCTCCACCTGAAACGCATCTCACACGACCCGACCCCGATCTGAATCGAATCTATTCTGTTAGCGTCCATTGGCGGTGTATGAGAGCACGATGCATACAGCATACGAACCCGGCGTTGTATTTTTTTTCTGTTTTATCTTCATCTTGTTCATTTGCCTTGCATTGTCAGTGTCTCCTAGCGAGCATTGCACCCTTGATGCATGTCTTTTCCCAATCCAGTCCCCTCGCCTCGTATCTCTTGAGACTTGAATCTCGTGGACTCGAGCGAGGTGATCTGGACTGGGGATCAGACACCATACCTTCATGTTCCATTTTTGTTTCACATCACATATAGAAGACTGGATGAAGCCTGTTCGGCGAGTCTGGCTGGCTTGGGCGTTTTTTTTTTCTGTTATTCCGGTGCTACCCTTTTGGGTTACACGCTCTTCACTCAGGCACTTGCACGGTGGATCTGTGTCGATAGCTTGCTACGATAGGACGGTGCTTTTTGGTTCAATTATCAATAGACTTGATACCCCGATTTACCTCGTTTCTGATTATATTGTATGAAATGTAAAAGTAATCGTGTGGACGGCGGTCAGGAGTCTCGGCTAGGCATACTCGTGGCAGGTATAGCGTTGTTCGTAGCTATACAGACTGTACGTAACACCGATGAAAACCGCACTCATAGTCCCGGATAAGAGAGGAAGTGCCTCCCCTGGGCAACGCACCCACTTATAACACATCTTTATCCAATTCACTCAAGACTAACCCTCCTCCCACCCCTCGTCTCCAACGCCCCGACACCAACATCCCACCCAGCCTTCTCCAAAGCCCCCAGAAACCCCTCAAAGCGACCCTTCTCATTCAAAATATCCAATACATCCGCCACAACACCCGAGACATACAGAGGCTCCTCGCTCGAATGGGCAGGCCCGGATAAAATCCTCGCTGTCAGAAGCGCGTGTGCCCACGCTTTCAATTGCCCTGTCACGGTACATCCTTTCTTTAGGAGGATGGAGGCGTGCCATGTTGCGGTTGAGTTGCCCGGGAGAGGGAAGAGGAAGAGGATGTATGGTTCGTTTTCGAAGATGGATGTTAAATGTTCCATTGGGAGGGTTGTTTTGAAGGATGTGCTAGTGTTGGCGCTTGGGGCTGTGCTAGCGTTGTACCGCCGGGCGTGTTTGAAGAATGTATCCAGCGAGATACCTATCTCAGCGCTTCCTAGGTATTTGGTTGATCCATTGGAAGGAGATGTCCACTGCAGAGCGCCGCCACGGTGGGAGATACGTTCTTGAGCGGAAACTTGTGCAGGCGTGAGGACTGTCAAGCCCGTTAGGGCATCGGAGTCTGGTTCGTAGGGAATGGTGCTATGCCGTAGGTCTATGTCTGTGTCTGAATGGAAGAGTGCTGAGAGGACGATATTGGCGCGTTGGCGGTTTAGACTTGTCATTTGGACGGAGCGGACGGCCGCGTAGTTGAGGCTGAGATGGAGGGCTAGTAAACTGAGTAGGGCTATCCAGGTTGTTGTGAAGCCGGTGACGTGTGAGACGACCACGGAGCCGACCTGGAAGTAAATATTAGTTGTTTCTATTTCGGGGGCGTAAGAGGTAGAAGGTGAGAGGTATGCGCTTACCAGCATCCCTATTAGCGAGATAACGGTCTCTTGCGACGAGTCTTTCTATAATGATATTAGCACCCACACTCCCACAGAACCATCCCTGCACGGCAAAGCCCAAATTGGACAACATACAGCATTAAGTTCCGCCAAATTCCCCCACTTAGCAAAATGCGCACTCAAACTAGCCTTCGAACTTCCGCCCGCAACACCACACAACGCACGTAATACGCCCGCCGCACTAAGAATCGATACTCGCATAACGCCTGCCGGCACCATGGGTGACAGACAATCCAGGATCATGGCGAGATCGTTGAAGACGTCCGCGGCGAGGCGGTAGGTCTTGCATTCTGGCTCGAGGGCTGTGCCAACGCGGTGGGCGAATAGGATGGTTGCGATGCGCCCGGATGTGTCTTGGAGGATGTGCAGCAGGAGGGCGGATGTTGGGGAGGCGTCTGCATTGCCGACGCCAACTCCTGGGGTGGTTTTAGATTTTGGTGTGGGATTGTTGATGGAATTGGGAGGGGTTACCTTGGAGAACTGCCCGGGAGGAGAGAAGGCCTGCTATTGAACTGCAGAATGCTTGCAGGGAGTCCTGTTTGTGGGATGGTGATTTGTTAGGCTTGATGGACACAGAGCCTGGAAGTTTTGATAGGCTTGTCTCTGGAGTGAGATGTAGCCAGTTGACTCACAAATATTTGATATCTGTATTAATTGTCAGAAGAGGGCATTCGAGTATTTCGAAGGACGTATTTGATGAACTCACGGTAAATAGTCATCGCTCACACTCTGGGGATACCCCGAGGGAAGAAACACGTCACTCAGATACGTGATGAGCGGCCTTGTAGACCATAATGAAGACTCTGAAGTTGTGCTCTGTTTGAGTAATGAGATCAGTACCCAATATAGGAAATCATCTCTAGAATTGAGAATTCATAACACAGGATGAACAGTGGTCATATGCATCTGTTCTCGGGTGAGGAACCCGACAACAAGCATGAAGCCATGTGGCAGTCGGACCGAACTTCCCGTACCGCTGAGCAACACGCTCAATTGATGATATAGATGTCTTCAGACTGTTTCCTCACGAGGCATGCAAGTCGGGTTGTACATCCGACCACTGGGTCTCGGAAATCCACAGCGAATAGATTGCGAAACGTTGCTTACTAGAAGATCGATCCTCCCACCCGAGGAAGCCGACTTTTGCGCCTTCTGTTCGGAATAGATGTAGGTGACTGTGGGGTTATCCGCCTCATCCGTTTCCCGGAACATCAATCGGGTGTTGGAGTGGGTGGTTGAACACATATTGGTGTGGTGTTGTGGGGGATGTCGGGGTGGTTACTGTAGTTGGAATGTCGAGGCTAACGGGGAGGTTGGAGAGGCACGTGCGGGGAAACGTGTACCCTAACGGCAGTGCAGCTACGGCAAAGATTAAGATACTATACGAGTGTATACAAGGTAGATAGTTTATTGGAGAAGAAGCTTTTCATTGTTGAAACAATTTGCTCCCAGAGCTGAAATGTCACAGTGAAACCCAAAAAGGAGAATGGTCTCCAACCACCCAAGTATCCATGCTCTATGGAAAAGAAAAAAAGACCGCACCGCTTTTGATAAGCTGTAAGCTGCGCTTGAAAGTAGAAGGAATCGAACACCCAAAAGACAACCACCAGCGCCAGGTTCGGGAAGAAAGAAGGGGGAATCCAATGGATACAAAAAGATGCCAGCGATATGCCACCGATAAACGGCCCCCTGCAACAAGCAGCGACGGGGGCGGTTTCTGCGGATGGCGACCATCGATCAGGCAATGTGAGGGGTATAACTCGGGTCGAAAAGTACGACCGAGTGGCTGCCGCAATTCGACTGCAGCGGAAATTTGGTATCGTCGACTCCACGGTCGCCCGGAATCGACGTCAAAAGACAGGGTGCCAAGCGACACCAGCACTGTATCATAGACCCATCCACCATACAACTTCCATCATGAGAAGTATCGTACCCCATCGCTCATGGTATATGTAGATTCAAGGAGAGGGACAAAGGAAATGAAGATCGAGACGGAAATCTCTACCGGTAAAGACTTTAGGCGTACATGCTGGCACCACCGGTCTCAACGGCATCGATCTCAGCCTGTGTCCAGGGGAGACGACCGAAACGAGCAGGAAGTTCGGTGCGGTCGAAGAACTCGCCGGCCTTGGGGGCAACGGGACCCAGGGCAGAGCCGGGCTGGGCTCCGACGCGGCCGCTGAACTGAGCGCGGCCGAGAGGGCCGTGCTGCTGAGCCTTGGCGCGGTAGGCGGCGAAAGAGTCGGGCAGAGCGCTGAGGGGAGAAGCGGGGTGAACGCGAGGAGTGTGGTCAATGGACTCTGTCCAAGTTTGTTAGTCTTTGGGTGGATTGATTTGGTATGGGGGCCGGAGCTCCTCCGGGAGGAGTGGCAGAATTTCACGTACTGGGGACGGAGCGCTTGCCGACGAAGCGGATCAGGGGAGTCCGGGCAGCGTTGTAGAGAGCGACGGAGGCACGCATTTTGATGTGAGGGGGGGTTTATTGAAAGGGAGAGGGTTGTTGGAAGATCGAAAAAGGCGAGTTCACGGGGGAAGACTGTGGTGTGCGAAATCCAACGGGCCCGGTAGTATCCGAACCGACCCAGTAGCGAACAGAGCGCGGACTGGGGAGAGAGAGAGAGGAAGGTGGAGGTGAGGAATTGGGTGATGAAACGGTGCTAAATAGCGTGGATAGTTGTAGGGAGTGAAGACTGGTGGTGAATTGTATAAGAGATGTCGAGGGGATGGAGGGGAAAGAGAAGAGAAGAGCAGACGCGCTGGAAGATAAGAGTAGGAAGGAGCGTTTTAGGCGTTTCCGTTTTGGGACGAGCCGACCACTCGGCGCCGACGAGCCGCCGGCTTTATACGCTTTTTTTTCCTTTTTCCCACGGGTTAACCTCGTGTGGAGTTGTGCAGTTTTACCGTGTAGTTTAGAGCACTTGCCATATGTCATATGTCGCCATTCAAATAATTCCATAGCGTAGTACTACTGGAGTAGCACCTACTACAACAATAACTATTGAATTATCAATTATTCTTTCTAAGCCGAATGGGTCCATCTTCGGAACGCCCTACGCTTTCCAAGAACTTTTGTCTCCTGATAGTACAGTACTTACTCACTAATGACCTGATTGTTCTTCATTTCTCATTGGAAGACGGCGCCGTGGAGGAATAATCCTCTCCTCTTCTTGTCTTCCATCTCCCCTCCTCCTCCCCCGCACGTCTCCGTGAAGCATGCCACCTCCGTGGTCCGACACAATTTCTGATTGATCCAAACTCTCATTTCCCATTTCCCGAGTCTGCAAGGACCCCCCGATATCTCCGATCCTTTCCCCTTTCTGCTTCCCCGGTGAAGCTTCCCCAATTTTTCGTGTCGACCTGGCTCGTGCACCAATTATTGTCTTCCCCAGGCCACGATCCCATTCCTCTTCCTCATAGGGTTGCACAAGGTTGATCGGATCTCCCCCAAATTCCCAATTGAGCCCCGCAACTACCTTCCAACTGTGGGACAACTGTCGAGTGGATGAGTCTTGAGGTGAACGACTCGGTTCGCTGACAAACGCACATTCCCTCCCTACTCTGGGGAAAGACGAGAATCACCCCCCCACTCAAGAGAAGAATTACCGTTCTGCACGAAAAAGAAATCCTACAGTTGTTGGCACCACTCGAATATTCCTGCACGGTCCCTTTTGACGATCCCTCGGTTGAAACGTTGGTGAACGTGCAAGTCGTGGCCTTGAGATATCAGGCACAAAGTCCATTCCCAGCCAACCGCAAGACCAAGTGGTCCCCATTCTTATCCATTACCCAATAGCCGACACACATAATTACTTGATCGCTCTCGATAAGCGTGGATCGCGCCACTTGGGAAGCTTGGACCCTGACTAATGCAACCCGGATTCACCCGCACACCCATCAAACTCTCCAGTTGTGTTAGTGCTGGCTGGTGCTGGCCTTGTCCCAAAAGAAAACAATGCACGAGCTCCTCCTGTTCGCCTCGGTCCCCGTCCATCAGCATCATGGGCTCCTCCAACAGCTGGCTGGGCTGACGGCCATGCAGCCTCGCCACGCCCTCGAGCGTCGGCTTATTTTCAAGGCCTTTCGGAAGCCCGGTTTGATCACCGGCCGTGTGGGCGGCAGCCAAGATCTGCAACAGGCCAGCGCGGGCGACCTGCAACGCGTGAACAAGATGCTCAATGGTGGCATGTTCTATACGCAAGTTGTCGGTCCCGTCTCGGAAAATGACTTTGCACCTAAATCCGCGACCGTGTCTGCGCCGGACGCCGATGCCCAAATGGCGGGGATGGACGATGTCAAGCCGTCCGCCCCGGCTCAGTCTGACGTTACCCATGTCTATGATTACGACCAGCAGACCTGGAAACTCGAATTCCGGGATATTCCCGAAGCAGCCACTCGGTCGGCCATTACTACTCGCGTGATGGCGAGCGCCGCCTTACCGCGCGGAGATATCGAGCCATCCATGAATGCGTGGGGCTACGGGTGAGTGGCGTGCTTATTCCGATAACCCCGATCTTATGATCGCCAAGCTAATTTGATCCTCCCAGTTTCGTGACCGAGTATCTGGTCGAGGGTGATGTCTTTATTCACAATGATATTGTCATCTTCCTGCACCGTGTGTTGCATTATCCCACCAGTGAGAAGGAGCCTCGGGAGCCCCGACGGAGTCTCCCTTCTTTGAACAAGATGGCTCCATTGGAGAAGACCGGTAGCTATGTCCTCCAAGCATCTATCACCGTTCAAGATGGAAGCAACCAGGAGACTATGAAGACTGCCTCTCAGCATTTGCTTGGGCTGCGGGAACAGCTCAAGTCGGCGGTTCGTCTGGAACCAGCGGATCGTTTGTCACTGGATACGCGAGCAAAGTAGATGCCTGTCTTTTTTTTCTGGTGATCCTCAAGAAGGACACCATTTACTCGGCTGTCATGGATACCCGGAGAGGCAGCCTCCAACCAGTTCAGTTTGGAGATAGACAATTTGAATAATAAAAAGAGGAGCCGTCAGCAGCGTGGACTGAATGGAGGAAAATGAAAATCCAAATCTCAATGATGAATATCAAAGTGAAAGCTACTTACTTCGTAAACTTATCTCTCATTAATCTTTCACGTTGTAGAAGTTGGTCGTTGCCAATTCCAGCTTAAAGAGGCAGTCGACCATGTGACTTCGTGCCGCTCATGCGCGTTCCGGCGCGTGAACCTTCTCCGAACGAACACCAGTCACCTCAAACCATATCACAACCTACCACAACCCCCGGGGAAATCTGAAACACCACCTCATCACTCGGAATCAGACCACCGCCAACACGATTTCCCTCGCCCGAGCTCTCAAGATGTCCGAAGGGGGAGCTAAGCGTGCTGCTTCCCCCACTCGGGCAATTTCCCCGCCTCCACTTCGGCGCAAGGTCGCAACTGTTACCAGTGAGTCCTTGGCAGGATAGTCTCCCATGCGGCTTGAATTGGTCTGACTACTCGTCTATAGAGAAGACAGTGGCGAATTTCTTCACGCCAGCCTCACAGAAGAAACCTGAGCCTATCACTTGGCGGATTTTGGGGACGAGCTTGATCGTGGGCAAATATGTGCCTGAGAAGAGTGCTCCTCAGACAGTCTCGGAGCAGACACGGAGGATAGCTTCGTTTGATTTGGTGAGTTATTATCTAAACAAGTTGGCATCGCTTGAGGCTATGATGAGGTATTGGCAATATGGATGGTCGTGTTAACCAGCTGGTGAACAGGATTCTACACTGATCAAGACTATCTCGGGTAATACCTTCCCAAAATCACCCAAAGACTGGCAATGGTGGGATCCCGCAGTTCCGGGGAAGCTCCAGGAGCTCAATTCTGAAGGGTATGTTCTGTATAGCCTGGACGTCAGTCAAATTGCCGACGACTGATGTGCAATTGCTTTCCAGCTACCAAGTTGCGATCTTCTCGAATCAGAAGATGATCAAGATCCAAAAGGACATCAAAAATGGCAACAGCGAATCAAAAAGTTTGTCCAATTTCAAGGAGAAAATGACTGCTGTCATGACCCAGTTGGACATCCCAATGAGTGTTTATGCTGCTACGACCGATCCCGAATATAGGAAGCCCCGCTTGGGGATGTGGCGTGAGTTCCAAGATGACTACGACCTGGATGTCTCGGGAATTGACCTCAAGGGGTCATTCTTCGTGGGCGATGCTGCTGGGCGACCGGGCGATCATTCGAATGTTGATCGGTGAGTTGGTCATCATTTCAAATGCGGTTGTCTTCTGACTGTGGATCTAGTGGATTCGGGACAAATGCTGGCATGGCCTTCAAGACACCAGAGGAGTTCTTCCTCGCGCACGCTCCGGTAGACGTACCCGAGATTTTCGACCCAACTTCGTACATCAAGTCAGAACTGGGATCTGCTCAAGAATGTACTGGCCCAATACGCATCCGTGAGAAGTTTTTATTAAACCAACGCTGACCAACCTGTGCTCTATAATAGCTCCCGCATCTTTTGCCCGCAAACACCCCATTGAGCTTGTCATCTTTTGTGGCAGCCCAGGCTCTGGAAAGTCCACTTATTTCTGGAAAAACCTGGAGCCTCTGGGCTATGAACGAGTGAACCAGGACATCTTGGGATCAGTATGTCTCCATCATTTGTTTCACAATGTAGAGATAAACTTTCTGACTTGACCAGCGCCCAAAATGTCTAAAGGTAGCCCGCGAGTTCCTCGAAGCCAAGAAGTCCGTGGTTGTTGGTAAGTCATGCTTTTCATAGCCGATCGGCTTGCATACGATCCAGGCGATCAGAGTTTGCTGGTTACTGAACAACCCTCCTAGACAATACGAACGCGAACGAGGAGACCAGGGCCTACTGGACGGCATTGGCGAAGGAATTCGACGTGCCAATCCGGTGTGTACATTTCCTGTCACCACCGGAGCTGTGCAAACACAACAATGCCGTTCGGGCATCAAACAAGGAGCTGGTACGTGCTAACACTAGGCTTCCATTTCCACCTGGTTGCAAATGCATTACTAATGATCCGATCTCGCAGAACCCTGAAGCGAGGCAATCTCTCCCCGGAATTGCCTTCGGAGACTATGCACGCAGGTACCGGGCGCCCACCCTCGAAGAAGGCTTTGAGGATATCATTCCCGTTGAATTCCAGTTTCAGGGAACTGACGAGGAGAAGAAGTTGTGGGGTCAGTATTGGATTTAGTCGGGAATGACCTGGTCGGCGGCCGGTTGATACCCGAGCGCTCATTCTTAGGATGGACCTTGAAAATTATAGGGTTGCTGGAGGAGGCTGCATGCATCATCTTGTCATCTCCACTCCTGCTTAGACGGAGATTTATCCTTGTAACAATATGCATTATAAACATCCCAATCTTATCGAAATCTGAGCGCCACACATGTTTCTATATCTCCCACCAAAGAAGGCCCATAAATTCCCGTCAGTACGTCCAAAATGCCTTACAGCTCCTCCACCGATGAATACCCAAGACCTTGTGGCTTTTTGTTGTTCTTGCGTTGCTGAGGAATGATGAAACCAGTGGCAAGATAGATACAAACAACGGCATACTCCATGATCAACCCCATGAGTAGATAGGGGGCGATCGGACCCGTTAGGTCATTCCATCTAAGATCAGACGGATCGACAACGGAGAGGAATAGGTATGTAATGCGAACCACTATAAAAGGCAGAGCAATCATCATCGCTTGAAGGATCTATTGAAAGCATGTCAGTCAATGTCGAGCTGGTGAGTCCCAATCAAGTGTACTCACGGTCTTGCTCCCAGCCGAAAGACTTGAGAGATGCATCCAGAAGTACACCTGCACGCCAAGCAGACAAGCCACGAACACTACTACACAGCTATACCCTGCCTTGACGAGCTTGACACCGATGTCCACATCACTGGAACTGTCACTTCCCTCAAGACAACCACCTGCGATTTGTAGACCAAGTCCTACGAAGAATAGCATGCGGGAGAAGAGTAAGCACCGACTGATTCGCGGATTCATATTATCCTCGCATGACACTCTGGATGATATTTGATGTCAGTATTCCGTTCCTTGGATGTTTGGCTATAGAGTTGACTTACATGATTCGGATTAATCCCATTGTGGCTGCAACCAAGGGAAAGACGCCGGCGTTGAGGAGGATAATGGAAGCTACCATGATTCCGGTGCTGGGTTTGTGCTCGTAGATGACTACGAGAATACCAGCAGTGAGTCTTACTGAAAAAAAGGTGTTAGATATTTTCTTGATTGAAATATGGATGGATTGTTGTAGATGATGCGTACTGAGTGAGAAGAATAGCAGGATGATCCATGACATGCGGGGACGATTGTGCCGGTAGCATGCCAGGTAGATTGAGATAAGAATGGCTGGGAAATAGAACACGATTTGTGCAATGCTGACTTTAGAGTGATCGTTGAACATGGTTATAAAGCTCAATTCAAGTATGAGTACTTCAAGTTCAGCCAAAGGTGTTCCTTTCAAAAGTGCTGCTTAGAGTACTTGATCTTTTTGCTTTGGATTTATGAAAGATCTGCCTCTCCAGTGTCCTTGCCGCTTCTTATAGATTCCCTATTCAAATACAGTGGCTGTGTCTATCTCCTAAATATTCGCCTTTATACTGATTTAGGGTGCGATCTTGCGGGTCCAGTCTTTGCCTTGTGGAGACGCTCGCAAGATCAACGCCTCTTTGGGTTTAGCGCCATTCAAGCTCAGATCCAGGATGCATCGGACTGAGTCATCCACATGACTGCGAGGCCCAACTAAGCCTTGTCGACATTTTTGATCACAATTTGCTAGTCAGCCTCGCCATTGATACCCACAATGAAGGCTGGCGGGAAGTGATGCCGTACGGGTGAAATTCGCGCCGAGTTGGCCTACCTCTTCCCTTTTCGTCGCATCCAGTTCAAAACCCACACTCTTGATACCGGCAAATACACGCTTGGTGATTCAACTAAGTCGCTCTTGGCAGAACTGTCCACATTGGAGCTATCGCCTATATCCATAAGCCATGGTTGGAGTCGCGGGAAAGTCAAAGGGTTGCAATACCTGTCGAGCACGAAAGATAGCGGTAAGCTCTGACCAATAGTTTCCAATTCATTGTGCGCAACTAAGTCAAAAATCAGTGTGATCAAACCAAACCAGTATGCAGTCAATGCAGCCGTTCAAACCGAGTATGTGGCGGGTATCAGAAGAACAGGGTCTTCGTACTAGTTCAGCCCGCAGCCAAGAAGAAGCATGTTTTCCAACGACCTCATGTTCCGGAGCTAACGGCCAACCCGGAGTTCTTGTCAAATGAGGTGGATATCTCAGGGGCCCCACCGCAATCATCCGACAAACCGGCTCTCTCTTTTACTCAAGTCAATGAAGCGACTCATTGCATGCCTGAGATGGGTGCGGCTCATGCAATCATCCAGAGACAATATAATTGTCATTCTTTGGTTCAAGCTTTTCTTGCGAATTGTTTCCCTACTCAAAGGTCTTGTCTGTCCTCCCGATCATGGATTACATTACTAGCTACCCTACCAACGGAAGTCAAGGCCTTGGAGTTATCAAGTGCAGCGGTCTCGGCCGCAGCGATTGGACGGAAATTCCAGGATGCTTCTTTGGTCAAAGAGGGTCACAATCTATATATACAGGGTCTTCAGCAGTTACAACATGCTTTGCGAGATCGGAACCTGGTGCGAAATGATGGGACTCTTGCCGCATGTATGGCCCTAAGTCTTTATGAAGCTATGGAATGTCCAAGCGGCGGATCTGGAGCTTATTTCAGCCATTGCGAGGGGATTTTGGCGTTGGTTCAGGCTCGTGGTGTTGAAGCCCATTCGAAGGGTGCAGGTCATCAATTGTTTCTTGGTATCAGAATTCCGGGGGTAAGTTGTCACCTTGCTTAAGAAGGGGTCTAATGAAATGAGAGTCATCTCCGTCGATTGCGTGCTAAATGCATTATAGATCCTGCATGCTTTGGAAAGTCATTCTTCAACCTTTCTGATTGACTCTGTGTGGATGCAGTATCCCTGGGAAGGGAAGTTAAAGACTCCGTTTACTCAGATAGTGGATTGCCTGGCACAAGCTCCAGGGATTTTAAAACGTGTGCATTCACTGTTCGGCCTCCATAAAAAAGAAAGGACCGAAACCTGTTACACACTAATTCATGAATGCTGGCATATTGATGAAAAGTTGGATATGATGTTACATGAAATGCAGCAGGTCACGCCGCATCCACTATACTGGCAGGTCCAGTCACAAATGAACCCTCTATCCGATTCTGAATCTCTGGAGAATCTCTTCCCGGTGGCGTTCCATTTCATCGACCTCGAAACCGCCAATTCTATCATCCTTCTATGGGCGATACGAGTTATGCTTTGGTCAGGTCTCTGTAATCTTTACAGATTGGTGGATTCCGGCAGTCCGATCCTTGATTCTACCACAACGTCTGTCCTTCCATCTACTTCGGGTCTGAGAAAATCGCTTCATCCCCTGGGCCACCGCCGAGATTACATTGTGATTGTGCACAACGTCTGTCAATCAGTGGAATATATTTTGAGACAGGAGACACTATTATCGGGACCATTATCGGTGACACCGGCTCTTGGGATTGTGCTTGAATCTCTCAGAGGCCAACCTCATTGTTGGAAGGAGGTTGCCTGGCTACGAGCAGCCATTGATATCGTTCGACAGCGAGGGCTAGGTCTTCTCAAGTATGCACGATAATCCAGCACTGTATATAACTTCTTCGTTGTCCAGCATCATGTAGCTCGTGTATCATTATCGGCGATCCTTGGGGGATGCCATGGAGTACTCATGTGACCGCAAAGTATCGCCAAGTTTCTTCAGACCAAAATCTGTCATATCTTCTTAATAACAACGAAATAAACCGCGGGCCGAATTTAACGCCGAGATGAAGATGAGAGAGTGCGCCTGGGCGGACGGCACTTCCCCTTGTGAGAATTTTAACCATCAGATATGGTCGAGTCTGAGCTTAAACCCGAGCAGACCAGGTGTGCTTGTTGCGGTAGATGTAAGTAGATAGAAACCCCTTTGGTGAGAGCATTTTAACTTCGATAATATTCATTTCCGAGCCTTCTCTGATGGTGTGTATCGGCCTTGTGGGGAGGCTGCATCGGACTCCGAAATCCAAACCTTAATTGGACCTGCTTCCGAAATCACACCCGAGCTATATTAAGAATCGTAATTTATCACGAATCAATATGTTTTGTTATTTCTCATTCAGACTCGAATACCAATTTGAGAAAACTACATATCGCTATCACCTCAATCGAAACTATGGCACCCATTTATGCAGAATCTTGGCTCCAGGTATTCAATAATGTTGTGAGATTACCCAATTTGTCTTGAGCTGACTAGTATTGGCATGTTTAGTTGGAAAATGCCTTTGGCGGTAGAGTAGCTCTCCAAGGCGACGTTTCCGACATAAGAAAACAGTTTGCTGAGCTTGCTGCTGCTACTTCTCTGGGCTACAAACCTTTTGCAGATGATCTGAGTGTGTTAGACGGTGTCAGTGATGGTGTTCCGCATCGAATCTACGTACCAAAGCATGAATGCAGGCCTTTCCCGGTTGGAGTATACATGCACGGCGGTGGCTATATTCTGGGCGATCTAGAAGCCGAGGATATGATCTGTCGTACACTTTGCAAGGAGGCCAGCAGCATCATAATAAGTGTGGACTATCGCTTGGCACCCGAGCATAAACACCCAGCGCAGCTCAAAGATGCTTTGGCAGTTATTGAATGGGTAAGAATACCCAAGGTCATCAAACTAGTCTGACTTATTAAGATGGAGCGGCAGGTATATGAGAATATGGAGACTTATGGAGGTGATAAAACTCGAATTTATACCATCGGAACCTCGGCCGGTGCGGCTTTGGCTTTGCTCGCTGCCCGAGATATAGTGTCCGGGCTATCCTCTGTGCCCTCGGACAGTTTATGCGGCGTGGTCGCAATAAGTCCACTCACAACTCATCATGACAACATTCCTATGAGATACCAGAAATTGCACAATTCATACGACGAGTTTGGAGAAGGTGCGCCGGTTTTGACGCGATCTGTCCTGGCTCAGTTCCTACAATGGGCAGGAGCTGCCCCGGACGACGCAAGCTCCTTCATTCTGCTTGACGATCAGGTCTTCTCGAAATTTCCTGCTGTGTATATTTCGACTGCAGAATGTGATCCTTTGCGAGATGATGGAAAAGTCCTGGCAGATGCTTTTAGAGAAGCCGGTATTGATGTTAGTGTGGACGAATACCCAGGCATGCCTCACTGCTTCTGGTTTTTCCACGCCCTTCCTGAGTGGACAGTGTTCATAAAGAACACAGTTGCTGCCATTTCGTGGGTTCAAGACAAGAAGAGTAATTAGTAAATCTCCCAAATTATTCAATAAGAATTCTCAGTATCAAAAGCCATGCGACCTGAGAAAAACGATTTTGGGTATTATTCAGGTTGGCTAAGTCTTAGAAAGAGCGGTTTTACGCTAAATGGATGAGCAACTATATTGACAATATTGTATTAAATCGTCGGCTTGAATAGCGGCGACATAATGAATAGAGATTCATCAGCACTATCAATTCACTGCCATAGTTATTGGACTAAACTATGAGTGGGTGGAATTTAGGCTCCGGGGCAATGCCATACTTGTCACGCGAGATATATATTGACCGTAGTTTGACTTGATGCTAAAGTACTAACATGATTTATTTAATGTTCTATCAATATATATCGATGGTGACAATTAATTATACTTTAAAGACTAATTCTCCACGATGTTGTCCGATACATTAAAGCTTCAAAAACTTCAAAATAGTTGCAAAAACATATAGAAATTCCCATTTTAAGAAGAATCAACCGAGGAGAAATACCGAGTGAAAAACAAAATATGAGAGCTAGACTACAATATCCCTATCCTCGAGCACATGCTCGGTTCCTGGTCGCCAACCTCCAAACCAGCGGCCTAAGACTGTTCAAACTCGGCAAATCCGCCTTTTTCACAGCTTTCAAGACTCAAATAGTAGTTGGGGACACCACCAAAGTAAATAAGAGGTTCACGTCTCTTGCCGGGAATATTTGTTCCCATATACCACTGTGACAATTAGAATCAGGTGAAAGGTTTTAGTGGACAGGAGCCACTCACCGAGTCAGTCTCTGGGACCAGGGACGAGTAAGCAAATTTATGAACCTCTGCTCCCCATGCCTTTTCAGCCTCAGGTCTAGCCTCAATGCATTGGGAGCCGGTTTTTCTCATATGGTTCATCATCTCAATAATGAAATCTCCCTGGTACTCCGCACAGGTTGGACCATTGCACAGCGCCGTGGGTGCCTGAGGTCCGTAGGTGAAGAACATGTTCGGAAATCCAGACACAGCCATACCAAGATGTGTCTTGACTCCGTCCTTCCATTTATCTGTCAGTAGCTGGCCATTCTTGCCTTGAATACCCATCTGTAACAGCCCACCCGTCACCGCGTCGAAACCAGTGGCGCAGACGACGTAATCGAATTCCCACACTTTCTCGGTTGTCTGGATGCCCTGCTCGACGACTTGAACGATAGGGGTGGATTTGACGTCGACTAGTGAAACGTTCGGCTGACTGAAGATTTCGTAGAAGCCGTTTTCAAGAGAGATGCGTTTGCAACCAAATGCGTGTGGTTGAATTTCAGGGGCCAAGATCGCCTGGAGGCGAGGATCTGGAATACGTGCGCGGACTTTGTCTTTCCAGAAATTATAGGCTTCTTTATTAGCCTCTTTGGTGAAAAGCATATCCTGATAAGTAGCAAGCCAGAAATGGAAATCTCCATGCTGCCACAACTCTTCGTAGGTCTCCTGTCGCTGCTCTGGGGAATCTTCAAATGTGCACCGAGGGGTGAAGTTGAAATTGAATCCGCCGAAACTGTCCCGCCGACCTTGGAACAACTCAGAATAAGCACTCTTGGGAGGAATGTGCTCTGCTTCCGTAAAGTTGATCTGCTTCATTGGCAATGCCGTGTTTGGAGTTCTTTGGAACAGCACAAATTCGCTCGCCACTTGACTCAGCTCCTGTGCTAGCTGCACACCAGTCGAGCCAGTTCCGATCACGGCGATCTTCTTGCCTCGTAGGTCTGGCTCTTCCTTGGGCCAGTATGAGGGATGGATCCAGGTGCCTTTGAATTTGTCGATTCCTTTCCAGTCAGGAATGTGTCTCTTAGCGGAGAAGCCAGTGTTCAGGAGAAGGTATCGAGCGGTATATTCCTTGCCATCTGAGCTCGAGATTTGCCATAAATTATTCTGCTCATCGAAAACAGCTCGCGAGACGAAGGTGTTGAATTCGGCATCTTTCCGTAAATCCCATTCATCAGCCACAAAGGCGAAGTAGTCCCGAATCTCCTGGCTACCCGGGAAGCGTTGCTTCCATGACCAATTCTTCCATAGCTTTGGATCGGAGAACTCGTAATGTGGAACTGTACTGTCGACTCTTGCTCCAGGGTAGCGATTCCAGTACCAGACTCCACCAAAGTCAGAGGCAGAGTCGACAAGTTTGACCTTGTAGTCGTGATCGCGAAGTTGCTTGAGCTGATAAACACCCCCAAAGCCCGCACCGACAATCAAGGCATCCAATACGGCCTCAGGCATAGTCACAGAACCCATATTTGCTATGGTTTTTAGAATATCAAAGTTGAAATGAAATAGAGAAGGCCTGGTTGTAGATGAATTGTAATTGACATAGTGATGGATTTTCATTGAAATAAATACAAAAGGCTTCGGTCTTTACCCCAGGAACAATGCACTGGGCAAACATCACTAGTATCCCCGAAGAAAATTGTGTGGAAGGCCCACAGGCTTTCGAACACATGTAAAATCAGCACTGTACTTTCGCTTGGGCCTCTCGGATGATGTCTTCGGACTTGAAGGTGAGCGAAGTCAGGTTCTCCGATAGGCGAGGGAGTAGACGCTATAGGGACAATGAGAAGCCCCGCTTCGGGGATCCCTTCGGAAGGGGATACTTGATACTACAATGAAATACAAGTCTTCGGCATAATTGAGTTGTGTTTTGATATTTCAAATTGGTGAATGTGGACATCGGGACATACATCGGCGTAATCAGCCCCTTGAGCTAAAACAAAACAATCGGAATATACAGATCTGAAGTACTCCGAAGAAATAATACCAGCTACAAACAATCAAGGCCAATCAAAAGGCAAACTTCCCGGCTCCAAGTTTGCTTCCCACAATGGGCCCGGAAAGGAATCGTAGAACAAATTGTCCCATGTATCCACATTTTCATCGGCCTGCAAGTTGCGGGGTAGTTCGGAAAACGAGGTTTGAGGTAGATGATAGAACTCTTCCAAGTCCGATGCCTGGTTTTGGAGCTGAGAGTCGTCATCCGGACAAGATTGAGGGGCATAAAGTGGCGGCTTTTGACGCTCAAAGGACTGCACGTCACCAAATAAGCCTTCTAATAGAGCTCCTTGATGCTTCAACTGGCGGTCACATCGTCTTTCGACAAACCTATGGCACGTGTTATGCAGATCTCGGACAATCTTAAGAGCCCACTTTGCGAGTGCGTCATGGGGTTGGAAGCGTTCGAGTAATCTTTCTGCTAGATGCAACGCATGGTTTAACGGGTAAATCGAGTCAAGGTTCGCAAGATATCCTACGCCCAACACGAGAGCAGAATTGAAAACTGAGTTGACAACGTAAGGAAGGCGCTTCGGTATCTCCTTCTCGTGCAAGAATGATTGTAGGAGGTCGATTGTGAGTACTGCCGAGTTGACTGAAGCATGGGCAAATAAAGTATCTGAAGGATTGGCTAGTGAGGGGAGCATTTCATCGGTAGTATTCGGAAGCGAGGGATCTCCTTCGTTGGCAAGTTGCCTTTGTACGAGGTCCATCAAATACGGACGGGTGACTAGCATGATCGTCCAGTAGTAGGCCTCTTTCAGATGACAAAGACCAATATTCAGCTGTTTTGGCCCACTATCGGAGCCTTCATGTTCATCCATGGAAATATTGTCTGTGACAAGACCTTCTCGAAACCGCGAAGCCCATTCCCGATGATGTTGACTGACGTGTTCTAGCGCCTGGGGAGAAACCTCTTCTTTGGAGTACACCTCGGAGAGAATTTTCTCGAATATATGACACAAATCCGTGGAAGCTGAGTAGCCGCGATCAGGCAGATTTCTCCGCGTCTCCGTTGTTGCTGGTTGTTGCCCAAGTGATGTACTCAAGAAAAGATCCTGAACGCGAAGGACCTTCCATATCCGCTCACGCTTCGAGTTCTCCGCCGGCGGAAAGAGAGCATTGATATCGGCACGGTGGATACCCAAAGAATGTGCAGCTCGTATAGCTAGTCCGAGCTGCATGTTGGCTGAGTGAGGGCATGCGGCATTGAGGAGATATGTAGCGACAAGGCAGTGAATTTGAACAACGGCAATATTGGTAATTTGGCCAAGCCTTGACGATGACAGATACTGGCCGTAGTTGAAATATTCTTCAGCTTCGCCATCGCGATTCTTCGGGCCACACTGAGCGCCGATCGCGAGTACAAGGAAATAAATGCAAGTACTCGTGTCGATTGAGGGAGGCTGTTCGAGCCAGGGAAGTATCGTGGTTGCTAGCTCTTCATAATCGAACAGATCGAAGACACAACTCATAGCACTTGAAAACCATCGAATGTAGTATTGAGCATCATCAACAGAAGGTCGTGGAGGTTCCGCCCTGGTCTCAATGCTATCGACTGTATGGGTGAGACTCGCATTGACTGGGTCATTTTCAGCTGGCACCTCTGCGAACTGGCTAGCACCGAGCGTATTATGTATGATTTGGCGTATACTTTGAAGGACAGATAGGTTGGCAGATGGGCCTAGAAAAATGTACTCTCCTTGGTCATTGCAAATCAGTCGCGACATATGAGACGCCATTGAGCCAAGAGTCGACGGAATAGAAAGGCTCCGAGAGACCGTCATTTGAGATGGAGGACTTGTACTGCTATTCAGACCCTGCCAAGTATCTAGAAACTCGAAACTTCGTGCAAGTGCCATAGGGACATCGTCATTATTGCAAGTATCACGAATTCCAGAAGCTCTTCCAACACCGTCTCGCCGCGACGTAATTGGACGATGCAGTTGCCGGCACTGGCTCTCGACTTTTCGGGTACGGCATCTTCCGCAGGGGAGCAACCCGTTGCATCTTTCTTTGCGTCGTCGGCAGTTCTCACAAGCCTTTCGGCGACGTGAGAGGGGTTTTATGGGGCCAGTTTGTTCGCTCATTGATGGTGATATAACGTACCGCTAAGGAAGACAAAAATATCACCATCAAAACTCTGGGGAAATCGGTAGCTTAAAATGAGGGGTTTGCGGGGTGACTGGAGCCGCCGCCATGAATCAGTCGATCCGATCAATCATCTTGAAGAGGAATCCATTAAAGTTTAATCGCCAACCTTGGCATGCCTACAAATATAGTGTCTTGACCGGTTTTCAGATACATTCAGAGTGTCGGCGAGGCATTAGGCAACCAGGCCTTCTGTTCCTTTGAGCAAGTACTTAAATGATCCCAAAATCTCAAATAAATAATCCACATGAAACTCGTCGCCTAAAATTACCTGTTTAACTCTTAAGCTTTCGATATTATTCGACCCACGGCTGGCGTTCCATAGCTTGAAACGCAACCGGTATTGTGCCATTTTCCTGATATTACATTGAGCAGAAGAAATGCCTGTAGCGGTAGGATCGAGAGTAATAAAGAATGATAATAGAGAAAAAAGCCAAAAAAAAGTCTAGCAAGCACCCTGTGAACAAATAGTTTTTCATAAAAACTGTTGGGATGTTAGTAGGTTCATACCCCACCGGCCACGGCAATGGGTTATCTGGGCACAACTAGCTTCCGAACCCACAGCCGAAGCTTTCGGACTCCGATGAAGAAATACGGAGTTCCATATCATGAAAGCAAAGACCCTTTGAGCAAAATAACCCACATCCCCATATCAACCAACGTGCAGAACAACCATAAGAAAGCTTTATTCAGCACTTCGGATCCATCCGTCTTCTTTCTCATGGCCCAAAACTCAGAATGGTAAGTGCGGGGGACTTCTTGAAGTGCCTCGCTGCCTCTAAGCTGGAAATGACAAAGGAAAGAAGCGTTCCCGCGAGTCAGGGATCGGGCAGGTATACCCAAGAATGATGAGAAAGGCGTATCCGTCTTAATGCACCAGTGAGCGTTGGTCGTGGCTGAGTTTTGTCAAGCTGGGATTGGGGGTTGGGAATTCGATATGCCACACGGGTGGAACGAGACTTACCCATCAGTCCATGACTGTACCCTCTGGTCGTTGTAATAATAATTATGAAGCTTGTGTATTTGTAGGCCCCATTGAGGTTGGACATTTCCATTAGTCGCACTAGTCTAACGCGTAGTGATCTAGAGCTAATTGCTGTCGGTATAATTTCGCTCATCTCGAAACGCAATCAGTGGAATAGTTATATCACCACTTATCAGTAAGCATGCATTCTGCAAGATATCCCGCAAACCATCTCGGAGATATTGGGATCGGTTGAAAGCCTGTAATTCAGTTCTGATCAGATGATTCTTCAAGGAATGAAGCCTTGATTTAGGGTCATACTCATGGCGCTATAAAGGGCTTTCGTGACACTATGACACCACAGAACGCACCTTACGAGTACAAAATGGTCCATCCAAGCTCCGTATAATCATTGTGAGACAAGAAATGGAAAGAAAGACCGAGTTAGATGCGCTTAATACTCCTTTACTTCTCTTGCGGAATATCTTTCCAAACATCTCTCCAGACATCTCTCCAGATAGCCCTACTCGCAAACCGCATTCCTGAATGGACTTCGCGTTATAGTGTCATCATAGGCTAACGACCGTCCTAGCCAGTTGGCGGTCGTTTGTAGGCGAAAAAAACTGCCCCAACTGCAGCTAATGGCAATCTCGAATCCCTTGCGGAGGCAGATCACACCAACCCAGACATTTTAATAGAGCAGTTAGAAGTCAAAAAAAACAGCTCGAGAAGATCAGCCGTGCTTATGGTCGTAGACAACGTGCAGGTCCGGTCAAGTCAGGCACAGGTTGACCTGCAAGCCACTCATGCGCAGAACAACGCCCATTGCCAAGGTATGGACTGCAGCCGTTGGCAAGCAACTTCTTTACTACTTCCGTATCCCCTAGTCGAACAGCCATCATTAGAGGAGTATCCCTGGCAGCTGTTACCTCCATATCTGCACCCTTGTCGATCAGAAATTGGACCATCTCAATATCACCTCTCTCCACCGCAAAATGGAGACTTGTACACCCTTCATCCTCTCTTGTGTTGGGATTTGCACCGGCATCAATTAACAACTTCACCTTACTCAACGACCTACCTTGATGAATAGCGAAGTGAAGCGCGCTCCAGTAATACTCTCGATCAGTAATATTCGGGTCAAGTCCCTTCTGTAGTAGCAACGAAACGACCTCGTCGTTCGTACCCCGTGCGGCAATATGAAGTAAATTCTCGTGGCCAACTCCCCTAGTGTGCCATGTTAAGGGATCGGCACCCCTATCCATTAATAACTGCATCACTTCGGGTTGTCCTCCTTCAACCGCAGCGTATAACCCAGTGCTCAAGTACGAGCTAACATCGATGCCGCTATTTAGCCACAGCTTGACAAGCTTTGCCGATCCATGGTGAGCCGCGTGATGAAAGCCGCGAGAGACGCTGTTATGAGGAAGACTATCTCCCCTCCAGTGTTTTCGAAATGGATAACACATTATACAGTCCCTTTCAGGGTCGCCAGTTTTGGGAGATTGCAGAAGGGTTGACAGTGATCCCTCGTGGGTTTTTAAAACACACTCTAATTCTGAATTTCGTGCATATATCTTCCCCGCGGGGGATTTTTGCCGTAGTAATGCCTCATTCTCGAGATTTTCCTTACACACAATCGAGCGGCAGAACGTCCCCTTAGCGATCTCGCCTGTATCATCGTAAGCGGTTACGAGAAACCTGAAGGCTTTGTTCTCGCGACCTTGGTAGTGTGCGGTCGCGGTGACTGTTGTCTTTGGGGGGACAGGCGCGGAATGTGCGATTTCGAATTTGAATGGGACGGAAATAGCGCAGCTTGTCCATTCGAAGTTGGCCTCCATGCAGGCCGAGCTGGCGCGTTCCATGATATCGAGTAGGTTTGGGGTGGATAAGACGTCCGGGGCTCTTTTGTGGACATTGAAATATGTGGTCTCCCGGGTGCTGAGCTCATGATTGGTCACGAATTCTGTTACTGTCTCGGGTTTGATGCTGCAGGCGAAAACCTCAATATTAAAGTCTTCCATGTTCAGATATGCTGTTTCGATGGAGTTGGTATATTGCCCTTTTATGGGAAGAGGTAAGAAAAGGGGTAATATGCGGCGGTGAGGAGTCGAAAAGCCGTTTCTCTCTCGCTCTTTATTAACCCCGCTCACAATGCTGTGAATATCGAAGTGCCTCGTACTTTAAGCCTTAAATCCAAGGCATCAATAGGTAACGTGGTCGGTAAGCGAGTGGGCCATGTAAGCGAGCGGGCCACCTAACCGCTTTTTCGCGTCCTACCACGTTCATCTATCTTCTATCCACCACCATGCCTCCAATTCGCGCCGGGTTAAGCCAGGATGCTATGCAACAAGAGGGCCGCATCTTATTAGCTGTACAAGCTATAAACAACAAGGAAATCGGCTCTATTCGGAAGGCTGCAGACCAGTTTCAAGTTCCCCGGAATACGCTCACGCGTCGACTACGCGGTACTACAAACCGTGCTGAATCTCGCGCAAATTCTCATAAATTAACAGAGATCGAAGAGGAACTACTTCAGCAGCGGATACTATCGCTAGATCGACGTGGAGCAGCCCCTACACAAGCTCATGTACGAGAAATGGCTAATTTGCTACTCGCGAAGCGTGGTTCTATCTCTATCCAAACCGTCGGCGAAAAATGGGCATATAACTTTATCCAACGCCATCCGGACCTTAAATCTCGCTTTTCACGACGATACGACTACCAGCGAGCACTACAAGAGGATCCAAAGATTATTCAAGAGTGGTTTAACCTCGTACAAACCACGATTCAGCAATACGGTATCCTCGCGGACGATATCTATAACTTTGACGAGACTGGGTTCGCGATGGGCCTTTGTGCGCATCAAAAAGTGATTACTCGAGCGGAATACTACGGTCGGAGATCGGTTTTACAGCCAGGGAACCGCGAGTGGGTAACCGCAATCGAGTCAATTAACGCTTCGGGGTGGGCACTTCCACCGACGCTTATTTTTAAGGGCAAGCAATATAATCAAGCCTGGTTCAAAGATCTTCCGTACGACTAGCGCTTCGAAGTTAGTACGAACGGGTGGACGTCTGACGAAATAGGCCTTCGCTGGCTTCAAAAGCAATTTATTCCGTCGACAAATAGTCGTACGCGCGGAAGATATCGACTTTTAGTCCTCGACGGACACGGAAGCCATCTAACAGCAGAATTCGACCAAATCTACGCGGATCACGATATTATACCGATCTGTATACCAGCACATTCCTCGCATCTTTTACAACCGCTTAATATCGGATGTTTCGCGGTTTTAAAGCGCGCATACGGTAGTTTAGTCGGCCAGAAAATGCGGCTCGGGATTAGCCATATCGACAAGCTTGATTTCCTCACAGCTTATCCACAAGCTCGTACCGACGCATTTAAATCAGAGACGATTCAAAATAGCTTCCGAGCAGCAGGATTAGTACCTTTTAATCCCGAACCAGTGCTATCAAAGCTCAATATTCAACTTCGGACGCCTACGCCGCCCTCAAGCCGCGGTAGTCAAGCAAGCGCTTTTTGCCCCCATACGCCCGCGAACGTGGACGAGCTTTATAAGCAAGCAGCTTCAATTAAAGCTTTCCTAAAACGACGCTCGAAAAGTCCCCCATCGCCGTCGCAGGCCGCGCTAAACCAGCTTATTAAAGGCTGTCAAATCGCGATACAAAACGGTATCTTTCTCGAGCAAGAAAATAAGCAGCTACGCGAGGAAAATACTACACAGAAGAAAAAGCGTGCTCGTACAACTAGATGGATAGCTCACGATGACGGTCTGAGTGTACGAGAAGCAATGGAGCTCGAGGAAGCTCATAATGCCTTTTTTCAGGCCATACCAGGTCCACGAGTGCCACCAGCGCAGGGTATACCGGCACCGAAGCCGAGGGCCTTACCTAAATGCGGCAATTGCAGTGAAATAGGGCATAAGAAGAATTCTTGTCCAAATAGAGAATAATGAATATAAAGGAGTTGTGGTTGATATATATCGATAAATGTGTAGAAATTCTGGTTGGGTGGCCCGCTCGCTTACATGGCCCACTCGCTTACCGACCACGTTAACTAGGAGTAAGATTTATCTGGATCACCATAATATGACCATCGTTCTAATGAGGCTGGGGCGGACGATAACCGCCAGTTGCTCAAAACCCATAACTGGTCAGCTTATCGACCGCTTTCGTAGGCGCCTTTACCCTGATACCTTCTTCTTTAGGCCAGGGCGACGCTATCACTGTAGTACCGGTTTAACTATCCCCTTCCTTATATTTTGTCTTATCTTTTAATCTTTTATCTTGTCTTTTGTATTGTCTTCTATCTTCTGTAGGTTTTGTGAATTCTGCCGGACTTTCTGCCTTAGAAAATTAGTTTTGAGCAATTGGCGCTTATGGTCCACCTCACCCGCCCCACCAAGTAGTCGCTCACTGCGACTTTCTCGAGGACTGGTTCCATACGTATGATCCTTGATTTACAGGGGGCAATTGTACGTTCGGGAAGAAACTTTTCATTGGCCTTCCAGAGGTAGTTATTGATGAAAACTACCTAGACATACATTGCTAAAAAAAAAAAAGAGAGAGAGAGAACAACAACCCCAGCAGGCGACGGAATCGAAATCGAGGACACGTTAAACGAAAGCTTTTCACGGGAGGGCGAAAGCAAGACGTGTGATGAGAGTTGAAGAAGAAAAAGATTTCCTGGGCGAGGAGGAAGGACTTGAGTGTGAGGGTGGGAGTCATGCCTGCCTAATCGGGAGGGTAGCCCAAGGCAGCGAGGCACTCCAAAACAAAGACGCTCCGTCATATCCAGGATAACACAAAAATGGCTGACGCTATTGCGAATGTCGAATATCTCCCGCTCTTGAAGCATCTCATCGAGCGTGGACCTGATGGTCTTTTGCTCAGGGAGCAGTGGGAGTCCAGGTCCGACGGGAAGTATGCTTACCTTTTCTTTCCTTCTTTTAAATACGAAGCTAATGTGTTCATGATAGCAACTACATACCAGATCAAGAATCTGGAGGTGATCAGCAAGAATCCTTAGGTTATTGGGTTTACTGGGCTGTATACTGTCGGAGAACCGGTCGATTAACTCAATGTATCCTTGAACTCCCCACGTACGCCCGTGGTTAAATTTACAGGATGCATGCAACGTGTATAATTTTGTAACTCTTGTTCCACCAAAACACTCTAGGCTAAAAGACTTGCCAATCCAAGCTTGAACCTAAGAGAAAGCGAAGCTATGGAAAATGGATTAACCTACAGCACCTGGTCAAGCACAGTATCCCGGTAACGACTCAGCATTGTTCAATACTTAGTTGCTGCCGACCAAGAATCTGAACACGGCCCGGATAAAGTCCAGAGTATCCTGAGCGCTGCCGGTAGGGATGGCTTGGGCACTCACAACGCTGCTGGGGGTGGCCACAACGCTGCTGGGCTGAGAGGACTGACGGGCCTGGGTGGCAAAGGTAGTCACAGCCTGGACGGCCTGTTCAGCGGGGGCAGAAGTGGATTGAGCGGCAGGGATGGTCTCGACGGCCGCGGCAGTGGTCTGGGCAGCAACGGTAGTCTCAACAGCAGCAGAAGTCTCAGCAGCGGCGGTGGTTTCGGCGGCGGTGGTCTCAGCTGCAGCAGTAGTCGTCTCCGCGGCAGCAGTAGTCGTCTCAACGGCAGCAGAAGTAGTCTCCGCGGCAGCAGAGGTCTCGGCAACAGCAGCTGACGTAGTCTTAGCAGAAGCAGTATAAGTACTCTCGGCAGCAGTGGTCGTGTTGGTGGCATCTCCAGTGCTCATGCAAGCAAAAGACATCTTCTTATAAGTCGCAGCAGTACCATACCCAACCGCCTGCGACAGATCCCACTCCATGCTGACGTACGGCCAGCAAATACGACCATCAGTCATGGTAACCATATCACCGGCAACATAGACATCAGAGCTGGTGAAAGCATCGCCAACGGTGCTACCATCCGAGCTCACCTCCTGGAAGTAAGTGCCAGCAAACTGTCCACGGCAACCCATAGCAATGTAGTCACAGGTCGGGTTCGAGATCTCTTCCCAGGTAACCAGGGCAGAGCTGGAGCCAAAGGTAGCAGCATGGGCATTGGAGCAGTCGTTCGATCCCTTGGTGACCCAGTTGACCTGGCTGTCACCATCCTCAGTGCCAACCACCGAGGTAGCCTGAGCACCGACCTTGGTATACTTATCGGTGAACAGGGAGATGGCGACGTTACGGCCGTTGGTGCGGTTGTTGACGTGAGTGTAACCATCGCCCATCCAGGTGTTCTCAGTCACGTCGATGGCACCACGAGAAACCCAGGCGAAGATGTACTTGGTGGTGTCGGCGAAGCGAGCCAGCGCGCTATAACTACCGGACATACCACCCATAGGCTCGCCAGAGCCACCGTTGGTAGTATTCTCGTTGGAGATCTTGACGCCGTCGTTCATCATGCCTTGTCCCTTGGTGTTCAGCCAGATAGCACCCTGGTCCTCGGCGCAGATACTGGCGAAAGGAGCCTGATCGGCAGCTTCGAACGCAATACCGGTGTTGTGGCTGCATCCCCAGGAGCTGGAGGCGCCAGTAATGGTGTCCAGCTCGCCAGCCTTGGTCACGTACTGGATGCTGTCACCATAGTGACCGGAGGCATCGCCAGAGTAATCAGTGACAACAAAGTATGCGCCGTAGAGTTCTTCGCTCTCAGAGTAGACGAGGTCTCCATTCAGGTCTGGAGATGCAGAGAGACCGTCGGAAGCGTGAACTCCAGGGCCACCCAGCCAGGTCTTCCAGGTTTGCTTGCCATCGGTGTAGCGATACAAGACAGGAACGGGGGTATCACTGGGCGGCGCATTGGTGGTACCAGAAGGCATGGCCTCGTTGGTCAGGAGGGCGAAACCATCATTGTGAGCGACGAGACCTCCGGCTATATCATTTGAAACTGTTAGAAGGTCTTTTCATATTCAAATAAGTCTGCTATTTAGGCTATCTTACCCTCTTTACCGCCAGTGACGGTAACAGTAGTACCTGTGGCTGCGAAAGTGGTAGGATCCAACTCCTGAACATGAACATCGGTCTCGCTCGAATCCAGATACGCAATATAGGCAGACTTTCCATCGGGAGACACCGCAAAAGGAGTGCGACGGTGGTGAGGATAGCCAGTCCAGTAGGCTTCCTTAACGGGGTTGAAAGCACTGTCGAGTGCCAGCACGTCGACGTGAGTTTTAAGGTTAGAAGTGGTCAGACCAGCCGAGGCGCCCAGCGCCGCAGAAAGCAGAGAAAGAATGAAAGTCCCACGCATTTTGGGGGGGAAAAGGAAAGTCGGTGCTACTGCTTTTAGGGGTCTGGTTTGGATCATGTAGATCTGCCGGGATCTACACTCTTTTTAAACCTTGTCTAGACGAACCCTCCAAGATAGCCGGAACTGCCTAAATTGCCTGATAGAGGGACGAGTCCGATACCTTGCTTCAAGCAAATAACGTCGAAGAGTCGTGTTGGGACGGTGGGTGTTTCATGTGCTGCCAAGCGCACCCTTAATGGAGATTATTTAGTTCACCATTACTAGTCAAGCTAGTCAAGTATAGTGCCCGCTGCCAGAAAGGGTGTGTAACCCGACCCTTCATGAAACATTGTTTCACCATCATCTATGTGGAACCCCCCACACTTTAATTTTTCCATGACTGGGAGGTTCTACTTTATGAAAGTCTCTTTATCAAGCGCTTAGCTTATGCATGGTTCAGATCGAACCCACTGACGGCTGACTTCCGTAGGGTCCAGACCCAGTGACAAAGGGATTTAGATTGTTTATCAGGGGTAGTTTCCACTTGGCTGGGATGTTTGTGCACTGTGCACTAAGACCCTAGTATTAAACTAATGGGACAAGGCTAGTTTTGATTTTGCATAGCTATAAAACCATCCGATCTTACTCCCAACAAAAGCTGCTGCATTTCCAACTTGACTGATAGATAGTTAATATTAAAGAGCAGGAGGCGAGGCTTCTTAAGAAGTTCCTGCCTTATGACGAAATAGAAGCTACGAAGGAAGAGAAGGATAATAAGTGTGATGAGGTTGAGATAGACCTAATTAGTGATACTAAGGAGTTGGATACTATAACTAATAACAAGAGATGGCTAGACAAGGCAGACGAAGAAGACGGAGATGCTACCAATCGATAAAAGTAGGAGAAGACTACTTTTCTGGAACTGACCTAGCAAGCATCTGACTACCATAAACACAATTTCCCTTACAAAATATTCATAATCATGAAGTAGGATCTGCACTTCCGCAGTTGGAGGGGCTGCAGTTCGAATCGCTGTGCGCCACAGCCGCATGGAAGATGACGGCGTACTTTTTGGATGCGCAGGCTACGAACGGCTGGCTCTGCCACGTTGTACCCGGGAGACCTCCAGAGCCGCAAGTTCCGCTGCCGTTGTCGTTGTAGCCGCCTGGTGCGCACGGGAAGTTCTGCGTCGTACGCGTGCTAAGCGCATCGCAATCAGCCTCGACGTGGGTGTCCACGATGACCCAGCCGCCCATGGTGCTGAAGAAGGCACAATATTGGGTCGATCCGCTTGAGCAGGGCTGCACTGAGACCGACCCGACGTCAGTGCCCTTGCTCAGGTCGTTAAGCCCAGCTCCAGCGTAGAGCTTGTAAGTAGCCGTCGCGCCACCACTCAGGTCCACGTTGATGTACCAGCCCCAGCGGTTTTTGCCGCATCCCTTGGACGAGAGTGTGTTGGTATTGCAGACCGTGTTGGCGCTGCAACTTGCGGGGACGCCAAAGGCTGTCTGGGTGTTGCAAGTACCGCTGGGCTTGCAGCAGCAAATCTGGCCTCCACAGCCGTCGGACTGTGAAGTGCAAGTCTGCCCTGCTGGGGGGCTCCCACTGCATGCTCCTGCGGTGTCGGTCTTAGTTCCGGAGGAACACTGTTGATTAGGAGTACAGCAGCAGCACACGCCATTGTAGTTGCCAGTGCTACAATCCGCGATGGTGCCGAGGACGGGGTTGCCACAGACGCCCGAGAAGGCAGAACATGTACTGACGCCGGAATCTAAGACGTGTTTCTGTAGGCCTGTTGCGCACTGGGGCGTATCAGGCGGCTTGCAACAACATTTCTGGGCATAGTCTGGATTGGTCGTCCATCCTGACGGGTTAGCAACGTGGATCAGATTGCACTGGGTACCCGGCTTAGACGGGTTGCACAAGCCCGGGCAGGACTGGCTGTAATCAGTAGGGCAATCTGGGATCGTCGGTGGCGGCGGACAGCAGCACCAGCTCTGGCAGACATCCTTGCAGGTGAATACAAACGAGAACTGTAGAGCCCAGTTGCTATTCCCACCCGGGATAGTCTGAGTCGGCGGGTCTGTGGGACTGTTGCCGCCTGCCCAACATGTATCACTGCCATCCCCAGTGTGGAAGCCGATATAGACCGTTCCTTGACTGGCTGATGCGCATGGGTCGGTACTGCCGTAAACCAAAGAGAATGGGTAATAGACAGGCTGAGACGAAACCTTGACGGCAAATTGTCCCGGGTTGTCACTAGTGAGAGGACTTGTGGAGATCTGAACTTTAAAATCATTGTCAAGGGTGGTACCAGGTGGTGCTGTGGCCGTCAGTATGAAACAGAAGCCCGTCGCAGGAACCTGGCATGGGCCGACTTCAACATGGATCGTTCCTTTCACAGTGCCAGAACCAGTGTTTGCTAATGGATTGCCGCAGTATAAGGTTCCGTCGAAGGACCCTTGCGGGATCGTTTTGATCGCGGTACACACTGGATTCTTCGTGTTGCCACTGCTATCGGTAGGACACGTTGGAGGAGTCAGGCCAGGGGCAGGATCAATGCTCGTTCCGTCGCACACTGGAACGGTGGTGCGTTTCTGGAGTGGATTGTCATTGTATGTATAGCCCTGACAGCAAGAAGCAGAATTGTCTTTCGTGCATTGATCAGCGGCAGCCACACTGCCGATGATTGCGGTGAGAATAAAAAAGAGGCCTCTCATCCTCGAAAGCCTCGTAGTTAGAGGCAGACAGAGAGGTACACACAGGGTTTGAGTGATCGACGAAGATTTACTTGTCAACGGCGTGAACTAGTGACTTTCAACTCAAGACTAGTGCTAATGTCTTGCTCTGATCGATGTCAATAGGCCTAAGCCTGGTCAGCTTTTATATGTTTTATGGCTACCAGACCGCAAGGTTAATGTCCCTGCAGAATGGGCGGAAATAATCAATCCTGTGGTAGCATGTTCCAGGCAGGCAAATCCTATACTCATCTCGCCTACTATCACCTCCATAGGTCTGGATGATCTCATGAAAGTGACTCCAGATCAATCCAGGTGAGTCCAGGCTGAATGAGTGTGTTGTAACTCCCTTCACGTCCTAGGTTGGAATTCCTTGCAATGCTGCGAAATGTATTGGTCGACAACAACGACTATAGGTACTTACCCGCCTTGAGATGGGAATAGGGGGCCCAGAATTACATAGATCAAGGGCCTAATCACCGTCTATATCTTCGGAGCCCCCGGAGGGTCTTCGGAGCCGGCTTGATGATCGATGCTCCGTGAGCGCCAGACTCTGGGGCTAGCCACCGGCCAATGCGTTCCCTCTTGTGGCTGATTATTTGTGGTCATCACGATGTTCTTATTTGACTGTGCAGATCATTAGCCTTCTGTGCAGTTCCGTTTGAGAATGCCAAGAGGTACTTGAACATGGGAATAGATACCCAGTCTATCCCACGGTTAGAAATAGCCATGCTCGTACCTACTCAGGAATTTTAGACTGGTAGGGTTGTGGCGAAAGTTCCTCCATCATTTGTACCGAAGCTCGAAGTCTATTAGAATCTGGGGAGACAAAGTAAAAACCGACGAGGCACTTAGCCTTATCAAGAGGACGTTAAAAACACTGTAGCTATGCCAAGGCTTTCGTTAAGCCAATCAGAGTGTGCTTGGTCGAGACTCGAGCTTTCTGGTCACCAATCATTATGGCCCACCTTCTCCCTGCTAAAATGACAGAATTGGAATATAGAACAGCTTTGACGCCGATGATTCATGACGCTTGTCACCAAAAGCGAAAATTGAACACGGGCGGCAAACATAGTCGTACTTTTGAGATCTTTCTGTTGTGTCCTCTTTCAGAGCGGGCTATTATTACCCTACAAAACGAACATCTACAATCTCCATCCATCGCATTCTGATACGCTGGTTCTGTGGCGACTACAAATGCGGCTAGTGGAATCATGATCCGACCACCCTACAGTAAGTTCTAAGTATCCAGAGTAAAAGCGTCGCCACCATCTCAATACAGCAACATATCCCAAGGAGCTAGTTCGATTCGGAATCGCAGGGGTGAATACTTGCGGGGTTTATAACTTTTGGGGGGAATGATCACCAGATTAGCCTTACATCGGACGCCTCATAGTTCCCGCGTGGAGGGCGGGAGGTTCTCCTGGAGCTCCTTCCTGGAGGGAAGACCCGACATCTAGCAGCGTCCTAGGTTACGGCAGCCGAGAACCAAATCACAGAATTCTCATTCAGTTAGTTGAGACATTTAGTTAGTTGAGAATTAAATCATTAGTATTCTATAAGTTTGAAACCCAACCAGCCTTCAGAATAACCTCAATGGTCGTACTTGAGAAGATGAACCGAGAGATATCGCCTAAGCTATGCTGGGAGATAATTCGAAGGGCATTCAAAAGATAATTCGGACAAAATTCGAAAGTTAATCTGCAGGACGAGGGTATCTAGATCTGGATATTTTGTCCGATCTCTTGATATGGACTTTGAACCAACTACTATGTTAGGTATGCTACTATCTTCTGGCGTATCAGAAAAAATCACTAGTCTACGAAAAGCAGGAGGGGAAAGATTCATTCCTGACTTCAATCGCAGGTCATCGAAGTGCTTGAGGTAGCGGACATTAAAGTACCTACCACAAACATGAGTATCCAGAAAGCTTATCATACATCGCTCGGGTTTCATTGGACAATATATACCTGCGATTGATCGCGCAAGAACGCAGTAGGTACTAGATTTTTTCACATAATTACCTATTAGAGACTGATCATTTAAACCAGACTTAGCAGCATCGACTATAGTGTTCTTCAATACTACAAACCATGCAGGGCTGAGGCTGTCAAATCCCACGCACGGCATTGGCTGCAAGCTTCCGATGATGCATGCGAGGCTTATCATCCGTGTGCGCCCGGCATCATTGACAAGCTGAGTCATCGGCCATGATTTCGCGAGGCACCGTGCTCGCGCTGGTGCAACACTAAATAAATCTTCTTCTTATCTCTGAAAAGCTTCATTTCCAACTCTGTTTCAGTCCCAATTGTCGTTCATGCACCCCGTGCAGCTCGCATTGCCGCCCACGTTGCCTCGGGAGTGACCCGCATCGATTCCGTCATCGAAAGAGTCCCGATCGCATTTTTCCCGCTCAGCTCAGCCCGCCCTTATCTTTTTAGCTCCGTGTGCAGAAATTGCACTGGTGTAACGCTCATCATGGCGCTCTCTGAGATACTGAGCCGAATGGCGTCGCAGGATACGGTGTCTCTAACGACTCGTGAAGCGGCTTCTGGCTTGTTGGGCTCCGTCTCTATGACATGCTGGATTTTCCTACTGGTATGTGCCACGGCCTCTCATGTTTGTGTCGACCTGTGCTGAGCGCACGGGGCATTGGGGCGGTTTACCCCTCCAAGAACGCAAAATTTTTTCGAGATACAAGCGAAAGAACCTATTATTACAGCTCTCTAACTATTAATATGTGCAGGTTCCCCAACTCATCGAAAACTATCGCAATGGCAACGCGGAGGCTATCTCCCTCCTTTTCGTCTTCGTCTGGTTCATCGGTGACATAACAAACCTCCTCGGCGGCGTTCTAGCTGGCCTAGTCCCCGTCATTGTCGCCATTGCCGTTTACTTCTGTATCGCAGACGGTGTTCTAATCGCCCAATGCCTCTACTACAGGGCGCGTAACTCGCGTCGCGAGCACATCCACCGCCGCCGGCGCTCGTCCGTCGAGACCCCCGATCCAACCACCCCGCTCCTCGGCCGGCGATTCAGTGACTCCTTCCCCGCAGGACAGGGCCGACGGAGATCGTCTGGTTCGATGCGCGGTCACCAGGGTCAGGGTCGCCGCGAGAGCCAGGTTGAAGATCCATTGGCCAAGATCGTGGAAGAGAATGAGTACGGTCGCAAGGCATGGATCAAGAACTTGATTAGCGTGATCGGTATATTTGTGGTTGGAATGGCTGGGTGGACAATTGCCTGGCAGACGGGGATGTGGGCGCCCGCGCCACAGGAGAACAATAAGCCCGCGGATATGGCAACTAGTGGCGCGGTTTTGGGATATGCCAGCGCCGTGTGCTATCTGGGGTAAGTCATACTTCGAACTCATGGAAAGAGAACTCGAGAACTAATGTTGGCTACAGTGCGAGATTGCCTCAGATCTATAAGAACTACCGGGACCAGTCCTGCGAAGGTACGTTGTTTGCTCCAATGATTATAATGCTAGTTTCGAAGCTAACTCAGTTGACCAGGTCTCTCGCTTCTTTTCTTCATCCTTTCCCTTTTGGGTAATCTCACTTATGGCGCCGGGGTATGTGGTTTTCAAGTGGATGCGATGGGTCTCAATAACTAACAATGTACACAGATCCTGTGCCACTCGACTGACCATGATTATGTGGTTACCAACCTGCCCTGGCTGATTGGATCGCTGGGCACCATGGCCGAAGATATAGTCATCTTCATCCAATTCCGCCTCTACGCGGTCCAAGATGCTTAATCCACGCTACACTCATGATCGAGTTGATTGATCGGTGTTTCTGTTTATGAAGGTGGAATTTTTTTCCATTCCTCGGAGGATGTCTCGTGGCTACGCTCAGCAATTTGGGAGGTTCTTTTGCTAATTACATGGCTTTGTATCATCTTGAGTCAGTTGGGTGGCTGGATGTGATGGATTTGGCAAGGCTAGCATGGCGTTTCTTTTTTGGAATATGTGGATAAATACGCAATGCAATGTATATAAATAGGATGCTCGGGATAGTTTAGGCAATTGATTTGCTCAAAGACGAACATGAAAAAGAGCTCCTGTGAGAAAAGATAGGTAAGTCTTATAGGTGAGCATCTCCTTACCTGCCAACAGAGCTAGGAGGTAATCAACATTGCAGATCCAGACAAGCATCTTGCTCTGGAAAAGTACCCCGCAAAATACCATGAGATAGTAATTCAATTGTAAAGAGTATTGACATAAATGATGGGTGTAGGATAGGGAGCAACAAGACGTCTACATAGAGGTTGACAAGCTTGGGAAGCGGGTCAGTCTGCCTTGGCCCACATGGAAAGGTAATTTTTCAAGTAGAGGGGCACCTGCTGCTCATAACATTATACCGTACTATACTACTGCCTCTGACATCTGCTGCTAGGTCCATAGGGACAGCCGCAAGAATGTCCTTGGCATCCACATTCAAGGCAACGTCACTACAAATTGTCGCTCCAAGACTTGGAACCTACAAAATACCTTGAAGCAGAATCACAAAGAGAATTCTTTTGGTTCATGGTCGCATGAGAAAGGACATGAACGGAGCTAGATCATCTAGCAGGGGGGAAAACATGGAAACACAGCATACATCTCTACCCGCCAGACCGGACTTGCGTCGCGATCATGGACAAATCAGAAAAAAAAGGTGTGCCAAACGTCTGTCTTCAATTCCCCTATAAATCCTGGAAGCAACAATAGTTTCGGTATCACATCGGCAACCGACCGAGTCTAACCCCGTCAGTTTATGAATCGGGGATACCCCGAGCACCCAGTCTCCATTGAATGTCCATGTCCGTTTGAATCTTTTGCTATTTTCTTTTTTTTTCTTCCCCGTGATTTGGATCTTCGTAGCAGGGGTCGTGGAGTATCGAGTACAAGAGAGAATCGTCGAGGGAGCCATGAGGCGGAGGCGGAATAAGAGATGAGGGAAAGAGCAAAAAGGAAACGACTTCAAATTCGGGACGGTGAAGGCGCTTAGTCGAAGAGACCGAAGCCCATGTCCTCGTCGGACTCCTCCTTCTCTGTGTGGGAGTTAGTGATCGGTTCACTCTGCGTACAAGATCCGGCATGTAAAACTCACCCTCCTCCTTCTCCTCAGCGGCGGCCTCAGCGGGGGCAGCGGCACCACCGGTGGCAGCGGGGCCAGCAGCGGCGGCGGGGCCAGCAGAGCCAACGTTGGTCAGGAGGTCCTTGACGTCCTTGCCCTCGAGAGCCTATGATTGGAAAAAGATTGTAAGTCACTGAAGATTTCAAGACTTTCGCGTATATCGATGTGTTTTCGCGTGTCGCGGGGGAATCGAAAGGCAATGGTGGAGATTTCAAGGATTTACCTTGGCGAAGATGGAGGCCCAGATGGGCTCAACCTCCTGGACCTTGGCGGCGGTCAGGAGAGTCTGGATCTTGTCGGCCTATATGAAGATATTCAGTTAGTCACAACTGTTGCGAGTTTTCGATGGTGCGCGTTGTGAAATTCCATAATTTCGGCTATCATAATCCCTCAACGTGCGATTTGAGTTCTCTCTGTGAAGAGAAGAAAACCCGTTGCGCGAGTTGAAATGGCATCCTCCACGAAACTTGAATTCAACAACGGGGAACGAGTGCACGTACGGTGATCTCAATGCCATCATCGGCAAGGATCAGAGCGGCGTAGGAGACAGCGAGCTCGGCGGTAGACATTTTGTCGACGGGGTGGGTGTTGACCGGACTGGGTGTCTTGAAGATGAAGATGGGAAGGGAGAGAAGGAAAGAAGTGTATCGTCAAAGGCCTATCCGAACAGGGTAACCGGGCCCAGCGGTGTGTGGGAAAAAGCCCTCGCTTAGGGCTTTGCCAGATCCGGTTTAGCTCCGAGCCCCTCCCCGTGACTCAAGACCTGCCTTGACGCTAGTCCTCTTCCGGCTAAACCTGTTGATGACATAATCTCGGAGTAATCAGCCCGTATCGCAGAACGATATCAATATCGATCCCGAACTGACATCACAACGTGTGGGGTTCCCTGCAATCCATCATCTTCTGTCTCCTTTCAACCCACAGCTCAACCTCTGATCGCGAACTCAAGTACATAAGATCCCACCAGAATCTATCATTCCAGCTTCCTTTGCGCCTGCCGGCCATGGACTCCCCCGCAGTACCAGTCCCGCTGGATCCGCGGGAGCAGCCCATTCTTGAGCGTTTGCTCCGGACCCGAGATGCGCTTCTTCTCTTGAAACAAGACAAGTCCTCTTACATCAAGTCTCGCGATGTTCTCCCACTGTATGAGGAGGTCGTTGGCGAAGTCGATAAACTCAATGCCGCTCGTAAAGAGCAAAACCAACGCCTGGTACATAACCGATGTAAGTGCCGGAAGTGCCGCGCTTGGATAGGTTAGAATGTCGCTGACTTTACATGGCTTCTCAGTGGACTACGTCCTGGATGATTGCTTCCAGTTGATCTCCTTGCTCTTTTTGACCGTGGGTAGGAACAATGAAGCTCCCGCAGTGTAAGTTGCCGATGTACCCCGCGAACCTCTTTATCTGTACTTACACCTCGTCCAGGTATTCGCTTGCGGCTACAATTCAGGTATTTCATGAAGCCTTAATTCCGACTAGTTCTCGTTTTAACTCTTTGTCCTTTTCTTTAGCGCCTTCTCGATCACCTCGAAGAAGCTGGATTCTACAGCTCCAAAGATTTGAACTCCATCACGAAGACTCTCGAGTCGATGCGAGAGACCCTTGACCGCGGGCGCAACACCTACTCTCCAGCTCTTCTCACTCTCCTCGAAAGCCGAATGGAACAATGCCAACTCTCGTTGGGAAAATTACAAAAGGGACTCGCCGTGCTTGCGCCGGGTCTTGTGCAGACACATGAGACCCTCGTGTCTATCCTGCGATCTACATCTGCTGTCAACACGCGCTCCAAGGTATGTTTGTCTTTGGGCGTATATCTAAAAAAAATACCGATTAACCTCTTTTCTTTCTTTAGTTCTCCGCTACAGAAGTGAACAACCTGCGAGAGCAGCTGAAGAAGATTGAAAATACTCTCAAGGATGGCAAGTTTGTGGACGCCGACGGCAATGTTCAGGCTGGATCCGATGACTTGAAGTCACTCATGGAACGCTGCTGGCGGTGGACCGAAATTGTTCTCGAGCGGTAGGTCCCATGCCTCTCCTGTCATGCATCGACAGGCAACTGATTGGACTGTAGTCAGGGCAAAATCGATGAACGCTTCCAGGAACAGTACGACCGCCTTCTTGAGATTCGCAACCAGCTCGATCGACTCTCTGTTACCCAGGCTTGGTCGCTTCGAGAGACCGATTTGTTCGGATACCAGCGGAAGCTAGATCGAATTGACGAGGCCCGGGTGAATGGCAACTTTGTCGACGCTGTAGGCCAGGCGGCCGACCTCCATGCGCAACGGGTAACTTTTCGCAGTCTTCAGAATCAATGACATCTGCTAACTCTGTATCTCACATAGACATTGCTGTACCTTATCCGACGCAGCTATGCATACATCTACGCACTTTTGATCTCTTCCGAGCCCGTGTCCGAGGCCCTGCTGCCTGTTTACAATCAGCTGCAGACTCTTCGCCGATGCCTGATCGAAGTCAAGGAATCTGGCGGCGTGTCTAACTCGCGCGAGCTGTACCCTTACAGTATGAAGGTATGTTTTACACTTCTTTCATCCTATGCATCTAGTAATTCCCGTACTAACGAGAGTAGCTCAATTCGATTGATAACATGCGGGTCGACGGCAAGTTCTACATTGGACCAGATATCCCAGAGGGTCAGGGCAGTGTCAATTCTCTGCTCGCCGAATGCTACGACCTAGTGTGGGAGCTCCGGGCTGCTGTCGCCGATGAGGAGTCCCAATCTTAGGCTGCTTTTCGTTGTAGAAACAAGCCTTTCCCTTCTATCTGACATGATATCATTCATATTTTCCGTGCAAGGAGGACTTATTATTCATGGAATGCCCTCGAATGCCCTGTGACTTTACGCTTTTTTTACTTAATGAGTTTCTTTTTCAGTTCAGTTCCTGGTTTTTGATGACATGCGGGGCGTTCAATCGGGGCAGTCCTGAGCTCGAATCGGGCAAGGGCATTGGATATGGGTGGAGAGGGTTCTGCTTTGCCAATATTTTTTTTGAATATTGAATCAATTTCTTTCTTTATAACTCGTGTAAATTCTTCTACCTTCGGCCAGAAACTAAGACACTTGCTATAAACGTGTTACAGGGCATGCATACTGGGGTAATGAAAAAGTCTTTGCTATGGACAATAACCTGTATCGCCGAGCTGTCCGTCCCATTCGTAGTGAACAAAGTCTACCAGTCGTCGCAAATTAGTAGGATTAAGCATCTCCCTCGCGGCATCTGCCAACCACGCGATGTGCGTCTCAGGCACTTGTTTATACTTTGGGTACAGAACTTGAAGAAGCTTCCGCTTCATGGTCACACGGGGGCCCAGGCTGCCTAAGGTTCCATAGCTTTGCAATGCGTCAAGAAGCATTTCATAACTCCCATCGCTGGTAGCTTCGTAATGACACACTGCTTCCTTCTTGTTGAGATGAGTCCCCTGAACCAGCTCATAAACCTTATGATGACAAGCCGGGAGACCCCAATTGCACAGACTCATAATGAACAGTGCATTGATCTTCCGGCGCCCAATAAGGTCAGCAGCCCCTTTGACACACTTTGAAATGAGACTATCCAGGTACTTGCAAGCCGAGCCTCGAATGCCACGGAGGATAACATTCTCTCATTGTTTCCGCATCGTATCCCCTCGGAAGTCCAATAGATCATTGATCAAAGTGCAGGTCTCCATCAGCTGCATAAACTCATCCTCGTCGATCGTCTCCCCCGTTGCAAGAGAGGCCCCCACTATTCCCACGGGGAGACCTAGATCAATATGTCGATGCACGCCTAGGCCAGTCATTCGACTGCCGTAAACCCCGCTAGGTCGTCTGGACATGGAGTGATCTCTCCAATAGCTCAGGATGCGGTATTGGACTGTCGCAGCCACGAGGTTGTGAAAGTGCCAGTCACTCAGAAGTCCTGCATAGACACATGTCTTGAGGAATGCCATTGATGCAGCACCGACTTTTTGAAGTGTATCCAGAGTCTTGTCATCTGCAGCCTCGGAATAGTCTCCAATGAGGATATCATTGCCCGAATCGGCAATAGCCCAAAGAATCCCAGGATCGACAAGACTCGCACCACTGGACACGACATAAAAGTGTTTGGCATCGGCACAAAGCCTGATTCGCTCCGTTGTCGGGTAAAGATGATGGTGAATAAAATCGTCCAAGTCACCATCCCGTGCAGGTCGTCTGTCCGGGGCCTTGACTTTAGGTACAGGAGATTTCTCTGTACACGAATACGGCGGGGGCTGTCCATCTGCATGGCACAAGGCAAGCTCTGTCGTTGCGGATGAGAGCTTTTGAGCAGAGAAAAAGGGCTAGTTGTTCCATTCCTCTTCCTTTAGGTTTGCAGCTTTCCCAACGCTGATCATCCGTTCAATTGCCTTGCAGCCACAAGTCTCCAGTGACGAGTGATCAACATTTGAAGGTACTGGATACAAGCCTTCACATGAACATTCAATCCGGGGATTATAACATTCCGATAGAACATCCCATTCATCGGATGACGGGGGCACACTCCCACCTAACGGGATCAGCTTGGCGAGGGCTGCTGTTTTGTAACAAGCAATGATATTTTTGAGCTGATCTCGGTTGATAGAGCTGTTTCATTTCTGTTCTTTCAACCATTGAGGGGAAAATTCAGTGACGACTCGCAGACAATCCTCTGCAGACTGTATACTGGGTTTTGTCGTATTCCACGTCTCAACCCAGGCACAGTAAGCCGGCAACGTTCCGGCGTCGATATCGTGATAGAACATGGTGTTTGATGGGTGGTAATCATGATGACAAGTTTGATATGTAGATATAGCCCCCTACCAAATTCCAAATTGCAAGTCAAAACTAGCGAGCTGAATTGTGCATCGCCGAGATCCATCACAAACCTATCTTGAGTGCTGACCACCAACCGAGTATCCAATCATATTCTCGGGTCCCTCCTTGTACACAAAGCAACCAGCCCACTGGGTCGCCACAGTAGTAAGCTGTGAGCATCTATAAGAACTTTTGCTCAGTATTTACATGGATACCCCCTGATGTATAAAGTGCATACATCGCTTGGACTTACATAATGCGTAAGCCTGTCAGTCATCATATCTGCCAAAACCGGCAGAATCTCGATTTCGGCCATTCTTTGTCCCATATAATCGTTGCATTTCCTATATCCGTTATAGAAATGCGATTTTACCACAGGAAACCAACTAAAAGAGATTTAAATCAATCAACTAATAAGATTACTTAAGCTGAAATTTAAATATAATCTATAATCTCAAGACTAATCGTAAGACCTAGAATCTTATAGTTATAGGCACTTCGTAGCACTTAGGAGTTTTAGGGAAGTCCCCTCTATCGTCCGATGTACTAAACACCAATCTAGATTAACAAGGCTGACCGCAGGTGACACATCGACGGCTAGTCCATATAGGTGCTTTGGCCACCAATACCTTTTGTTGGAAATCTTTCAAAACTCATAGTCAAGTTCTAGTTTTCCAGGCATTTCCTATGTCAAGTATCCTTTCTCGCTTGTCATTTGTGGATAGGGATAAATTTAAGAGAATCACTTCTTGCCCAATTATTTATAGACAGTCTAATGTCTTTTGAATCGCCCATATACATCCTGCAATACTTCAACAGTCATATACATATACAGATTGCCCAAATGTTCGTTCCGAATCGCTTCCCCACAACTTGGGGCGATCCCGGTATCGGCGCAATGCCCGGCCAATGAGCGATCATGCAAATAACCAAAGCCGACCGAGAAAAAAAGCCCTCGGAACTTCCTCAACCTTGCCTTTCTTTCCCCAGTTTCCACCCCCTCCACACTTGAGAATGGTGAGCCAGCTAGTATGGCAGAGGGTTGCCGCCTCTCGCAGGGTAAGTACCAACGCTGCATTGGCTAATTGAGTTACATGGTGTGGGTATAAGACTGACTCCGCAATAGCTGGCCGCACGCCTGTCTCCGCAACGACTCTCCCGTGGCCTGGCCACCGAAGCCGCCTCGTCGCGTATGCCACCCTACCCCAAGATTGTCCGCAATCTCGAGCAGGTTCGCAAGGTTCTGGGCTCTAACCGTGCCCTAACCCTCGCGGAGAAGATCCTGTACGCCCATTTGGACAACCCGGAGGAATCCCTGCTCACCGGTACCAACAATGGTCGTGATATCCGGGGCAAGGCCAACTTGAAGTTGAAGCCCGACCGTGTCGCCATGCAGGATGCTTCGGCCCAGATGGCCCTGCTCCAGTTCATGTCTTGCGGTCTGCCCTCGACTGCCGTCCCCGCCAGTATTCACTGTGACCACATGATTGTTGGTGAGCGCGGTGCCGATACCGATCTGCCGGCTTCGATCCAGGGCAATGCCGAGGTGTTCGACTTCCTGGAGAGTGCTGCCAAGCGCTACGGTATTGAGTTCTGGCCCCCGGGTGCTGGTATCATTCACCAGAGTGTGCTCGAGAACTACGCTGCCCCTGGTCTGATGATGCTTGGTACAGACAGCCACACCCCCAACGGTGGTGGTCTAGGTGCCATTGCCATCGGTGTTGGTGGTGCGGATGCCGTCGATGCTCTCGTCGATGCTCCCTGGGAGCTGAAGGCCCCGAAGATTCTCGGTGTTCGTCTTGAGGGCCAGCTGAGCGGCTGGGCCTCTCCCAAGGACATCATCCTGCACCTGGCTGGCAAGCTGACCGTTCGTGGCGGTACTGGATTCGTGATTGAATACCACGGTCCCGGTGTCGAGACTCTTAGCTGCACTGGTATGGCTACCTGCTGTAACATGGGTGCCGAGGTTGGCGCTACTACCTCCCTCTTCCCCTTCTCGCCTAGCATGGTGCCTTACCTCGAGGCCACTCACCGTGGTCACGTCGCCAAGGCCGCGGCTGAGATTGCTGCTTCTGGCCCTGGTAACCTCCTGCGGGCTGATAGCACTGCCGAGTACGACCAGTTGATTACCATCAACCTATCCGAGCTGGAGCCGCACATTAACGGTCCTTTCACTCCGGATCTCTCGGTTCCTCTGTCTAAGTTCGCCGACACTGTCCGTGAGAAGAAGTGGCCCGAGACCTTCGGTGCCGGTCTCATTGGTAGCTGCACCAACTCCTCGTACGAGGATATGACTCGCGCCGAGGACCTTGTCAAGCAGGCCTCCGCTGCTGGTCTCAAGCCCAAGGCCGACTTCTTCATCACTCCCGGTAGTGAGCAGATTCGCGCGACCCTCGACCGTGACCAGACCCTGAACACCTTCTCCGAGGCCGGCGGTGTCGTTCTGGCCAACGCCTGCGGCCCCTGCATTGGCCAGTGGAAGCGTACCGATGGTGTCCCCAAGGGCGAGAACAACGCCATCTTCACCTCGTACAACCGTAACTTCCCCGGTCGTAACGATGGTAACCGCCAGACCATGAACTTCCTGGCTTCTCCCGAGCTCGTTACCGCGCTCGCCTACTCTGGCAGCACCACCTTCAACCCCATGACCGATTCCCTGACCACCCCCAGCGGCGAGACCTTCAAGTTCCAGCCTCCCAAGGGCTTCGACCTGCCCAGTGCCGGTTTCGAGGAGGGTAACCCCAAGTTCCTCCCCAGCGCTGCCGTCCCCGACGCCTCCCAGGAGGTCATCGTCTCCCCGACCTCCGACCGCTTGGCTCTCCTCGAGCCGTTCGCTCCCTTCCCCAAGGGCGACCTGAGCGGCCTGCAGGTTCTGTACAAGGTCAAGGGCCAGTGCACCACTGACACCATCTCTGCGGCCGGTCCCTGGCTCAAGTACAAGGGTCACTTGCCCAACATCTCGGCTAACACCCTGATCGGTGCCGTCAACGCCGCCACCGGCGAGACCAACGTCGCCTACGACGAGAACGGCAACCAGCACGGTATCCCCGAGCTGGCTGAGCAGTGGAAGGAGCGTGGTATCGAGTGGCTCGTCGTCGCCGAGGACAACTACGGCGAGGGCTCCGCCCGTGAGCACGCTGCTCTGCAGCCCCGCTACCTGGGTGGCCGTGTCATCGTGTCCAAGAGCTTCGCCCGTATCCACGAGACCAACCTGAAGAAGCAAGGTGTCGTCCCATTGACCTTTGCTAACCGCGAGGACTACGACCGCATTGATGCCTGCGATGTCGTCGACACCGTTGGCCTGTACGATGTCCTGCAGGCCGGTGGCCAGGGCGAGATCCAGCTGCGCGTGACCAAGAAGAAGACCGGCGAGTCGTTCATGGTCCCTGTCCAGCACACTCTCAGCAAGGACCAGTCCGCTTTCATTCTGGCTGGTAGTGCGCTGAACCTGTTGGCCAAGAAGGCCAACGCTGGTGCGCAATAGGAGGAATGTATCTTATTTTGAGGACATAAAAGTTCTGTTTCGGTCCGGAGTTGTTGAACCAGGCTGAGGGATGCATTTTTGTTGTCTTCTTTTTGTTTTGTTATGTCTCATCTACTTTTATATACTAGCACAGCCTGCATTCGTGTATTCGGAGACTTAGATTCCGATTTTGCCTTTTTGTGTGGGCTAGATGATATCCAATGTGATTTGTATTCTATTTAATTTTGCCCCTTCTATGATCAATTTTAGTTTGCCATACGATGAATATGTAATTAGATAGTCCATGCTCGAGTCTTCCAGAAATCTGGTTTAGCACAGGGCTGCACGCCCTTTTGTTGTCATCCCGCCCTGGTGGGGAATCAGATAGCCTTGCTACCGTAACCCTCCCAAGGCTGCGGGGGATATCCGGTGTATAAAACTTGCCTACACCCAGTCCACGAATTGTCATCTCTCAAACACACATCCAAAAAACCAAGATGGACACTTCCCTTAAGAAGCCCTGGATCGAAACCCCACTAATTGAATCGGCCACCCTCTCCAAGCAAGCAGGATGGTGCATTTTCCCCCTAGACCCTCACAGCAACAACGTATACCCCAAAGGCTTGGAAGCGATATACTAACCCTCTTCCCTATCAGCCGCATATTCCTCAAACTAGAGCTCCTTCAACCCTCCGGTTCCTTTAAATCGCGGTATGTCATTCACATTCACCACCTTCAATCCAAGGCTCCAACCCCACGCCGCAATATCAAAGCTCAAACAAATACTAACCCCTTCCCAGAGGAACCGGCAACTTAATCCTCTCCGAACTCAAGTCCAAAACCAACAACACCAACACCAAAAAAGTCCACTTCTACAGCTCCTCTGGCGGAAACGCTGGTCTAGCCGCCGTCCACGCAGCCCGCGATCTCGGCTGCGCCTGCACCGTGATCGTCCCGCATAGCACGAAGCCGCTAATGATAGCCAAACTTCGTGATGCCGGTGCCACGGAGGTGATTCAGCATGGGGCGAGTTGGTTCGAGGCAGATACGTTTCTGCGGCGGGAGTTTATTGAGAATCAACATCTGGGAGTGGGAGAGGGGGATAGTGTGAGTGGGACTGTCAATGTTTATGTGCCGCCGTTTGATCATCCGTTGGTTTGGGAGGGTGCTGGGAGTATGGTTGGTGAGATTGCGAGGCAGTTACCGGCCAGGGAGGAGGGTGTTTTTCCGGCGGATGTGATTGTGTGCAGTGTTGGTGGTGGTGGATTGTTTAATGGGGTTGTCGATGGATTGGAAAAGTATATCAAGGCTTCTTCTTCTTCGTCGTCAGGAAAGAGCGTACGCGTTCTCGCTGTGGAAACTCGCGGCGCAGACTCATTGGCGCATTCGCTTCGAGAAGGAAAACTCTCTTCTCTATCTGCCATTGAGTCGCAAGCTACCTCACTAGGTGCACTATGCGTTGCTGAAAAGACTCTTTTCAACGCCGTGTCCCCGCCTAAGGGCATCGATGTCACCAGCGTTGTGGGTTCGGACGCTGATGCTGCGAGGGGTGTGTTGCGGTTAGCGGATGAGACTCGGTTGCAGGTGGAGTTGGCGTGTGGGATTAGCTTGGAGGTTGCTGTTGGAGAAAAGTTGAAGGAAGTGATTCCGGATTTGAAGCCGGAGACGAGGGTTGTGGTTGTTGTTTGTGGAGGGAGTAATATCACAGCTGAGATGATGGCTGAGTATAGAGCGAAGTTGCAGGATGGGTGGGTTTGATAACCTGGATGAGGAGATAGGGCAATGGGATAAGAATAGACTTGTATAGAATGAATGTGGTTCTGATTTGTCGGTCATATTAGGTACCTAAGTCTTATTGCAATGATGTAACAGCACCCCGAGAAGATAGTACCAGTCAGTGAGGGTCGTGGTTCCTTCACTCCCGAAATATATACATCCGCCGAAGCAGAGCCAATACACATACAATTTTCAAGCTTCAAAAATGCAATGGACTTTATTCGTAATCATCATAGCCTCGAAAGAAAACCAAACACTCATAAAAAGGCCAAGTCTAACGTGCAATATTGTATGGTCAGACAAAAAAATACAGACCAACGCTCAAAGACAGCATCTCCCGAAAATCCATCACAACGGCCCCGAGAAACCGATCCCAACCTGCACAGGCATACCACGGCTATAGATAACCAGGATGTCCCTATCCGGTTTATTCGCTATCGCTAGCACTATCATGCACCGACCCATTGCCCTCCTCGTTGTGAATGCCCTCCGCCAGGATATACTCGGCCGAGGCAAGAGTCTGCTTAATGGCGGGCTTATCGAAGACCAAATCAGCCGGTTTTTGCCCGTGCTTGTTGCGCACGCGCGGGTCGCAACCAGCCTCGCACATCATGGCGATCATCTCAGCGCCTAACTCGGCGTCTTTCTCGTTGGCGAAGCGTACGGCGGTGTGGAGGGGGGTGTCCTTGTCGATGCGGGTGAGGGGGTCGCATTCGAAGTATTGAATATCGAAAAGGGCGTCCATAACGTCGTCTATAAGCGAAGGGTATATATGTTAGTCTGTAGCTCATGATTCGCACGGGACGGATCCGCGTGGAGGCTGAGAGGGCTAACGTACAGCTGCCGTAGCTGGCGCAAATGTGCAAAGCGTGGTTTCCCATGGTATCCGTGACCTCGTTGAAGAATTTGGCCACGTCCTCGTTGGACTGGCTTTCCATGTCGTGCAGGACTTGCTCAATTAGGTGTGGTTGGTCGCGGCGGCAGGCTTCCACGACCAGCTCGCGGGGAGAAGCACCCTGAGAATAACGAGACTTATTAGCAGTAGCTCAATCGGGAGATAGTAAAGTGCCAAATTACTCACCTCGTCATCAGCCATTGTGTTCAATCGTCGAAATTCAAGCTTTCTTCGGGGAGATGTAAGGAATTCCGTTGCGCGGAATCAGGGACGAGAACAGTCGGTGACCTGAAACGCAGGCAGCCGTGAGTAGTGAAACAGCGGGAGAATCGGAAACTGGAGTGAATCGCAAGGTCTTGCGGTAGTAGCAGGGGCAGATAGTATGTACACCTCGTAAATAAAAAAAGTCCGAATCAAAACAAGCCAAGCTCTTTGTCAAGACACGAATAGCCAATTCCGGGCGCTGCTTTCCCAGGGACATCCCACATGCCCGGATCATGTGATTTTCCGGACTCCCCGCCGAGTTGTAACTTAGCCGCGCGCCTAGCTCTTCCCGCGCATTGGAGGTTTGCGATACCAATCAGTGAATTTCAAGACGACCGAAAGGGCTGGCATTCTTTTTGCTTCCTGGTTTCGTTACAGGCTTTTGCGCTCATTCAAGCAGATAACTACCGACCGCAACATTGGACCTGGGAAGTTTTCAATATGCCGCTCGTCTGTTCGTGATACCCCCAATCTCCAAATGCGCCGAGTCCGGCTTCAAGCTGGGCCAGCAATGACTATGGAATCTGAACCTGAACTGACATGATCTCTCTCCTCCTGCTCTAGTCTGTCCCAACTGCAGCAATGTGCTGACCATCTCCCGCGCGGATTCAACCACCCAGTACCCGATGGGCGTGAACCGCTTCGAGTGCCGCACCTGTCCTTACGAAGACATCATCGGAGACCGATCCTACTACGAGAAGACTGAGATGAAGCAGAAGGAGGTGGAAGACGTTTTTGGCGGTGCAAACGAGTTTGCCAACGCCGACAGCGTTGGTAGTAAGTTACAGAGAGTCATTCGTCCTGGGATCTTCCTAGGATCATCTCAGGGCCACTGGAAGGGTATGTACAGCTGACAGCTCTTTTTTTTCCTTCTTGCAGCTCAATGTCCGGCGGAGAACTGCAACGGGGACCGTGCATACTTCTTCCAGCTGCAGATTCGTAGCGCCGACGAGCCGATGACTACGTTCTTGAAGGTAGGACTCCCTTACATATGATTTTCGTTTGCATGGCTGACAGGTGGGGGACAGTGTACAAGCTGTGGTGCTCGGTGGAGAGAGAATTGAGGGGCTGGAAGGAGCAGAATGCTGGGACTCGTTTGGGGGAGTCTACGAGTATTTGCATTTTCGTTGCGCCCTCGTGTTTTTGGGGGTTATACATTTCTATGAGTTTATGATTGTGATTATCCTTCTCATCGTGCTTGGACGAGGGATTGGATGTGGAAATACCACGGGCGTCGGGGGTCTGTTTCAGATATCACAAAAAAATGGCGCATGTTGCGACCGGGTTCAGCGAAAAGGGCGTTTGGGACTACAGCCAGCGATTGAGATACCCCTCCATTAGCCAGGCCTATGAAATTCTTTTTACTATCTTTTATCTACCTGCTGTCCGGAGTTCTAATAGTGTATGTATATGTGATCGACGTCAGCGGGAGCCGCGCACAGATCAGCCAAATTTGACTCTGAAAAATTGGGTTGACCACAACCACGGGTACCCACGAGTCATTGACAGTAATACTATAGGATACTATAGTATATAATTATTGCCCTAGGCTGAATGGAGAGCCCGACCGTAGAGGATTCTCTTGTCGGTGTACCCATTTTTACGTAGAGTATCTCTGTTCTCTACTATTTCTAGGCATGTGGCAAAAATGGACTGCACGACATGACTGAAGTCATCATGGTGGGTCCAGGTTGGCGGTGACGGACTGCCCCTCGCCCGCGGGGTTCTTGGGCCCCTCGATAAGCTGGGAAAAAAAAAACTCTGCGTTCATCATTATTCCCACCCAACAAAGAAAAATTCGATTACTCTATAGGTGTAGGTCCAAATAGAACGGTATGAACTCTTGTCAACCAGATCTGTTGTCGGACGAGGGATTGGCCCGAATGCGTTGCTGCCCAGTCGACCAGCCGCCCCCCATAGTAGGGCCAGCACGGGCTAATCAAGTGGGCTAGGAGAGGGCGATTGAAAAAAAAATTCGCATTGAGTGGGGACGCGAAGGAGGGCAGAACCAGGGAAACCGGCGAGGAAGGAGGTACTGGGTACATGTGAAAAGAGTGGAAGAGTCATAGTTATACCAAGTAGAGAGTACTCATCCGGCGGCCGATGAAGATTCTGCTGAGCCCCGCCAGCGGAAGGAGTCGTTTACCCCCACCTGCCCAATGGGCACACGCACTGGACAGAAGGTAGCCAATCAGAGATACGGGAGAATCAGAAAGAGTGGAAACTCGACCAGCGGAAAGGGCTAACCCAAAGCTCGCCTCTGGCCCAGTGCTCGCTTGCCCCTCCATATAAGGATTTCCCCCTCCTCCCCCTCCCACAGATTTTTTTCCTTTCCCCCCCCTCGTCCGCATCAGTACGTATAACTTCCCCTCCCCCTTTCCCCTTCTTCCTTCTTTCCTTTCCTCCTCTAACCTCTCTTCTTTGTTCAGTACCTCTACGCACGCCGTAGTCTCTGAGCAATTTCTTCGGATTCCTCTAGTATCTTACAAAGAACTACAAGAATTCTTTCTTGATCAACCGTCACCATGGGGTACGTCGTCTTTCACTCTCTCTCATTCTCGGGAGCTGGTCGACCTCATCCCACGCGATGAGCCATCGACACTCCCATCAAAACACGAACGGATTACTGACTCTGCACCAACAGTAAGGACGACAGACTCCACATCAACATCGTCGTTATCGGCCACGTCGATTCCGGCAAGTCCACCACCACCGGTAAGCATCCCCTCCATCGACTCCGGGCCTCGTCCATCGAGGTTCCATCCAGAATGAACAAATATACTGATGCCTCTGGACAGGTCACCTGATCTACAAGTGCGGTGGTATCGACTCTCGTACCATCGAGAAGTTCGAGAAGGTACGAAATCACAATTTTCACCCAGCCCCACTTCATGGAGGGGCTGGTCACATTTTACTACACTGGATGCTAACCCCTCCTCACAGGAAGCCGCTGAGCTCGGCAAGGGTTCCTTCAAGTACGCCTGGGTTCTTGACAAGCTGAAGGCTGAGCGTGAGCGTGGTATCACCATCGATATCGCTCTCTGGAAGTTCCAGACCGCCAAGTATGAGGTCACCGTCATTGGTAAGAATCATTCCAACCTCCCGCAAGACCTGAGTCTTTAACTAACATCCCTCCTACAGACGCCCCCGGTCACCGTGACTTCATCAAGAACATGATCACTGGTACCTCCCAGGCTGACTGCGCTATCCTCATCATTGCCTCCGGTACTGGTGAGTTCGAGGCTGGTATCTCCAAGGATGGCCAGACTCGTGAGCACGCTCTGCTCGCTTTCACCCTCGGTGTCCGTCAGCTCATTGTTGCCCTCAACAAGATGGACACCTGCAAGTGGTCCGAGGACCGCTACAACGAGATCGTCAAGGAGACCTCCAACTTCATCAAGAAGGTCGGCTACAACCCCAAGAGCGTTCCCTTCGTCCCCATCTCCGGCTTCAACGGTGACAACATGCTCGAGCCCTCCCCCAACTGCCCCTGGTACAAGGGTTGGGAGAAGGAGACCAAGGCCGGCAAGACCACCGGTAAGACCCTCCTCGAGGCCATCGACGCCATTGAGCCTCCCGTCCGTCCCTCCAACAAGCCCCTGCGTCTGCCCCTCCAGGATGTCTACAAGATCTCCGGTATTGGCACAGTTCCCGTCGGCCGTGTCGAGACTGGTATCATCTCTCCCGGCATGGTTGTCACCTTCGCTCCCGCCAACGTGACCACTGAGGTCAAGTCCGTCGAGATGCACCACCAGCAGCTCAAGGAGGGTGTCCCCGGTGACAACGTCGGCTTCAACGTCAAGAACGTTTCCGTCAAGGAGGTTCGCCGTGGTAACGTCGCTTCCGACTCCAAGAACGACCCCGCCGCTGCTGCCGCTTCCTTCAACGCCCAGGTTATCGTCCTGAACCACCCCGGTCAGGTCGGTGCTGGTTACGCTCCCGTTCTTGACTGCCACACTGCCCACATTGCTTGCAAGTTCTCCGAGCTCCTCGAGAAGATTGACCGCCGTACCGGTAAGTCCGTTGAGGACCACCCCAAGTTCATCAAGTCCGGTGATGCCGCCATCGTCAAGATGATTCCCTCCAAGCCCATGTGTGTTGAGGCTTTCACCGACTACCCCCCTCTCGGCCGTTTCGCCGTCCGTGACATGCGCCAGACCGTTGCCGTCGGTGTCATCAAGTCCGTCGACAAGTCTGCCGGTGGTGCCGGTAAGGTCACCAAGGCCGCCCAGAAGGCTGGCAAGAAATAAATGATTTGCGGATGAACACCAGCGATGCCGTGATGAATTTTTTTTCTTTCAACCAAAAATGCTTTCCGATGGGAATAGGAGCTAGACTTTGCTGTGTAGTCTGAAAAATACTACATACAGATTCGTGACTCATGTCAATATTCTCTTTCCTTGTAGATGTTTCTTTTCGTAGATTGTAGCTGTAGATGATCTATAGATGGACACTTGTCTACCTAATTGTCCACCTCGTAGCCTCTGCCATGTGCCCATCCATGTGCAGAATTTGTCTTGACGGCCCAGGTGGTGATGTTGACTGTGCGGAACACCCCCACTATGGCCTAGTCCCGTGCTTGGCGCTGGGCCCACGATCTACTGTACAATAGACAGCACTATCACTCTATACATTAGTACACCCAATTCATGGATTTCAATAGGAACATTTCAGATATTCTCTTCCGCCAATATTATCCTTTTAAATTACTGATTTCCTCGACGTATTTTGTATACCTTCCATAGCTCACGTATACCCCGTGGCATTGACCACCCTCCCGTTTCAATGCCACGGGTAAAGTTCATTTTGCTTGCTTCATATTGAATATTACGATAAAAAATGCTGCCACGAACCAATTTACATACTATGAATATAATATTAATGTACTGCTTCGTAATTGCGGGGTTGAAGAGAACCTTATAATGAGAAGATCGTGATAGACTTGAACGTGGAGGTCACCATACATCCACTGCCTGGCACTGCTCGAACCACGAGTATCATACTGATATATGGACCCTATCTTAGAATGAGACACCAACAATAGTGGGCTACGAAGGAAGTAACGGTTGTCTTTGCTTTTCTCCCGTCCTCCTTTGTCGGAACTAGAGTACATTATGTATGCATTTGACAAGGCTTGTTTTCATTCTACTTTCACTATCATCCAGCCCACGACATGCGCCACAGGTCTATCCCGAGTCCACTATCTATCGCTGTCAAATACGCAGTCTGTGGAATGTAGAGGTTAGGGTACATGATGTACAGTACGGCGTCGGCTGCACTCTCTAATGTACGGAGTAAGGGAGAACGTGTGTCTTAGACGCAAGTCAGTGCGGAGTATGGAGTATAGCTGTCAAATGCGTGTAGATTATACTACTTTGCATCTTTTGGGAAACTAAAGTCAAGTAATATCATGCACGGTAAGTAACTGTCGGACAATAGTGGGAGGTCCAGATCTCGATCCCTTTCCCAAAGGAGGGTAATATTGATATTTCTGTGTAGCCAATATTGCAATAATCAATGCTCACTCTTCTCAGCTCGAGATCTCTAGCGAGTACCTATCTACTCCGCATATGCGAGCACCGAGATTGACCTATGTGAAGATGTAGCATAAATAGAGCTTCATCTAGCCTAGTTCGCACCTAAAAAGCAGAACATCTCTATCCTCTATCAATCTACCGCCTCCATCCATTGACAATGTTGTTCTTCACAACTCTCCTCTTCGCCGCTAGTACCTTCGCCGCACTTCAACCCGGAACTCCCTGCGGAACGAATCTCCAATGTTCTAAAAACTGCCTCGACGGCGAATACATCTCCACGGCTGCCGATGGATTCGTCCGCAACCCAGCGGCCACGGATAACAACGTTTACGTCTATGGAGCCTGCAATAGTGTTGAAGAAGCTGAAGATTTCTGCAATAAACAAAAGGGAACTATATGTGCCAATAGTGACCAATGCCTCATCACGACTACCAAAACCCAGGAAGGCAACGCGTACGAGTCCTTTGTCGGTTGTGGGGCTACACCCACCTCGACGAGCCAATACCCTGACTGCTGAGAACGATAGGTAAATTTTCACTAAGTAGCTTCATCCCCGTGGTGAAATTTTGTTGTATTGACTTGTCATGAATCTGTAGGACTTCCCGTCGCGGTCTATCAGCGAAAAAAACAGCCAGCTTTACTCCTTTGCCCAATTACTTGGAGTTGAACAGTCCCTTGATCTTTTGAGTTATGAGTATGGTTATAAATCCTGGGATCAAAAGGACTCCTTTCCGATATGATTGCAATATGTTTCGGTTTACACCGCAGGGATACGTGTAATATTCCTTCTGGTCCGCTATCCTGGTCATAAGTTCTGTATATTATCACCGTTCAAGCCATGAGAGCTTCATGCAAATTTCTTCTATCTACCAGATGATAGCATGAGTTGAGCTAGCCATTCCCTCCTTTTAAGAAAAGTGTGACCAGAACCTCTGATCTCATAGGATGTCGGGGGCTTTGAAGCATTGGATAGTATTCAAGGGTATCACATACTCCCCCTGGAGCGCATGTACTATGTATGGACCGTAGAAGCTAGTAGTATGATCTACACTTCAACTGCAAACAAGCTTGACTACTTCAAAATAATTCAATATTCAATCTCTGGGTATCAATCAATAACACATACTCGCCTTGGTCAGGCACGATCAATCACTCTCGTCCTCGTCCTTGACCGAATCCGTCTCAGGCTCCCCGCTAGATTCTTCCTCCTCCTCCGACTCGTGTGCAGTAGTCGCCCTCCTCGAAGACCGTCTCGGTGCTTCACTCGGTGCCACGGTTCTCGCTGGAGCCCCGGCACCACTGCCATTAGCCACCCGCTGCTCCCCTCGCCGGTCCTCCTGGTCATCCTCACGTACACCAGAAATGCCCAAACTCCGTCTCAGTCTCGCTTCAAATTCCGCTCTCATCTCACGCTCCATCTGCGTTAAGTCATTCTCCCCAGCAGCACCACCACCACCACCACCAGAATCCCGTCCACGCCCATAAACCTCTCGCACAAGACCCGCTACCCCAGAACTTCCAACCTCGACCTTTCCCCTTGGTCCAACCATAAACTCAATAACTTCCTCTCCACCATCCATTTCCCTCGTCCGCACGAGATACCCCTCCCGACAAAGTCGCGCGAGCAATTTATCCGTCTTGTCACCGAGCATGTAGTCCTCCGCGTTCATGCGACGCAGATATCGACCAAGTTTTTGTTCGCCGAGGGTTCCACCGTTCAATAAAATGACGGCGATAACGAAGCTGTAGAATGCGGTATAGGTACTTTCAGTGGTGGTGGAGGGGGCTCGTGTAGGCGGGATGATGGCGGGTGTGCGGTATGCGGCGGGGAGGGTGCTGATGAGGATCCAGGATTTGGTACTGGTGGATGGTTTTTCGGTTTTTTGCGCGGCTATACATTAAGATAAACAGGGTTAGTCTTTGGTTTCTTCAAAGGCCTCAATCCCCAAGCATCCTCTACTCATATCGTAGATTGTAAATGGAAAACTCACCCCGCCGCTGTAAAATAGTCACCTTCTCCCTAGCCGGCAACTCCACCATCTCCATCCCAAATTTACTGCGCAAATGTTGCTGTGCCGTGTCAAAGACCGTCTTGAATTGCCTCGAACCCTGTTCTCCTAATACTTTGGCACTGATATCGGTGCGCCGGATGGGCAGGCGCGAGTACTCGCTCGCCAGCGCCAGCCGTACCATCTTCTTCACCATAGCGTCTAGACTGGATGGTGCGCTGTGGCCGGCATCGTCGGACATATCTGCGTCTGGGGAGGCGGAGCTGCTGCGTGGACGTTGGCGTCGAGATGAGGAGGGATCGGCGTCGGTCTGGGGTTGTGTTAGAGGGTGCTTTTGATGGGGAGGGGGATGGGTATTGTGGGAGTATTGGGGATGATTTTACTTACCGCCCGGCGTTTGCGAACTTGGGACATGTTTGTTGAATGGTGTGTATAAGGATGATGGTGGGGGATGAGTTTCTTTGTTCGCAGTGGAGGGAAATTGTTAGACGCGACGCGACGATCGGCACTCGATTTGGCCGGATTGGTATTGGTGGTCCGTGCACGGTTCTTATCTTGAAGCTTGTGAAACTGAGACGGACGGTGTATGTCTCTCGTGTTTTAGCATTTCAGATTGAGGGTAATTCGGACTATAGGCCAAAAGGAAGGTATAGTATAGCACAGTAATTGATTTGTGTTCATATTCGGAATTAGGACAGGCAGTCTTTCGCATGACGTAACGCTGAGCAAGTACAGGAGGATATGGCAACATATATCTGCAGCGAAAGTCGCCCATCTCCGTTGAACCAGCATAGAGATCGAGGAATAGAGAAAACCAACACAAAAACAGAAACCGGTATTAAGAATCGCGAAGACAGGTATAATTTTCTCTAAAAACAAAAGGACCACACAAGAAAAAAAAAAAAAGAAAGAAAGAAAGAACGAATATCAAACGCTCAAGGAGGGGACAAGCACATTCTCCAATTAATGGCTGTTGGTCTTCTCATTCACAACCTCCTTAGCCTCCTCCTTAGCCTTCTGGAACCAAGTCGTAAGATAAGTCAAAGACTCGGTAGACAGCACCAAGCTCGTCGTGATAATAGCCTTGCCGGAAGCGACAACACCATCACCACCGCACTTCCTGTATTCGGAGCCGTAGACCTCGAAGAGGTGCTGCTTGACGTCGCCAGCGATACGGACCGGGAATCCGGCGGTGTTGTAGATGGTGCCGCGGATCTTCTGGGTATCTTCACGGATGATGGGGAAGCGCGAGTCGATCTGGGTCAGACCCTTGTCACCCAGAGCATCGGCGCGGGCCAGGTAAGGTGCGACATAGCTGTAGGGAGTGGAGAAGTAGGGCAGGACTGGCTTGGCGATGCGAGCGTAGGCGTGGTCGCTGAGCTCGAGGGACTTGGCGCCGTAGGGGTTGCTCTTGAAGATGGAGATGGAGTCGGAGACGACAGGGTAGGAGGTGAGATGCTAAAAAAAGAGAGGAGATGTTAGAATAAGTATGCTGTGCTGATAATGATGGGGATATCTTACGTCGAGGAATTGAGAATGGACCTTCTCGCCGTTCACGATTGGTTGTCCCATCACGTCAGAGTGGGCGTGGGGCATTAAGAAGTAAGAATAGGATAGGAAGAGAGAAGGGGAATAAGAAAGAAGGAGAAGAAAATATCCTGGAGAAAAGTAGGCAAGATAAGTAGGACGAGATTGGAATGTCGTAGGACAAGAGCAGGAAAAAAAGAGAGAGAGGTGGGCAGTCTGGAAGTATATACGGAAGATTTCACATGTGATTGTTCGATTGCGCTTTCATTATGCAATTGGCCTCCTCGAGGGCCCCAGCGCAATCGCATCATCTGTGCACACACCTTTTTCCCTCCCCCTGGGACCTAATTGTTTCTATGCAGGAGAGTCCCCTTGTTATTTTACATTTGAAAAAAAAGGACAGTAAACTACGTTGTCTGGAATTGAATTTGGGCGCTTCTCGTGGTTCTTGGCCCTTTTCCCCTCCCCCTCCAAAAAAAACCTAGTTGTTATCCCATAACTTTCCCTTAAAAATGATAACCCTATTTCTTTATCTTGCAATGTATATATTACTACCTAGCTATCTTCCCATCATTCATGCGCATTTGCCGCTCTCGTCAAGTTTGCGACACGAGTTCTGATAAGGTGGGATTCACATGTGATTGCGGGTCCAAACCTCGACGCATTCAGGCTCCACTCGAGGTTGCTAGACTGCTAGAGCTAACAGCCTCTTCGCTCGGTTCATCCTCCTCCGGCTTCCCGTAAAACTATTAGCAGTGCTCTTGGATCTCGACTCGGCCTCTTCCAAAGACCCCCAAATTCTAAAAAATAAACGAGCTGAACTAGTCCCAGCCACACTTACTTACACATGCTCTGTCTACTACGCATACTATGTATATACCTATATCCTAGTCTACTGTAGTCCACTGTCCATCTTGAAACCCCCACCTTCTCTGTCTTCCTCTCTATATACCGTTTTGGCTTTCCCCTCTTATCAGCCATGTTGTCAACCTGCATGCTTTAGTCTCATTCCAGCGCCTAGACGACCGTGACACCTGCAGAGCCCGGCTTCACTTACTCTCCTCTCCCGCGAGGTCTAGCCTCGCCCTGCCACGAGTATCCACTCTCTCTGGCCTGAGCGTCGTCCGTTCGAACCTAACACTCCTCCCCTCTACCCATTCACGGTAAAGCCCTTGCGATCGCGAGAAATTTGGCATCCGTCGAAACTTTGACCTGGAGATTTTCCCACAATTCAATCCAGGTCCCCAGAAGTACCCCCGTGCAATCCTATTTCCCCTCTTTTTCCCTCTATGATTTCCCCTTAGCTTCCTACTCCGTGCTTTATGTCTCGTACATGCCAAGCACCCGCACAAGGTTTTGCTTTCTTAATCCCTACCTCCTGGGTTCTAGGTCTGGCCCGGTTCTCGATCGGCCCCCCGGGACGCTGCCCGCCGGGCGTGCAACTGGTGAGCCGGATGATTCGTCCTAAAATCATCCGATTCTCGGCGATTGGACCGTCTATCCTGCACAATGAGAAAACCGTTGAGGTCATCACTTTCCAAGCGGTTACTGGACTTATTCTCCATGCGCGGACGATTCAGTTGGTCAATGGACCTTCGCCAAGTAGAGTTCCAAGAACGCGTGTCATGTCATGATCGTCCTGGATTACCCATAGCATCCTTGTTAAAGGATGATGGTTGGGTTGGTACCCTGGAACAGTCGACAGCCTCGACTAACTCGTACAAAAGACGGGAACACAAAGTACGAAAGTATCGCCGGATGCATAACTCGGAAATAACTGGACGTTGATATTCTGGAAATTCCCTTGTGCAAAGCACATGCCTCCCCATGCCCTCGCTGGCCACTGATTCGCAGAGCCTACTTTATCTAATTCGTCCATTACAGGCCTGATAAGTAAAAGTCCTACCATTATGTGCTATGGTAGTAGTAGCACGGAGGCTACCAAGTTTTTGAATTTGAAACATCCTTCTAAATGTTTTCCCATGCTAGTCGAGAGTGGGCAATGGATGGCCGATCTGGGTGGCAAGTCGCGAGGTACTGGTGCGAGAGAGAGATCAAGTATGTACTTCTCCGTAGTGTACGGAGTAAATCGGGAACAGGGCTGCATGGATTTTGGAGGGAGAACCTTGGCGGTGGTAGCTAGATTAGGCTTGGCATTACCTGCTATAATTTCTGTATAGTTATGGGAAGGGACTCCAGTATGAATACAAAGTAGGTTGTTGTTACTCTTACGACAAAAAGTCAGCTCGCACGACAAACTTGGCCTAGTTAGGATAGCTCCTGGTCAGAAGTAATTTGTTGATCATAACCCAAAAGATAGCCCAAGAGATAATACTAAAGCTGTCTAGAGAGTCGGTTCAAAGTACCTCCAGAGAGATCTTGTAAAGAGCGGTAGTTAAAGCGCATTTCCAGACACAGAGGAAACCACCCAATAATGAGGTTAATTTGTTGTGCCCGTATCCAGACCCAGATAAGTATTGAATGATTAAGGTTATCCTCGAGTCGGGTTTTCTTAACGAGAGATACTATGACTATACTAGATAAAAGTTTGATAGTCCGTGATATTAAAGAAGAATCGCGTATAACAATCCCGAACCCGTACCAGAGAATTCCTCCTTCTTTTAGTAGAGGGTACCCTTTTCTCCCAGCAGGATGATCATAAGGAGTAACAATGTGCCCTATTCCAGTTTCACTTTGGTGTATGCCGGACCATCAACGACTCTCCCATCTTTCTCCACAGTCCTAATACAGGACCGAGGGAGTTGCTGGATTAGCATTCGTTCCCAACTTGCCGCTCCCTGGAGAAAAGCTTGTTTAGTCCGAGGACGGATCCAAGGTAACTTCATCTCTTCTTCCAACGGGGCTGGTCCGTAGATATCTGCTTGTATTTCGCAACACCATGGCCATACACAGTTCTCCCACATCGGGTTACGAATGAATACCTTAGGTCCCGCACGGTAGGGTATATTGAACGGGCTCAAAGAACAAGGCCGCTTGTAAGTCGTGCGAATCTTGGATTAGATTGTGCCGATTGCGACAGACCCTTTGAGCGGACGTGAGGAATGTGCGCATGTCAGTTTCGAGTAATCATTTCTAGAATTAAATATGAAGGAAAATCTTGTGCGGTTGTGCTGAAGAAGCCATGATTCGGAGGGTTGGATTTTGTAGCTGAATTCTAATCAAGGAAATATTATTCAGAAGAGAGCGAAGACGTTGGTTTTCTCTACATTTACAAGAATGTAAGGTTGACCGAGGTCATCCCTAAAATTGTTTAGCCTCGCTGGCCCGCGTTCCATATTTCGTCGGTAGGTTAGGTGCGGACTACACGTAGTTGTCATGAAAATAGGGGCTACCTGAGTCGTCTCAAACAAAAATAGAGTAGACGGTGAGTGGGGGGATGGGATATTCTGCATTAGTTGCTTCAGTAGTCTTGTTTGAGGAGAGCGAGTATACTGCAGCAAGGACGTTTATGCATGTCTCATGTCTTATGCATACAGAATATTATGCTTGTGGTATTTTCTGTACGTACTTAGTTTCTGCATTGATGCTCGCTCTCGTTTAAACCCTTCGCCTAGGCATCATACATTCTGTAGTTTGATGTTAGCCTCGTATGCCCGACAATCCTTTCTCGATATAGCCGCCGTAGCGAGTTGCGCCACTCCGCGGCATGTTTTGTACCTTTGTACTTTTTTCTGGCTGGTCTTCACTCGCCTATTCACTTCTTCCCCTCGTACTCCAAATATACAGTAAAGATAGATACAGCAGCTACCCAAAACGATACTATTTGCTCAAATCGTCAACAAAAACGGTAGATCAAAGCCGCCCTCGTATATACTACAAACCGATGACCCTATCGGAAGACTACAGGACATGTGCAGGTGGCGGATTGCTCGCAATGGTTTCCTGAAGCTTTGCCTCTCGGGTGTAACCATGCTGCATACGTCGTCGCTGTCAACCATTAACCGCGGAAGCTCATGATAATGGCGTTATCTCTGTGTTAGGGGCGAGCCATTTCACATGCGATGCTGCAAGAAAGGGCCGACGACGTGGGACCCGGGGCCCGGCTGTAACTGTAAATTTAGTCAGTTCACTCGATGTGGTCGAGATAAGATTTCCCATGCGATCACATGAGTGAGAAGCCACGCATCACCTGGAAATTCTTAACTTGTAGTCTAATTTTGGCCGTGGATCTACGAGAACGGGTGGGGAGGTGCAAGTGTACTGGATGTTATCGTTGGACTGTTGGCGCGAGAAGAAGATAGATCAAGGCCCACCCGAGGCATCTGGAACCAAGTGCAAACCGAGTCAGGAAGGGCCGTATGAGAATCTCGTCGCAAAGAATAGTCGGGAAAAAGAGGTTGGCGGAAATAATGGTACATGTTAGGTAGTAGGCACTGGAGAATCAAATCGAAGCCGATGAAAAAAAGTAATTGTTCATGTTTTCCATTTCATTTAGACGGACGCCAGTTCTTTGCGGCGCCGCCGTGCAAACTGGAGTTCATCGATACATTCCCGAATTCTGTTTCCAGCTATGGTATATGTCTTCCAATCCGTTGCAGGGACCGAATGTGCTCGATGCTTTTTTCCCCTCGCCATCCCCTAGGCCCCTGCGCGCTCAAAACGACAAAACGCCCGAGTACAACCGTTTAGAAACCTGTGCAGTCATAACGTTAGTGAATGTGATATCGAAGGTTGAAATCGAATAGAGTCGAGGAAGGGACAAGTCGACTCATTTCGATCGCACAGGCGGATAAACGTACGCAGAGGAGTGAAGAACCAGCGGTTCTTGCCGGAGGTGTAGCGGTCCTCCAGAGCCTTCTTGACGGTCTTCTTGGCGTCCTCGCGCTGGGAAACCTCCTTGAAGGTGTCGTTGGAGACAACACCCTTGAGGCCCTCGAGCTCCAGGGTGTAGCGGGTGGGCATCAGGTGGTTGTAGTTGACGACCTTGATGAAGGGCTTGATGCGGCTGCGGCGGTCGACGAGCTTCTTACCCATGCGGCGGGTGACCTTCAGGGGGTAGCGCTCGATACCGGCGACGATGGCGTAAGGGAAGGGGTGCGCCTTGGAGCCAGTGTCGTTGGGCTGGACAATGACGACCTGAGTCGAGACAAATGCGCTGGTCAGCCAAGTTCATTCTCAAGTCTTGAAATTTCCCCAATTTCCATTTGAAGATTTCTTTTCGTCCAGGTCTCGCGTGATCTCGTTGCAATAGAAAATTCCCTCCTCTTTCTTCTTCATGTACTCGCGTTCCCTTCTTCTAACGTCTCGGTGCTCGGGGGAGGGAGAAAAGAGTCGGATTGTCGTACCTTCTTACCGGCGTAGCGGCCACGGGTAATGATGGCCACACGGCCAACTTTCATGACTGTCGCAACATTCTCGTCAGTATGGAATCGGTCAAGGAGGTCGTAGAGATCGAATACGTACACTTCATTGTGAAGGTCCCGGTGGCGGCGAGGTTTGGCGGGTGGTTTGTCGAAGTACGGAACAGTCGAGATCGAAGTGTTCGTTTTTTCGCTTGGGCGGGCAGAGGGTTCAGGGCAAGCGTGATTTGTGTGCCGATCCATGATTGGGTCTCTTACCGACTGGTGTCCACTAGTCTAGTTTGGGAGTGTTTCTCCTTTGGGAAGGAAATGTTGGGGATTCCGGACTAAATGATATTCCGGGATCTCGAGTCTGCTGGGTCTCACCGCCCCGCAGACCGCGAAGTGGGTACTTTGGGCAGAAACCCGGTTTGTTTACATGACGACGGGGTACTTGCCCGTTGCCCCCTCCGGTTGCTTTGTTGCTATGGAGCTTCGATGGCTTGATGATGTGGTGGCCGCGTAGTGGTTCCTCGCTCCACCTCCACTCTTTCCTGTGTTATCAAAAGCAGATCTCCCGGTGATTGATACTTGCCTTTTCACCGTCTTTTTCCTCCTCAACATCACTTCTTGTTTTTCTTAGCGAACCTTTTGGTGTTGATATGCCTTGACGACCCTTGTTTTGATCCGTACACGCCCATCACATTCCACTCTTCATTACCTCTACGATTTACGAAACCAAATTCACATCATGCCGTCCCAAGAACGGGACAATTCTTCCCGCGATCGGGAACTGGTCCGGCATACGGGCATTCACACCGAGTCCAGCCGACCATCCATTCCAATGTATGTTCTTCATATTGATTTATCTATACCATTGGTTCTTGATTGAGGAGGCATCATGCCTTTCATGAGTGACCTGAGATTGTCGCTAAAGCGCCGTAAACCCAGGTGGGACAGCTCTGATCCCGAGCGTGCGCCTCCACCGCTGCCATTGAACCCTCGCTCTATGAGCCCTGCGACCAGATCCAATGTGTCGCCTGGAATCCAAGCTGTTGCGGCCAAGTTCGCCGACAAGGCGAGCGAAACCACCCCCAGCACATACACGATAAACCCGATGCCCAACAAATCTTCCTCTCCAGAACGGTCCCTAGTAAAAGGCCATTATCACAAGCGCATGCAGTCGCTACAGCCTGCAGATACCAAGGGCGATGCTCGCTCCGAGTTCCTCACTTACCTCGAGAGTCGGTCACCAGAGCGACCTCTTCGTGCTACTATTGTCGACCCAACATCCAAGTCGCAAGAACCGAGCAAGTCCTCTGATCCTTCCAGGCCAAAGACCGCAGACCGAGAACTTCCTAGCTTCCTGTCAAGTCGCTACCTCTCAAAACCTATCCTTGGGGAGAGCACTCCTCCCTCCGCAACCATGTTAGCCATCCAAAACATGCAGCTCCCCGCCGAATCCGACCCTCCATCACCCTCGAAACCTCCTAAGATGATCGCCGACCGTCCCGCCGCCGAACCTCAGGGACACACTATGGATACACTTGCAACACAAATCCATAGCCTGACTGATATCGCTAGCAATCTGCAGCGCGAAATGGCCAATCTCAGCCGACGGAGCAAGGATAACGCCACCGATCTTATCAGTCTAAAGGCCGCAACCAATGCGCGCGATGAAGATATCCGAAAGAGTCTGAAGGATCTCTCGTCCAATTTGACGAGCAGATTGCTGGATGGTGATCTTACAAGGTTAGATCTCAGTGCTCTGTTGAAGCCTGTAGACGGCCCTAACCCCAGTGAACCGGATAGTTCTCCCAACTCCAAGAGAAGCTACTCAGTCCCTCGCATGCCGAGCCCTAATCCTTTCGTCTTCGATCGTGATGTTTGCGGTTCGCCCGCACCAATTAGCGACGGTTCAGCCAGCATTGCTTTGCTCGAAAAAGTGCTACGCGAGATGGCTACAAAGGAAGGTGAGGAACGGCTTTTGGAATTGGTCGACGAGATCAAATCACGTCCAGGCACGACCGCTTCGGACAAGGATACCGATACCAAGATCACCACAATGCTTGAGGAGATCCTCAACCTCGTCAAGCAAGACCCCTCCAATAATGCCTTGGTTCGCTCTTTGAAACCTCGTGAACCTTCTCCAGCCAACGACTCCAACGCCGAAGCCACGCGATCAGCCTCGGTGGGATCTATCATGGATCCAACCGCCACAGTACGGGCTCTCGATGTGCCGAGAGGTGACAGGGCTCTCGCTGGAAATGACAACATGATGCCCCTTCTACAGAGTGTCAAGAACAGCGTCATGGAAAGCGGTGGAATGACCAACAGCGTCAAGGCCTTGGTGCGCGAGTTGCGAGGAGAGGTTCTGGGCATGGGTCGCGACATCGCCCGCAAGTTGGAAGCTATCGAGTCGAACCAAGAAAATGATGAGCCGCAAGAGCAGCCCCAGACTGCCAGCCCCGAGGAGATCGCCGCTGTGGTGAATGACAGTCTTCACGATCTTCGTGATCAGCTGGCCGCGACAATCAACGAAAGCCGACAGCACTCTTCCGACTTGACTCAGATTCGAGCGGCCATGAACAGCGCCGAGATATACGCGGCAGTGAAGAAAGCTCTTGACGAGTTTGAAATTCCCCAGCCCCAAGCTGTAGAGCCACATGGTCCAGTTATGGAGAAGGAGGACATTCTGGAGACGGTTCGCGAGGCATGGGAGACATACAAGCCTGAGATTGAGTTGCAAAACTTTGGTCTCGAGCGTGATGAAATTCTCGATTGTCTCTCGGAAGGTCTCAAGGACTACCAGCCAAAGCACGAGCAATCTGTCACCTATGAACAGGTTCTTGCTGCTGTTCAAACGGGCTTGCAGAACTTTGTGCCTCCTCCAGTCGACCTCCCCCCGATGATTACTAGGGATGAAATCATTCTCACTATCCGCGAGTGCCTCGAGAGACCGGAGCCCACGCCTCGAGGTCTAGATGAAGAGCATGTTCAGCACCTGAACTCTATGCGTGAGGAGCTCCTTCAAGCAATCGCCGAGCGTGCAGCTCCTGAAAGCTCACGAGCTCTGGATGAGGAGCACATGCATCACCTTCATTCCATGCGAGAAGAGATTCTCCATGCCATTTCAGAGCGTGCAATCCCTGAGATCTCAAGGGGCTTGGATGAGGAGGATATCAACCACCTTCACTCCATGCGCGAAGAGATTCTTCATGCAATTTCGGAGCGTGCGATCCCTGATATCTCGAGGGGCTTGGATGAGGAGGATATTAATCACCTTCACTCCATGCGCGAGGAGATCCTTCATGCAATTTCAGAGCATGCGGCTCCCAACACTTCTTCGAGAGGACTAGATGAGGAGCATATCCATCATCTTCACTCCATTCGTGATGAAATTATTCACGCTATCACAGAGCGCGCTGTGCCCGATCAGTCTTCAAGGGGTCTCAATGAGGAGCACGTTCACCATCTCAACGAAATTCGCGATGAGATTCTTAATGCCCTCACCGGGTCAATGGCTACGCAAAGTCTGCTCAGCAGGGAGTCCTACGACTCTGGCCTTGGCCGAGATGAGATTGTCAGTGCCGTCTCCGACGGCCTGGAGGCACACTTCACGACTGCAAAGGAGATGGAAGAACCAAGGATCTCCCGTGCCGACGTTGTGAATGCTGTGAATGATGCGTTCAGCGCACAGCACACTGCGCTAAGCATTGGCAATGACTCCCCAATGACCCGCGAAGAGATCATGGCAGCAATTGCTGATGGTATCGAGATGTCACAAAAGCCCCAGGACCCCAGCATTTCACGTGAAGAGATAATGGCAGCCATCGCGGACGGCATTGAACTGTCGCAAAAGTCCGAGGAGTCGGCTCTGGTGCCCAGTGTTCAACCTTCACTCTCCCGGGAGGAGATCCTGGAGGCTGTCTCTGAAGCGCTCGAGAAGTCGCAAGAGTCCCAGATGTCCGCCCTTAGCACCGCCGTGCAGCAGCCAAGTGTCACTCGTGAAGAATTGTTCAATGCTGTAGTGGATGGCATCGAGAGTGCCAACACCATGACTCGCGAGATCGAGTTGAACAAGGATGATCTGATGGAGGCCATCAGCGCTGGTCTTCAAGATGCAAGCAGTTCTGCGAATCTCAACGTTGGTGACCAAGTAATGACGCGCCTTCAGGAAGTCGTCAATGGAATGAAGGAAGAGTTCAAGCAGTACTCCGCTGCCAATGGCAAGGACACCGAACAGGTACTCGATGCCATCAAGGATGGCCTCGAAGTTGTTCGACGCGAGATCGAGTCCTATGTGGCCACGGCATCTGAACTCTCAGGGAAACACGAGATCATCGATACCGTCAAGGACGGATTCCGCCTGCTCCAAGCCGACATGGAGAAGACCATCAATGACGCCTCTCTGAGCAATGCGACCCGTGGAAATCCCGATACAACCGAGCTTCTGGACGCCATGGAGAAGGAGTTTGAGCACCTGCGTGGAACTATCAGCACCCTGCTCGTTCGTGACAATGCAACCAGCGACAAGGATGAGATCCTCGATGCCATCCGAGATGTTTCCGAGCAGCAGAAGGCCAAGAGCGGGGATGATGAAGTTTTCAACACCATCCGAGCCGAGTTCGAGAACTTGCGCGAGCGCATGGACATGAGCGTCGTTCGTGCCGAACCCGGATCTGATAAGGACGAGATCATCGCCGCTCTTCGGGAGCATTTCGATATTCTTCGTGAGGAAACTCTGTCCAAGAAGGATGGTGGAGAAAGTACGTTCTCTGCCACTAGCGAGCTGCTAGACGCATTCCATGATAACATGGATGCAATCCGGGATGATCTTAAGAAGCTCATGGAGAAGCCCACTGACTTGGACACCTCCGAGATCCTGGACACCATTAAAGAGGGACTAGTTGATCTGAAGCTTGACATCGAGTCCATTCGTCAGTCTCAGAAGGAGGTTGATGATGCAGAAACCACTCGCGGTGATGAGCTGATGCTTGCTAAGGAAGCTGCTTTCGGAAACGACATGGACAGTCTGAAGACTCTCATCACTGAACTTCAGACCAAGGTCGAGTCCATCGACTCTACTCCTCGCGCCGCTGAGCCAGACGAAGATGCACTAAAGCGCAGTCATCTCGATGAGGTTCTCATGGCCGTTCAGGAGGTCCAGGTCGCCATGGGTGCTATCGGAGACATGGGCGCCAGCCGGGAGTTACATGAGGCCGCAGCACGCAAGGAGGATACCGATGCCATCCAGGAAATTCTCATAAGCACCAAGGCCCAGATCGATGACATTGTCTTCCCTTCTCCGGATGAGATCGCTACCTCGCAGCATATTTCTGCCCTCGAAACTATGATCGGCGAGGCCAAGGACAGCATCGCTGATCTTTCGGCTCGCTTCGAAGCCGATGCTCCTACCAAGGCGGAGATTGGTGCCCTGGAAGGTCTGATCAAGGATGTTTGGATTGCGCTTGACGAATTGAAGGCCAATACCAAGGAAGGCGAGGAAGCTGATGCGGAAGCCGATACCGACAAACTCATGAAATCCGACCTTCAGACTGTGGAGGCCATGATCTTTGAAGTGAAAACCCAGGTAGATGAGTTGAAGCTTCCTGACGTGGAAACTCTTCCCACCAAGGATGAGATCCAGGAGCTGTCGGCGCTTGTTACCGATTTCCGTGAGAAAACGGAGGCCAACAATGAGATGACTGCCACCAAGGATGAGATCCAGGAGTTGTCGGCGCTTGTTACCGATTTCCGTGAGAAAATGGAAGCCAACAATGAGATGACTGCTCAAGGCTTCGAAGCCCGCAAGGTCGAGCATGGTGGTCTCGCCGAGAAGATCGAAGAGGCCAAGTTCGTCGTTGGTGAACTGGGCGACGAGCTCAAGAGCAAGCTGGATGGCAGCACCGAAGGCTTGGCCGAGCTCAAGACTCTCCTAGAGGGCCTCGCACTCACCGCCGAGAACTTCAGCACCGTCGAAAGCATCAAGGAGCTGACCGATCTCATCAACCGAGAGTTCGAGCGTGCTCGTGGCGAAGAAGATGCCGGTAAGCTCGACAAAGAGGAGCGAGATGCCGCCGCCATGGTCAAGCACGACGAGACGCGAGCTGCCATCATCGTTGAACTTGGTACCAAGATTGATGAGAAGATTGGTGAGGTCATGGCGAAGTATGAAGATGCCCATGCTTCTCTCCATTCCAAATTCTCAGAGTGCGAGGAGCGTGATATGGCGCATACCGAAGCAGTTACCAGTACCAAGGGCCTTGCTGAGGAAATCAAGCTTGTCATTGGTGAGATGGGCACTAGTGTCAATGAGACATGCGAGCGCATGGGTGTTGAGACAAAGACTCTCTTCGAGAAGGTTGATGAATCCTACAACCGTATGGAAGAGATGCAGAATCAAGTCAAGACACAGCAAGAGCAGTCTCGAGGAGAGACTGAGCGGGCAGCCGCTGCCACTGAACGTGTCGAGAGCAAGCTGCTCGAGTTCCACCCGCAGATCCTGGAAACGGTACAGCAAATTCTGGACGTTGTCAACCAGCACTACGATCACTCTCAGAAGTCCAGCGAAGAGGTCAAGTTTGAGCTCTCTGCTCTGCCAAGCACTATTCCGACTATGCTGCCTGCTTTGCCTCCGCCAGAGTCGTCTCGAGAACTCGATGATGATCCCGTTCACAACAAGCTCAACGATCTCTTGGAGCATGCAAAGAACAATCAAGTCCAGGAGGTCCTCACTACCCTTTTGGATCACTCGAAGAACGACCAGCTTCATGCTAAGCTTGATCGTCTCATCGACCGAGGCTCTGGCAACGAGGAAATTTATGAGAAGCTCAACCAAATCTTCGACCACGCCAGTAGTGGAAGTAGTTCCGTTCATGAGAAACTCGATGCCCTTCTCGATCGTCCTGCCCCTGCATCAGACTCTGAGCACTCTGTTACCCAGATGATGAAGCTTGACGAGATGCACAAAGACATCATGGAGAACACCCGCCGGATGAACGAGATGTTTGTTGCTCAGTCCGCCATTGTTGCCGAGGACACCGAGCGTAAGCGCCGTGAGGCAGAGGATGCTGCTATTGCATTGGAGCGTCGGGTTGCTCAGCGTGAGCAGGTTGAAGCCGAAATTGTTGGTCTGCATGAAGAGAAGGACTCCCTCCTCAAGATGATTCACACCTTGAAGAATGAGAAGGATGAGCTTGTCAAGCAAAACGCCAAGCTCAGCAAGGAGGTCTCCGGTCTCGAGACAGCTCTGGAAATCCGCCATGAGGAGATGCAGCAGATGGAGGAGCGTGCCGACGGCCTGGAGAAACGTATCCTGGAAGGTGTCCTCGACCATGCCCGCTCAGTCTTGCTCAGCCGTTCAGGTAGCGTCCACGCCATGAATTTGAAGCGTAACCGCAGCATTCGCTCTTCTCGAGCTCGCGCCCGCAGCCCCAGCGTGATGAGCACAGCCAGCACCGCCCGCGATTCCAAGGAAGCACGCAGCCTTCTCGGGAATGGGGTTGGCATGGCTTTGAAGCGCAGAACCCCAGCCAGCCTCCAATCCGGGCCTACTCCCATCCAGCCTAACATTGGCAAGGAGCGCCGCATTCTCAGCTTGAGCCATGTGACTGGCAATCGAGGTGCCGATCGCCAGGTCAGCGCCAACAGCGGAATCACCAGCCTGAAGCGCAGCCACTCGGTCAAGTCCAACTATTCCCTCCGCAAGACGTCCTTGCCTGTGCGAACTTCTATTGCGAACAAAGAAAACGAGGCTTTCCCCGAGGAGGAAGAGCCTGAGAGTGAAGCTGAGAGCCACGCTGGAACCGAGCGCCGGTCAAGCTATGCAACCACCGATCGCAAGACTTCCTACGCCGAAACCTGCACCGACAGCATGTGCAGCGGTGTCACCGAGAGTGTGGCTTCAACAGATAGACGCACCAGTGGCATGAGTACCGGCACCGTTGAAATGAGCACCATTGATGGGCACGAGGATGTTGCCGCTAGCACCATTGCCGATGATGACCAGAGCTATGTATCTGGCAGGGAGTCCGAGTCAGATGACGATGATGCTAGGACTGCCCGAGAGGACGATGATGAAAATGACGAGGAGGAGGCAAAAGATCCCGAGACGGAGGATGAATATGAGGCACACGATGAGACCGACCGACCAATCTCGCCAATCTCCGATACGGCTTCTGCCATGGAGGCCGAAGTATTGAAGATGCTGGAGCCTGCTGGTGACAGTGCACTTGGTACCGAGTCGGCTATCAGTGCTGCTTGAGTTTCCTTTGTTTCATGATGACCAGGAGTTTTTTTTCGGGTTTCACGTGTTTTTCCATGTTTCATATACCACTTGTGTGTTTGTTTCTTTTATCCCGATGGGGCTTGTATGAATTCCTTATGTGTTTAGTTATGAATTATCATTATCTTCTGACGTCTCAATGATCCTGTGCCGTAGTCATCTAGCTGTATATCCCGTAGTAGTTATTATCTTCCTCATGATACTTCATATTAGTCTTTAGATCATTCTTTATCGTCCTTGTGAGCTGCCTTAATTGAGCATCTGGTCACCTGCCACGATAGGCAGGAGGTCAGGTGATGTCCCAACGAATCTGGCTGCCTGAGGCTGTGCCGAGGCCTCGTGCTCCGGAGCTTCACTCCGCTTCTTCACATTCCTCTTCTTCAGCCTCTCCTGCGCCTGGGGTCCTCTTTTGTATAATCCAGAGGTCTACCAGTGCCCTTGAGTGCTGGATGGTACACCGGGAATCATTCCTGGTATCTCCAGCATAGATACCCTTCTCTGACCTCATCTCCCGACCCCAAGCTCCCCACATCGATAAGAGCTGATCCGTCTGAGGCTCCTCTGACAGCGATTATGCTGGACCCCCTGGGCGCCCCGCCCACCTGGCTACGGGATTTCATCGAACCCTACGCCCTAGCTTGGAACAGTCCAACTCTCACCGAGCATATCCACGAAGTGATCGGTGCCTTCTTGTTCTATCAGTTCATTCACTCGGTGGTCTCGCCATGGCTGTCGCCGATCCTCTTTCCCCGCTCATACCCGGCGCTTAATGCCCGCACCAAGTTGAACTGGGATATTCATGTCGTCTCGTTCATTCAGAGTGTTCTTATCAATGCCATCGCTTTGTGGGTTATGTTCGTCGACGACGAGCGCCGGTCTATGTCGGCTGGCGAGCGTGTCTTCGGATACACCGGCGGCTGTGGCTTGATTCAGGCCCTGGCCGTGGGATACTTCATTTATGATCTGATTGTGAGCGCCCAGCATCTCTCGATGTTTGGTATTGGTATGCTCTTCCATGCTGTCAGTGCACTCTGGGTGTTTAGCCTTGGATTTGTAAGTTTCATATACCTTTCTTCCCCTCTTTCATTGGTTTGGGGAAGCTTGTGCTGATATGACCCTCGATCATCTATAGAGACCCTTTGTCAACTACTACGCCCCTGTCTTCATTCTCTATGAGCTATCCAGCCCATTCCTCAACATTCACTGGTTCCTCGACAAGGTCAACATGACTGGTAGCCGCGCCCAGTGGTACAACGGCATGATGCTGCTTTCCGTCTTCTTCTGCTGCCGCCTAGTCTGGGGAACCTGGCAATCTATCATTGTCTACAAGGACATGTGGTATGCGCTCCAGCAGACCTGGTCTGCATCTTCGTCCTCGCCGCTCCAAGCGCCCGTTGATATCAACGCCAATGTCTTCAAGCTACGGGATGGTGGCATGTGTGTCGATGAGACGTGTGCTCGTGCCAATGCCGAAATCGCCCGTTTCAAGGACTTCACGGCCGGTGGCGTGCCTACCTGGTTGGTCCTAACATACGTTGCGTCCAACCTGATCCTCAACTTCCTGAACTATTTCTGGTTCTCGAAGATGGTGGAGACCGTTCTCAAGCGCTTCCGCGCCCCTGCTGGTGCTGAGGAGAAGAAGAAGAAGGCCGAGGAGAAGCCTGCGAACATCGAGGAAATCGCGCGCGATGTCGTCCTCGACGCTGCCGCGAAGCTGGAAGAGGAAGAGGGTGCGGTCCTGCGGGGTGAACTGCCTCTGACAGCTGAGCAAATCTCGTCAGCCATTGATGCTCATCTCCCCGAGGAGTTGCGCCGGCGCCGGGCAGAGCTGCTTGCTAAAGTACCTCTTCAAGGGTCATGATCCACTCACTTCTTTATAGTGGATTGTATAGAGAATTGGGTGTGTTGTATCTTTGGTTCTCAGTATGATATTTGGGGGATGATTGCTTCGAATCGGGCCAGCCCTAGGAGCTGGGTTTATGACCGTCTTGCTTGTTATTATCTCGTGCATTGACGCAGCAGCGTTTGGGGTTCCTGCTTTGTTTCACATAGGTCTTTTAACTCATGCTGAATGTGTATAATTTTTGTTAAACGTCCTAGAAAGTGTTTCGAGTATCACCTGCAGCTTAATATGGACAAATTCAGATGGTGGCTTAGAAAAGGTGATGTGACATGGTATTCGATTACATGTATGCCGTATGCCTAGGTACTGAGCCTACGATAAACGGCCGAGTGGTTGAAAAGATTGACAATTGAAGGACAGTGTCATGAACATCAAGATTTTGAAATGAATAATTAGCCCTACCATACATAACCTAGCTACACCAGACCAAACACCGCATAAGCGCCACAATCAGGGAATCAAAGTACATAAGAAGCCGCCATGGCGACAAAATCCCCAGAAATCAAGCCATTCACCGAGGTGCTGCGGCCTCGGGCTTTGCAAGCATATAACGTACTGCCTCCTTCGCCACGGGGGTCTCCCAGGCACTCTCAGGACCTCCACGGCGGAACTCGGGTCCACTGCCATCGCCCACACCATTGGCGTCGCCGAGGATAGTCTCAAGATCCCGACGCTGGGAGTTGACCCAGCGGCGCAGGAAGGTAGCGGGATCCTTGCTCAGGGCAGTGTAGAAGGAGTGGCGGGCTCGGGAGTGGGTGAGGGCCTGGACGATGAGCGCAACCTGATCGTCCAGCGAAGCGATCTGGCGCAAGCCGGCTGTGTATTGGGGGTTCTGAGTAACAGCCATCATCTTTTGGCGCAGAGGGTCTTCGACAGCAACCTGGATGTCGTAGATGGTGGGAGTGGGGTCCTTGTGGAAGTCCTCGTCGACGCGGATAGTATAAGGAAGCTTGATCGGATCCATGGGGCTGGTGTGGGGCCCAATGCTCTCTGGAATCTGAGGGAAGTACATTTGCTCGCGGCCGAAGATCTGAAATAATGTAGTTAGCCTGGTTGATGGCTAACACTTGGGATGATAAGAGCTTCCAGGGGGATAGGGTTACATACCGAGCGTAGGCGATGATCACAACGAACTTGTCGCTTCTCCTCATCTTCTTGCAGCTCCATGGCACGAATGTAGTCCCAGATTCCAAGCACAATTCCGCTCCGGGTCTCCTCCTCAACGTCCAGTACCTCAGCAAGCTCCTTGCTCAGTTTGTACCGCTCGGGCGTCTCATCTCGCACTAGGCTGATGGTAACGTTCACGTTTTCCTGCGAATTACGAGCGAACTGTATGCTATCGAACTCGGCATTCGGTGGTGCTGACGTCGCATTCGGGGGAACCTGAGGTTTGGTCCAGGTAACGGGTTTGGCTTCATCGGTTACGTTGCTGGCTGGCTTGTCAAAATCGACAGTGATGGTCTTGAAGAAATGCGAGAGTCTCTGAGAAGTCTTTTTGGACTCTGCCTTCTTCGAACCATCTTGGTCCATCGCATCGCCCTTGTCACCCTCATCGTCGTCCTCAGGGACAGTAGGGTCATTATCGTCGTCCAGTAACCGGCCCTCAATGCGTACCTTATACCGACCAGAACCGGGGTTGCTGCCAGCTCCTTGCCAGGGTTGATTCTCGACGGTGTTGGTAATCCAGATGCGAAGGGTGCGATACTTCTTCACGGTCTTGCTAATAGAATCTTGGATGTCCAAGCGCTTGCGGATGATAGCAGCGTCGAGTCGCTTCTCCAGGTCGCGAAGGTTCTTGTATTGTTCGACGCCCTCGCCGATGACAACCTCTTCGATACCTTCGGGGATATTCTTGTCGGTCGGCTTGCGGCTGCGGCGGAGGGCCGCGTCGTTAGGGTGAGGCATCGCGCGCTGCGCGGCCATATACTGGGGGTTGACCGCATGCTGGGGCATTGGAACGGGCATCGCGCCAGCTACTTCGGGATCAGAGGAGCGCGAACGGGGAGGTTGGAAAGGGGACAAACCTGGTCCTTGGGCTCGACGAGCCGTGGCTGGAGACCGTTGGGCAGCCTGGGGATAACCCCGAGCATAATTGGGTTGCATTGGAGCGTTCATCTGAAATTAAGCAGGTGCCCCGCGGGATGGAGTGATTGCCTGAGTGGAGGATAACAGGACGAGGCGGAGACGGACGAGAAGTCGCGATTCTTTCGCCGCTCAGCCTAACCCGATTCGGAAAGTCGCGAACAACACGGCCAAAGGCAACTTTGATCTTAGATACTTTAACTACTGTACCCTAATGAGAGTAAAAGATGAAAGAATTCTACTTATGCAACGGCCATGCATATTCTTTGATTATTTCCTATGAATCAACATAATCGCATTGCCATGAATCCATTTGCCTTCTCTCGTTCTACTCCAGAAGCGATGCCTGGTTAGTATACAATCCTTCCACCACGTTACTGAGCTTCTCGATCGTGTCCAGCGCAGCATCATAAGCCTGATCACGTTCCGTCTCATCGTACACAATCAGACATCCCGATCCCTGGTCCAACACACCAATGATCACCTTGTCCAGGATCATTTGGGACAGTTTTCGCTCCACCTGCTGAGTATCCAAGCCAACCATCTTGGCAATGTGGTCCAGCTCTACACGGCTGAACGGCTCGATGACCTTGATGAGGTTCTGCTCCAACATGGCATCATAGAGACGGCGAAGGTGATTCCGAATAAATGTGTCGCTGCCGAGCTCGTACCGGTAGTCGGAGAGCGCCTTTTCATATTCTTCCAGGGAGCGGTTGGCATGAGCTCGCGCAACTGCCTTCATAGCCTCCAGGCGGGGGCTGGCGTACTTCTGGGCTTGCTTGGAGCCCAAAAGCTGAGTGACATCATCGACCAGGTTCAGCATAATCTTGCACAGTAACATGTACTGCAGGGCTGCGGTGGCAAGCTCCCCCTCATCGAGCGAGCTGTATCCCTCCAGAGCCTCGATGAAGTATGAGAATGCGGTGGTGAAGTCCTTGTCCTCGGCGTGCAGCATGCCGCTCTGCATGTCCAAACCAGCTTGCAAGTTCGGGGGTGTGTAGACGGAAGCAGCAGATGTCCGCGCTGCTGTAAGGGCAGCTCGGCCTTTAGCCTGGTTGCCCAAAGCATGGTAGGTCCGAGACTCGAGCAGCTGCACTTCCACCAGCATGAGCTTATCATCCAGACGCTTGAGCTCGCGGAGCAAGGAGTTGATGAGAGTGAGGGCGTCGTAGTAACTTTGCTTCTGCATATAGATTGCGACCAGGCGCGCTTGGAGGTTCTGTCGGAGGAACGACCGCCGCTCGGCGATGGCCCACTCTATGCATGATTGGATAACGGCAACCTGGAGATCGAGGGTGTTGGGAATTTCGCTGATGAGGTCCAAGAGTTGGCGGACTGAATTCGCACGGTTAGCATGGCTACTGATGTATCCGATGGGTTCAGCGTACCTAGCTTGGCCGTCTTCGCTTTGGCGAATGACGAAAAGGTGTCCCGACTGGTCTTGATGAGGTCTGCAATATCCTGTGGCTTCTTTGCATCCCGATACAACTCTCCCAGACCGATCAATGCCTGCTCATAGTCTCGCGATGAAGCCTCTGTGGACCCTGGGCCCTCCGAGAGGATCGTCTGGTAACTGTTGGCGGCTTTGGAAGGGTCCTGCTTGGCCAGGTCCCGGACTTCCTGTATCCGTGGCGAGACCTGCAGGGCGGCGGCCATGATTGAAGACGAGGGGTGATAAGGGAGAAGATTGGTGATTAGGATAGAGGGTCGTTCGAACACAAAGAGGCGTGGGAAGGTTATTGATGACAGAGCGGTTGATAGGTTGGCCGGACGTGAGTCGGGGAGCTTGGAGCTGGCCAGCTCTCGCGCTCACCGCCCGCTTAGCAAATCTGCCCGTCAACAGAAAAAAAAGTTTGAGTTGCCGCCTTCTTCTCTTTTTTGCGTAACCTCCATATTCCCAACATGGTGAGCCTAGAGTCTATTTTCTGGTTTAAATGAAAGATATACTAATTCATGACAGAAAATCAAAGCCCTTTCTCGCCCGACGGCGTCGCAGCAGGCGCCTGGATCCGCCACCGTCCGCCAGGCGCGGAATCTCGACCCGTCCCAGCATCCATTTGAGCGAGCCCGCGAGTACACTCGTGCTCTCAATGCCGTCAAGATGGAGCGCATGTTTGCTGCTCCATTCTTGGGCCAGATGGGTGATGGTCACGTCGATGGTGTCTACAGTATGGCCAAGGACCCTGGCTCACTCGAACGATTTGCAAGTGGTAGCGGTGATGGTGTCGTGAAGGTGTGGGATATGACGACCCGTGAAGAGGTTTGGAACACCCAAGGACACGAGAATATCGTCAAAGGTCTCTGCTGGACTCCGGAACGGAAGCTTTTGTCATGCGCAAGCGACAAGACTATCAAACTCTGGGATCCGTACAACTCAACTCCCGAGGCGCCTCCCATGGCAACTTACCTTGGTTCCGGCGCCTTCACTGGTGTTTCGCACCATCGGAATCACCCGTCCTTTGCAGCATCTTCATCGGTTATCTCCATCTACGACCTTTCCCGTCCTTCCTCCACACCCTCGCAAACTCTGCATTGGCCGACTAGCGTCGATACCATCACCTCGATTGCCTTCAACCAGACCGAGACCTCGATCCTTGGTTCGACCGCTATCGATCGCTCGATCATTATGTACGATCTGCGCACTTCTTCGCCAGTGCAAAAGCTAGTTTTGAACTTGGCTTCCAATGCCATTGCTTGGAACCCCATGGAAGCCTTCAACTTTGCTGTCGCCAACGAAGATCACAACGCCTACATTTTCGATATGAGAAAGATGGACCGTGCCCTCAATGTTCTGAAGGACCATGTGGCCGCTGTTATGGATGTCGAGTTCAGCCCTACTGGTGAGGATTTGGTGACTGCATCCTACGACCGCACAGTCCGCCTGTGGAAGAGGAACCGCGGGCACTCTCGTGACATTTACCACACCAAGCGGATGCAACGGTATGTTAACACCCTCCTTGATCTTTAAGCAGTCATCACTAACATTTTGAGTAGTGTCTTCTCCGTCAAGTTCACCCCCGACAGCAAGTATGTCTTGTCTGGATCTGACGATGGCAACATTCGTCTGTGGCGTGCCAATGCCTCCGACCGTAGTGGAATTCAGAGCGCCCGCCAGAGAACGAAGTTGGAGTATGACCAGGCTCTGATCAAGCGGTACGGACATATGCCCGAGATCCGCCGCATCAAGCGCCAGCGTCACTTGCCCAAGCCTATTAAGAAGGCTGGTGAGATCAAGCGTGACGAGCTTTCTGCGATTAAGAGACGTGAGGAGAATGTGCGGAAGCATACTGCCAAGGCCAGCCTCAAGTCAAGAAAGAGTGAGCGTGAGAAGATGATTCTGGCTCGCGAGCAATAAAGTTGTTCCATCCATGACTTCGCCAACTTTCAGCTTGCTTGATTCATCCCTATTGAGATACCCATTCTAGAATTCGGCAAGCTGTCTGTTCACATACATGGCAGATGTGGTGATTCATCTCATATTTACACATGGGGTCAATTGGCTGTATCATCTGTCCATGCTATCTCAGTTCGCTTTCTTATTGGACCTCAGTGGATATCGAGGCTCTTTTCCTCCCTCACGTTCTTGGATGCTTGAAGAGACGGCATTGTCTATTCCACTCAAATATCGTGATACAAGCTGCACTGCACCCGGCAGCACAGCATACCAATTGACGAGCGTCGCAAACGCGGGCAACCTCAGCACGCCACCACGACCGCTGTCCACGGCAGCCACAATTTCACGGGCGACCTCGACCGGCTCCAGAACGGGAGCGAAGAAATGACTCGGGGTGCGGACCCAATCAAACAGTGGTGTCGCCATCTGCCCCGTTTCCACCAGCAACATCTTTATCCGCTCATCACTGCGGAACTCAGCTTCCATGGTTCGATGCAGTGCGCTCAGTCCTGCTTTGCTTGCGGAGTAGTCCGACAGCCCTGCTGGAGACAATTGGCCCAGTACTGAGCTGACAGTGACAATGGTGCCTCCATTCTCGGATTCCGCAACAATCCCTGGCAGGAAAACCTGGTAGAGATGGAATGCAGCCATCAGATTGGTGCGCACCGTCTTCTCGAATGCCTCTGCTGGCAAGTCCAGGAGTGAACGACCGTTGATTCGAGCCGCGGCGCAGTTGATAATGATGGTTGGGGTGCCCAGCTGCAGCATACATTAGCGACCATAGATCCAAATAAAAAGCAGACTTTCCTCATAATCCGATCATGTACCCATGTACTTAAGCAAAGAAAACGTAGACATACCTCATTTTCAATCTCCCCTCTAACACCCTCAAGCGCCCGACGATCACCAACATCACACCGGAAATACTGAACATCCTCCCCAAAAACCTCATCCTGCTCCTTCGCCCCAATATCCCTAATATCCAGCACAGCCACACTCGCCCCCTTCATAGCATACATCTGCGCCACCAGCAGTCCCAGTCCACTCGCACCACCCGTAACAAGAACAACTTCATTCGCAAAATCCACCGTACGCGGGAGACCATGCGCGACACGATGATTGATCACCCCCGCAACGAAGAGTAGTGTGAGGATCGTGGCGTATGCGACTGCGATTATAAAGGCGGGATCTGTTGGGGGAGTGACTTGGGCGCGGAGGCAGAGGACTATTATCCATGCGATGAATGGGCTGAGGAGGGTGTTTCTTAGTACGCGGAGGAGGGTGTCTAGCGTGAGGTGGTGGGACCATGGCTTTCGGGGTGAGGATGTAGGGAGGGTGCTTTTTGATGTTATTATCGGGGGAGATGACATGTTGAAGTTCGGCTCTTGGAGCTGCCTTGCACTGTCTTGTTGGGGTTGTTGTCCGATTTGTGTTTGGTGATGTGATGATAGCTGGAACGTGACTTGCGTGGTCGAGGGATGCACGAGCGGTCTTGTTGATACTATTTCGTCCCCTCAGTGCGGATTGATGACTGTCGAGTATATTCAATACATCTCTATGCTGTATAGTAACATCCGATGCTTGGTCATTCACATTGGATGTGGAGATGTAAGTCGAAGATGTTCGGAGACATGCAAGCGCGTAAGGGTGGGGCTGATAAGATAACATGGAAGGGTACAGCCAAACCAGTCTATACTACTACATCGGTTACTTTACTTGCGATTTATGAGATTTTATGAGCTACATGTGAGGTCTATGCAATTTTCATGAATTCACTTGTTCCATTGGTTCAGATTCTGTAGTATGATCATATTGTGTTGTATGATCATGTTGTGTAGAATGTTCAGGGCAGAACAAGGACAGGCGAGACACGACGTTCGTAATCACATTATGATGAAGGGCCCACGGGTTTCTCCATCTAGCTTTCCCAGACACGAGGAGGGACACCCATCTCTTCAGCCTTCTTTGCCGGGCCATGCATACTGTGGCTGAAGGTCTTGGAGTCGGGATTCTCGTCGAGGATCTTGAGGTCCTCAGGGTCACGAGAAGGGGAGAAGCCCCTGCCAGCTCTCGGGAATATACGATGGTCTTCAACGGTATCAAAAGACTCATCGTCTGAGGTCGGTGTGTCCGAGTCCTCGACCGTGGTATTCCGAGAGACAACTGATGGGCGATCTCCTTGTGGCCGATTGGAGGCCGTGGTGTCGGGCTCAATCTTGGATTGAGTGGGAGCGGATGAGGGGATGAGGTTAGGTGCGGCAGTAGTAGGAGCAGGTGGGCGAGCTGAGGGCTCAGCGTCAGGGTGGGGCGAAGCGTCTTTGATAGGCGCTTTTGCCGGAGCTGAGGTTGTGCGAGATCTCTTGCGAGGGTTGGTGGCGAGATCGTCATCGGCAGGATCCTGCTCCGCGCGAGTTCTCTTGTTAGAACTCGCTGTGGGTGCATCAGCAGTATCCGCTTTCAAACCGTCATTGCCCTTTGGTTTAAAAACGAACTGCGATGCCGGCAGGTCCTTCATGTTGGCAGGCAACATGGGCACCGATGGGTTCTTGCTGGAGATGTGGACCAGCAATTCCACGAGCTGTGCATGCGACAGGCAGGAGAAGTATGCACGCCTCTCGTCAGCAGTTGATTGGTCACCGCCGACCTCAAGTCGGGGTCCTGGCTGCAGCCGGGGGTGCACAGTTCGGCCGGCCTTCTTGACTTTGGCGGGCTTGGCCTTTGCTGGTGCCGGGCGACGTGGGGGCTTGCACTTGCGGCAGAACCACTCCATATCCTTCACGAGGATGACTTGTTTGTCGATTGGAGGGTCGTGACATTTCTGGTGCCATGTGTCATTGCATCCATCGCAGAAGACGATGGCGTTGTTGGACGGGCTGTGGCCTCGGTTGCAATGTTTGCAGGTGACATTGGCCTCCTTCTTTCGGGCACCACCCTTACGCTTTCCAGAAGCAATGGGGGCTGGTGGTGGAACAAAAGTCGTGGGCGGCTTGATGACTCGTCCAGACCGGCTGGTGCGAGTGTCGTGGCCCGCTGACTTCTTCATGCTGATCTGTGCTGCCGGCAGCCCAGAGAGGGGTTGGTCTTGGAGGGCTTCTTTCTTGGGGACTGAGAAAGAAGCCGGATCGGTGCTGGAGACAGCCTTGGTGGTAGTGGGTTGCTTCATTTTGTGGGTTGAGAGGTAGTGATTTGATAGATGAGAGAAAAAGAGGTTGAGAGGGTAGGAGAGGAGGAGAGGTCCAAGGGCAGAGAGGAGGAGATATTTATGTCCGATCGTGGCCTAGTAGCAGCAGTGATAGCCTTGGAGAATTTCTGCCTATCCTTCTGCCTATCCTTCTGCCTCATTGGATGAACAGGCAATCGCCGACGAGGGCCCATTGAAGCCTTGGGGAATGCTCGATTCGGAAGTGACAATTGCGGCAACCCAAGATCTGTATAGCCTCACGTGACAGCCTCCAACGCAAAGCCCCTCAAATACTTCCTGGTGTATTTCCCTCTTAACCCCATTTCTGCAAATTAATATCCTAGAAAGGGATTGGCCCATCTGGATTGTTTTGTTTGGTTCTTTCTTATTGCAATGAATTGTTCTATGTACAAGTGCAAATGGTCATCTCTATCTACGAAGAGACCCACCCATCTATATAGATTGATTGATTTCATGACACCACGCCCTCTGCCTTCAATCGGGCAATGTCTGCCTCCTCATAATTGAGGACACTCCCCAGGATCTCATCGGTGTGTTGACCAAGGGTTGGAGGCGGCGTCCGCACACCGGGTGTAGCCTCGGAGTACTTGATGGGCGTGTTGACTAGTTTAATGGGGCCGCAGGCAGGGTGGTCAACCTCAGTGACCATGCCTCTTGCTAGGACTATGTCACAAATTAGCGACTGTAAACAATGCAGAAAGGACTGCCTAAATTAGGCAGACATACCATGCTCGTGGTTCAATGTTCCCTGGATATCATTGACTGCTGCATATGGCATACCGCTGCCTTCGAAGATATCCAGCCATTCCTTGGTCGATTTCTGCTGGGTGGTAGTCTCAATCAAGCCGTCGATATCGGCCCGGTGTTTCACGCGATCGCTATTCGTGACAAACCGAGCGTCGTTCTTCCACTCGGGGAATCCAAGGCGATCGCAGAGCACACCAAAGAGTCGATCGTTGCCGCCACCGAAAAGAATGTCACCATCGAGGGTCTTGTAACTCCGGTATGGTACAATAGATGCTACAAAAGACTGTTAGTTTGTGTTGGCCACAAGGTGTACTAGTGAGTCTTTTGACTTACGATGAGCAGTGCCCCAGCGGCCCGAATCTTTTTGGCCGCTAATCAGAGCAGAGCTAGCCAGGTTAGCGAGAGTAGCGACTTGGCAGTCACTCAAACAAGCGTCAATATGCTGGCCCTTGCCTGTCCGAACTCGGGCAAGCAATGCAGCCATGATGGCATTGGAGGTGTAGAGTCCGGTAGTCAAATCGGTGACTGCCACCCCGACTTTCACGGGAGGACCATCTCGCGATCCAGTAATGTGCATCAATCCCATCTCAGCCTCAACCATGACGTCGTAGCCAGCCCGGTTACTGTACGGTCCCGTCTGACCGTAGCCGGTGATACTGGCATAGATCAACTTAGGGTTGATCTCTCGAAGGGTCTCGTAGTCCATTCCGTATTTCTTGAGTGCTCCTGGAAGATAATTCTCCACGAGGACATCGCACTCTTTTGCGAGCTTGTGGAGGATCTCAACGCCCGACTTATGCTGGAAGGACAGACCAAGCGACTTCTTGTTGCGGTTGACCTATGCAGCAGTTTAGTAGGTCTCCAATAGCTGTATTATTCAGAATACATGCATACCGCCATATAGTAAGCACTCTCGCCGGGCCCCTCCCTCGACGCATCTTCATACTTGGCGTATGGAGGGCCCCAGGCTCGAGTATCGTCGCCTCGCACAGGGTGTTCGACCTTGATAACGTCCGCACTACATTTTCCAAGGTCAATTCACACAATCCTAGAAAAGAGCGGATAATGAACGCCCAATATCGAGCTCAATTGCTATACATACCCCAAGTCTCCCAGAATCTGAGTACAGTAGGGCTATAATGTATCACTCCGTCAGCAAAAGGCCACAAATAAGCATAGTCCTAATAACACCATGCAAACTCACTCCTGCCAGAACACGCGTCATATCAAGCACACGAATCCCTGCCAAAGGCAGCGTCCCATCTACCGGCGAAGCGGTGCTTGAATAGCTCCGCAACGGTGAGATGCGCCTCAAGGCATAGCTAGTCCAGGAGGGACTCGACCGCCGGGTCAACACGTTTAACCTGAGCGCAACCGACATTTTTCCAAAGCGAGTACCAGCTAATTGCAAAAAGAACGAACAATAGATCAAAATTCCCCCACAGTGAGGTCCAGGCAGGTTAAATGGGGCAGTGGGATAGATCGAAACTCCGCCAAAACGCCGACGACACCGCTCGGGGCGGACCCCGAAGCCGAGGTCGACCGACCCCAACTTCTTGTCTCTTCCCTTGCAGATCAATTCAGTCACGCCCGCAATAATGTTTACTGGTCTGGTTGAGACGATCGGAAGTGAGACTATTCCCTTCCCGAATGGACTTTCGCCGATACTAACAGTCCCTCTTTTCTAGCTGTCACGGCCCTGGAGCCCCTCGATACCTCGTCGAGCGGGGGCGGGGGCACGTCGCTGACCATCTCCGATTGCGAGGAGATCCTCACTGATGCGCATTTGGGCGACAGTATCGCGGTCAATGGTACATATCACTGCACAAGCTGGACTTGATACTGAAGAACCACGTTTCTAAACCGATCCCTTCTTACATAGGAACCTGCCTCACCGTCACTGCCTTCGACAAGACCTGGTTCAAGGTGGGCGTCGCGCCGGAGACCCTGCGACGCACCAACCTTGGATCCCTACAGACCGGCTCAAGTGTGAACCTCGAGCGTGCCGTTTCAGCGGATACGCGGATGGGCGGTCACTTTGTGCAAGGCCATGTCGACACCGTCGCGAAGATTCTGTCCGTGACGCCGGACGGCAACTCCCTCGTGTTCCGGCTGCAGCCGCGCGACAAGGATGTGCTGCGCTACGTCGTCGAGAAGGGCTACGTCACCCTGGATGGCGCCAGCTTGACGGTCACGAAGGTTGTTGATGGAGAAGATGGATACTGGGAGGTCATGCTCATTGCCTACACGCAGGAGAAGGTCGTTACGGCGGGCAAGAAGCCTGGCGAGGAGGTGAATGTCGAGATTGACATTGTGGGCAAATACGTTGAGAAGAGTGTCCAGGGATACTTTGCCGGTACTTCTGGAGGTGACTTTGCCATTCTGGAGAAGATGGTCTCTCGTATTGTCGACGAGAAGCTGAAGAAATAAGTCACGAGAGATACAGTGGCGCCTCCAGAGCTTGTATATCGAGACGGAAGAGAAGGATCAGCGAGAACTGCTTCAGCTTCCTCTTTCTCTCTTTGGAATAAGATAGCCCAGGCAATATCTCAGTTCATCTTTGCAAAACATGGCTGATGAGATGGGTCTGGGGCTTTTCAAAGCTTACGAAACGCCACAGTACGAGTCATGTCATACTAACGAGCATCTGAATTAAAGACAAAAAGCGTCCTGATATGCCTGTTCTAAAACTTTTATTCGCATGCGCCGTGTAAATGTACAGAACCACCATAAAACTCGTGGGTATAAAATGAGGATCCCTGATCCTGTAGAGAGAGATGCTTGGACTTCCAAGCTTCTGGTGAAGAGAGGGACGAAAGTCACTTCAAGTCCCTTACTCCTCCATGGACTCGTCCGAATCTCCATCGTCCGAATCCTCCTCGGGCTCGTCATCCTCATCGTCGTCAAAATCGCTGAGCCATTCACCATCATCCATATCCTCGTCCTCGTCCTCATCAACTTCCTCCCCATTAGCCTTGGCCTTGGCCTTGTCCTTCTTCTTTTTCTCGATATTCTCCTTCTGCTGCTTCTTCCGCTGCTCCTTCTCCTTGCGGCGAGTCTCCCAGCTCTTGTCGAGAGACTTCACTTCCTGTGCGGACTTGGTGATAAAGTCGTGCCACATAATCTTGCCCTCGCAAACACCTTCCTCGACCTTCATCAGGCGGAGCTTCATGCGGGGTCCCAACTCGACCAGCTTAACGGCGCGCTTTTCAACACCGGGGGTCGCGGCAGCCTTCTTGTCGGCCTTATCCCCAGCCCTCTGGCGCTGTGCCTCCCGCTTGTTGAGAATCTTACGGGTCGTGCTCTCTGCGACTTCCACTTCGGCGTCTGTGTCGAGCTCGGTCTCACTGGCAGATGTATACCCAGCGGCAGAAGGGTCGAGCAGATAATCAGCGGCATCTTCGAGCTTGCCGAGATTGGGCACGGCAGTCTTCTTCTTATCTCTGTTGCGAATCTCCTTAGGGTCCAAGCGACGGATGCGTTTTGACACACCAGTCTTCTTAGTGGCAATGGCGTAGTGTCGTAGACTGAGGATGTACGAGCCATCATCAGACTCGGAGGGCTCTCTGTTCAGAAGCATGACGCGGCGGATAGATGAAAGAGGTTGGGCTTGAGGGTTGATCGGAGGGAAGAGGGATTGGAAGATGGTGGTGGTAAGGGTTTCGAGACGCTTCGGCACTTTAGAGTCCTCGGTCGCATCGGGCGAATTGAAGTTGTTCATGACAAGCAATGGGGGAGTCTTGTGATCTTGTCCACCGCTGCGTGGGCGCTTCAATGATCGCTCAACGTCCTTGCAGAGTGAATAGTTCTCGACTTGGAAGTGGAGGGTCGGTCCTCGGGGAGTGACAGCGAGACGCATGTTTGTGTTGCCTGTCTTGGACTTGGAGAAGAGCATCAAATGGGTAACGCCGAGAGGGCCGGCCATGACGGTGTAATCACGGAGTCGGTTAGATTTGCGTTCCTGTATATGTCCATTAGAAATGTTCGGAGAAGAGGAGACATTTGTCGGCATACCTTCAATCGCACAGCAGTATCGGGTTCCATCATCTGACGAACGTCCTTAACCAGCTGGCTAACACTAGTACCGACTTGAGAAGCGCCAACTCGAATGACCATGGACTTCGGGGCCTTGGTCATTGAAGACGCGGAGCCTTTGCCAGATGCTGCTGCCGAGGCATTTTGTGCCCGGAGATGGGTGCGCTTCTTGACGCGTGCCTTGGCCATTGTGATGGTGATAAATCAAGCACCGAGCGGCAAAAATAGAAATTGGTGAGCTCGTTGAAGTTGGCTGCCAGCCCGAAGATTTTCTGTCTCCAAAAAATCCAAGCGGAGCCAGCGCGGATCAACGATGTTGCGGACCCACATAACTTATATCAAGTTCACAAAGAGCAATACTCCTAGAGCTATCAATAGTTATCTACTTGCACACTAGAATAGCTCACCGATCAAAAGGAGAGGATCTTTCAAGTGCCTAGTGGACTGAACCTCTCCTTTTACGGTAGAGTGCCCAACTAACTAGAATAAGACCACTATCGACGGTGGTTACGACTAGAAGGCATTGTTGCAAGCATTATTACACAGCCTTTCCGCTCAATACGCCAAAGGCTCCGATAGCGACTAGTCTAGGATCATCATGTTATTTGATTTAAATGAAACAGCTCGCATGCAGAGCGAATTACCGGCTCAGACCCATTCGAGCCGCACAGCGTACATGCATGACATGACAAGACATAGGGGGAAAAGAATAAGTTGGTAATAGAGATGAGAAAGGAGACAAGAAAACCGAGAGATCTAAGCTGGAAAGATACCCACTTTAGACGTAAATGCCCATGTTGGTATCTCTCTTCTTGGCCTGGACCTCCGCGATGGCATCAACGTAGTTCTCGTGTCCAACCTTGCTCATTCCCTTCCGCAGAGCAATCATACCAGCCTCGACACAGACAGCCTTGAGCTGGGCACCACCAAACTCGTCCGTGCTGCGCGCCAACTCGGCCCAGTTCACGGTGTCCTCAACAGACATCTTACGTGAGTGAATCTGCAGAATATTGGCGCGAGCCTCCTCGTTGGGCAAAGGGAACTCAATCTTGCGGTCCAGACGACCGGATCGGAGCAGGGCAGGGTCCAGAACGTCGACACGGTTGGTCGCGGCCAGAACCTTGATACGGTCGTCAGATGCAAAACCGTCCAGCTGGTTCAGAAGCTCCAGCATGGTACGCTGCACTTCACGGTCACCGGACTTCTCTGAATCGAAACGCTTGGTGCCGACGGCATCCAGCTCATCAATGAAGATGATTGAGGGGGCCTTCTCCTTGGCAAGGGCGAAGCAGTCACGGACGAGCTTGGCACCGTCTCCAATGAACATCTGCACAAGTTGGGGACCGGCGAGCTTAAGGAAAGTGGCGTTCGTCTCGGCGGCACAGGCTCGTGCAAGGAGGGTTTTACCGGTTCCGGGAGGTCCGTACATCAGGGCACCTGCGATATAGACAAGAAATTAGCACCTCTAGGTAGTTGAAGGAGATTAGTAATTGGGAAAGACTCACCCTTTGGCGCCTTGATGCCGATCTTCTTGAAACGCTCGGCCTCCTTCATCGGCCATACAATAGCCTCGACGATCTCTTCAATCTGCTTGTCCAAACCACCAATATCCGTGTACTTCTCCGTCGGCTTCTCATCGACCTCCATCGCCTTCACACGGTTGTCATACTCGGCTGGTAGTGTGTCGAGGATGAGATATGAGTCCTTGTTGACACCAATAAGATCAGCAGGCTTCAATTTCTCATGGTCGACCAGACCGATAAGCGGAAGGAAGATGGTCTGCCGGGTCGAGGTCTTGATGACGGCGGATTTGCCGACGCGGGTAGCATCCAGGTCGATGTTGGCCCCTTCCTCCGCGGCCTCGGCCTCTACGTCGAGATCCAGCAGCTCGACCACGTTTCCGACGAGGTAGGGTAGTTGTCTGTTATGGGGGAAATCACAGTCAGCTTCATGGAATCCATCTCTGCTTTATTGCATCTTTTGGAAAGCTCCGCGGGCCAAGGGTGGGTGGGCTCCGCAGGACAGTAGTCCACGGATTCATCCAGCTCCGTACCTGTTGTTCTCGATCTTTTCGTGATTATCCTTGACCTTCTCCCTCATTGCGCTTTGCTCGTGTGTTAACCGTTGGAACTCGCTCTTCATGATGCGCATCTCGTTCTCCAGCATCCGCCGCCTCTTGACGATGTCCGCCGTGCTTGAATGCAGGATCTCTTCATCAAGAAGCTCCTCCTCATCTTCCTTCTTCTCGGCATCCTCCATCTCAGCATCGCCATCGCCGCTGGGCTTCTTGCCATCGTCATCGCCCTGATCTTGCTTCTTGTCTCTGGTCTCGCGCTCGAGGTCGTCGAGGTCCTCAAGAGTCGACATATTGGAAAGTGGCGGAAGTGATACTAAAAGGTCGAATCTGATGAAATTAACCCAGGTAGCAATTCGATGGCGGTTGGGGTGAGGTTAGGTGGATGTTGGATGTGAACGTAGAAGGTTGGAGAAGAGCTGTCGACGGCCGGAGCTCCAACAACGTCAGCCAGGTCACGTGAGATAGTCAACAGTCCCACGTCCTTGGTTCTGGAAGCGCGAGGAAAAACCACAATACATTTGTTCTAATCCAGTAGCTGTGCAAAATAGTCTGTAAATATTATCATGGAACTTTTTTTTGGTTTATCTTTCAGGGAGTGGAATCTAACGTGAGGTAGAGTGGACTGAGCGAGATGCTCTTGGGACTTTGAAAGCAGGAGTGGACAATGTATCTGTACAATCTAAGATAGAAGCTTTTGAGAGCTTCCAGCTTTCTATCTAATAGATAGAGTAGGGGTTATTACGGTTCCTCCAGCCCCCAGTGTTGCCAAGATTGTCCAAAACACTCTGGCGGCCAAACTTCAAAAGTCGTAGGCGTGAGACGAAGTCATCATTGTTGACTACACAGTACTGTTAGCATCGAGAAGACATAAGAGAACTGGTTTGCAATTTTGAACATACCGTAGCCTCCACACATGCGACGTTTCCCAGTAAACTCGGAGCGGCCATGCAACATTCGCCAATTATCGAAGACTAGAAGCCGTAAACATTAGCCGATATCCCGATGCTGGTAATGTTATTTCTCTTACTCAGTGCTGTTCCTGGCTGTAGTTGTGTCCAAATTTCATTTGATGACTTGGTCAACAGGTCGTTGTAGGCTCGAGCTGCCATGTACCACTCCCTTTGCTCCGATGTGTGCCAGTTGGTCTTTGGTGCACGGTCATAGTTGTTCCAACGGACTTGGTAAACGGCCTTGGTATCAGGGTGAACGTTGAGGACAGGTGCCATGGCGGAAGGTTGAATGCAGACATCCTCATTGCCGCTTGCATGCCATGGGTGCCGAGAGTTAGTCAAGGTGTTGTAAAAGCCTGGGTTCTCTTTGGCGAGCGTTCTGGCAGCCGCAAAGCCATCCACGAGTAAGCTCTTTCCACCGTCTCCATCGGTATGAGAGAGCAGATGGAAAAGCTGTAGCCTTGCAGGATCAGTGAAGTAGGTGTTATCTGTGTGAGCTCCGAGCCATTCGTTCGTATATGCTGTATCCTTGTAGGTAAGGTCCGCAGTGAAATCCCAGAAACCACCTAAAGTGGTGTCAGCCAATAGGTTCTATTTGTCAATCCAGGGTGATACTGTACCGTAATGCGTGTGTCGAATGAAGGAGATTCTCTCGATTAGAGTTTTGGTTGATTCAGGGTTGACAGGAACACCTTTCACGAAGCAGAAGCCCCATGTCCACTGTTTGAAAGTAAGCCACTGGTTTTGCTGAGGGACTCGAAGCTTGCGAATCTTTGAGAAAAACTAACGATATTCTCCAACCACTCCAATACTGCCGTATCCTTAGACATCACCTCTTCATACACCACCTCAGGATATGGATCGCCCTTTTGAGGGTCATATGCCTTGAAGGACCTGGCGAATAGCATCAGCAACGCAAGGAGCGTAAGGAGTGCAAGAAGCTCTAGGCATACCTCGGAAGTCTATTTGGCTGTACTGTCCGCGACTGGATTGGTGGTTTGTTATTTCCCCTATGAGTCGAAAGCCACTTCCAAGAGTATGTGCTCTCATGTCCATCGCTCCCTGGGGCAGTGTGAGTGTTGGATATTAACAGCATAGTACTTGGACGAGCTCTCACATTTGATGTAGACGTCATCGCCGTCCTTTCTCTGGACTTCTTCGGCTTTGACACGGGGTGAGAGCTATAAAATATGACTATAAGCCAGCGAAGTATGCGGTAGATCCTGAATCAAAACATACCGAGAAGGTGTCGACAATTCGTTGCCTTGTGTCCGGATGAATGCACTTGGGACACTGGCAATTCTCTCTGAAGGTCCCAATGTGTCAGGAAACTATCGTTTCGAAATCCTTTGGGCAACTTACCTGAGATATAGAGATCCACTGTGAACTATTATTAGGTATCAATTGCGGAATGACTTCACAATAATCAGACTAAACTTACAATTGCCAGAAGGGCGCTGCCTCATTCTTACCATCAGTTCGGAAAACGACATTGCCGTTTCTCAGAGCTGCATTGTAGGCCAATTGAGCATTCTTAGCCTCAAATGCATCATTCGTAGCATTGATATCTTGAGTGGTGCTTTCCGGCTGAGTAGCATCCGATAGTAGACGGCTCACGTTATATGGTGAGCTAGTGCTTCGAGCGAGAGGAGCTACATTTCGGGATCCAATGGCCTATGAGAACACCACAATGAGTGATATAATTAGAAACTCTTCCGGCGATTTTATTGCATTTGCTACCTACCAAGGTACCACTCTTGAAGACATGCAATGGCGTGATCTGAGGTCTGACCAAGTATGTTAGTCTCAGGCGATCTTCCGCAATTATTTGTGCCATTACCTATAGCTGCTCCACAGAGCGGTTGCTCTGAGAGACGCAAGGCGAGTCGCACTCATTTTTGGAGGATGCTGATGTACGTCTATTGAATGGTGCAACGTGGGGATCGTGCAGTTGTTGTGGTCTGGGGAAACGGTCCGAGCGCGGGGAACGCAACGGCCGAGGCTTGGATCACGTGTCTCTAGGGATGGAGAAGAGCTTCCTCTTCATCATTCCCGTAGTAATAGGCTCGGAGAACGATATATTTTCTCGTGGAAGTTAGATATGAGGGTAAAAGTTACACATTGGGACTATGAAGGTATAAAACAGGTGTTTTCCGCGTTGAGCGCGATCACCCCGGATTGTATTTGCACATTTAGTCGAATATTTTCTCCTTTGCTTAAATTTACAGCTTGCTCGTCACACCAGTCACCTTCACGAGCGCCCGACCGTTGCTCAAAACAACCTTGTCATTCTGGTTCTTGGTGACAAACCGAATCTCCTCAAATCCACCAGCCTGCACATCGCCCGTGCGCCAGATCTCGGTGGTGAGCTTGTCACCTGGGCGAACGGGCGAAGCAAAGCGGGCCTGGAATTCCTTGAGGTTCTCGGGGTTACTACCACCAAGTTCCCGCAAGATGCCGTGAGCGGCGGAGTTCCAGCTGAAGAGGCCGTGGATGATAGTGCCGCCAAAGCCCATCTTTTGGCCGGGCACGGGGTCGGCGTGCAGAGGGTTATAGTCACCATTCAGGCTAGTTACTCGTCAGTGGGCTTTACAGCTATTCAAAGAGCATTTGATGGGACGTACCGGTACAGGAGGGCAGTCTGCATGTCGGTCTGTACGACGTGAACGGCATCGGGCTTCTTACCCTCAGGAGGGGGATAGTTAACCGTAGCAGGGCCTGTGTAGAATTACATGTCAGACCATCTACTCGTGTCTACGTGACATTCCAGATCTTACCCTTGGGACCGCCCCAGCCACCTTGGCCGACCAAAAAGCCACTGCTCAGAACCTTGGAATACACCTCGCCGCTCTCGGCATCAACGATCGATTGCTCAGTCTCAAGGACGGTGCCGGGCTTGCCCTTGTCATAGACACCGACAACCTTGTTGCGCAGCTCGAACTTCCTTCCGGCACTTGTAGGGGGCAGTGGCTTCAGTACTGTGATCTTGCGCTGGCCATCGACGCCACGACGGTGATCCAAATCGGGAACACCGGGGATCTTGACGGCCTTCTGGCGCGCGTAGAAATCGGTCAACTCTTGGTCGGTGAGCTTAAAAGCTGGTTGAGGGAAACAAGTTAGTATTGGATCGAGCGAAGTGTGCCGAGGCTATCCGTACGCAGAATCAGCGGGTAGGTCGGGAAAACAGAGAAGTTCGGGTGAAGTTCCTACTAGATGTCAGAGACAGACGGGTTTTGGTTTCAATTGATCGTATGAACATACGTAGAGGAAATGCAGCTCGTCAGCCTTGGTACCGATGCTGTTTGCGAACAGCAGAGCATCGCGCTTCAGCCAAGAAACCTCTTGGGAAGGGAATTCGTGGCCGGCTCCAGGGGCAGACATATTGAATAATTAAATGTGTTAGAGAGAAGGGGATGTAAGGAAAGAAAGGGGCAGAAAGAGCGGAGTGCGGAGTAGAAGCGAGCTAAGTATGTGTCCAGCAGTTGCGGGGAGGCGTTGAGCCGAGGATCTGATAATGATTACTTACCGTCGTAGCCGACGGCGCGACACCTCCATCCCCTACCAGGCAGTTTGGGGCTCTTACTGAAAAGGCCCGCTCTATGTTCCTCAGAAACATAAATTAAAGTGGTTTACGATATACAACTACGAAGAAAATTGAAGATTGGACATGAGAAAGAGCGTCGGAGTTGCTAGACTAAGCATCGACTCGGGGTATCTACTTAGAAATTCGAGGAGCTTCATAATCACCTCTCCGTATCGCGCCATGTAGTAATGCCTTTTACCTGCCACCCAAAAACATCCAAAATATCTAACGCCGATAAGATAGAAAACTGAAAGCGAGGTCGGAACCATGTCGAATCGCTCTGTGCAAATCCTGAGTTGCCCATGCTATGCTGCGGTGCATTTGGTGCCGAATGATGTCCCCGAAATTACGTGCATAAATTGTCGAAGAGATCGTTGAACAAGACAGAAAATTCAAAAGAAAATTAGCACCTAATGATAATGTTAGCGACTGCGCTGTCAACAAGCATATTGGCCCGAAGGCAGAAGAAACCTACATCCGGTAGAAGCAGCTACCCTCGGCAGAGCGAGTAGGGTCTTCAACATCGAACTTGTAGGAGATGTTGATATCCAGATCACGCTTGTTCTTGTCGTTGGGGCGGTTCTCCAAAACACCGGAGACGGTCTCACCCTCCTCCACGGTGAGAACATCGCGCAGGTAGAAGACGGTCTGCTTCCAGTGTGTGTACTTGGCGTGGGGGCCAGTGGAGAAGTGAATGGGCTTGTGGCAGGCGCTGAACTCGATGTCGAACCAGGCAATGAGGGCGTGGATGAAGTCGGGACGCTGGGCGGTGACCTTGTACGGCACCTTGAAGGCAAGGTCGGCGGTAGTGACGGTGTTCAGGTCGAAGGTGATAATCTCACAAGGCTCGGTGACCAGAGCCTTCATCTCGACGGTGTCGACCAGGGGCTCAGTAAGAGCAATCTCCTTCATGGGGCTGTAGTTGAAGCCATAGACGTTGTCCCAGACTGTGATGGGCTTATTAGAATGGTATATAGAAGAGAAATAGTGAGACCATTACTCACATCCGATCTTGTCGTCCTTGTACTCGCCATCCTCAATGGCAGCCACGTACATGGTGGCCTTGTCGGGGAAGATCTTTCCGTCTTCGGCGAGGTAGGTGTCACGGGCGTACAGAACGGTGTCCAGCATGGACTCGTAGAGGAGGAAGTAACCCATCCACTCGGAGATGATGATATCAACCTTGGGGAAGGGGAGCTTGACCTCCTCCATCTTGCCCTGCAGAAGGGTAACCTTGTCGCTGAGGCCGTTGACGGCAACAATCTCCTTGGCCTTCTCAATGATCGAGGACATGTCGACACCGATCACATGCTTAGCACCAGCACGGGCAGCGAACCTGTGAACCAGGTCAGCTATTGATGATTATCTGCGAATTCATTGTGAACGTACATGCTGAGAATACCGGTACCGCAGCCGACATCGAGGACGACCTTGTCCTTGAAGATGTGGCGGTTCTGGTAGATAGAATCACGGTAGGATCGAGTACGGACATCATCTTTCTGAAGATGGGGAAGAACAGGAATTAGCAACTCAATTTGTGGCCCAGATTCAAAAGAGAACTAGGTCACTCACCAGCATCTCCTCGTGAATACCTAAGCAAAGTTTAAAAAACCCGACGTTAGTCAACCCCTCTTTTCAAAGATTTCTTCTCAGAGCCATCCGGGATTCCAATGTGTATTTACCGTGGTGATCATAGCTAGAACCCAGTCAGTATCTTGCCAATAGTCAAGTGCCAGAACGATATCTTCGAAGCCATACCTGGTGAAGTAGCGGACCTCAGCGTGCTCCGCGCCAACCATGCGATCAGCGCTGCTGGTAATGACGCCAGAAGCGTTGGCGGCCTCGGTTCCACTCATCTTGGGAATGAGGGAGGTATGTATGAATATGAAGGAATAATCAAATAAAGGGAGTTGCGGCGAAGAAATATGTTTCTTGGGCGCAAGAGATAACGGAAGTCGTCCTCGCCTCTCAACTTTTTTTTTCGAGCACTTCCCAGCGCCAAGCTTAAACTCCAAAGTCCCCGCTCCCACTAAGCCGCTTTTGGGCATGTCATGTGATTGGGGAGCCCTAATTTTAGTAGGGCTTGCTACTTTGTATACAAACAGTAGAATGATATACCAGCCGTAGTATGTATGCCTTTGTATATCTTGAAAGTACGTAGGTAAAGACCTATAATATCAAGAAAAAAATTGCGTGAAGTTGAACTATTTTATTTGTTTGTGCCAGTAGAGTCTGCACAGTAAGATTCTCGCTGGAATAGCAGCTGATGGGTTGTTGAACCTGGACAAAATATATAACAACACGACCTTCCGAGAGCGATTGGATAAAAAACAGAAGCAATGTGATAGGTAAACCTTCCAGTACATACTTTTCCAGAGGTCGAAATACTACAAGAAATTATTAAAATCATTGAATTGCCAATTTCTTGGACAACTCATCTTGGCCAGCCTGTCAACAACCTTATCCTCTGCCAAGACCAGCGCGAGGCTCTGCTTTGATGCCGCCCCCGAGCTCCGCAACCCGCGATTTCTCCCTAAAGCTTACGCGTTTCCCGGCCTGAGACCTCTGTCAGATCACCATGCATCTGGGCGCTGGACGAGTGGTTCCTTCCACTGTATTCGCTCTGACCCTGTTGGCCCTTCTGGTCAGCCCATCGTCTGCGTCTTTGGGAGATCACCTCCCCGATTTTAAAGAATGCGTCAAGGTACCGTCCTTGCCCGGACTCGAGCGACCAGCACCCTTGTACACGGCTAACGGCTACAGGTCTGTAAAACCGAGAACTGCCAGGATGGCAATTCGGTGCTACGTATGTCTACCCTCTCTACCTATCACGGTTGCTCTCCTGGTTTCCCTCGTTCTAACCTTGCTACCTTGCCCAGCTCTGCACCACCGCCTGTTATTCTGGACCTGCCCGGCTGAATGCGACTATACCTGTCAACATGTCATTACCGATCGTCGAGTTTCGCGTGACCCCCCGATGTTGAATCCCGTGGTTCAGTTCCATGGGAAATGGCCGTTCCGGAGAATTCTGGGGATGCAGGAGCCCTTTTCTGTGCTGTTCTCCTTCCTCAACTTCGCCGCCCATTGGCACGGCATGTCCCGAGTTCAAGAATCGATCCCGGCCTGGCACTCGATGCGCAAATACTACATGATGTTTGGATACATCGGACTGGCCAGTTGGACGTTCAGCATGATCTTCCACACCCGCGACTTTGACATCACGGAGAAGCTGGATTACTGGGCGGCTGGCGCCAATGTCTTGTACGGTCTCTTCCTGGCCGTTGTTCGACTCTTGCGCCTGGACTTGGAGAGCCCCCAGTATCGCCCTACACTGCGTCGCCTTTGGACAGCGATCTGCCTCTTACTCTACACCATGCACGTCTGCTACCTCAGCTTCTGGAAGTGGGATTATACATACAACATGGCTGCAAACGTGGCAGTTGGTATCATTGGGAACCTGCTGTGGACCGGATTCAGTATCTTCCGTTATCAGAAGTATATGAAGTCCTGGACAGCTTGGCCCGGTATGATTGTCGCGTGGGTTATTCTCGCCATGAGTTTGGAATTGTTCGACTTCCCGCCATGGCATGGCCTGATCGATGCCCACAGTCTGTGGCATTTGGGCACTGTGGTTCCCACTGCGTGGTGGTACTCGTAAGTATCCCATCCCTTGCTTGGGCCTCTTCGTTATCTCGGCCATGACTAATGTATCGGCTGTTTCCGACAGGTTCCTCATCAAGGATGCACAGGACGATATTGCGGGACACCGACTGAAGGCGTAAAAGCGAAGAAAATTTTGGTGTCGTATATACCCACTTCTAAAATATCGTGGGCAAACTCGCACGAGGGTTCTTCCTCTCATGTACAATAGCAGACTGCAGTCCCGGTGACCTGTTGCTAATAATAATCATTGTTGAGCTTGGCTCCCCACCTTGTTGACCGTAAGGCTTCGTGAGGCTTTCTGTAATTTCCACGGCGCTTGTCGCGGGCAGTGTCTTATTGCCACGACCAGGAACGAGGGGGTGGTCTTCCCCGCCATTGGCTCACCGCTAAAGAGGAGAGGGGCGTCGCATTAAGGCCGTGTCTCACCCCAAGCCCCTCGTTCCTTTTTTGTTTCAAAGTACTTCCTCCCTCCTTCTCCCCCTCCAACGTTCCTCTGTGAACATTCATCGCCTGTCACCTTGATTTACTACCTATTTCTCCGACTTCCACCTTGATTGCAGCTTGTCGCGCAACAATGGCCTCACCGGCTGTCAAGAAAGCGATCAGCGAGGCTGCTCTGCAGTACTCGAAGCCCGAGGGCAAGGTCTTCCAATATGGCACCGCAGGGGTATGTCGCGCAGCACCCAGGACCTTTCTTGACGATCGCCAACTGACTGAAATACCTTTGCGCCTATAGTTCCGCATGAAGGCGTAAGTTTTGCTCAAGATCGATCTACCCCGCCTCCACACAAACGCCCCCCGCGATCGTCCGTTTGTTGACGTCGAAGCTTGCTGACCGAAACCGTGACGCAGTGATCTCCTCAACACCGTCGTTTTCGCCGTGGGTCTCCTTGCTGGCCTCCGTTCGAAGAAGCTTAGTGGGCAATGGATCGGTGTTATGGTGACTGCCAGCCACAACCCCGCGGAGGACAACGGTGTCAAGCTGATTGACCCTATGGTAAGTAAACAATCCCGGAATAATGGTACTCTAAACGGATCAACACATCTAACTCATTGACTTAAAACAGGGTGAGATGCTCGAAGTAAGATAATTCTGTCCTTCGATCGCGACTTTGAACTCGCCGAACTCACCATCATAATTTAGGCCGAGTGGGAACAATATGCGACCCGGCTTGCGAATGCCCCTCTTGACCAGATCGCCGATGTCTACGACGAGCTTGTGAAGGAGATTGACGTTAAGATGACAAACCCTGCCCGCGTGGTCTTCGCTCGCGATACCCGTGCCTCTGGATCCCGTCTGGTGGGCGTGCTCAGCGCTGCCTTGACCGCAACCGAGGTCGAGTTCATTGACTTCAAGTACATGACCACTCCTCAGCTCCACTATGTCGTGCGCTGCAAGAACACCCTCGGCACACAGTACGAGTACGGTGAGCCGACGGAACAGGGCTACTATGAGAAGCTTGCCGCCTCCTTCAAGAAGGTTATGAAGGGTGTCAAGGTTCAGGGCTCTCTGACCGTCGACTGTGCCAATGGTGTTGGTGGCCCTAAGCTGCGGGATCTTATGAAGTACCTGGACTCTGGTCTCGATATCAAGGTCGTCAATGACGACGTGATCAACCCTGATAGCCTGAACTTCGACGTAGGTTGCTCCATAGATACGTTATTGAACCCTGGGCATCTTTCTGACCTTTGCAGTGCGGTGCCGACTATGTCAAGACGAAGCAGCGTGCTCCTCCCTCATCCAAGGCCGCTCCCCTCGATCGATGCGCCTCCCTGGACGGAGATGCTGACCGTCTGGTCTACTACTTCGTTGACGAGAGCAACGTCTTCCGCCTCCTGGATGGCGACCGCATCGCTACTCTTGCGGCCTCTTTCATCGGTGATCTCGCCCGCAATGCTGGTATTGCACAGAAGCTGAAGATTGGTGTTGTTCAAACCGCTTATGCCAACGGTGCTAGCACCGACTACATCGAGAAGGTCCTCAAGCTCCCCATTATTTGCACCAACACTGGTGTGAAGCATCTTCACCACGCCGCTCTGCGGTTCGACGTCGGTGTTTACTTCGAGGCCAACGGCCACGGCACCGTCACCTTCTCGGAGAACGCTCTGAAGGTCATCAAGAACACCGAGCCCCAGTCTCCGGCTCAGCAGCACTCCTTGGAGTGCCTCCAGGCTCTTACCGACCTCATCAACCAGGCTGTTGGTGATGCTCTCTCCGATATGCTTCTCGTCGAGGCTATCCTCGCTCACAAGGGCTGGTCCCCCAAGGAGTGGCTCGGAACCTACACCGACCTGCCCTCCCGTCTCGTTCGCGTCGAAGTCCACGACCGCTCCATCTTCAAGGCCTACGACGCTGAGCGTAAGTTGGAGTCTCCCATCGGCCTCCAGGGCAAGATCGAGTCTCTACAGTCTCGCTACAACAAGGGCCGCAGCTTCGCTCGCGCTAGTGGTACTGAGGACGCTGTTCGCGTCTATGCTGAGGCCGCTAGCCGATCCGAGGCCGATGATCTTGCTACCCGTGTCGCTAACGCTGTGCGCGAGGCTGGCACTGAGACCCAGTAAATATGGGCCGAGGCAGAATAACGGCAGGAGCCTCTTGTATGAGGTAACAAAAAGATCACGACAGCTTTCATGGCATTTTACAGGCCCCTCTTAAAGGGGGTGCTATGACTTGGCAACATATTCGATATCATTTCATTGATGCAGTAATGAAACTTACGCTATCATTGCATACTCTAAACATCTCTGTAACCAAGTAAAGTAGCAGTTCAAAGCATGAAATAAGAGATGGAAGAAGAAGTCTATCCGGACATGCTTCATCCTCCTCTATTTGCCCTTGGAACTGTTGTTCCAGGTAGGCCCATAATTATTCCCGAAATTTGCCTTCAACGCAAACTTATAATTGAAGTAAGGGTCAAATCCCCCAGCCAAAGCGCCAGTAGTCTAGCGGTCGTAATGACCCTGGAGTGCTGCAGCTGCCACTTCGGTGGTGGGCGGCTGTCCGTTGTGAGTCGAGGAAGCTTATGTGGAGTTCCTCCGGGTGGCGGTGCCACTTTTTTTGGGGATATTTTTTATAGAACTACTACCCTTCTTACATTTCTTTAGTATTTTAATAATTTTTTACCTTATTCTAATCAGGAGATTTAGAAGAACATTTTGAATGTCTTTTTATCCATTTTAAAAGAGATTTGGGTTGGTAGGATTTAGATATGTCTGGTTGTGGTATACGGGTTTGAGGGGATGGGCATTGGAGGTTGGACGGTGAGCTTGAAAAGTGCTTGAAAAGTACGGAGGAGCGATTTGTATGGTAGTCAGAGGTTAGGGGTTCGATTCGGAGATGATTAGTTTATTTCTTTATCTGGATTTTAGAGGGTTGTAGAGGTTGGATGTTTGATATTGCTTTGATATACGTGCTACTTCGGATGTTGAAATTTGGCCAGGGTTTCAAGCTTATAAAATTCCAATATACCAGATGCACGAATTCCTTGTTGAATTTATAAGGATATTAATTTCTTCGTCCCCAAGCTTAAATCACGCATACTAATGCAATTGTCATAAATCCATGTCAAACACCCCGCCGTCAATATCATCATCACTGAACACCTCTTTCAAGTCCAGACTCGATAAATCAAAAGCATTGATTACTCAGAAACAACTCAGTTCTTTCCCTGGGTATCCTTCAGAGTGACAATACGGTTCAAAATAACCTTATCAGCCGTCGACTCACGGTCAACAGCAAAGTACGCAATACGCATACCCTGGAAACGCACGGAGTGCTGGTTAGACTCGACATCAGTCTCTCCAGCAGCCTTGGGCCAAGGCGCGGTACTACGAATCTCATTGAAACCAGTCTCAATCATCGCGTCCTTGTAGATCTCCTCCGAGTCGGGGTTGATATCTGCCAGGAAGCCATCCGGGTGGGCGGAGGGGTCCTCCGACTTGAAGAGGGAGTTGAAAGCGCGGATCTCGGCACGAATAGGGCTGTTGTGCTTAGCAGACTCGCCGACCCAGTGGATGAAAGTCTTGGGACGAGGGGCGGTCTCGCCCTCGGCGGGCTTCTCGTATTTGGCGTGCACGACGGTGACGGCGCCAGTTGCGGGGTCCTTCTCGAAGGATGTGGCGGTGATGGGGTAGGGGACCTTGAGGAGGCCAACAGTCTTGCCGGGGGCCAGGCGGAAGTAGTCAGGGGAGTCGACTTCGCGGAAGTCGGAGCGCTCAATATACACAGTCTTGGTGAAGGGGACGGTGTGAGTACCGAAAGAGGCGTCCTTGCCGAAGGGAACCTCGACGAGTTCCTCGTAGTCATCAGGGAGATCGTCAATGACCACCTTCAAGGGCTCGGTGACGACCATCAGACGGGGGACGGTAGTCTCGAGGAAGACGCGCACGCTCTGGTCGAATCTGTGCATCTGGACGTTGGTAACGGCCTTGGTCACACCAAGTTCGTTGACGAAGGAGAGAATAGCACCTGGGGGAACACCACGGCGGCGCAGGGCAATGAGAGTGTAGAGACGCGGATCATCCCAGTCGCGGACATGGCCTTCCTTGACCAACTTGATGATCTTGCGCTTAGAAAGGACAGTGCCGGTAATGTTGAGACGGCCGTACTCGCGCTGCATAGGGCGGTAGACATCCAGCTTCTCATTGAGCCAATCGTAAGAGACACGGGACAGCTCGAATTCAGTCGTGCACAGGGAGTGCGTAATGCCCTCAATGCTATCGCACAAGCAGTGGGCAAAGTCATATGTCGGGTAGATCTTCCATGTACCACCACTGCGGTGGTGCTGCGCCTTCTCTTCACTCTCCGTAATGCGCCAAGCAACCAAATCCCACATCTGGGCCCGGGGGTCTTCCAGAAGAGCCTGCTTCATCCGCAGACAGGCCTCGCCAGCCTGGTACTTGCCATCCCGCATTGCCCGGAACTCAGCGAGCGTCTTTTCGGGATCCTGGTCGCGATGCTCGCAAGCGAAACGTTCTCCGCCACGCTGTCCGGTCTCAGACTCTCCACGTCCTGCCTTGATCTGTGCTTTCGTGCAGTAGCACATGTAAGCACCACCGCGCTTAATAAGGTCCTCCGCAAGCTCGTAGAGCTTGTCGAAGTTGTCGCTCGCACAGGTTTCCCGCACCGGCGTGAATCCCAACCAGTTGACAATGTCCCGAATAGCATTATAGTATCGCTCCTCCTCACCCTCAGGGTTGGTATCGTCGAAGCGCAGAATACACTCGCCGCCGTGGTACTTTGCGAAACCAAAGTTGATCGCGATGGCCTTGCTGTGGCCGATGTGGAGGAATCCGTTGGGCTCGGGCGGGAAACGAGTACGGATCTTAGGGAAGGCCTCGGAGATGGGTCGTTCGTTGTAGACGTCGTGGAGGAAGCCGACCTTGAACATCGCATCGGGGTCACGGGCCTCGGCAGCTTCCTTGGGTGCTTTGGCGGGCTTGGGCTTGTTCTCCTTGGGGCGGGAGCTGTTCTCCTTCTGAGCTGCTTTCTTTGCGGCCTTCTTAGCTTCCTTCTTGGCCGCGGCCTTGGACATCTTGGGCTCCCCCTGAGGTTCAGCCGTGGCCTCGGCCTCCTTGGGCCGCTCAGGGAGCTCAACAGGCTTTGCGGGGTCCATGATCGGTGAATGAACCAAGAGACTAGTCGTGACGCGCGAGCAATTGGTGGGGTAAAAAGACAACAATTTTACGGAGGGGCTGCGATGCTTATCAGTTCCCATTTCGCTTATCGGGCCGATGAAACCCCGGATGAGTCAGAGACGGGCATTCCAGTGGTTATCTAGATCGAATAGATAGTGAAGATAAAGTATAAACAGATGAGCTATACTTCGTATTTATTCATAATGAGTCACTGAATGAGTTTCGCCTTATGTCAAGTTAAGCCAGATTATGTACTGTTGATTATACCTGGTATCAGGACATGCTAAAGCATAGCTATACATGAGTGGTGGTACAGAGTTTGTACAGACCCAGAACAACCGAGTCGAAAGTCACAACGAACAAGATATAGACACAGAAAGACAAGAAAGACAGAATGCCACCCAATTACCAGAACGCACGTCCCATGTCACCAATGAGATGTAGCGCCGGCAGAACAAAGACATCGAGGAACCCGTAATTACGGGTGAGAGTATAGACAAGAGAATCAAGTAAACACCAAACTGTCTGGCACGGCAGTATGTAGAGCCGAGCAGCAGAGCCATGTGTCATGCTCGTGAGGACGAATCAAGCGCCAGTCTCCCAGTAGACCCGACGGCATGATGTGTATCGTGAGGGAGAGGAAAGGATATCAAAAAGCAAAAGTGCACCGTAACAAGTATCGACCAAATGCGGGGTATATGACGTGGGAACAGAGACAAGAGGGAATGAAGGGATATGTTAATGAAAGATTGAAAAGAAAAAGGTGTGCTCAGAAGAGCTGCAACGCACTGATGCGCTCAGAATTACCTGGGCGGTCGCGTTCCATATGGAACCACCAGTCCCGGCCCATCTTATGGTTCCAGGAGCCGGTGCAGGTATCTTTATCCCAAGGGAGTGCATGGGAGGAGGCGAAGCTCATGGGAGTAATTGGGGTGGTTGGAGTTGCTGGTGTGCCTGTTGACCGACTGCCCAGGCTGCCCCATCCGAACCGCGATATGGTAGAGGATGGAGAGGCAATATCATCGATTGGAGGCGGGTTGGGAAGGTTCTTGCCATTTTCAAAGCAATGAACTCCCACGCCGGCAGCGAACGACAGTGATTGATTGGAGGCAAGCAATTGCTTCCACCCGATCAACCCACCGTCCGATTCCTGCCCAGCGATATCAGGACGCAATAGGAACTTAGGAATAGATGCTCCCGTTGCAGGATCCCTGACACCCGAGCGGCCCATGAATGCAGGCATATGGAACTCATAGACAGTTTTGGGGCCGTCATTCCTAGGAGGTGCATTCTTGTATCGCTCGGCTGCAGCCCAGATACCGTAGTCATCCATTTCTTGCTCCGTCTCCTCTTCAAACTGGGAGGCCATTGCGTTGTCAGGAATGAAATCGTCCGAGTAATCCTGGATCAACACTGGCATACCACTCTCCGTATCCTTCGCAGCCATATCGATAAAGGTTTGTGCGCGAATTCGAGAAGAAGTTAAGTTGTTTCCAGCTGGCAAAGCCAGAGGCCGAGTGCTGACAGAACCGTGTGAGCTGCGAGGCAGACTATACCTGTCCGGTCGAAGCAGTGCTTGGCCCCTGATGATAGGGCGGCAGGAAGCCTGGAGCACACCAGGAGGCTCCACATCATTGGGAGCACGAAGTGTCTCGAGGCAAGGGAATCCAGCGGAAAGGATACTTTGAGCGAGATGAGAGTTTGGGGTGTCGGATTGTTTCAGGGGGTGCTGGAAGGGGCGAGAGTCAAGTTGGGTCAGCGCAGTACCTGGGTCAGGGCAAGCAACGTCCCAATGGAGGTATTTGAGACTAGGTGATGCCAATATAGGCTGGAAGACAATGCCTTCGTTAGGCATGACCGGGCATTTGTCACATTGCACAAACTTGAACCGTTCGAGTTGTGTCAGGGAGGATAAAATTTTGGAGATGACCAGCAATGATTCCACATTCTGTTCCACCAAGACGAATGACTTGAGCGAGCGGGACTCAGGGCGCGACGTATACTGGACAAGCCCACGGTCCGTGACACCGGGCAGGTTCTCCAAGCGCAGAGATTCTAGCGGTGGAAGGCATAGCAGCGTGGTATCCGCGAAAGCGTCTTCACTAAAGGAAGTGATGCAGAGATTCTTCAAAGACGGCAACAAATCAAACATGCGCAAGAATATACTTGGCTCCAATGCGCCGTTCCCGTTCAACCCATACAGCATCAAAGTCTCCAAGTTCGACCATGAGACATGATAGTTCAAAAACTCGAACATCTGAGACGGGCCTAGACTGCCGGGGCAGGAGGTACTGCGGGGCGACATTTCTGAAACCTCCGCTGCCTCGCCCAGCACCCAAATATGCTCTTTCAGCCGCTTGCGGGTCGACAACGCGTGGGTCAAACGATCGAACTCGTGGTGGTAGGGGATCGATAGACCCAGCAGGCGTTCTAAATTTGGACAAACCATGACCACGGACGCGACGAGATCGCGATATTCTTGCCATTGTGTGCTCTGTTTCGTTGTTGTGAAGAGCAAATCCATCTGAGGCACCCGAAGTTCGCGGACGAGATGGGCCAGCATGTTTCGTTCGCGCAGGGTGCGGCGTAGTAGCTTCAAGCGACTTCCTCTCTTGAGGCGGTATTTTTTCAATTGCGCGGGGGAATCATGCCCGACAATGTGAATTTGATTATAACTGAAGTATTGGAATGTATTAGCACTGGCACTTTCCTATCGAATACCGTACCACCGATTGCTCGACTTACAGTCGTGGTCTGACTGCCTTTTCCCATGACCGGCAGGTCAGGGACAAGGCGTGCAAGTCGCGCTGAAAGCATGTTGTACAGCCGGTTTGGTATGGAGCCTTGTGCAAGGTCTCAAGGCTGTTGAGGATCACGTCGTAGACTTCCTGGGGCACTCGGCGCTGAACTGGCGCAATGGTCTCGGCGATGGACCCTATCGAGTCAAATTGGCGACAGGAAGATGTAGGCGATGTAGGTGACGAAGGCAAGTAGGCTGTCGTCGGCGTAGTCGAGGTTGTATAGTTTGTCTTATAGGAGGAAATGGAAGAGGTGCGCGAGGGAACAGGCTGAACGCTCACGCCGAATTCTTTATAGCTTGGGGCATCGTGAGGGATGGTGTAAGGCACAGCAGGGCTCTCTGGTCTACTGGCAACAACACTCATCGTGACGGGACACGCCGCGCATCGGAGTCGCGGAGAGGCTGGCAAAGGAGAAGAGAAAAAAGTGGCGCTTATGGCAGACAGCGGGGAGAGCGAGGGAATGTAGGGGGGGTTCGATCGACGGGTAGATAACGGCAGTGTCGCAATATAACGAGGGAGATCGACGAGGTAGAATTCCAAGTGAAGTCACTATTTTTGTTGGTTTGTTGATTTGCAAGGGAGAGAAACGAGCGAAGAGGGAAAAGAGAGTGGGTGTGATGAGTTACGAGAAGAGGAAGAAGCCGGAGAATAGCGTCGGCAAAAGGGAACCAGGCAGATCATCAGTCACGACACCACCACCACAGTACATGCATGTAACAACCAACACAGCCAATGCCCTTTTTCTCTCTTTCATTAACCCGCCTCCTCCCACTAGTCAATGCTTTTTGCCCGTACTCCGTGTCTCTTCTCTTCGAGGGTCCTGGCAAAAACAGCATGGCGTTTGGTCGATCGACCCCCACACTGGCTATTTCTGCTCGTGCCCAGCGGAGAACACTTGACAGGGGGCGGTTCAGGGGTTGCGACTGTCCCTCGCCCTATGCCCGATGCGACAGGGATCCGCCCTGAATCTTTTGACAAACAGTTATGAAGTCTGGACTGAGTGATATCTATTCTGTTCTTTACTTCCAATGACTTGCGAAATTTGCTTGTTCTGGCTGCTTATGGCTTTCTCCAGATTCCTCCCCAGGACTCCATCCTGTCGCATGGCAGCCCGCATGGCAACCAAAACACGAACGTACCTGCAGCCATCGGTTCTTCGAGTGCGGTTCGTGAGCTGCAGGGCTAATCCTCTAGAGGCATAGCGCCCTCGTTCAGTGGGTCTATTTTTATGGGGCCCGGCTTGGCCGCCCCTTTTTTTTCCTTCTCAAGGACTTCCCACCGCGATGTTGGTGTCAAACACTGCTACGGAGCAAACTAACTGGCACTAGGCTCTTCCTATCAGTTTAGTTCCAAGGAAATGGTGTTACGCACTCCATCCACTATTCATATGAATTGCACTCTACAACCTGCACCGGGATGTTTCAGCACAACGAGTCGGACCTCTCTCTACGTTCGGTTGTTCTCAGCTGTTCTCTTACTGGGGGGCCGAATCCTACAAAGATACAAGAACTGCGGCCTGAGCGTGAGACACTCTGACGCCCCTCGTTCAATTAGGCAAGCTGCCGCCCAGGAACTGCAAGACTACAAGTCGCCAGGCACAGAAGCCCTGCACAATCCACATGGCGCATATTTCCGACCAGCAAATCCCCGAACTTGCCACCCGAGTCTCAAAAACGCGACTATCGCTGATAACTAATGATATTAATAACTCTCTCTAGCACAGACTGGCAAAGTGACCCCGAGATCGATCGATGACGATCTGCGCCCGTGGATTGGTTCCTGCTACTCCTCCCACTACCTCTCGCGCAGAACAAGCACGAGAGCTTTTTGGAAGCGGACAACCCTTGTCGCGAGCGCTCCCCATTATACCCAATGAAGATTGTCTTGCCCCCAGTGGACTCGAGAATCCACAGGAACTTGTTCGGCAGGCCTTCCTCTGTCCGGCATGGCGGCACTCATCAGATAAACAATGTGGACGGGGCTCAGCTGAAACCCGATCCGGTGGAGACACATCCACCCCATCGTTACTGGAACATGAACCAATGATATGAACCAGTCTAGCGCTCGCGACTACAATTTGGGGGGCATGCCGCTCCATCGGTATCGCCATGTGAGATTTGGAATTCAGTTTGGTTCCACCACGGCTACCAAGAACAAGGATTTGCGGCCCGCAGGCACTTGTACGGTCGAGTGTTTATCTACACGAGCCTGTCGAGCATTGCTGTTTGTGTTTGTCTCTCGAGCATCGAGAAGTACCTCGAGAAGTCCTGCTACATGGGTGGATTGGTGCATATGTAAACAGTGACCTTGTCCATGCGCAGATATAGAATCGAATCTACAATGTTGTAGATCGCGATGGGAGCTCTTAAACAGTCCTTCTATAGATTACCAATAGCATGTTCATCAACAGGACTTTGGATTTTTGTTTCATTCGAGTACTTTGTAGTTTATCCTAGTCGTACAGTACACTTCTTTGGCCCATATTATGTCGCCCAGTCTTCATTGTCAATGACCACGAGTAGTCTCCCCGCAGTTGGGCCAGGGCCATTTCATGGCAGCTCCGCGTCTACCTCGTCATCCTTATTCATATCTTGGGCGTTCTCATCGTTGTTGGGCTCTGTCCATTCCCAATCCGATGGGCTGTATTTTCGCACTTGATGATCGTTGTTCCGGAAGTATTGACTCTCTGCGGCCAAAGTTCCTTGTGCTGCTGATGGCACCTCCGCGTCTACCTCGTCATCCTTCTCGTCTCCGTCATCCTTCTCGTCTCCGTCATCCTTCTCGTCTCCGTCATCCTTCTCGTCTCCGTCATCCTTATTCATATCTTGGGCGTTCTCATAGTTGTTGGGCTCTGGCCATCCCCAATCCGATGGGCTAATGGATTTTCGCACTTCTTCATCATCATGATGAACTTTGAAGTATTCACTCTCTGCAGCCAAAGTTCCTTGTGCTGCTGCAGTAACTTCAGCAGCCATAATGGCTTGTTCCTCTTTGGTCCAGCCGTGCGGGCCAAACCAGCCGTAATGCCAGAACCATGACCACCAAATCTTGCCATGTTTGTGGTCAAAGGCCTAGAGTGAGAGTAAGCTTTGTACGGTCAAGGACAAGATTTAGCGGGCTTACCAGCTGGACGAGCAGCTCACAAAGGAGCATTTCTTCGTTCGCCAACCATCTTCGCATGTCCTCCTCCTCAGTTTGCGTTTTTGAGTCCAGAGGGAACATCACGGCACAGTCAAAATCGATCAATATTGCCCTGTTTGTCTCTTCTTGCACTTTCGTATTCCGCTGTTTGATATCGCCGTGGTAAACGCCAAGCTTGTGGATCTCGACCACTGTGCTTCTCAACTGGTCCGCTCTCTCGGTGGAGTAAGTCGACAGCTCGAATGGGTGCAGATTTGGGATGAATTCGATCACCACAGCATTTGGAAGTTCGGGTTCCTCAGCAAAGTCCTTGAGGTGTGGCTCCCAGCCCTCGGTCTTGAGGTCAATGTCCTTGATCAAGCCATAGAAGTAGGGGATATGGCCCTTCTCGCAGAGCCCATGTGCCTTCAATCGACAGTAAGCTTGCATTTCACGGAGAAATGGATCGTGCTCATATTTTCCTGAGCCCGCGCTTTCTTGATCAAAGTAATGACACTGTATCCAGGTTAGGAGCGGCTCTTCAAGTGATAATTCGAAACGTACGATCTTCAACACACAGTCCTTCCCGCGCCATCGACCCCGGAATACTATTGAATCATAGGACTCGTGCAGAAGCTCCACTGGTGTTACCTCAGCTAGGTCGATCTCTGGAGGTTGGTACTCTGGAAGTGAGGCCGGGCAGTCTTTGCCCAGGGTCTCTCCCGTAGGAGGAGGGGTATCGGGGGCCATCAGAAGGGCTTCGTGGTGTCGCAGGATGGGGGGAGAAGGTGGGAAGAAGTTGGATTCGAAGAGGATCTAAGTCTCATTTTAAATGGGAGGTACCGTAGGCTGAGTTCGGGTTGCGGCAAACAAAGCCGACGGAGGTTCTTATGGTGAGTATGAGGCCGAATTGGGGAGGCGTAACTCCCAAGGCGTTCCTGCCCCGCCGGCTAAACCCATCCATATTCCTAGGATCATACTCATGGCACTGCAAGAAACTTTCGTGACTACAACACCAAGCCTAATCAGAACGCACCTTACGAGTACACTAACAGAATGGTACAACGATATTTTGTATAGGTAGGCACATACAGTGGAGTTTCATAAGTTTAATAACCCCGACCAAGGTCTAAACTCTCTTACTAGTTGTATACTTCAAAAGATAGTTAAGACAACAGTTAAGAGGACAGTTAAGAGGACAGTCAAGAGGACAGTCAAGAGGACAGTCAAGAGGACAGTCAAGAGGACAGTCAAGAGGACAGTCAAGAGGACAGTCAAGAGGACAGTCAAGAGGACAGTCAAGAGGACAGTCAAGAGGACAGTCAAGAGGACAGTCAAGAGGACAGTCAAGAGGACAGTCAAGAGGACAGTCAAGAGGACAGTCAAGAGGACAGTCAAGAGGACAGTCAAGAGGACAGTCAAGAGGACAGTCAAGAGGACAGTCAAGAGGACAGTCAAGAGGACAGTCAAGAGGACAGTCAAGAGGACAGTCAAGAGGACAGTCAAGAGGACAGTCAAGAGGACAGTCAAGAGGACAGTCAAGAGGACAGTTAAGAGGACAGTTAAAAAGATAGTTAAAAAGATAGTTAAAAGATAGTTAAAACTTATCTAGATAACTCTAAGGGCTCGAACATAATGACTCTCCCCTTCCATCCGCTGGACCGGCCGAGATATGTGGGAGTGGAGTAAAGACTATCTAGCTCAGACACACTTAACTAATACCAGTACCTGACTCATTACGAGAGGCATTAGGTACAATGGCAGCTCAAATTTCCAAATATAGGGGCCGGCGAAACGGTCCATGCTTCAAACTTCCATTACGTCGATGTGAGCAGTCTATGTAGGTATTCCAAAGTTGTTTTGTGTATATTTTCGAAGCGATAAACATATCTCATATTCTTCTGCTATGGGTATCACGTTCCTATGCATGCAAAAGCCCCAAGTATGTAAAAATGAGAATAAAATGAAGGGCGAATTGGGGGAAGGGGAATAAAAGATACCACAAAGCAAGTGCCACTGTCAATCGCTGTTTTTGAGCCTGCTCGTTCCTGCTATTTGGGTCGTAGGCTGGCTTTCCCGAGTTCCACGGGATGGACTTCGACACTTGCAAAGCCCCCGGGATTGGATTCCCCTTCGGATCTTTTGCTCTGCGAATGGCGACCAACTCTTGATCAGTCAGAATGAATCCATACCGAGTCTGGTTTTGCTCCATGTAGTAATTGACCTGGGAGAGGGCTTGGTTGAATTGCTCCTCGCGTGTCTGGTTGCTGCTGTTTCTCCAACTGGACGTCCATTTATGAGATAGCTTGAAGTCTCCGGCAGGCAACAGCGTCTATAGTTCTTGGTCTTTTCAGACCAGAACAACAAGTCAGGTAGGCCCTTCGTGTTAGACTTCAAGTTGCCGCAACCCCCAAGATAGACCGGTGTGCGCTGGTTGTCAAGTAGCCCGTCTGCCTTGAGATCCTCGAATCCACACCGGAGACCTCTTCTAACGAGATTATGCACGGTTTCAAAGAAAACGTAGGCAAGCTCCAGCTCAGAATCGATCTCCCTGGGAGTGGTTGAAGGAAGTCTCGGCACAATCTTGGGCTTGTCGAGGAGATTCCCGAAGTGTGACATGATCGTTGGCCCAGTGAAATCCTGCCAGTTCGTGATAGCTGTAATCTCAACATGGGAATATTTTGAGCTCTCGGTATTTTTGCCGGGGGGACACCAGTTTTGGTTGATTCGTAGGGTGGGTGGCTCGCATTGGAGGTGGGTGAAGAGACTCACGGTCTCCTCAGCGGTGTTGCTTCGTCGTTGGGACGCCATGGTAGCTTGAGGTGACTGAGGTATTGTAGAGCTTGTAGTTGGAAGGCTGTATGTGAAAGGGTGATGTTCGTCCGTAAGTAGTAGGTTGCGTCTGGAGAGATGCTGGTGTATTTAACTTAAGTTGTGCTGGGTGTATAAGCGAGTCTGCCTAGTTGACGAACTCGCTGGTCCTTGAAGAAGACAAGAGAAGAATTTAGGGGAAAAATGTTATGGAAAGTTGGTTACAAGGTCTTGTGTATAAGAGCAATGAAGATGGGGAAGATTTGAGAGAGCTTGAGAAGGTATAAGAAGCTTTAGGTAGTAGAAGTTAACAAAGATCAAGGATATTTATAAAAAGTAAGTAGTATAATGGAAGCAGTTAGAGTAGAATAAGCAGTTAGAAGGAGCCTAATAGTATATAGAAGCTAGAATAAGTATAGAAGGTATATAAAGAAGGCGAAGATTAAGATAAAAAGTAGATAAGAGAAGGGTAAGAGAAAGATCAATTAGGGAAGATTATAGAAGTAAAAGATCATTTTAACTGTCTTTTTAGAAGGATGTTCAGAAGGATGTTCAGAAGGATATCTAGGAAATTTATAGGAAGAATATTCGATGCGTATTCAGTAATATTAAGGAGATCTTCCGAGATCATCTTGAAAGTTAACCTCTAGATATCATGTAAAAGGAGGTATGTAGCTGATAGTCCAAAGGTCCTCAACGCTGGTGATAAAATCGATTAGTAAATGCCTGGGTAGCTCTTAGAAAATGCTAACTAGTCCCTAGACAGGCTTTCGTAATTATAGTTATGAGTATTACCGCTAAGATACATTAATTGCTATGGGGAAAATTCCATCGCTAATCACGACTTTTCAACGGCTATTTTCGATAGGCGACGTTGACCTGACCGTGGATCAAGCTCGAAGAGTAAAGCCTTGTGATCAGTGTCTCTTTTCAGAATTAGTATTACTTTATCAATAACTGGGAGACACTCTATTATTTTCGGGTTATGCTTAGATGACTAGTTTCAGGCTCTCTGTGATTGGCTAGGAATTTAGAGTAATAGCCACCCGTAAAGCCGGGGAAGTGCTGTTTTGACAGTAATCAGGTACTTCTTCTACAATATGACAGCTGAAACGACCCACGTGTCGTAGCGTGATAACAAAAGGATCAGTTTGAAAGGTGTTCCGACACTAGTCTCTGCCCCTCAAAACTGTCCCTATACCCCTATAAGGAACGCCTCCCTTATTGGTCAGCTTTTAGCCGTTAGGGCTCCACGCACTGGATTGGAGTTACAGATATGCAGCTTATGGGCTGATTAGAGTAAAGTCCACCAATTAAGCTGAACTAAGACGCTGATCTTTCTTCTTCCAATTTGGAGCCTTTTGTCTGCTCACCGACCAAAATTCCGCCCAGTCCCTTCTCCTGGTTTCTTAGTGCTAGTGAACTGGCTACTTCCATCCCTGACTTCAGTACCTTTTTCCTTTGACACCTTTATATGCTCAAACTTCTATATCTGAATAAAGCAACTCCATAATTGATTCTGATTTCTCAACTCGCAGCTGCTTCTTTTTGGAAAGGCTCTCAAGCGGGCGCATATCCGCTTTCCAACAATCGCGTCGAATCCCGTATCTTGACTATTTTAAACGACAATGTTTTCTCTGGCATGTATATCCGTGGGTCTTCTGGGTGCTAGCTTACCAGTTGTTACTGCGAATAGCCCTTCGGATATTCTTCATCGGGATGTCGTGGTTATCGGTGGAGGTGCTTCCGGTGCCTACGCTGCCGTGAGGCTACGGGATGACTTTAACAAGTCCATCGCCTTGATCGAGAAGCAGGACATCCTGGTAAGGGCTTCCTATATATCTGCCTGCCAATTCTTGAGTTGTTGAAAAGGCTTCAGGACTGAACAGACCGCCGAAAAATGCTAATTGAGTCTATGTATAGGGTGGCATGGTCGACACTTATGTGGATAACAAGACAGGCGCCACATATGACTTTGGTGTTCAGAGCTTCCTCAACGTTAGCAAAGCCAAGGAATTCTTTGACCGGTTTAATATCTCGGTTAGCAGTAACTCGAGTAGTCCGACGCTAATCACCGAGTACATCGACTTCAACACCGGCGCCGAAGTCGCTTTTCAACCCCCATCTCTGACGGCGCAGATAACTGCAATTGCCAAATTCCTCGATGTGATCGAGCCATGGGAATCTATGTTGCAGCCCGGATACTGGAACTTTCCTGCACCCGAAAATATCCCAGACGATCTTCTGATCCCTTTCGGGGAATTCTTGACCAAATATGGCCTCGAAGACGGTACACCTCTTATGTACTCAACCACTGGTCTTGGGGTGGGCAATATGAGTGAAGTAGCTACCATGTTTGTACTTCAGAGCTTTGGCTGGGATATGGCACGGGCCATGACAGGTCAAATGGGTCTGTTTACACCTACTTCTGGAGGCAACCAGGCTCTCTACAATGCCATCGCCAAGGATCTAGGCGAGGATGTACTCTACTCGAGCACGGTGACCAACAGCCACCGCACCAATTCCAGCGTCCAACTTACTGTCCGAAACCACAAGACCGGAAAGCTCACCCAGATTGTCGCTCGCCGGCTCCTGGTTGCTATTGAGCCCACCGATGACAATGTAACTCCCCTGGATCTCAGTCCGTTCGAGCGAGACACCCTCGCCAAGCTCACATACTCCAATGAGTTCACGGGCCTGGTTGACAACTCTATCTTCAACACGAGTTATTACTACTTCAATCTGCCTTCGTCCGCGGCGCCAAACCATACACTCGTCTTTCAAGATGAGCCAATGGTTGCGAGCTTCCAGTACACCGGCCTTGAGCACTTATTCCGTGTAATGATCATCGGTAACAAAACCACCACCAGTAGTGAAGCCAAGTTCCTTGCTCAAACAAGCTTCGACACTTTGCTGAATACTGGTCGTCTATCGGGAACTGAACTCCAGACCCAGAAGCTTAACTGGGCTGCTTTCTCTACACATGGACCAATGCACGCGCGCGTTTCCGTTGATGAGGTCAAAAATGGGTTCTTCCAAGATCTGTATAAGTTGCAGGGAGCTCGCAGTACGTGGTGGACGGGTGGTGCCTTTTCGGTCAACTTCCAGACGAAGTTATGGGAGTTTGATGAAGGTCTTATTCCAAAGATACTTGAGGGGCTTTGAAAGTCCATGTCTACCGTGCTACATGAGAGGTATGACTATCGCACCCAAGAGATTCTGAGATATCGAGACATAGGAGAATCGGGCTATGATATACGGCACATGATAGAGTATGAGTCTCGTTATACGTCTACAAAATCATATCAGCTGAGATCTATTGACCACAAGTGCATCGCTACCAAAAAGGTACTTTTTCTTTCAAAAGACTGCGTAGAATTCCAAGCTGCAATCAAAGCATACTGATTTACACTGACATAATATGAGCATTGTTTGGATGTAGATGCCTGGTCTGCCAGGCAGCACGTTAGTGACTATATTTCTTTCTCCCTTCTTCTTTCCCCTTTCTCCTTTCTCCATTTCCATTCTTCCATTTTATACTAAGGTTTTTCTCTTCATACACTGCCCAGCCAAGCTAAAATAGTCACCATATTTGTGTATCTTTCCATCCATCTTCTAGTATTAGAATACAGGTCACGCTACAGCTTGCCTGGCTTGTCAAATGCCCCGAAGGAAAACTGATTCGAACAAGAGCCTCGACAACCGAATCTCTATATAGAGACCTCAGTCTCATACGAATGGCCCACTGATTTACGGAGCGGTGCCAGCGAGCCTGAAAAATCAGGTCAAGCAGATCATGTTCCAGGTAAGCTTCTATATGGACGGGCTGCACACGCGGCACACGATATATCTGATTGGTGGTGGAATTTAGCCAGAGAATTGCCGCTGGAGATGGATCTTCAAGCTGTCTCATAAATGGAAATGAGAGTTCAATACTTTTAGTATTCTGCTGCTCCCTGATGTGCTGGCTGGTATAGACATCAGCACACAAAACATACGACGTCGATTGTCACGGACAGGAGGTATACTTCGCATTATAAAACCACACACCGGTACGATCATTGCCTATATCCTATTCTGGAAAGAAAGATGTCCATTTGCAGCCGTTGGGCACACGATAAGATGTATATGGAAGGAGGAGACTTCAAAGATGGAGAATACCCACCCTAAGGTAAATGATAGCGAAGAGTCAATGAGAATGAGTTAACAATATCAATGGCTCTAGTTGCGCCACCTGGTGTTATTGAAATAGGGAAGGGGCTGCTAGCAATTTTCGAGCAAGATGGAGACGAAATCGGAGATAGCGAACCCGAAAATAGCGAGACCGAGAATTATAGCAAGAGAGAAGATAAACACCAAAGAGAGCATAGGTGTGATTCCGATGACGAAGAAGCTCTCTTGTCAGAGGGACAGGAAACTTCCTCTACTATGGATATAACAGCCACTTATCTGAGGACTCTTCCAAAAGCCAAGAGAAGCTCCGAAAGTTTAAGGTATACCAAATGTTGCTACTCATGCTCTATTGCTAACCCTGGGATGCAGCGGTTCTGATCGAAGGCCTGCGAACATCGGTTACAACTATTTAGATTCATAATTCCAACGACGACCTACTCCATTGAGCTTACATGAAACCTAATTAACACGAGCCTATGAGGAAGCCAAAAAGCTACATGATGAATAAATCACGGCATCTTCCAACGTTCCATGGGCGCCGGGCTGGGTCAACGAAAGCCTAGGCATTACATCTACGTCTTGCTTCGCGTAGGTGACTGTGTGGCATGTATCATTAAACATTTGATGTGACCTTGAAGGATAGCAATTTTTTTTCATATGATGGCTCAAACGTTTGGGACAATCGAGGCATAGTTTTACCAAGTGCACGGGGGCGAAAGACAACCAAGAGAGATACTTGCTCAACCAATCAACAACGCTAAAATACACACTGCGTGCACCAATTTTTGAGGACGTATGATTAGACCATTTTGCTGCGATAGCAGGTGATGAATAGCCCTGGAATATAAGAAACTAAGTCAATTCAAGTCAATCTTCACCCTTCCTTCCCTTCGCCCAACATCCCTAGTGATTGCCATAAAGATACGTTTCTGGATAGTTGTTCCTACTGTGAAACTCGCACACTATATGATTCTCCTATGTCCCACCTGGACCCCCTAGGGCCTTAGACTTGGATTCTGCCTAGCATAATAATACATAGTATTCTACTTGGCAGCTACCACCGTCTAACTTACACACTACTATATAGTGGAGTTTCGTAGCAAGTTTAGAACCTAGACTTAACCCCGAGAGATATTATATAGGCCATCCAAAAAGACATCCAAAAATACACCTAAAAATGTATTTATAAGCTACTCATGATGGGTTTAGTACGATTTAGCCCGTTAGGCACAGATCGAAGGCCCTAGGGAGCACGCGCGGAAAATCTAGGGGATTGCAGCAGCCTTTCCCTTTCACATTTATCTGCCCATATTCATGGATATGGCTACAAGGAATAGGTCCATATGGATCTGCTTATTTGACAGATCTCCGGGATTCCGTTATCAAGATATCTGCAAGGCTTTCTACAAAGATGCTTCAGCGAAACGATGAATGAACGACTGCAAGGTCATAAATGAGGATGTTGTTTTTATAATCGTCAAAGTAAGAAGCTTACCCCAAGCTTTCATTTCATTACTCAAGGACTGTTTCAAGTATCCCATGATGTATTAACGAGAACGTCGTCCCCAAACCAGTCAACCCACAACCATAAACCATAACTTCTTAGATAACGTTCATAAACCCTCCACACATACTCCCTAAAGCTTCGCCTTCGCCATCCCCTCCTCCGAAAATCTATAAACAACATCCCCAAAAGCCCCCGTCGGAAAAACATAAAACCACCTCAAATCCCCACTCCCAGTATTAACAATCCCATGCTCCGCATCACCAGGGATAAACACCGTACTCCCTGCATTCACTTTACTAACCACCCCGTCAATAGTGACTTCCCCTTCTCCCTCGAGGATATGGTATATCTCAGCCTGGACGTGCCGGTGTGCACAGAGGTGTCCTGTGCGAGGAGGGCAGACGGCGATGCCGGCGGAGAGGTCTGATGTTGGTGTGGTTGGTTGCGAGATTAGAGTGTGCCAGGATAGGGTGCCGTTTGCGGGAGTTGGGAAGGATTCTGGGGGTGTGGTTGTTGTATATGTTGAAGGGATTATGGTTGCTCTTGTTTCTGGGTTTGGATTAAGTGTTGGGTTTGAGGATTGGGAGGGCATGTTGGTGAGGTAGAGATGCGGGTCCATGGGATCTTCTTTGCTGGAATGCTAGATCGCCCTGTAGTAGATATAGAGCAGTAGAGCGATAGTCTTATTAAATAATGAGAAACAGATTGTGTCAAATCTATTTGGCGAAAGAATCATTTCATATCGTGCTTGGATTGCGATTTTATATACTTCCCCTCGGAGACCCACAATTCGAGAGGACTGATATACCTAAAGCAGTATGACATTCCAGAATCATCAGCCCCCACGCATCTCGGCCGGCCCAGCGGATGGGAGGGGCGAGTCGGTGTCTCGAGGCTTGGAGTTGTCTCGATGTAGATAATACAACTTTAGATTGCGTACTGGAAGTTTGAAGCATGGACCGTTTCGCCAGTCCTATTTGGAAATTGAGCTACCACTGTATCCATGCATGTCAGTGAGCAGCATAACGATCCAGGTACTGGTACTAGTTAAGTGTGTCTGAGCTAGATAGTCTTTACTCCACTCTTAGAATAAAACAGCAGTAGATTCACTCCTAATGAGGATACAAAAACCCCCTTTGCTAATGTTTTTAAAAATAATTACGAAGAAAAGAAAAACCCAGGGATCCAGGAATCAGAACCAGAACCACGAAATATCAATTCAGCGCAGAAAAGTAAGAAAAAATGCAAGCCCTCCTGAGCACTACCAAACAACTCAGGAATCAAAGGGACGGGGGTATGTATGTAGCTGAACTGCCGAACAGAACGCGGGGGGAAGACAATTGGGGGACACAATCATCAAGACCGTGATTGAGACCGGCATTCATCATCTGTCAGAGCAGACAAGTAACAGGAACACGAACAAAAGCATGAGCATGAGCATGATCGCGGAAAGGGCATACGAGGCGTGAAAAGAAGAAGCAAAGGTCACACAGAGAAGAGGGAAGAGGGAAGAGGCAAGTTGCAAATCAAGATTGAAGTCAAGATGAAGCCAGAAACCAAAACCACCACCCGGGCAGAGAGATAGGGAAGAACATAACGTGGCGCGTTAAATAAAAACAAGGTATTTGGGGGAAACGTAAGAAGAGAGAACCGTAAAGGGAACAGGACTAGATAGGACCCCCATAACTCTGCTGCGGGCTACCAAGACCATGTATACAGGGACAACATGTACAGGACAAGGGACAAGGACACAAGATTTATGCCGGATCAGGACTCCATGATCATGCAATGAGAGACGAAAGGGGAAAGAGAGAGAGAAAACAAAAGGAGATACGTAATCACATGTCAAAATTATCGTCAACGTTGAAGATCCCTGGCTCCGTTCCGTCCGTCTTCTGAACACCGCTCATGCGCTGATCGTTCGAGTTGGTGGCCCGGTGCGTCCGCTGCCACGAGTCCTCGTGCATGGGGTCCTCGTCCATCCGGTCAGCAGGGTCGTGCTTAAGGTGATGGTCAATAGAGCTCTCGTTCACGAAAGTGAAGCCCTTGAAATTGGCTTGCATGCCGGGAGAGAGGGGGGTAGATCCGGGCATCAAGCCATTAGCGAGAGCGGCGGCGCGCTCATGCAGGGAGTTGTTAGTCTCCAGGGCGTTGGTGAACTCTGGGTCGAAGTTGGAGGTATCGGTATCGGATTGCAGCTTGGGTTTGAATGGAGGGATGACCTGCTTGCGGCCCAGCGCCTCCCAGTCAACATCATTGAAGAAGGGGTGTGCCATGAGCTCCTTCGCATCGCCATTGGCACCAAGTCGGTGCTTGGGATTCCGGTTCAGCAGACCCTTGACGAAATTTCGACCCTCGGTGCTGAGCGCATCACGGGGGAACCGCACTTTGCCAAAAGCAATGTTCTTGTACATTTGCTGGGTATCCTCGGCGTAGAACGGACTCCAACCGCAACACATCTCAAAGACCAAAACTCCCAACGACCAGAAATCAACCATCTTGGTGTATCCTTGCTCATCCAGCAAGACCTCCGGGGCAAGATACTCGGTGGTACCACAGAAAGTGTTGGTAGTGTCGTTTTGGCTCAGGTTAGCCTTGGAAAGGCCAAAGTCACACAGGGCAATGTGACCGTTTGCATCAAGCAGGATATTCTCCGGCTTCAAATCACGGTACACGATATCGTGATCGTGCAGATGCTGCAGTGCCAAGATCAACTCGGCAATGTAGAATTTGGCACGGGCCTCCTGGAAGCGGCCCTCTCGTTGAAGATGCCAGAACAGTTCACCGCCAGACATGTAATCGGTGACCAAGTATAGATCCGTGGGGGTCTGGAACGAGAACTTCAGTCCAACAATAAAAGGCGAAGCCGTCGTTGCAGTGCGCACGAGGATGTTGCGCTCGCCCAACGTGTGTACCACCTCCTTCTTTTGGATAATCACCTTCTTCGATAGAACCTTCATGGCATAAATCCGCTCGGTATCCTTCTTCTTCACCTGGTAGACCTGGCCAAAGGTTCCCTTGCCGATAAGCTTCAGAATGTGGAAGTCACTGGGGCCCACCTGTCTGCGCTCCGTCATCTCGAATCGCATCTGCAGATGGATCTCACCCGACACCTGGCTATCCCCGGCAGCACGAGCAACCAGAGGGAACCAGCCTTCCAGTCGGCTGTGATCTTCCTTCAGGTTAATGGCGAGGCGCACATGACCCAGGAACGCCTCTTGGTTACTGCGGTCGTAAACGGTAACATCGACCTCGGACTGGTCGCCAAGTACATCACTACAATGGACTGTTAGCGAAGATGGGAATTGAAACAAAGGGGACGTGGGGGCAAAACGCTTACAAGACCGCCTCATGATCCCAATGGGGATCCGTCACGGGGGTTCGGCCCTTGTGATCGTGGCCGTCCAGAGCACTGTTGTAGCTACTTTGGCGGCTCTTCATCGGAATGGCCATGGGAATCCCAGCCTCGGCATCCGACTGCATTTGCCGCCGTTTCTTCTCCTCTTCCCCAGTTCGAGCACCCTTGGAGATATACTCATTCCACTCGAAGACGCAAACGACGTAGGGATCGAAACTAGCCCGCAATCCGCGAGCCTCGGAAATCTTCACAAACAGTTTTCCCTTCAGCGGTCCCACGGGAGCTCCATTTTGCGGGGAGGCGGTGGATTGGCGAGGGAAAGCCTCGTCGAGCTTCATGGCGATTTCGTCGGTGGAACTGTCCATACCATCCGAGTGTGGTTGTTGCTCTTGCCGTTGCTGTTCCTCTTGCAACTCCTCGGATCCGCTGGCGTGCGGGGCGGAGGTGACGGACTTTTTGTCGGCCGATTGGTCCTCGTTGGACATGGCCCGGGGAGTCAACGGCGGGGTATTCTTGAGACGCACCCCATCGGGTGCGTTTCCAGTCAGCTTGGCAAGATTCTCGGAAGATATAGAAACATGCGGCATCTCGTGGTCGAGTAAGGGAGCTTCGGAAGGGCAGAAAGCATCTGAAGAAGCAGAAGGAATAGATGGATTGGAGAAATGTGAAGCAAGAACGGGGTCATCAGAGACGCTGGAGACTGGTAGGGAAGTTTGACGGCGAGAAGGAGGGGCGGTGGTGGGCGGGGCGAGATATTTCTTTAAAATATGAAATATCGAAGACCCGTCATTCTTCTCGAGACTCGACGCAAGGTCCATCTCGTCCGACTCCTGTTGGAGTAAAGAATGCGGCGGAGTGGGCAAGTTGGTAGAAGGTATCACCTCCATCTGATCAGACCCCTCTCCATCCTCCCGCTCCATCATAACGAAGGACTCGGAGGAAGTGCCCGGGTGATGAGTGGTGGTGGGAGAGGTGGAAGGTGGGGGTGTTTGTGATGGAGAGGGGTCGGAGGAAGATTTCGAGAGATATGACCAGAATCGAGGCAAATTCGCTTTATCACCAGAGAAAGAACCAACCTGGAAGTAGTTATGCATGATGGAAGGCAGACGCTTGTCCGCGGGATCGGGCTGAGGGGTTGCGATGCCCGTAGGAGTGGACCCGTTTGACCCAATCTGGTCTGGGATGTCGTCTTCGGGGCTGGAGCTATAAGGGTGGACGAGATTAGCATTCGCCATGGTCAAAAAAGTGTGTGCAGGCAACGGAGCGCTGGGGTTGAAATCGCGATTTATATCGAGACATAGATCAACGATCGGTCATTTCCAGATCTTTCCAAGATCTCCACGTGCGACCGGGACGATCCTTCAGATTCCTTTCTTTTTTTGCAGGAAAGGTCCGGTTAAGTCCAAAGTCGGCGGAGGAGAGCGAAGGCTGGATTTCAACCAAAACCATAGGATCTTGAGTTCTGTATAGACCGGAGTAGGCCCTCTTTGAGACAAGGTCTGCAGGGAATGATAGTCCATGCAATGCGGTGTGAGGGGAGAGGGGATGGCGGACCCTCTTTTTTGAGCAACCCTCGAAGTCCCGAGACCGACTTTTTCCTTGAACTTCCCCCGCCACAAAAGTCGGCCTGGATGGGGGGAGAAAGAAAAGAGGGAAGTGGAAGAGGTGGGAAAAGGGTAAAGAAGTGACGAGTTTCAGAGCAGCGTGACTCACTTGGGCGATTTCATGTCGCCGTCGGCGTGCAACTCAGTTCCACTCGCAGCAGCCATTGCGTTTCCATCAACGAGACCTCCGCCAGAAGATAAGAAGGCGAGGTTTGGGGTGGGGGAAGTGGAGGAGGAGAGGAAGAGAAATGGCGATGACGGGGATGTAGTGGTGGTTGAGGGGAGAAAAAAAGAAACTTTGACGCCGCCCGATGATGAGCTAAGGGAGATTGCGGGATGGGAGTCCCCGATCGGCTTCGGCTCTCCGGTCGTGGGGATCTAGTAAGTAGTGTGATAGGAAACCCCTCGGTGAAGATAGCACTGGTGATTCAAAAAATAATAATAAATTAAGAAGATGTCTCGAGTTCTTTCAAGTAGAACTTCGAAAAGACTCGAGTGGACTCGGATGGTTTTAAGCAGGTCGGAACCAAAGAATTGTCCCCCGCCAACGTGGGAGGAGATTCTTCATTCGGCCATTGGGCTCTTTATTCTCTTTTTATTCTCTTTAGGGAGACGGGGGCTGTGGCTACGAGTCAAACACTAGGCCAAAGACCTGAAGAGAAAAAAAAAGGCTGACCATCAGCTGAGTGCAGGTGGGATTGGTTTAGAATAAGACGGGGGGCGTTTTCTATGGAAAAGAAAAGTTCTTTGTATAGAGAGTGACATGGTTGATAGAAATTTAATTAGTAGTAGTTCAAAGAAACCACAAGCCATAGTCATATCTTTCGTCATTCGAGACATACTTATCCTTCTCTCATCCTTTACCTGTCCGATCAGCTCGCCCTCTCTTTCCCACGGCCAAATCCACCAGTCCGGAGAGCGACCGAGCCCCAAACTCAGCAGACCGGCAGGGAGGCAAATCCCTCAAAGTGGAGATCAAACCAACCAGAAAATGGAGGGCGAGAAAAAAGGGCATAACCCAGATCCAAAGAATGTCAAGGCAAACCCTGGTGGAGCATTTTAGCTGTCCCCCTCAAAGTGGCGGACTGATTATTCCTGTTCGGTTACTCCGTATACTCCGTCAAGACTATACAGAGTACAGTACATACTGTTCTGCATGGGACGGAGTATTATTGAGCGTACCAGCCAGCCAATAATAGATGTGGATTTTCATGGGAAAATAATTGGCAATTATTTGAGTTATTCAGCTATTGAAATTAACTATGATGATTACTACTCTGAAGATCATTGTTTAAATTGATTATCGTTTTATTCTTTCATTATTGGGGATCATCCAATAGATGCCCACGATTTGCATCAGCCACGGTCGAGCACAGAGCATCAAGAAAAAAAACCTAACAAGTTCTTGTCGTATTTCTCCCCAAAACACGACAAGGCTGATCGAGAAGAATCAGCATATGATGGCCGCCTAGAATCCAGATTTATCGAGTCCTTGAAGCAGAGAGAGACACCTGGGATGCCTATCAGCAGAACTGCAGGTGTTCATGTGCTAACTCGACAAGAATAGCACGCAATGAAACCTATATTCCACCAACTCATAAGCTCTACAAGGCTTGCATACACATATTTGAACTCTTTTCTTTCATTTTGTTAACTTTTTCTTCGCTTCCCTTATCGCGTATACCTAACCGAATGCACGAGAATCTCCGCCATCTCCGCTTTGAGGGGCGGGGTACAAAGTACAGTATGTACTCGGTAGATTCTCGTCTCTCAAATGGTGGGGACCCTGTCACAGTCCGATTCTCAATCTTCGGGATGGAGACTCGACCCCATGGCACCTCTTCCATATCCTCTTTCTTCTTCCCTGACAGCCCATGGATATTTACCTCGTGTAACCATGATCGATTCCGATCGGCAATTCCCATATTACTAAAATAATCGCGATCGTGCGGCGCCCAGCTTCGTGCCGGGCCTTCCCCTTGCATGGAAGAAGGTAACTGTCCATCGCTACATTCCTTCCAGTCGTCGTAGCCCTCCCGTGCCCAATCCCCGTGGCGCTTGAATTACTTCCGCGTCTTTTTTGGGGGGCGGTATGTGGTCCATTTCGGACTTTATGTGCGGTAGCTTCGATAGGCTGCGGGCTTTCTCATGGTAGTTACCCAAAGAGTAGGAGACTATTGAAGTGCAGACGCCCGGTGATCTCCACTAATTGCGTCATGGCCCACCTTGAGGGGGTCCCTAAGCTTATACCAGTTCGAGCTGGATGGATGGATGAATTAGGCGGAGGTTGTGGTCATGTACATACCACAGAAAATGATGCAAGCTTGTTACAGTATGATAGAAATTGTGAGGGAGGATCATGAGTAGTGGGCTAAAAAGGGACAAAGCAACGCTGCTCTATGAGCTGTGGAAGATGTTGGTCCGTTTGGAAAGTAAATTCATCTCTAGGGCGGGGGAGGATCTGCGTCTGCCCCTCATCGTGTCCTCTCCCACGAGGGGAAACGAACGGGATATCGATATCGTATCGGAAAACGGATCCTGAGATCTCGTTCGCTGATTGACCAGGGTAAGAGACATGGTACGTGAGTTCTAATTCTTGGGGTGTTCTCTACTATAGTCTAGGATCGCCGTGGTACCTCAATCGCTACTTTAGACAGGGGACATTCAGAGTTGATATTAGGTCAGCTAATTCCACGGTACTAAAATCTACGAAGATCTTCCAAGTTCCTCGGGCTCTCCGAGGTAGTGCCTCAGCATGCCAGTCCTCGCGACAGTACGGAGTGCTCTCCTTTACTAGCCACTAGCTATGTACCTCCTTACTACCTCGTTGGTCCTGCACGCCAGCGGCAAAACATCATCTGCATGAATAATGCCTACCTTAGTAAATCCATTGACCTCAAACTTGGAATTGAAAATAGCGACGGAGATTCCTATTCGCAGGTCATCTGTCAGTTGTCATGCTGTGCCACGATCGCCAGCCGCGCAGCAATGCAGCCATGTTTAGCCCTGCACCCGACTCTCTTTCCGAGGCTACTGAGAGGAGGTCCGTTGCCGCTGCATGCAAAGGACCCGACAGACATTTCTGGAAGCGTTGAGCAGCAAAGGACCCTTGGATTGGCTGATAAGGGTGCAGAATGACATATTTGACAGGAGGGCTTGCTGTAGTGTCAAATGTCGACGCAGCATGCTCAGGTCTCAGATCCGAGCCAGTAGATCACAGTATATTTGGTCGGGTCTAAGCGGTGATGAAGTTCTTCAAAGCAGGTTTCTTCTGACTACTGTAGTTAGTCTAATAGGAGGGAAGGACAGGGATGACTTGGATATAGAGTTGCATGTGATCATGACTCTGGCAGCAAGCTGTCTGTAGATAATGCCTATCATGGTACATAGTATATGCTCAAACTATTACTGCGAAGCATGACGAGAAGGGTCCAGCAAACAACCACAATGATAACCAATAATGGCAGCTTAAAGGAGTTCAAAAATGTCTCTGTACATAGCTAAGGGTATTAAAGCCGGCACACACAGCCAGTCATATCATGTCTTCGGAGGTTAGCTCTCCGGTAGGGCAGCTGCAACAGTTCAAAGTAAGTGATTAGAACCCGTGCTAGCAGCCACACTAAACAGTGCTAAAGCACGATCCCTTCGGGAGAGAACGGCGAGCTAGTTAGCCGCCCGGTGAACCTTTCTGGTTGAAGTAGGCTAATCTGTATGGCAATCCCGAGCATGAGCTCATCGTGCCGCAATGATGAATTTGTAACCCTCCCTGTGCTGTTGTTCTATACTCCAGTTACACAATAATCATTGACTGCTGGTAATCAATACTACAATGGGGAGGCTGTGTTGAGTCTAGAATCATGCCCCAGGCCTGCTGATCCACCGTGCTGGAGGCAACCCGCTGCCCAAGCTCATCGAGGAGGAGGGGTAAATTGACGTCATGGGAAGGGGAGGGCTCAGGGCTGATCACATGCCCTGGATCGACATATATCACGTGAGACTGGAGCCTCCAAGGCGGTGAAAATTAATGCCACATTCACGTGAGATATATACCCTCACGTGATCATATCGGAATCATTGGTTTTGCCAAAACAGCTCGCCGTTTCAACACCGGACGGATATCGCCTTATGCATTGAGCCCCCACGAGTTATTGCCAAAATGCCTCGAAAGCTCAGGGCGGCTGCCCAAGCGGCTGCCAAGTCTATGAGTAAGTGCCCTAGATCGATAAAGCTTTCAAAGCCACCCACTTTATAACTTCAATTGCCCCTGTGAAACGCGTTGCGACTAACTAGATCCCCCAGAAAATGTTCCAACGTTACCAGACCTTTCGGACGAGGAAATGGTAGATGCGCCTCCGTCGCAGCCCTCGTCGCCTCCCATTGAAGAACCAAATTCCCCCGATGACGATCCCGATGTGGAGCCCGAAGCCGACGACCAAGACGCGGATGAAGCGCAGGCCGACACGCCAGGCGAATCCAAGGGGGAAGAGAATAACGCCCCAACTCCTGCTGCCGAAGACACCACGCAGATTGAAGGCGACGCAGACACACCTACTCACGCTATTGGTCGTCCCGCTATCCCGCGCAAACGCCGTCTCGGTCGTCCCCCCAAGAACCGCCCACCAGACTGGGATGCGCCAGATGGCTCCCAAACCCCGATTCGCGTCACAACTCCTGTCAAGCGCCGACGAGGTCGCCCCGCCGCAAGCGGTGGCCGCTGGGCACGTAATCGCGGACCAGTCCACAACACCCAGGTCCCCGTCGACAAGGAAGGAAATATGATGGATGTTATTGGAGATGAAGTCGCACTCCCACCAAACCCGGTGGGTGACAGCAAGGTCGACGAGAATGGTCATCTCCTCGGAGGCCGCGAATACCGTGTCCGCACATTCACCATCCTCAACCGTGATGACAAGCTTTACATGCTGTCAACCGAGCCAGCGCGATGCATCGGTTTCCGAGATTCGTATTTGTTCTTCCAAAAGCATAAGATGCTTTATAAGATCATCATTGATGACGATGCCAAGCGCGACCTGATTGAGCGAGATATCATCCCGCATTCGTACAAGGGTCGTGCTATCGGTGTGGTCACGGCGCGCTCAGTGTTCCGTGAGTTCGGCGCCAAGATTGTCGTTGGCGGTAAGAAGATCTCCGACGACTATGATGAGCAAGCTGCTCGGGAGCGCGGTGATGTGGAGGGAGATTTGGCTGTCCCAGAGGACAAGCTCCCCGCTCCTGGAGAGCCATACAACCGCAATCAGTATGTCGCATGGCATGGTGCTAGTAGCGTGTACCATACGAACGCACCTTCGGTGCCAATGGCTGGTGGAAAGCCTCTCGATCCCAAGAAGCGCCGGATTCCGGTAACGGACGAGAATTGGATGCTTGAGCACGCTCGTGCTGCAAGGTGAGCCCTCATACATGAATCTGCCAAGCCAGTATCAACTGGAAGACTCTTTATACTGACCTGACCAATCTAGCCAATTCAACTCCAAGCTCGTTGAGATCCGCCGCGAAACAATGGACGGCATTTACGACGTCCACACCAACACCATGCAATACCCGCAAATCATGCAACCAACGCACGCTCGCTGGGAGCGCGTACCACCCTCTGACGTGCGCACCACCGCCGAGCTCATGTCCACGCTCAGCATCACGAACAAGAAGTCTACCACAGACACACAGTCTGCATCTGCCGAGCCCACTGATTCCACCGACAAGCCTGACGAGCAGACCGAAAACACCACCATCTTCCCACCCGTCGCCTCCCACATCTCCGACCGCTACGTCGTCACAGACATTGTCTACGAGGCACCTCCATATTCTAATATGGGCGTTCCCGGCCCAGACGGTGACCTGCGCAATTTGAACTCCAATGGTCTGGCCAGCATCGCCAATCCCAAGCACCCGGAGTTCATGACGCCCGAGATCCTTGCTCTTCTACCTGATGACTGCAAGGACGCCTTGATCGATGCAGCAGCCCGTGAGATCCAGTGGAAGTCGAAGTGGAACACCGAGGCTCAGGATGGTATGCGCGCACAGCCGTCAAAAAGCTACGCTTGGTACCCTTGAAGCTGAAGCGAAGCACACGCTTCAACCCTTCCGAAGGTATCTGCAGTCTTACTCGCTCTCCCTTTCGTTTCACTTTCGCTTTTGCTTCGAATCTTTCTCGTTCTAAATGGAGTCACGTTTTCTTTTCCATGGAGGCGTGATCTGCTACGGGTGATGGGCTTTGCTTTGTTTTTCTGGATGACGGTTTTGTTTTTGGGTTTTTTTTTCACGGATTTAGCATGGGAATGGGTGTGGATTCAATTCAATCATGGCGGGAATTTCAAAAACATGCCATGGGAGTTTTCTTTCTTGGGAAATGCTATTACCTATTTTTCTTCTTCCAAGACTTGAGTTTTCTTGGTGCTTTTGGTAATAAGTATCAAAAGCCGTATTGGCTAGCTGTGTTCTGGGCAGTGAAGCGTGTTTACCGTACTTCTGGGTTTCTGGCTCGATTTGACCACTAGATGCTTTTGTATGACCTTGTTGAGATATGAGAGTAATGGATAAGTCTGATAGGGCATCTCTCATGGCGGTTCTGACGATTATGAACTGTCCATTGACCCTGTATTCATTCCTGATTTATACTCAGATTCCGCCTCTCGAGCTCCCGTGCACAGAAGGCTAGCCTAGTAGGTACGATGCCATGAACTATGACCGCTCAAATTCTACAGAGCCTCCAGGGATGGAATAGGTCCGATGTAGGGGTATGAAAGATTAACTATATTGCAAGTCCTTACATAGATGTAACATATCTAAAACGAGTCAATTATGAGAAGTGAATCAGTGACCAAAGAGAACGAACAAAGTAGAAAAGAAAAGAGCACAGCAGACTCGGTTGGTTTGCTGCGTCATTTAAGACGGGAACATATGAGGTAGGTGGGAGTAGAGCAATCGCGATCTGAAGAGAGGTTCTGAGCCATATTGAAAATGTATAAGGGAAAGAGAAAGAACATTCAAGTCAAAACACTTAGCGCCAGGATACGTGGGAAAAAAAGGAAACGAAATACAGGGCTTGCTCGCAAGACAAAAAACGGAGATAGAAAAGCATCCAATGCATGGGTGATGAAGACAGGAAAACCCCCTCCCCCGCACCAAGAGAGACGAGACAAAGAGGATGTGCAAATGTGTATGTTAATATTCAAGAACCGGGGACTGGCTACATGGCCATCTCGGCCCTGAGCTTGGCCAATTCGGCATCCTCGTCTTCTTCCTCGGTTGCGTGTGGCTTGTTGACTGTTTGTCATTAGTACGGCGCTCCTTGATGACCATCGTAATAGCTTAGGGTATGTGAACTTACGCTCCGTATTTCCAGCAGCGGGTAGACCCTCCAACCGAGTTCCCACCGGCGTAGGTCCAGTGTTGAGCATGCGCTCGTCCATCGCCTCCTGCTCCAATCCCTCCAACTCGGCGTCCAACTCTCCCTCGTCCATCTGCTCGCCCAGCGGGATGTTCGTGATGGCGTCGCCGATCTCCTGGCTGAGTAGATGTTGTTCTCGGAGTTTGTCCCTACAAGAAAATAATCAGCAAACGTACCCTTTCCCAGATTCCACGTCTTCAATTCAGGGTCGCTCGTCTCCCGGGCACTCATCACATACATCGTCTCGTCAACCTGTTCCAGACTCATACCGCCATGAATCTGCTTCATAGCGTCACCGGCCGACTTCATAGCCTGGAGTGTCTCGTGGTTGATATTCGCCGCCTCGATCGAATAAATCTGTTGCTCGAGCTGGACGACCTGCGCCGAGGTCTGTTCCAGGTTCTTCTCATGCTGATGTTTCCGTCGCAGCGCAGCTTTCGCGGCTATAAGATTCAAGAAAAAACAATGTTAGCCCTTATCGCCCGTGTAGATTGGTATGCACGACCCGACTTCAAACTTTGTTTTGCGGGGTCCCGGGTTGAAGCACTGTACCATTCTTATTCGTAGCAACGTGTTTCCGCGCTGCGGCGTCTTGCTCCGCGATCTGGTTCTCCAGGTGCTTCTCGCGCTTCTGTAGCAAATCTAGCTGTGCCCGGAGACCGAGGATAGCGTTCTTAGGAGCATCCTTGCGCTTCTGAGCGGCGGCGCCGCCGCCGAACCAGGACCACATTTTTGCGGACGAAATGCGACTTGAGTCGGGGGAGATCTAGTGGGTGGGTGGGTAGGCGGTTGTTTTATCAAAGCTGATCAGGCAGCACTGGTGCAGGGGTTCTCGCGGTGCGCCAGCGATGCGTGCGGCACGTCAGATGGCGGAGGTGGGTAGGGTAGGCACCAGGCAAAAGACTACCGCCGTGGCGATAGCGTGAGATCGAGGATGGAGTCAAAGAAGAGGTGAGGGGTTAATGAAAGAGTCGAGAATGGTGGCCAGGGCACAACAGCCTTAGGAATCACGAGTTCGCAGGCGTAGTCACGGATGAAGCCAAAATGGAGGGGAGTGATTCCCCTCGCTGGGCCGATGACATACGCTCGATACTGGTCACGTGGCACCCGCCTCAACTGGTCGACGACGGCTTCAATTTCTCTAGTTTTATTAGAGGAACTCCAAGCAAAACTGAAGACTTTCAGATTTGAAATCTTCCCTTCATCCTAGGGATGAACGGGCCGCGTGCCTCGATCCGGGTATTCCTCTGTGATCTCCCTTCTCTAGCGACTGATACGAAAGTCCGCTTTCTAGGCTGGTACGTCCGAGGAACGTATATATACGGCATACATCTAACATCTAAACATTAGCGTGAGGCAATATGATGTCAACACCGGCAATTTAATTCTGGAACACAATTATCCACGGAGCAAAAAAGAGGCAGAATCCGTCTCCGTGGATGTCAATGCCGTACTCGAGGACCTCACCTCGGAGCAGCTTCGAGTGGGCGCCTGGTTGAATGTGATAGGCTATATCCGAGATTCAGACGCGCCTACTCCGTCATTTTCATCGTCTCAGCTTAGCTCATCTCAACCAAATGAAGCCTCTGAGACTGTGACTGCTCCCGTTAAGGTTACACCTCGACCGGTGCATATCGACGCCGTGATGGTCTTTCCTGCGGGTGCTATCGCGCTGGGCGAGTACGAGCGCATTCTCCGCAATGCTCAAGACGTGGAGCAGCGCATGCGCTATACTGGGTGGTTCGAAACCACATTTTTACGAGAACTGAAACCAAATGCCTAATGATGAAACCAAATCATTCGTGATACATAATATTGGGATTAATGCATCTCATCGCCCATGCAAAAACTTTTAGCGGCCGATCTGTCGACCATCATCACTTTTCAAACACCTCCGATGCAAAGACAAATGGGTATCAGAGCACTTCAAGACCAAAAACCGAAAATTTCCCCGGGACAGTATTAGACATTATCACTCTGCTTCTCAACATCCTCCACAGACCCCTGCTGCGCCCTCGGCGTCTTCCTTGCCCGCTTCCCCTCCAACTTCTTCTTATCCTCCTGCATGCGCACAATCAAAGTACTCTTCATGCGGATCTTATGTCCATACTTATAAAACACGAACGGAATAGGCACGATAGCAACCTCTAACAAGCCCAGCAACGTGCCGGACCAATTCGCCCCAAGGTCAGCGTACATGTACGATCCCACCAGCGGCAGGACTCCGCCCAGTACACTCCGGATGACAGAGTTACCTGCCAGCGCGGACGCCGCGTACATGCCGTAGCTGTAGGTCAGGTAGTTGGAAGCGTAAATGAAGACACCCGTGTTGCCAGCGCCGAAGGGAATGCCGGCGAGCAAGGGGACGATCCAGTGGATCGAGGCTGGGGAGCAGGTCCAGGCGAACCAGAGCTCGCCGATGGGGATGAGTACGGAGCAGATGCAGACGAATGAGACCATTGCTTCGGGGTGGACGCGGCCGGTTTCTGGGTCCTTTGCGTGGCTGTTGATTAGGCGGCGGACGAGAGGTTCACAGGCGATGGTGATGAGCACACCAACGCCGATGCCGAGGAAGGCGAGGCCTGAGAAACCTAGGTCCCAGCCGCGGATGTCTTGGAAGACGATCGGGTATGCGGTGAAACAGAGGTAGAGGATGCCGTAGACGATGGCGATGTAGATGTTCCAGAAGATGCTGGAGAAGATGGTTAGTTTGGGTGTTGCATCTCTAAGAGGACGTGGATCAGATCTTACCAGATAGGCTCGGTCACAGCCATCACGAACGGCCGGCTGAGGTTCAAGGCCAGGACTTCGGACAGACTGGCCTTTTGGTCGTAGCGAGACCACCAGCGCGAGTCATCAGTCTCTTTGCGGAGTCGGGCTGCTTTCCTCTGTAGCAGCGTAGGCGCGTAGGTTTCCTTCAAAATCATAGCGAGAACCAAGGCCACAGCTGAGAGGATGAGTGCAATCCAGCACATCCAGCGCCAGCCCAGATACTGCGTAACAAAACCACCGATAACAGGGCCAAGCACTATATAATACCATCAGTCATGTTAAAAAAAACAGCAAGCTGAAAGAGCACAAACCTGGTCCGTTCAACGGCCCAATACTCCAAATCGAAATAGCCAGCGCCCGATGGTCATCATCCACCAAATCAGCCACCATACCCGGCGCAGTCGAAATCATCACACTTCCAAAGAAGGCGCCGAAAAAGCGGACAACGATCAAGGCCGTTACCGACTTGGCCAGGGCGCATGGGATAATCAGGACTGTGAATACGGCGAGACAGATTACGCAGACGGGCTTTCGGCCGTATACTTCACTCAACGGAGCCATGAACATGGAGCCGATGGCGAGACCGATTAGATAGAATGTTAACCCGAGGGTGACGATAGTGCTGGATTCGTTGAATTCCTCGCCGATAAGCTCGACGCCTGAGGTATAGGATGTTGAATAAAGGACGCTATTTGTTGTGTTAGAAATGCCCTCGTCTATTCGATGTCTCAAGTTTGCTCTTTCGTTCTCATGGCGGACCGAAACAGCAAAGAGTCAATTTGATACAAGGCAAACTCACACTATAAGCGTATTCCAAGACAAAAACAACAATCCCATAGCCTTATACCGCAAAGACCAGTTCTTCGGATTCTCAGGATCATCTTCACCATCCCAATCAACCTCAAAGTTCGGATCGGCCGTCATATTCGTCGGAATAGTCGTCACTCGCTCTGCGAGGGACATGTGATCTGAGACCCGCGATGTGCGCGCCGTCAACGTCTTGCCCAATGCATCATGGTCGGCCTCAGTATCTGCCGAAGAGACAGAAAGGATGGAGTCGGAGTCGCGTGATGTGCGCTCCGTGTTGCGCGGCCATTTCTCGTTCTCGCCGGAGGGTGAAGGGGCCTCTGTGGAAGAGGATGTTTGAGACGACATTCTTCTGGTTGATAATCGAGATTTGCTTATACAAAAGAGCCCCAGTGTGGAAGCTTATAGCTTCTTGTCCGGAGTGCAATGGGACCTTGTCCCCGGATGTGGCGTGGTATTTGGCGTTGTTAGGGCTGACTGCTTTCTGGCCAACGCCGCTGACGAGAGATGCTATCTCGTTACAAGCTCCCAAGGAACAACAGGAGTATATTCAAATACTCCGAAATCGGCGATTTTAGTCGTAGATTGTTCATCGATCACTGATCCAGGTCGACCATGTATCTACGGGGACCCAAGCAAGAAAGAACGACCACAGCGAGCCAGAGAAAGAAAGAAGAGAGTGTGAAATCGTTTGCAAGCACGAGGTCGTGACAAGCACTCTTTCTACCTCACCTGTGGACACTAGACAAGGAAATTTTTTGAATGACCACGGACCGGGTGGGGCATTGGAGAGCAATTGATAAGCCCAAGTTCTGTAACAACGAGGGTCAAAGCCTTGCAGGGCAGCAAGCAGGACGCAATTTGTGTGGATTGAGAGCCCAAAAGATGGGCCGAGGGGGGTTGATCTCGGAAAGCAGACCGAGGTACACGCCACTCGAGGCTTGAGGATATCCAGTATCTTACTTTACACTCTATAAAGTTATCCTATCTTATAATCTTGCCCATTATCTCCATTCTCCTCCCCCTCTATTCCAAATGGACTCCGTGGAGATGTTCCCCGTGGGTAAAAAAAGTCCCCATTAGGGCTTCCCGGCTGTCAAGTTGAAGCCGAGCACAGTCGCAACTCGGGAATCCCCCTTTTCCATTTGATGGTGGATACACCCGAGTGGATTACGGTCTTGCACTTAGCGTGCCGGTTTGCCGAATACACCATCCCCAGGTGCAATCACGATAAGTATGGGAACCAGGGGGTCAACGAGTCGTAGAACGTAGCAGAACGTAGAGACATTGTACTTGGGGTTTCCCTGTTAAGGCCAAGATGCGGGGGTTTGAGTGTTCGGGGTTCGTTGCGATGGAATTCTGGGCAAGCGGGGAGTGGACAGAGTTTTGGTAGGACTGCAAGTGCCGGGATACGTTGATATCGAGGTCGGGCCACTTTACGGAGAGGTTTTCGGGTTAAACAACCTTCCGGACGGCATCATTTGGTTAAAGTGGGCCATGGCATGCCGATGGATTGTTCCGAATACTCGCGAGATTTGACGTTAAGAGAAAAGTGCGATCTTCATGAAATGAGCAATTGATATCGGCAAGCGGAAAGACGGAAATGATTCCGTGGCGGGAGATTTCTGCGTGTGCAGACTTTTGGTGGCGCAAGGATAAAAGCTCCGACATGGTCAGTTCAGAATGGATCGAGATCTAGCAATAATTACATCACAAAGATCTCTGCAGAGAAGCTATTGAATTATTTTGGACTGGAAATGTTATTATTTTAGAGGTCTTTCAAATGATTTTTAAAGATCATATATCCTGTACTGCCCTCTACGGAGACAGTTGTCCAGTTGTCCATGTCCATTGTCCCCATGCTCCGTAGTCTACTATGATCTACTGTATGATCCATGATCGAGAAGACTGTATTTTGTTTAAATAATCTTCATGCTGATTGATATTATAGGATAATCAAGAACTGTATATCATTAGGAATACCTAGGTCTAGGTGATGTAATGATATCTCCGGTTCAACCTCGGGGCCTTCATGGTGATAAAGTGGACCGGGCTGACACTGGCCAGACCATCCCAGACCATCCAGTCCATTCGAACTTCGCTAAGAAACTTGTCTAGCGTCCGACCTTAAAATCTTAAAAGACCAACTGGATCCTCCCCCCTCGCTGTCCCATTCCCGATTAAATTTCAAGAGACTGCTCGCTTCCATTCCCCCCTCGTGGCCGCGCATCGAAGTATTTTCGGGGAAACCCACGTTGCGGCCAGCCAACCACAGCCACCGACGGGCCTCGTTTAGAACTAACCGAACCGACTAAGCTCTAAGCGACCCTGCAAAAAAACAATAAACCCCAGTTTTCCTTCTCAACATTGCGTCGATGGGTCGTGGCTCGCAATACTACCAATGATGGGAAACAGGACAGGTCGCTTCGAAAGATGGAGGGTTTTTGGACTACTTGACAATAAAATGAAATATGATTCTGCTGTTCTGCAAAACTATCGTGTTCTCTCTCTTTATTGTCTCCTACTAACTACCTTCCCCCCGAACTATACCCGTTTGCTGCAGAACACCAAAGTCTACGCAATTCAAGCCACTGGACCGTTTCGTGTTGACCACGCCTGTTGCTCTCGGACACTCTCCGCGATCCTGGAGTTTCCCCCGTAATCGCTTCCTCTTGACTGTTTTTTGCTTGGGGTCGATCTGCAAACCTGTACTGCATACTTCTGTGAACACCAGGAGCGTGCCCTGTGCACCATCTCGAGCTTCATATTCGCCGAAGCTCGATCTCTACACCCGATCCGACCTTTAGATTGTTCGCTTCGAACGTGGATCAAATCGAGTCGCGAATTACACACCACAGCTATGATATCCATTATCTTCACCTCTCTCGGCGTCGCTGCGCTGTACCTCTACCATGTCAACGCCGCCATGAAACGGATCCCCGATCAGGCCCGCCAGTCCTCCCCGCATCGCTGGACGGTCGACCAAGTCAAGGCAGCTTACAAGAAGGCCCTTGATAATCCCGTCGATATCACCGATACTCTGCCTCCGAAGCAGTCGCGCCGTTATATCGTCGTGGGTGGATCGGGTACGTGACAATCTCGTGTACTTTCCATGCTTCTTTCTCATTGCTTTTGCTTCTGCCCGATGGTGCGGTTTCATTTGAAATCCCACGGTGAAGCAAGAGACTAAAGAAGCAAATCCTCGATCTTCCCAATAACATAGCAATCTTCAACTAACACTCCTATCCTAACAGGTCTCGTGGGCGGCTGGATCGTTTCACATCTCCTCGCCCGCGGCGAGGATCCCGCTTCATTGCGAATCCTAGATCTTCTCCCACCAACACAAGACATCCTCGACCGCGGCGTGACTTTTATCAAGACCAATATCACCGACGAACTCGGGGTATACACCGCCTTCGAGCAGCCATGGCCAGAAACAGTCACCAATCTCCCTCTAACCGTCTTCCACACCGCAGCGACCATCCGTGCCTTCGAGCGTCTGGAGATCTACCTCCCGCTATGCACAAATGTCAACGTGAACGGTACCAAAAACGTACTCAATGCTTCCAAGAAATGCGGCGCTACTTGCTTCGTCTCTACCTCGTCTGGCTCGGTGACCTTGCATAAGCCGAGTTTCTGGATTGCGCCGTGGGAGAAGCTGCCTCGCCGTGTGCTGCAGATTCTCAGTGATGATGCGAAGTTGCCGGAGCGTCATGATGAGTTCTTTAGTAACTATGCCGTGTCCAAGATTGAAGCGGAGCGTCTTGTCTGCGCAGCCGATGACCCGACTACTGGATTCCGGACTGGCTGCATCAGACCCGCGAATGGAATTTATGGGATTGGAAATGATACAAGCAACACGATTACTGGTCTGTATCTTCGCAAAGGTGGAGGTCCGACGTAAGTATACCAAACCCCCTCATCACTGGAATACAACTTCAAACCCACCCCGCAATTTGAACTTCCCAAACTAATATACAACTACAGCTGGGTCCGCCCCATAATTCAAAGCTTCGTCAACGCCGAAAACGTCTCCCTAGCACACCTCCTCTACGAAGCCCGCATCCTCAAACAATCCAACCCCAACATAAGCGGACAATCCTTCGTCGTAACGGACCCCAACCCGGCAATCTCATTCAGCGACGTCTACACCCTCCTAACAACCCTTTCCTCCACACCCGTCTCCTTCCCAACCGTCCAGCCCCTGCCCCTTCTGCTACTAGCCTACGTAGTCGAGGCATACATCTACGTCCAGCACGCGATGCTGCCGTGGCTTTTGCCCAAGGTGACGGGGGATTTGGTGCAGATTCAGCCGTCGCTGTTTGCTATTTCGGATGTCTGTTGTATTGCAGATGATGAGAGGGCGAGACGGGGGGTTGAGGAGGGGGGTTGGGGTATAGACCTGTTATTACGACGTTGGAGGGGATGTGTAAGGAGTTGGTTGATTGGAATGAGAAGGCTGAGGCGAAGAAGGTTGTGATTGAGGAGGGGGTGGATGTTAAGCTTGTTTCGCCGGCGAAGAAGTTGTGAAGAAAGACAGTGATACTTTGAATCTTTATCAGGCATAGCTAAGCGCGTTTAATTGAGTATTGGTACAACCTTTTGTTTTTGTAGGAAGGATTGATAGCCATTTATTATCGAAACAGAACAAGATGTATGGAAATGTGGGTATATTGAATCATTGATTTTCTCAGCTCAGGCGGGGCTTGGAAGATGATCTGCCCTCCGTGATTCGGGGGAGAGAAGCCAAGCTTCTGCAGTCTCTGACGGCAAGATCTCAGGGATCAGCTTAAAGGCGTGCTGTCGAGTCATGGTCTTCCCAGTGTGAGAACAGGCGAGATGTTTACCACCAGGCAAATCTCGCTAAAGTGACCGACACGAGGTATTGGATCGCATCAACAAAATCATCGATGAACACGCGACAGCAGTGGGTGTTCACACGGACAGAAATTGTGCGTCCCGAGCTTGAGAGGGTCTTCGAAAGTAGTCTAGCCGTCCTGCGCGATGATACGCTAGGGATGACAAAAGTGCTGCCAGATAGTCTGCCCATACAAAGTGTCGAGTGCGGTTGTCTCACAGGTCAAACCTTGTGCAACAGTTCAGCACGAACCAAGAAAGGGTTTCTTCGTCGCGCAGTGACACCCGACCTTGAAACACAGCACTCCACTTGGCGAGGAGAAGGAAAAGTTTGCAAATAATCCTGCAGTCACGACGTTTACCGTGCCTGCTGCTGCGCCGCCAACCGCCTTTGCTCCAGAATCTGCATCCGCAAGCCCTCCGAGGCCAACTCCACATCCAACACCGCGCCAACACCACGCTTCCACGTCTCCTCAAGGCTAGTCAACTCGCCAAAGCTTGCATCCTGCGCAATCTTACGCTGCTTATTGACCTCCTCCGAGGCGCTCTTAGTGTCTGCCAATTCCTTCTCCATACCACGCAGAATCTCCTCCATCTGCGAGTTTCCAATCAGCCACGCGTTCTTGCCGTGTTGCTCCAGCAGCGTGAGATTCTCGTGTCGCTTGATCAAGTGCGAGCTGGAAGTGTAGGCCTTTTGCAGGGTCTCGCGCCACTCGGGCAGGTTAGGGACATCCGTGTCGGAGGTGCGGGTTGGTGGTTCTGGGGCTTCGTAGCGGGTTAGGTCGATGCCGCCGGTGAGGGGAGCCCCCGTGGCTTTGCGTTCGAGTTCTTGTTGAATTAGAGGAGAGAATTTTGATTCTGGGCTGGCGGGGATGGATGGGTGTAGAGTTGAAGAGTGTTCTGGGGCGAGCTCGGCGTTGATGAGCTGCTGAGCTTTTTGGCGCGCGACGGCCGAGGGCTCGGCGTCGATGTCTGGTGGGTATTAGTCGGGTTTAAATGTGAGATTGGGGGTGATAAGAGTGGCTTACATGGTAGAGAGTCGTGAACTTCGTTGATGAGGGACATTTTGAGGATTGTGGATGGTAACTGCAGTTACTGGAGTTCGACGTGAATCTGAATCTGAAGCTGGATGGAAATGCCAGGATCACCATGAAGGCGGTGAGTATCCTTTGGAGAGACTGGCCACGTGACCTCCCCCATATTGACTGGGATTGGCGGTTCCCCGCTGCAACTGGCCCTCCGACGGTCCAACTATCGTCTTTCGGCCCGTCGCTGACCAGCGAATGGCACGCGATGACAGCTGATTGAACAGACAGCGGTGTAACCTTGTTGATCATCTCCTCGAACAGGATCATGTCGGTACCTGAGTGCAGTGCTGATCCAGGTAAGCGAGAAGTCAACTCGTAATACCTTACTAACTCTAGCGAGTGGGCATCTACTTTGAGACCTATCTATGTACATCTCAGCTACCGCACATATGTCAGATATCGGGACCATATACATCTCCGAGCGGGGAAGCTAGTGCAAAAAGCAAGCCTGATAGTCATGTATAGTCCTATAGTCTCATAGTCTAAACCTAGTTGGGCACGCGGAATGTGAAAAAGGGTTCTCATGCAGGACGATCCCTCGAGCCTTGTTCCTCGCAGCTCGCAACTTCCTCGTCACGCATCACACGCTCATCGCTTAGCTCCAATACGACTCTCTCCCCCTCTCCTGCAATCTATTTCCACTATCTTCAGTAGGCTTTACCTCCGAAGGCTTACCTGTGCCAAGTCTGAGCAATGATCTTCTACTTCCTCTGATTGCCTCCTTCGTCATGGGCTTTCCGTGACTCCGAGCCTATCACTCTGGTTCTTAAGTACTCGGATGTCGCTCTGGCCTCGGTTGTTTGCTTTGCAAAATCACTGATAATCCCTCGGACATCTACAGTTTGAGGGAGCCCGTAATTCAGCTGCACGTCTGATGTTCTAATCTATACTTCATTCCAACCTACACTATGGCGAATCTTCGACTAGGTGCCGCTTTTGGCGCAGTCACCGTGACCCTGCTAGTGTTTATGCAGTTGGTTGCCGTGATGCGCCACACGGATCAAGTACCATCGTCAAGCTTTAACAGAAATCTGAATCAGTGGAGGAACCGAGCCGGTGCTGCGACTGATGATGGTCTATTTCTGGTGGGTGCCGGTAAGGCAGATGTGACTGGGTATGATTTAATATCTTCTATCTGATCATCTACGAATCCCCCACTCATATGCTGTGTTAGTCCGGTCGTCGAAGTCGACTTTAATGGCTACGCCAGTCTAGATCAGTTGGGTACGGGTCTGCGGCAGAGAATCTACTCGCGCGCCTTCATCTTCGCAGACCCCAACAACCCCGACGATACGTTCATTTACCTGGTACTCGACACGCTCGCCGGTGATACCGCCGTGAGACATGGAGTCCTGCAGGGACTCGCTGCGCTGGGTGGGGACTATGCACGCTATGGCGAGCACAACGTTGCGTTGACGGGAACGCACTCTCACTCTGGCCCCGGCGCGTGGATGAATTACTTGCTCCCACAGATCCCGACCAAGGGATTTGACAAGCAGAGCTATCAAGCGATCGTGGACGGCACTATCTTGTCCATCAAGCGTGCGCATGAGAGTCTGACTCCGGGACGGCTTTCCTTCGGATCCATTGATCTAGAAGATGCCAACATCAACCGCAGCCCTTACTCCTATGATCATAACCCGGAGGAAGAAAAGGCCAAATACTCGGCCAAAGTGGATAAGACGCTGACACTTTTGCGCTTCGATCGTGAGTCGGATAACAAGACTACGGCTGTATTGACCTGGTTCCCGGTTCATGGCACGTCGATGTACAACAACAACACCATTGTCACCGGTGACAACAAGGGAGTCGCGGCGTATCTCTTTGAACGTAGCGTGGAAAATGACTCGCAGTTTGCCGACGGCGCTGTGATCGGGTTCTCCCAATCTAACGTCGGCGACACGAGCCCGAACGTCGAGGGCGCGTGGTGCGAGGACGGGTCGAACGTAATGTGCACTTATGCAGATAGTACCTGCGGCGGTTCTTCCGGATCATCTGGCACGAACGAGGCCTGCCATGGTCGAGGTCCTTTCTTCCGTGAAAAAGATAACGGTGCGAAGAGCTGCTTCGAAATTGGCAAACGCCAGTATACAGCAGCGAAGACCCTCTATGGACAGCTCAGTTCTGGAAGCACCGGCACTGCCCTCGCTGGTAGTTCCGATGTGCGCTCCTTCCATGTCTATCAGGACATGAACGGCTACACCTTTCCCTCCCCCTTCAATGGCACTACTTTGAAGACGTGTCCCGCCGCGCTAGGATATTCTTTCGCTGCGGGGACGACGGATGGGCCAGGTGCATTTGACTTTACCCAGAATGCGACCGGTCCTGCTACGGAGAATCCGCTGTGGAAGGTGGCTCGAGCATTTATCCACCAGCCTACGGAGGAGCAACAAGAGTGCCAGGGAGCTAAAGATATTCTCCTCGATGTGGGAACCCTGACTGAGCCCTATGCGTGGGCAGCCGACATTGTGGATATTCAAGTTCTACGAGTCGGTCAGCTCTTCATCATCGTGTCTACCAGTGAAGCTACAACGATGTCTGGCCGTCGCTGGAAGGCGGCCATTGCGCAAGCCGCTCAAGACACACTCTGTGTGTCAAGTCCACAGGTCGTGCTCGGCGCTCCATCAAACAGCTATGCGCACTATGTCGCGACCGAGGAGGAATACAACGTCCAGCGCTACGAGGGTGCCTCCACTCTCTATGGTCCTAGCACCCTCGCCGCCTACATCAATCTCACCCTCACATACCTCCCCTATCTCGGCAGCGCCTCTGATATCGCCAAGCTACCCACGATTCCAACAGGTCCCAGCCCACCTATCAACACGAACAACTCGCTCAGCTTCATCACTGGCGTAGTCTACGACAATCCTCCGATCGGCAAGTCTTATGGCGACGTCGTGTCTAACCCAGCAGAACAGACCTATGGACCTGGGGACCTCGTCAATACGACTTTTGTCGGCGCCAACCCGCGCAACAATCTCCACCAGGAGTCCACCTATGCTGCTGTAGAGCGACAGACGGACTCTGGGGCCTGGGAGGTTGTTCGAAACGACCGTGACTGGAACTTGCTGTTTACATGGACACGTACAAATACTGTGCTTGGGTATAGCGAGGTAACTCTACAGTGGCAGATTGAGGACGACTACTACAGTGTGGATGATCCGAATCCCGTGCAGAGTGGCACGTACCGGATGCATTACTACGGGGACTCGAAGAGTGTGCTCGGACAGATTTCATCGTTTGAGGGGATTGGAGGAACCTTTACCGTGAAGGCGTAGTAGTTTAGCCTGGATGAGCTTTGACTGGTTATGAGAGTTTAGTATTAATATCGACATTGACAATATGAGAATTCAGGGAGTGTTGCTATTGGGATCCGCCCATTTAGCCCTAACTTGGTGGCGACCATCGCAGGATAGCAATAATAACCACCTCGCCTTCGGTCAGATTCTGCAGACACAAAATAAACCAGGAGAGCCTCCGAATGCCCAGCCTTTTGAGCTGCAGGTTCTAATTTTAATTGACTTTGATCCAATCACAGCTCATCCAGCCCATTTCTACATGTTTGTTGCAGACCCACTCCTCTGCTTTCCAGCCAATCAGCATCCACGATCCCTCTCCGGCGTCAACTGCAACGGCGCTTTGTCTCGCGCGCGCCATCACCCTCTCTCTTTCTCTTCTTCTGCTTTCTTTCATTCCTCTGACTAGTTCTATTCTCGCCGAGACTGAAACCTCATCGTTCCACTCTGACCCCTGGTAATGACGGTTTTGCTAGGAAATGGAACTGGCTGGACCGGCCGGTGTCAAAACAATGGTGCTTGACGGGTTGACGGCTGCTGGTTCATAATGGGCGACATCGGCCCAATGCCTCGACAATGCTGCTTTTCTCTTCTTTTCTCTTCCGTTTGGTGCTCTACCTTCTCTTTTGTTGTCTCAAGTTGCCTCATTCTTTTTGCTTTCCTTGTTCTGCCTTCGGCGTGGCTGTTGCCTTCATCTCGTCGCCTGTCTCTCTTTGATTCTATCTTTCGCTATACATTGACCTCTGCCTGGACCATCCTTGACTGCAATACTTTGAAGCAAACTCTTCTTGGTGTTTCTTAATCTGTCTTGCGCCTAATTGCCCAACTGGTCATGCCCTTCTCTACCTGCTACTGATTGCGTTTCACTATCACCGTCTCTTATATCTCCTTTGATTACTCCCAATTCCTTTCCCTTTTCTTTCTGGCCTTCTAGTTCTATTTGGCGATCACTTTCCCTCTTTCCATTATTTTCAATACTTCTCAGTCTCGTTGATCAACATGTTGCTCGCTCATTACACAGCCCTCTTAGCTTTGGCATGGTCCTGCTCGGCTGGTCCGATTGCACGCTCGCTTGCCCCAGGCCAGGAAGCCGTCTCGTCCAGTGTGCCGCTAGCGACAAATGCCGTGTCATCGACTACCTCTATGGTATCTGGAGCGCCTGCTGCTCTCCAGAAGGACAGCGGAGATGACGACGATGATGGTGGATTGACTGTCATTCCAGTGACACCCACGTGGCTCCTGACGTCCTCTACTGTCGAGGCATCTTCTACAGAATCGCCATCTTCAACAGCTCCTACTACGTCGAGTTCCTCTTTTACACCAGCGCTGGGTGGGAATGCAGCCTCATCGACGGCCAGCGAGGAGTCGAGCTCTACCGTACCATCTTCGTCTACTTCGCCAACCTCTACTTCTACTTCCAGTCCTAGTTCCAGTTCTGCGCCTCCATCTGAAGCAGCTACTACAACACCTTCTCTTTCTTCATCAATCTCATCTTCTACGCCGCCGTCTTTGTCTACAGTGCCTACAACGGCCTCTACGTCTACTCGAGCATCTTCTCTCATACCTTCTCCATCATCGTCATCTACGATTTCTGGCTCCTCGGGCCCCCTCCCTGCGGTTGTTACTGGATCCTCTTCCACTCCTAGCACCTCATCGACGCTGCCAGAGACATCCTCCGTTTTGGCCACAACACGAGTGAGCTCGTCTTTGCCTACCGCTAGCTCTTCTTCAACGTCTACACCAAGTTCCTCAAGCCCTGTACCTTCATCTGATGTGCCCGCTGCTCCTCATTCGTCAAGAGCTGCTGGTTCATCTCAGTCTGCTGCAAGGGCTTCAAGCTCCGAGGCACATAACACAAAAGAGACAGTTTCTTCTTCACATCTGGCCGGATCTTCTACATACCAGCCGCCAACCTCCCGGGAGACCACTGGTGTACCATCTTCAACTCCTGTTGCAGTATCTACTACTGACAGTAGTGATTCACGGCAGCACATCCCAGTCTATACGAACACTGGCTCTGCTCGCTCCACGCTTGGTGGCCTTGTAGCCACTCTTGGAGCGAGTATCACAAATTCGTTCGCCGCGGACTCTATTCGATCATCCGTCTCGAGTGGGATATTTTCTACATCCCCGACGGAATCAACGTCAGCGGCTCCTATCACTACGCCTGCTACTCCGGCCTCGTCAGCTGCAGCCACTACTCCCAGTAGTACTCCAGATGTGCAGACAACAAGCCTAAGTGTTGGGATTGTTGGTCCTATCTCAGATTCTGCTACTACCACCAGCTCAAGCGCGACTCAGTCTTCTACAGTACCATCCACAACGGTATTGTCCAGCAGTCCAGCCAACTCCGCGTCTTCGGCGGGAGACACACAGTCTGTCTCATCTGAAGCAGTTCCTGCTTCAACGACTTCCTCTTCTATACACATTGTCACCCAGCCAGTCGTCGTCTATGTCTCTGAAGGTGCAACAGCCGCATTCTCCACATCCACCATTGCACCAACAACCTCCTCCGATCCCGTAGCTGAGACGACGTCCACACAAGCTACTTCCACCCAACTTACGGAGGATACCTCTAGCTCAACCGAGCCCGAGGAAACTCAGACATACACGATCCACGCTACAGAGACGCACAGTGTGACTGTAACCCAACCTGGCCCAACAATCACCGTCACAGCTTCAACCAGCACTATCGAGTCTCATACATCGTCCACCCATCAGACCACCGCCGAGCCACAAACCACGCAAGCTGCGAATACCGCTCCCAAGGCCACCATAACCATTGACAACTCAGACAATGACTCGGGCGTGTTGACAGTGATCCCAGTCACCCCATCTTCCGGTGTCATATTTGTCACCAAGTTGGAGACTGTGACTTCTTGGAGAGAGACAACGACTGAGACTGTGACTACCACGGCGACTGTCACGGCGACTACGACTGCGATTCGCATTCAGCTTGTTACTTAGGAACTATGTGGCCGCGACGATGCTGTGCTGGACTTGTGTGATAAGTGAATATTGTATTCTGAATTTCCTTTTTATCATTGGAGGACGCTTGTTTTGATAATTATCTTGACACTGCCATAATAATCCCTTTGTTTTATCTAAATCAATCTAAAGTACTCAAAATTGATCACATGTGGTCTGAAAATCATAAAAAATTGATACTCTATTCAGATAGCATTTCCCCTAAATCGGTATACTTCAAGCCACTTGGACCGAGTCCCAGATCAAAACTAAACTTGCTCGCGTGCCCATCTTATCAAGACTTAGATCCGACGCGCCCTGCCTATCCAAATGCGTAATAACAGATTCTAGAGGAGTAGAAACTGCCTTTTCAGGCTGTGCTTAAGAGATGATTTTGGGAATTCAAATTGATATTGGGAACAGCGAATTTGTATTAGAGAATGAGGCTCAGGTCGATCATAAGAAATATAAAGGTAATCATTAATTTTGTATCCTACAACTCGGACAAAACACCCCCCGCCTCAGCAAACTTCTGCTGATACTCCCTCAAATTCGCCCACTGACTCAACTCCTCCTGATCACGCTCATAGTCGCTAAGGTAACTCATAGCCCGTCCATTCGTGCGTGGACTCACGCCTTCGGTGTTACTACCCGAATCAGTCGTAGCGGATGAATGGCCCTCTAGCCTGACGAGAGTATCGATGAAAGCGTGGAGATAGGATTCTGCTTCTGCGGCTGTGAGGACGTGCAGGCCGGATAGAGAGGTGGTCGGCGTCTCAGGTGGGTGGGACTTTGGGGAGGGTTCGTCGGGGCCGATTGTTGGTTTTGATGCTGGGTGGTGGCTGGGCATGTTGAGGAGGGTGGATGCTACTTGGCGGATTTTGGTTGTCTGTGCGATGATTAGTAAAATGAAGAAAGGTTGTGAGAAAATGAGAGAAAGGCTGTCACGTACTATGCTGGCGCCATTGGGTTCCATGTTGACTTCGTTGACTGTTCGAAGGAGCACGAACAAGTCTTTGATGACTGACTTGCGCTCTTCTGCCATCATGCGACCGATGTAATCTGTTTGCGCATGATGCACGGCTGACGATGTCTGGGACGAGGCACCGGTAGCTCCATCTTGTCCGTCCGATGGATTCTCCATCTTGATGTTTGGAGCGACAGTATTCGCAGCTGTTCCTCGGTCCGAGTTCCCATATTTGCTGAAAATCTCAAACAGATTCCAGTACTTGTCAACCAGATAAGACCTTGTGCACAATTGGCTTGCGTAAATATTGGCCTTCTGGATCTCGTACTGAATCGCGCGTCGTTCTTGATGGATATGATCATCTGGATAACTGAACACGGAGCCATCCTCGGACATGAACGCAGATGGATTCCGTTTTGGATGGAGGAGAGAAAGCTCGGGCGGTGTCTCGAGGAGTGCAGACTTGGTCTTTTCAAGACATTCCCACAGTGTTGAGCGTTGGTGCTCCCAGTCGAATACCCGACCGCTGCCAAAGGCAATTTCCCACGCTAGGATAGAGTTGTAGGAGCTGTATATCCGCACGTTTGCATTGAACCCGACCAATTGTGATACTCGGCCGGTGGGTTGCAGATTGACGTGTGTTGGGAAGATAAACTCATCATCCACCTCTAACGGAAGAGGCGGATATCGGTCTGTTGGGGTTTCTGGGGCTATATGAACCCTGAAATCCAAAGACCCAAGTTGATGCAGGGTCTGATACCCAACTAGGGAGACGTAGAAAAGTCGTCTGCCTAGCTCTTGCGTGATCAAGTCCACTTTATTGCTTTCTGTCAAACTTGCAACAGGCTGTTCGATTGACATGGGACTGCCTGCGCTTAGCATTCCGGCAGATGGCAAGTTTGCTGGCGAACGACAGAGGTCGTAAACCTGAAGCATAGTGCGACATTCGGCAAGATAGGTACGACAACGGCGCATGCTGTAAATATAGCCAGAACAGACACCGAGAAAATAGCTGATGGCTGCATCGTAGACCGTTGCATTGCGATCGAGATATCCGGTACCTCGAGCCTGGATTGCAACTTCATGGCACCTTTTGACCAGGGCTATCGAGTTTGGAAATGCGGAGCGTTCCGCCTCGGTGTTGAGACGAAGCTTGGGTCGTCTCGGAAAGGATGCAACCAGAAATCCAATCATAGAGGCCAGCAAGGCCAGAAACGTGCCACTGGTGGCATCTTCACGGCGCTCAAACGCCGCGCGAAAAGAAGGCTCGTGGGGGATGGGAACCAAGGGGTGAATGTAAGTAAAAAAGTCATCAAGTAATAACTGCACGGTATGCAGCGAACAGATAGCTTCTGCTGAGGAGGCGAACGGCGTTGGTTGGGGAACGGTTGCTGAATAAGAATAGGCCTTGGGCGTAGTCGCCTGCGGATAGTCTGTGATACTACCAGGCGATGCATCGGCCGACGGCGACTCGAGCTTTTGCTTCTTCAGAGCCTCCGCATGGCGATTAGGCGGCCCACGACGTCTACTTGGCCTCTCATAGGTGCAGGGAATATCCAAGCTAGCGCAGGACCGACATGGTGGCCCACTGTTATCACACTGGACAAGAGATTAGTGGTCGAACAATTACATCAGAGGAGGTTTCAAGGACCTACCTTTACTTTACGAATACTGCAGGCATCGCAGGCCTTGCGCAGCCTCGTTTTGTGGTCCATCCGTGAAAACAGGGCGTTGCAGACATGACCAGGCTTGAGGAATGTCAAAACACAGTCATAATCGATGCAATAATGGAAAGTATGTCGTCGATGCCCAAGGTCCGTTAGATCCAAGCACTGCGGGGGTGAACTCTTGGTCAACCTCCTTGCCCACTGGCACAGAGGAGTCGTGCAAAAGCCGGAGCGCACTCCGAGAATATTGTTATAGGCGATGCTGCCCCGCTCGATTTAGCGCGCCTCGCCAACTGGGGACCCTTTTTTCACGGCTTGAGTTCCGCGCAAGAGGCGGTTGAGCCGCGGTTCAGGCCAGTTTTGGCGATGTGCTATGCACCAGACCAGGAGAGCAATTGGCTTAGTAAATGACTACGAAGCCAACGAGAGGTCAGAATTGCCGACACAATAATCCAATGCACTCGGCTGAAAAACCGGCTAGGGTCATTCCAGTGTAGAGTGCATGGCGAGTCGCAAGTTGGCGCTGCCTCGGATGGCGGCGCCTAGTCACGTGCCGCCATCCAAAAGAGAGAGGGTCGAAGTCAAAAGCGCCGCGGCTTCTTCTGATTGGACTCATGTCTACGCCCCGGTGTGGGTTTGTCCCATATTGGCAACACAAGCCCGACATTTTAGGGGTCCACGATCGCAAAAATGGGTTCATGCATTGTATATATTAAGGGGTGGCCTACATTCCACTCCGTTCGTCCCATATAAGACCCGTTTTTGTAAGAGAAACAACAAATTTCAAAAGCAGATTGCTATGTCTTATACTGTGAAATCATCATGATACGCATCACCCAATCTAGTGGGCCGCTGACTGGCCGCCTGTCGCTTGTGCTCGAGATCTGAGGCCCACAGTGCGGCACCAGTGGCGGTTGTCATCAAGAAGAACATGGAGAATGGAGGGATGAGCTGCAAGATCAAAGCCACCGTTCCAAACCTATTTCGGTTAGAATGATTGTCGACATATTCAAAATCTAGATGTGTGTATAATACTTACGTAGTGTATTGTAGCTGTCGCCGACTGACGCTTGCCTTGCGCTCCTGCTTGGTGAAATCCAACAGTTGGAAGTACCGCCAGTGATGGAACGGTCCAGCGCGATAACCTGTCAAGATCAGGAACATGGGTGTACCAGCGACCGGGATGAAATTGAGTGGTAGCAGCACGATGAACTCGATGATCTGCCGGAACGAAAATGGAGAATACACGGCGCTAGTCGTCGGGGTACCAAGACGACTAGTTGGGTCACCGGCCTCCGGATAGATGACTCGCGAGGCGAGCACAAGCTCCTCTTGTCCTTCATTGACCAGAACCGAGTCAAAGATATCGACCAGAGTTTCATCCACAAAGAAGGCCTCGAACAAGGCAGCCACAATCGCCGCACCCTCACCCAGCACGAGGAATGCACCGTTCACCCATGCACCCACACCTTGGAAGATGGAAAGGAATGCCACCTGCGGCAGATAGGTGAAGAAAAAGAGGAGGAAATAGACGAAGGACGACAAGAGGACGATAGGTACAAGTCGGGCCTTGAACAAGGGCCAGAGGAACCGATGTCTCGCAAAGTAGTAGATGCCCTATCCATCTCAACGTCAGTAACTATCCGCCCTGTGCCGTAGAATCAGGAATTTGTAGAATCAACACATACCCGAAGGGGGTAGAGCCAGGCTGCTCGAGTTGGGTCCCACATCTGTGGCATGATGCTGGTAGGCAACCTGCAGTCTACAGTTTTGTTGCAGTATAGACACAGATAAAGGCCAGCCAAGGGCGACTTGAAGCACGAAAGCAAAGAGTGCAAGTGCAAGAGCGAGTGCGAATGCGAATGCAAATGCGACTCCAAAGGCAACAGAGCTTTGCTTATCGATAAGAGTGGATCCTCAACCCGAGGTCCCGGGTGTCACGTGTGCTTAGTCACCCTCCAGCCGGGCTGCCTTTTTCTTTCGAGATTTTTCGCTCCTCGCGCTTTCTTTCTTCTTTTTCCCATACATAAACTGAATTCCTCCCTATTCACTCTGGAATCCACCTTGCAATGGGTTCTTCGAGGGGAAATGGGAGGATAGAATAAATCTATTGCTGGCTTACCCCAAATTCTTCTTCTTACGTGGAGCGTTTGGAAATATTTCTTCAGCTGTACATTCCTTTTCCTCCCATGACTGAGTGATTTCTCCTCTTTGACAGGATTGGACATCTCGCTTGTCACTTGCGACGGCCCTTAATCTTATCCACAATGTGCTCCAGGCTGCGTACAATAGCCGAAGGTCGTAGATCTGGCACAGCAGCGTCCTGCCACCCCTTGCCGGCTCGATCAACCCAGATCGCATTCATCCCCATGCTACGCGCACCGACGACATCGAACGGGTTTCCGCTGACGAGCCAAAGCTCGCTCATCTGCGATGGCTGCTTGCCAACCTTATCCGCAAGGTGCTGATAGCTTGCTCGCGATGGCTTGTACCGCTGGACTTCGTCGACGGTGATCAGGTCTTGAAACATATTGGCGTGCGGGGCAAGGTCCTTGGAGTGAATAACCGAGTTGGAAACCATTACTTTCGAGCCATTGGAGAATACCACGGCGTGGAAGGTCGAGTCGGCTGCGATTCGGTCCAAAGCCGGACTCACGTCGGGAAACGTAGAAAGACTGTCGTAGGCTTCCATCAGACTAGCGATATCGGTGTCGCCCAACTGCTCGCCGTTCTCGGCCAGTGCATGAAGCAATGCATTCCGAGTGATGCTGGAGAAATCCTCGTAACGCTCTGTGGACGGTTAAATACTGCGTGCATACTCGGCAGATTGTCCGTACCCATGCTGTTGAGTCGCCATGTATATTCCAACTGGTATCTCCGCCAGAGTGCGGAGATGGCCTGTGCCTTGGCAGCGCCAAAATGGTTCGCTAGCTCTTTGGCAATGGAGTCGGTGGATAACAAAGTGCCATACAGATCAAATGCAACGACTGTCTTGTCTGCCATATTAAACTATCGAGTATCGTTGTTGAAGGGTTGTTTTCACAGATGGGATGCCCCGGGCGAAAGGCTATTTGAGGAGAGATTAGGTCTGCCCCGCCCGTAACGTGAACCTTGAGGTTTAATCCCTCGGTACGACCACGAAGGATCTGGGAGTAATTTTGGAAAACAATAGGAACCGTGACAATGGGGTCAAATATCATGCTATCGGTTTTCACCATCAGAATCCCTCCTTCAAAATGGAACGGCGACAAATGCAGGAGCAGATGTTGTCATCATACCTACATCATTCTGTGGGCAGCGCTTCCTGCGTTCTGTGCATATAATGTGCATATGTTGGTCTCTACAAGTTTAATCAGGCGTAGTTGGTGCTCCAAGTATGGTCTCTTCGTATTGCTTTTCATTTCAGTCAACCTGAACCTTAGATATATGTTGGGGACAACCTTAGGGTTTTGCCCATGTTGATGTAAAACTGCAGACCATCTGCTCCGCTATGCATTAAAAGAGAAACCAAAGAAAATTGCCCTCTCCATTGATGACCTCAGAGCGATCCGAAGTACACCCAGAAAGATCTTTCAGAAACAGGGAGCTTAAGCATATCTAGTCGGCCATTTCTCCCGGCCTCCCGATTTAGACCGGTTTGGTTTCCTTCACGATGCAGTCATCACCTGCGGGTGTCTTTCTCATTATATTCCTAGCGAACCCTCACTTGTATACGGTTTTTACCAGTAGGCGTTTGTCCATTAAAACAATCACGGACGATCGTCACGTTGCTCTCGTCCGTGTCAACGAGTTCCAACCTAAACCGGCGAAAGAGAGTAGCAAGCCCTATGTAGAGCCAGCACCAGGCCATACTGCTCGAGTCAGTAGAGAATCATAGGTCCAAGGAGCTTTGTATGCGAATGACTTACTTAGGCCCCAAGCAGCCCTGGCTACCTTTTGAAAATGGCACGAGATACCGGCTCAACGTAGATGATGAGGACAACCACCGTTCAGGATGGAAGGTTAATGGATCGGAGAAAATGGCGGAATCGCGAAGGACAAAATGATTTGACATGCTGATAGAAGTCTACCATCCCAGAAAATTTCTAAAGGTTAGCAGTCCTTCAATATCATGCTAGATGAGGAAAGGCGTACGCCTGCAGGAATCCGCCAACCGTGGCAGACCAAATCCTCGTCCGGGGCAATTCGAGGCAGACGCGAGGTCACGACCGCGGAGAGCCGCAAGCCTTCTGATATGACTGCGGTCTGGTCCTGATTAGTTTTTGAATGCATCATTTGGCTCGGTTGAGGATACTGACAAGATAGGGTAACCGCTCGAGATCACTCCATGAAATGTCCATACTTGCATCGGGTAAAGCAATCTGCAGTTCCTCTTGGAGTAGGTTATAAACTTCCAAGTTGCTTAAAACGTGATACATCGTAATTGCCATCACCTGAGAAGGCGCATCTGTCCCCGCAACTAGTAGGAACTTGGCCTCGTCAGTCAGCCGGGCCAAAGTACGCTCTGCAGGCGGAAGTTTGTCATTGCATAGAAGATGGTCGATAATGGAGGTTTCAGAACCACTATGGCGATTGAAAGCCTTTAGAGTGTGTCTCTCAACGTCCTATAAAGTAAACTGTACTCAGCATGACGAATCTGCTGTCGCTCAAATTCCGAAATAAAATGAAATGCGTACCCTCTCGATTGCAGCAGCATGGCCGAATGCCGGGAAAAATATACGCGAGAACCAAACGGGAGTAATCCTGGAGAGGAAGTACATCCAGGGAAAATGACGAACGAGCAAGAGTAGCTCGAATATACCGTTGACTCCCTTCTTCCACTTTTCCCTTAGTATAGGTTCCTTAAGTGTATCGAACCCGGAGTCCTTGCCAAACACATATTGTGAGACAGTATCAACAGCAAAGTTGACAAAACAGGTGTGCAACTCCAGTAATTGGCTGGTCTCCTGTGCTCGGTGAAAATGTTGGCATAGTAGCCGAATATTCTCCTGAATCACTGGCTCCCATCCTCTGACAGCTGTCTTAGAGAAGAAGGGACTCAAACCACTGCGTCGTGCGCGATGATGGTCATAGTTACTGGCAGCAAAAGACATGCCGGGTGCAATAGAGGATAGAAACCATGGATCCTTGTGGCGACGTCGAGTTGGTCCGGCATACAACACGTCATAAAAGTCGGGGTCGTTGACATGGATCTCGTTAGGACCAATGCGCAAGACAGGTCCGTAGATTTTATGCAGACGCTGGATTTCATACATGAACTGACCCCCACGTAGGATGTCGAAGTATGCTTCATACCAACGAGTTGCTGCCGCAAGACGGGGCCCTGGAAAGTCGGATAAAGGGTTGAAAAAGAGGCGGCTTATAACAAGAACGAAGTAGAGAACACCCGCAGCACTGAATAGGTATGCCGCGGTTGTCCTAGGTTCTATTCCTGAAGGCCCAAAATAGTCGAGTCCTCCCGACCAGGTCATTGGAGCGAGCCGATAGCGAGCGGTGACCGGGGATATATGGGCACAGAGTAGCCTTGACAAAGATCGTAGATCAGTATAGAGTATAGATGTAAAGTGCGTTTTAGTATGAACAAGAAGAAAATCCAGCAAGAATAAGCCTATATCGCAAGTGCTGCAGTTCAAACTGATGTTTGGCTGAGCAGGTGTAAACTTTTCGCAGTATACCGAGAGTAGTCCAGCCAAGGGGGATATACAATGCTCACTGCAACCTCTCAAAGAGAAATTGATCAACACGAAGAAGACAAGGGATTGTCTGTAGATACCGAAAGAATCAAGCCCGAATCCTTCAGGATGAAAGTGGCCCAAGATCGACGATCACACCTTTCTCTCAGGCTGCAGCACGTCCTGCATTGTCAGCTTTACAGTTCTACCTGACGTGAAAGAACGTGCATACAAAAAGCAAAAAGTCCACGGGCCAGCTGAGAAGCCTGCAGCTCCGTGTTCTGCATTTTGATATCAGATTAATCATAATCGATCTTAGCTTGGTCCTACCGCCGATCACCACTCCCCATTATGGGGCTGATCACACGAGGCAAGTAGAAGGCATTGAACAACACACGATTCTTCCACTTCAGTCTTCCGTCTCGAATCCGGTATCGGAGGCCGAAGTGATGAGATTGGAGCATGCCACGCATCCCCAAGCCCGATCTTTGCATCTCAGCTGAAAAAAAGTTACTAACAAGATGACTCGATAGTGCAATCAATAGTAGTATGTATTCGTAGTAGTATAGTTATGGTAACCGAAATTAACCCATCCAATCCAACCTTCTTTCTCTACTCCACATTAACTTCCTTCTTGATCGCAGCTATTCTCATGGTATCTAGGAGATTGGAGGCTGCGTTCGAATGGCCATATACCCCGCCTTCAAACATCTCCGTCGCATCTTTGCCTATTGCACCCGTAATCATCGACGCGCCTCCCGGATGCTCTGTCACAAATGCCGAAACATCGTGTACAGCTCCTCTGATGACAATCAGATTGCATCCTGTCCTTGCCTGTTGCTCGAATTCTTCCCACTCCATAACCGGCAGCTCTTCAAGTGGCACGCCCCAGTTCACCTTCTCACTATCCTCATCCAGCTTTTCTCTTTTCCGCTGGATTCTGCCCTTTTCAATCTCATTCTGTGGGAAGCGTCTGAGATTGGTTGCCAGCCCAAACTGGGAACACAACCAGATGACCCATTTTGTAGGATCAAAGTCATGCCAGCGAACTCCGTTCCGATAGTCGATTGGGAACTCATGGTGGAAATTATGATAGCCCTCTCCGAGGGTCAGCAAGCCAGTCAAAGGATTGTCCCTTGGAGTCTTGTCGGTTGCGTAAGGTTGAGACCCATACCAGTGGGCCACCGAATTCACGCAGAAAGTGCCTTGTTGTTCCAGGGCTGTCGCGATGCAGCCTGCAAAGACGAATCCACCGAGGTAATCATCATAAAGTAGACCGCAGTATAGTGTAGGCGCAAGGTAACCCGCAAGGAACAACAGGAGCAAATAGTACTTTCGCTGCCATATCACAATGGGATCAGATCTGAGGTCGCTGATATCCACGCGGCCAGTAGCCAGGACACCGTGAACAGGGTCACTCTGTTCGAATAGAACCCAACCTATATGAGCATGGAAGAATCCCTTCGACATGCTATACGGGTCTTTATCGGTGTCAACGTAGCGATGATGGGCTCGGTGATCACGGCACCATTTCTTGATAGTGTCCTGGCCAGCGCCAGCGCCAACGATCGCAAAAACGAGCTTGAGGGCCGTGTTGGCTGAATAGGCCTTATGTGCCCAGAGGCGATGGTAACCTAAGGCACGTTTATTAGATGTGTTTCCAGCGTGAAGTACAACAATTTGAGGAAACCTACCAGCGGTAACAGCAAGAGCACGAAGATAGGCGTAGACAAGTCCAGCCCAGAATGTCTCCTTACGAAGGGGAATCCAATGCAGACTGATCGTCGCAGCCAAGGGGATGCCAACTAGAAAGATTGTCTTTGGCCAATTCAGCGAACGCAAAACCGAGATGATTGAGCTATTGCTGGTCGTTGGCGGAGAAGGATTCATTTCTGGGATATATTTCTGTTTCTCAGAAGGCAACAATTTCGAATGATCTATAGCGGGCTCCATTCTAGGCTTGTTCTGCGACTTCGTAAGTTGATAAATTGACTGGTGCTATGTCAGCGCCGCTGCACGAGGGTGAATGGATTCAATATAACCACCCGTTCTTGATTATCTTGCCAATTGATCGGCATATCTCAGCTGAGACACAAGATGCAAACCTTTGAACAGGCTATCGAAGCGTGACTGGGTTTAGCTGAATGAAGTGACACGAGTTCATCACAGTTACACCACCAAAGTATGGCAAAATAGCCGACTGTTAGACAAGGAGTATGCCGTAGGCCATATTTTCCACCTATACCACGACCCTATAGTTCCGAACTGTCGATCGTTATTCGAGCGTGACGTTCTAACTCACATCCAAAAAGTTCAATAGCTTACGGCATGGCTGGCTGAGGGCTGAGACGTCATAGAGGAAAAAGCAAAAAAGTGTGACAGGACTACATAAGATCCGCATGTAGTTCATGCTAAGTGAGTTGTCTAGCGGGGTAGCAAAGCCTCTTCAGCTTCCTGAAAATGCAGATATGTACCTGTAGAGACCTACGTGATCCTGCAGCCAAGTCACAGAAATCTATGTCTTGCTCGCAGTCTTGACTGAATCTTGATAATGCTAGTAACGCAAACATCTCTTGTGATCTACATCACACGACAGCAAGCCCCTCATCATACATCGTGCTATCTATTTGGATTTCAGCCTGGCTGATCTATGATGAGGGGCTCTGATAAGATGTTCTGGTATATAAAGCCTTGTCACAGAGTAGAGGATATCCCCTCCAATGAAGATCATTTTCTACACCGAAAAGCCTCAGTCAGTATGGATATCCTCTCAGCTCATAGTCCGATCAAGTTCGGCTTTCCATCATTGAAGCTTTTCACTCTTCCTCCAAGCCAACCTTACAAGCCCACCCCGCGGCCTCCGCCCACCACGTCTTCGCATGTGCTTGCAAAGTCTCTGTTCCAGAGGATCAATATAGACCCTGGGTTATTCTATACCTCTCTTGACATCAAGTTTGTCCTCACCTTCACCGCGATATATGTTACCACGGTCCTTTACCTGAATCAATATAATGCTCGCCGACAATACCGGCCATGGCGCTTCACCAAGACATCCACATTCAAGGCCTTGGTTGTGGCGCATAACGCCTTCCTTGCCCTATTCTCGGCATGGACCTTCGTTTCACTCTTCACCATCCTATTCCCTCTTTGGAATTTGGCCGTCGCAGAAGCGGGGCCTAACTATTACGCCCATGTGGCAGAGCTGCTCTGCGAAACGGATTCTAGTGCATATAGAGGTATGGCTTTCGTTTTAGCCGATTCTAATTGCTGCCTTTTAACTTCAAGGACATTGTATCTGACGATATGCTTTTCCCAGTGCTTCCAATCTCGAAAAGTCTTTGGGAAGCAGGAGGCAGTTATGTTGGCTGGCTCTTTTATATCAGCAAGTTCTACGAAGTCATAGATACGCTGATCATCCTTGCGCGAGGGAAAAGGAGCTCTACGTTACAAACTTACCACCACGCCGGAGTGATTATCTGTGGCTGGGCAACAGTGCTCTATGAGTCTCCATTGGGTGCTATTGGGGTGGTTTTAAACTCGGCGATCCATACATTGATGGTATTATATTCCCCGACGGCCGTTATCGAATCTTCCAGGCTTAAAGATACCATACTAACAAGTCGTGACTGTTATCCCTTCTAGTACACATACTTCACACTTCAAACACTCGGAATCTCTGTCCCTGTCAGCTTTAAACGCACTTTGACCAAGCTTCAACTTGCACAGTTCTTCGTCGGCTGGATCTGGGGCTATACATACTTGTTCATGAGCTATAAGGTTCCCATGGATGTGACTGTCAAAGGCATCAACAATGGGTCAACGCCAGCGTTGAAGGCAGGAATGTCGACCAGTGAGAATGCAGTCTCGTGCTTGAGTGACAGTGGGGAAGCCTTCACCATTATCGTGACGAGCATCTACATTATTCCCCTGATCTATCTCTTTGGGCAATTTTACATCAAGGCATACATGAAGCAGGGCAAGTGATAATCGGGAAGGAAAGGGTAGGTGAACTTTAATACAAGAATATACGGTGATCTATAATGATGTTCTGTTCGCAATAATACGGCGAATGTTTAGTGTTTCGGACTGGATATAGATTTTTTGGAACGTGAACACTGATTCCTTTTCAATCAGAAATTCGCTCAAATAAAATGCCATCGGATGGTAGTTAGGCCATAGAAAATTGTATACTTTAATAAGCAACTATTCCTGCCGTTCGTAGCTCTCGTCGAATCTTCCCGAAGGGAGATCCAATGATGTCAAGCTTCCCGCCGCGGGGCAACCTCTTCATCACAACTCCCAGCTGTCAACCAGGCCCTTGAGCTAATTAATGAGCTCTAGGTTAAAGGTCATGAGTACTATAGGATCTAATGACCTCTGATGATAACTATAGCGTCTTCCGAGAATGTTTCTCGAGCGCAATCGTCGCCCGATCTGAGAAACCGAAAACAAGCAAACGGCGACCAAAGGCCAAGCGCAATGCCAGCAAAGAAGTGATCTCCGAAGCCGACTCTGGGCTACCTGAAAGAGTCGATCCGGAGGAATTAGCTGAATTCGTCGATGTATGCATTCTTTCTCCCGAGTCCCATATAGATTGTGCTTCGAGACGTGTCCAAGTGAAGCTTCAAGCTGACTCGCAAGTTCACCACAGTTCATCGCGACCGAAGCCTTCACCTCCTTCCCGGAGCCCCTTCGAACCCTCTCGTACGCAGCAATCCAGCATAATCAACAGCTAGCATCGCTCTACGTCCCCGAAGACACAGATACACCCCTAGACCGCACCACCCTCGATTCGCTCTGCGCTACCATCCCCGGCACAGTGCCAGACACACTTTCAGCCTACGGTCTAGTCCCGGACGCGAACGACCTCCCCGAATTCCTCTCCCCAATACTCAGCGAGTACACTACAAGTGTGACCAGCGCACCGCCGGTGTGGAGTAACACGCGCACAGAAGAATGCGAAATCTGCGAGCGCGATTGGATCCCGCTGTCATATCATCATCTCATTCCTCGAGGGGTACATGCGAAAGTGCTGAAGAGGGGGTGGCATGATGAGTGGACGCTGAATAGTGTTGCGTGGTTGTGTCGGGCTTGCCATAGCTTTGTGCATCGGATGGCGACTAATGAGGAGTTGGCGAGGGAGTATTATACCGTGGATCTCATTATGGAGAGGGAAGATGTACAGGATTGGGCCAAGTGGGTTGGTCGGGTGAGGTGGAAGGCGAAGTAACCTTAGGACTATGATGAAGGGCGAACTATTCGACATATAAAGGAACTGGCATACATACGTATATACGCTGGGCAAGGAAGCTCGGGGCACTGAAACTTGCTGCACGAAGTTCATGATGTCTAAATACTATACATGTATTATGATTGCATCTATCTCCATCTCAAGCGTAACTATCTCCAGAAATGGTGTGATGTATATGGAACAACGCCTGAACCCAAGATGCAAACCATGTCGATGTAGAGAAGGGGGGCATATAGTACAAAGATGAATGTGAAAGGACAAGAGAGAAGGGGGAAATGGCCGGCGAACGGCTAAAAATACAGCGACTGATTGTCGCATGAAGCCTGTGAAAAGAAAGAGCATCAGGGCTCAGATCACAGATGACGCTTTTCGAAGATCTCTTCGTAACACTGGATATGATCGCCGACTGCGAATTCGGTCCAGCCCTCGAAGGCGATACCGCACTCGGTGTCCTTGCGCATCTCAGTGACGTCCTTTTTGACGTTCTTCAGCGAGGTCATGGTTCCTGGGAAGCAATGTTAGTTACATTCTCTTAAAGGATATGCAGGTGTCTTCTTACCATCGTAGACGGTCTCATTGCCACGGATGACTCGGACCTTCTTGGTCTTGTTGATCAAACCGTTACGCACACGACATCCAGCGATAGATGTCTTGTCGCGACCCTTGACGGTGATTTCAAACACCTGACCAACTTCGGCTTCACCAGTCACACGCTGAGTAACGGTGGGTGCGAGATGCTCACTTAAAACGTCCTTCACATCGTCGATGAGCTTGTAGATGATGTTGTGATCCATAATGTTCACGGACTCCTGTTCAGCTAGTCGAGCCATGTTGGGCTCAATAGGCATGTTGAACGAGATAATTTTACCCTTGGCACTAGCGGCGTGTTCGATATCAAACTCGGTCACGGGGCCAACACCGGAGCGCAATATGTTCGCGTACACTTCGTTGTTACCAACGGCGGCGATTGAGTTGAGGACGGCTTCAGCGGAGCCGTCCACATCGGCCTTGATAATGAAGTTGATGGCCTTCGGACCGGAGGTCACGACAGGGGTAGCCTCCTCCGAATCTTGATCTTCCTGTCTGCGTTTCTCAAGAAGCTCTCGTCGAGCCTCGTTGATGGCAACCATATCTTCACCCAGCTTCTGGGTGTCTGCCCGATCCTGGCGATATGCCACAACGTCCTTGGCCTTCTGCTCAGTTGCAGCCTGCAGAATCTCCGTCCCAGCAACCGGCTGATCTCTCCAACCGTCAATTTCGACTGGCATACCGGGGGTGGCTTCATCGATAGACAGACCAGCTTCGTTACGCAGTGTTCGCACGCGAGCCCAAGTCTGACCAGCAACAATGACATCGCCAGGGCGGAGGGTACCCCGGCGGATGAGAGCAGATGCCACACGACCGTAGCTCTTGGTGGTCGCCTCGATGACCCAGCCCTCGGCATTGCAGGTCGTGTCAGCACGGTGATCCTGCATCTCCGAGAGGACACCGATGGCTTCCTCAAGCTCGATCATGCCCTCGCCAGTCTTACCACTGACGCCAATGGCCTGGACATCACCACCGTAGTCTTCAACGTGAACGCCATGAACCGACAGATCTTGCTTCACTCGTTCAGGGTTACGTCCTTCCTTGTCGATCTTGCTGATCGCGACGATGATAGGGACGTTGGCTTGCGTGGCGTGCTTGATAGCCTCGATGGTCTGCGGCTTAACACTGTCATCCGCAGCCACAACGAGAACGACAATATCAGTCACATCGGCACCACGTTTGCGCATTTCCAAGAAGGCAGAATGACCGGGGGTGTCCAAGAAAGTAATCGTCTTGCCAGAGGGCATGGCGACTGAGAAGGCACCAATGTGCTGGGTGATACCACCATGCTCGGTGGCTGCCACAGACGACTTTCGCAGCCAGTCCAAAATAGTAGTTTTACCGTGATCAACGTGTCCCATGATCGTTACAACCGGTGGGCGAGGAGGCAGGTCAGATGTGTCTTCTGGCACCGGCGCGGCCTCGAGATCTTCAGCACCAGTATCGAAGATGGCTTCGTAGTTGAACTCGGCGGCCACCAAACCAGCGGTCTCCGCATCCAAGACGTGGTTATAGGTCACGTCCTCGAAGCCCATGTCTTCCATGCGGGCCACGAACTCGGCCTGTCGTACGCCGATGACATCGGCCAAGTTACTGACACTGATGAACTCTGGAAGGTGGAGGGGGATAGCCGTAACCTCCTCCTTTGCTTTCTTCTGGCGCTTGCGATCTTCGCGACGACGTTTACGGTCCTCGGGATCGAAATCACCCTCATCCGATGTCCCACGGTCTTTCCGTCCGTCGCGTTTTTTGGGCTTCTTCTGCACGTCAACGGGTGCTTGTTGCGCTTCAATAGCTTCCAGCTGATCCAACGCAGACATATCCCAAGACCATTGATCCTTCTTGTCGAGTTCTTTCTCTTTCTCTTTTGTATCTTCGTCCTTTCGGTCCTTTTTCGTCTCGTCTCGCCCACGAGCCTCACGGTTTTCACGCTGCGATACCCGGGTTGGTGTCTCTTGTTGACTCGTCTGACCAAATGGTGTCTTTCGTGACCCCCTAGCTCGAGTTGGATCCTCCTCGCGGGCGTCGGCAAGAATTGACTGGCCAAGACTGCGCAGCTTGTCGTTACGTTGAGAATCCCCTCTCGGCGTACGTGTCTCCGAAGGCTGCGGGTCAGGCCTCGGGGTACCACACGAGGTACATGCGTCACGTCTTCCAAATACATGATGTCCGCAGCCGGGGCAGTCCCAGTCCCGTTTCATTCGTGGCTGTTCCTGCCTGGGAGGCCGAGGAGGATCCTGTCGCGGTGTCTGACAGAACGGGCAGGTTTTGTGCCGCGCAAAGACAAGATTGTTGCAGCTATGACAAGTCCATTCACGGTTGGTTCGAGGTTGTCCAGTTCCTTGCCGGACCGAGTTCTTCAGGTGCCGAGCGACTCTGTTGTGCATATGCTGGTGGTCAATGGGATGATTCGAGGAGCGGGAAAAGGCTTGTTTGCCCTGACTGTTGACGTAGAACTGTGTTCCGGGTATCCTCTTTTCAGGAGTTGGTCCTTTCGGGGCTTCTGGAGGGGGCGGCGGCTTGCTTTTGGCCATGATGGCGTCGCGCAAGGCCTGCTCTGCTGGGCTTAGGCCTGTTGGCTTGGAGGCCTGCCTGGCGCCCCATCGGTTTCCAAACTTGGGCGCTGGTGCTGGTGAGCTTGACACTGCACCATCACCATTCCCATCGCCGGCGCCATTCTCAGTATTTGATCGGACTGCGGATGATTGAAATGTCCGTAACGAGGATGGGGAGGTGGATGAGGATAAATCAACGCGGCGCGAGAGCTAAACAGCGATCAGATAACATAGTCAAAGGGGGTGCGGGGAAGGAATCATACCCTCCAGACTACTCGGCGGTGCATAGCTGTAATCTCGACAAGCTCATCGGATTCCAATAAAATCCAACGAGTCCAGTAAACCACAAGTTTAACCAACGGATCTCCAAGCAACGCGGACTCCACTTTTTCCGATTTGTTAGGCGCTTTTTTTACCGCGCTTACGTAAGTTTCCCGACGGCAAAGGCCCCCGTTTTCCCGCAAGTCGGCGCTGCGTGCGAATCAGAATCCAGATGGCGCCATCACGATAAGGTCCCTGGTTCCTGATATAAACGAACAAAACCTGGAGACATCTGGAGAACTTGTCTCTTCCTTCAATTGCCACATTATCAATTACCTGATTGGTCCGGAAATCATGGAGTCTGAAGCTTTCGACGATCTGGAGAAGAGCACTGATGCCCTCCGCACCGTCAAGGATTTGGCCGCGGGCGCCGCCGGTGGAATGGCTCAAGTTCTGCTGGGTAAGTGGGCTGCGCTTCGGGGAAAGGACGAGAGTGTCTGATGAGGCCTAAGTTGCATTGGATGCTTGTTCAACCTCGACGCTAAACCTCCAGATTCATCGCATGTATTCAATTGCTAACGCTCTCAATTACAGGCCAACCCTTTGGTTTGTGGCTCTCGGCACACAAGCGTCTCCCCCACAATGAAGCCTATCTAACCCTGGTATCGCAGATATCGTAAAGGTCCGCCTGCAGACCACCTCTCAGTATAAGAGTGCTCTGGACTGTGCGACCCAGATCTTCAAGAAGGAGGGTCCTGCCGCTTTCTATAAGGGTACTCTGACTCCCCTTATCGGAATCGGTGCCTGTGTAAGTGGCCGTTTCCCGAGCCTGGACGTCTCACCCGTCTAACCCCTTCCACAGGTCAGTGTGCAGTTCGGTGCTTTCCACCAGGCGCGTCGCAAGCTTGAGGAGTTGAATAAGAAGAAGTATGCCGACAGCACGCTCTCGTACGGCCAGTACTGGCTGGCCGGTTCGTTTGCCGGTGTGACCAACTCCGTGCTCTCGGGCCCGATCGAGCACGTCCGTATCCGTCTCCAGGCCCAGCCCCACGGCGCTGGCCGCCTGTACTCGGGCCCCATTGACTGCGTGCAGAAGCTGGCCGCTCAGGGAGGTGCCCTGCGCGGTTTGTACCGCGGCCAGGCGGTCACTATCCTGCGTGAGGCTATGGCCTACGGTACCTGGTTCATGGCTTTCGAGTACATGATGAACATGGATGCCAAGCGCAACAATGTTAAGCGCGAGGAGATCTCTGCTGTCAAGGTGGCCACTTACGGTGGTCTGGCCGGTGAGGCTCTGTGGCTGTCTAGCTACCCCTTCGACGTGGTCAAGAGTAAGATGCAGACCGACGGGTTCGGTGCCACTCAGCAGTTCGCTAGCATGCGCGACTGCTTCAAGAAGACCTATGCCGTCGAGGGCCTGGGTGGTTTCTGGAAGGGTATTGGCCCTACCCTGCTGAGAGCTATGCCCGTCTCGGCTGGTACTTTCGTTGTGTATGTCCCTCAATTCCGCTCTGTCACCAACGCGACTGCGTTGTTCATGCCACTTCCGAGAACCTGAAAACTGACTTTCCACAGTGTCGAACTTGCCATGAAGGCTCTGGGTTAATTCGCTGATAGCGAATAAAACATAATGTGCCTTCTTATTTGCGACTTGCAGCGATTGATACCATCAACAACCAGCTACTACGAGAGACTAGTATAGCGCCACACAAAATTTTCAACATTGACCTGGGATCTAGAGGTTACACTTGTATGTAACAATTGGCATCTGGTATGAGGCGCTGGGGATAGACTGTTTCGTGAACCAATTCACAATTTTCAGCCGTTCATTTTTCGTACTGCAATTTGAATCACATAAAACAGCAACGGTTCTGGAAACTATGAAGTGAAATTGATAATTATAGGTGTATAATGATACATGAGGACATTCAAAAAAGACCCTTACGTCCCCGTTCATAATTCATTTATCGATCTACCACTCACATGGCTAATGAGAAATCTCCAAAGAAGTCCTGCATCGCGGTGGGAAAGTAGAAGAGATTCAAGCCCGGAAAATCCCACTCTGAAACAAACTGCTCGGGCATGAACCACTGCAGATCTGCCTGGGCATCGAACAGTTCCCAAAACGGCGATGTACCACTAGATCCCCCAGTACTAGGCTGTTGGGACTCTTGTAACGCACGCCCATACTTCTCAATGCTGACTTTGAGAATTTGGAGGTAAATGTTTCCCGCTCCAGATTGATGGTTATTTGAACCTGCCTTGCTGAGCTCGTCAACCAGTCTAGCGCCATGTTCCAGCAGCTCATGGTGTTCTTCTGCCCGCTCGGGAAGAAGACGCGAGAGCTTGAGTAGGAGCAGGAAGGAGAAGGCGCATTTCGCCCATACGAAATCCATTGCGTACTTGAGTTTGGCCAGGTAGAAGTCCGGCTCGACGATGATAAGGCGGAGATGTCTCCGGGCGGCGGCTTTGGCGGCGAGGAGAATATGTCGCTCGGTGGCGGTCATGGCACTGGAATCATTACCTCTGTCAGTGACTATCACGATCTGTGAGCCAATAGGGCAGGATATTGCATACGCTACGTTCTCCACACCCATCGCCCGAAGCGCTTTGCAGTTTAGCATCATCTCGGCCCAACACTTTTGGACGCGGAGAGCAACTAGAAGATATGGTTTCTCCTGTTGAGCTGGTATACAACCCTCTGCAATGGGATCAGTAAATTTGTACTGCTAGTAGGCAATGAAGAATACGTACCGACAATTCGGAGCCAGTCACTTCTACATGTCAGTAATATTTAGGCGAAGCATTCTCAAAGATCACTTACTCAAACCACAAATCAAGATCAATCTTCATCTCATGCACAAAGTCCGATATGCCTTGTCGATCAAGTGTAGTCTCCGGACCCAACGTGTCATTGATGGTCGCTGTGAGGGTTCCAAGTCAGAGGAAATAGAGAAATATAAGGATTTGACCAGATCTCACCCCTGAGAATATTGAGCTACAGACGGACAGTTTTGTCAGCATTCTTCCAAGAGGGGCTGCTGACCAGGAAACATGTTTGAACTAAATACCTCGACTTGAGAGAACAACCGGAGGTCCAGAATAGCAGATGAAGGATTACTCAATAATATCCTGCATCGTCGGGAATTGCCAACTAGGCGTATCCCCGGTGGCTTACCTGCGTCCACACGGAAACTATGGTTCACATCATTAGTACTTGTCAAATGTGGAGAGCTTGAGAATTCTGACATATGTTCCAACACTAGTAACCCAAACCAGGTCCTCGACTTTCGCATGAGCACGCGCTCCGTTTCAAATTCGTGATCCGGAACACCATACGTATTCTCGTCATTCTTCATCGCGAGTCTTTCAGTGAGTTCCTCGAAGGCTTCATGAAGACCGAGGTCAAGGGCCATTCGAGTAGCGAATGAGAGGATTAGTAGGCGGTCCCCAGAGTAGCAGGCGACTATGAGCATTGCCTGAACTGATTCGAGAGAGTTGAGCCCTTTATTCTGAATGATGACATTGATCCATTTTTTGAGTTCGGCATGTAGCATGTCGGACATTGGCCCGCCAGATTCTTGATTGAATATTAGTTCATAGCTTGCTATGCAAATACGCAAGTGTGCTTGACTTACTTGTTTCCACCATGCAGCCTATGGTGCATATAGCATTGAGTAGAATACTACTTCGAGCCCGCACCGATTCAAATGTATCATGTTCGGGATCAAAGATTGGGATATATCGATCCTGTGTTCAGAGATATCAACAACCCTTGATCTGTAGATTATGTGCGGCCTCGGGTACTTACACAGCCTTGGAAAAATCTATACAGCAGAAGGTTAGATTCATAGCAACACGATCTGCACCCGTCTGGACTCACGTGTTGAAACAAGAAATGGCGCATTCAAGCGTTATAAGCCCTTTATCAATGAAATCTGCCACAGCCTCATCGCGTATCTCAAAGCAGGAGCGTTTCCTCTTAAGGGCCCTAGGCTCCGTCTGAGGTGATCCATACAGCGGGTGCACTGGAATACTATTTGGGGAAACATCTGGCACAGAACGCGGATATGCATTACCAGCCCCATTCGTATACACAGAGCCGTTGTTTGGAATCAAGGCACCGTTGTTGTCCTGGCAATGAGCGGACTGAGGGCACGATGATGCACATGCACTGTCTCTGCATGTTTCCTGAGGCTGTTCTCGTATCTGTCTGGGCGACAGATGCTGAGAATTAATAGTCGGAGATGCACACGTTCGCTGTAGAAGTTCTCGCATGTCATCCAGCTGTCTTCTGAGATATAGCATCTCGGACTCAACGCTTTCGAGTCTCCTACGGAGGTGTCAGCGGACAATTTCAGATAAGGTGATATGATCAACAAGGACACCATACTCTGATACTGGGTCTTTGGGAATTTCGAAGAACACGCATTGTTTCTCGAGCTTTTGACATCTTTGGGAAAATGTTAGCATTTGGATCATACGATTTCTGGTACTATGCTCACCTCCCACACGGTCGGTCCCCGTCGCATCTAACCTATGACGAAGTCAATTCCAAAGAACAATAAGAATACCACTTGCATACTTACTTTGGACTGTCGGCAAGCACTGCATGCTTTCTATAGAAGGACTCCCTGTTAGTACAATTCCAAGTTGGGAGAGGCCCAGGAGCTGTAGCCCGTACAGGGATGCGCTTCTTCCCGATCGGCGCGGGGACAACATGCAACGAGTCGTCGTCTTGCATTTTCAGACCCCAAATAGACCACAATGCTTATAAACAGCGCTCACCGATTTCTCCGAGTGTGATGAACCTGGGGAAGAAGAAAAACGCGGGGTTCGGCTATTGCCCCGACGTCGGCTAATGGAGGACGGCCGGGGTTGTGAGCAGAAGCCGACGCCACGAATTTTTGTGGGGCGCAACTATAGACTTTAAAGGCGTCACGGGAATTTGTAATGACTTTGGGAGTCCGTATGGTTGATACAGATGCCAGAAATTCAAATTAAGATTCCAGATCGTAAAAAAACTGTAAATCCTTACACCCTTTACCCGACCGCCGTCCTCGTTGCGACATAACACCTAGTATACGTATACAAAGTCTTCGTTCTGCCAGTCCGTCAGGTCCTTGAACGCGTTGTCGTTGGCTACTTGCTGCACCGGCATGCCTTCCTTGTCGGTTTGAGCAGCTCCAACTTCGTTCATTGAGTGGTCGACGACCTTGGCGTCCTTGCCGGCGGCAACACGTTGCTGTTCGTGCTTCTTGTTGAGAATGGTGAGGTATCCCATGTTCAGCCTAGGTTAAGCATTGGAATTAGCATGAGCATTACCTTGCAGTTGAAAGGTACGAAACTTACAGGATCAAGCAGAATAGAATGCAGAACAGGGCGAGGCTATCGAGTATTAGTTTGATTTCCAAACAGGCTTTGCGTCTGAACTTACTTGGAGAGGAGTCCACGGTGGTAAAGGGGCGCCTCTTCGGTGGTGTAAAGAGTAGGACCAATAACCTAAGGGTTATTATGAGCATATGTAAAGTTTCAGGGCAATTTATCGGGGAATTGCATACATTACCAACACACTGTCCCACAATCAGGATACCCGTGGTCACCTTCTTCTTCGTCTCACCGGCAGTGTTGGCCGCAGACCAGGAGTAGATCAGAGGAGCTGAGAACTTGTTAGATATATGTAACCATCGTCAGATTTACGATCGAACTTACTAATGCCGGGGTAAACAGAGATCTATTTGAAGAGTCAATTATTAGCAATCGCACGGGAACAATGAACACGTCAAGGTCATCAAGCACTCACAATGTAGTATCCTGCAAGCAGGGGCCCCTTGTGAGCAGCGTCATGGGTAATGCGCAGAAGCATCACACATCCCGCAATAGGAGGAATGCAAAGAAGGGCCAGAACGGGACCCTTCTTCTTCCAATAGGTGGCCAACCAGGCGCCTCCCATGGTAGCAATAAGCTGAACTGCACCGAATGGAACGTTCAGCAGGATTGTATTAAGAGAATTGAAGCCAAATGACTTGACGATCAGGGGACCGAAAGTGGTGATTCCACCGCTTGGAATGCTATGGCTTGGTTAATAAATCTGCAATCTAGGGGTGATGATCAGTGATTCTTACGAGATGGTAAACATCAAGGCAAACCAGAACCAGGACTTGAGGTCCAAGCACGCCTCTTTGACATGATCCCATTTCCATTCATGGCTCTCAATACCTTGCTGATTCATGCGCAGTCTGAGTATTTGTTAGTGCCAGCAACTATGACCAGAGCGAATTGAAGTATGTACCTCTCAATAGCGACCAACTTGTCTTCTTCGTTGAGGAATTTGGCTGTCGTGGGGGAATCGGGCATGAAGAGGCTATGACAGTGGCGTTAGCTATGTGGAAAGACAAGATTAATGCATTGCATCACTCACAGAACAGCGACGGAAACACCAATAGTGATGAGTCCAAAGAAGAGGAAGATAATCTGTATCAAGTAAGCGGCTATTTCTCATGAGAGGTCTATTCATGATAGCTTACCTGGTAGGGTTCAAAGACTGAAGAATGGATGTGACCAAGACCGTACGTGATCAGACTGCCAACCTGTGGACTGTATTAGTGGCAGAGCCTTATTAATCCCACTCAAAGGCCGAAAGAGAGCTCACCATGTTGACCACACCATTCATAGCGTACCAAGAACCGAGTCTAACAGGCTGTTCAAGTCGTCGGTACCACATCTGCGTGACTGCGATGAATGCGGGTGCTATAGACATAAACATTAGAGACAGGGAGATTAATATTCTCGGCGAATAAAACTTACCAATACCAGCCTCAAAGATACCCAGGAATAGGCGGCAAACCAACAATCCAGCAAAGCTATTTGCGGCTGTCATGCAGGACAAGGAAATACCCCAAAGAAGAACAGAAGCAGCCATGAACTTGCCCATGGGTACTTTGACCAGCAGATAGGAAACCACGGGCTGGAAGATCAGCTGGGCCAGGTAGACCACCGATCCCAGCCAGGAGTACATCTTGCCATGCAGATGGGCTTTCTCGACCAGTCCAAAGACGGAAGCGTAGGAAAGAGTCGACTTGTCGAGTTGCTGCAGGAAGTAGATAGACAAGAGGATGGGAAGTAGACGGAGATCAATTTTCTGCAACACTCGTTTGTTGTTCTCTGGGGTCAGGGTGGTCGAGTATCCGGCATCCTCGATCAACTGCAGCGCCTGATCCTGCTTGGGGCTGGCATCGACGTGCACTGATGAGGTGGGCTTTCCAGCCTCTTCGGCCTCGATGGTCTCGACAAACTCATCCTGCTGACACTTCGACTGGGTGATTTCCCCGTGCTGCGACATTGCTAGACCGCGCAGCGAATGATCGAAGATAGGATAGAGCAAAGATTTGAAAAAAAAAAAAAAAAGCCAACAAATGGAGTAGGATGAAAGAGAATCTCAGATGAGCGAGGAGACCCGACTGACCCTTCACGCAAGAGCAGGGGTGAGAGACAATAGTTATATCAGTCTCGGAAAGGATCAACACTGGGGAAGATTAGGGCTCGTAACACCCCGTGGGGAACGCGAAGTTTATGATCTCCCCGGACGACCGCACCACAAGTCCGAAATCTAACGGAGATGGTCTTGTAAGTTCGCTGGCGCCCGCGTCATCCTCGTGGTCTTCTTGAACCGCCCATCCACACCAGCATCCGATTTGAAGCCGGTCGGTAACTCTCTTGCCGTCGCGGAGAACTTCCGTGGACGGGAACCAATCACTTCTTGGCCATGAGACGGGACAGTTGTAAGATATTGACAAGGTTATTCACAATGGTGGCCAAGAGCCCTGGAGGACGCAGGTCGGGCGACTCGGGATGGCTGAAGAAGGCTTAGCTGTCGGTCTTCGGCTGGCAAAACCGACGCTATTGCGAGGGGCGGATGAAAGTTTTCAGGGAGTTTGGCATGTTGGCGCTTTAGCTTCGGACGGCGCCAGCCTTCTATGGTCCGTCGTGTCTGGGGCCCCGTTTTCTCGGCACTTTGCGTGGACAAAGTGGGGAATCAGCCGACTGCTGAGAGTCTAAGACTCGGTATCGGCCCATCGGGTGCTCTGCAACTTTTCTGGGACCATCCGGGGTCACTTGAGACTTTCCGGGGACCATATGGTGGCAGAGGCGGTGGCACGTTGGCGAGTTTGTCTGGGGAGAGTCGCGTCGCATCTCGGAGATCAGCTCCGATCGCCGACTGTATACTTGCCCCACGCCTGCGAAGTTACTCCAACAATGAGACGCGGGGCGTGAGGGGACTCACGAGACTCGCCATTGCGCAGAATGTTACAAATAACATGGACTGCCGGGGGCTTTGCCTGATCTCAATTCATTCCTCGTGAAGTATCCTCACGAATCACATTTCCATTATGCCTCAAAGAGAGTTCTGCCCTAAGGGGTACCAACAAGTCGCCTCGAGCGCACAGAACGATGCTGCCGTGCATCTGCGCAGCTCCTCCGGCAAGACTGCCTTTGACTTCTCTTTCGAGGCCGTTCGCCAGAATCTCTTCCGGGTGACCTTCTCTTCTGCAGAGCGTCCAATTCCTCCCTACCCCAACGTCACCAAGCCCGAGACCGATCTCAAGGGACTGAATGTCTTTGCGAAGGAGGAAGGCTCTTCCAAGACCATCGACGTGGCCGGCGTCACCGCAAAGGTGGAATGGGAACAAACACCGGTCGTTTCTCTCTCCTGGACAGGCTCCGACAAGCCTCTGCACCGCGATCTGCCTCTGCGATCATACGTCGCCGATGGCCCCGGTGTTGCCTACTACTCGGTGCACGACCGCAATGCTCTCCACGTTGGCCTAGGCGAAAAGGCTGCGCCGATGGACCTCACTGGCCGCAACTTCCAGCTTACCGCTACCGACTGCTTCGGTTACGATGTCTACAAGACCGACCCTCTCTACAAGCACATCCCTCTCCTGATCAAGGCCACACCGGAAGGCTGTGTCGCTTTGTTCTCTACTACCCACGGTCGAGGCTCATGGTCTGTTGGTTCCGAGATTGATGGTCTTTGGGGTCATTTCAAGATCTACCGTCAGGACTATGGCGGTCTGGAGCAGTACATGATCGTTGGAAAGACCATCAAGGACGTTGTTCGCTCATACGCCGAACTGGTCGGTTTCCCACTGCTGGTTCCCCGTTGGGCCTACGGATACATCTCCGGTGGTTACAAGTACACCATGCTGGATGACGCTCACAAGGCTCTTATCGAGTTTGCCGAGAAGCTCCAAGAGCATGGCATTCCTTGCTCTGCTCACCAGATGTCGTCTGGTTACTCTATTGCTGCCGTGGAACCCAAGGTTCGCAATGTTTTCACCTGGAACAACGAGCGTTTCCCAGACCCCCAGGATTGGATTTCCAAAATGCACGAGCACGGTATTCGTCTCATCACCAACATCAAGCCATTCCTGTTGGCTTCTCACCCTGACTTCCAGCGTCTTATCGACGGCCGTGGATTCTTCACGGATCCCGAGACCGACAAGCCCGGGTACATGCGCCTGTGGAGCGCCGGTGGTGCCACTGGTGGTGATGGCTGCCACATTGATTTCACATCCGAGGTTGCTTTCAAGTGGTGGCACGACGGTGTCCAGAGCCTGAAGAAGGTTGGCATCGACGGCATGTGGAATGACAACAACGAGTACACTCTGCCTAGCGATGACTGGACTTTGGCTCTCGACGATGCGATGGTCAACAAGGACGCGAAGAAGGCTGCTGAAAACAGCGTCGGTCAATGGGGCCGTGCCCTTCACACAGAGCTTATGGGCAAGGCTTCGCATGATGGTCTGCTGGGCATGGAGCCCAACGTCCGGCCGTTCGTCCTTACTCGTAGCGCTACCCCCGGCACCATGCGCTACTGTGCCAGTACTTGGAGTGGTGATAATGTCACCAGCTGGGAGAACATGAAGGGTGCAAATGCTTTGTCCCTGAACGCCGGCATTTCCCTCCTACAGGTAAGCTACTCCTTCATCCATCCAGGAAAATGATTATCATTTGATCCATAGATAACTAACCACAATGCTATACAGTGCGAAGGACACGATATCGGCGGCTTCGAAGGCCCCCAACCCTCCCCCGAACTCCTCCTCCGCTGGATCCAACTAGGCTGCATGTCCACCCGTTTCGCAATCAACTGCTTCAAGACCTCCCCCGACAATAACGCCGTCGGCGAAGTCATCGAGCCCTTCATGTACCCCGAGATCACACACCTTGTCCGCGACGCCATCAAGCGCCGCTACGAGATCCTGCCTTACATCTACTCCCTCGGACTCGAGAGCCACAAGGACGCATCACCCGTGCAGCGCTGGGTGGGCTGGGGCTACGAGTCCGACCCGGAAGTCTGGAACAACAAGACCCTGAAGGAAGGCGAAGAGCAGTTCTGGCTGGGTGATTCCATCCTCGTCGGCGGCGTTTACCGTGCGGGCGTCACCAGTGCAAAGGTCTATCTTCCCCGTAAGGGTGGCGACGTCTTTGACTACGGCTTCGTCAACATGAACGCTCCTTACAACTACCTTGCCGCCGGCCAGTGGGTGGACATCGAGTCGCAGTGGTGCGAGAGCATCCCCCTTCTCGCCAAGGTCGGCGGTGCCATCCCCGTCGGCAAGGACGTGCATACCCGTGTTCTCGACGACGAGACTGCAGCCTCGCAGGGCGTCAAGGAGATCGACGACTACCGTGGTGTGGAAATCTTCCCGCCGCAGGGTAGCTCGCACGGCGCCGTGTTCAGCAACACCTGGTACGAGGATGATGGTATCTCGCAGCAACCCAAGACTGCGGTGTACACGCTCAGCTACAGCTCGACCGCGGAGACGGTCTTGGTGCACTTTGAGCGGGACGAGACCGCTGGCTTTGTGCCTGCGTGGAAGGAGTTGGATATCATCCTGCACAATGGCGATACTCGCCGTGTTGTCACTAGCTCGGGCCAGGAGATTGTTCACAAGGAGACTGATTCTCGGGGCCGGGCTGTCTACACTGTTAAGGCTTGAGTTTGTGGCCGTAGTCATGAATTTCTTTTGTATTATGAAAATCGTGGTTGGCAACCTTGGCTTGCCTGGGGCCATTGATGAATATAGACGGTCTAGGTATTGGGGTATATAGATGATTAGAATGAAACAATGATTTCAGCATAAGTATTGATTCCTCTACGAAGCCGTATACTAGATCTACACATGCCAGCGTACTCGAAAGAAGTGTACCTTCTAGGCCAAAGAATCATGATATGAGAAATTTAATATTCCAGGCCCAATCAAACATGCAAGAAATTAAGGCAGCAAAAAGTAACTTGTTAATACATGATGTGCTAACGCCCACAAGGCGAGGAATCATCTATACAATACAAGGCCAGGAACCCGACACACAAGACCCATCAGATACCTGCACCATAAACCCCTTCAACGCAAACTTCAGCCGCTAAGCTCAAGCCTGCTCAGCCTTGTCCAAATCCGAACCAGGCGGTGCCGAGCCCGTCAGGGGGTCCAGACGCAACTGGCGAGCCGTGATAGGCTCGTACGCGGTCTTACCCTCAGCAGCCATCTCCAAACGCCTCTTCTGACCAGCCTCACCAGCGCGGCCCAAGATACCAGCGATCAAAGAAGTGCCCTTGAGGGTATCATCGTTCGCGGGGATAGGGTACGTCACACGAGTAGGATCAGCATCGGTATCAATGATACCAATGGTAGGCACATTATTCAAGCCACACTCGTGCAACAAGACAACGTTCTCCAGTGGGTTCAGCACAACCACCAAATCCGGCTTCACGGACGGACGATCCGCCAGATCGGCCTTGAACTCGGGCAATTCCTGATCCATGGCATTAACGACCTTGGTCTCACAGTGACCCAGGATCTGCTGTCCATTCGTCAGGGAACCGGGAATCCACCGCTCGAAGATGTGGTAGCCCTTTGCCAGCTCGGCGGCTCGCACGACAGCGCGCTTCTGGCCCTTGCGGGTACCGGCGAAGAGGATGATACCACCGCGGGCGGCGACTTCCTCGACGACCTTCGCGGCGCGACGCAGGTATGCTGCCGTCACGTCTAGAGAGATGATGTGCACGCCCTCACGGATACCGAAGATGTACCGAGAGTTCTGCGGATTCCAGCGGGAGGTCGAGTGGCCCAGGTGTGTACCGGCCGCGAGCAGCATCTCGAGGGTGATGTCGGAGGGCTTGGGGGGATTGCGGATGAGATCTTCGGGGTCGTAGGATTCTTGCACGGAGGAACCGAGGTTGTTGAATGTGTGTCCTGGTAAAAAGGAATGTTGTTAGCTGTCTGGCCCTAGTTGTTTTTTCTCGGAGAAGGAGTGGGTGGGTGATGCTCACTCCGCTTCTCCAGTTCACCCCATTGCTGTCGGGGGTTGAGTTGTGCAATGTCCCTTGATGCCTGGACAACTTCATGAAGAGGGTTCTGCGCAGGAGTGGACGACTCCTTGGGGGGTGTTTGCACTGCCGTGTCGATGGGTGTCTCTGTAGAGAGGAATCGAGTGTAGGCCGGGGCCTGGCGGTTCAGGGCCAGCAATTGGCGGCCTGTAGGGAATTCAGGTGGTTAGATTACCATCTTGATATCACGAACAGTAAATTTCAGAAAGACTCACTCTGCCGCACACATAGTTTCCGTACAATCATGCTGGATGTGGTTGCTGAGTCGGAGCAAGAAGCGTGTTCAAGATTGCCCGTCCGCGCGAACTTTTGTCGGGCTTGGCAGATGGCCTGTCTTTTGGCCTTAGTGCCTGAGGCCCAAATCACGCTACGCTAGTCCCGTTCGGGTTGCGGGCGGGCGGTCGGATTCGGTGAGATCCCCCGCGTTCAAGTGGCGACTTGTCAAGTTGGTCATGCAGGGTAAGATGATTTACATTACTTTTTACACAGAGAGGCCGATCACCACGTTGGAATGATGCAATTCTGATTCTCCACTAGGAGGAATTTCTTGATAGCAATGCCAAACGATCATGGTACACATAGGAATTTAGGCATAGAGTGGGAAAAAAATAGGAAACATCGCAGAAAAGGATACAAGAACAATCCAGTGGAAGCGCAAAAGCCAGCCCATTCCCGTAAAAGACAAGAAAAGGAAATTCATAAGTATGTTGAGGTCATCACGATGAGAACAAGCGTTTCAAAGAAGACGGACGGAAAATGGATCTTGCAGAGAGAAGCGAGTTGTTTACTTCTTGAAGAAACCACCGAGCTGGTCCATCATGTTACCACCGCCGTTGTGGCTGGGAGGAGGACCGCCGTAGGGGCCACCGGGGCCACCGGGGCCGCCAGGGCCGTGATGACCGGGGCTAGAGTCGCGCTTGTGCTTCTTGATGGCATCCTCAGCGATACTGCCGATGATGGCTCCACCGATTGTTCCGAGGAAGCCGTGGTTGGCCTTGTGGCCGGCGAAACCACCGGCGGCACCGCCAGCGAGAGCGCCGGCAAGACCACGCTCGCCATCCTGAGCCTGGCCGGGAGCCTGCTGCTGATCATATCTATAATGAAAATGTTAGCGATGAGTCTCGAAAAAATGCTGAAAGTGGGGGGCAGAAAACATACCCGGAGCGGTTGTAGTCCTGGCCGTAACCCTGCTGCTGCTCGCCATACTGCTGCTGCTGGCCACCATACTGCTGCTGGGATCCAGAGTTGTTGTAGTAGTCGTTGGAAGAACCCTGGCCCTGCTGCTGCTGGTGCTGCTGCTGGCCGTAGGATTCCTGGCCGTAGCCGCCCTGCTGGCCGTAGCCCTGCTGACCGTAACCCTGGCCTTGCTGGCCGTAGCCCTGGCCCTGCTGGTTGTAGCCCTGGTTGTAATCGCCGTAGCCAGACATGATGATTATGTGTGAGGATGGGGAAGGTTGTAGAGATGGAGAGGATGGAAGATGGAAGAGTCGGGAGATAACTGAGATGGAGAGAAGGATGAGTTTGATGATGCGAGAGGGGTACGAGATGAGGAGGGGTCGTGGCCTTTTTATAAGTTTGGTACCGTCCCTCCGGTAATGGAGTCGATTACATTGAGGATACTTCTCCGTACCGAGTTCAGAGTGAGAAGAGTGGAGATCATAGGGTGCGATCACGTATCATGTTACTCTCGTACGTATATCTGTAATGCCAATCCAATAATGATCCGGAGCCACAGGGCTGACGGAACCGCCCCCACATGGTCGCAGAATTTACGGAACGACGAGGCGCAGCTCATCAGCCTCGCTCTGCTGTCCACTTTCGTCCTGGACCATGCCTACAGAGGACAGTACATAGTATCTCTCTCATTATTCTATTCAGAGATCCTCGGACAGAGCTGTAGAGCACCGCCACAGACGACTAAGCGGTGCATCCAACCCTTCACGGTAACAAGCCTGTGGCTATGCATACCATAAGGCTGAGCCACCTCCGTAGATTGCGGCCCGTACAGGTACCATACTACACTAACTCATAATAAAACCATGGGACAAGATATGAAGTGGTGGTAAATTCGTCACCCCGTTACCATACCATGCTTGGCCCCCCGAAAATAGCAGCAGCAGACTCATTTCCCCCTGCTCCTTACGGCCTTAACGGGATCTTCGGCTTACGGACTCTACATATTACATACTGTATACAGTATGTACCTCGTACCTACAGCACGATGAATCTTCCAGAAGCTCCGTGATCAAATCTCCCCCAAACCCGCAATCTCCATGGCTCTATGAATATTCACCATGGTTACCGTATTTGCCATCCCCAACGCCAAGATTCCGTCGTAGTGCGACTCCGCTCGGCACGCAACAAATTCATAATCCTCACTGCGAGTTATTCTCGCTGCCTAGTGGCGCTAAGCCCTGAGAATCCTCGTCCTCTTGGCTCGGTGTAACGCCCTCAGCCCTGTCGATTACTACAATAGGTTATATTGTGCACTTCGTGCATAGGCGGCAATCATCGATAATAATACCATACGATAACATACAATAGTTACGCCCCTCGCCAGGCTGGCACTGGCAGGCGCCCCCACTCCGACTTTTGATGGTGTGGTCGCTCCCAAAATCTCGCGGGGCCCAAGAGATTGTCGTAGCGACTGGCGGTAAGCGGCGGGAAAAAAAAAGAAAGAAAAAAAAAAAAAGGTTCGCATGCGCCGCTCGGATCTGCCGATGTGCCTGTATGACACCATCATCATCATCTGCCCCTCCTATCTAGAGATTGATTCTCTACGGCACTTTCGTTCCGTGATAGCCCTGGTGTCCTGTCCGAGTCATAATAAATAGTGCGGGCGCAGGCGCTATTATCAACAGCTCTTAGTAGAGTGTCCTGGAGAATTTTAACAAGCTCTGTCATAGATATCTCGAGAAGATGGCTGAGGAGTTCGAAGAACGGTACATCAAAATAAACTTCCCTGAGAACAATGAAGATCAGATGCCCGCGCCTGTCACATGGCTCGACTGAGATGTCCCCGTCTTGATGGGCCTGATGACCGTGTTTGACTCGGACAAAGCTGTGGCTTTGGTGTCGAGGTCTGCTTTTTGATCTATTGATCGCACCGATAATGTTGTGGTGCGACGGAGTTGAAACACAGTATCCCCCGCCGTGTTGTTTTCGGCCTTGTGTCTAAGGTTAGGTTACTATGGGATTTAACTTTCTCTCGGATGCTGCTTATTGTCTTGTAAACTCTGTACCTCATTCCCGTGTTCTTCAATATATATCTGCTCATCGTCATAGCCCATGAACCAAACTCCAGAATACTTAGGTTTGATGAGCTTGAATCCCTTTAAATCTAATTTAACTCGGACCCTGTAGAGTAGACATGATAGCCCACGCCCGGTAGTAAATATTTTAAACTCGCACCCTAAGTACCTGCAACCCCCAAGGTCCTTCTTGCTCACCTCGATTTCCATTCTCCACCCACCCCTCCTAACGCGGAAGATCAGATCGCCACTTTTTGTAAGGCAATCACAAAATAAATCCATGCGATCGACAACAACCACAGTGAAAAGCCCAAGCAAATCCATGCGGGCTTTAGAAAGCTCCAATCAAATCGCACATGCATCCATCCCGTTAAGATCGGACGAACCCTCCCGTGCACCTCGTCACCCGCCGATGGAGCCCTCTACCCAAATCCAAAGTCCACCTGGAGCGCGGCTTCTCGATGTGGTGGACGGGCATTGCACAGAATGAACCTGCTGATCCACTTCGCGCCTTCTCTTTTTTCTTTTGGTGTAGACCTTCCTTACTGACCGTGTGCCGTGATGGGTCGAATCACGGCGTGTTTAGCTAGATGTATAAAGCGAGGGCGGATCGGCGGAGAAAAGATGACGTCCACCTGCTTCTCCTCGCTAAGGTCATTATATGAGATTGGGACCCTCATATAATCTGACCTCCTCTGCTTTATTTTTCAACGCGTGGATTCTGCTTATTATTGATTCTTTACTTTCCTCAAGATGTTGTTGCGTTCAGCGTTCGCATATGGTTTCTTCTGCTTGGCTGCCGTGTCAGCCAGGAGTCCCCCCAAAGTCTATATCATTCGGCATGGAGAGAAGCCACCAAACCGGGATGATCATGGGTTGACATTGGATGGGATCAAGCGATCTCAGTGTCTGCGGGATATCTTTGGTAGAGACTCGGGCTACGATATTGGTCATATCATGGCACCGACAGTCAAGTGGAGTGAGTCGCACAATATCTACTGGACAGTCATGGCATGGTTGAAAAGAACTGATGGACTAATATCCTATTTTACAGACGGAGAGCACAGACGAGCATATATGACCGTCCTCCCTCTCGCCAATGACCTCGGTCTCGAAGTCGACGCCCACTGCTCGCGCAAAGATACCCAATGTGTGGCCGATACAATCCAGTCCTACGATGGACCTGGAAACATCTTGATTTCCTGGCGACACAAGAACATGGGGCAGATTCAGGAGCACCTGGGCTCTCATGATCCGCTCGAGTATCCGGAAGATCGGTATGTGATTTTTTGATTGTTGGGATTCTACTTTTTTTTTATTTTGTGGAGTCATCGCTCCATAATATGCGACTAGCGTCGGAGCTATCGGCTTCGTGATCAGCACACTTTTTCCTTCTTCAGCCGCCTAGCGCTTCTTGGCCTTGAAACTCATCCTTGGGATTTTGAAAATTTTGAATAAGTTACAGAGCAGATACTGACTTTGTTAGATTTGACCTCATTTGGACGATTCCATTCCCATACGAGGAGGTCACTGATATAGAAAGCGAATTTTGTCCGGGTCTTGACTCTCGCCCGGCGCTTGTTGCGCAGCATTGAATCGGGAAGCACTGGATTCTGTTTTGATGCTGGTACTTTGGTACAAAGAACCACTCCACATGATGTTTAGCTATCCGCATACAAGCAATGCAGTCGGCTGGTACCTTTCTGTCCTGCATGAATCCACTCAAGAAGATGCCCCAACAGAAAGTATAGATCTATGCGGGGTAAAGGCCTTGGCCTTACCTAGTAGGGCCAGGGGTCCAGTGGGGTGTAAAGTTGTAGGATATACCGAGGGTACTCAGGATGATCCATATCTTTGTCTCATAGTCCATGTCTTGGTAAACTTCCCGATCCGGACAAGAGTTGGGCAAACCCTGCCGGCAGGCGCGAGTCAATTGGACCAACTTTAAACATGCAACCTTACAATTCGGGAAAGTATTTAGGCCAGGCAAAAAAATGTCCTGAGATTTCTTTAGACGAACTACTCCTCGGACTAATAAATATGAACAAGAGGCCCGATGCCTCCCAGGACTTCACTTTCAGACTCATTTCATTAGCCCAAGTTTATCCCCGGTCTCTGCCATGACTACTATGCAATTCTTCAACTACCCCGGAACTGAGGCCAACTCGGAATCCTTCCACTACTCCCAAGCCGTCAAAATCGGTACAATGGTGAAAACATCCGGTCAAGGCGGCTGGGACGAGAGCGGAAAAATCACGCCCGATGCCGAGAAACAAGTCGCCATCGCCTTCGAGAACGTCGAAAAGGCCCTGAAAGACGTTGATCCACGGTTGTCGTGGGAGAATGTCTATGCTGTGCGAAGCTATCATATAAACATGGAGGAGACATTCGATATAGTCACCGGGAATTTTAAAAGGGTCCTTCCAGACCACCGTCCGATTTGGACTTGCGTCGAGATTGGAAAATTGGGCATTGATGGGATGGTAATTGAGATTGAGGTGGAAGCTTATTGTCCATTCTAGGGACTGTCGTGGATTACTGCACGGAGGCACTCGGTGATCCCTTGCTAAAGGGGTTCTCTTGTACATAATACAGCCAAATTTGACGGCTGGAGATTGAGATCAACATATATGGTAACGGAATCTATCGCTCCATGATTTACTCCCTACTTATTACTTAGCGTCGCGTTAGTATCTCAATGTTGACGTGCGAAGTAAAGATCTCAAAAATGTAATCGCGGGGAAAGATAAAGGTGCTTGTAGTAGATGAATGACTGGGAGAAACAGAAGGGGTTTATGATCATACCGAAAAAGGTAGGTTTTTGGGCAATGGTAGATTGAGAAACTTAGTTGGGGGACATGTAGGATGGTGAGTGACGAAGGCAATGTACCCCGCATCTCTTGGTTTTTGAATCGAGGGATACTGGTCGGAGGGGCAGCATGGGAATAGTGACCATGGAATACGATTGGCTGGGGAAAGCTAGGCCGAGCATGTGCGTAAAGCTCGGATCTGGGAGAATTACAGAGTCGCAGTGACAATTTTTCTCATCCAGAGCATCATTTTGTTTGATGAGACTGAGTAGTAACATGGTAAAACGCTTGAAGAGATCTATAATACTAGAACATCCCTCCCCAAAGAAGTAAACAAGTCTGCCCATGTGCCATCCTGCTTCTCAGATTTCCAGAGATCTTCCAAGGCAGCACGGATACTCAACAGAGAACTGAACCGAATCGTACGATAGATGCAGTCAATCTTACCAAGGATATCCGTTTGATGATCTGCAGTGAAGGAATGAGCACCGACAACGTAGACAGGAAAGATGAGACAATTATGTGCCTTGGAGGAGCTGCTGATGGCGTTGATACAGCCCATGCAGAAGTTAACATGTTGCTGGACCAGATGATGTCTCGGAGGAAGTCCACAGACTGCCCGGTATAGATATATCAATGCGCTATGTTGGAATGCCCTGGTGAACGTGATTGTCTGGTTCACTCGTTCGAGTTCGCCCCGGGAAACAGTATCCTCCTCCGGACAGTCAAAATGATCTAGATTCAAGACTTGGAAGGATGGTTGAAGGCATCTCTCAAAATCTCGGACCTTTTCGATATCAAGTTCCTCATCCCCATTCAGTATTGAGTGTCGATAGAACGCTAGCTGTGCCATGGTGCGGAACACGGCTGCTAGAGTGATCCCGTATGTCTGTTTCTCCCACCAAACGGGGCCACGCTCTATATCGAGCCAAATACTTGCGGGGAAACATGGAGGTCGATCATCAAGTAAAGCTCGGGTAAGATCCGTTGACGCGAACTCTGATAGCAACATGTGTGGAATCTCCTTTTCACTCTCATCGAGTAGCGCACTGAACCCGCCTAACTGCTCCACGATAGCACGCACTCCGACCTGGTGACTTGTCGTAGATGCCGACTGCTCTGTACAATCTATGTAGCCATCTAGAAAGTATAGCAGCAAAACGGCGACGAGAACCCGCGAAAGTGACTCGTTTTTCGACAGACATTCCCGTAGTTGCTTTCGAACCGATCCCAGGCAGTTTGATCGCTTATCACTGATAATCTGCTGATGGATAAGACTATTATCCTGCCGTAAAAGTCGATGAGCCTCTGCTAGCTCACACATAGCCAGCAGAACGGGCTCTGATTCTAGGGCGAGTGAAATCGGTGGTGGACATGGTTGCGTCGCTGTCGACAGCAATGGCCATAGTGCTGCTTGGAAGTAGTCGAGGGCTTTCAGTTCCCCCGAGGCTAGGCTAGTGCTATCGAATACTTGTTTGGGTAGGCTTAGTCTTGGAGGAGACGCGGGCGTCTGGTAGGAGATTGGGGCGGCTTTGGTGGGACGTGAATTCCAGCGGACAAGAATCTTATCGAAGCTGCATTTGGCTCCGGAGAGAATACAGCGACGGCATCGTGGTTGACTTAGGTCGCATTTCACGCGGCGCTGTTTACATGGCCAGCAGGACCCCTGAACTGTTCTTTGGCGCTTTGAGGGCATCTCTTCACAACTGCTGTACGTTATGTGTAGAGCAAACTTTGTTGAGGGCGACGACACCTTTAGACGTAGTAGGGGGAACCGATTGAGAGACAGAGTTAGAGAGTGCTGTGAGGGAAGATTAGAGCAGAGTAAGATAGGCTCAGAAGACTGGATCAAGCTTGGCAATAGGCTTGTTAGGAGCGGCTGCTGATAAGGACTGGAGACCCGAGGTATAACTGGCGATGTCTCGAGAAAGGTTGCAGCATCTCGCAGACTCCTTCTTTTATAAATGGGTTCCGCTATTTCTCACTCCTTTGGACTCATATGCCGACAAGAGCTCCGAATTGCCATTTTTCTGGCAAGACCAAGTCACTGACGAATCTTAAGAAGTGTGGGTTGGCTTCTTTGTGGGAAATGCGGGGAAATCGCCTAGGGGACTCAAGGCTCTTATCAGTCGTCCCGAGCATCCAACACTAAAGTGCCGACTCGCAAGCCAAAAGGCTATTTATCCTGCCGAGTCTGGTTAGTGGCTTGTCATGGCCAGAAAAGTTACCAAAAGTGGCCTAGGTTGATTAAAGAGTTGGTGCAGGGACCAAGTAACAGCCCAAAAGATGGTAAAGTAGTCTATCTATGACTTCTTTATTTAAAGGGTTCGTAGCTTGCCATGACTGAAGTTTTACAATTCAGCAAGCGCGCCCAGTTGCTTTTCTCGGGAATCTCAACAATGATCTCTACCGGAGGGTTTGCAGTGCCTTCAGGGCCCTTGTCCATTTTAGGCTTCATTTTCTCGGTGGTTACTTGGCTGTTTATAAGGTGGCCATTCCATTCCAAAGCACGAAACATTGTCATAAAAGACAAAAGAGACGAAAAACTGTTCGTCACTCCTCTGCCTACTCTGGTGACCGATGACCCTTTGAGTACCTCTCCCAAACTATATCGTCCATTCAGGCATGGCCCGAATTTCATCACAATGGGCATTCGCAAACTTAGCTGGGACAATTGGATTGAAATGGACTCGTATTTCCTTCGATATCATGACATGAAGGCATCAGAATTGAATAAGGACTTCAATTCTCACGTAAAGTATGTCGATAATCCGACAACAAAAGATGCTTGCTTCGAGCTTTATGAAGAGTTGGTCCGATATTTGACGCATCGGTACCCCAAGATCTACCGCTGGGAGGGAGACAAGGTGCATAACAGTCTGACGAAAGAGATATTTGCTTTCCCAGCATGTATGTCGGGTCTTCTTTTCTTTCATTGAGCTTGATTGGAGAAGCTAAATGGATGTGCCATATAGCAACTCCAGATGAGGCGCTGGCAACTTCAGCTCTTTTGGTTCAGGACGATTTGGTGATCATGGTCGAGAATGACGGCAAGTCCCATCGCAATGAGTCACATATATCAGGATCTGACTAGTCATAGATGGGCATTATCATCTTGATGCCGCTGCAGTATGCCTTCCTGGCTTCTGGCGTCTTAAAGAAAAGTTCCGCATGTCACTCGACACACTGCACTTCGAGGCGGGCGTTCCTCACTATGCTGCTAAGCTTCAAAAGTCAATGAATCGATTCTTCCAGAATCTCACACCTGACAAGCCAGTGGAAAGGAACAATGTATGACACCAGCCCTTTGCCATATGGTTTGCTACAATGCTCACAGTCTCGCTAGTTTTTCATTCAGCTTGACGACGGGCTCCATTGGTCACATCGCATGGGTGACCAAGCAGGCACAGAAGTTGCATGTAAGTCATTAGTTTGAAGAAGACATAAATAATGTACTAATCAACACGGTTTACATAGCATGGGCTACGGCAAATAGCAACGATCTCTCCATTGATGAAATACACTTCCGCTCCGAGCGACAGACTCTTCGTCGACTACCGCGCTCTAAGGCTGTGATATTTACGGTTCGCACATATTTTGAGCCAGTAACACGGATCGCTCAGGAGCCGCATATCCCCGGTCGCCTGGCAGAAGCTATTCGGAACTGGGATGAGACTGTGTCCTTCTATAAGGGAAAGTCCCATTGGGACAAGATACTGCTCCCATATTTGGATGAGCAGGATCGACTTCAGAAAGAGCGAGGAGTTGTGGAGCAAAATGAGGAGGTTTTATTTCCTTATTAAACATTAATTGTAAATCACGCAATAAGAACAGTATTTATGACGCTATTCTAGAAATTTGTTCACGACCTCAAGAAATTCGTTCGGTTTGGAAGAGAAGACGACATGTCCGGCATCAAAAAGCTCGAGTTGCGATCCTGGAATAGACTTTTGAACAAGATGTGCATTCTCAACTGGGACGATATCTTTAGTTCCCCATATGATTAAAGTAGGCACACGTATAGCCTTTGCCTCACTTCGAAGATCATGGCGTTTGTCAAGAAAGCTTCGCCACATAGCGGCCGCGACCGAAGCTCCCTCCCATGTCCTCGCTCGTGATGCCGCCTTTTGCAAGATTGCTGTATCGCTTGGTGTCTGTGGTTTCATATACGCCGGAATCATATGGGGCAGTGCGACGCGTGATACTGTAGGAAAGCCAAGGAGATAACAGAATGTGCGAATAAAAACATTCCAGAGGGGGAAACCGCCCGTATTCACTAGGATGAGGGACTGAACACGATCTGGGTGTGTGATGGCAAGTCTTGCGGCCGCAAAACCACCCACCGAGTTGCCGATGATGATGGCAGGTGGTAGATCAAGAGCTGTTACGAAGTCCTCGAGGACCTCTGCCATCAAGACCGCGCTCGGATCTCGTGATTTGGTCGTGGTTTCTCGCGAGGCCCCATGCCAAGGCCAGTCAAGTGTTATTGTTTGAAACCGATCGGCTAGTTGAAACACGATCGGGTCAAAATCATGGCTATCGTGTAGCGAAGCGTGCAACATTAGCAAGGGGCGGCCCTCTCCAAGAATGGTATAGGACACATCCCCAGCCCGAGTTGCTACCGAAGCTGTCATGTCGGTCTTTGGACTCCGTTCACCCTAATGGAATAAAGCAGAGAAGCGAAGTCAACTGGGCAGTTATGACACAAACATATATGCTTCGCCCTCGGATCAGCGCGGCGCTTTTTGGAGAGAAATACGAGAATACGAGGTTCTTAGAGTGTCAGCATGCGATATGGCCACTCCGTGTAGTATTATTCGATTATTCGAAGTTCTGGTTGGACTAAGGAACTCTAATCTGACTCGAGTCGATGGATACGAGATCACTCTGCCGGATCTTATGCTGGCATAAATTAATATATTTATTTTGACTGGTCAAGGCGACAAGAAGTGACACGAGGACTATCCGGGCAATCCGTTCACGTCATCGTATAAGGGAAAGAAGTGTCCTGAAACAAAAGACGGCCATTTGTCGGACTGTGCTTTACTCGGTTCGGGATCTTCCGTGTCGATCCCGATGGACTCCGTGGCTTGTTAGCCAAGACACGCCAGCCGATCCACCGCGATCATCATTCTAATTGTACTACATATACGCGGACCAAAGCTGGCCCGTCTGCCAATGGTTCATTCGGCTGCTTTGCTTCGTGATCGGCCTTCCTAATCTCCGGCCGATCGGCCCGAACCCTGGAGGATCAACATGATATGATCAAATCACAAAGACGATAGAGAGTGGTGTCTCATATGCCCAGGACCACGCTGAAGATGCAAGGGATCAAAATCACTTCTTGAGTGCATACATAAAGGTTGAACGTATCCGACAAAGCTGCTAAGAACCAAATCAGTATATCCGATTCAAAATGGTTTGCCTCGATATCTTTACGCTGGCCTTGCTAGCACCTACAGTTGCATCTTCAGCTCTGCACCCGTCCCGTCGCCAGTCGAGCGTAAGTGGATTTATCCAGACGGAGTCGACAGTTTCCCTTCAAGGTGTACTCAACAACATCGGAGCGAATGGTAGTGGAGCAGCCGGGGCTTCTTCTGGCATTGTTGTGGCATCTCCCTCCAAGTCCAACCCAGACTGTTAGTGCCCACTAAAGCTATTTCCATCACATATATTGACGATAATCAGACTTTTATACCTGGACTCGAGATGCAGCATTGACCGTGACCATGCTTGTTGACCGTCTTATTGCGGGAGGCAGCTCACTGGAGTCCGTGATCCAGCAATACATTACTGCACAAGCCACGCTTCAGACTGTCTCTAACCCCTCTGGAAGCTTGTCTGATGGCTCAGGCCTAGCAGAGCCTAAGTTCAATGTTGATGAGACTGCATTTACAGGCTCTTGGGGTCGTCCTCAGCGGGATGGACCTGCTCTGCGGGCAACGGCTCTCATTGACTACGGCAACTACTTGATTTCCAAGGGAAAGGAGTCGGTTGCCAAGTCGAATATCTGGCCAATCGTATCCAACGACCTGAACTACGTGGCTCAGTACTGGAATCAAACTGGATATGATCTCTGGGAGGAAGTCCAGGGGTCCTCTTTCTTCACGGTGGCTGCTCAACACCGTGCGTTGGTGGAAGGAAGCACTTTCGCCCAGGCTCTGGGAGAAACTTGCGACGGCTGTAATTCCCAGGCTCCTCAGCTCTTGTGTTTCCTTCAAGACTTCTGGAATGGCACAGCAGTTATCTCCAACTTGGCGAACAATGGACGATCGGGTCTGGATGCAAACTCTTTAATTAGCTCGATCCACACTTTTGACCCCAGTGCTTCCTGCGACGACGCTACATTCCAGCCGTGTTCACCCCGCGCGCTTTCCAACCATAAGCTTGTCGTCGACTCTTTCCGTTCCATCTACACCATCAACAGTGGCAACAAGGCCGGGTCCGCTGCTGCGGTTGGGCGTTATCCCGAAGACACCTATCAAGGCGGCAACCCATGGTATTTATAGAGCCCCATTTCACATCGACCAGTAGAGCTAATATGTCTCTAGGTATCTGGCAACGCTTGCAGCCGCTGAGCAGCTCTACGATGCACTTTACCAGTGGAAAACTCAGGGATCTCTGTCAATCACACAGACAAGCCTCCCGTTCTTCCAAGACCTTGTGTCTTCTGCTGCAGTCGGTAACTACTCAAGCTCATCATCCACCTACTCGTCTATCACGAGTGCCGTTCAGGGATATGCAGATGGGTTCGTGTCAATCGTTCAGCAATATACCCCCAGCAACGGATCTTTGGCTGAGCAGTTCACCCGTGACAATGGTACGCCGACTTCAGCAGGCGACCTGACCTGGTCCTATGCCGCTTTTCTGACTGCCGCATCTCGGCGCAATGGAACTGTGCCTTCCAGCTGGGGAGCCTCCAGTGCCAACACTGTTCCTAATCAGTGCCAGGGTGGCTCGGCTACTGGATCATACGCGACTCCGAGCGTCGGTTCATGGTAGATGGAAGGGTCTTCGACTATGGAAAAGGGATGCAAAAATATGACAGCACCAAGCATACAGGTCGTGATGGGTCCGTAGAAGCGGTCACAATTTAGTTTTAGTCGGCACGATGGCTACAGTGGTTTCCTTGTAGCTGATTTCAAATGCCGAGGTATGCGTATGTACATGTTTGGTTCGAATATGATTATAAATTATCCCTATCAACCTTCCCGCCTCAGAATAGCCATGTGACAAATCAAAAAGCAGGCTCTCGTGTCACCGTAATTGTTGTATGCTGGTACACTTGAGAAACAGGTGCGAGTTCAATCCCTTCTTTGGGAACAATCGCATCGGTAGAGGATCCCCTCTGGTAAGTCGTGCAGACTGTAGAGACTGGACCCTGGTTTTCTGACTTCATTGAGTATATATTTCCTTGCTTTGACTTCTTGTGCCCACTTTTGGAGAGGTCATGGTACCCATCATCTCTTTTAGTTCTCGTCTCGGAATCCAAGACGATACTCTTTCGAGTCAGAGTGTATTGAAGAGTATCGCAGAATCCGGAAAGCGTCATGAGGGCGCCTGCAACACAAAAGTATGCAACGCTCGGGCTGTGTCCACTCACAGAGGCCATCCGACCAGCGGATAGCGGTAGCGTCAACACGATGTACACGATGGGATAGAGGACCATATAGGACACGACTCGTTTGAGGCGGCGAACACTTTCGGTATAGCTTTGCCCAAGGATTGCTGACTGCGACATCCGGCGTCGTAGCTGGAAGAACATGATGGCGTAGAGAACGAGGTTGAAAAATTGAGCAGCAAAGATCCAGAAATAATGTGTCCAGAGGCGGAGCGATGGGTGTTGCGTGGTCATCCAACACTGTCAGAGTAGAGAAAAGTCAGCCATGCTGCCTAATTACGGCAAATATGAAGATTTTTCAGTACATACCCAGGCCACGGAAGGCATCCAAACGTGTGGACCAACAAGTGCAATTGGGATAATGACTAGGATTACCCCAAAGATCCATAACCCAACCACGATGGCCACAAATGTACGATGACTGAGCTGACGACCCATTGTTACTTGCATAAAGGTATGCAAAGCAATTGCGAGTACAAACAATCCGCTCATGGGATCACCAATCTGCAACCAAATTCCTTGCAAGAAGCATGCTGGGTCCTCTGCATGTAAAGAGTTCTTGGCAATCCATTTCAAACTCACAATGAACCCCAGGCCCTGAATGAAGTCGGCTAGCGCCAAATTGTACATGAGAACGACATATTGATTGTAGCCAATATAGCGCTTATAGTACTTTTTCCAGAAGATAAAGCGATAAGTGAAGAAGCATAGCAAGCTCAATGTGGATATCAGAGAGACACTTGCCAACGCCGAGACCACAATCAAGCCCGTTCGTTGCAGCGAAGGCAGCGGATCGATTATCCATGAGCCAGCTGCGGAGTTAGGCGAGTTTGCTGCCACATCTGCTGAGGTGTCCCAGCGAGGCTGAAGTGGTTTGTATGAAGAAGGGGCTTCCGGCGCCAACAGCCACTGTATCGCTAAGGTCAACATGACGCTGACGGTGACTCGCCCAAAAAGATGAAGTTAAGTCACAAGTAAGCGTAGGGCAAGAGAACCCCAATTTCTTATCTATGAACATCGAAAATCTCTCATGGAAGGACCTGCCCCTGAGCAAAGACGTTCAACCTGATGCCCCGCTCTCGACATTTTGGCAACTTCAGAGCGAAGTCCATGGCTATAGGCTCGCCTCGTGGGACTTGAACCTAATTACTACTAACCATATACGAAAAGGACCCTGCTGCCTTCTTCTCAAGTTCTCATAACTCCGCGGGCCCCGCTTATGGAGACAAATCCGGCCACTAGCCTCAGGGGAAAGCTTATGTCCTTGATTGCTCTCCAAAAGTCCACAAAAAATTTGCCATCGTGCGCAATGACCATGGACTAGCGAAGGACGAGTCTTTCTCGTCCGAAAAATGGAAAGGGGTGTTGCAGTCGAGAATATTAGTTCGGTTCATCATTGACTAACAAGAGTTTTCTTGGGTCTGGGTTCTGAAACAAGAAATAGCTATCTCACTTTGGCTAAAACATAACACACCGTCAACCTTTGGTTCAACTCAATTCGATAGCTCACAGCATGACCTTAAAAGCTTGCTGGTGGCGATGGTGATGGGCTCGACGATCGGTTCATTCGGGTGGCGATGAGTTTTGGGGACACCTTTTACTCCACCCTGCTAACGGTTGAGGCAACCGATCGACGCGATCATTAAAACCTACCCCAATACCGTGGCGGCTAATGTCCTGTGATAGAAGCCCTCCCGCGCCCGTGGTGCATCCACCCTTTCATTGTTATCGGGCTAGGATTAGCCTAATCTCCATTGTCAGCCGTGCCTTTTCTGTATATCGTGCTAGCCTTCTGCTTTAGCTCCTTTTTTCGTCAGACTGGTCTGACTGTACCATCCAAATCCACTCCTACTGTAGCATCAACAGATTGCGCTAGCTGAAAAATCTCTGATATGGGTCAAGAGTGGTTTGACTGGTTTCGAGTGCAAGCTGACCTCACAAAGATAGTTGTATAATTTTCTCGCAGATGGAAGCATGGTATATATTTCACACAGAACTGATGCTAAAATCTGGCATAATCCGGTTCGACCCGGCGTTTGCTGTTCATCCTTACCCCCTCCATGTTACCATGTATAAAATTCTGAACCCAATGATGACTCCGTTACTAGTACAATAGTTAACTGACTGTAACTAGAAGCTTACCAACCTTAAGGGTCACTCTTGCTTACTTAGGATCATCTGCCCACCTGGGCAGGATATTCGGGTTGTTGTGAGGCTAACGCTAAGTGTTCCGTGGCTCCGTGCTGACTAGCGGCTCAACTACGCCTCCTTGTTATGCTTTTACTAAGTATCTATACGTATAGAATCTTGATACTAACTTCTAGAATAGGACGTTGAAAGATTCTCCAATTGTTCACTGACGAGAATGACAGTCTAAAATACAAAAGCAGTGTAGAGCTGTTGCGCTTCCGTATTGGAGGGCGTATGTATCCATATCCATGAATGATGAGAGTAGCTGTCGGCGGAAATATATACTTCATCCTTATTTGGTACCTATCAGGTTGGTATATCTCTTCACTCCCGCACGTCCCAGGTACACCTAGGTTTTACTCAGCTTTATGAGCTATTCGCAAGAATCCATCCCCAACAATGGATTCTCTTCTCTTGCCCTCGCTTGTTGTTGCCCTCTCTTATGCCAAGGCCAAGGTCGGTGGGGCTGGCCGGCAGCACCGAGTCCTGAGATTTGCCGTGACGGCAACACCCGTTCGGGGACCATTTAGTTGGGCGTCTAGGTATGGAAATCAAGCTTGATGCACAACCTGCTGGTCAATTTAAATGAGACCTTCATTCCTGATTCAATGGAGAACACGTCAGTTTGTATATGCCGAGAGTTGATGTACCGAAATTGAGTCATGACTCCCCACATCATTAATCGTGGTTCCCCCGATCGCTGGTCTCGCTTAGTTTTTGGCGCGTTTCAAGATCTCGGTACTTGCGGCGAACTCCATGCCACCAATTAATCTCAGACGCGAACTAGCTCGATTCAAGCCTTGTGTTCCTGACGAATAGAGGATTATGACAGAATTAGCTATCCCGATTAATACACGGAAGGATGTGAGTGTTTCGCATTTTTAGCACTGAACCGAACTCAAGAAGCGCATGGATATGCGATCCTCATAGTACATCTGCCTTGTTCTAGATGGAAAACATCTGTGCTTTTTACCAGGCTTAGATTAGACTAAACAGAACAATAGATATGTGACAGCGAGATCTACATAGTAAGTTCCCTGCTATCGAAGAGTACGCGGTAGCCACAGGAAGTTATGAAACACACTATGCAAGGCGAAATTGACGGCTGATGCCGCCATAACCAAATGATATCTCGATCACGATCCCCAGTGTACACAGTCGAGGACCTTTAATTTCCCTGTACTCTAATTGTCGCTCGTGGCTAATACTAGCGCAGATGGGCTCTAAAAAAGCTCTGCATTACCGAGAGTGGTCGGATAGGAAGAGTTCAACTGAAAAGCCTTAAATAGACGCATCTTCCCTTGACTTTGAGCTCCTCAGGACAAAAAGTCGTTTCGATTTGCTTCCCACACCTTCGCTTCTTTGGACTTCATTGACTGAAGTCCTTTTCCATTCTTTGCTCTCTTTCAAACCCAATTCCGCTGTGCGTGATTTGACTACTTTTGACCATGTCTCTCTCCAAGACTGCAAGTGTTCTCCTTGCTTCGGCTGCGCTGGTCGCAGGCCACGGATATGTCACGAGTATTGACGTGGACGGCACGACTTATGGAGGCTATCTGATTGATACCTACTACTATGAGTCCGATCCTCCCGAGCTGATTGCTTGGTCCACCACCGCTACCGACGACGGCTATGTCGCTCCTACTGCATATGACAACTCCAGCATCATCTGTCACCGTGGTTCGGCACCGGCAGTTCTCTCTGCTCCTGTTGCCCCAGGTGGCTCTGTCAAATTGACCTGGAGCACTTGGCCTGATGATCACCACGGTCCCGTCATCACCTACATGGCAAACTGCAACGGCAACTGCTCCGACGTGGATAAGACCACCCTGGAATTCTTCAAAATTGATGCCGGTGGTTTGATCGATGATACTACAGTTCCTGGAACCTGGGCTTCCGATGAGCTCATCGAAGATAGCTATAGTCGCACTGTCACCATTCCCACCGATATTGCGGCCGGTGATTATGTTCTTCGCCACGAGATTATCGCTCTGCACGGTGCTGAGGACCTAGATGGAGCTCAGAACTACCCTCAGTGCATCAACCTCAAGGTTACTGGCAGCGGTACTGCAACTCCCAGTGGCACCCTCGGTACCGCACTGTACAAGGATACTGATCCCGGTATCTACGTCGACATCTGGAACACTCTCAGCACTTATATCATTCCCGGACCTACTTTGTATACCGCTGGAAGTACTGCCACAGCTACCAGTGCCGCGACTACCAGTGCTGCTACTTCTAGTGCTACCACTACTAGCGCTGCCACCAGTGTTACCAGCGACGCTGCAGACACTACAAGCTCCGCTGCCGAGACTACCCTCGCATCCCAGACCACCCTTGCTACTACTTCCCGAGCCGAGCCCACTGGCCAAGCTCAGCCTAACCACCCTGAGCGCCCCGTCGCCGGTGGTGCTTTCTCCAGCGCTTCTGATGCTGCCGCCACTACTACCACCTCTTCTAGCTCAGCCGCTACGACCTCGGGTGTTCTCAGCGGTGCTTGCAGCCAGGAGGACTACTGGTACTGCAATGGTGGAACCGCTTTCCAGCGCTGCGTTAATGGCGAGTGGGATGCTTCTCAGAGCATGGCTGAGGGCACCGAGTGCACTGCTGGTATCTCTGAGACCTTGACTATCTCTGCTTCTTCTAAGAGACGCCGGGAGGTTGCTCACCTGCGCCGCCACCATGTTCGCCTTGATCTCGAGTAGAAAGCAGTGAGAATTTAATCACGGATATTCTATCTACACTTGGGTCGTTGGAGATCTGATGGCCGTTGGCATGTTGAGGGTGACAATTTCCCCCGTTATCGAGATGTTTGTATAGATACGCAATGAAGTGATGTTCAGCGATTTTCAACCCAAAATTATACCTAAATACCTTTGCTTGAGATTAAACCATACTACAAAGGCTTTCTGTTTTCTAAAAATACATTCTTGAACTAAAGTTACTAAATGTAGCGCCAGTAAAGAAAATGAGCTAATCAGAGTCCGAGAGGGTCTCGAAACCTCCTCAAACCGTTTATCATCACTTTCAGTCAACCTTACTCACTACTATATTATGGAAAATTCATTTTCCGTCGGAAATAGTAAGGGATAAGCGCTATGGACAGAACTGGATGCTTACGCCTATCTAAACAAGATAATTAGTTGAATGTACGATGTCATCTCACTTCGCCCAATGAGCTTCCTGTGATGCATCCTACTGTATCAATTCAATAAAACACCCACCAATATGTGCGTTGGGCGCCTTATCTGAAATAAATAGGTAGCCTCCCCCGCAGTCCGCAACTTCCAACTAAGGTTCACAAACAGTGCAGCAATATTAGTAATAATCTTATACTCAATATGGCTCCACAATTGACCTGGCTTGTGACAGGCTGCTCATCTGGCCTGGGAGAAGCTATGGTTAAGGCTATCTTATCGAAAGTGGGTACAAGCAGTAAGCAGTTACCAACGTATCTAGTCTGACTTAATCTAGGGAGACAAAGTCATCGCTACTGCTCGTGCGAGCCAAGGCATCAGCGGCTCTGAGCGTCTATCCGCATTGGAAGAAGCCGGTGCTGCTGTACTCGAGTTGGACGTCACCTCTCCCCAGGAAGAATTAGATCAGATAGCGAAAACAGTATGGGAAGTATATGGGCATATCGACGTACTAGTCAACAATGCTGGGTACGGTGAAAGTGGAATTATGGAAGAGATGAGGTCAGTACCCCAGAACTCGGCCCAATTTCTTTCGTTAGTCGTTAGAATCATCGCGCTGAATGATGAACAGCGAGGAACTTATTACATGTTCCCTTCGCGCAAATGCCCTTGGGCCCATAAATTTGACGAGATCTTTTCTCCCCATGATGCGCGCTCGCAAGACGGGCACCCTTCTCTTCGTTGGCTCAGTCAGCATCTATTACACCATGCCGACAAGCGGCACTTACATTGGATCTAAAGCTCTGCTCGAGGGCCTGGCAACCAACCTTGCAGTGGAAGTTGCTCCATTTGGACTCCGCACCTCGATCCTCACTTTTGGTCATTTCCGCACCGATCTTTTACTACCCAATAAACGACAGTATCGTCCACCAAACAAGGTATCCGACTATGAAGAGATAAACAGTGTCATGGAAGAGCGTATTAAAAAAGCTCATGGGACCTGGCCGGGGGACGCGATGAAGGGATGTGAGCTGGTGGTGGACGCTGTTAGAGGCGAAGGGACTTGTTCTGGTAAAGAGCTTCCCTTGCGTTTACCCGTTGGATCAGATACATTCGGTATTATGCGTGACGATCTTCAGAAGAGGCTACAGGTCTGTGATGAGTGGGAGGATATCATGTCCAAGACAGACTATGAATAGATGTTTTGATTGAGAATCTTCGATATGACACTAGTTGAAGTTGTCCTTCAGAGGACAGACATCAAATGGAAATGATCGTTTCTGTGCAAGACCACAAATAAAAGGATCTAGCCCTATCAGGAGAACTGATCCGCAACGCTGGCTTCTGCTGCCAGTGCCAGCACCGACCTCTTCTCTTTCTCAACCCCCAGTCGTCGCTGGGCTGTATCGCAATGCACTATATTCCCACATTCGCATTCACCTCCATCTCGGAGCCAGCGATAAGTAATACTCCAGCGATTGGTGCGCGGCCGTTGCGTCCCATCAGCTAGAATATCATTCTTTCGCTTCTTAATGCCATGGGTCCAATGCAACCTTGAGTCGCCCGCCATCTGCATCATGCTTCGAGGAGTCAAATCAATATCGACTCGCTCTTCTTCCCTTCGAAACTGCATAACCGCGGGCCCGCCGAGTGATAAAGCGTAGAGCTGGTCATATGGACCGTGTGCGTCTACGTGCGGCGGGATACCGGCACCTGGTGGATAGTACTGCAAGCAGACTTGATCCGGAGGACGGGTCTCGGTAGTCGGAATCAGCGGCTGAAGCCATTCCGGAAATTCCTTATGGGGGATATCCGGATCTATGCCAAATGTCTTATAGTCGAATGTGTAGCCGTAGTGGAGTGAAAGACGGCCAGGGCGATCGGCCCATTCTAGCTCATTTTGGAAGATCGTGATGAGCTGTTGCTCATGTTCGGGGTCGATGAAGTCATCTTTCCAAAAGATGCCCTGGGGCTGGATAGGCAGCTCTTTGAATTTGCTCCGCTCTTCCATGCCCCGACTTGAATTTTCATTGATGTGATGAAACGTGCAGGATGGGCGCTGGGAAATTGCTCGCACGTGACGGTGGAGTTTGCCATGTTTGCAGCCCCACTCCTATCGAGAGATAAGGAGAATGGTTGATGTCTCCATGATTGTTGAAATGATCTGAAACAAATATATTTAATGGATTCTTTACAGAGTAATTAATACATCATACAATATTGGACCCTATACTATGCCAAGGGGCGATCTTTATAACAGCCTCCCGTCTCCATACCCTAGCTTTTGTCGAGATGGTGGCTAGGATTACCTCTTGACCGAGTCTTAACAGAGTCGATTCTTTGTTTGCCATGATAGCTAATGCAGCCCCTTCTAGGTCTACAGTTTATGCGTTGTAGGGTGGTCTAGAGTCGAGAAAATCAGCCCTAGCCCCCCAGCCTCCTGCTTTTCTTTGCCCTTAGTGTTTGTTTGCCGACCCACAGCCAAAGCACAAAAGCAACTATCCCGGTTGAGCCATGAAGGTGCATAATAATCGAGCTGCCTACCATAGGATAGGGGTTTTTTGACCAAAATCTTATTAACTCAAAATCCCGTTACAGGGACGCATGGGATTCGAAAATGACCATGAACTACAGTAGCTAAAACCCTTGGAGTGGATCCGGGGCGTCCAGGGGGAGGCGGGGTTGTCCGAGCGAACCCATCAATGCCGTGTCCAATCAAGTGAAGATATTTTCTTTTTCGTTAGACTCGCTGACCCCGGATCGTCCCTATTGACCTCAACGCCAATCCCCCGGTGGTCGTCCCAAGAGGAGGCGTCGAGAGTCCAACACCTCGTGAACTAATATCATTTCTCGTTTTGGCTCAACACAGTTCACGCCTCTTGTTTAAGGTTTAACTTGGGCCGGGTTTTTGTGGCCATTCTCAGCTCATTCCGACTTTTTATAAGTAAACTATCGCACACATAGCTGCATCTTACCCCTCTTCCTGCATTAGCCCCGCAGACGGCTGCGGCATCGTCTCTTACCACCGAGGTAGCTGGGTTATAAGACAGGAGTTGTCACATGGATCAGCGCCTGGACACTGTCGTCGATCCCTATCTATTGGCTCTGTGCTGATTTCATGGTTGTGTGGTCATCCTTGACATGCAGATCCTTCTGGCTTCAGCTGTATAAGATTAACACCCTGCCGTCGTAGCTTCAAAGCGTCCACAAGATCCTTCCATCTTCCAGCACTCTACGCGATTCCCCTTTCGTTCCCTTCACGGACATCTTTATGAATACAACCATGGAGATTGAGCCCGGATATGTGGGCAACCTTGACTCAACACAGGAGCAGAAACTCCAACAGTTCTGGAGGATCTTGATGCAATCCTGGGACACGGAGCTTCCTCCGTTGGATCCAGCCCGCAGATCTTCAATTTCATCAAATGCTACCAGCAAAGGAAATCGGCGCTTCTTCTCTCTTGGTCGGTCACCAGCCCAGCCAACGGAGGAAGAACTTGCTGCGATTCCGGCAAACCTACTATCAACTCTCAAAAGCCTTGATGCTGGGCCAAGCGAGCTGAAGGTAGTCGGATCCCTCCTGATCAAACTTCCTGGAGACAAACTGCAATCTGCCTTTTTGACTCTCCTCAAACAAGACCATCCTGACGCGCTCCTATTGCGCTTCCTCCGTGCAGAGAAATGGAATGTTCCCAAGGCGTGGATTAAATTTGTTTCGTCATTGAATTGGCGAGTCAATGAATACAAGGTCGACGAAGAAGTCATGATTAAAGGAGAGGAACATAATCTTCAAAAGTCGCGACTGGAGGATAACTCTGCCGACAAAAAAGATGGCGAGGGCTATGTGCTTCAACTCAACTCCGGAAAGGGGTACCTACATGGTTGCGACAAATGGGGCCGTCCTATTTGTGTCGTTCGAGTCCGAATCCATGACCCGAGTCAACAAACACAAAAGGGCCTGTTTGACTATATCATTCATTGCATCGAATCTGTGCGCTATTTACAAGTGCCACCTGTCGAGTCAATGGTAAGATCTTCAGTCTTTCGGCCCAGCTTTACTGATCATCCCCTTCTTAACCTACATTTGGATTTTTGTTCAAGGCTAATATGCTGGATTTTCAGGCTATTGTGTTCGACCTTACGTCCTTCAGCCTTTCCAATTGGGTAAGCCAGAATTTTCATGTCGATTTCTGTCATATGGTGCTGACTCATTGCCATAGGACTTCCCTCCTGTCAAGTTCATCATTGATAGCTTCCAAGAGAACTATCCCGAATCGCTCGGGGCTATGATTTTCTACAATGCGCCTTGGATATTTTCCGGTTTGTCTCACATATCTTGTGCCTCAGAGTCCAATCCGAAACTAACGATTTTCTCCCTGATTTAGGATTCTGGAAGATCATCCACGGAATCCTCGACCCGGTAGTCGCATCTAAGGTTCACTTCATCAACGGTGCGAAAGACTTGGAGAAGCTAGTTCCAAAATCCCAAATCTTGAAGGAAATCGGCGGCGAGGAAAATTGGGACTACAAGTACATCGAGCCCGTACCCCAAGAGAACGACAGGCTGAAGGATACAGCCACACGGGATGTCATCCTTGGTGAGCGGAAGAGCCTTGGAGACGAACTATTCAGTGTCACCGCCAATTGGATTTCCCAAACCGACGTCGAGTCTTCGCTGGTTCGTCGTGACGAGGTGATCAAACGCTTGAGTGCGAACTATTGGAAGCTTGATCCTTACGTGCGCGCTCGGAGCCTCCTTGATCGTACCGGTGTTATCAAAGAAGAAGGAAAGATTGATTTCTATCCTACTAAAGTTCCGAACAAGGTCGATGAGAAGTTGAGTGTGGTGACTGAGCACATTGATGAGGCACAACCAGCGGCAGTGACTGCTTGATCTTTATGTGCAGATGTCTGAATGGGCTTGGGGTTCTTGAGTCGAATGGCGTTAGATACGGCTCGAAATCTCTTTTCTTTGCAATACGCACAAAGTCTCTACATTTTAGACTAATACCAGAACGTCTTTCATGCGAGCTTCAGATTTTCATTGAGTTATGGCTGTAGAGAACCGTGAATGTAATTCAATAATCTCAACCGTCTCTCTTATTTTGGATTACTTATTAGTCTAGCCAAACCTACTGAAGCAGAGATCTGGGACACTTAATTTACAACTCGAGGACACTTCGTATCATGCTTCCTTGGTGGCACAACCCCGCAAAGTTCCGGTCCCTCACACGTCATTTTTGCGACTTACTCATTGAAGCTTATCCCCTCCGACTCGGATCTATACCAGTTTTGGAAGCAAAGATCCGGTGATAAGGAGTCATGATTGGATCTGACTAGTGTCGTGCGCATATTCCCCATCCGCATGCATCCAGCCTGCAACGTTGGATAGCATGGTTTACACTTCACTACAGAAAATAGAATGCTTAGAAATACGGTTCACTCAATGGCATAACATTATGCCGATTTCTAAAAAGTACATATATCTTCTTGTCTAGCTTTCAGTACTCCTAATATGATAGAGTTATCCAAGCGTACTATTTACCATGGCGCTAACTCTTCTTGATTTATCTCTGATTCCCTCTTATGTGCTGATTGCTGGGGTTGCAGCCCTTGCACTTTCCGTCTTGAAAGCACTTCGCTTCTTCCAAGGTAAGTGAATGTCAGTCAAAGACAAGTATTCATGCAAATTAACTAACAGAACTCTAGGCTGGCAGTACTGTCGCGAGAATGACTGCAAACCACCGGTCCATACCGTGTCCCACGGCCTTCTCGGCCTCGGGATGGTAACAGAAATGCTTTCAGCCGCCAAAGAAAATCGATTCCTCGAGCATGTCCGCGGCTGGCATCGAGCTTACGGTGTGACCTTTAAGGCCAAAATGATCGGTCGCCAAGTCATATTCACCGTCGAGCCCAAGAACGTACAAACAATCTTGGCTCTCAAGTTCAAAGACTTTGAGCTTGGAGATTACCGGAACAAAGCCATGCGCCCACTCTTGGGGTATGGCATCTTCTCTACCGATGGCAGTAAATGGGAACATTCGCGTGCTCTTATCCGTCCAAATTTTACTCGCAACCAAATTACCGATATCAATGTTTATGAGACTCATGTCAAGGCGCTCATTGATAGAATCCCGCGGGACGGGTCGACGGTGGATATGCAGGATCTTTTCTTCCGGATGGTAACTCGCTCTTTTAAATTTGTCGTCCTTTACTAACAATTTACAGACCCTGGACTCAGCAACAGAGTTTTTATTTGGAGAATCTGTTCATTCACTGAATGACACTGTTCCACTTTCAGCGTCGTCCTTCGCCAAAGACTTCAACAAGTCCCAAGAGGGACTAGCTCTCCGCAGCCGACTAGGATCTCTTATGGGTCTACACTTTGACAAAGAATTCTCTCAAGCGGTGGTCAATGCCCGTGCGTACGTCGGCCGATTTGTGCAAAAGGCAATTGACTATCGAATGGCGTTGGAAAGTGGCAGTGGCGAATCGCAAAAGCCACATGAACTTGATCAGCACTACGTGTTTTTGTATGAGCTATCCAAACGAACACTCAACAAAACAGAACTCACCGATCAACTTCTAAATATCTTACTGGCGGGTCGAGACACAACCGCCAGTCTCTTGAGTATCACGTTCTTCGTCTTGGCGAAAAGACCCGATATATGGAACAAGTTGAGAGATGAGGTTCTCAAACTCGACGGCCGCAAGCCATCCTTCCTGGATCTGAAATCCATTTCTTATCTAACCTGGGTTATGAATGAGAGTATGTGTACACACTGCCAAGGGAAAGCAATCTCTAGCAATCTCTAACGTACGGTTTTCAGCTTTGCGGCTCTATCCCGTTGTCCCGATTAACGTACGCATGGCCAACAAAGACACTCACCTCCCAGTTGGAGGAGGCCCAGACGGCAAGGACCCAATTTACATCCCTAAAGGGCAAGAGGTGATGTACACCGTATACACCATGCATCGCCGACAAGACATTTTTGGACCAGATGCAGATGAGTACCGGCCAGAGCGTTGGGAGAAACTTAAGCCAGGCTGGGCATATATTCCATTCAATGGTGGTCCCCGTATCTGTATTGGACAACAATTTGCCTTGACTGAGGCAGGATATTGTATCGTCCGAATCATGCAGGAGTTTGAGGCTATTGCTAGCAGAGACAACAGGCCTTTTGAGGAGGCATTGACGTTGACTTTGGCTAGTTTCAACGGTACGAAGGTTTCTATGACGCCCGCCCGGAGCTAGTTTGGGATTTGGAGGAATTTCTATTTAGGGGGCATACGATAGGTAGCACTACGCTTATTTATGTGAGTTATTATGAATTATATAAGCTCTAACAGGAAAGACAGCCAGTTGACCGGTGCTTCTCCTATTCTCCAAAATGTACGATTCCTACCTATACGTTCAAGCGAAAGGGCTTTGAGTTGAAGATTTTTTTCCATTATAATGATGTTTGGCCTGTCTTACGTTGTACAAATATTGATCTGCGACATAAGTTTGAAATCTCGCCACCGCTGGGCAGGGCAAATCCAGGCTATTGATCCGCCGGTACGATATTCATAAGTGGTGGCATCGCTGTACCGAGGGTCTCCGTCATGCTGCTATCACTTGAAGAAGACCGTTCCCGGAAACGACAGTCGTATCCCGGGCCCGTAGTAAAAGCGACTTTTTGAATAACACTCAAAGCCCAGGTAGTAGCAGTGTTAGCCTCCCAATACAACTCACGCAAACTGCTCATGACGTCCAGGCAAAGTTGGAAATTTTGTACAGCTTCGTCGCGCTCCTCAGGACGGGGGGTCTTCATTTCAGAAATGTGAATAATCAATGCGACAAGAATAGCCGTAACGCCAACAACGGGTAGTCGGTGTTGCAAATTTCGTTGATACAATTCTGAAGTAATGCGGGAAATCTGATTGGCGGCAAGTTGAACGCAGGACTTTGAGGAGGGGAAGGGCTGTGATTGATGGAAAACGGCGATGGTGGTGTAGAAGATCATGTGGAGGATATTGCGCTGGAGGATGACGGTGGGTTCTTCGTCGATGCTGTGTGGTTCGATTGGACAGGCTTGACAAGGTGGTGGGAGGGTGTTTGCCCATTCTGCTAGCTCCATTTCCGAAGAGCAGATTCGGCTGGTATAGTCATCGCTGGGACTTGCCGAGGGGGAGTTAGGTGAGACTGCATTATGGTTATTTTGTTTGCCCTGGAGATCTAAGACATTGCTGATGCAGGTGCATAGTTTGGCTGTGGAGATGCAAACATGGGCCAGATCTCTTTGCGCCTTGACATTCCTGACCAGCGTGCACTCAGGAGAGAGTATCTGGTTTTCCAAGGGAAGTGTATAAAGCTCAAAGTCCTCCTCCGTGAGAAGTGGGTGGCAAAATTCTGCTCGCTCGATGGCGGCTCGGCATCTAAGCCGTAATGAGATTACACAGTCCGTCGTATAGCATGCCCATGCGATGCGTTTCCACAGCTTTGGGCTGTAGTTAAAATTCATTATAATCGAAGCATCTTGGAAGAGGCCGATTGACCGAGCCACGGTGATGGCAGCTTTTATCCAGTGACGACTGTCCTGGCCATCCGCTGTGTCCAGCCTGTAGGTCATTAGAAGCAACGACTGGACGATGGTCAGAGGATCTGATTCGTAGTTTGATTTATATAGAAGCTACTCTTTGATTAGCGTACATCGTAAGCCTCGAAACGCAGGGGTGACTAACCTTGGTACTCCGAAAGAAAGCTTCGTGAGCCTCCTTTCTGCTCGTATACCCAGCTTCGAGAAGATGCTCCAATTCCACGAAGGTCGTGGCAGAAAACATCACAGCCAGATATAGAAGCAAGCTCAATGATCCATGAGCACCATTTTCATTGCGAATGACAGTCAGGAACTGCTGCCACTCTATGATTGGCATTGATGGCAACACGCTCTCAACAAATGTTCGCAAGAGAGCACTCTGGAGGCGGATGCTCGGTAGAGCCAATACTCCATTCACTCGAAGACAGTCGACTGTCTGTCGGCTCATCATCGGAGGAAGTGGATTGATAAATCCGGGGAGGAGTGCTAGGTGGCCAAAACCACTTGGTGTGCAAGGCGCCGACGAGCCTATGTTGGTGAAAGTATTCCAGAAATCCTCCTCGCTGAAGCTTGTGAATGAAGGGTTCTCCGGTACACGAGGGCTTGACCAAATGCATGAAGGAGACGAATTATGACTTGTAATTGACGGAGATTGCTTCGATATCGCGGTTGAGATCCGCCGCGGCCTGATCCTTTGTGAGTAGGTGGCCAGAAAGCAAACGGCATGGAACTTACTTTTGTCGGCTTTTCCTATTGACTACACATTGAATGCCTTTCCGAGTACAATTTTGGCAAGGGGAACCTGCGGACGCATTGCAGCGTACCTTGGCGATTTGGCAGGATTGGCAGGCCTTTTGAGCTCTGCCAGAGAGGAACATGGATGGTGGTCTTGTGTTTGACATTTTGGCTGAGTATTCGATTGTTACTTCTCGGGGATTAATGTCAAGGAGACTCCATTCGAGAGTTAGGAAATTTATAAGTCCGTAGGAACGGTATCATGGGAGTAGAGAACAAAAACGAGTCCAAAAAAACGGGCACAGGGAAGGCCATTCACATATATAGTCTGGGGCCCCGCAATTTCCAGGGGATCAGGTGGGCTATCTCGTCATGAAATTAAACAGTTCAAAAATAAGCGATGGGGATAGGATCATATACTTGGATAATCGGAGGATTATTACTCAATGGACCCCAGAATGCACGATAAAGGCTGGATGCCATAGAACAACGACGTAACCCGGACAGTTTCTGCTCAATCGGGTTAAGCGCGGTGTTGGGGACAGGACTCGGGACTCGGGAGGGCGTTCGACTAGCGGAGGATCGTGACAAGTGGCCGACCCGGTGTCTTCTTACCATTTCCGGTTGCGCTTGCACTCGTGGCGCCTCAACACGGTGACTATTGAGGGCCTGGGACGCCATTCTATGGATTCAATTGAGTCGATGGAGTCTATCGGCACTTGAGTGGGCTGATCTGGACGCGCTCTGGCTGGTCAACTTAATCGAGCAAGGGGGGAATTTTTCTGCGTAGTGGGGTATTGTCAAAAAAAACAGCTCATGTTCGCATGCCTGTAGTAACACCGCAGGTTCCAATTTTTAATTAGACAGATTGCGTACACCGTATTTCTTATGGAGGGGTTCTCCGGATGGAGTATATAGAGATGACCTGCACGCCCCCTAAATTCTATATATCCCCTGCCAGCCCCTTCCTTCCGACCACTATCGCGCCAGAAAAGGAACCAGTGGCCCTAGCTACAGCCCAGGAAGTTTTACCTTCTTCATCTTCCCCTCTTCGCACCTATTCTCTCTTAGGCTATCTGAGACTAGCCAAGATGAGACACAACGGTGACAGGACTGGCGCAAATTCGCGACTACAAAACTATCATGAATCGTCATTCTGCATACTAGTGTGTGACGAAGCTTGGTCCACTCGTTGACAAGAAAACATAAATATGTGAGTTGCTAACCATACAGAATGTGGGCTATGGGGGCATCGCAACATGAAGCTGTGTCTCAACCACATCAAACCAAAGTCCTTCATACCCCGTCTTCCTACAGGCTCTGACCTGCTTGATGAAGCCTTGGAGTCGCGTTGCACTCCTGCTTTGAACGGCAAATAGCGACAATTTCTCCCAAAGTTTCTCGCCTGGTCCCTCGATTTCAATCATTGCCATCGTCAAAGGGAACACCATAGGCAACGCGGTCGTTTCCTGGACGGCCGACTCAGCAAAATGCGTCATTATGGAGAATATGCTATTTGCAAGATCCCGCGCAGTCTCGTCTTCCACTCCGAGAGGATATCGAAGACGATGAATGATCAATAACGCAGCCAGGCGGTAGGCATTTGCCTGCGTCATCATTGCCAAAACCTCATATTGGCCGTGCTTGAGGAGAATCTCGGGCGTGTTTGGAGGCTTCCAGTCAAGAATGACTCGCTCAATATCGGCGAGTTGCTCATACATTCCGGAGGGTGATTCCCCAATGGCAAGAACGCCGGTCCTCATGGTATGGCTACACACACAGAGATCATAAAGCAGAGGTAGGAGAGTTGCGCAGACACCCGCATATCGATCAACGATGATGCGTTCCGTGCTGGGCATTCGGATGATAGGCACCTCTCGCCGTACTAAACACTCGACCGTATCGACCAACAGCGGTGTCATGAGGATCGTGTCCATGATCGGAAAATGGACCAATCTCGGAATCCAGGCCTTGGTCGACATGAGAGCACTTCGCACAATCGAGTGGGCCGCTGAAGACTCGGGCGCGGTAAGTACATTGAACACGTACATCGTTTGACCCAGAAAGAGTGCACAAGCTGCATCATAGTCTTGGGTAATTTTTACATCCCGCAAGCGTTGCAGGCCCTTTGCAGCTTTTACCATATCTGGCTCCTGCTGGCGTATGACGAGGGATCTTTGATAGCGCGTCATCATCCCCAAAAAAGCCAAGTAACCCTCCGTTAGAGTCGGGCCAGATAAGCATAAGATGGTATAGACAGTCTTTTGCGATTCTGGAGCGAAGCTAGGACCCAGCATGAATGGCATATGTATAACTGAGAATTGCTCCGGGTCCATTACTGTGCGAAGCGCATCGGAAGCCGTTTTAAGGGTGACGGGGGATGCCAACAGTCTCTCCGGTGCCAAGACCACCGTATGGCGACTTTGAGGGGTCCTTACTTCGTCCACCGAGTCATTAGACGGTGATATTGATTTGGACCGTCGAGTAAGTGTAGACTGTGAAGATGAACCCTCACTAGACGTGGACTGGCTGCGCTGCTGTGGCCGTGTCCAGATCTGCTGGTCTGAATCGACGCTCCAGACCTGCATCTCCCCATGAGGAAAGGCCTTCGCGGCAGGGCGGCGCCCTATGCGCCTGTTACGCCGCGAGGTCGAGCATGCAATCTTGAGGCGCCGGCATCTCGTGCACTGCTGATCATTGCCAGTAAATGTGCACTTCTCTTTGCTCGAGTAGCACCGATCGCATGCCTTCAGAACCATGGTCTCTGGTGCTCTAGGGGGTAGAGTCGTAGAGGCCGGCCGAAGGCAGCGGCAAGGCCGATCGGGATCTGGGCTTGGGAGCGAGCAAGGGCAGTTCAAATATATGAGTGGGCTGGGGGGTGTGTGGGCAGATCGGAGTGAGATGGGAGTGGGTTAAAACATGAGTTAGGGTGAGTTAGGGAGACGCGGGATCGGAAGGAGGCCCCCATCGCCCGCACCGCGTTTCCCCGCTTTCCCCGGGATTCCACAAGGAGCCAATAGCCGCGGACCGATGTACATCAAGATTTGCCTCTTTTGGATGCAAAAACGACCTTCATCCAGTGTGCTAGCCCCTTTTTTGTCGGGTATGTGGGCGGTGGCATGAGTTTGATATTGCTTGACAGGTTAGATCTAGATCATTCATGGTTTGTGTGAGATTCTATGAAGATATATCCAACTCAACCCCGGTATTGATTCCCCTTTATTTGGTTCAACATTAAGCCCCTGAATCATTACCCCCTCTTTTAAGCACGGATTTCTAAGCTAGCATTCGAAGCCCCGTCATAGAGTTCTCTCCTGAACTATTAGCCTGCGTTCAGGATATAACTTCTAAAACAGATACTAGAGATAACCATTCGCCTACTGTGGTATTGGGCAAATGCGACGTCGGCTGGACTCACTTGCATCGCCTAGCAATTCTGAGACATGTGGGGCCCACAATAGAGGCCACCGGTAAAGCACAGGATGAAAAATGGCGACATCCACAAGTTTCATTCGCTGCTAGCTACTCAACATCCCTGAGACAATCACCTCTGGATTTTGAGAAAAAAAAGGTCTTTCAAGATCAAGTCGGATCCGACTCGGCCGAAGGTTTTCTTTTTATGCGAACTACAATCGCTCTTGTGCACTAACTTAACTATTGGTGCCTAACATAGGTAAGAGGTCGACTGGTCTCTGCATCGAGAATGACCAACCAAATCGTTCGAATTTCTTAATGATATGGCAATTTTCTGCATATTTGTCAGTTCGCCTCAACGACAATTGATTAAGGATCACGCTTCAAGACCCCTGATTGATTGCCTTACTCTTCATCGATAGGCTCATTAATTGGACACATCGCTTCTAACTTGAGGCAATCTATATTGAGGGTGATCTATGAATTGCAGTGGAAGGCACATGGAATGAACCCCGATAAAGTTATATGTAGTGATATCCCATCTAGACCCAGCTCTAAGATCATCACGCGTTTTACCCTCACCCCGATCAAGCTTTCACCAGGCCCTCTGCAATGCCTTCGAACAATCCTTGCAAGCGCACTCCTTCTTCATCGGCTACTTGCCCGTGCGTCTTAGAGCTTCCGATAGGGTGATAAGGGAACGGTCTAGAATAATGTCAGTTTCAGTCTCTGCGCAAATGCCAGTGATATCGGACAAGACATACCCATATTCAGGAACAAAAGTAATTACGCTATCGGGACCATCTTGCTTAAACCGACTCTGGATAATCTTTGTCCAAATCCTTTCCATGCATAGCCTCTCTTCTTCAAAGACAGGATTGAGTGGCTCTGGGCACTGAGATGCTTGTGTCGTTCCGATCCTGGCATGAATGTGATACACCTGAGACCTCCTTAGTCTTGATTTCCTCGGCCGACATGGTTAACTCACATGTGGGATAACTGCATCGATCATAGCACGATCGCCCTCACCGATATCCAAAAGTCTCTCTAGTCCAACCATCCAGTGAGAAAAGTCGGCGGTAATTCGGAGTCTGCGTGTTTGAAAAATAGGTTAGTACCGGCAGAGACGGAAGAGGTAAATCTCACATACTGGGGAACGGCTTCTAGAATCCTTCGTGTCGCATAAGGCGTGAATAGCGAACGGTTGCGGTGAGTCTCGTGAGTAACACGACCAGTGAGTCCAAGCTCCTTGTCCACTTGGAGCGTCCCTTGATAGAATTTGATGGATTCCTCGACATCCCAAGCGTCCCTAGTAAATTTGAATATGAACAAAGAAAGCTTATTGAGAATACTCATGTTCTTGCCTGCACTCACTCTCCAGACTGAAAGTTAATGGTTATCGGTCGCAGCTGCTTGACCAATTGAAGCAGCTCGCTATAGTTTCGAAGGTGGTCATCTGCCTTCAGGCCAACTGGACGAGGCCCAGCATACATAAACCACGATGAGTGAACCCTAAGCCTTATCAGCAAATAATCCAATTTGTACATTTCGAACAGTCTTTGTTCCGAATGCTCACATCGCGCCGATCTCGAGGCCCGTCTCATCGCAAATTTCCCGTAGACGTGGAAAGTCGCGTTCCGGAACGATTCCATGGATGTCTACCTCTACGCCGACTGAAACAAGGTCAAATTAGCATTGTTTCGTCAATTTAAAAAAACATTTTGAAGCGATATGCCCCAAAACACACCATAACCTTGCTTCTTCAGATACGGGAACAATTGCGCCCAATTGTCCAAGTTGGGACCCGGCGCAATACCCCAGACAGAACGAAGGCGGTCGACTTTCATATTTGCGTTGGTTATAATCTATTTCTTTTTCTTTTGCGCCTCTAGGCAAAGGTCCGTCAAGTTACTTATATCTTTCTGGCATTTTTATCTCCAATGTACACTTCTCCGCACCAACTAGGATACGCGCTTTCACCCTCTCTCAAGAAGGCAATTTTCCCCGCTAGAGTGGGTCCACTAAACACAATACTGTGTTGTGTGATTGGCCAGAAGTCAACATAACGCGGGAATTGTACCTTCAAATGCTCGACGCGTTTGAAATGGTAATCCACTATCGGCGAACACTACCATGTAAGGTTGAAACCCCCACGACATGTATACCCTGATGTCAGAACATGAGGGGATGAGCCTCACAGCCCACTTATTTTCCACTTTCCCATCGCGTCATTATGGAGAGGTTGGCTTCCACAGAAATGCAATATTCCGGTGGGGGGTCAGCGATACAGAACGTCTGTCTACAAAGCAAAGTATGAGATTTTGGCTATAGTCTTGTCGTGGAAGGCGGAGAAATACATTGAACCGCAAATGCTAAGGCCTGTTGTAGGTGCTAAGATCCGCCTTGGGTCAACTTGTATATTGAGACAGCGTATAGAGCTAAATTGTTCAATCTTCCCTATATAAACATGGAACTAGAAATACTCCGATCTTTCCTTATCAGAACCCTCCATTAGGGTGAATGATAACTTTGGTCCAGCCATTTTCCCTTTTATCGAACTTATCATACGCATCTTCCGCATCAGCAAGTCCAATTTCGTGCGAAATGACGAAGCTAGGCTTGGCCTTTCCGGCAATGATCATGTCACGTAGGTATCTGTTGTATGCCTTCACATTGCACTGGCCGGTACCGATAGAGAGGCCCTATAGCAAGTCAGAAAATGAATCTCTTTTGCTATGTAGCGGAAATGACTTGCCTTTTCGAAGAGCTTTCCGAAGCTCAAGCTGATCATGCCGTTTGCAGATGCGGCATCGGACGCGCCGGGGTCACTGTTTGAAGTAGCTGATTAGACGCTGAAGTCATCGCTAAGTGGGTAAAGAAGGCCGTACCTAGGCACATAGAGACCAGCAATACCCAATCCACCGCAGGCCCGAGTAACGCGGATCATGTTCTCAAGGACAATATTGGGCTTCTCCGAAGATCCGTTGGGGTTGACAGCTTGGTATCCAACGGCATCCACAGAACGGTCAACCATGTCTCCATTGTGAGCAATGATTTGGTCGACGGCGTCGCCCTTGGTAAAATCGATCGGAATGCAGCCAATCTTTTCAGCAGCCTTCAGCCGCTCGGGGACGCGATCCACCACATAGATATTGGACCCGCCTCGCAGCACTGCTGAATAGGCAGCCATGAGCCCAACTGGGCCTGCTCCGAAAACTGCAATGCTTTCACCTGACTGGAAGCCAGAGATTTCGACGCCGTGCCAGCCTGTGACGCGAATATCAGAAAACCAATTATCCTCCTCAAATAGTACCACAAAAGGGAAATGTAAACATACCGGTCGGGAAAACGTCTGTGATGAATTCGAATAAGCAATTATACCGAAAGAATTATAGAGGGACACATACCGGCCAGAAGAATAAAGTCAGATTCGTGCTCCTTTCCAGGTGGCAGTTTCAAAGCATTGAAGTCTGCATAGGGAATGCGAATATATTGTGCTTGGCCTGGATCCCATCTTGATTAGTAACACTATAATGGTTAACTATTTGGATCCTAGGTTCTTCTACATACCTCCTCGATAAGGTCCCATAGCCACGTAACCTATTTAATTCTCAGCAACAACACAAGTGACTTTTCACCTTCTCAAGCTTACCATAGGCGCCACCTGCGAACCCTGGGTTGACACCTGTACAGAAAGCAGTCTTCCCTTCCTCACAGTTCCGGCATCGACCGTCTGCGACATTGAATGGCATGACAACGCGATCCCCCTTTTTCAACAATGTGACACCCTCGCCTAGCTTCTCGACAATACCCATGTTCTCGTGGCCTTGACTTTGGTCAGTATAATGTTACTCACTAGTAGCATAAAGACAGCCTTACCAAAAGTAATTCCTGGCTCTGCAGCGGTTCTTCCCTCGTACATGCTGGAATTGAATAAGTTCCATGTGCCATTTTCTCGGTATTCGCATTCACCCCGCACCCCCTGTACTTACTGCAGGTCTGAGCCACAGATCGCAGCCTTGATTTCTGGTCAATCTTCCACCGCGGAAGCAAGAAGTTTGTGTGTAATGGATACTAACAGTGGTGACTTTGACAATAATGTCATCTGGATGCTCTATCTTCGGCTTCTCAACCTCCTCCACTCGAACCTTGTACGGTCCGAGATAATTCAGGGCCTGCATGGTAGTAGCTGACGACATTTTGAAATGAGTGGACAATGGATTGGCTGTTAGAAACGAAACAACGAGCGTCGGGCGCTCGTGGGGTATTTGAAAGCATTTGTATGTGGAGGTCTCGTCGCGTCTTGTGTTCTGGCTCCATCAAGTCCCGGCAGTCGCGCCCAAATCAGTAACATTCATCCCCAACGTCAGGCAAGTTCAGGGATCATGAGTGGCTCAGGGAATATCTTGCCGCCATTTGGTCAGTTATGCCCCGCATGAATAGAGCAGTATTTCCCAAGAATAGCTTTGGGGATGAGGGGCAGCTGGGTATTCCCCGCATTAAAGGCCATTCAATCATCGCGGGGAATATTACCCCCTTGGGCGTGTCTTTCGCCGCACTTGCCAGAAAAAGATAAGCCATGGAGCCGTACATCTACGAGGTAGTCGCGCCGACGATGGGTATTCTCAGGTGGATTGCAGATCATATATCTATTCAATAAATTCAACCCTTCTCTTACCTCAAAGGATAGACGAGAGGCCCCGTTGGAGGTATTGTAGCCTCAGGCACTAATTCACAGCTGAAGGCTGGACCCTTAAGGTCACGCGTTCCGGACAACATCCCTCCTTGGCCTCCCTGGAGTTTCTTTGGTAGTATCGCGAAAGATGCTTCTTTCAAAATGTGAAACATGCGGAAATGCAGTCTCTCGATGAATGCAACCTCCAAATTGCTTGCGGGACTCAGCAATCCGGGTAACTCCTCTTGGCGGTCGGGCGAGGTCTTTCAGTTGGATTCTCAGCCAGACAGACCACCACAGACAACGAAACTTTTATTCGAGGATAATGACAACTTGCAGGGATTTGACTCAAGGTCTCCGAGTCAGATATCCTGACAAAGAACAGTTCCTCGAATGGGAAGCAGCATGAACTGCTCTTCTTTGTCTTTCTCTGTCATTCAGGACAGCCCTGCTAATTTCCTTAATAGATTCCGTTGCAAGATCGCAAGGATTGGGCTGTCCTTCTGAGTTGTCAAGCCTCTCGCATTGGACATATCTGTAGAAAGGGTTCTAGCTTTCTTTGGGAATAACAATGCTTCGAGCATCCTCGTGCACATATGGTCTCACAGTCTCGTTTCGAGGATCGCATGCCTGTCTGCTTCTTTATCGGAAATTATAAATGTCAACTATTCTTCTCGGACCCTCTACAATCAATTTTTTTTCCAGATACCCAATATGGGCCAATTTTGCTTGAGTATCCGTTACGCACTATGCGGTCTGCTGTTGATCTGCATGGCAGTGGCCTCGCCTGAGACCCATCATAAGGGTAGTATTCCGAAAAATCTCCATAAAAACCGTGTCAATGCTTATTTTTCTCGTATTTTGTCTTTTAAAAATCAGTCACGCAGAAACACTTGCTCCTCTATTCTGATCGTCTCTGGCTGCTAGGTGCGGTATCACTGCGAGCCAATTTACTTCCTTCAACCCGCAATCCTCTCTGTGCTCCTCCCTAGTCCCAGGCAACTCTGTGTGTTGCTCCGCTGAAAGCACTTCTGTCTCATATTCGCAACAAAGCAATGGTGCTGTCTGTAACACTTACACCGTCAAGTCTGGCGATTACTGCGACTCGATCATCTCGAAATATGCTATAAGTGTCACAGAGCTCGAGAGCTACAATTCGAGAACTTGGGGGTGGTCAGGGTGCAACGCGCTACAGTCAGGAAGGCTCATATGCGTGAGTTCAGGCGAGCCTCCCATGCCAGCTGCCCTTGCAGGTGCCGTCTGTGGACCTCAAGTGCCGGGAACACAGTGTCCTAGCAACTGGGCCGATCTCGAGTCTCTCAATCCATGCCCGCTCAATGACTGTGTAAGTTATCATACTAAATACCAAGCAGGATATATGTAGTCATGGCTGACGTACGTTTATAGTGCTCTCCATATGGCCAATGCGGCAATACCGCTGAATTCTGCATCTCATCCAAAGCCAAAGTTGCATTTCCAACTGCGAATTCGTCTCCACAAACAAGCACAAGTACTGTTGTCGTACGTGTCACGGTCACTGGAAATTCAATGACTTCGACACTATATAAGACAACTTCAAAACAGTCGACGCAAAGGAGTAGTTCTACATCGACAAGGACTAGTCGTTCGACATCAAGCAAGCATTCTACTTCGAGCGCCACCAAGCACTCAACTAGTACCACTCATTCAACGAGTGCTACGAGTAAAAAACCATAACCCATACGACGAGCAAAACTACCAGCGCCCCTTCCACTGCAACCCCAGATCCTTGGTTAATCCGAATCTATAGCAAAGAGAATTGCAAAGGGGCTTACTACGTCGTACAGGGTTATAATTAACACATGAATAACGAGTGTCTCAATTTGCACGGCGGGCTAAGTGGTGTCTTCTCCGGTGATAAGCCTTCATGTCGATGGTTCCCAGACGACGGCAACGGAGGGTGGAAGTCATGCGACGAGAGCTCACTGAAATCACCGCAATCGTGGCATATTGAGAGCGGTACTTGCACGGTGTTCGACAACGATAAATGCAAATCAGATGGTTACGTTCAAGTATATTCTGCTTGGGATAAGAAGGGCTGTGAGAATATGAAGGACTCAAAGTGGAGCCCAAAGACATGGGCTGCGTTACAATGTTCCATTCAAAACTGAGAGGCATAGGGGTTTTTTTCAACATCAAACTGTTTGTCAATCAGGCTCACGTATTGTCTGAAAACTTTCAAGATAGTTCATCAAATTAACGGGAGTTACAAATTTCAATACCTTCACTCGTAGAGAAGACATCTGGGGGGGCCGCCGTAGGTGGGGCCAAAAGCCGACTACAGTGATCGTCCAACATCCCTGCTCCATCTATTTAAACACCACCAGCCCCTCCAAATAATGTTTGTCGCTCTCAAAATTTGGCTCTACCTTCGATCTTTGACTTCACATCAACCTCGCTATGGCTCCTTCAATTGAGTCTCTACCACCGGAAATCCAACAAATGGTGCTAGAACATTTGTCCACACATGAATCCAGTCTTCGCGCTTTCTCATGTGTGAGTCGAATTGCCTTACTCTGGCATCCCCCTTCATTTACCATACCATCCGAGTTGAAATAGGCCCGGAGAAAACACAGCTTCAACCCTTTTACAACTAAAAGCAAGATCCCCCGGCTTTGGCCAGGCTACAGTATGTCCAGTGTCTCGCGATATGCGAGACAGCCTGTAGCGGATTCCAATTTATCAGATTCGACGGACCTTGAGTCTCGATACATCTTTCTCAGTTGAAATCCCAGAAAGCCCCATGGCTTTTTACGATCATACGGCCTGTCCCCTTAAAGGAAATTGAACAGCGATAAGCAAGCTGCTTTAGAATCCAGTGATGTCTGGCTGCCTCTTGTACATCTGATTCCGCAACTGCCCTCTCTGTCGGATTTACTCTTCTTGCTCCCCATACAATCTCCAAAATGTTTATTGGATCAAATGCATGTAGCCAGACCATCATGTCGCCTCCATATCGATCGGTTCTTCCTGCGCAGTCTAGCGACAGGCTCCACGGAACTCATACTAATTCCGTCTGGCGTCATCGCCTTGTCTGTTCAGTCTCAAATCAATACATAGTGGTGACGGTAATCCCCATGATAATATTCCTTCTAGCTGTTACTCTGAAGACGCCGTGGATCGTAGTTATGACCTTTGGTCTAGCACCTAGCTTGAATGAGATTACGTTGATCTACCCTGCTCCTGGAGCTAGTCTAATGGAATATATTCCCCCGCCGTGGAAAGTATTTAGCCAAGAGATAGAGGAGGGTTATAAAAGGTCATGTGGGAATCTGCAATTTCTTCGATTCGCACACTTTTGGCCCATTGCCGAAGATAGACTGGATTACTGGACTACGCAAACGGATTTCACAGGATTGTAAGCCTTCGAGTTTGACGCATGTCTCACTTCAAATATGCTGAGATATTTGGCAACAAATTTTCGGCTTCCCGAGTTGAAAACGCTTGTTCTTAACAATCTTAGAGGGGAACGAGAAAATTTAGATGAGCATGCAGAAGCAGGCAATGAATTGTTGAAGAATCTTTCTCCGCTGATGTCTCTGACCTTGGATGGCTGGTATCCAGAGATTTCGATAGACGCGCTTGCTATTCACCATGATTCACGTCTATCAGAGTTCAAATGGCTCAATTACCCTGGTGAAGACCTAACTAAGAATGATCTGGAGGCACTCGGTGATCGCTGCATATCTCTTCGGGATTTTACATTAACCATCCGTCGTTCACAAGGAGACCTGACAGAAGCGAACTTATATAAGACTCTTGGATCCCTACCCAGGCTTCAGTCAATCTCACCTAATCTCCAAGTTTCTAAAAGATACTCGCCTACGGATAATGACGAAGACGACAACGGCAACTTGTTTAATGCATTGATCGATGACGAATTCGATAGAATTATTCCTTCAGAAGTGCTTGGAGATGGTCCAGATTCATCCGAGGCTTGTAACGGCGCTATGCACGAGCAGCTGATTAATTGTGCATTAGATAAGATACTTGCTAAGTCTATATTTGACACCATATCCTCCGAGAAGCCCCAGGTATCTCTTCCCTTGGAGGAATTGGCTCTCAAGATTACCAATGTTGGACACTTTGGAATGGTGGACTGCCCAGCGCATTTTCTATATGTGCTCTTCCATTTGTGTCGCCCATGGCGGGATACTCGCAATATTCGTGATGACTGCCGACATGAGATACGGATTGAAGAATGAGAACCAATTCCGAGTCAGCGATTACCACTACCAAAAGAACTGGAAGGCTGGCTTGAAGCTATCTGGCGCCGGGTTTAGCCAGAGAGGATATCCGAAAACTGGCAGTCTGACTGGAATAGCTTTCCGGTCTCTGAGGTAGTATAGAGATTTTCAGTCAATTTGATGATCAAAGCGACTGCTTTAGCAAGCTTTCATTAGTTATATTCCACTTTAAGAGTCGCTTTAGCAAACCTGAACCCTTCCTTGGCCTCGCATCTAAAGCCGGAGGCAATCCTCTAAGAATCCCTGTGCAACTTCCGGAAATAAAGCGAGCCTGTTTCACAAACACCAGAGTTTGACAAGGAGAAACTTGTGTGCTCAGGATCATTTATTTGGCTTGCCCTTGGAATAATCTTATTCTTGGAAACAAAACACCACCCACAGCTCAGAACAAAGTACTTGATTTAGGAACTCATAGTTTCCCGGTCTCCTAGAAGGATTTCATGTTGATTAACGCATGACAGAACAGCCGAACTGTCTAAATGCCGCCTGTGTGGCCAAGGGTGGACTATAGCCCGGAGCACAAGAACGCGTATGCGACTGGCTGAAAACGGTCGGCAGATGAACCATTATGCGTATTTGCAAGGCCCCAATGACCTGCAACAATTCATATCCTGTAATATGTCTATGACACGGCTAAATACATATACGAAAGCTAGGTCAGTGGATTCCTCGTTTGTTGTCTAACCACAAGAATTACAGCATAGCGACCGAATTTTCGAGAGATGATACTGTAGTTGGCTCAATTCTCATAAGTCAGTGGCATCTCTGCTAACTGCTACTACTGGCTCGATGATAATACTTGCAAGATTTGCCGATCGGGGTTCGTTGCATGAATAGCGCCACATTCGCGGGATCTAGCCCAGGTGGTGGTCATGGCGCTTTCCACCCCAGGTGAAAACTGCCGACCCCCCTCAGCTGGGCAAGGATAAGAACAAGATTGAATCACAAAATTTCGGCAATGGGTACCGATTATCACAAGCCGTAGAGCATGGTTCGCACGGGGTGGCCGTGGCTACTCGACTAGTTCGCGACGGGTGCCTATATTTGTCTAGTTGATCGCGTGGTGGCTTGAATAGCCAGCTGAATGTCAATCAGAAGGTGAAGTTTTGACGCATTTACAGAGAGGTCAGCCCGCTTGAATTGACCTCTTTCTTCAGGAACAGGGACATGGACACGTGGGTTGAGGTAGAAAATCAGACAATCTCCCCGTTCAAATTCTTCAATTTCAACAAGAATATTGTTCTTCATCTCGTCCTAAGGCCGTCTCATCTTATCTCCGATCGGGTCTTTTGCTTTTGAGCCAATAAAAATGGCTGTGCGTGGCGCCGAGTTCATTAAAGAGCCGAACAAGCTCATCCTTTGCTTCGATGGTACAGGCAACCAGTTCAGCGGGTCAAGTGCCGACACCAATGTGGTCAAGATCTTGAACAAGCTAGACCGGCATCACCCAAACCAGTACCATTATTATCAAAGTAAGACACTTCAGTATATTTTTGGTACTCAATCTAACAGACCATAGCTGGTCTCGGTACATATGATATCAATGAAACGTCTGTCAACAAATCATGGTTCGGACAGATCCGCAGCAGCATTTCCCAGACGGTCGATCAAGGAGTCGGCACCACATTTGATGCCCATGTGATTGCTGGCTATAGATTTTTGATGCGCTATTATGAGGCCGTAAGTTTTTTATACCGAACAACACAATAAAGATTTTGCTAATGGGCATGGCACTTCCAGGGGGACAAGATCTATATGTTCGGATTCAGTCGCGGGGCTTTCACTGCAAAGTTCCTGGCACGCATGGTCCACACGGTCGGGCTGCTGTGCAGAGGCAATGAAGAAATGGTTCCATTTGCATACCGTCTTTATCAGCGCTACCTAGCAGGAGAAGTCGAAGATTTCAAAAACGCCGATTACAGCCAGGATGTTCCACAGCCCAATGGAGACAGGCAGCCGCTACTAGTTGACGACAAGCTGGACGAATCTCACAGCGACACATACGAGTCAGCCCGCAACGAAATTATTGCGTTTGGCAATACTTTTTGTCGAAAGGAGCCCATCAAGAATGGCGACAAATATATTGAGGCTAATGTCAAGGTTTATTTCCTCGGTATCTGGGACTGCGTGAATTCCGTTGCGGTCTTGGAGCGGGTTCCGCCCATGCCAGTCAGCATTGCAGGAACCGCGCACTTCGTTCGACATGCAGTGGCCGCTGACGAGCGACGAGTCAAATTCAAACCGGCTTTGCTTTCTCAAGACACTCCGGACCCCACTGAGAACGTTGAAGAAGTTTGGTTCCCAGGGTGCCACGGTGATGTTGGCGGCGGTTGGCCTGCGGCACATAATGTCAACAGCCAGGATAAGCCGGAGGGCAGCGGGCTGTGGAAATTTTGCAAGAGGTTCTGGACTTCCTTGAAGCCCAGTGGCGCCAGCAAGGATGTTCGTACGGACGCCTTTCAGATGAGCGACATGACGTTGTCGTGGATGATACAAGAGCTAGAGTATGTCGCAACCCTTGATGAACGGGCCGGTGTCAAGTGGTCAAAGAGCAAAGACGGGTACAAAAGGGCCTTCGCTCGTGAACAAAGCCAGAACCAAGCTCTTCAGGGAATCATCCACGATTCCTTGGTCTTCGGGAATTGCTCTAGCTTTTTCAAGGTACTGCTTTGGAAATTTCTAGGTAAGAAAGCCTCATCCTCTTTGAAATGCTACTGCTTGCATGAGCTGATCTCAATTTTGCATCAGAAATATTTCCTTTTATCACCAGATGGGAAATTGTCCATGATAAGTGGACCAAAGTCCGATTCCCACTAAATAATGGGTCCTACCGTGATATCCCACGCGATGCAAAGCTCCACCAGTCACTTTTGTACCGACTCAGGGAGCTCAAAACATATGCACCCAAAAACAATCATGGGGACAAACTGGAGCCATGTCTAAAGGGCGAAGATGGTCATCCAGCTCAATTCATCAAAGTAGATGAAGTCAGGGTGAGCCAGGAGCTTGATCCAATGCACCAGATTTGGACTTTCCAAAATTGACCTGTCCAAAATCGACTCCAATTTCATTCACATGAGACGTTGCAACTGTTCTGTTCCACTTCATGCTCACTGTTATATATTTGTATGAATCTTGTCTACAAATCCTGCGTTTCACTCCCGCTCTTGCTGGGCTCATACATTGGATCCTGGGAAGACGATAATTTAACATTGCTCCCACTTAAGGTTGACAACTCGGCGTTTTTTTCTTGTTAGGATGACTCGCCCCCTTCCTTCCTGTTCGAAGCGCCAAACTGCTGTAGTTTCATCTTTCTCATCATTTCAGCTGCCTCAAACGCATATTTGCACTTCATTCTCAACGTTGCACCGTAGCGGTACATGATCAATGGGAATGGCATGCAAGCTAAAGCCAAAAATGCCGGAATAGATGACGCCCAGTGAATTCCCAATTGATGATACATCTGAGTCGTGAACAAGGGAAACACAGCACCGACAACAGAGCGAAATATCGCGGCCGCTGCAAGGACCGAGGCTGCGTAAATAGTGTAAGAGTCGATGAGATAGTTGACAATCGGAAGGATGATGAGGACGCATCCGAAGCCAAAGGGTGCAGCCAGGATAATGCTGGCTGACCAGTGAATGTTTGGATAGTTTGTCCATGCAAAAGCGAACATTCCAACTGGTAAAACAATACCACCCACAATAGCTGGAGGTAGGCGAGACTCTGCAGTTGCTAGTTTCGCGGTGAATAGCTTCATGTAGCGTCGGTGGTTATCCCAAATGGCATAGACCAATCCGAAGACGATACCCACAGCAATTCCCAAAAATGCGAGCCCTCCAATACCCTCGCTCCATCCGCGGTACTCGTTGTACACAATAGGCAGCGCACCCATAAACATGTATACAGTTCCATAGATGATTGCCATATATAGCGAGGCTACTAATACGATGGGCTCTTTGAATAATAATACCCACGGCCGTATTAGAGCTCTTTGGAACACTTCAGAAGGCCTCTTCTTGCCCTGCCTTATGTCGAGGATGCTGAGGTAAACCTTGTTATTGGCCTTGGATAATTCATTGGCCCGTTTGGTCAACAACACTGGTCCGTATGTCTCGGGTACAAAAGCCATGCCGAGAATTCCTATCATTCATTGTCAGTTACTTCTTCAACACCATATGTACAGGATTCTGGAACTACCGATCACTCCAACAAAGATGGTGCACACTCCTTGAACCCACCTCCAACCAACATTCTCAGAGATAAACCCTCCGGCAATCGGGCCCAGAATGGGGCCAAGGAAGGGTGCAACGCAGTAGAGCGTCAAAGCAAGCCCTCTCTGGGCTGGTGGGAAAAGGTCTGCAATTGTACCACCAGAGTTGACCAGAGGGGATCCCCCGAACGTGCCACCGAAGAACCGTGTGACCATAAGTGTGGCAATGTTCTTACTACCCGCTGAACCTCCGATAAAGGCTACCATAGCAATGTGAGAAATTAGCCAGAGAATACGCCGACCATAGAGTTCAGATCTTGGATGCGTTGTAGATAATTAGGATCAAGACAATATCTGCCAATAGGAAGTTGATAGATGCTTACTATAGAAATTAGTGTACTGTTGGCTTGTACCTTGTAATTCGTGCCTCGAGAAGATTAACAAATTACTTACCAAAGGGCCCCAGACAGCTGGACCAATGGCAAACCCCAGTACAAATAAAGAAAGGCCAAGTATAAAGATCTCACTTCCCATATTCAAGTCTTGCATCAGTTCAACCGAGGATTCTGAATATGCCGAGGATGTAAAGGTAACAGCAAAGACGGAAAGAGTTACAATTGATGTGATGAACCATCTTCTAAACGAAGACCAATTCATGGGATTCTCGGGGTCATCTTCTTGAAATTCGACCACAAAGGGATCCTCCAAAGTGCCACGGCCGTCAAAAGCACTGGTAGTCTCGATGTCCCCAGCAGAAGCGGTTCGCTTTGGGCGAATTTGTTGAGGCATATCTGGTGAGTCAAACCCCTTTTTGTCTCGGGTTGAGATATAATTATCTTCACTCAGTTAAGCTTTCTTAAGGGCATTATATCTGTTTTTCCTGTTACCATATCGGAAAGTCGAAGACGGTATGAGCGCTGATTGGCTACAAGATGATTCGAAATCAAGTGTTCTGGCCAATCATGAAACTTTCCGCAATGTCACCAAATTATCGCGGCATGCCCCGTGATTGGTTGGGATAGCTCCGCCTCGTGTTTCTTTGTTCTTTGTTTAATAATTGATCTCTTTGAGGTTGGATCTGTTCCCAAAACAACTCAGTGGGTGTAATGTCTCATTATGGCTCCAACGACTCAATTGGAGCCGCGGTCAGATCAACAGCCAAAGCGACCGTTGCGCAGAGAGCGCCTCCGAATCTCGAACGCTTGTCAATTTTGTCGGTCAAGAAAGGTGAAATGCGACGGCGGTCGACCAGGTAAATGGCCCTTGTCCCTGGCGCCAAAACCATGATGATCACTCATAGATACAGGAGGCTAACGCACTATTTACTTTGTCTAGCGTGTTCTAGATGCCAGGGAAAAGATGAAATTTGCCTTTACAACAAAGAGACCCTCGCAGTTGGAAGGAGAACTAAAGGCAAGGCTGCGGTCGCCCGCACCGCACCAAACCGCCGTCCATCGAACGAAGATGAACCTGCTTCATTGCAACAACAACTTGACGATTCAGAACTCGAGCCACCATTGGGCTCAAAACATGTCGGCGAAGAGGAAGATGTAGCTCTTGATCCAAATCAGACTTACTATACACCCCATTGCCGGTTTGACGGCAAGGTTAAGGAGGTGGTAGCCGCAAATGACCAGAAGGCAGGCCTCGCACCCCCTGCGGTTTCAAACCTCGTCCCCTTCGTGGACGCGCCTCTATTTGGAGAACTTGACCTCGACTCTCGGATAAGAAGCCAGGACTTTGTCGCTCAATTGCCTGTTCGTTCGCGCGCTAATGAATTGGTTAGCTTTTACTGGTGGCGTGTAGACACTATAGAGCCGATATTAGACCGAAAACGGTTTTTTCACGACTATGAGGCCTCTTGGGTAAGATCATGGGACATACTCCTAGCAGATCATGAGATATGGCTTTCCATCCTCAATGTCGTCTTTGCTTTGGCTGTACAACGACAAGAATTGATACCTGTGCGGGAGCGGAATGCAGAAGCAAACCTATATTTCCAACGGGCTTGGATGCTTTTACGCCCAGAAAAGTTCCTTTGGGAGCCTGGCTCGGTTCAGTTGGTTCAATGCTTGATGTTGATCAATCGATATCTTCACTGCACCTCTCACCAACAGAAGACCTGGATGACTGGGGGTTTAGCATTGCGAATCTCCCAGAATATGAATTGCCAACCCCCTGATGTATCTTCATCTCCTGACTCTAATAGTGAGCGAGAGAAAAGGCAAAAGGTCTGGGTAAGCTGTGTTGCACTTGACAGGTAAGCTCCCTGATTGATGATAAAGACTTCTTGCCTTTGAGTGGCCCTCAACTTGACTTTAGATGTGTTTCTTGGTCTCTTGGAAGGACATCGGTGCCGTCAATGATCCCTCTGCCTGACGTGACTACTCAAATGTCTTCCGTGGGTGATGATAATGAGTTGTGTACCGACCATGAATGTGCCATCCGTGGACTTGAGCTTCATGAGATTGGCAATCAAATTCAGCTGGCCCAAGTACAAACGCGGAATACAGTAGCCTCTAGGTTGGGACTGCCACGACTATATCAACAAGACAAATATCACACCGTGGCGATACAGCTAGACAGCTCCCTTGAGAGATGGGAGAATAGCCTTCGGAGCGACTGGCAGTTCAGGAATTTACAGAATATTGCTGACAACTCGGTCCGAGCGAAGGCAGTTTTGTTGCATGCTCGGTAGGTGAGACCCAGATCTTAGAAAGAGTTTTCACCACTACATTTGCAATTTTTCTTGTTGGCTTCCTTGGTACTGACAAATTAGCCTTCTTGGTACTCGAATATTTTTGTACCGGCCCATGCTTGCCCGATATTTCTCCATGAAATCTAGCGATCAAGCGTCGACCGATATTCCCAGTCTGAGTGACCGCCTGTTCAAAGAATGTGCAGGGATTTGTGTTGAAACGGCTCAGAAGATTGTCAGCATGATTTTGGACTCGCTTGAGCCAAATGTATCGATGGGCCTTTTGCCATGGTGGTATCGAGTCTATTATCTACATATCGCAGGAACCACTTTCCTTGCGGCAATGCTGAGTGACCTTTTCACCGAATCAGTGTCGCAATCTTGGCATAGCATGTTGACTGGACTTCGTGAGCACAAGCATTTAAGCTTGTTCATTCCACAGTGCATCACAACTTTTGAAACGCTCTCAGAGCGGATTTTTGAAACGCGAAATCCTAATATCAATCAAAGTGGAGATTTGACGTTGGATGATGATACCGCTGGCCTCTGCTTTGATGAGCTTTTCAAGGATTTAGATCTTGATTTCAACGGTTTTCTATTCGGAATTGAAGACCTTACCTAGGAATGGGGTCTATCTGAGAACACAGCTACGCACGGGTCATCCCTAGCTATCCACCTACGCGAAGAAATTCGGCTTCCGCGAGGATGATCTGCGCGAATATGGTGTGCAGGAGACAGTCGCCCACGTGCTCATAGAATACCGGAGGCTCCGTGCGCTAAGGTTAGAATGAAAACTAGGGATACGCGGAGTGGCGTATCGAGCCTGCTGGGAGGCTCAAACCAAGGTGAGCAAGGTAAACCAGACATCGTCTCGAGGGCCAAGACAGTTCAGGCCGTCTTGGACTTCGCGGAGGCGTCACAGCAGTTTCGGAGAGGCCGTGACGGGGCTCTCAGTTTAAGTCAAGAAGGGGATCATCCTTCATGTACATACTCGGATAGATCGTTGTCGTAGACTGCATATCGCTTTGGCGAGAGGCCAAGTGTAAATGAATACTACTACTTCACTACCACTGTACAGTAAAAAGTAGCGATTGGAAGGTAACAGCGGGAAAGAAGGACATGCCGGTCCCTTTTCTCAATCTCGAGCGAGAAAGCAAGCTTGTGGCAAATGAAGTGGGGCAGTTTAACCAGGTCAGGCTTCATGATCTCGGTTAGACCCCTGATTGCGGAGTGGCTGAAATCGGGAGTAAAGTCCACTCCAATCCTGCCCGAGAAGGCCGCCTATCGAGGACTAAACTTGGGCGCAATCGTAGTGGGTCTCTGGAGATGCCGGTGGCCCAGGCCATGTGCCTGATCCAGGAACAGAGGCTTTGGTCCAGAGAACGCACAACTGCGGCCCGGGAATGGACAACCAGAGACGCCTGCCCCCACGAACTATTGAAAACGCCGTCCGAAGCCTCAGGTGGTGATCACAACAGAAGTAAAGTTGCCGACCAATATCCTGCGGCCCCAATGATCGAGATCAAGATCGAGCACTGGGTCCTGAGCTTAAAGATCCCCCCAAACCCCTGCAGCAAGCCTTTCAAGGAGGTTTTCTTTTTTTAGGATAATCATTTAGGCACGTGGCTTGGACGTGATCCTCCTCATCTTCGATATGGCTTCCCTGAGTTGGTGGCTCTCATTCGCTCTTTATGCAGGCCTCGGACGAGCCATTGGAACTGACATGGCCGGCGACGTGACCTGTACCGAGACCACCGTATCAACCAATCTTCTCTCGAACCCATCCTGGGAGAACGGCTTGGACGGATGGTCATATGTCTATCCGAGATCAGTGTCGACCGCTGAAGCAACTGATGGCTCTTATTCGCTGTACGGATATCCAAGCGGGGTGAAACCAGCTCAGATATGCTAACAGGCGCTGTAGATTAACGAGTGGCGTATACCCCTTTCAGACGGTCAGCCAGGCGATATCAGGCCTGATCCCCGGGACTACCTATCAAGCCTCTATCGACGTCGACATAGTGATCTCCAATATCGCGATCACAGAAAGCTGCACTACATACCTCTATCATGACACTCTCGCGTCCACCAACATCATCGCCTCAAAAACCGGGGCTTACAACAAGAACACCGGCCAGTGGTACACTTTGAGCGGCCCAGTCACCGCAACAAGTGAAAGTTCCACGTTTGGCTGGTACGTGACTTGTTCCCCATATCGCATTCCCCAAGTTTCCATCTACGTAGATAACGCCAAATTCAATCTTGATACAACCACACAAGTCTGCACTACTGCCACGCCAACGTTGACACCTATCTCGACTCCTCCGGCATCTACACCCGCACCACAGTCATCAATCCCGGTCTCTAGCATTGCATCCTCGACGCCTATCGGTCATTCAAGCTCAGCTGCTAGCATTGCGTCCTCGACGCCTATCGGTCATTCAAGCTCAGCTGCTAGCATTGCGTCCTCAACACCTATCGGTCATTCGAGCTCAGCTGCTCCCATAACCCCCTCATCACCTGTTGGTCATTCGAGCTCAAGTCCATTGGCACCGACAAGCACACCCCTTCTACACAGTTCTTCATCGGCATCGCCATCATCGGTCCCCCTAATCTCCACCCCAGTGGATTCACATACATCTACATCGTTAGTGTCAAGTCAGTCTATCGGGCACGGCTCTAGTTCTGTCATTCCTTCAACTCCTCCTTCAGTCCCAACTGGATCGACCTCCCTCACAGCAACCACATCTACCGAGACATGCACGGAGTTGCAATCTACCTCTCCAATCTCAAGCCCATCAGGCAACTCGATCTCTACTTCATCGACTATTTCATATGTGTCTTCGTCTTCTTCGACGGCCCTTCCTTTCTCCACAACCGTCATTGCGACAGAACCAAACCAACAACCCTCGGCCACAGGTCCTCTGGAACCTATTTCGACACCTTTTTCGCCTATTGATCTCCCCGCAACGACATCTTCCGGCCATATCACCACTACCAATGTTGCATTGACAACTTCTACCGTCTACAGCACCCGTACCTCGACCATCACCGCCTGTCCTTCGAGTGTCATCAACTGTCCCGCGCGGTCACAAACCACATATGTCACGACTGAGACGATCTACGTATCGACTACAGTCTGTCCCGTAGCCGAAAGTGAACCTACTGCGCAGGCTACTTCTTCGCCAACGGATAGCCCCGTCATCTCCGTCTCCGTGTCACCAATCTTCAGCACCCGTACGGCTAGAATTACCTCCTGCCCTCCTGAAGTGACTGGCTGTTCTGCCAAGCCAGCTGCTCCCCAGGTCGTGACGGAGACACTCCTCGTCGGAGAGTCTACGTATACGCTATCTGAAACAGCTGCTGCTACTTATAGTGCTCATCCCCAGGTTGGGTCGACTCCTTCGTCCCGCTTGCTTTCTTCTGTTCCTCTGAGCTACACTACACAGGCTTTTTCTTCGCACGCCGTAGAGCAGGTGAAGACTAGCGGAATCAAGACTACACTCTCTGTTTCCAGTACTGTGCCAAGTTCCTCGACCTCTACGGGTACATCCAGTGTGCCAGCGTTCAATGGTGCTGAATCGTTGGGTCGTCCAGGCAGCTCGGCTCAGATCATCGCCTCGGTTTGCGTCACAGGTCTTGCGCTCTTGTGGCTCTAGATTAGACGGCCGTGTCGTGATGCTTCATAATCACTTTTGTACATTAGATTCTTTCGTCAATTCGACTGATTATTAATTTTAATTACTGATATTCTGCCTATCATCAACTTCGCTGTCGATGTTCCACATGCCAACAACGAATGAATGGAAAGCAGAGACCAGACAGTAGGCAACAAAGAAGGAAACAGTACTGGCCTACCACTATAAGTTATCTATAGAAGTAGCACGGACTTGGTCATGGAAGGTAGGTTATCGACGAAATGGCAAAGCGAGGAGTACGACCTCACGGGCATGGGCCAGCCCGGATCTTCAGAACAAAGACCCCTCTCGCCCGCCGAGGGAAGGGGGGGTGAAAGTAAACGTCCGTCAAAAAAAAAAAAAAAAAAATAAAAACATACAACAGCCAGACTATGGCAATGCTCACCTAGCGTCCACTGTTCGGTCGTGGGCGGCTCGCCGCTTTACGTAGCTGGCCTTCAGTCGGCTTCAGGCGGCAGTTCCCCCACGTGAATATTCTTCACCCAGAGGCGTGAACCCCTACCCCAAAATGTGCCTTTGTACATTTTGATCAAGGGAAAGATTTCGCGATGCAGGAGTAGACATCATGTCCTTACTTTGAGTTGCAGCTAGTTACCTTTACCCTCTTCCATAGTCTCTTCTATTTTACTCCTACCCCTCTGCCGTTTTCCTCTTGCTTTAACTCAATAGTAATCATAGCGAAGAAGGATCTACTACTATCTTATACCTATAATATAATAAACCTAAGCCACTTCGATAACTCTAAAATTAGAAAGGTAGTCCTACCGCCTACCGCGTACAGAAAGCGACTATAAGCGTGTACTAATAATCTTTAATAAGTTAGTGTGTAGTTCCGTATAGAATTATAGATTAATACTATCTTCTAGATTCCTTAAGCTTTATCCTAAAGCTAAAAACCCTCCCGACCTCTAGACCTATAAAGGTTTCCTTATCTACGTTACTAAAGGGAAACTAGGCCGAATCGAGCCTCTGCCTAATCTAGAAATAATATAGGGATTTCGGAGGGACTTTTAAGCTAGGATATTATATATACGAGATATCGAATTTTCCGCAGAATTTTCTACTATACTTAAAGAGGTTTAAAGCATAACACGCAATATAATACCTCTAGTGGTATATACTCTAATCCGTTTACTTAGTTTATTATAGAGGATCTTCGGAAGGAAGTTTTAATATCTACTACCAAAATGGATGATAGTAGGCTTTCCCCTAACGGGATTATTATCCTCTTAACGTAGCTCTAGTATCGGGATAGCCACGAATTTCGTAGTAAGATCCCTAATAGAATAAGAGTATAACTTAGTATAGCGATACTACTCTATTACTTTAGCTGCCAATGACTATAATACTGTACGTAATATGTTTGAGGGCCCAGATTCTAGCCAATGGACTATTGTTATCTGGAACAAGATTAGTTCCGACGACCTTCCTGATGGGTGGTACGGACATGTATGCAAGGACTTTCACTGTTGCCCGGTGAAAATCGTTACACTGCCTGTGCCGAGAACTCCCAGGGAGGTGTTACAAATCACCTAGGAGAACTTTTCACCGGCGACTACGTGTCAAAATGGGTCGAGTTTAATTCTGGATTAAGTACTAATTCTGGATGGTCTAGCTTTGAAGTTTCAGCAATTGTCGTACAGAGTTAGGGTTTGAACGTCCAGGGGATGAGAAATTGTGATAGTATTAATGGAATGTGTCCGCAATTGGAAAGCAATGGTTTCATCCCCCGCTAGTCCCAAAATTTTTGATTCATATTGAGATATCAAGTCCGAGTTTAGCAAAATGGCAAATCAAGCATCATTGATGATCTCACACAATAAAACAGGAAAGCCGAGTAAAGTTTAGCCGTAACGGGCGGCCTGTCGTTATTATCCGTTGCAAGGGTTTGAAATGAACTGTAACTTTGCCTGGTGGTCGTAATGTCGGGTCAGAAACTATTTGTTCATAGTCTTATAACTCACGGCTTCACAATGATCAGATTCACTGCTCTAGCCTTCTTGGCATCCTTCCTCACCACTCCCCATGCATGTCTAACAGAGCATATTGCAAGGGCTGCTCAAGCTTCGACTGCGAACGACTGTGTTGGAAGCCCTGCTCCTGTCAACAACAAGTTTGCCATCAAAAATGCTCAAGTTTTCAATGGAAATGGCTTTCAAAGCTCAGAGACCATCATCATCATCATCATCATCAACGACGCTAGAATTTTCACTGTTGGCGGCAACGTTCCTCCTGGAATCAACACCATCGACGGAACAGGGAGGTTCCTCATTCCAGGTCTCATCGACAGCGATGTCCATCCTTCCAGTTGTAGCAACTTGGTAACCCTTTCTGGCTACGGTGTTACTACTGCAATCAATATGGCTTGTCTGAACTACACAGCTTGTTCCCAGCTCAAAGGTCAATTGGGCACGACAGACTATATCACTGCGGGTGAGATTGCTTGTGGTACCGGCAGTGTCCATGCAACTGCCTTCGGGGTACCACCGGCAGAAACAATTGGGCCCGATAGAGATCTCGCTGCCTTTGTCGATTATACCTTTGGCAACGGATCCGACTTTTTCAAGATCGTCGCTGAGGACAAAGGTCCTACCGTGCAGCAACAAACTACTATGGTGCAGCTTGCCCATCAGCTTGGCAGTTTTGCAGCCACACATGCGACAATGATGGAATACTATGATCAAGCCATTCAGTCCAAAGCTGACAGGATCCAACATACCCCTGCCGACGGTCTGCTGTCCAAGGCTCAGATCAGTCAGATTCGTAGTCAGGGCCAATTTGTGACTCCAACCATGGAGTTTTACCGCCTCGCGTTCGCGAATCCTGCTCTTGGGCCCGTTCTTGGGTTTAATGCATCATGCAACTACTCCAACATCCAGACCAATGTCGCCAACATGCACGTTGCGGGCGTTCCCATCGCGGTCGGCACAGACGCCGTTGGGAGCTTTGCTGGAGTTATCAACTATCCATTCGGTCGGTCGCTCCACTGTGAGCTTCAGAACTTGGTAGATGCAGGATTTGGCAACGCAAAGGCCATTCAAGCGGCCACTGCGGGAGCTGCGAAGCTTTACAGGCTGTATGACCGAGGATCCATTGCTACTGGGATGCGAGCAGACCTTTTGCTCCTAAACAGCAATCCTGTCGAGGATATCACAAACACACTAGACATCAGTGCGGCTTGGGTGGGTGGGATACAGGTTAGTGCTATCAGTGCTCAAAAGGGCCAGAGCTGTGACCCAGCCTCGCTTAGTCCTTGAGGTCAGCCGACACTATGCTTCGAGAGTCTGGAATTAGTGAGTCAATGGCTCGCCGGAAGAGCGCCCCGAAACGAGTTCAAGAGGGAAAATTAGTTAGTTCAGTCTAAAATGCAATCGAGATTGCGAACTCAATTCTCTGTACACGTGTCCATGCAGGAAAAAGTACTTGTCATCTGTTTAAGCTACAGTATTCGGGTCTTCGATTTCACTTTTAGCTATAGGAACAGAAACTTTGTTTCTGGTGAATGGCGTTTCGGCTCTTTACCGCACTAATTTCTATTCTAGATGTATTGAGGATCGTAGTCTAAAGCATTGGATTTTCTCATGACGATTTCAAAGCAGTTGAAACTGGGACCCGTTCTAGATCTAGCCGAAAGCCGATTATTAGCACGGATGTCATGGTTCTACCACACAAGCCCTGCAGAAAGGCCCACCTTAGATATGTGGAGTATTAGGGTGCAGCTGACCTGGTGGCGATTACAAAGTACCTATAAGAGAACGATGCCAATGCCAACGTATTTGCGGGTATCACTTCTACATTCGGTAGGATCCAGGGTAATCTCTCCTGCAATGTCTTGCTAAATTAGCCTGAACATGCTTTGATTTCTAAGAGAACTATATACGACGGAAACTTGCCCGCGATCACGCACACATGCCCGAGTCAACAGAAACTACATAAGCCTTATCTCTACGTCCCCCAGGGCTGTAGCTAGCCTCGATTTGTTTTTCCACATTCCATTCAGTCTATTTTGTTCCCGGAAACCAGCCAGCGTCATGTCAACGACGCAAATACTTCATCCAGAGGCAAAGTCTGCTACCGTATCTTCGCCTCGCCCAGCGATGATGGCTTCGCCCGAGAGTTCCTTTCCCAGCACTCCAGCTCAAGAAGTGACTGTGGAATTTCCAAGTAATTTCGGGGGACCTTCTCCTGCTCCGAGAGCCGGTCAAACTGTTTTTGAACGGATTCCATCAGCCAAAGTCACCCAGTCCCGCCGAGTGCTGGTCACTACCTTACTCATTCTAGCGAACCTCGTACAAGTAGGCGCACTGACGCATAGATCTGTACCTTTTTGAACCCCCAAATTCTGACAAATCTTTTAGATGACAGTCAATTTTGCTGGTACTGCTGGAGGTAGAACTTTAACCCAGTCGATGGGAGTCAAGCCGACCTATGCTTCTTGGGTTGGGGCAAGTTATGGGTAAGAGACACTAAAGTTCTCCGAAGTGCCTCCAGAATTTTATACTGCTTCGATACTCACATTGAACAGATTGACACAAGGGACCTTCGTTCTGATCAGCGGTCGGCTGGGAGACGTCTACGGATACAGGAAGCTGGTCCTTGCTGGAGGTGCATGGCTTTCCATCGCAACCCTAGCAAGTGCCTTTTGTGGCAAGGCTTTCTTTGCTTTCCTCACTATGAGAGCCCTCGGTGGACTCGGGGGGCTTTCATCATGCCAAATGCTGTCGCTATGATTTCGAGTACCAATCCTCCGGGGCGAGTACGGAATCTCAGTTTGGGGCTTTTTGCAGCATCGGCCCCGATGGGTGGTTATTTCGGTGCACTGTTCTTGGGCGCTTTCATGGAGAAAACAGATTGGAAGTGGTTTTTCGTGTTCACGTAAGTCAAAGACCTATGATTGAAATTTAAGAGTCCAAATTTACTCACTATGGAGCTCTAGATCCGGTCTCGGTATCGCTGTCTCACTCGCAATCTGGCTTTTGAGTATGCGAGAGACACCGGTTGATCAGCATGGAAAGATCGATTACGTTGGGTCTGCTCTCGGTACAACCTCATTGATTCTGTTCAACTTTGTCTGGAAGTAAGTTTTGCTAAATCCAAGTATAGTCCAAATTCGATGAAGCCTTAGAAGCTAACAAGTCCTCACTCGTATAGTCAAGCCCCTAGCGTTGGCTGGCAAACACCTTATGAGATCGTTCTCTTGATCATATCCATCATTCTCTTCGGGGCTTTTCTCGTCTGGGAAAAACGGTATACCTCCCACCCCATCATGCCGCTTGAGATTTTCAAGGCACCTTCTTTCCTCACTGTGCTCTTAGTGGTCCTGCTCAACTACATGGCGGTCGGGACCCTGATCTGGTACCAGGTCCTCTGGTTGCAAGAAGTGTGGAAGTGGTCTCCTCTGCAATTTGCCGTTGGCTGGACACCTTTCGTGATTTGCGCCACGGCAGCTGCATGTCTGGCTGCATGGTTGGTTCCTCGATTGGCTGCGCAGTGGATTCTAGCCATCGGTACTTGCACGATTCTGATCTCCAATGCATTGATGGCGACTGTACCGGTTAGTCAAAGCTACTGGGCTCAGGTTTTCCCCTCTGTTGTTCTGTTTGCCTTCTGTCCGGATTTCGTGTATACCGCCGGACAGATCATTGCCAGTAACTCGGTGCGCCGGCATCAACAGGGCATCGCTGGTTCCATCGTCGGCACTCTCAACTTGTACGGCAACAGCCTGGGTTTGGGATTTGCCTCCACTATTGAGGTCCAAAGTGCTAAGCGCTCCGGAAGCCAGATCATAGGATATCGATCAGCTCTCTATTTCGGCGTTGCAATTAGTGTGATTGCTCTCATTCTGGACGTGGGATTTGTCCGACTGGTCAAAGATAACCGTGAAGGGTGGGGTGAGGAAGATCGTTTGCGCATAGAGGAGATCGAGCTAGCTCAATATGCAGAAGCCAGCGGTGCTAATCCCCACGCAGTAGTTGAAAGGCCGTAGATAATATGTCAAGGGCCCGGACGTTGAATAATAATCCTCAGTATGGAGACAGTTGACAGTACGATCCACTCATTCGGAGGATCAAGTGTGGATATTCGCGGTCGCTTGTAATCACAAGGGGAGTAAGTCTGGCATACGCCATTGGTTTTTCGGGGTTAAGCATCGGAGTATTGGAGGGGATCAGCGATTTGATACAGAGTGTGTCATGTGACTCGTTATCATGACCCACGATGAATCTCCGCCTAGAGGATGATGGTAAACGAGGTTTCAAATTGATGGTCAAAATTGAACAATAGTAGCAGATATTACATTCCTTTGGCTACACAATATCAATCAGATTACAACTGACCATGTCGTCTCCACTAGTATATACTCGGCCAAGCACGGACCACTTGACGGACCAAAATTTGTTGTGCGTGGGCGGTGAAGGAGCCGAGCGGAGAACGCCAAGATTTCCTCACCCCCAAATTTTTCGTACCGGTTACTTCGACTTGCCTTCAGTTCAGCATTCGGGATTTTCCAAGGGAATATGGATGATATCGAGGTTCGTGAGGCAGCGCTTTCGGTCGGTCCGTCTCACTAACTTCTTCCAGGACCGACTGCGCAGCCATGCGCAGGCATTCGACGGTTTACTGTCTTTGATCCCCGCCAAATATTACTACGGCGACGACAATACCAGTGTACGTGCACTCTCTGATCTTCTCTGATCAACCCCTCTGCCCGATTTTGCCGTTCTTCCTCCTGTCTCTCTTATTTCTGAGGATTCCCTATCTAATGACTGTCTGCGCCTGCAGGATCAATGGAAACGGAAAAAGCAGACGAAAGAGCAAGCCCGTGAGGCTAAGCGTGCAAAGTTGGACCCCGAATCCGCCAAGACCGCCAAAGACGTGATGGATGAAAATGCTCGTAAGCGCAAGCGTGAGGATGGATCTCTCGAAAGCGACTCGTCGGACGGTGAAGAACTAGGCTCCGAACTGCCCGGTGAGGGTCTCAACCGGGGAGAAAAGGCCAAGAAGCAAAAGCAGACTGAGAAATCGGATGCCGCTTCGAAGGCAAAGTCAGAGGGCGCTGAGGCCCGGAAGAAGCTGAAGGAAGAGAAGAAGGCCCAGAAGAAGGCTGCGCAAAAGGAGAAGAAGAAGGCCAAGGAGAGTGCCAAGAAGGAAAAACTGCAACAGACTGAGAAGCCATCCTCCACGGCTGCAGAGAAGTCAACATCGAAGATCGACAAGGCCGCTGAGGAACCTGCTGCCTCCGACAACGAGGACGGCGACGATCTCGAGGACGGAGTCGCCGAGGAAGGATTCTCACTCGAATTCAACGAGGAGCCCGAGGGCCCCTCTTCCGCCTCATCCACCCGCAACTCCCCCGATGCTTCGAATCCTCAATCAGGCAGCTCCTCCATATCCTCCATTGTTCCCCCTTCTACCGCCACCGATGCCAAATCTACCGAGCCCAAGGCCTTGAAGGCCACGCCAGAAGAACTCAAGCAACGCTTGCAAAAGCGTCTTGATGAGCTTCGAGCAAAGAGACACGCTGATGGCTTCAACGGCAAGCCTGCACGCAACCGTCAAGAGCTGATCGACTCACGGAGACAAAAGGCTGAGCAGCGCAAGGCCCACAAAAAGGAACTGCGTCAAAAGGCCAAGGAGGAAGAGCAGCGCCAAAAGGATGAGGCCATGGCTCGTCGATTCTCCCCTGGTGGTTCTGGATCTCTGCTTGCCTCTCCTCGCTCCCCCGCCGAGTCTGTCGGATCCTCCAGCAACAACTTCTCTTTCGGTCATGTCATGTTCGCCGATGGTCAACTCGCCGATTCCTCTCTCTCCAGCGTCCGTGATCAGTCCAAGACCCGCGGCCCCAAGGATAAGGATGCCGCCGCCCAGCTCAAGGCTGCAGAGGCCAAGAAGGCCCGTCTCGCCGAAATGGACCCGGAAAAGCGTGCCGAGCTCGAGGAGAAGGATGCCTGGTTGAACGCCAAGAAACGCGCCCACGGTGAACGAGTTCGTGACGACACCTCTCTATTGAAGAAGGCCCTCAAGCGCAAGGAGACCGCGAAGAAGAGATCCGAGCGTGAGTGGAAAGACCGCATCGACACCGTCTCTCGCATGAAGGAACAGCGTCAAACCAAGCGTGAAGAGAACCTGCGCAAGCGACGTGACGAGAAGGGCACCAAGGGCAAGGGCAAGAAGCCCTCCGGCGGTGGCAAGAAGAAGGCTCGCCCCGGTTTCGAGGGCAGCTTCAAGGCCAAGGTTGGCGGCAAGAAGAAATAATCTCTTTCCTCTGACCTTTCCTTTCTCTCAAAGACTATGGTTACTTGCCCATAGCCTTCTTGCCTTTCCTCCTTCATTTCAAGCTTCTTCCGTCCCTTACAAGACGGCAGAAGCTGGAGAATACCCACAACTTAAAAAAAGAAAAAGTGTTTTTAAGACATCGATCTGGGAAATATCCAACCGGGGATTCTGGTGTTTGGTGTTTGCGCTGTGTTTCAGCGGCAGTTATGTCTTGTATGTACGTCAGCATGGGTAGCGATCCATTTTTTATTTGTGAATACAAATACATCTTGTTCAACCCTTTTCCAATTTGTTTCCTTTATCAAATTTTAGATCTAAAGGTAAACCCTCAAAACCTGGACTTCAACTGAGCCCAGAGCTAGGTACCGAGGTCACGCCAAGCCGTGAAGCCGGAGCCGAATATATATAGGCCCCAGCGGCGGTCTCTCGTCGGGACAAAATTAGAAATTGAGCTGGAATGTAGCCGAACTACTGTGTCATGAAGATATATCGCTAATGAAATTTGAGTATTGGAGAAAAAAAAAAAAAAAGAGACCTGCTATTCCAGAACATAGGGAAGAAAAGAGAAAAAAAATGACAAAGGAGCAAGGTTTCCGAACGAAGCTGGAAACTTCCTTTGGGAATCGACTAGTACGACAGAGAGATAACACAGGGTCGAGGGTTCGTTATGTACAAGGTGTGCTGGGGTGAGAGGGCAGGTAGGAAGCCCTTTTCTAGATTTTGGACGTACGCCATTTGGCGCGGTCTGATATCGAACCCGTGTCGCTTCCACGGGTCCTAATTCATCATTCGCATCTTTGGAGTGTTGAGCACCGCACTAATTGACGGTGAAAAGAGGGCGATTCGATTATCGGTAAGGAGCATCGGCACGAGCAGCGGCCGCAATCTCGGGCTCCCATCGGTCACCGTTGGCGAGGAGCTTCTCCTTGTTGTACAGGAGCTCCTCACGGGTCTCGGTGGCGTACTCAGCATTGGAGGCTATAGAGCATGATACAGTTAGATCATTGTTCAACGCCTTCGCAGGTTTCCAAAAAAAAAGACTTACTCTCCACAATGGCGTCCACGGGGCAGCTCTCCTGGCAGTAACCGCAGTAGATACACTTGGTCATATCGATATCATAACGGGTCGTCCGGCGGCTTCCGTCCTCACGCTCCTCGGCCTCAATAGTGATAGCCTGGGCCGGGCAAATGGCCTCACAGAGCTTGCAGGCAATGCAGCGCTCCTCACCGGTGGGGTAGCGACGCAGAGCGTGCTCACCGCGGAAACGGGGGAGATGGGACCCTTCTCGAAGGGGTAGAAAATGGTGTAACTAAAACGGAGAGAGACATCCTGTCAGTTGATTCCAGCTCAATTGACCCGTTTCGACGTGTCCAATATGCAATTGGGCTGTCCACGGCCGCTGGGAGAGTGACTTACGGTGGGCGGAAAAACTGCTCCAGCACGACGTACATGCCGCGGAAGATCTCGGCCATCAGGAAGTACTTGCTGGCCTTGTCGAGAGAAGACTCAGAGCCCTGATCCCAGCGCGTAGGCGGGGGCAGACGGAAACCGGGCTGAGGGGGGCCCGCTGGGGTTGCTGCGCGGGACACCGAGGAAGAGAAGTTTGCGGTTGAGCCGATCGGCATGAAGGGAGACCGGCGGTAGGCGACCAGCCTGGCGACCGAGCGAGAGGTGGCCATTGTGAGGACGCGGAGAGGCGATTGAGTGGAAGGAGAGTGGGGAGGTGGAGGTTGAAGGAGGTCGTAGCTTGGGAGGGGAGGTAGGGGAAGAGGTGCTGAGGTTGGAGTTGGTGTTTGCAGGCTCGGGGCTTAGGTCATTCATTTCTGCCGGGCGCTGATTGGCGGGCGGCAGGATTTTGCGCAGGAGCATCACTTCCGACCATCTTCTTCCCTCTCTTCCCGTCCATCTCCCTTCATCCACCTCTCTCTTTTCTCCCCACCATCCCGCCCCGATCTCTTTCTGCTCGACTCGAAGCCTTCGTGCTCGTTTGATACTCCCGATTCACCATGTTCCGCTCCGCCATTGTCCGCTCCTTGAGGGCCTCCGTCCCCCGTGCCGCCGTTAAGACCCCGGCCTCCTTCCAGATCCGCAGCTCCCCCATTGCTGCTCAATTCACTCCTAGCCTTGTCTCCCAGAGCATCCGCTTCTACTCTGCACCCGCTGGTCTGTCCAAGGATGAGATCGAGGGCCGGATAGTCAACCTGCTCAAGAACTTCGACAAGGTGCGTCAGAATGTTATTTTTGTGGACTCTCAATGTGGAAACTCGTATCGCACATTACACATCCACGAGTTCATGTTGGATCAGCTTATTAACTTGCATGTGCTCTTCAGGTTTCCGACGCCAGCAAGGTCAGTTTCGATGACGCGACATCTACCCATCGGTTGCCCTCGGCATCACCACGAGTTAAACCCGGGCACTTCGGTAACCAACACGTACTGATACACCCATGACTACTAGATCACCGGCGTTTCCCACTTCTCCAACGACCTCGGTCTCGACAGCCTGGACACCGTTGAGGTCGTGATGGCCATTGAGGAGGTATGCGACTCGTTTTCTTTCCCTCGGAAAAGACTACCGCCCCGCAGATTGCTAACTATCACGCCAACAGGAGTTCAGCATTGAGATCCCCGACAAGGAGGCCGACCAGATCCACAGTGGTAAGTATAGACCGTGGTGGCCCACGTCGAATCTTATATCTTATATCGCGCGACGGAGACTAACGTGTGATTGTGTGCGAACAGTTGAGAAGGCCGTCGAGTACATCCAGGCCCAGCCCGATGGTATGTTCACTGATCCCTATTTACCCATGCATTTGGATGGTGCTAATATATGATGTGATGGATAGCTCACTAAATACTTAATTGAAAACCTCGGGGGCCGATCGTTTGGGAAGTCGGATAGAAAATGAATCGGGATGGTGGCGTCCACCGGGGAGTTCGCTCTGGAGAGCGTATCTTCGTGGGTTAAGGCGCTGCTCTGTATGCTGAAATACATGCCAGTGTTTTTTTTCTCATCCTTCTATATCGTGTATATCATCTTGAATGCAGTTTTGAAGCAGTATCAGACAGCGGGTTGCCGCTTCTTTCTCCTCTCTCTCTCTCTCTCTCTCTCTCTCTCTCTCTCTCTCTCTGTCTATCTCGTTCCCCATTTTGCGAGTATACTTTGAGTCTCGTCTTTATTGTGCGACTTAGGTTCTTCCTTCATACCCTCGCTATTTGCAAAAGATACAACAGTGCGACGCTCGATCGGAGTAGACCGATATCCCCGAGGGCGTTCTGACACACAAAAAAAAGAATCTGGAACTGCAGATTGAATGCTGGCCAATGCAGCGAAATGCAATAAACAGTACTACTAGAATTGAAGGCCTTTGCCACTCAGATTGTGGAGGTATACCTGAAGTAGATAGAGTACAGTAGTACTGAGGCTCTTGCTTGTCGGGCGCCGTCATGCTCCCGAGAAGAGCCACATCGCCTGGCCCGAACTAACTTCGATCCCAACCCGCTCATCCTTCCCGAAACACGCTTACCTTCTCTCCTTTCCTGGGAATTTTTTTGTTTTCTATTTTTCCTCTACCCAGGAATTCACTAGGCATTGGTCAACCGTATTCCTCGAATATTTTCCCTTGGCTGTCTGCTAAACCCACTCGGTCCCTGGTTTCCCCTGACGCCGAGCGGTCCCACTCTAGAAAGCGGCGACGGTAGACTTTCGGTCTACTCGTGACTTCCTGACATCTTTCTTCGACACGGACAATTGACGCCCACTGCGACCGGCACGCAGATCGGCTTTCTGTCATTGAGGAAACGGATATACAACTATTAGCAGTCCTGTGACGGTCCCTCCCCGTCTCTCTTTCATCCTCCATCCTCCATCCTCCACCCTCCCCCCCCACCGCCCCCTCAACCGGTATCCTCATGTCCTCCGGGGGCTTGACTCGCCGACGAGGCGGCGGTCGAGCCGCTGGCGCAGACGAGCAAGATGACAGCCGTGTATCATCGCCTGTCTCGAGGAACGGTTCCGCGATGGATACACGCGGTCCGGAGACCTCATTCACCAGCGCGGAGAATGGTCACAAGATCGCATTCGACCCCCGCGACCTTAGCGAAACCGAAGAACGAAGCAAGCAACCTAAGCTCACCCTTATGGAGGAGGTACTATTGCTGGGGCTGAAAGATAAACAGGTGAGCAAGATTGAGGACAGAGGGAATAGAAGGGCATATGCTGGCCGATCGGGGAGCCTGAAATGCTGACGCGCGACTGTTTTTGCGATTACTAGGGCTACTTGTCCTTCTGGAACGAGAATATCTCCTATGCCCTGCGAGGGTGTATCGTTATTGAACTTGCGCTCCGCGGCCGGATAAGCATGCAGAAGGATTCGTCGCGGCGACGCTTTCCCCTGGCTGACCGCATCATCGAGGTCGTCGACGATACATTGACCGGCGAAGTCTTGCTGGACGAGGCGCTGAAGATGATGAAATCAAGCGAGAAGATGAGTGTGAACTCATGGATTGACTTGATGAGTGGTATGTGTCCTATGACAAAATGGAGGGGGGTATTGCCAACCTGGCACATCAGCTAATCGGTGATTCTCTCCATATAGGCGAGACCTGGAACCTGATGAAGATCGGATACCAATTGAAACAAGTACGCGAACGATTGGCCAAGGGCCTTGTGGATAAGGGTATCCTGCGAACCGAGAAACGTAACTTCCTCCTTTTCGACATGGCGACACACCCGGTAGCCGATGGCGGCGCCAAGGACGACCTTCACAAACGAGTGCGTAACATTTGCACCAACCGCACAGTGATTATTTCTCCCAGCCCATGGCTGCCCGAGGACGCCGAGTTCCGCTACCTTCGCACGGTGACGATGGTCTGTGCTGCATATGCTGCCAACGTACTGGAGAATGCCCTGGTGACCATGAGCCATGAGGCTCGGGAGAGAGCGTTCGCCCAGGTAGATGAGCTCCTAGCCGAATACTCGCAATGGCCATTCGGTCGCCGGGCTGGTGGTTCGCAGGCGATCGGAGCCAATCTGGCCCAGGCAATCAACGACGAGATCAAGCGAGGCAATAAGGATCGCGAGCTCCAGTTGGAGGTATGTCTTTTGCCCTCCCTATGGCCACTATACCCAATCTGTCCCAACTCACTAACGTATGATATAGATTGTTGCGGCGTGCCTGAGCGTTTTCACCAGACTTGATTCCCTACTCTAAGCGGATATACTGTGTCGCGTCTAATACAGTGTCCTTTTTTTCCCTTCTTCTATCCCCTCTATATCTCCCCCACCTCGTTCCATTCTCTACCATCTCTCCATGGGTTACACTTTGTGTCCTGGCTTCTCCGATTTCCATGGGGACTTTACTTCTCTTCTGTTCACTCATGTAGTTTGTCATCATGTGGGTTGGAATTGGGCAGAGCGTTTTTTTTCTTGTTATATTGAACTGTCTGATCAAAATTCATTCTTGTATGGAATATTTCTGGGCTTCCGATCTACCTTCCTGGTCATTAGCTCTTCTCTTTTTCACCGCTCATGTTCTCACTCAATTTGTCTTCTTTGATGGAAAATGAGAGGGAATACTTCTCTCTTTTCGCTGATAATTCGGGATATTGCAGGTCTCGAGGGTGAAGCTAACAGATCACCATTGGTGCGAACTGATCCATGTCACCTTTTAGCCTCTGCTGAGCACTTTGTTGACCCTTCGACTTTGAGCATCAGCGGCTTTGTTGCTTTTGGTTTGATGCATGCGATCAATCCCCTGCATACACTAAAACTTCCCAACTGAGCCTTTTTCCCCCTTCCTTCTCTTCTTGAAGATTCTTTTCTATGTTCTGATCTTGTCTTCTATCATGGCCATCTTTAATTGACTTTTGGTATTATTGCCCGGTTATCTTTGTTTCTGCTTAATTTGGGCTGTGAGGGCGTCTATCAAATCGTGACCGTACAAGAACCTGATGACTCGATTGCTAGCATATTGAGCTGAGGAATATCAAGCTAAAAATTGAACAAAACCTAGCCTTCACTCTTTCCCCCGGGCTCAAGCAAGGCCTTCCCCATCACAAAACATTCAATTGACGCGGATCACCATCATCACTCCTCGGCGAACAGCGCCAGCGCCCACGGCATGGTCCTTTAACAATCGATCCGCATGCATGAGATCTGTGACCTGCTCAGGTCTCCCTCGGACCATATTGCTCTCGACGAGCTCTACAATTCGTGCCAGAGAGTTTGCATCGGGATTCACAGGCACAAACATTGTCTTGATACCGCGCTTTCTTCGGCCGAGAGTATCAAGAGGATCAGACACATCCGGTTCCTGCGCCGGCCAAGGATCCACAGCCGTCAAAACTGCGCCTCCATCTTGAACAACCGCGGGTGAATGGGCTTGTTGAAAGACAGCCCCTCCAGAGCAATCCAAGACCACATCAACGGGTTCCCATCGCTGGGCTCGGAATACCTTCCCCAGGTCGCACTCATCATATTCGGGGATATTTGGGAGAACAACGACCTCGTCAACGTCCCAACTCCCGCGCACAATATCTGCTTCCATGGCTGTACAGGTCACACAAATCCACGGCCGCTCGGGAAATGTGAAAAGCTTCTCTGCGCGAAGGAGCTGCACGGCGATTCGACCGACTTCGCTGTCTCGGGCGTTGGTGATCAATACGCGCAGTTTCATCTCCGAGCCTCGTTTTCTTAGAAGTCGGCCGCTTCCTCTTCGCCAACTACTACGACGTCTGCCGTAGCCATATTCATGACCGTTTCCATTGCCATTGCCATTCGCACTTCCGCTTGCGCCGGTAATCGTACTCGCAGTCCTCACGAGGTTGTTGATTCCATCCACGCTCTTCCTCAACCAACTAGGGCCGTTGCCATTGCTTCTGCCGTTGCCATACCCATTGGCAAAGATGCTTTTCTTTCCAGCGTAGCCGTTCTGATAGCCGTTTCCATTCCCGTTCCCGTTCACATGACTCTTGCCATTGCCTTGTCTGTTGTTCTCGCCAAATATGTCCGTTCTGAACATGCTCTGCCCATTACCACCATTGCCATTACCATTGGCCCGAGGACTCACTCTCCCCTGACCATTCCCATTATAGTTCCCCTTCCCATGTCCATTGGCATATTCAGTCTCGCTTTCTTTCCCCTTTCCATTTCCATTGCCATTCACAGACGCATCGGGATCGATTTCCGCATACCGGAACAGCGCCTGCCACGCCGTTAACCCAGGTAATGCCAATGCAGCAGCCTCCTGGGCACCTATATTCGCAGGCTTAAGCGCAAGCTCCGACTCCGTTGCAACAGCATAGTCTGCCGCACCACCGTCACGAGTATAACTCGTCACGCCCCAAACGGTATCCCCGATCTTGAACTTCGATCCTTCGGGCCGTTCAAGGTCCTGCGTTGGAGTGCTAATAACGGTCCCGCAGATACTGTGCAGTGGGATCTGCGGCGTAGTCTTCTGCGGATTCAATGCAGTCGCTAGACGCATCTCGTCATGACAAAACGCTGCCGTCTGCACCTTGAGAAGATACTCTTGCGGCGAGGGCTGGGGCGTTGGGAAATTTGCATCGAGAACGAGTTGTGTGCCCGGGTTGCTGAAACGGCGGGGCTTGGGACTCGCAGGTCCGTCGGGGATCGGTTCCATTGACGAGTCTGTTACTGGCTCGACGGAGTAATAGAGAGCTCGCATGGATAGTGGGACGAACTTTTGGGCGTTGAGCGATGTTGATGTCCGCTTGCCGTTTCTTGGTGTACGCAGGCTGGCCGTTGAAGGCCGCTTGTCTTTTTTCGAGGTTGGCATGGGGATATCGGCAGCCTGGCTGTCCGTGTAGCTTGATGGTGATACATTGTCTGCTGGTATCAGACTGATTTCGTTGTCTTCCCATGCAGGGGCGTAATCGTTCCGCGATGCTCTTCGGTCCATTTTGAGGGTAGATAGGCCTGACAGATGTTCATTGTTTCTCTCAACTCCTAGTCAGGGCAATTGCCCTTCCATTAAACTATGCATAGATTGCAGTCCATTGTTCTCATGTTTACCTACGTATGACGGAAGTTAGGTCCGCGATGCCACTATCACCAGAGCTGCTCGGAGTTCACATGCGAGAGTTATTAGGTCATATCTACTTAGTATTCCGGCTGTAAGGCCCTTCAAGCTAGAGAGAATAGTCGAAATGGCGCCCTTCAGATGCAAGGTATATACAATAAGATAGGAATAGCCCAGGTATCTACAAAGCCTGATCTTCCATTCCCAGCCCATCAACAAAAGCATACAGCTCCTTCGTATCCTCAAAGAGGGTCCAAACGGAAGCCGGGACGTTCTTAAATGCTTCCTCAAATCTCTCCGGCTTGTTCTTCTCTTCCATATGTTCCACATCAGTAACCTTCCGTATAATGATAGCATGAATCCACCCGGGATAACGGTTGTACATCTCCGCATAAGCCTCGGGATCCTTCTGTGTTGAATCCCCAATACAAAGCACCCTCCGTCGCGGGAACCAGCTCCGGATCTTCTCCATCCCATCAACCTTGTACTCCTGAGTATTCTCGGTAAAGGACTTGATCAGCCCGCTAATATCCATCCAAGAATAGTCACGCAGGATAAGCGTTCCTGGCAGGTAGTTCTCGTGCAGGAACTGGTGCAGGAATGGGTACAAATTGTAAGGCGAGGCCGAGAGGTAGAACCACGTCGGTTTCAACTCGTCTTGGACATGCCGATAGAACTCCGGCATACCGGCGATAGGAACGGGCTCCTCGGCAAAGGTCGTGCGAAGAATCCCCGTTGGCTCGCGCGTCATCGTCCACTTGATCGTGTCGTCAATGTCCGAGATCACCATCCAACCCTCGGGTGCGGCGAAGTGGGTTTCCATCGTCGCCGTTGGCTCGTTGAAATTCTGAGCTCGTGGATGGATAACCGTGCCATCTGTCACTCCAGATGCGCCGAGATCAACAATCTGGCTGATGATGCCGTTACGGTCTGATCCACCAAGTGAATGCGTCTGTTTGACTCCATCTATGATCACTTCCAGCTTGACCGTGCGCGCGGGAGAGACCTGATCCAGAAAGGGCTGTACACGCTTCGCAATACGCTCGCGTGTCTCCTGATCATCCCGGCCATACTCCCCATCGATACCGATATGATCAGCGATGGCAGCAACGAGCTTGCCGACATCTTTGCGACCTTCCGCCTCGAAGATACATACAACGAATTCGGCCTGCCATGATTGCGCAGTGTTTCCTTGATTCGACGTATCCGAGACAGGCTGATAGGCCGTGTTATCCAGCAACCACACGGTGTTCTTCTGTGGATCCGCCGCATGGGCGAGCGGGTTCTTTGAGCCCATCAAGGAGGAGAGGAATTTCAGGAACGCAGACCCGCGACGCTCTTGCACTGCTGGTCGTGCAAGATCCGTGTCTACGTCCCCATTTTCACTCGCCTTGGGAGTTGGGGCCGAACCTTCGGCCGGCTGGTCTTGCGCCATAATGATGCGTTTCCAGCCTCGAACCCTCTTTCGCAATGAGTGACCCGTTTTGGCTATTTGTTGATGTATGGGTAGAAGGTGGGAGTGAGAGATCCAACTAATGCAGGGGTCGTTTTCGACAAATTATCCCCGCTAGAAGGTTGTCCACATGTCAAAAATAAATGTCTGGAAGGTGTTCATCAGGGGAAGCGGCGGGGATCATATAGCGGGAGACGATCTGCTTTTAGCGCCGACGAGCTGATAGTAGTCACCCTTTAGCGTATCCTCTTAGTTGTTGGTTCTTTCCCCGCCTGATCGCTCTTTTACTGGCAGGGGGGAGGCTTTTGAGGCTGTGAACCCTGAAGCCAAGCCCGTTCTGTCAGTTGGGTGCCCCGGTGACTGCCATCATTCGACTGCGTCAGGCGAACGGACGTGGCTTGGCAGGGTTGACTGGACTTCCAGTATACAACCCGCCCGGTGATTGACGCATCGCAGAGGATTAATAGGGTGAATACGAACACCCATGACCTCACTCATGAATCTGTTATTCCTAGAATGTAACAGGCTTGGCAGTTCTGACTGATTTGGAGCATTCCCCGCAATCGCCAACAAGGCTGTTTCGCAAGGTTTGTTAGTTACACAACATGGCTCAAGCGCGGGTGGCTCTACCACGAGGTTTATTTCTACGACAGTCACGCGACCTAGGCACCTGTGAGACTGATCTTTTACTATTCTAAAACTATGCTCGAGTTAACTCGGTATGTTTCACCCAAAGCCGTTTCAGAGGATTTGCCTAAGTCATCCGGGAGGTGTATATCTGGGAGGAACATTGCTTTCTTTCTGTGGAATACTCGATTTGACCAATCTTCCCTAGCTCTAGGAAAGATTTTAGTGGACATCGTCCCTAGCATAACGCTTTTGTGAATCGATAGCTCTAGAATTTGGCGTACCTAGATGCGCATCACATTAGCAATGACAACCTACAGATTCAATACTTGTCCAAGAAGCAGGTAAAACAGCTTGCCAATCATATAGATCGAAGTCGTTAATGCACCTTCACAGAATTCTGACACTAACTTCTCTGGGAAGAACGAGATCAAATCATCTAGATATCGGTGCTTTCTGACCTTCGTTGAGATAGCATAGGTCTAACAAGGGATCTCATCGACAATGTTTCACCTAGATTGGTTGAATAAAATCATGGTTCGAGACACTCCCAACACGAGGGTCTAGAGGACTGTCCCCTTGCATGAACCCAATCTGTGAGTATACACCGATCGCCACCCTTGCAGCGTCGCCTGATTGTCGTCGTGGTGGTTGGTTATCGCCTTCAATGAGGCGAGTGGCGGTGGGATAAGACTATCCCTTCATCCAACAGCATATCTACCACCCGCCATCTCTCAATGCTGTGGAGAACCTTTTCAGGAGACAGACATGATAGCGATCAATTTCTCTATACCCTTGAATAATCAGAATCGGGCCATAACATAACTATTCTTTTCCCACTCGTGAAACATGAACAACCAACGATCAATACCACTTCTGCCGTCTCCACGACCATGGATACGATTGAACACCCGCCGAACGAAATCCCCGGGAATTCCCAATTACAATGAAATCAATCCATTTATTTACAACTCAAGCGGGCATTCATTGACACATGAATGGCCAAGGCATCGCTCAAAAGAGTGCACGCGATGTCAAGGAACGCCCGAGAATGGCAATCGGGCAAAGTGTATAACCAGAGACCAGCGCAGGGGATCACGCGGTTTCTAGGGATGGTACTCATGGTCACGAAGAAGTCTGTCATTTGCACGACAAAATGTGTTGGAGTCTCTTGGAAATCATAAGTTCGATTCATATGGTCCGGATTGAACCCTGTGGAGAAGAGAGGAGGGATTTCGCCTGAACATTTCAAAAGACTATCGGCATGCTGTGGGATGCGCAGCGACATCGATACTTCAAGATTGGAAAATCATCGCAGGATAACCTTGACTAAAGGTAGAAGGGGCTGTTGATGTGCTAGCCAACCTGATTGATGAGAGATGCATGGTATTGCCCATCAATCCAATCGAGACGGGCTTTCAAGGATGGGGGGGAGGAACAGTGATGATGTGCGATGGCCAACTCTGGGCTGAGGGAATGGCTCGCATTTGATACCAGGACGGAAATGGCAGCTGAAAATTCGCATCTGCCATTCAAAGACGCCTCCTTATTTTGTGAGGGTCGAGAAAACTTTTTGTATATCCCAAAAATTTAAAATATTGACACTTCATTTCTCCGTGTAGGCTAGAAGAGCAGCACTTCAATATAACTCATCTTCTCCATCACCATCTCTTTGGCGCGGAGATTTCAGTTCGCGAAAATGAAGCGCTGACAGTCTCCTTGCCTCGCCGTCGCTGAATCTCCTTGATACCAGTGCGATCCGTGACCGTGGTTGCGTTGATTATGTTGTCGAAATCCTCGTCTTCGCTTCCAGCAGAGCCAGACTCGGCATCTGAATCCACATAGACCGGCTGTTCTGGCCGTGCAATCTTCTCAGGCTGCTCCTTGTCTGAAGCAGACGGGTTCTTGAATGATTTAGACTCAAGGATCTTGCGTCGGATTTCGGCCATTTGTTCTTCATCTTCGGAATCGTCTGAAATTGCAAACGGGTCTTTATCTGCCTCGTCTTCGCTCTCTTCTTCTTCTTCCTCCTCGCTACCTTCCTCTCCACTCTCGTCCTCGTCATCGTCGTCATCACCAGACTCTTGGGCTGCAGTTTGTCGATTGGTATTTCCGACTGTCCAGATGTCGTCGGCCCCCTCAACACGGCTCTCTTCATATTCTTGTTCAATCTTGGCCAGCCACTCCTCCTCCGTTCGCTTCACATCTTCTTCGGTCTGGCAAGCGGCATAGCGATCCAGCAATTCAGAGTTGATCTCCAAGAAGGCTTCTCCATATCTGAAGTTCTTCAAGACTTCTTGTGCCCACTCCGGGTGTCCGCAAATGTAAAAGCAAGCTGCCAGCGCTTCGACGCAATTCAAACGCCAGGGTTTGCCGTAGTTGACCGTGTTCGCAGCGATAAGATATGGTACTATACATTCAACAATGTCAGTCATAAGCGATTCCTCTGTGCATTCTTTGGCGCAACAGCAAAGACCTACGCAATCGCTCGCATTTTCCACCGATACGAGACCAAGGCACTTCCTTGACTCGCACCCAAGAGCACTCAACCACTGCAGCACCATGTTGCTCCATCAGTTCTCGGTCGGCAGGTGATACAACTTTCTTCGCATTAGGCCTTGATAATCCACTTGTTAGTAGGTGAGGTACGAGAAGAACTGGTGGGGTGGGCGCATACGAAACGATCACACCAGGGAATCGCTGGCCAATATGAAGCTCTCGCATCAACCCCAACTTCATCAAACGCTTTCCTGAGCATCGCTTTGGGTCACAGTGTCCCATATCCCAGCAAGCAGCTCTAAATGCTGGGCGCGAAGAGGGCGTAGCGTCATCGCCATCACCGCGGGGCACCGGTCGGGGGCGGGGGTTCGAGGACTTCTTGCCTCCACGCGAAAAGTTGTCTTTCTTATGACGGACCATTGTGGAGAATCGTTAAGGTAAGACCAGAGGAAATTTTGGTCTCGTTGAGGCGTTGGCGCTGAGTTGGGTTGGAGTTCAAAAAAAATATTCCAGTCGAAGCACAAGCGCCACACGTGCAAGTTACTCCGCCCGCCGTCCTCAGGTCTCCATCTAAACTACACCCACTTCCCACAGCTGCGGGGGGCAGTCCTTCTTTCCACATCAAACTGCGCCCGAGAAGCTTCTCAGCTCCTCTATCCCAAATTATCCGATTACCCTTCCTGTCCATTCCCCCACCGTCATCCTGGAGGCTGCTTCCGCACGTATGGCGGCTAGGGACCGCTTTGGTGCCTATGCTGAGCCGGGGCTATCACCGCTACAGCGGGCAATCCGTGAGCTGAACCCCCTACATCATTGATTCTTCGCGCCGACAATAACAGTTCTCTAATACTCAATATGACATAGGGAATGCCTGCGATCCACAAAATTATGAGCCCAACCTGGCCCTGAACCTCGAAGTCGCGGACTTGGTCAACTCCAAGAAAGGCAATGCGTGAGTCGGAAGTGCCGAAATCTCAGAGGATTGCGCAATGCTAATCCTACCGTCTCTTTGACAGACCTCGAGAAGCTGCCGTCGAGATCGTTCACCTTATCAATGCCCGGAACCAGAACATCGCGTTGTTGGCGTTGGCGGTACGTTGACCCGAGTTCGGGTGGAGATGACAGGCTGGCGCGCGGGACGAAGCTGACAGCTCGCTTTCCAACACAATTAGCTCCTCGACATCTGCGTGAAGAACTGCGGGTACCCTTTCCACCTACAGATCAGTACAAAAGAGTTCCTCAATGAATTGGTGCGGAGATTCCCCGAGCGGCCGCCGATGCGCCCCTCGCGGGTCCAACATCGCATCTTGGAGTCGATTGAGGAGTGGCGCCAGACCATTTGTCAGACATCGCGCTACAAGGAGGACCTGGGCTTTATCCGGGATATGCACCGTCTTCTTCTGTATAAGGGCTACGCATTCCCGGAGGTTCGCCGGGAAGATGCGGCGGTCTTGAATCCGAGTGACGTACGTGTTATGATTCAACAATTGCAGACATTCAAGACCTTATACTAATAGCTTGTTGATTAGAACCTTCGCTCGGCCGAGGAGATGGAGGAGGAAGAAAAGGAAGCACAATCTGCTAAACTTCAGGAGCTAATCCGGAGAGGCACACCTGCTGACCTGCAGGAAGCTAACCGATTAATGAAGGTCATGGCTGGATATGACAACCGGCACAAGACCGACTACCGTGCGAAGGCTGCAGAAGAAGTTGCCAAGGTGCAGCAGAAGGCTAAGATCTTGGAGGAGATGTTGCAGAGCCAGCAGCCCGGCGACAGCGTTCCCGAAGGAGATGTCTTTGAGGTCAGTGATCTGAAATCCCTCTCTCCCGTCCGAGCGCATGTTTTCTTTTACTAACTTGCTCGATTGTAGGAGCTTGCCAATGCTCTGCAAAGTGCGCACCCCAAGATCCAGAAGATGTGTGAAGAAGAATCGGAAGACCCGGAAGCTGTTCACAAGTTACTGGAAATCAACGACAGCATACACCGGACAATTGAGCGTTACAAGCTGGTGCGGAAGGGCGACTTCGATGCGGCATCGAGAATTCCCAAGGGTACTTTGGGTACTACGACCGGTGTTTCAAAGAACGCAAACAATGAACTCTCATTGATCGACTTTGATCCTGAGCCAGCTCCGAGTTCCAATGGCAATGGCGAGTCCTCATCCCAGGGTGGAAGTGCGTTGGAGAATGACCTTCTCGGACTCTCCCTTGGCGAGGAGGGCCCGGTTCTTGGTGGTGGAATCTCTCTGGGGGCTTCCAGTAGTAAGTTTAAACGATTCCAATGTTCGGGGGAAGCGTAGTCACTAATCACCAATTCCAGTGGGATTCCCTCCTCTGCAGACTGGTCCATCTCCGCCTGCAGCCTCTCCTCAACCCTCGCAGCAAGCGCCTGCTGCATTCAAACCAAACTATGATATCCTTGCATCTATGAGCTCGTCCCGACCCAGCTCTCAGTCATCCACCCCAGCCCCAGGTATCTCGCCTCGGCCCCAATCGACTGCGACTCCTCCACAGGCAGCCGATCCATTTGCAGCACTGGTATCGGCCAGCCCCCGGCCTACATCTGGGGCCTTCCAACCACCCGCTCCTCACGGCCAGGCCGCACCCACGCCATCTTCGTCATTGCTTGACTTGGCAGGTGGTGTCAGTCCACCTCCACAGCCGCAGGCGATGGGGCAAGCGCCGGCGGCCGAGGATGACGAGTGGGACTTTGCATCCTCGCTTCCACTGAGCAATGTCTTGCCTTCCACGAACAAAGTGCAGGTGCTTAACTCGCAGCTCCGTATTGACTTTGTCGCTCGTCGCGTGCCAAGTGCGCCACGACAAATTCACATCCAAGCTGTCTTCTCCAACACCACCGCCCAGCCTATTGGCGAACTGCACTTCCAAGTCGCAGTGGAAAAGGTAAGTTTCATCTCCTAAACTTGAGAAAATTTGAAGTCCGTTACTAATTCGTCCCCTAGTCATATACCCTACAGCTTCGCCCACAGTCCGGCCGAGAAGTTGCTCCGCAGCAGCAGTATGGCGTGAAGCAGGAGATGGTCCTGGATGGCATCGACAATGGAAAGGGCAACTCGGTGAAAATTCGATTCAAGGTTTCTTACAGACTTGGTGCCGAGGCTCGCGAAGAGCAAGGCATGGTGCCCTCCTTGGGAATTGCCTAGGAAGAAGCACGCGTCTGAATTGTCTGAACATTTGTCTTCTTTAGAAGTTCCTCGGCAGAGAGACTGGTCCCACGAGGCGGACAACCTGCCATGGGTGGCCTGACTTGGCTGTCTTGGGCCGATATGTCCCAAGTCTCACGTTTGCCGTCCGGCCGGGGATGGTATTTGCTCGGTCAGTCGGAAAGATGGCATTCAATGCGAGATTGAGAAGTCTCTGCAGAAGTACGATGCTCCGTCATTCTCTATCGCCATGCGCGTTTGTGAGCCTTGACTGTTTTACTCTCGTCTATGCGCTGATCTACAACACCCTCATGCTGTTCTCTGCTTTTTTTTCCTACTTCCGTGTCTCTTCATTTCGACCCCTTGAAATCTTAGCGTCCGCCCTCATGCTGTTTATAAAGAATCACCTCGTGGAATCCCCCCGCATTGCTTTTCACCGAATACAAATGCCATTCACAACTATGCCGCAAAGACCAGCCGCAGTGCCTATCCATTTACCGTAGTCTCCTTCGCCACAGCCTGGAATAAGCTTAATTCCTATCGCATCTCCCGATCCCGCACTCCGCGTACTCCGATTGAAACAATTACCTAGGTTAACTGATAGACTTTTAAAGCCTTTCCTTCCATCCGACCGTGCCCCCATTAGGCAAGACCCCCTATCACACCCCCCAGATCCAATCACCCGCTCCGACGCATCAAATCCCCCAAAACCGAAAAGCCTAAAGCAAAATACGAACTTGACGAGCGCAGGGATTCGTTTCTTGTCGCTCGTTGCACATCTGAAGCGTCACCGTGGCGGTCGCTCCCCAGGAACGGGTGGTCGTTCCTGGAAGGGTGTGATGTCGATCATGCCATGCCGATCCGGCACTTTCACTCGGAGATCCTCCAGATTTTCTCTCGGGGAGGGCGAAAAGAGAACTACTGGCGCGTTACAGCGCAGTAATGTGCGGAAGGAACCGCGCCATTCTCCGCGCTGTCGGGAATTGGTCAGAATTGAATCATTGATTGTGGATAGGTAGGTCTCTGGCTCTTATTGTTCGTCGATGTCCTGTGGCTCGGTGGGGTGGGTGCCTTTCTTTCGGGTCGCCGAGTATTCTCCGCTGAGCGCTCTGGACCGATTGGGAAGTTATCTTGTTTGGTTAATATGGTGCGAGCTTCAATTATGGGATTTCTTTTTGCTGGATTGATGTTGTTGGTGTGCTGTGCGAGTGAGTTCTATCTCGTCATACCTGCGAAAGCCGAGTGATCCGCTGTAGAGTAGATCCACTGTTCGCCCCGAACGTTGACGCCAGAAAGCAGATCGTGAGATCTCGGATCTCTGCAGGGCTTTGCTAAATATATAACCTAGAGGTGACTAAATTTTAGTAATCTATAGAGATAGTTTGGTTTATTTGGAATCGTGCTCTGTGTTAGGATAAGCTTCCAAAATAGAGGGCGGAAAAGAGGAGGACTCCAAGATTACAAACCGAAGAGACCGCAGCCAAAGTATCGGGATATCTCAAGGGCCGGAGTCTATAATCAAGCGCTAGCAGGCCTGAAAGGGTATAGACATTGTCTGAGCTAGATTGCCACCCGAACACTACTACGGATTTAGGACTGAAATCGGGATATAGTACTAGCAGGACGAGTAAAAGCCACTCTTCAGTCCCAGGAATTCAGGTTGAACACCTTCTAGTTATGGGCCCATACTCGTCAACTCTCGGCTGAATGCTATAGCCACTGCCACAATTACAGCCCTACGAAAGTATGGAATCTATACCCCCACGCTTCGCATGGTACAAACATGTGAAGTTTTCAGACCGTACGACCTGCCCAAAATGACCAGTGGCGATACACAAAGGGGGACAAGTATCTTGGCCCTCCTTGAAGTGGACTAGGGTTCGGCCGGCCGAATACTGCATCGGCCAGCAACGGGGTGTGTCTAGTATGGGCATTTGAAAAGGGCAGACCATGGATGCCCCCGAAGGGTGGCGAGTTCCCAAGGGCCGAGGAGAGCATCCCGCATTGTACCCGTGGGAATTGGTCAGAGAAGCTGCCGCTGCATAAAGATGACCGCGTGTGGTTTTTTTTGGCGTGTTGGTCTGATGTTTACTTTGAAAGTCTGCATGGCGGCGAGGCTAGATGGTCGGACTGTCGCAAATGAGACCGAGGGCAATCTTTCATACTTTGGACTATTAGTGACTTGGTTTTCTCTCCAATTCTGGTCTGTATCTGGTACTCCAATCGAGTACCAGTCGAGGACTAGTCGAAGCTCAGGACTATCGGGGCTGACGGGCTCATGCCTTCCGATAGGCTCCTGCAGAGTACAACTGGCGTTGACGCTAGCCTGAGCGTTTGAAGCAGCGCTCTGATCTCTGGTAAGAATTTCCCCCAAAACAAGTGGCTGTGCGCGCGAGATAGTCGAAACTATGCTGTGGCTACGGTGACAAAGTACCGTCACAAGAGTAGAGAATCCGGCAAAACAATAGTCGAGAGGGAGGGTTAAATCTGAGCTCAGAAGGAATTGACGCTAAGCGTGGCCGATCGTCGTTAGCTTTTTTTGAGTTATCCTCTAGAGGCACGAAATCTCCGTGAATCGACCGTCCGTGCGATGGGAGAATAAGAGAGCCCCGTGCGGATCGGGGGGCTGCAGGAACCCTCGTGTTGGTCGGATTGGGGGGGGATTGTTATCGTTTTCTGGGATGGCGTGGTCGGTCCCCTCTCTCTCTCGATGGTGAATGGCTGTACTGTATACAACAAAGGAGTAAGAAGTTGAAATTTTCCTTCCCCAGCGCCGGATTCGGTCACGTGGGATTTTGCCAGTGCTGTACAGACTCCTTCAGTAGATCCTCGTCAATCTTGAGTATCTTCCAAGAGCAAACAGCAAAAGAAACCCCACTCAACTCGACAAAACGACGTTAACCTCAGACGCTTTGGGAAGATCTACACAGTCGCATCGCGGGGGAGGACCTTTAGCGACCTTTCTCCACTCCCAGTGATACCAATCCCGGTCTAGGCCTCTCCTCCTCCTCTTTCTCAGCCAGACTCGGCCAACTCATGCAGGAAAAAGCCAGTAGCGCAAGCCGGTCTCTACTATCTCTTTTTCCAAGAGTCCCAAGGATCCGCCCAGGGAACCCTAGCAGAGAAGAGGCAGAGAGATCCCAGCAACTGCAGAAATCGGGAACAAGTATCCGGGCCCCTGGTTTAACCTAGGAGGCTAGGACACGGCGAATGGAAAATCCGCTACCAATACCCATTCTAGAGCCCATCCCCCTCTTATCATTCGATTATTATTCAACAACTACCGCACTGTGGCGCCATCGAACGGGCTCGCCGTGCAAAAGAAAATGAGCCATCGCCCGGCAGACCCTCCTAGGCCAAACGGGGCTAAACGGGGCCCAAGTGGATGCGGCGATTCCATGGCTCAACTACCAACGAGACTTTTCTCGGCGTCCCAACTACGATCGCCTTGGGTCCCATGGATCCGCTCTCGCAAGCTTCCCTGCGAGTCTGCGTCCTGACAGCTTTGCTCTTGCCCCCCCTCCAAGAAACTCAAATCGGGAAACGGCTCTCCAGCGTAACTGAACCACTCAGTGAACTCCGGGCGCTATTATTATTTAATATCCTTCCCCTCCGCCTCCTCATTGCATTCCAACCCCCCCCCTCCATCCTGTACTGGCATTATATCATAATCCTAGTTCAGATCTACACTCATCCACTCCTGGGCTGAGCAATCACTTAACTTCTTTACCCACTTTTCCCCATTCCTTATCCGAGATGGCCTCGCCAGATCTCGATCAGGATATCTCTCCTGTACCCCGGTCTCGGGAGGAGAATCAGGAGAGGTAAGTACTTCTTTCTCATGGAAGGACTACCTCTTCCATCGAGCCCTCCTATCCGAGGTATACAGAGAGATCGAAGAAAACATAGGACTAACATACCTTCCAGAGCTTTTATTGCTGCTTCGCGGCGCAAGGACCGTAGCCTGGATGCACGGTTGGAATCAGCTAACCGAGCGTCGATGCTGCACAAGAAGCGCACCGGAAAGGCATTCCACATCACCAAGGAGATTGTTGAGAAAGAAGCCATGTATGAAGAAGTTGACGAGCGCTATCAAGAGAAGCGCATCCGTATGCTGCAAGCACAGAACATGCAGATTGAAGAGCAATTCCATCGCCATCTCCTAGCTGCCTTTGCTGCCCGGGCCAACTCCACCTCCGCGGCTTCTTCTATTGCTAGCCGTAGGGCAAGCCTGGCACCGCATGCTTCCGTCGAGGGAAGCTCAACACGGAAGATGAGCTTAGATCTGTCGAATCTGCGTTCTCCATTCCCACAAGGCATGGACTCCAACTCAATGACTAGCCCCGCGACTACTGGAGAGGGATATTTGATGTCACCAACGACGACGTTCGACCCGAATGCCCAGTCATACATGAGCTGCATGGACGGCTCTACCGGCTACCCATCTCACATGGTCACCGCGGCATCCTCAGCGGCACAGATCCCAGCCTACGCTGTTCAGGCACAGACCCCTGCTCCCGCCTGGAGCCATATGGGCTGGGCGCATATGCAACAGCAGGTCCCTACTCCTACCCAGACACCCACCGACTCTCAAGCCGTGCGCATGTGGCAGCAACAGATGATGCAGCAAGCTCAGATGCCCACCGATGCTGCGGCTGCCATTCAGATGCGACAGTTCAGAGAACGCCTGGCCTCCGCGCCAGAATTGCCAGTGCAGCACCTCGCACAGCACGTTGCTCCGGCCGCGTCCATATCCGGTCCTAGTGGCGGCCACGGTCACTCCCGCGGCCATTCTCAGCCTAGCAACAACTTCCACAACCTCCATCTCCTCACTCAAGGTACACATCTGGCCCAGGTGGCTCCCTCGAACACCAGCTCGCCTAAGATCGAGTCTTATTCTGGAGAGACTCAGTCTACACCTGAATTCTGCCCCACTCCCAACACCCCTCTATCACCTACCGCTCTGGGCACTGCCCAGGGTGGGGCTGTGGTAAAGTTAGAGGGGGGTGAGGGCGGCGATGGCGTTATGGTTTCCCATGAGGAGCTGGACCCTGATTTTAATGAGTTCAGCCAATTTGCTCTGGGCTTGGGTAATACTTCCCTACCAGAGCGGGAGCCCTTTGGCTTCGACGAGTTCGTTGCTCTAGATGACTACGGTACCGTCTCCTGCTAAAGTACTTTCCCCGACCTACTTTCCTTTCTCATACTTGTCTTTTTTTTGCACTTATTCTGCCTTTCATTCTTGAGGGGCTATTTACATGATTCCCCAACTTTTTTGATGTATATGACCGTGTTTGGCTTGTACATTTGCTCTGTGTATCATACTTTGGTTTTGGGTTTTTTTCCCCCTGTCTGTGTTCTTTTTTTTCCATCTTTTCCTATTTTTTTCCGGTTTATCATCACTATCTACTTTCTTTTCTAATGCCTCCATGATGAGGAATGCGTTTGGGTGCTCCAAAGCCAGGCGTTAACTTTCCGCGGGATTCGGGATTTGGATTCTTTGGATTTGGAACCGGGATGAGGGGAAGGAGGGGCGGGGGGGAACTTGTGCATTTCAGTTCAGCTCAGCTCTCGAACCTTACAGCTAGTTCCAAGGATGGACAGGATCCACGTTGCTACTACTTACTTTCTCCCATCTACTGTCATGAGAAACGAAATTTCACTTTGAATCTATACCTTTTTAACAAACGTGCGGGTTTTTTTTCTCTTCATCTCTTCTCCGTGTTCCTCTATTCGTGCACCAGATATACACGCCCAAGGGTTTTGTCCGCAGGTACTACTATGTACAGTTGCATTCGCTGCCGCAAACAATCAATCGAGTACCTATTCCGGCGAATCCTGCATCTTCCAAATCTTTCAAATCGTTGTATCCTCTCCACTACGAGCCAGTGTCTACAATCCCCCTCCCACGGGCCGTGCCAGCTCCAGCTCCAGCTTCATTCTACAAGCTCCAAGCTCCAAGCTCGAGCTAGTTTTCAGTTTTTTCCCCCCGGAACTCTACTTTCGCATGTAACAGCCTATCGTCGTTTCGACTGCCCTTGTTGCACGAATTACACGACTCGTGAAACCTCAGGCCACCCACGGTACATGGTACACGGGGGGGCACTTGGGCCTCCATGTTAATTAACCAATCATCCAACCAGAATGCTCATGGTCGCCCTTCATTTTTTTTCACTCATCCTCGTAGTGATTTACCCCACCTGACATCACCCCCTTCTCCTCCCCGTTATGATTTCCGATTTGGCTATGATTCCAAATTCTCACTATCATAGCCACGGTCGCGAGGCGCATAGAGCAGGGAAAACCAGGTACTTTTGTAAGCTCGAACGGCCCACCCAGCCTTCTTAGAAGTTTGTCTAGTAGCACCAAGTAGGTTTTCTAAGTTTTTAATTTTTAGCTCGGCCAACGCTCGTCTTGAGGAGGCTACTTGTGTGAAGTACTAGCGCCAGATCGGCTCGTTTTGCTGCTTTCCCTAATGAGGTATTTGGGGGCGTGACGAGGGGTTAGGATTGGGATATCATCGCGCTTGGCATCGGCATTGCTCACATTTAGTCAACGGGCTCGCATTGAGCTGCTTAGTTTAACAGTTAAATTTCTCGAGCTAATGCTTTGTGATGTCACAGTTTCCCCCGTGCCTTGCAGAGCGTTTGGGGGAGAGGCTGGGCATTGATTTGGGGGCGATTCGGGGTTATCTGTAAGAGGCGGTCCCGAGGGAATGGATCTGGGTTCGTACTACCTGATGGTTAATCAAACTACCAATTAGAGGGCTCTGTGCTGCATTTCATGCTTCGCTTTGACCTATACCCTACAATAATGCTATTCCCATATCCCAGCCCGATTCGAGATGGTAATAATTTGATAATTATATAGTGTAATGCTAGGACGGGATTTAGTTTCTCATTATTAATATATAACTAGTGGCCGGGTATAATTTCTCTTCTATAACGCCCCCAAATTAAACACTCAAGCCTCTCGAGAGAGATTTACCTCTCGCACTGACTTGCAACTAACTAAAGCCGCAAAATTGCGGGGTTAAGGTTGCAGCTCCCGCACAGACCATCCATCCGTTTTGGGGACTAGTGTTATCCACCCGTATCCACGGATCACCAGCACCGCTCGCCCTTGGGCCACAGCCGATAGGCGGATAAGTCAGCGATCAGACGGGGGGCATTCAAGGATCGAAATGGATCGCGGTGGAGTAGACCCAATAATGGCCCGCTGCAATCGGAACCCCGTGCATGCATCCGGACCAGCCATTGGTGTGGTGCGGATGCCTCTTCTGGGCACCCGTTGGTCGGTTCTAGCCCCAATCGTTGCGGAGTGGGGGTGGAGAGGAGGAGGAAGAGAGCTGTGATGAGAATCAAGTTTATCTGGTTCCTATCAACATCAGCTTACAAGGGGAAAGAGGGGGGGGGGGGATTTTTCTGAGCGCATTATCGAGCTCGCCACTTGAATATAATCTTACTGCATCGTCTGATTGGGGACTATCAAGGCTGATTGCGTGTCGAGATGGTACGAGCTTGCTGACGGATGGTCTGATAAGCCATCAGTCAACGATCTAGACTTGTTCGTTTGGGCCTTCCATGTGGGAAACACATGTGCAGATGCATGCTGCAGCTATCCGCTACCTTGTTTTCGTTTCTTTTGATGTTCAAGGCTGTCCTATCTATTGGCGAGTTGTACGAGGGAAGGACCAATTCCTGATTCCACCTATCTTGACAACCCGTTCTAGAGCTTATGGCGTCTTTTAGATGTTTTTGCACGCGATGTCTCTTGCCAACAATCATTCCATACTTGCCGACGTGCAATATTCGCACGTGCCCTCGCTCGTATCATTTAACTATAGCCACCGCCACTCATCAACAAATCCATCAAATGATAGTATATAGACGCATGTCAAACCATAGCAACCAGAACACCTAGCGAGACCATCTCGCGGCTGCAATCGCCTGATCGACCAATCAGCAACCTCGTCACACACAATGGGAGTATTTCTCCGGTAGCCCAGGAGAAAATAGCTGGTTCTGGCGGGTAGTGGAGAAGAAGAAGCGAAAGACCGGGTCTGGACTGGCCGCTCATTGCAAGTGTACCCAGGGAACATATCGATCGATGGGGTTGTCGTTGGAATTTTTTTGCTCCGGATTTTCGTGGGCTTTATCGCCTTACCAGGTTTCTGACAAGGGGTCATATATGGGAATGGAGATCATGCCATTTAATTGCTCAGCCCCTTCTAGCCGTATATGGTATAGAGTGCGGTGAATACTTGAATAATGCGATCGAGAACCTGAATCCACTTTATAGTTACTACTGCATGCTCTATGCAGGATTTGTAGACCATGCAGGATTTTGGACGATAAACTACACTACGCCACACGCAGATCATAGTAGATCTTTTATAACGGTCTTTTACAAAGACCATAGGCAATGACTTTGAAGAAATGTGAAAGATCAGTAGAAAGTACCTGTATACGATCAACCAGACCATCGGTGCCACACTATAACACATTGAGATAAGTACGTCTTTCCTCATCCGGCGACAACAATCAACCAACCGCAAGCCTGCCATAATAAAGAAGTAACTCACGGTACCCGAATTCCCATTCATCAACCATAATGGATCCCCCTGTCCACCCAAACCAAAGCCCCGGTACGCCCTACTTCGTGTTGACACGCCGAGAAAATGAATCAGGCAGATGACCCGATAGTATGGAGTTATGATCGACCCGATGCGGCTGTGCTGTACAGTTGATACCGACGGGCTAAACCGCCAGCGTGGGGTGAAAAAAAATGTGGGCAAATGGGCGATCAGGATAAGCAAGAGCAAAAACATACAATTGGCCTACGGCTGGACTCGGTACACTGAAAATCAAGGCGCCGATGTATGGGACGGATGGGACGTGCGTGATGGCGATCTCGATTTGTAGCGAAAGAGAATGCGTAGAGAGACCCCCTCAACGATGGGTGCTGATTTGTTCTCCACCAAGTAATCCACAAGGTCGCCCTATACGTCGATCTACCAGTATAATCTGGTCGGGCTCGCCTATACGCTATCTCCAAAACCCGGTGAGCCCGAGGCCGCAAATAAGACGCAATGGTAAATATCTCCTTTCGAATGACCGAATATTACTCTCGACGTCGGACTTCCCGAGATTGATCCGTTTACGCGGACGCGTGGATCCTAAGATCCTTGATGCCAGGCTAAAAGGCCCAGCCTTTTTACAGAGAACTCATAATTGGTCTTCCCATACTGGGATATTTCATGTTTTGTGAATTTATTCGGTCAAGCACCGAGTTTATTTCATTGCTTTGATTTCTTGTGGCTATAGATGAGGCCATTCAGTGTCCATGGTTAGACTTTGACCCATGATATGACAATTCTCAAAGTACGTAAACGCAGGGGCAAGTCAGAAGGAGATGATTTCCATATCCACAGCCGAGGATTCAGCTCAAGAAAATGACGGGATGAGAAGGATGGCTAGAACCAGCCAAAATTCCAAGAACAAGAAAGGCCTCCGGGAAAAAGCGCCAGTGGAGAAAAGCAGGATAACCAAGGCAGAAAGACGCCAAATAGAGAGAGAGAAGTCAGATTGTGGCTATGTCACGCAAAGGGTGGGATCATATGGAAAGAGAATGGAGGTTGTTGTGTTGCCTGATCCACTATACTCGGTAGGTATATCTTGTTTTGCCATTGAGGGCTTCCAAATTAGGAAGTGAGTTTGTGTCCCATCTCAAAGTCTCTTGAAAATTTTCTTCAGTAGTCCAGAACACTCTAAACACCACCCCGGCTAAACAATTCTCGACCAATCTCACCGCTACGGCGAACGCTCATACTTGAAGAGCTGCTGCGCCGACGGCGCCGAGATTCGGCCGGATCTGCGGGACTCAGGCCACTCGCGCGGGCGTGTAGGTTCAGAATATCAGTCAAGCTAACAACTCCAACCAGACGGCCGGATAAGCGAGCACCTGGTAGGGCTGATGCTGGGATTGAAGGCGCGAGTGGCGGTGTCACTCCGGAGGATGCAACTGGTGGGAACGGAGCAGTGGGTAGCGTAGGGAGGTGAGGTGTCGCCGGGCCGGGAGGCTGTGAAGGGAGACTCACGGGCGTTGGAAGAGGTGAAGGTGGTGGAGACAATGTAGTATTCGATCCTGTCGTCGCGAGAGGAACTGGTGCTGCCAGAGGAATGTGTGCACTGGAGTGAGATGGAGTTGGAGGTCCCGACGAAGATGGAGACAACGGGTCGGTCACCCAGAGTCTAGTCTGGTTAGTTTTTGCCCATCTACTGTATCGAGGATTTCTTGCTTACCGATGCGATCGTGTAGCCACAAGCTTCGCAACTGTGTGAGCGAGCGTCGATGTGGGATTCACATGGAAAACGGGGAACGAATCTTTGCCTTCAATCAACCCGCGGGTCGAGAGAATCACCGAAATAAAGTGCGTGCAGGTATTTTGAAGAAGGGGTAGCGACGAGGACCGTGTGAGAAGCTTTAGATATGTTAGCTGGAAGTCTCCAGTGCCTGAAGAAGAGGTTTGCTCGGTGTTTACCTTGACATCCGTCGTCGAGATATTGCCAATCACATTCCAATGGTTATCAACCACAACAAGAGATGATACTCCTTCAGTGTTCATCAACTGAAGGGCTTCACTGAGAGGCTTATCGCCGCTGCAATTGTATCGACAGTTAGCCTCGACACCAAGTCATGAATCAAAGTATCGGAGGAGGCCTTACTTGATGGAAATCACATTGTGGGATCCAATCCGCAAGTTGTTCAGAGCCTGCGGATAGAGCTGCTCAATCGCAGGGAAGCTGCGGCCATTCTCCCAGAGGAACTTGACCAGTCGGAATTGACTGAAGATACCAACCACTTCTTGGTCGTTGGACTCCTTGGTCACGACGACACGATGGATACCGCCGCCAAACGTTTCCACCGCCGTGAGAACATTTGCGGATGCCGGTAGCGTAACGAGGGGTTCCTTTTCCATGCCCAAGGCCTTGACATCCTTGAGCGGGATCTTCTCTCCCTCTCGAGCTTTCTTGGCAAGCTCATCATACGATGTGCGATGTCCTTCTTGCGGAGTGGTCAACCCTGCAGCCAACAACAGATATGTGTTTAGATCGGAGTAATCGAATGTAGCCACGGCAGCATTGTGTTGAGGACTTTCGCGAATAAGCAGTACGGGGGCACCGGTATCAATCAAGATCTACACCGTATTAGTTCCCCACAACAATGAATCCAAGATGTAGCTCGCCCGGAGAACCTACATTCGTCGCCTCTTCAATGCCCGTATCCAATTCAACGAATTGTAAGTCGCCCGGACTGACCAGCTCTCCAATGGAGATCTCTCGCCAGTCCCGACCAATAAATGCTGGATCAACATTCTTCGGTGGTGGGGGGTTATCAATCAAGCTCTGAATAGCGGACTGCGTGAGGGAGGGTTGTCGTCGATTCCTTGGAGAGCCAGGCGGTCCACGGAGAGTCTCACTCAAGCTCTGACGGTGCTGATGATTTGCAGGGGGCATGTGTAAAACTCGTAGCTGGTTCTGATTCCGTGAGGGGCGGGTATCGGTGCTGGATCGGGGCGACGTCACACCGGAGCCGTTGTTGGGATCGGCAGAGGCGTTGAGGGAGGTGTCGGAGCCCTCCCGACTAAGCTGGCTATCTGCCATATTCAATCCCGTCAAATCTATCCGGTTTGACAAGAAATTGGGAGAGCAGCGGAGTAGTTGAGAGTCAAGGGAACAGGTGACGCGGGGGTTGAGTGGGCTGTGCCAATGAACGACCGCCGATTTCTGACATCATGTGATTATGTCATCAACAATGCCAAGCCTTTCTATGGGCGGGAGACCACAAGTATACCAGAGCGGAGATGTACTGAACAGTTGGACTGCTCTTACCTCCTGTTCTTTGAAAATAGTGCATTGGATGGAGATTTTCGCTTCCCGTCACGATTGAAATGCTGATTGGCATAGCCATACTCACATCCCGAGAAAGTCGCCTAGCACATCTGCCATATCTCTTCCTCCTCGTTCCTTCATTATCCGCTTGCCAGTGTTTCGAGGCTGCTGGATCTCTTGTGGTGCTCGTTTTCTGTCATTTTGCCCAGTCGGTCGAGTAAGTATAAAGATGGACTTTGCTGCATATGCCGCTCTCCTCTGTTCCTTTTCAAGGTCATCGCAAGCAAGGGCAGGCAGGCCAAATTCCATAATGGGGATGTTGGAGTCTAACATGGGAGAGTTTGGCTTTGGTTCTATGTCTTTGAGCCTCAGCCCATCTTCATAGACTTTCAAAAGTGGTCCCAGATATTTCAATGCGTCCATCTTTGCGCCTTCGGGAACCCAATCCAGTCTTTGAATATTCCAACCTGCCACCTTGACTCCGTCTTTAGTCCTGGCTTTTGGATGACTGGATTCTGGTGTAAACTTTCCGCACTGATGTATGACGACAACCTTCAGGCGTGGCAATTTTTCAAGCATCCAAATAATGTGGTGGGTAAGGCTATTCTGCTGATAGATTCTCAGAACTTGTAGGTTCTGTAAGGATCCTGTAGACTGTGCAGCATCAAGCCAACTGCGTACGACGCCATCATCCAGTTGTATCGCATCTCTCGTTTCAATATTGTTTGGAAAGCTCGAGTCAAAAATTCGGCGGTTGATCTCGAGGGCCACCAGGTTCTTGAGATTGCCAAGATCGACGAGATCCGAGACACTGGCATAGGCACTAGACAATGACAAGGCAGCGCGCCAGTGACAAGCATTGCTTCTTATATTATCAATATAACCCTTCATGGGTGTTTTTGGAATCCTAGTTCTCAGGCAGTAGGACGGGCTGAGTGGCGGGAATTGTTCTGGATACCTCATTGTGAGGATCTTCCACATCAGAAGCGTTTGCTTGCCCCTACCGACGTGGTTAGCAAAGAGCCATTTATCCACTCAAAATTGACGGAATTCACCCACCTGTTTCCCAAGAACTCCCAGAGCTCTTTTGCAATTTTCCATGGCACATTTTCGAATAGCTCAGGCTTTAATGCTGACTGGTCCATAACAAGACGTCTAGTAGCTGTATCTTTCAGAGAGGGTGCCCCAGACTCATTTCCCCCACCCTCTCCAATTGGGAGAAATGGACTTTCATGATACCAGTGTGAACCTCGAGAAAAGTCGTGCTGAGCCGCCGGTGAATCGAATATTATTGACATCGCGGAGAAATACTTTCTGGTAATCGCGAAGGCACCAAGTCCTGTTTCAAGGGATAAGAGAAGCAGGCAATGACAAGATGATAGTGCCCATTTCAGATCGGACTTTCTCTTCAATTCAGGATGGGAGCATTCATATTGTGCAGTAGACGCGTGATAGACGCGTCGGCCAGAGTCAAATTTTCCCAATCGGGATATAAGGCGGCTATACACGTGACTTTGGTCAGGTTTATGATAGATCGCAAATATCATAAACCAATGCTGAACTAAGTGAATCTCTTGCTCTAACTATGAATTTCTTATCTAATTCCTGAAGGCCTTTGTTGAAATAATCTCTTGAACCCCAATCCATAGCTAGATACAGGATGCAGTCCGATCGCCTATAAACTGATACTTAAGTGACTTGCCCTACTACAATCCTATAATATAACGAGCTCATATATGTTCTTATTCATTTTAGTAGCCGTAATCCACGAACCTTAAAAAAAGCATCAACCCATTTCAGTCCGCTCATGCTCCCTTGCAAATTTACTCCAATGCCGCACCCTAGATCCCCATTTGAACAGTAGAAAAGGCACCGGCAAAAACAACATCGCAATACCCCCCAATAAGGTCAACGTCCAAGCCTCCCCGAGATCTTTATACATAATCTCCGCCAGCACAGCCATCGCCCCAGCAGCCATGACCCGGACAGCCTGAATAGTGGACAACGCACTAGCCGTGTGATACTCGAATGTCGCCGCGATATACTGATACGAGGAAACAACGACGCCCAACACGCCGAAGCCAAACGCGAGCGCCGCTGGAAGGGGACACCATATTGAGATCGAAGGGCGAGCTGTCCAGCCCATCCAGAAAAGCGAAAGAGGGATTATCGGTGCGCCGAACATGGACATGTACAGGTTACATTCGGGTTCGGGTCGGGCCAAATCGTGTCTGCGGGCGTGGTAGATATCTCTTCGGATGAGTCTCATTGAGAGTGGGACGAGAACGCTGGCGAGTATGATTCCCGTGGAGATTGCGAGAAAGCAAAGGCCTGTTTCGCCTTGATTGAGACCATAATTTTCCTCGAAGATCGAAGCAAAGCCTGCAGTGAAGGTGTAGAGAATTATGAAGACGATCGCCATATAAGCGGAAAATACCACGATAATTGGCTCTGTCCAGAAGAAGATTATCGGTCGAGAGAATGCGTTGCGGAAACGTCCTCGTAGGGAGACTTTCTTGAATTCCAGTGGTGCTCGGTAGCGGTCATCGCCCGTCAGACGACGAAGTTGTTGTGCCTTCCATCGAAGTAAAACCGGACTGTAAGTTTCAGGGAGAAATAGAATAACAAGTGCCAACAAGAGGCCGGTTAGAATGGCAGTCGACCAGTCCACAAAGCGCCAACTGACTGTATTTGCCATCACGATGTACGACCCAGGCACTGGTCCAACGGTGGCGCCAAGCTCGAGGATCATAGCATAGTATGGAAACATGTAGACTCGCTCTATCAGAGACCACAGGTCGACGAGGGCAGCTGCGGAGCATACCAACGGACCGGAAGCAAATAGACCAGCCAAGCCACGAGACACAATGCGTTGGGCCAGATTTTGGGATAAAGCTGCACTCGTCTCCAAGAGTATGAATAAGATCAGGCAGACGATGTATACTGGATTCCGCCCAATTACTTCCGAGACGGGCGCAGTCAACATTCCCCCGAGTCCTAGAAGAATTAAGAACAGGGCTAGGAAAATTCTTGTCAGTTTCGCCTCATAAGAGAATTGGAGGCAGCTAAACATACCCGTTGGAAGACTCTGAATCTCAAAGTTGGTGTGAAAAAGCTTCGTAGTTTCAATCAAAGCCGGAGGATCAATGGTAGAGGACCACAATGCCAACGATCCAAGCAAGGAAATCAGCGTCGTGCATGCAAACCGCCGAACAAACGACCAGTTATGCGGATCCATTGGATCCGTATCATCCTCGTAGGAGACAACAATAATCGTGTTCTGTTTCTCCTCGGCGGTCATACGATCCACATCTTCATCAGCATTTGCACTCGATTCACCATTTCCAGCTTCCTCGGGATCCCCATCTTCCTGGTGATCGACATATCTTGCCCTTTCCACACCTGTAATCACGATATCAACGTCGGCCCCAATTGTGTCACGCGAGTTGATTGGGTATGGATCAACATTAAACTCCGGGTCCATATCCGCTCGTTCAACGTCTCCGTCACGTTCCATATGCGAGCGAGCTGTATGGACTTCGAGAGCTGGCCCTCCTACCCTAGTCCGATGGCCATGTTCGGACCATCTCTCTGCGGCAGCTCCCTCGTGAGGGTCGCAGGACTCGGGCATAAGTCCTCCATCTGGGAAGTACCAAAATCGTCGTTCATGGGTCCAGATGTATTGGGCATCCTGATGCTCTGTCACGATTTGTTTCTGGAGTTGTCTGTAGATTCGTCGCTTTTGAAAATACGCTTGCATCGTTCATAGGTAGGGTGGGGGATTTGAGTGAATGATCAGGTCACAATTGTGCAACCTGCGGAACGGGCAGTTTCAGCGAGAGGCTCTCTCGAATGGAGCTTGATGGAACTGCTCAGCCAGAAGCTCATTGGTGGCAAACAACCTATCTTGCTCGTTCTCCTAAAAGCAATAGGGTGTAGGAATAGTGCGCTCTCGGCTCGCTGTTCCGCTGCACCAAGCCTTTTGCATATATCGACGATTATCTTGGCTGAATGGGTTGATGCCAGTTCCAACTTCTTAGTCAAAATCGGTTCAAGATGTCTGTTCGGCTCTGCAAATTTGGGACTCGTGCTGATGTGATAGTCTATAATGATGTCAGACACACCACTCCCCGTCGTCACAGGAGGGCGGTATATCGGCCGGAAGTACATTGCGGGGTTCAAATCCAAACATGATCACAATGTTCATTAGAATAAATCACAAGTGGTGCACCGGGTTATCCAAGCCAAGAAGCTATACACAGTCCTGACACCGCAGAATGAAATTACATACAGCGAAAGCGTTTCGTTACGGGGAAAAAAATAAACATCAACTTATTCCACGCGCATAAAGAATAACGGCTAGCTAGCGTTCGCTCCAAGGGCATTCGCTTCCAGCGGCAATTTTACATCACATAAAGAAGGTTCGTGTCTGTCAGAAAGGGTTAGCTATGCAATCTTCAAGTGGGTGACGAGTAGGGTGAAGAAATAAAACACGAAAACTTACCCAGAGGGTGGCTGCAGCTCAACTGCGGCTTTTGGGTATACTTGGACGCAAGCTCATCCCGAATGCTGTTAAGCAGCTGGACATAGCTCTGCTGGGGGTTCTTCCGCAGGGCGGCGATGAAAGCCCACGACATGGCACCAGTAGCTTGGCCAGCAATCTGGGCATCTTGACTCGTCTGGTCGTCCTTGCTGCCAGACCACATGATAACATCCGCAGGGCTGGTCTTTGTCTGCTTGTTGCGCTCGTACACTTCGTCGCCCTTGGTGGCCTTCTTGAGGAAGCCCATAGCGGAGGACATCATGCTACTCATATCGCCCCGCGCATATGCCGACACCACACCCAGGAGACCTTGGCCGGCTTCCTTGGCCAAGTTGGGCTCCTTGAGCACGCCAGAGGTGGAGTAGATGTAGGGAAGGTCGAGAGCGGAACCGGAGTGGCATGAATCAAAGATGGCCGTCAAGCGCACACCGGGGCGCAGCGACTGGACCATGATTCGGTGCATCTCATCATCAACAATGTGACCAGCGACCCGGAAGTCGACAGGATAGATGACTTCATCATATCCATCATCCTCATCACCATCAAGATCTGGTGTCTGACCGCCGTGACCTGGATTAATCGCTTGGTTAGCTTGAAGCCATGAATTGCTCAAACTTGCATCTCCGCAACTCACCCGAGTAATGGAAGAACAACGAATCGTTGGGCTGCGCATCCTTAACCAGCCAGTGCATAGCGCGCAGGATATTCGCCTTGGTCGGCTGGCTCATGGGGTTCTGCTGATCATCGGTGAGAAGGACCATGTCTTCACGGGCATAGCCGAAGTTCTGGTTTAGGTATGTGGACATGTTCTTGACATCGTTGATACATCCACGCAGCTGACCCTTCTGGCCGAAGTAGTTGATTCCTATCAGGAGCGCCTTGCGCTTACCAGTACAGCGCGAGTACTGGAAGCTATATCCTTGCGGGGCACCGTTACCAAATGAGACCGCCCCAGTTGGAGGCGGGGGCGGGTTACCACCGGACTGATGGCCGTAGTTTCCTAGAAAGTTGCGAGTCAGTAATGCTGAAATGAAGAGACGGGCCTTCGGCACCAAATTCAAATAGAGGAATATCACGAACCCTGCTGGCGCCCGCCTTGGGCTTGGTGCATGGGCTGACCGCTAGGCGGCTGCTGGTATCCGGACGGAGGCCCCTGCTAAACACGAGCAAGCGTTGTCAGTTCCTACTCCAATATTGTAATGGGCCAACCAAGCGACATACGTTATAACCGTGTTGTGGAGCGGGCGATCCGTAAGGCTGCTGGGGCGGCTGCGGAGAATGGCTGTATCCGTATGGGTTGGACTGTTGCGGCGGCGGTCCCTGCTGGTGGTAGGACTGGCCAGGATAGCCACCGTAAGACTGCTGTTGATGATGCATGCCTCTGCGACACCGTAAAAGACCTTTGTTAGCACTTCGGTATGAACGAGTGGGGTCAAGAAAAAGGGAAGACAAAACGAAGCGCGTACGGGTACTGCTGCTGCTGCTGCGGGGGGTAAGATTGTTGGGGCGGGGGATAGCCCGGGGCGCCCTGGTAGGGCGGGTAGTAGGACATCACTGAAGACGATCACTCAGAAGAAGGTCCAAGGGAGTTGATGGGATGTAAAAGGAGAAATTAAAACAACGCGATAGAGGAAAGCTGAGGATGGAGGTGCTTAGGTGTGGAGAAAGGCGATCCAAACAGATCGGAAGACCGGGACGGACGCCAAGCCCCGGACAACACTGTAACACGAACGCAAGTAGAATTAAGAGAGAGTGTTTCAAGGAGATAATAAGTGCAGTGGAAGATGGGAAATAGCTAGAATAACAGATTATTTAAACAAAAATGAAATAATCATACAATGCTTTTTCTCATTTAGAAAGTAAGAAGGCAGATAATAAGTGCAGGGCTGAAAGCCTAGACAAAAGTACTTACAAAAACCCAACTATGCCAACAGTATGGATTTTTCGCCTCGGGATATTTCTGTTGCTGATTCTCTAGATTGATAATAAGTCGCACGGCTTAAAAGGGGGGCTGAGAGAAAATAAAAACAGTTCGTGCCGTCCAACTCTTATATCTGACATGCAGTTCTGTTGACCATCGGCATCCCCGAGAGACACCCTTGCAGCCTGAAAACCCCACGTCCCGCCGAGCAAATCCGAGCGAAGATTGGGCCGTGGTCGAATTTTGATAACTATTAGGTGCATGATCCTTTCGGTCTTGGGCGCTGAGGTAGATGCTGGGTGAAAAGATTCCTGAGTATTGCTTTTGTATGCATAAAATTCAACTATGTGGCACAGCCTATCAAAACAATCCAGTAATAGGGTTAGATTCGATGCTTGGAGCAATTAAGGGGTTACACAAAAGTGTATACCCCCAGAGGCATCACATAGCACATGCTGCACGACATATGCCCATCGATGGGTCTCGAGATGATCTCCGCGATCTGGCAGATCCATGTATGTAGTATCGAGTGGGCCTAACGGTGATTAAGGAAAAAGCAGAAGCAACCAAAGCCTACAATGATAATGGAGTACCGGCAAGCAAAGATAGTAGTCCTATGACTGAATATGTACTGCGGGAGACTATAATCAAAGGCCGAGTATGAGGATATCTACCATGCTGCTCTCCTCTATGACTTCCCTTCTTTCTCCCATATCGCACAGGGCCCCTCATCCTCTTCCTCATAGTTCAAGAAAAAAAAAACCGGAGTACAGGCCCACTCGTCGTGTCCCTTTGAGCCAGGTTTCGGGTCATTACAAAGACTTTCCATTCTTTTTTTGGGTTTCCCTTCCATTCTAGAGAAGTGGCATTAAGTCATTTATCGACGAGGCATTCCGCGGCCACGGCCCCGAAGAGCCCGCTGGGCTGCACCGGGGGGAAGACCGCGAGAAGGAGCGCCGGGCTGGGCAGACTCCTCGTTCTCTGTTGATGGGTACATTGGTCAGATACAATCTCAAGGAGGAAAGATTGGGGGGAATGAGATTGATAGGTCACTTACTGATCGTCTCGTCCACACTCAGAATCAGACAGGCAGCCTCCACGGCGGCCTGAATGGCATTAACCTTGACCAAGCTGGGTTCCCACACAAAGGCAACCATGTTATCACGGACACCTTCGTTGTCAAAGTCAACACCGGCCCAGACATTGTTCTTGCGGTGCTCTACGCGCAACCGGTTGAGGATGTCTGTGGCATCGAAACCAGCGTTGTCGCAAAGCTGGCGGGGAATGACCTCCAGGGCCTTGGCAAAGGCCTTAACAACGGCCTGCTGCTTGTGGGGGACATTGCGGTCAGCGTAGCCGTGGAGGTAGCTAGACAGCTCCATCTCCGTGGCACCGCCACCGGCAACGATAGTGGTGTTACGCAGAGCGCGCTTGACGATCATGATAGCGTCGTGCAGACTGCGCTCCACCTCGGCAATAAACTGCTCAGCACCGCCACGCAGGACCAGGGTGCAGGTCTTAGCAGCGGGGCACTCGGAGAACAGGTTGAAACGCTCTCCACCAATCTGGCGCTCCTCGAAGGCCCCGCAGGTACCGAGGTGGCGTTCCTGGATGTCGCTGCAAGTCGACTGGGTTGCGGCACCGGTGGCCTGGCAGACTCGGTCCATGTCATCGGAAGCAACACGACCAGCACAGAAGATGTCCCGGTCAGCAAAGTACCTAAAAAGGAGGTGGTTAGCAAACAGAAGTTGGCGCAATCGAAACGTAATAAGACATATATCGGAATACGCACTGGGTAGCAAGATCACCGATAGGCAGCTTGCTGAGCACAACCTTGGCGCCAGTCTTGTAGATAGCCTCCAACTTGTTAAAGATGATCTGCCACTCGGCATCGACGATGGCCTGGTACTCGGAGACTTGCTCCACGCGAACCTCCGCATTGTCCTTCTCGCTCTTCAGCTCCAGCTCGACGTTCAAGCACACAATCTTAGGGTCCTTGAAGAACTTGGGCTGCTGCTCGAAACCAGCGTAGGAGAAGGTCTTCTTGAAAGCCACACCGTTGACGAAAAGGGAGTCCTGGAGACCACCACCAGTCACCTTCTTCATACCAATCAACTTCTCGTTCAGGTCATCCTGATCCAGAGTAAGAACCGCATCCACAACCACTATAAGAAAGTTACACATTTGTCAGCCACCACGCTCCAAAGGCTATAGGGGTTCGGCCGAAAGGTCTTACTCTTCGTGAAGAATTCGGAATTCCGCTTGATCAGCTTGCTGTTCATAGCGGTTGCTGCTAGCCGCCGGAGAGTCTCAATCTTCTTCTCCTCGCTTCCCGCCGACTCGATCATATCCACCGCAATCTCCTTAACCTTGTTCACGGCCATGGCGCCAGCTCTCCGGAGACCCTTGATGATAGTCTGCGAGCTCACACCCTGCTCGACGAGGTCGCGAACTTCCTTGAGAATCTCACCGGCCAGAACGACCACAGAGGTCGTTCCGTCACCGACTTCGGCGTCTTGGGATCGGGCGATGTCCGTAAGGATGCGGGCGGCGGGGTGCACAATATCGAGAAGCTGTTGGCCCAAGCCATATGTCAGGAACCGGATTTCGACAACGATCGTTTCACATCTGCTCGAGAAAGAAGACACCATACCTTCATCACGGTAGCACCATCGTTGGTGATGGTCTGCTTGCCATTGCTGTCAACAAGCAGGAGGTCACCACCGTATGGGCCCAGGGTGCTCTTGACTGTGGACTGGACGGCAACACATGCGTTGATGTTGGAGATAATCTGACCCTTGCCCTGAGAAGCGTCGGTGCCTGTATGTCCCAAGCGACAATGGTTAGCCTGATTCGAGATATCCCACCAAACTGCCCGACGGGGGGAAACGAAGCACACGGACCCTCCTTCAGCACGACAATCGTGGGTGTTTGGCCGTTGAAGGCCATGGCGTAATCGAGGCGAGGACCGAGACCGTTTGAAGAAGATTATAAAATTTCAAAAGGAATGGATTTGGTCCTGGTCGGTACGGAGAGGTCGGAGGGGTTTCGCTGGTCTTGGACGGCCAAAATTTCCCAGAGCTTCCATTCTCCCCTCAGAACCCCCCGGAAGCCCCAAAGGCGGTGACCAGCCCGCACTGTGCCCCGATACACTACAGTAGTACTAAACGTTGGGTTGCCCCTATTTTTGCTAGCACGATTTGGTTTCTGTTTGATCCATCTTCACGATTGGCCCTTTATTGGTAGTATGACAATTATGGAAGAAATCAACGAAAATAAAAACCCGAAATATGCAAAAAGTGTAGTCTCGACGAACATGCCCAACCTGCCTCTACATCCGTCTCGACGCCAGAGTACATCCGAAAGAGAAGAAAAGAGAGATACAAAATGTTTTGAGACCAGCTCAAGTGAAGTCATAATTGCCGTCCGATGGACTCCCATATTCGTATTTGGCGAGCAGTTCAGCATCATGTTGTAAATCCTGGTGGGACGGATGGTTCATCAAGCCAAGCACCTCTTGTCGGAAGGGATCAGAACCATCGTCCACCATCATCTGGTAGGCGTTGCTGGCGGTATGGTAACGCATTGCATCATCGAAGTTGGTCATGTTCATATGTTGTGGCCCTGGTGCAAAAGCACCGGCCATGGCGTTCTGCTGCTGGTAGCGCCGCAGTTGTTGCTGCAGCTGCATGATCTGGGGGTCCAAAGGCATTGGGTTGAAGCTTGCCATGGGATGAACGGTTCCGGGGACATTTGTAGGAACAGTGGGGTGGATGAATGGGTTATGGTTGGAGGACTCGTCGGGTGCTTCGTCCATGGTTTGGGAAATATCAGTCGCCATGCCGGGATGAACACCGGACGTGTCTGTTTCTTCGTGATCCATCGAGTCTTCTTCTTCCATATCGGGGGCCTCGACTGAGACGGACTTTTCCTCATCTTTGGTACCGGGGATCGGCGGTGCCTTGAGCGTTTCCTTGCACTGTGGACAGTCTCGAATTACTCGGTTCACGGTCTCCTTGATTCGTACCCAGTGATACTTGACCGCGATGGCGGCAGTAGTCTTGTTGATTCCAGCATGCTGTTTCATGTGGACTTCTTTGGCAATCTCGTATTGCTGCTGAGGATCAGACACAACCTCCTTGTCCTTCAACATCAACTTTTCCGGCTCGCCATCCTCCCCACCAATCAGTTTGTAATGGGTAGCAGCGCTGCGAAGTCGGCTCTTTTCAGCGCGATCGGCACCCCGGGGGTATTTGGAGTGCTTGAGGTAATATCGAATCTTCTCAAATCGGTCCTGCGAGACAGAATCCTCGCCGTCAAGGCTTAGGCCACGGCCGTAGATGATTGCATCAACGAATTCTCCAGGTTGGGATTTGAGCTGGCCTCCACCGGGGACTCTGCCAATGCGCTTGAAGCCTAATGAATCCCATAGACGGCAAGAGGCAACATTGGTTTCGTAGACCAAGTTGAAGACAGCATATGTGTAGCCCTGCAGATTTTCCCGACGTTAGACAAGATGCGGTTATTATGCCCGGTAGGATGACCGGAAGTACTTACTAGCCGGGGCGCCCACTCCAAGTATGCTTCGCCCATCAGCCGACCTACACCCTTGTTTCGAGCAGCATCCGTGACAATAAAAGTGCCGTTACATACATGACTACTACGTCCAGGGTAATTGGGTCGAATATGGAAGCCTCCCAGGCAGATCTTGGTCCAGTTCGCACCGGCCCGGTCCATAGAATGTGTCTGCTCAACACTTTGGATATCACCGAGCAACATGACCACACCGAAATTGGAGAACCAATATCGCCCAAATTGCGCCAACGGAATAGGCTCCGTCATAGCATAGGTGTCTCCCTTTTCGATTTCTTTGTTAAATTGATCAGAGAGGTACTTCAGCAGTGGTCGCGGGATATCGTCCGCTGAGGCGAACGGCATCAGCGTCGCAATTGTCACCCGATCTCTGAGAGTGACTTGTCTCGGAGTCAATGCCAAAGGATACTCCATTTGCTCTGGACCCGTCGCAACGGGCTCAGCATCACCGTGGACTTCAGACATGTTGGTATAGTAGTCCGGTGGTGCTGATCACGGGACTATTTGCCATATTAGTCGGTGGCTTCTCTCAACACTTTGGAACCACAAAAGGGGGGCTCTGGGGGAGGAATTGAAGTCACCAAGAAGTGACCATGGCTATTGCAAGCACAAAGACTCATCCAGGAACTCTCTGTAGACGTCTCAGGGATTCTAGTCACTGACATTCTGTATTGCTTCTAGAAGCTCGTTGATCGCACTTCGAGGACCGCGTGAGTATTCTCGAGTCCGGAATGGCTACAACGCAAGTTGCAGAAGCCGTGGTCCCCGCTGACTCATCTTTTGGCTTTTGACGCCTTAGGCTTTAAGGCCGCAATATATTTTTGTGCCTTGATTCTAAGGCGCTGAACTTCCTCTTCTCGGATTCCGAGAAGAGATCGTCGATTGACCCCACCTCATACCTGCAGACCTGCCTCGTAGAGCGTGCGACGTGTCTTCTCCAAGCTGTCTAGTGGGGTTCAATCAGACACCGACACTTGCTGGCCAAGGTCAATTCGTCACTACGGACTAATGCACCTGCAAATTGAAGGATTTATGGGAAAAGATGGCGAAGTGGTCTGGTGCCTGAGGCTGCTCTGCATGGCCGAAGACTAACTGGAGGAGGGGCTTTCTTTCTGTGTCAACTAAGCTTCCAATCGCCTCATAATTTAAGCACGCCATTTCAGAGATCATTTCCATCACACGTCGTATTCTATTCCCATTATGGCTGAAACTGAGCGCCCTCAATACTATGAAAACACACTGACTCCACTCCCAATCAATCCCGCGACTTTAATTGACACTCTTCGAGAGCTTCGAGAGGCTGTTTACAATGCCGCAGAATTAGTCCATGCGAACGAGCCCATTCCAGACAAATGGAGTTCTGGTGGCATGTTCAAGCATTTTCCAGGTACCGATATCTACAAACTCAACATTAAACCATTCTGCATGCTTGGAGCCGCTGCGGCTTGATGCGGGTTGTAGCTAATACATTACTTCAGGCGTCGCCCTTGCCTTCTTGCGTCTCGATTACCAGTCCTCGATACTGGCCAGTCAAAAGGCTTCGTCTACAGAGTTCCGGCAGTATGCTCTCCAACGAATCCCATCAGGCTTACCTGATATGCCTCTCGTCCCGTCGCGGCTGTCTCCCGCGGGATCATTGTCGCCCATGACCGCCGTGACTCTACACATTCTCTCGGCTGTGGCACAGACTAATTGGGGAGCCGATGCTAAGCCAAGCATTTCACCGGAACTCATCACCTACCTTCAGGATGCTGTCAACTTGGCACTGAAGAATGAATTTATCGTTCCTCACGGCGAACACAGGATGGGAGGAGACGAGATGCTATACGGCCGCGCGGGGCTATTGTGGCTTCTTCTAAATGTTCGCGCACATCGATTCAATGATGAAACCCAAACAGCACTCGGCCCAGTCCTCGACATGATCCCTCAGTTAATCCGCGTTATTATCGAGGCTGGCCGAGAAGGTTCGAAAGATTACATGAATAAGCATGGAAAGAAAGATGCTCATCCGTTGATGTATGCATGGATGGAGGGTCACTATGCCTTTGGCGCGTGAGTATGACCTATTGTCCAAGTGGATTTGAACAATCTTGCTAATGGATAACGTATATACAGTGCCCACGGAATCAGTAAGTTACACTCGTACGGCTCTCGGCTGGAAATGTACAACCACTAACTATAATTAATCGCGGCAGCCGGTATTCTCCCTATTCTACTCTCTTGCAGGGAGGAGGAGATATCAGAGTATATGCCTGAGATCGGAGAGACTATTACTGCGCTCTGCAAGCTTTGCACCGCGAACAATGGCCATCTCCCGATGACACTTCCCCCGCGCGGCCCAAAAAAGTCCTCCGAACTCGTCCAGTTCTGCCACGGCAGCCCTGGAATTCTTCTGCTTCTGGGAACTGCTTTGCAAAATGACAAGCTAACTCGGGCGTACTGGCATCCCACGTGGGATCAGACTTTATACCAGGCCACTTGTCGCACTTGGGAAGAGGGCATCCTCTCGAAGGGGGGTAGCCTGTGCCACGGTATCTCCGGCAATGCATGGCCGTGGCTGTTACTTCACGATGCGTTTGAGTACCACTCGAAGACCATCGACGATTCCCGACGCGGCTACTTCCAACGTACTCGGGAGTCCGCGAAGCCAGATGACGATTTGAGCCAGAAGCTTACATCAGACTTCTTCTTGTCTCGGGCACTGGCTTTCATGCTGCATGCATTCGAAACTCGCCCCTATAACACTGCACCCGGGACTTCTGATCGTGATTATCGAACTCCCGACGATCCATACTCGCTGTTTGAAGGGCTGGCGGGTAATGTTTGTGCGTGGGCAGAGTCTTGTGCAGTGATTCAGGCGAGGTTGCGCAAGGCAATGTTGAGCGAGGAGGGGGTTAGCGTGGAGGATGATAGCATGTTCCAAGAAGCGATTCGCTGTCGACTGGGCTTCCCACTCATTGGTGGAAATGGGGTTCGAGGTATGCTCTAGATTAGCTCGTTCATTACAGCCCTGGGAAAATAGAGATGCGATCTTGATTGTCGTAATTTGGTGATCCAGCCCAGCCCGGGTTCTCTACCTATGCGGCGCTTTGAAGAGTCTTGCCGTAGGGTAGGCAGAAAAGTGTTGGTTGCAGGTGGTTTTGCAATTGGGGCCTCCTTCTTATTTGAACGAACATCAATTCCACGAATGGTCTCCGGGGCTACTTGCATTTTTAATTTGCTGGGAGGATCCTTCCATCGGCTAGGTCGAGCGGATAGGTGTTCCAGATGGGGCGATTTGTAACACTCCTCCGTGCAAGATATATCTCCGCTGTGTACGAGACATGATTAGGAAGAGAACACAACCTTAAGACCAACCACGAATTAAAACTAAGACGATTGTGTGTATACCGTACCACTCAATCATACAGTGCTAGCACACCAATATATACGTATCTATGCAAAAAAAAAGAAAGAAAGATACTTCTGGAGAAATTGATCCAAAAGCAAAAAGAAATGCCCTCGTCCAGGTTCGAACTGGAGACCTTCGGATTACCACCCTGTTGAGGCAGGGTCGTCATAAGATCCATATGAGACCGACGTCATGACCAACTAGACCACGAAGGCGCTTGATGGAATGTCTGGCCAAACTTTGACTAGATGATCCTTTCGGCAGGTGCGACCTGTCCGTCCATCGGTTCCTGCCCAATTTGTCGATTGGCTGTCACTGAAAGGTAAATCTTCCTGACAGCGTGCTCAGCACCCATGGATTTCCTTTCACCCAAATAATTTTAAAAAGCATCCTTCCGTGGCCATGGGTATTCAGATTCAACACATTCTCAACAATAACGGCCCCCATCTAGGCTGAAGCCATCCGACTGCCACAAGACCACCTCAGCAGGCAAAAAAAAAGCGGGCTCTCCGCCTTGTCAGCCTATTTCGGAGCAGTTTGGGGGCATGACTTCACCACCGTCTCGGTCCTGCCTCCCCCTCAGCGATCCATGACTCTCCTGCCCTCGCCCCTCGCTCAGTCCACCTTGGGCGAGAAGTGCGCACTCTACTTGGACCACGTTAGCGACCATCTTCCCGTGTTCTTGCACTCCATCCGCCCTCGACTGGACCCGTATCTGACATACTCGGCCACCACCTTCCGATCGGTCGCGCAGGCGCTGCCATTCGACGTTGACGAACAGACTACCGCTTTTGGTGCGGCCTTTCTGATCGTTGTTTTCACCGTCGTCGCCATGAGCTGGGGAAACACCTTTAACAACTTCTGGCGCCGCGCACCGAACTACCCTGCCCCACAGGTCCGCGATGATGATTACAGCTACATCACGCCAGACTCCATTGTCGACCCTCCCTCTCAGGTTTCGCGCTACGGTACTCAATATGAAGCTGGCCCAGCCGAGAATGAGCCGGATATCATCTGTCTCAAGCACCGTGGCACCATCTACCCACTTCACTTCCGCGCCTATGCTATTGACGACGGTCTCCTGAGGGTGGGGGATCTACGCCATACCGCTGCTGCAAAGATGGGTGCCAACAACCCGAATCAAATTCGATTGCTGTACAAGGGGAATCTGTTGAAGGAGGATTCTCGGACATGCAAAGCCGAAGGGTTGAAGCAACATTCTCAGGTGCTATGTGTGGTCTCCGAGGTTGGATCCAACACACCCAGCGATCTGTCAGACTATGATAGTGGCCCTGCTGATATCCCCATCGTTCGGCCTGGGTCATCGTCTTCTTTCGTCGACGGGGATGACGCACCCGGACCCGCAAAACCCCCAAGCAAGAAGAAGGGCAACAAGAAGAAAAAGAAGAAGGGAGGCAAACGCAGCGAAGAGAGACTTGCACCCGAAACGCTAGGAAGTTCACCCTCTCTGGCACCCTCTTTGGCACCCCCGCGACCTACGTCCGCGGGTCGTTCGTCTGCCCCGTCTCCAGCACCTAGCATGAAGGCGTTGAAGACCCCACTGGAGCAGGTAACTGCGTTGACCGAATACCTCCAGCGGGAGTTGATCCCCCTCTGTGACGACTACCTGGCTGATCCACCGACCGATCAGAAGAAGCGGGAGTTTGAGTACCGCAAGTTGAGCGAGACAATCATGGCGCAGGTGATGTTGAAGGCCGATGGTATCGAACCGAACGGAAACGAGACTGTTCGCAATGCACGCAAGGCGCTTATCAGGGAAGCCCAAGACTCATTGAACCGGCTGGATCAGGTTGGCAAACCGCAGCCCTAAGATCATCATGTACACTTTTTGCTTCTTTTCCTGATTGTCATTCTATTTGGAATCCCTTCAAATCTACGTGAGGGGGAAATGGCATCTTTGTTACACATAGACTCTTGGATAATTGACCACCCATTTACTGGGGATTTTCCCGTCAGTCTTGCACTTTGGATTTCCTGCATTCTGACCCGCCGCCTCGGGTTCGGATTTTGTGACGTATAAGAAACCGTCATTTAGGCGACATTTTCCAACCCCCACGATTCAATGACACCAGCTTTGCATCAGATGATCAGCAATTTTCTGAGCAGTCAACTGCTTAGGCTTCGAACTAAAGTGTTAGACGGGATGTCGCGATTGTATGAAGGGAAGGTGGGGGGAGGGCGAATGGGTGATATCTATACCTCGTACTTTGTACATAATTCTAGTACAACTAAGATATAGCCACTTGGCTAGCAGTCTAGTACAGAGTAAGCTGAATAGAGAGTTTCTTAGGGTTCATTTTAGTGGCATCTCAAAGGGGATCAGCATGGTTCAGGGGTTAAGTCTCTCCCCACGCACGGTCCAAGGCCATAAGACTCTGCTGGTTTCTCAACAAAGTTGATCAAAGAACAATAAATGGATATTGGCACTGTCGATGTCCCTTATTATTACTCAGGAGGCTGGCTAGATATATTTGTATGGTCCGGAGTGCATTCATCAATCAATAATTGCATTTGCAGACAAAGAAAACAAATTCACAGTCTAGTTCTCGGAGGGTGTGCTATTCCCTCGTTGGTTAAACTAGTGAGTTAGTCTGAACGGCGCCCCATTTTCCACCTGCCGTCTTTCTCTTCTCTCCCTGAGATTCTGGCATTTCCAGCAAAGTCCCTCTTCTCTTCTCTTGCTCCGTTCCCTGGTCCTGGCGTCGGTTCTTGGTGTTTTTTGGAGGCTCTGGTCTTTGCTGACTGGCTGATCTCGATTTGAATCTCTTGGACTATCAGACTGGAAGATCAAGCTTGACCTTTCCATCTTTCTCCCTCCCCCCCACTCCTTTTCCACCTTTCCCCTCCCTCATCCTCCTCTTCTTCTTCACCACGAAACCCACGATCTCCCCTACCTCCTCCCCTCCCCCTCCTCGTGGACTTCTGGACCCGCCTACGGATTGACCTGTCACTATCCCTGGTATTTGGAACTCTACAGCTCCCCGAAACGTTGCCGAGACCGACAAGAACCGATTGGAGGCTTCCAGGGAATTGACTGGCGCGGTCCCAGCGCTCACCCGTGGATCGCGACTGAAACTCTGGAAACCCACGAACTGCGCGCTGCACTGTAACCTGCTGGCAACCCAACCCCCTGCAGTATTTACAATTTACTGCTTTCGGTCTCTGTTTCCTTTCCCCTCTCCCCACCTGCGGGCTTGCCCCCTTACCACCGAGACCCTCCCGCCAAAAAAAAAAACCCACTCTCCCTCCAACCTTGTTGTGCCTCGCGCCTCCCGCTAGATCTCCCGTGACGGGCCTTTCGCCTAAACATTGGCATGGATTGAGCTGAGACAAATTCCCTGCAACACCGTTTACCTCAGCCGCAGCAAACCCGGTCCTCTCTTTACCGCGTTTGCTTGTTTCTTTCTCCGAAGCGGGCTCCAGCTGGACTGGCCTTATTCACCGACTCTCTCTACAAAACCTTACGGACCCGGCTGGAATGGCGGGCGTAGCTACCGCATATTCGACAGATGCCCTGACCTCATCGGGAGGCGTGGATAATGAGAAATGGGAGTTTGCGGTGCCGATCTCGACCGATGTAGGTTCCCCGCCCCGGTTGGATTTATAGCCCCTGTTCATTTCCTCGGGGCCACATAATTACTTGCGATCCAGTTTCGCACTGTAGTGGACGAAGAAAGAAGTTTGGATGAATGAGAAAGGGCCTGTGTACTAATGACTATGCTATTTCCTCCGCAGAGCAATCGGCATTCCTCGAGAACCCGCAACTCTCACGATTCAAACTCCGCTCGCACGAGATCGACAAAGAACCGCAACTCCAATGGCTCGCGCAGCTCCTCCATCTCTCGGACCGTGCAATCGCACGACGCCCCCTACTTGAACTCGAATCGCGGACGACGGGACCCTAGCCTTAATCGACATGGAAGTGACGTTGGGAACGCCCGAGACAGCTCTGGACCGGACTCAACCTCCCGTAAAGAGCCCTCGGAGTCTCAAGATGGGTATGGGTTTCAACCCGAAGAGATCAGCGAGAACTGGATTCACCGAGATAAACTGGCCAAGATTGAGAGCGAGGAGTTACAGCAAGCCGCCATACTCTTCAACCGACGGATGAGAGCGGAGAGCAAGTCGAGCGCAGGACGAGGCCGAAGTCACGATTCTCACCCGGGTGCTGCCAATGGCTCCGTTTCGGCCTCCTCCCCCAATGTCGAACATTCGGAGCCATGGCCTGAACTACGGGGGGATACCAAAAGAGAATTCGGTGCATACGAGGACGATGAACGGAAACACTGGGATCTCCGGCGACCCGAGGAGATTGCCGCAGATGAAGCTGCAGCAAGCTTGTACAGCAACCCAGGCCTTCGAAAGAGCTCTTCCCGAATACCCATTTCGACTGCCAGCCCCGTACCGCTCATGTCAGGCCGAGACTCTCGTGGGGCTAGAAGCCGTGCGGCAACCGATGAACGGGACGATGATGAATATGGCCGAGGTCGCAGAGCTAGCGAGCCCACTGCGATCGAACCGGAGACTTCTACTCCTTCACCCGGAAGCCGACCAGGAAGCCGCGGGTTCAACACTACCCAAAACACCCCGGCTAAGAAGACGCCAGGCAAAGTTACTGGATCTGTCGGCTCTACCAGCCGAAAGACCTCCGCTCCACCTACAAACAGAAAGACTTCGACTGCGAGATCGCGCGCTGTCTCTGGTAACAATGCGACGCGTCCCGTTACCCGTGGTGGAGAGGCTCGACCCCCGACTGCAATCAACCGGCCAGAGGGTGATCCGCCATGGTTGGCGACGATGTACAAGCCGGATCCCCGTCTACCACCGGACCAGCAGATGCTCCCCACTCTTGCCAGAAAGATGCAGCAAGAGCAATGGGAGAAAGAAGGCCGTGCTCCTACCACTTACGACCGAAACTTTGCCCCTCTTGCCGTTCACCCAGACGATGCACCCCCTGTCCCGCTCAAGACGGAGGAGCCAGCGGCAGAAGAAAAACCGGAGGAAAAAGTGGAGGAGCCACCGAGACACCTGAAGAGCCCCGAACCGCCACGACCGAACACGAGCACTGGCTACAGCACCATGCCGAAGGTGCAGGACACCCCACCAATGGGCCTGACGCCCAATCCCAACTGGAACCCGCCGGTGGTTACTGCACAGGAGCCGCCAAAGAAGGAGAAGGGGTGCGGATGCTGCATTGTGATGTGATGGACGTTTATTCTCTGCTCTCTTATGGCCAATTCCCACACCTCATATTGCTGGGCATTGCTCTCTGTCCTCGTCTACCTCCTCGCCGAGATCCCTCTGGGTACATGTCCACATACCCAGACTCACCCAACCAACTACTTGGATTTTCCTTTTCCCTTCTCTGTCCATTTTTGCCTCTACCCCTTCAGTGTCTCCGGTGGGAAATGGTGTTCAGTCGGTTTTTTAGCCCATTGTCTTTGGTCCATCTTTTCAAACAGCTCTTTTAATTTTGGTCTTCTTTTTCCCCTCCCACCGGGTCATGGCATCTTATTCATTCCTTTCCATATCTATTCCCTTCCCTTCTCCTGTGATCCTTATTCCCGCTTTCTTCCGTGTTGCAAAGAAGGCACTTCCAAAATTCACCCCATCGGACGGCCATGGACATCCCTTCTGGCTTGACTTGCTCTACATCCGATGCATCATTTCCTTTCTCACAGTCCTCTGATCCTTGGTTTTTCTTGGCACATTATCCTCTTTTTCTGCTTCCATTTCCTCTTTGCTGATGCTATTGGCTTATTTTCTCGCTGGACATTTTTGCTGCCTGCTTTTGCCATATTCCCAAGCCTTCTTGTAAGCGTTTCTGCGGTCTGCTTTTCCTTTCCTAACTCCCGCTTTCTCCACATCTATCTCTGTCTATTTGTTGACCTCTAGTGAACTGGGCTGGAGTGATGTGCCTAGGTCATAGTGGAAAAGATACAATCAACAAATACTATCTCAATGTGTTTTTCTGCTGTAGATGAATGCCTGGATTGTTACTATGCTTGAAATGTCTATGACAGGCGTGCTGATATATTGTATCTTCCACGCTTAAAATGACCCACCCTGCATGCAGTCAATGATTATCATAGGCACAAGAATTCTGTGATAATCGGAAACAATACTAACAACATACAAAGCAAAGGAATATTTTTAAAAAAAGTGTTCCTCTGACCAGAAGGCCAGCCTGGTGCCTGTAAGTGCTTGCCCAGAAGCCAAAGCTCAAGGACGCCCAAGAGTTAACTTGGGTGAACACGCAGACTTGACCTGCATTCCCTGAATGACGGTCGTTAGACCCTGAGCAGTATATCAGGTCTAGTGGCAGAATTACCACTAGACCATAGGGGGGTACTTTAGATATTTTGGCCCTTATTTCAATTATAAAGGATCGAGGGGTACGCATGAGGGTTGGCACTTCAAGTATTGGCGTTGGAAGTTTGATTTCTTTTTCTTTGTTTGTTGTATACATGTCATGCTTTTAGATACTACTATAGTAGTAGTATGTAGGATGTCTCCTTCCCCAGGTATTATGAACCTCAGGCAACAACCGGGCCAGAACCTGCCCGCTGACTAAATACAAGCTTACCTAATATCACCTGACATCATCCCCTCCCGCGATGACCAAATCCCTAGAATCTCCCCGATCGATCTCTAATCCAACAAATTACCAATCCACCTCCTCCCCTCCTACTCCTCTCATATAAAAAAAAGAAACCACCATCCCCGGTTTCTTTTTTCGCCCACCACACCGCCCACCATTTCTTTCATCTTCAAGCGCCTCTTCGGCTCCTTCGCCGGTCCTTCACCCGCCGCCATGTCCGACGCCAAGATCAGAGCCGAACAACTCATCCGTGAGAACGGCGTCGTCGTCTTCTCAAAGTCTTATTGCCCTTATTGCACGTCTAGCAAGAAGGTGTTGGATAACCTTGGTGCTAAGTACGAGGTGCTTGAGCTGGATCAGGATGGTGAGTTTTTGTTTTAAGTAGTTTTGTTTACTTGGTCCTTTTTGGGTTGCGGCTTGGTTCCGGAGGGGAAATCTTTTGCGCTTTGCGCGGGGAATGGGGATTTCTCCAAACGCCGATGATGGTCTCTCTCTCTCTACTCCCCCCTGGTTGGAGTTATAGTTGGGGGGTTTACTTGCGCGTTTATCTTTGTTTCGACGGGATGCTGATATTTCTTTTGCTCGTTTAGCCGAAGGCTCTGCTATCCAGGCTGCTCTCGAGGAGATTTCCAAACAGCGCACCGTGCCCAACATCTTCATCAACCAGAAGCACATCGGTGGTAACTCCGACCTCCAGGCTATTAAATCTAGCCAGCTCCCTGCTCTGCTCAAGGAAGCTGGTGCCCTTTGAATAGATCGTGATACCTTTTAGAATATGATACGGGGAGACGAGTAGTTTCCTCTCGTCTTTGTATAAGACCGCACCTCATATGCCTTTGCTTAGAGATAATCGTGCACTCTTCATGTCCATGCACGTGGAGTCTATTGTAGAGTCGAGTTGGGAGATGGGAGGATTGAAGATCCTCCTTTTTCCACTTTTGAATTCAAGATGTGGTACCAAAACCATAGAGTACAGGTGGGAAACTAGTAAAGACAAGATCGAGAACATCAAGGGAAAGGAGTCCTCCGGATATACAAATACAAGACATGACCATCTCAACATAAGACTGGGGTCACCCTCATACAACCCGCTGCACAACAGTACCCACCGGCCTCTCCACAACCGCCATCAATCCATCCACAATACTCTGTCTCGCCCCTTCACTCGAAACAGTCTTGCCAGCCAGATAATTCAACCACACAAGCCGACTAACCCGTTCATCAGCCACCCGTCCCATCCAGCGCATGGGCTTAGTAGGCTCCGGCTGGAACAGCGCATCCATCGCGCCCTGCGCACCACGCAGCAACACCAAAGTCTGACCCTTGGGCACATTCTTCCGCTGCCCACCACCGAAAACAGCCTTGAAATCATTCATCGCCGTTCCAAACTCGGCATCCTGGAACTCGCCCGCCGCCGTGCCGGGCAGAGCCTTCTTCTGCTGCGCCCGCGCCGTGATACCACGCACCCAGCCGTCGCGCAGGTGCATGAAATCCGTGTTGCGGGTGGGCACGATACGGAAGGCAGTTCGGATACCGTCCTCCTTGATCAGCGCTGTCCAGGCTGCGTCGCCGCGGTCCGCGTCGAGCAGGAGCTCCTTGAGTTGTTGACGCTCAGGCGGGACGAGGGATGTTGCGGCGTCGACGCCAACGCCTGAGATGGCGGTTGTGTCGTCGGTGGGTGGGTGCACTGCGGTGTGGATGAGGCGGCGTTGGAGCTCCGTGATGTCGGACTTGGCGACGTATAGACCCACGACGTAGACTTGGATCGAGAGGAAGGAGACGGTTCGGATGCCCAGACCCAGAAGCTGGTACTCGTCGCCGCCGGAGGTAGACAGTTCATCGCCTGATTGCTTATTGTCGATTTCAGAAGCAGCGGGCAATCGGATTGTCGTCGGGAAGTAGGGAATCGTGCTGGTTCCCGTCGCGACTTGCTCCACGTTATCTTGGCCGTGTAGTGTGATTACCGAGGGTCCGCCCGTACTGGGGAATCCGGGGGGTCCATCCATCTTCATCGATCCGTTTGATGTTTGCGAAACCTCGAACTTGTTCTCGGTTCCCTTGTCCTTGCTGGTCTCTAGCGCATTCATTCCGAATACATCCAGCTTGATGACGCCGTACATGGCAGCGCCACAGGCGACCATTCCAGCGGCGGAGAGAGCAATTGAGCGCTTGGACTTTGCAAAGTCCTGCTCGCTCTTTGCGCGTCCCGCTGAACGGAGTGGGTTGGTGCTGGCATTGCGGAGGGAGTGCGTCGTGGAGAAGGATCTGGCGGTGCTATTGCATTGTCCGAGGCGTTGCCGGGCAAGGCACTGGTAGACGCGCCAGGGGTTCGCTCGAAGATGAGTAGACATGGTGTTTGGATTGTTTTTGGGGAGGTGTTCAGAGAGCGGCTGTTGTCGGAATTGGAGTTGACTTGCGAGTGTGGGGATTCACGTGATATGGCCTGATCTATAACCTGCGAGGTGGAATGGGAATTTTGTGGATTGATTTGAATCAGGTGTATAAGAAAATGCAATTATGAAAGTTGATTAGTAGTATTAGTTCAATGTCTTTGAAGATAAGGTAAAAAGTGTGGAGTGTTTGTCGGGTGGATGTCTTCTTTCCAGGTGGGGGATCTCTCAAGGGACTTGGAGAGAATGGGGGCATACATGCTTTACTCAGTCTCTTTGCGTTGTACAATAAGACTCCGAGCAGGAGGTAGGAACCCATTTACTGCTCGCGGTGCTAGATAGTTTACATTCCTACAGCTGCCATTAGGGCCTCGAATTGTTCCAAGGTTGATGCTTTGGTGGACTGTCTTGCATTTCCAGACTTTCATAGCCATAAGCATGTTAGATTATCAGGCATGACTGTGAGTGTAATTCAAAATATCCAACTGCCTCCTTTCCCTACTACCCCAAAAACTACGCATAGAGAACGAACCCCTCTGATACCGAGGAGATTCTCCCATCAATGCAAAGAAAAAAGGAACCGCTGGTCCCACGCAAGACAACTTTTGTAAAACAAAAATTGCCTAGTCGAAGAATAAACTCCAGGTGGAAGAAGAAAAGGATATTTTCATTTTTCATTCATCGCAATGCACCTGGTGTCAGAAACATTGATCCTGAGAATGGTATGTTGGATCCTCCCTATTCTGTGGGAGTTCCTTCAATACACCCGCGCCGTTAAACCGTCATTGCAATATGAACCTAAAACCCGCACACCACAAGACACCGCTTAAGCCGACTTGTTCTTGCGAGCCTCACGACCCTTAGCCTTGCGGGCGAGGATCTCCTCACGATCCTTGTCGAGCTTGAGCTTGCTGATAACGACGTTGGAGGGGTGGATGGGGATGGGGACGGATTGGCCGTTGCTCTTGTCGCGGACGACACGCTAGATAGAAGAAAGAGAACGGGTTAGTTATTGGACTCGGATGGACTTGGTGACTGGTGGAAGGATTGGAAAAAAAGTACCTCGACGTGGACGCAGAACTTGAGACGGTAGACGGTGGTGATGCGGCCCTCACGGCCCTTGTTGGAGCCGTTGACGATGGTGACTAGAGGAAGAATCTGTTAGGATTGCGCTGGATCTTGAAATTGGTGCCAGATAGAATTCTTACCCTCGTCGTCCTTGCGGATGGGGATGGAGCGGACCTGTTGAGGGTTTCGTGTTAGTTTTGCGTGTCCTTTCATTCCCCTTGGTTCCATGCTGGTGTCTGTATCGTCCGATTTCTCTTCCCTCCCCCCAAACCAGATTTTTGCCAGACCCAGGATTGAATGCGATTCGATTGATTTTCAACGTACACCGTACTTAGCCCGCAGCTCAGCGGACAGAGGGGCGCTCATGAGAACGCGGCGCTCCGAGGAGGGGGCTGGAAGTAAGCCTTGCGGCTCTTGGAACGAGAAGAAGCCAGGGCTGCAGAGGTTCGTCAGTAACTTGTAGATTGAATAGGGCGAGAACTCGGGGAGTCGAAAAGTTGCAAATTGGAATCGAGGCGAGGGTAGGATCAAAGGGCGAGAGAGAGAGTACGCACCGGTGTTGCGGACAGCCATCTTGACGGAGCGACCTGGGTTGTCGTGAATGGCTTCAAGTGCACGGGTTGTCGTTGGTCGGGGAAGAAGGTCACTTGTGTGAGGTGAAAATTGAACGCGGGTGGGTTGTGCGTCACATGACACGCCGCTTATTAGGTAGGGCTCGGGGGTGAATTTCGATTGGTTGGAAGGGTGACTAAGGGACCCACTGTATCCAGGTTCTTCCAGCGCTATTCCCGTCTTGGGAGACACTGAAGTATGGACTCGACAAGTTTACTCTCTGCTTATGGAGAGAAAGGTGTCCTGAAAGTCTATGGCTACTAATGCTATTCTATCACTTTTGCACAATATCGAAAAGACAATTCCATCAATATCTCAGAATGGACACTTAAATTTAAATCTTCCTCTAGGACTAGACTACTTGACTGTCCTACTTATGCAATTCAATATCCCCCGACTATAGCCTCATCAACTAGGCTGAATCAACGAACAACTACCTGGAAAGAACCCCCTGCAGCCACCCCAAAAGTAACCGTATCATCCGAATACGTCAACCCCTTCGTCACCTTATCCCCATTAATAGTAATAGAAGGCTTCTTCGACGCCGTAACATACGGCAACGTCAGACTACCACTCGTACCCTTCGGAACTGAGAACTTCAACGTATACCCATTGCCATTCTTCACCCAAGAAGCTTGGAACTTACCAAGCGAAGTAGTAAATCCAGCCTCGGCATGCGTCAGATCCCCAAACTGCGGCGCAATGCTCCACGTCTCACCCAGTCGTGAAGTCACAGTAAGGCCGACGATATAGTTCGTCAATGCGGAAGTAGGACCGGAAGACCAGCCGTGTGCGTGGGAGACATACGATGTATCGTAGTAATACCCACGGCTACCTCTGTATCCGAATGTTCCGTTCTGAAGATACCCTTCGATGACGGTACTCTCCGTACCGTTGGGGTTGTTGATATACCAGCCCCAACTGCGGCGGATGAGATCCAGAGCGCGGTCGGGCCTCTGGACCTCGAAGTGACTTTGGATTTCAAAGGAGGAAATGAATGAGGCGATGTTTTCTGGTAACTCGGGTGCGACGGCGCCAATGGGGGTCCAGTTCTTGAGAAGCTTTTCTGAAATACCGGCGGCACGGTCAGAGTCAACGACGCCGAAGAGGATTGCCATGCTGTTGGCGTCTTGGGGGTGGAGGGTGGTATCGGTGGCGTTGTCCTTGAAAGCACCGTAGGATTCATCCCAGCAGTAGGTGTTGATGGCAGTTTTGAGGGCTGCGGCTCGCGAGGTCCAGGTACTGGAGAGATTGGTGGTGTCACCGACCCATGTGGCCAGAGATGATCCGGTTTGGAGAGTGCGATAGAGACTGTGCATGGTTAGTTTCTTTTGCTTTAGATGTCAGCATGAGAAATAAAACGTACATCATCTGGGCTTCCGTGTTGTTATATCCTTGCTGCCAGCGGGCCCAGTCGCGGATACCGGTGACATCCAATAGACCGCTAGAGTATGTCACCTTGCCATAGATGTAGTTCATGGCCGCAAGGTAACCGTTCCAGTTTTGCTGCAGGAACTCGGTGTCGTTGGTGTACAGAACATAGTTGTAAGTGCCAATCATAGACCACATGTGGTAGGTATCTGAGCCCGTTTGACTGAGTGGAGGTCCCGATTCAGCAAAGGCACCAGTAGAAGCCTATATTGTATGTCAGTGAAAAATCCAAAACCAGTACTCAAGATTTGGACCATTTACCTGCGTGTTGTACATAATCTGCAATGCGTTCTTCACGCTATCCAAATCTCCCAAACTGACAAATGCCGATGGCACCGCAATACCCATATCACCGGGCCAAACCGCACGGTCTCGCTTGGCACCATCGACAATGATAGTATCACCGGGTCCGAGAGTCCCATTGTTCAACCATCCAGACTTGAGTCCACTGGTGATACGCCCAGTATTCACGGGAACCTCATTGGTTTGCAATGTATAAGCCCCACTGTACCAGATTCGGTTCAGCAGTTCATCACTGCAATGGAAGTATCCTTGGTAAGCGCGAAGATTGGACCATGTAGGCTGGAAATCAAGCTCGACACTGATATCCTTCAAATCCACATTCGTAGAATTATCAGTGACAAGGAAGATAGTCAGATATCGGAAACCTCCGCGGAGGAATTGGTCGGGCATATCGTAAGTGTGTGTTCCCGAGGACGAGAAATTAGCGTATAAGGCGCCATCATGCCAGAGACTGTTGGAAGAATCGGACCATTCTCCGATCCAGTTCTTGGCTTCGCTGAAGGCAAGACCAAGCGCTCCACTGCCCGTGGAAGTATAGTCCAGATGAACAATACCGCCTACTTCCTTGCCAAAGTCAAAGACCACGAGGGATCCATTCCCGTGCAGGGAGGCTGTCGCAGGCTTGGCAGAGTAGGTGATGGCGTTTGTTTTCAATTCGGAGAGAGTTGACGCTGGTCGAACAGTTCGTGATGTTGGTGCGTAGATGTTCTTATCCCATACACCGCTGAATGCGCTGGTGGTTGGGCCCGAACATGTTGTATTCCGCCAACAAGATTCTGCTTCACTCAGGGAAAGTAGAGAGCAAAAGCTCACAAGGAGGCCAGACCAATGGATCCGTACCATCTTTCTGTAGACTTTTCAGAAAAAAATGACTTTTTCCTGTCTTCTGGTACGGGGTAAAAAGTGGATCAACTGCCCCAACATGGCCACTACATATAGCAACCAAATTACCGGCGGGGCTACGGAGAGAACTGCAATAGAAAGACAATTCTCGGTCAAGAATGACACGAGTTAACCAGGGAGATGCAGCTGCCGCAATACAGAAAAATCGAGAAAGCAAGGCATTGAACCCCTGATTGGTGGAACAATCTGCATACAGTGATATTGCACTTTACCAGGATCAAGGCAAGGATCGGCAGAACAAGCACTCGCGTGGCTTCCATGGCATCGTCATTCTCATACAAACTGCCGAATTGACAAATCTGGTGTCATTCCGGGTACTACTTTCCCCGCAATGGCTGTTCTCCGCATTTCCTAACCGTCAAGGAGTCAAGGGGTCTCAAGGGGTAGTGCAGTAAGCTCGGAGCAAATGTCACCGAGAAGTAGTCCTGCAGGGGATCAGATCCTCTCTTAGTGTTTGGAGTGTCGGTTAAATAAAGTGGTAAGTCCGCGCTGGACATACCGGCAGGTCCGGCACAGACAAGTCCCCTCCATCATGCGCTTGCTGGATTTTTATTCTGTCGTGCTCCCCGTGGGGCTTGCGCTGACAGGTGCTGTCAATGCGGCCGTGATCAAAACTGGCCAGAATGTCTGTACCGTCAAGGCCAATGGCCATCAAAAAGATGATGTTCCGGATATCTTGAAAGCTTTCAAAGAATGCGGTCAGGGAGGTACAGTTATATTCCCCGAAGACCAATCCTATTGGATTGCAACACGCCTGAACCCCGTTGTCAGTGACGTGGTAATTGAATGGCGGGGAAAGTGGACTGTAAGTAACTTGAGTCTTCGTGTTTGGCTAGTATCAAGACTAACCTCTTCAAGTTCTCCGACGACCTAGATTACTGGCGTAACCACTCTTACCCAATTGCGTTCCAGAACCACCATGCTGGATTCGTCATCACGGGCGATAACATCAAGATTGATGGATATGGCACTGGTGGAATTGATGGCAATGGCAATGTGTGGTACACTGCCGAAAAGGGAACTACACTGCCTGGACGTCCCATGCCTTTTGTGTTCTGGAATGTCTCTGAAGTTAGTGTGGAGAATTTCTACGTCAAGGACCCCCAGCTGTGGAGCTTGAATATTATGAATGGCACCAACATGCGCTTCAACAATATCTACTGCAATGCTACTGCAGTTGATGCGCCATACGGCTCGAACTGGGTACAGAATACCGATGGATTTGGTACGTACATCCCCTTGCAACCACTTTTTTGTTTCTTTGCAATTCGATAACTAACAGCTCCTATCTAGACACCATGGACGTAAACAACGTCCAGCTAACCAACTTCGTCTACCAAGGCGGCGACGACTGCATAGCCATCAAACCACGCTCCTACAACGTCAACATCCACAACGTTACCTGCCGTGGCGGCAACGGAATCGCCATCGGCAGTCTGGGCCAATACCTCGAAGACTCGAGCGTCTCCAACATCATCGTCGACACGGTCAAAATCATCCGCTACAATGAGGACATGCACAACAGTGCCTACATCAAGACCTGGGTCGGCGCCCTAGTCCCGCAAAGTTCCTACGAGAGCGCCGGTCAGCCCCGCGGCGCAGGCTGGGGCAGTATCACCAACGTATTATTCTCCAATTTCGATATCCAAGAGGCCAATGCCGGACCGGCGATTACCCAGGATAATGGGAATAACGGATCGTACTCCGGGACGAGTTTGATGAGTATTTCGAACGTGGCGTTTGTGAACTTTACGGGGACAATTGATACGAGTAAGACTACTACGGCGTCGGTTTCGTGTTCGAATGTGCATCCGTGTTATAACATTGAGTTTGATAATGTGGTTTTGTATCCGGTTAATTCGACGACTGCTGGGACGGGGACGTGCAAGTATACGGCGGATGGAGGGGTTCATGGGTTGAGTGGGTGTTGATTTCGTTGACTTATCCTAGCATATAAGAGAAATGAATAGATATAGTATATTCTATACATATACACTTTCTTAATGCTTCTACTATAGTAACTGGATACTTGAATCTTGATAATCTTCAAGTGAACCCACATTGATCGAGCCCCACATTCCCACATGGAGAAGCTTGTTCCAGTTCACGATGATATAATATCCCCAAGCAGATCCCTGTTTTAGCAAATCGAACAATTAACAAAACATCATTCTTTTATTTCCCATCTCCTACAATGACCGAAACCGTCCGCCCAGCATTCGCAGGCCGCGAGCGCCCTCTCCTCAGCTACGGCATCGCCTTTCCCACCGCAGCCGCCCACCACGTCACCGAGACCTTTGGTGCCTCGCGAGTCTACGTGATCTGCTCAGGATCTCTGGCTCGGAATACTGATGCCGTGGATAGATTGACTACGGCATTGGGTGCGGAGAAGGTCGTGGGTCATCGGATTGGAATGCAGAGTCATACGCTTTGGTCGGAGGTCTTGGAGATTGTGGAGGAGGCAAGAAGTGTACAGGCGGATTTGTTGTTGACTCTAGGAGCGGGAAGTTTGACGGATGGAGCCAAGATTATTGCTTTGGTGAGTTTAGTTTTGTTTCTTTTTATATTGGAGTTTCATGACGGGCTAGTAGTTATGCCCAGACTCTATTCCAGAGTACAACTACAACTTCTACATCTACTTCGCGTATATACTAACCACACTGTTCCTCACAGGCCCTCGCAAACCAAGTCCAAACCCCATCGAACCTCGAATCCCTCGCCGAAGGCCCCAACAAACGCCCTCAGATCAATCCACCTACCATCCCCATAATCTCCGTCCCAACTTCCCTCTCCGCAGGCGAATACTCCAATTTCGCCGGTGGCACCGAGGACAATTCCCGCCGCAAATACAGCTTCCAAGCACCCCTCCGCGGACCCCAACTCATCATCCTCGACCCCGAACTCGTCGAGACCACGCCAGACTCGATCTGGTTGAGTACCGGTATTCGCGCAGTGGATCACTGCGTGGAGACGCTTTGCGCAGTTGTGGGCGTGACTCCGTCGTCGGATGAACTTGCGGAACATGCCTTGGGACTATTGGTTCCCGGTTTATTGAGGTGTAAGAGGGATCGTGGCGATAGAGAGGCGCATTTACAGTGTCAGTTGGGATCGGTGGATGCGATGGCTGCTTGTACGAGTGGATCTGTGGAATTGGGTGCCAGTCATGGGATTGGACATCAGGTATGTGATTCCCAAGTACAAGAGTATCAACTATATTATACTAGAGTGTGAAATAGCTAACAAGCTGCTCTAGCTCGGTCCCTTGGGCGTTGGACACGGCGAGACAAGTTGCATCTTGCTCCCCGCCGTGTGCAAGTTCAATGCAAAGCACAACGCCAATCGCGAGCGACAGGCGCGCGTGCGCGAGTTCCTCATCCGTGATCCCGTCGTCGCTGAGGTTCTACGCTCTCACTCGATTAACGTGGAGAACTCGGATTTAGGCGATATCTTGGATACGGTGATTCGCGAGTTGGGCATGCCGCGGTCTCTTGGGGATGTGGGGGTGGGTCGTGACAAGTTGGATGCCCTCGCAGAACACAGTCTACACGACCGATGGTGTCAGACTAATCCCGTCCCGTTGAAGCAGAAGGAGCAAGTGCTGGAGATCCTAGAGATGGTGGTTTAAGATATATCATTGATGATTGATTAGTGTCAATGGCGCAATGGGAAATCGGGTAAATTCAACTCGATTGATAAGCAAAATAGCCCCGCGACCCCACAGAATCAACACTCGGCCTGATGTCCGATGATCTACTGAGATGTTTCTTGTTCCTTTTCTCTTCTCTTCATAATACTCTCTGTCTACTGTATATATGATAACATGTCTCCCCAAAACATTCTCGTTTTCGGCGCCACAGGTGCCATTGGCAGCTTCATCCTGAACGCAATCCTCGCCCAGCGCGAGCAGTTCGGCCGCATTGCAATCTTCACCTCTGCACGCACCGCAGAGACCAAGGGAGATGCCCTCAAGAAGCAAGGCATTGAAGTGATTGTTGGCAATCTAGAAGATGAAAACGCCGTCAAGGCCGCCTACGAAGGTAAGTCGACACACAAACCAAGCATATCCGCCCTTTTCTATACCAACCAGATGGACTGATCACCAAATAACCTCCTCCAGGAATAACAACCGTAATCTCAGCCCTAGGCCGCAACACTCTCGCCCAACAAATCCCCCTAATCCGCCTCGCCGCCGTCTCCCCAACCATAAAATGGTTCTTCCCCTCCGAATACGGCACAGACATCGCCTACAGCCCAGCCTCAGCCCACGAAAAGCCCCACCAGCAGAAACTCAAAGTGCGCGCGGTTTTGGAGAATGAAATCTCCCGCGCGGATCTGGACTACTCGTATATCGTGACGGGTCCCTTTGCGGAAATGTATTTGCATTTTACCTCCGGATTCGAGGAGGTGGGTGGGTGGGATGTTAAGGGCAGGAAGGCAGTGCTTTTGGGGGAGAAGGGGGAGGAGAGGGTTAGTTTGACGACTATGGAGGAGTAAGTTGCATATTTCCATTACTTATGTTGTGCTTTTGTGATTTGTGATTTGTTTGGCTAATTGGGATAAAACAGCGTGGGTACTTTTGTCGTATCTACTCTTCTCAATGCAACACCCGAGACACGCAATCGCCCGCTTTGCGTCAATTCATTCACCACTAGCCCCGCTGAGATCCAGTCTCTCTTTGAGCGCCAGGTCCCAGGGCCCTGGGAGGTGTCTTACACTCCTCTGGAGCGACTGCGTGAGATCGAGGACAAGGCCTGGGCAGCTGGGAATCCCTCGGCGACGGTAGCGACTCTGCGACGAATCTGGACCGAGGGCGGCACACTCTATGAGCAGCGGGCAAACGGGCTGATTGGAGAGCCAAAGACGACCTCGTTGGAAGAGATTGTTGCAAGAGAGGTTCGACGGTCCAGTAATCTGTAGTTTTGGCTAGTGCGGAAACGACGAAGACCTATTGAAGCCATGATCATGATTGACTAGCAAATAAATCCAGATCAAAGGATAATTCACTCCATCTATAAATAAGCATTTGGACCAATCAAACTTGGCATTGATCGGGGTTTCAAGGTACTTGGTAGATTCGTACGGGCATGGCACAGGGACATAAGAGGAAAAGGATTGGGTGGGAATTAACAAAGCATTTCACGTCTTTACTAGCATCGGATTCACATGGCCCAAGGGGAATGATTAACAGAAAAGTTGGGGAAAAACAACCGGGATGGGCAGACAAGGGGGGTTGCCACGGATATAAAACAAAAGCCGGTCTCTACTGGAAGAACTTTCGAACCCGCTCTTGGCTTTCCGGGCTAACACCAGCCAGGATTGACTCGGCATTCAAGTTGGTCGCTGCCACCAGTTGCTTAGCCGCCTGGGCAACCCGGGCAGCAGTCTGGCCTTGCAGAGTGCCGGCATCAAGAGCTTGCACAATGAAGCCGAAGACGCGGTCAGCCTTGGCGAGGACAGCAGGGTTTTGCCTAGATAGGTGTGTTAGCTCGATGGTCTTAAGAGGTCCAGGGAAAGGGGGGGTACGTACTGGTCAACCAACTGAACAATGAACGAGTAAGCATAGGGTGCGGCCTCCTCATCATAAGTGATAGGCAGCGTGTCAATCCAGTTGTTCACAACATCCTGAGCATTCTGCACCTTGGAGGCGTTGAAGTGAAGGATCTTGGCGATACTGGCGGAGGCATTCTCAGTAGCGAAAACGTGCTCCTCGCTGCGGTTCTGAGGGTGTTGAGTAACCTGGAACAGGCTGGGGATGCTGGCGGCAACAAAGTCGGCCCAAGGAGCACCACCCTTTTGGGCGGCAACACCGACACCGTAGGCGGCGGCCTGACGGTTAGCAGCGTTGTCATCCTGCAGGCCGGAAGCCAGCGGCTGCATGATGTGGTCCTTGAAGGTCCAAGACTCCGCAGAGCAGAACTCCAGCACATCGTCCATGATGCACAGGGCCCATTGGCGCTGAGTCGGGTCCTGGCTGGTGATGAAGTTGTCGTAGAACTGCATCAGCTGTTGCCAGGCGGGCAGGAAAGAGGTACCTTGGTTCTTGAAGATAGTGTGGAAGGCCTTGTTCATGTCGCTGAGCAGGTTCTGGTCATCCTCGACGGCATACTCGTAGTCGAGGTTCTCCTCATCGCCATCCTCAAGCTCGGCCTGCTCTTCCAAGCGCTGCTTGACGCGCATCTGGTAGTCCTCAAGCGTAGACTTGGCGGAGTCGATGAAAGCCTGCATGTGCTGCGGGGAGAGGCTGTTGGGGCCAACAACCTCGACGGACTCGTAGAAGCACTGGTACATCTCGGCCAACGTATCAACGGTAGGCTCAGCGCTGAGAACCTCAATGATCTTCTCAGCGACCTTGTTCCACATCTCGGCAAATCCGGGGGAGTTGCCGCCGTGGGCCTTCTTGTAAGAGTTCAGTAGCTGGGGCACCAGCTTAGCGGCCGACACACGGACGGGGTCATGGAAGAAGAATGCAAGGCCGGGGACAGCAATCTTCTCCATGGTCTCCAGAACGTAAGGCTCAAAGGCCTCCTCGAGAATCTGAGCATAGATGGTGATCAACTCAATGGCGGTGTTCTTGTCCTCCAGAGCACTGGTCTTGATACCAATGACCTTGCCCTTGAGCGGAACCAACTCCCACCCCTCATCCTGCTCAACCTGCTCAATCTGGTCCTCGTCATCCAGCAGCTGGATATCAGCCTTGGCGGCAGCCACGGTCAGCAGAGGAGGCATGACACCGGGCAGGTAGGGAACGAAATCACGGCCCAAGACACGGCACATGCGGCCCCAGCAGTGGAGAAGGTACTGTGATTGAGGGTCGTCGGCATCGACAATGTTCTGTTGAATGTTGCCCAGGATCTGAACGAGGTTCAGCGCGTCTTGGCCCATCTTCTCCTTACCAACGGCCAAAGCGATCAGAGTAGCACACTCCATAGCCTTGGCACGGAGCAGGCGGTATTCCTTGCCCTGTTCCTCCTTGAGGACGTTGAGCAGCAGGGGCATAAGGGTGTCGTAGTATTGACCGAAGGCAGTCTCAGCCGAATCGGCAATAGTAGCAATAGTCGACAAAGCCTGTTCCTGGAGGTAGCGCTTGGGGCTGCGGAGGAGCTCCAAAAGGCGGCTCAAAAGGTCACCCAAGTAGGGCTCGAGAATGCTGCGCTCAGCCTCCTCGCAGAAGTTGACCAAAGCGGCAGCAGCGTGGGACTGCACACGAGGCTCGGTAGAGCTGAGGACAGGGATAATGTTGTTCAGAACAATACCGTGGTACTTCTCCTGCATGATACCGGCAAAGTCGGTGCTCATTTGGCCGAGGGCGTTGCAGCCTGCATAGCGGACACGAGGATGAGAGTCACGCAGAGCGGGGACAACCAGAGCAAGAACCTGATCAAGCTCATTGATCATCAGGTCGCGGCAGCCCTCCGAGATGGCAGAGATGGCCATCAGAGCGGCATGGCGGTCGCGCCAGGCAGTCGAAGACATCATGCGAGGAATCCAGGAGAAAGCAGGCTGGAGAATGGCTTGACCACCGAGCTTGTTGGCCAGACGGTCCATACATTGCTCACCGGCAATGTGGTTGAGGTCGCTCTCCTCAGGCTCAAGCTATAGAAACGTTAGCAAAGTTTGATAGGTGCCAATGGGTCCCATGAAAGAAAGACTCACATCTTCGGAAGCGTTCCACTCCTCGGCATCGTCATCATCAACACCAACATCGGTCATCAGACTCAGACATTGGGTAACCATCTCTTGGGCAAAATTGGCCTCCTTGGTGCACATTTTGGGAGCGTAGTCGGCGAAAGTTGCCATCAGCTCCAACGCGTTCTGGCGGACCTGGTCGCTAAGCTCCTTGTCGGCAATGACGCTGATGCTGAACTTGACCAAGTCACTGAAAGAACCCTTGAACATCCTCGGGCTAATCTCGGCCAACTCGATAAGAGCCAAGAATGCCGACGAAAGCTCTTCACTCTCGCTGGATTCCTTGAGAGGGGGAAGAATATTGAGGAGAGCGGGCATGAGGGAGAAGAATTTGGCCTGAGACTTCTTGTCGATAGAGCGGAACATCGAGGCGAAGGCTTCCATAGCGGCAATGCGCACCTAGAGAGGAAAGAGTCTGGTTAGACGGCTCTTCATGAGTGGATCGGGTGAGGGTCAAGCATACCGAGATGTTGTCATCCTCGAAGCCCTTAGTGAAGACAGTGAGGACAGCATCTTCGTGCTGCTTCTCAATAATGCCGGGGGTGGTTGTGAAAATGCGGAAGGCAGTCTCGCGAAGACCGGAGTCGCCAGACTGACTGGCCTGGAAGAGAACACCAAGCAGCTCGGGCCATTGGTCGCCTATATATCCCCAAAGATATCAAATCGTTAGAACTGAACAGATCTTTCGTATGGGTCTCAAAGGCGAAAGGGAGTTTTTTTTTTCCTGCGTTGGAATTGCGTACCATTGTCGGTGTACTGGCGAGCGATCTCGGCCACGGCGTCACCAATCTTCTTGCGCACATCAGTGACAGACTCGGAGGTCAGGCATGTCACCAGCTTCTCGCGGATCGCAACACGCTGCTCATTGGGCAGACTCAGGAAGACCTCCTTGACGTCGCCGGAGATAGGATCCTTGCGGGTCTTGGTGGAAATTCTTCGGAAAAGGACAGCGGAGAAAGCACGAGTCTGTTCGTAGATATGTCCCGAGTCAGCGCAAGCTCCATTGCATAAATGGTAAAAGGATCTGTCCGTGAGGGGATCGGTCGTGTGCATGGAGCATTCACCCACACACACGGCGGCTGGTGGCTCACGGTTTTCCCCCTCCCTAGGTAGAGTCGAGTCGGTGTCGGCACTCACTAATGTGTCTTCAGCACCGGCGATCTGCTCAGCCAGACCCATCAACAGGATATCTGGCTTGTTCTGGACCCAGTCATTGTTCAGCTGCTCTTCGGCCTGGGATCGAACAGCATTGTCGGGGGTGCTGAGAGCGCGCAGCAGCTGGGACAGCGCGGTGTGGACCTCTTGGGGCAGCACGGACATGGTGGGTATGTCTGTTCCCAAGATCCAACAGACAAAAATGACCCAATTTGTTGGTACCCTCGAGGTGGGATAGTTGGCGGGGAGGGGCTGGAAGAGGGGTGGTTTGAAGGGGGGGGAATGAGTTTTGTTTTTGGTGGGGCGGGAAGGAAGGGAAAAAAAGATTGATGATTACGGTGTCGGGGCAATCGATATGCGATAGGCGCTGGGAACCGGTGGATCACCTCGAAAGTAATAATGACCAGGGAGAGTTAAGGATTGAAGATATTCCAAGACTAAGAGATTATGAAGAAGCTCTCATATCAAACTGACTAGTAATACGAGAGACAGGGCTACTAGAAACTACTATTGATGCCCGGGTACGACTAAGTACTACAGTAGTTCGGGTTGGTTGCCAGGGCCCTCAGGTGCCTAACGGCCTCGGTGGAGATCACCTCGAACGGCCTATTTCAATCTCCTCAATGAGGGTTATTTTGAGAGAATTAACACCCTAGTATAATCATTTGACGATCACTATTACAGATCAATTGTCCCAGAAATTCATATCCCACGAGGTTCTTTCCGCTTTTCTACAATATCGTACCATCCTATAAGAACAAAAGATATTTGCATTGAAGGCTAAACTACTGGCCGCAAACTGATCATGACTAGAACAGCGGTATCTGGACGCGACATGGAATATCGATAATTAGAAGGTGGGGGTATGCACTCTCGCAGAACGAAATCACCAAGAGCAGCCAAAAATGAACAAGAGGGTGTTTGGGGGGGGGGGGGAGGTTGATCGAGATTATTTGGAGACGTTCAGGGGGAGGAATATGAGATCGAAGAGGACAAGGGAATGATGTCTAGAAACGGAAAGCAGATGCAAGTATTTTTCAACGACCGCTGGGACGGCTGAGGATGAACACACCCGCGATGACCGCGGCCAGAGTAACGATGGCTCCGGGAAGAAGAAGCTCGTTTGGAACACCAGTGATGAACTGCTCCTCCGGACCGTGGTGTGCAGGGAAGGCCTGGCGGGGCTTGCTCAACAAAGGCTCCTCCGAGGGGGTTTCTGTAGTCACGCTCTTGGGCGCCTCAATGACGGGGGTCGCAGGCTTAACGGGCTGGGGTTCGACAGTGGCAGGGATGGGAGGCTGGGCCGGGTCATGAACGAAGAGATCAACCTTATCACGGTGGGCACGACGGGCAAGATCAATGGCGTCCAGCATGTCCTGATCGGTAGTGATCGAAACAGTATCGCCCTCGTTATCCATGTAGCTCAGAGCATAACCGGTGTTGCTGAGTCGGCCCTCCTCCACTACGGCCTCGCCGCCCACAGCCTCAACCTCGGAGCCAAGCTTGGCAGTCACCTGGGAGACCAGATCGGAAACGCCAGAAGAGCTCAGAACGTTCACGCGGTGCACCCGGCCACTAGGAGCCTTGAATTTGAAGGGGAACGGAGCGTTCTCAGCATGGTGGTGCTGGTGGTGCTGAGAAGCCACTTCAGAGTGCTCTTCGCCACCGTGGTGCGAAGCAGACTCGTTCGGCAGCACGCTGTTATCGTACTGTGATCGAGCCAAATCGGGGCTCATGACGGAGCGGTGTGGGGTGTGAGGTGCCGGCTGGCTGCCAGAGACCATCGAGTCGGACTCGTGATCCATTGACAGCCAGAACTTGTTCCAGGCCGGACCCTCGTCGTCCTGGGTCGACATGGTATTGATCTATATGCGATAATGAGATTCGCGCTCACAAAGATATCTCTTGCACTTAACCAGGGAGGCTTACCTGTTCAAGGGTGGCATAGGTGAGCTTCAGCACATCAACCATGCCAACAATCTCGCCGCCCTCGTTCATGACGGGGAGGTTAAGGTAGTGACCATCTGTCGCGATAATTAGTAAATCAATTTACCAGACTACATTTCGTCCATCTCAAGAACTAACCGTGCATCTTGCGGAGGGCGGCCTGAATGCTCATATCGGAGGGAGCGAAATCAGGGTGGGGGGTCATGACGCGAACCACACTGCAAGTAGCAGGGTCAAGACCGGGGGCGATGACACGAAGAACAATATCCTTGCTGGTGAAGATACCAGTAATGGAGCCCTGGTCCTGCACAAGCAAGGCAGTGGTGTGGTGCTCCTTCATCAATGCCGCGGCATCCTTGACCGTGGTACGGACGGAGACGGTCACCGGAGGCATGCCATCCAGAACAGTCTCGAGAGTCGGGCCGGACATCTTGGATCGCAAGGCCTCGACGTACTGAATAACCTGCTGGGGCTGGCTGGAGCCCAACTCGGTCTGAACACCCTCCAGCGCATCGTACAGCTTGCGCGATGAACTGTAAGCACGCTCCAGCTTCTCCATCGCGTCGTAGAAGCACTTGGTGATATCCAGAATACCCGAAATATCCTGGTTCTCGTCCATAACCGGCAAATGTCTGAAGCCCTTCCGAACCATCAGGTCAAGCGCATCGGTAGCGCTGGTGTCCGTCCGCGCACATAGGGGGTTCTTGGTCATAATCTCGGCGACGGTGACCTCTCGCGCCTTGTGGCCAGCGCCAACCACACGGAAAGCCAAATCCTTCGCGGTGAAAATACCGGCAATTCGCTCATCGTCGTCAGTAACCAACACGCAATCTTCCCGCTTTGCGGCCATCAGCTGGGCGGCCTCGGCAATGCTAAGGGTGGGCTTGATCTGGAGAGCCTGGCTGGGCTTCAAGGCGAGCACGGTGCCTGGCGGGGCTTTGCGGGCATTCCTTGCCTTGGTCGGATTGTGCCTCTTCTTATTGAGGTCGGCCTCCATCTTACGACGGATTGCCTATGAAAACGCAAACACGGGGGTTGGTTAGCCGGCAAGCCGAGTAGAAAAATGGCGGATCAACCGCGAGGATCATCCTCAGAGCTATACAGCTTCCGCAAGTATACACACCTCATCACGCTTCGACTGGTTCTGTCGCTGTCTGCTACTGGCGGCGCTCATGGTGCCACTTCCGACGTCACTGGAGGGTGTGTGGGTGGTGGATGCGGCGGAGGATTCTGGACGGTCTGAGCGAGGTCGGGGGATATGGGAAGCACTCGAGCTCTCGAAGTCGGGCAGCCTTCCTCTCCCGATGGTCTTATTGGGTGTTCCCCTAAAAGTACCTGTATGCGACATACTCAAGCCAGGGGAAGGAACACAACAAAAATGGAGACGAAGGGGATGAGAAGAGTGGAGCAAACTCGAAAGAATGAGAAACCGGTCCGAGAAACTGAAAAAAGGGCAAACAGCAAGGGAGTCTCTTCCAGTTCGAGAGAGGGAAAAGGGCAGTCAATGGTCGATCTGAACAGGGGTGTTTGGGTTGTTTGGCGGTGTTTTCACGCTAAGTTCAACTATCGCCCGCTTGGGGCGGGTGTAAACACGGGGCTTATGTAATTGGCCAGCACGAACGGTAGGACGACGATGAAGACGACGAGCCAGAAGCCTGGATTGAAATATTACTCTGCTGCGCTATAGTTAACAAAACCTGGTTCCGCGAAGCAATCCGTATCCTATGGTGAAGCTGGGAAGAACGAATAACAATAGTGTATTATAAGAATAATGGACTTTCTGATGCACCTTGCTAGTACTCAGAGCAGCTATGATACATAACGTCGTCACTTTCGTCTTCTTCCGCATCTTCGGTACCAGTCTGACTCTCATCTTCCCTAGCCTTAGTCGATTGTATGCTACCCGATATGACATCTATGATACTTTGCGTTGTCCGCATGATGGCATTGACATCGGATGCCTTGGACAATTCCCCACTAGATTCGAAGGTTGTATGTGCAGTGAGAGAGGCGGGGAGCTCGCAGCCTGAGATGTTTCTTGCCAAAGCTTTAAGGGTTGATTTCTCCAAGTATTCTCCAGGGCTTGGCCAAAAGGCTTTCTCACTCTCTACCTGATCGGTGAATAACCTGCTGCCGGGAGAATCCTCTCTTTTGCGGAAGATGTAGGTTATGATGAACCGGAAATATAAAAATCGTTTAGCGGGGCGGTTATCATTAAGGAATCTTAGTTCCCTCTCGTGGATGTCCTAAGGAACATGTTAGAAAGTCTATACTCCGTAATACTGATCGCGGGTAACAAGCCTTCCACTTAAGCTCCCCCCTGGGTATCGGAATAAGGTATCATTTTTGCTGTTGATGTCCGTGAGCACACACTTCCACCTCGAAGGTAAGTTCGAGTTAGCATTGCCTTCGATGATCGGTAAAATCACGATCTTTCCGCTATCTAGGCCTCCTTCAAGTGATTTATGCAGGCTCACAGCTAGAAAGTGATTAGCCACAGCCAAGCAAAGATAACTAGGAATAAAGTACTTACCGTTCCGAGGATCTTTAGCTACAAGCTGTCTAACTCCAAACAGGGGCGCTATCTCGTCAGTGCTCAAGCTTTTTGGCACTACATGTGCGGCTTTGATGTCTTTGGCGTCGAATTTGCCTAGTACATGGCAATAACCAGCCTCGGACTCGATTCCATTCTTGGCGTTAATGCCGTAATAATCATTCACAGCCTTCTTGAAGTTTCGTGCAGAGAATGGCTGCTGCCGACCTGGCTGCTTTGCGCGAGCTGCCATGACTCTTTCCGTAAGGCTGGAAGAATATGCCCGTTCAAGCGTCTCAAGGCTTATTTCTCCATGTCGTGGGCGCTTTGTTGCAACAGATTCCTCGATATCCTCCTCGAGGATCTTTCTTTGCTTGCAGATTGTTCCAAGTTGCTCATTCGCCCGTTTAGTACTGGACAAAAACGGGCCTATGGCGGTCCGGAACTCCTCTGGCGAGAGCTGCTCGGAATCAAAGGTATGTTGCAACCCTTGATAGGCAGTTTCAATGTAGTCGAGTTCACAGCCATGGGCTTGGACTTTCGCTTCCAAGAAGTCAGAGACCGATCGGTAATTTGGCGTAGCACCCGAGCTAACACTCCTGGACTTTTCGCGCTTTTCGTCAACGGCCTCTTGCCACCTCTTGGGCATACGGGCGTACACGCGAGGGGGAATTTCTGGAATTTGCGACATTATGGCAACGCAACGTAGATCGGCCAGCGTTGAGAATTGCTCAGACCCACGAGGATAATGGAGTATAGATCGCGAAGTACAGTATGGAAGTCGGACATGCTACTATGCTAAATTAGGACATTACGATCCGGGAGCTAGTCTACTTTGGGTTGGAATGGAACTGGTGACTGGACCACGTGATGATCAGGTTATTCTCGAGTTCCGATAACTGCCTTGTAGCCTTATCGCCTTATCTGTCAGGCCACCACCACTCTGTCAGGCATTCAGGTGTCCATCACCCGTGACTGGGTCTCGCTTAAGGGCTTAGGGCTTCCCACAACACAACCACCCATCCATTCCGGCAGAGCGTCTGTGTGAGCGAGCTTCGACAACCCACTCCCGACAAGACACCCGTACGTTTCCCTCCCCCTCTTTTCTCCTTTCCATCCCAGATCGACTCTCTGACTTTCCACAGAGCAATCCGTCAAAATGGTCAAGAAGCGGGCGAACAAGTAAGACTTGATCCCTCCTCCATCTATCCCGCGAATCCAGTCTCCCATCCGATATGAATCTCCGCAATGACGCCCCGACGAATTCGATACCAAGCCACACAAGTCCTCGAGTTCGAAAATAAAATGAGAAATACGACTACTATTTTTGCAAGAGTCACCCACGCGCATTGACGGACGAATTCAACACCGAATGGAGACTGGATTATCGTGAAATGCATACCTGCAAGGGAACATGGGAACTAATAGAATTTCTTTAGCGGTCGTAACAAGAATGGCCGCGGCCACGTCAAGCCCGTGCGCTGCTCCAACTGCGCTCGCTGCACCCCCAAGGACAAGGCCATCAAGCGCTTCACCATCCGCAACATGGTCGAGTCTGCTGCCATCCGTACGTGACCCTTTCGACGTGACTTCATTCCATTCGCACTATGCACGCAAAGGAGGATCTTGGATCGACTCGATTCGACAAGGACCATTCAAGGTCCCTCGTCCATATGAACGAACTAGAGCCGCCTGCGCATCACAACCTACGCTTTTCTCTGAGGAACAATGGACTAATATATTTTCTTTCGACCTACAGGTGATATCTCCGATGCCTCCGTCTTCGCCGAGTACTCTGTCCCCAAGATGTACCTGAAGCTCCAGTACTGCGTCTCCTGCGCTATCCACGGCAAGATCGTTCGGTATGCACGCCCTCACACAAATCCTACGACTCGTCCATGATCCATTCCACATACTAACTCCATCCTCTACAGTGTCCGTTCCCGTGAAGGCCGCCGCAACCGTGCTCCTCCCCCACGGATTCGCTACAACAAGGATGGCAAGAAGCTGAACCCCCCTCAGGCCGCCAAGGCTATGTAAAGGAGAGGAAACGCCATTCAAACCAGCAAAATAAAAATGGAACTAGTCTGAAATGAATCTTTTTATTTTGTTTTCCTTTCCCGCTGTGGTGCTCTTGAACGACGGATATCTGTGGCATTCCAGCTCGACAAGCTAAAATGCTGCAACGAAAATGGAGGAAACGGCACTAGGGTGTTCGACAAAAAAGATACTCGGTTCTGGGGATTGGGGGGCGCAATTACGAAGGACGATTAGGATTTCCTTCTCGTCTCTTTTATGTGCTTTCTCTTCGCGTTTCGCAGTGTCTTGTGCCCCCTTCGATGTATAAGAGCCAAATTACGATGGCATGTGCATGACTGGAGGCAAGGATCAGTCTGCTTTATTGCAGACTAGAAAAATACCAAAAATTCTCTAAAAAGGCACTTGCACTTCCCAGTAGATCCATCGTTTCTTTGCACTTGGAAGAATGGCTTCGTCATAGGGTATATGCTATATGCTAAGTAACTCATGGATAAAGATAGCCCTTCTCAAAGTAATTCCCATACATATCCACCATACCGCTACGCATCTTGGACGTCGGGTTCCTCACAATCTTAATCTCCCCCTTCCAATGTCCTTCCACGAAATGCGCCATTGAGATCTGCGCTGTCGTTGCAGCGAGTAAACTCGAGCTCCCAGTGCCATTAGTACTACGTCGCCCTCTCTCCCGACGCACGACCTGCTCATACTCAGCCTTTTTAGCACGACGGAAAGCAGCGAGTTCCGCCACGAGATCGATTTCTTTCACGAGCGTGGGCTGCGACCCTTTTGCAACCGGTCGAGACGAGCTAGGCGTACTGTGCACCGCAGATGTAACGCTTCTCTGCGAGATCCGGCGGCTTGGCAAAGGTGATTCAGCGCCAGAGTGTGAATATGTCGACGCATCGTCGTCCGAGGGCATGAGAGAAACCTTCTCGTTCAGCACGGCCATTGGGAAGTATTTGCCGGGATCGTTCTCGGGAATACCACACTCCATTTCTTCGAAGAAGCTGAAATCGTCTGCTGCTGCGGCCCAGAGAGCCTCCGAGTCACGGTCACCTGTACTCGAGTTTTGGACTCCAGGTTTCCATGTAGTCAATCGGGTTGAGCTATCGGTGGGTGTGACTTCAAGGACTATTCGACGGAGACCGAAGAGCGTTCGAGAACGCTGTTGTTCAGCTTGTATGCGTGCTTGGCCGGGTGGAAGGGAGTAATCAGATCCGGCTTGGAGGGTCGCAAGTAGAGCTTCATTGGAACAAGCTGTAATGAATCGAGTCAAGGTGTACAAGATCGGAGAATTGGGTGATATATGCGAGGGCACGTCCGTTAAGACCAAGGTCTCTAGATGTGGAATATGGGACGGATGCAGGTAGGGAAATCGGCTTTCTTTCCCACCTCGAAGAGGAAGAGATTGATTCCGTGGACGTTTCGCGAGCAGCCCCTGGATTCTTTGGGCTCGTGGGTCATCGATTGATATTGGGGAGCTGCATCGTGGTATTGATGCCACGGATCCGTCATCCTGAACTGAAAGTGCGGAAATTGATTGTAAGGTGCCTTCATCATTTGGCTGGCCAGGGACGGTAGGAGGCGGGCCATTAAGAACAGTGGAGTTGCTGTCGTTACTTGAATCAAGTACAACTTCCGGTGCAAACGCAGATCCACGTCTGACTGCGGACAATGGTTCATCCTCGTATGGATTCAACAGCCGCGTAACTGGAGTCGTGACAGTCGAACCTTTAGACTCCGATACTGACGTATCTGCGAGCTCGAAAACCGGAATGTTCTCTCCCGGTAGCTCATGGATCTCCTGTGATGCATCCAGTTCAGCTTCATGTCGTACCTCGCTGCTGGCGGGAAGCTCGGGAAGGTAGTCGCCTTTAGGTACCGAGTCTTTCGCCGGAGGCTCCGCAGTAACAACGGCATGGTGAGCCCGAAAGTAAGTAAGCTTATCCCCGGCGATTTTGCCCAGGATAGGTACTAGCTTCTCAGATCCAGGGTATATCCCATGTTTGGAAGCCGTTTTATGAATGACGTCTGCGGTGTTCACGGTACCAACATCAAGAGCATTGAGGCGAGATGAAGCCAGGAGGCCTGCAACACCTTCAACTGTGATTGGATTGTTGGCGATGTAGAGATGGGTGATCCCTGTGTAGGGCAGGTCTTCTATCCAGGAATTATTTGAGCCAGGCTGTGCGAGAAACTTGAGATATTGCTCATCCAGGTCTGGGGATTTGAGAAATTCTGATTGGCGATTGTGGTGAGTTGCTGGAGGAGCTCGGTCAGGTGAAATACCATTTCGTCTTGGACTTGGTTCATTTGCTCGGTCTGGTGGAGTAAACGATGCTTGCAGTAAGGAACGCACTGCCATGTCGGTGAGCATGTTGTTTCGCACGTCCAGGAATCGAGTCCTAGTTCCAATGGCATTTGCCAGGAACTCGGCATCGGTATCCTTCAATCCAATACCACGCAATTTCAGCACTTGGAGGTTTTCAAGCTGAGACAGCGAGGACAGAACGCTTTGATCTCGTGCTGACCTAGTATACGAGAGGTCCAGGTAGGTCAGCCGGGGAAACCGAAGTATAGTCTCCGCCAGGCCGGCTGAAGTTGTGTTGGGTTCATGATCCGCTAACAACAGGCGGACATTATATTCACTGGATCTGGGGTGATTTTTCAAAGCAACCATCGCATTGTGATCAAAGAATGGTAGCCTTGAGACCATCAAGCATTGCAGACAGGGCAAATACTCCAGAATATCTCTCAGCCAACCCGGTCGGGGACCGCCGTAGATCTCTGATAATGCCGGAGGTAAATGAAGCGTATGCGTTAGTGCCCGTACTTCTCGCCTGGCATATTTCAGAGTTCTTCTAAACCGCGTCAGGGCCACTGGTATATTCGGTCAGCATAGGATTAAACCCCGCATGCATGGGGATATCATAGTCTTACCGTAGACTGCGTCATTCTCTGTACCGAAATGCGACGCCGGGTCACCCCAGAGGAATGGCATGAACAAATCGTGCCATCGATGGCAGACCAGTGAGGCAGCACATAGATCACTAGAAGGGATGTAATGGGCGATAATGGCCCATGCATCTCGGTCCGTTGCGGACTTGTATGACGGCGGGATCAAATCCATCATCCCGTAGAGCTGAGTGTGTGGGGCTCAACCATGGGGGATGCTGATGCTGACTTGGGTTTCTTTAAAATCACCCGTGTTTCTGGAGGCAGGGCTGATGCTGTTGGATGGAGTTGGCAGTGTGAGATGTTTGACACAGCCACGTTGCACCGGGCACCTTAACAAGGCTGTACATAACAAAACTACGCCCCGTTTCTTAAGTGTCTCTGGGGTCTTGGCTTGTGTCAGTATCGACCACCTTCTTAAAGTATTGCCACATGGTAAACCATATATTCATCTCCCAATGTAGGCGCTCGGTCTTATTGACTATAATAGAGCCAATCGAATGCCTCAAAGTTCTACAATTTCTAAGAATGTTGTTGGGTATGTATAGGCCGATTTGGGCCTATGATGTCATCGGATATACCCCTCATGTTCAAATCCTCCATGCTGTACGCTGTTGTTGTTTATCCAGAAGAAAATTACTTCCCGCCGTCGATAGAGATATCCCACTACCTAGTAATTGCTGCTTAGGGGCCTGGGGGGGGTTCGCCATAATTAATGCTATATCGTTATTACAGCATACCTTGAGCATCGAAATTGTAGATTCCATGCCGGAATATATCGCCGAAGGAAATAGTAGGTGGGAGCATATCCAAGTCTATACAAGATGAACAAACACCACAACCGAGGCCTCAAGCGTAGACAGGACCTAATCCCGTCGTAAATTGACACCGAACACAGCGAGGAAAGAAAAGCACATGTTCTCTAGAATCCAATTGAATCTGCTTCCATCCCCCTCAAACCAAAACTACCTATGCGACAGACATCCCTTCCTTCCCACATGGCTCAGAACTATGAAACAGACACAACAATAACCAACACCCAGCACAACCAGAGCACAATTCAACAAAACACCAACAAACAGACTCTCCACCAACTTTTCTCTCCCCCAAACTAAGAGGGCAGACACAATCACGTGATCCATCCGGATCCCGAAAATTCCACCCGACCCACAAACCGAGTCAACAACTATTTTTCCTCGCCAATGTTCATCCAATCGCCTTCGTGGTCTAGTTGGTCATGACGTCGGTCTCATATGGATCTTATGACGACCCTGCCTCAACAGGGTGGTAATCCGAAGGTCTCCAGTTCGAACCTGGACGAGGGCAATGGATCTTTCTTTTTGCATATATTTTTTGTTGGTTTGTGTGAGCTGTTGTATGGTTTTTTGGTGCAAGGGGCGCCAATTAGGTAGCTATAGTTATGGTCTTTTGATTTTTAGCATGAGATTGGGAGGTATTTGTGAAGTATGTTGAGAAAATGGCACTTAGGATAGACTACCTGTTGGACACACTGGATGTCTAGAAGCACTCGACGCAGGTTCTATTTAGCCCACTATGGCATGAGAAGAGGTATCAGATCATGAAAACGTATAGAATAAATAATCAACAGCGTCACTTGTACTCCTAACGAAAAACCCCAGTGCCAAGGCCAACTACACGACAGTGCATCCCGGTTTAGAGGGAGGGGGCCTTTTAAGCGTCAAGCGGCAGTGAAACTGCTGTCAGCCGTCAGTTTGTCGGCACAAGGTGAAAAACAAATGAGTGTGATGGATCCAATAAGTTGATATCGGCCAAATCCGACCCCGAAAATTCATAGGTTCGTATCTGTTGTAGCTCAAAGAAAAGTTGGGTTTTCTTTCCGAATACTATTGATCCTCGGTCCATGGGCGCCAGCAGGCTGTGGTTCGAGAATCGGTTGGAATGGCGGGTGCAACAATCCCCTGACAATGACGCACTATGCATTGGACACGAGCGGATTATCTATCACCGCTGAAGTGATTATTTCAGTCCCCAGTGCATAATGGTACCAGAAGAGTATCATAAAATAACTGATCCCAACGGACACCATGCTAAGCTTCCTGTAGTTTCCATTCTGATAATCTCGAACTTCCTCCACTGACTTGTCTCGTGCGATTTTGAAGACGTTCAGAGAGCCCCCGGAAGGTAGTTGATGGGCTTGATTTTGGGTAGACGACATAGAGCGGCCCATTTCGGTGTCAACTCTCTGTTGGCGGCCACTTTCCGGCACAATTTGATCTACCGCATCCAGTGTACTCTGGCTAGAGGGGAAAATAGATAGAATTGAGTCAACTTCCGAGGGGAAGTGCACTGTTTCTTGGGAGTCGCGTGTAGGTAGTTGTTCCGGCTCGCCACTAAGCTGCTGGTGTTGCGCTGACGATTCCTCGTTGGTGGTAAGCTCTGTGTGATTCTCTTTCGATGGACACGATGCTGAGCTTCCAGACTTTATAGGACTAGTGTCTTTAAGGTCTATGGCACTCATTAGCGATCACTGCTCTAAAATATAAAGGATAGACATTGTGGGAAGTTACCTAGCATCATTTCCATGCTTTGAAAAAAGGGTAAGGTTAGGAGTAAGAGAGGCAAGATTTGTCCAAATCCCCATGAGTTTTCGTCGCCTTCCATTCCATTCTTTTGGGCATTTTGCCTTAGGGTTATAACAAGGGCAGAATTGGTTGATAGCTTTATGTAGGATAAGAGGATCTGGAGGCTTTGTGAGCCCAGAATATCCGTAACACAGAGAGCGATAAGGAATATTAGGCCGGCAAGAAAGAGCAAAAGTTTCGTGATAGGCGTCATCGCAGCCCGTAGTATAGCGCTCCGTGTTGCCATGCGCTGCTGGTCAAGCCTGCAGGCTCTTTTGAAAACGAATAGAGAAAGTTCCAAGATCAAGTCCGGAATTCGATTTAGAACGTTGAAGCGTACCAAAGACGGGAAAAAAAGAACAGTAGCGTACGAAATATCCGACAACGACGTGAACACGTCCAGAACGAGCATGAAAAGGGCACTGCCGCTATAGCGACCGATATTTCTCCACGCACACTGCATAGGCAGTCCCCAGTTCAGGTTGATTAGAAAGCCATCATCCCATATGATGAAACTGCTGATCATGTCTGCGATGCAGATGGTGATGACCCATGGCCATCTCCAGGATCGTTTAAACCAGCTTCTGCGAAGAATATCTCGGGTTGCGAGTGCAATTACCGTGTACATGGCTAGCGCCATCTGTCCCTGCAAGATAGCGATATTGAAATGATATTGGGTGATGCTGGAATGTTTGCTATATGCAACCAGGTATATCGAAGTACCTGTGACAAGTTGCAGGTCCCCCAGTATCAGCATAACATTCTGTACCGTCTTCGGGCGATGAAAGTAGGCCGGGATTTTGTCCAGAATCGGGGAAAAGACCCAGTCGGCACCACTGAGTTGGTCGGAAGGCAGGCAATCTCGTGTGAAGTAGCTAATCATTGCCACGATGAAAGTACACCATGCTGTTGCCAAGAACGCGACAACTACCTTTTGCTCTGTCAGCTGTCATGAATCAAGTCCGGGAGAACAAGGATACCAACTCCCTCTCCAGCCTACAGGAAATATTGACTGGGTGAGAAAAAGCGCTTATTGGAGGTCCAGAAACCCATGAATTCTTACTCACAACGTCTAGATCAGCATCGAACGTTCTATTAGTGAAGGAGCAGTTCAAAACACGCCCCATCTTAAGCCCCGTGGTCGATAAATCGTAGTTCAAACCGGGCAACACAAAGTTTTAGAAACCTTTCGAAAATGGAGCCTCAAGTCTCAACTAGGGCCTGCTGAATCGGCGAAGAAGCATTATAAAAGAATGGTGCATCACATCAACACCCATCGTCAAAGCGCGATTCGCGACCGCAGCTCGTATTATCTCGTCATATCACGTTTTCAACCGCAGTGGGCAACTGTTGGGCAGCGAGAACCGGGCAAGGATCATACATGAAATAAAAATTTCAGTATAGGAAGAGGATCATAGGCAGACATCTCAAAGAGTAGTTGTAGGACCTTGTCGGATACCTCTATTATGGGAATTACTCAAACGACGATACAAGATTGCTAGGTCGACGACACCCCCTCCCCCCTTTTGAGATTATCGTAGTATATGTGTTGCTGTCTTCCAATAACCCCTCTTTTTGGAATACTTTCACACCGCCTATATAGCGGTGGACCCTTTAGCGGGTATTCCATGGGGATGGCATGACTCCTGATGTGCAACGACCAACCTTCAAGCAAGGAATGAATAGTTATCCCACGAACTATCAAAACCCTGAGCTTGGATACAATATATGGGGAATTTGTATGAGATAGAACATGCGACAAATGAAAGAAGCTAGTATGTACATAATAAAAGGGTTTATATTACCGCTGACCAGCAGCTTAAGAAAAACACAATGAAGGCCCCAACACCGCATCATGCAACCAAAGAAGAGGAAAAAAAATACAACGACTCAATCCAAGCCCGGTCAAGCACATGCTTAACCCAGACGCAGTCGGCCAGGGACGGCCCGGCCGCCAAACAGCCGCGTCACACCACCTTCCTCGGTGGTGGTTGTGTTATTGTCACCCGACATCCAGCGAGGCAAGCGGAAGGGTTCGCCCTGAAGCCATTGCGGCTTGTTGGTGGTGTCAAAGGTGTTACGGACGCGGTGTGCGAAGGATTGGAAGAAATTCTCCTCTTCCTCTTCCTCGCCATCGACCACGGTAGGTGCGGTGACGGGGCGTTGGGTTGGCCGGGGGGACCGGGAGCCTTCAGCAGTGGCGACGCGCAGACGTGATGAACCGAGTGATTCATCGTCGCTGCGGTCTGAAGCCCAGGTTGAGCGGCCGCCGCGTGAGGAAACGGCCAGGGAGCCAAAACCGTTGAGCTCGCGCTCGATGAGATCGCGGCCCTCGCGCCAGCCGCCCATGCCGTACCCGGCTGGGTTGTTCTCGACGTCGTGCAGGTCATCGTCCTCTGCTAGACCGAAGCCACAGATGTTCTTGACCCGACCGTATAGATTGAATAGGGTGGCGCAGATGGGGAGGAGAATGAAGATGGGGAAGATGTAATCGAATCCCTTGCCGAGGTGCGTCAGGTTGATGAGACGACCCAGGAACTCGTAGAAGGTGGTTGTGCGACGGAAGTCCTTGGGCAGGAAAGTCAAGAAGTTATAGGCGATGGGAACAGTAAGACGAGCCACGAGACTGGCGTACCAGCACGCGCTCTCACCATACGTGTTGCGGCGCACCAAGGCCCTGTTGCCCCAAACCTTGACGTCGTTGACGCCGACCAGAGCGGCAGAGCACATGTACAGTAACCAAAGGGAGGCGATGACCTGGCTCCCAAAGCCAAGAGGCTTCTCGTCCTTCCAGTTGGGAACGACGGTCAAAGTAATGGCAGAGAATTGTGGGGCCAAGGACTTGATCAATTCTGACCAGACAATGCAAACCGAGGCAACCGCGAAGACAGCACCGAAGATCAAGCGTAGTGTCGGGATGACATTAGAATATAGTTGATAGCGCAGGTAGGGATTCAAAAACTTGACTTTCGGTAGCCAAGATGAGCGGCGGGGGCCAGTGCCAAACTCCAGCTTCTTCGACGCTGCTGAATTGATGATGGCTTGGAGGTCAGCAGCCAGCGTCACCACGCGATCCCATTCATCCACGAACCGCGCCTTCATATGGCGAGCACGTTGCAAGCGTCTAGTCAAGTCGGCCAGATAGCGCTCCGTAATGACCGAGGGAATAGAGCCAGATGTCTCCGGGGTCTCAAGAATAGGGACCCGCACGTCACCAGAGCCGGAGCCGGATGTTTCGGACAGGTCTTCGATCCATTCCTGGAAGTCGCGCGCAGTTCCGGTCTTGCGCTGCTGGAGTTGAGCGACTTGCGAGTTCAGGCTTTCTAGTTCGTTGACGGCATCCATCAAGCGGTCATGCACTTTGGGAGCATGCGCTTGGATGCGCTTGAGGCGACCGCTCACATTCGCATTGCGGAATAGATTGCGAGGGATGGATACCAAGCCGTGACCCATCAGATAAATGGCGAGGACAAGACCCCAGACGTAGGCCAAGGCCATGACGGTACCCTTGATCGAGGTGGGATCAAACCCAATAGAGATGGAGATATAGATGAGTCCGACCAAGGCGCAGGAGAGAACGATCAATTGATATCGAGCATTACAGCGGAGGGAATAAATGATTCGTGCTTTGGGTTCACGGTATCCGGAGTCAACATAGTCGCCGAGCAGAGGAAGGATGGCCCTGAAGACGACGCGGAAGAGGTTAGCAAACCGGGCGCAAATTGAAAGATGCGACCGGAGAAAACGGGATGCAGGCAAGTACATACCAGGTCAGCATGAAGATGAGCCAGTAGGCGATTCGCCAGCACACCAGGACCACCCGGTCGGGTAACCAGATTGCCTTGGGACCGGTGCCATTGCGCGCGCTGGATGCGAGATCGATCGGGACGAGGAGGACGACACTCGCGGGGAGCGCGAGGGCCAGGAAAATAGGGACCAGCAAATAGGCCGGGGTTGCACGGATAGTGAGGAAGCGGCGCAATAGAAGCAGCACTAGAGCCGAAATGGAGCAGAGGGCGAAGGCGAAGAAGATGTTGGAGCCCACGGAGACGGGCGACACGGAGATGGAGAACATGGTGGGCGGAGGGGGGAAAGAGAAAAGAATGAAGAGATTCTTTAGCCGTTGTTCATGACGAGGGTCGTAGCTTTACGAGAGAAGAAGACGATCGAGGCGAAGTCGAGTCCTCCGTAGAGTAGAGGGGGAAGATAAAGTGGGTGAATTTAGTTAAAAGATGGAGATGGAGATGGCGATGGTAGATAGAAATAGAACAGTTGACGTTTCCAGGGGAGTGTAGTGGCTGACTTAAGCTCGAGGGTACGCAATCAACGCGATCAACGGCAATCTGGCTGGGGCGTCACCGGGCTCAGCAGTGTACCGGGTACTTTGTTGGACTCTTGGCGAGCCCCCCCCTTTAACTTGTCCGGGAGTTAAGTGGTGGGCTTTCCAACTCTTGAAGACGAACGTTGGGTGGCGGACCGTCTAGTGGGGTGGTGCTTCCAACCTCAGGTTCCGCCGACTGCCCGGGTGATTGGCTTAGTCACAACGGACCAATTGGCGTGGCCCGGATCAGGCCAGGGCCAGAACGCTGCCGATCTTTTTGGGTGATTTTTTTTTGGGGATCGTAGTTTGGTGATTATTATTTAATCGTTAAACTACAACACGAGGGAATCTTGAGATAATGAGGTAGTATAGTAATTCTCGAAGACCTAGCTCGAGAAATATCTATCACCCAGAAACTCATTGTGCTGTATAGGATAGAGATTGAAATACTGCAAGTCCCACAGAAGCGGCGATCTTGAGCTTATGCTCTGCTCGGACTAGTCGTCGGGAACGGCGGTACAGTAGTAGAAGAGCTCAGGTACTGGGTATGGTCCCTTGCATGATGGACAACATCCTCATCAAGCATTATTTCCCTGAACTCGTGCAATAATGACTACTATTAGAGGAATGGTTGCATATGTCCCGTGTACGGATCTTGCTCTTCTATCATACGTTGCTCCGTATATTCCTTCTCCATACCTACTGCGTATACTGGTTGGTGTACGGGACGAGATCCACTATTATGACGACGGGCGTTGTTTGGGCTGCAAGATTCTAATCTGGAACGAGGGACAGACTGGTGCTACACGACGGGATAGAACCGTAGAATTCTGGAATTGTCGAATCGAAGCATGATTTTTTATTATCAATCGAAGCAATTGTCAGTCCTTGAGATCCCGCAAGTACCTGAAAATTGCGCACCCGTCCAATGCAGCAACCATGCGCTTAGAGTTTTGCTCATACTTCGACCATACGCGCCCCTGTCATTACAGTAATTAAGTGGGGACCATTGGGCAGGATCAAACGATTCCGTCGGAAGAAGAGATGATTAGGAGGGAGAAGAGAGAGCCTCTCAGAATAGAGACGAGAAGAGGGCGAGAGAGACAGAGAGAGGGAAAATAAAAAGGAATGGACCAATACAAAAGAAGGATTACTGCGATGGCCACAGGGTTCAGAAATCGGCGAGGGCAGGGTTGTGTTTCAAAGGTGCACAGATCTCCCGACGGAGGGGGGCAGATCATGTCTGGATGGGAAAGGAGTGGCGGAGAGAGGTGGAAGATACTAGCGAAACATATTGACTACAAAGTACTTTGTACGATACAAAGTACATATCCTAGGTACCCAATGTGCTGGAGCCTGGTAGAAAAAGGAAGCGAGAGCCATGTTCAAGGCAGTCCACGATAAGACGAGAGATCTGGTGGGCCTGAGGCGGATTTTGTCGTATTATTTGTATAGAAAAGTATTGGCTGGTACTGGATGTCCATAATGGAGATCTCTTGTCAGAAAGAGTTGGTCTGACACCAGATAGGGCGGACGATCATTTGATTCAGTCTTAGGTTTTATTGTAATAACATTGAAGGGTAGATAGATATATGGCATGGTCCAGGAGGTCTAGCAATAAAGACAGTAGGACAGGTTTCAATACACTAATTCTTTAGAAGCATAGACTTTGAGCTTATTGAGAATGCAGATTAGTTCTATCCTGAATACAAGTCTACATCGTGGAAAGTCTGTAATGTACCGATACGGAGGCCACATGATCGTGAGTCGACAAGTGCGACTTGAACTGGCTACAGCATCCCCGTCGCACTTCCATCCCCAGAACCAATCCTCATTTCTTCTCTTCTCTTCCTCTCCTCTTCCCTGCACCTCCTCTAGCCCTTTCTTTTCTTTTCTTTTTTTTTCTTCCCTCCCAAGCCACATTTTCGTCTGCGACTTACAGACTACCGGTGCCCGAAGCGCCTTGCCCCCTCCTCCTCCTGGGTTGGCGGGTGTACAGATCCTGGTCGCTTGCTTTTGCTCTCTCTCGAGCTTTCTGACTTTCCCTCTCTCCCTCTCGCTCTCTCTCGCTCTGCCTAACTTTCTTCTTCCACCCCCCCCCTCACCCTTCTGTGTCCTCCGTTTGGACCAGTTCCAACCCCATCCCCACCCGCCCTGATCGACTCGGACTCACGGGTTCCACATCAGCAACCCGGCTTCCCTCTTTTTCCATCCACCGATCTGCAACTTGCCTCCGACCCTGCAACTTCATTTCCCCAAACTCTCTTGTCAACACATCCTCCCCCGACCGTCTTTTTTCGACCCTCCTCAACCGGTCTCGTCTAACCTCTCCTCCTCTTATCCCATTACTCCACCACGCGACCCCTGTCCTCCATCTTCCTCGACTCGTCTCTCGACACTACGTTCTATTCTTGACGCTCTCCGAATCACACCTCTAGCGAATGCTGACGACCATCACTTCCTTCAGCGGATTGCTCCCTGGTCCCCATTGATGGGGCTTCCGTCATGAATCCCGCCCAGTTCTCCAACCCCGGCGGGGGCATGCCTGGACTCGTCAAGCCAGGCATGCCGCAGCAACAGCAGCAGCAGCAGCAACAACAACAGCAGCCGCAGCGTAATGATAACGGCCAGATGATCATGAACCAAGTTGGACACGAGCTACAAATGCAGCCTCGACTCGGTGGATGGAGAGATGAAGTTCCCATCAGGGTTCGAGCTATGCATGTTTTCCAAATGTAAGTGTGCCATGGACAGCGGCCCCGACTTTCTCGCCCCCTCCCTTCCCGCCTACTTTTTTTGTCGCAGCTTACCCGCTGCTGATTCACGTCATTCACTCCATCCATCTCTTTTCCCTTTCATCCCCACGACTGACCTTTTTTGATTATCTAGGATTACCTCCCTTCGATTGATCCAACCTCGAATCGACCTGAAGCAGGCTGGCAACGCTGCGATTGCCTTTGAAACTAATGCCTGGAAGAAGTCCAAAGATTTGGTTCGTTACCTTGCCTCTCTTACCCTCACAGTTCCTCGTCCCACGTAGTTCTTCTTTCCTCTTTCCATCCGAATCCTTTTCTTCTGAGCTTCCTTCTGCTTCGGGCGCAATATCCTCATCATACTGACCTTTGGCATTTTCGCCTTGACAGAGCGAATACGAGAAGACTTGCGCCGAGAAACTCAACCATATCAAAGATACCCGCCAGAGACAAGCCGCCGTTGCGCTTCAAAGCGGAATGATGCCCCAGGGTGGGCCCGCTATGCAGAGCCAGCTTCAGGGCGGGATTCCCCCTCAGATGAACCCGAACATGCAGACCTCGCCCGTGGCTCAGGGTCAACCTCAAATGATGGGCATGAATGCTCCCAACCAGCAGGCGGCTATGCAACAGCGCCAGCAACAGCAGCAACATCAACAGCAGCAGCAAGTCATGCTTCAGCAGCAACAGCAACAGCAGCAACAATTGCAGCAGCAGCAACAGCAACAGCGGGCCCAGCAACGCCCTGTCAATGGTGTTCCTCTTACCGACGACATCCCTGCTCTCCAGAACCCTGACGCGGAACACGTGCAACGACTTGCGCAACAAATGATGTCCAAGACATCCCCAGAGGACGTTGAAAAGATCAAGTCGAATCTTGCCAACATGAATCCGGAGCAGCGACAGTATTTGCAACGAAAGGGCATCGATCCAGTCAATTACTTCTTCCGCACGCAGGCTCTGGGTCATTTGCGACGATACCGTCGCTCTCGCATGGAGATGGGCCGCAATGCCAATCTTGCCAATCCCGAGGCCATGCTCACGAATGATCCGATGATGAGCCAACAGGCGATGTTCCAAAACATGATGAACCTTCAGCGCAGCAACTCGACTTTCTCCGGTAACCAAGCTCAGGGTCAGGACCCGAACGCTTTCTTCGGCAACGTGGAGAACATCCAGGGCCAGCAAGCTGACGGTCTTCGCTCGCAGGAAGCCGGTCAGCTAGTTGTTCCTGCCAGCTCATCGCAAATGAATCAGACACCGTTCAACAACCAGCAGAACCTGTTTCAACAGCAGTCTGGTCAGAACGGTCAAGGGAACGGGACTATGAACGGTCTGGGCATGAACAATCAGGCGTTCAACCAACAGCACATGCAGCAGAGTCTCCCCAACGGAGCCCAGCAGTTCCAGGCTCAACAGGCCCAAGCCCAGGCTCAGGCTCAGGCCCAGCAAGCTCAGGCTCGTGCCCATGCTGCTCAGAAAGCGCAGCTGGCAATGTCGGGCCAGGTTAATTCGCAAGCTCAAGTCCCATTTCCCCAACAGAGTCCCGTCATGCCGATGCTGAATCAGGGAATGCCTCCCGGTCAGATTTCCCCTGTCCCAATGTCGGCCCAGGTTCGACCTCCGTCTCGCCCGGCGAATATGGGCCAGCACCCAGGTGGTATGCAGACCGGACAACCCACCATGCAAAATCGCCCTCCAATCCCTCCCAGTCTTCCCCAGGCGGTTCGGGACCAATTGGCTCAAATGAGCAATGAGCAGCTTCATAACTTCCTTCAGAATCAACGCCGTGTTCATGCCAACAACATGGCTCGAGCCAACGTTCAGCAGCAGCAACTACAGCAGCAACAGCCACAACAGCCGCAGCAGCAGCAACAGCCGCAGCCGCAACAACCGGTGCAGCAAAGCTCTCTCCCGCAGGATGGCCAAAATCAAGCCATGTTCACTGGAGGACAAATGGCCAACAATCCTCGAATGAGAGCCTCCATGAGTATGCCACAAGGCATGAACCCGGCAGCTGGTCTCGTTCAAAACCCACAGCAGATGACTCCTCAGCAACGGGCCGTGCATTTGCACCGACAGAACGAGATGGCCAGGCTGGCCGCCCTCCGGAAACAGAACAACGGCCATGAGATGACTGTTGAGCAGCAAAAGGAAATGGACCGTGTCTCTTTCCCAACGTCGCTGATTGCGAATAACCCTCAAGTGCCACAAAACATCAAGACTTGGGCTCAGATCAAGCATTGGGCGAGCACTAACCCCATCACTACTACTGGTGTAGAATTCAGTCGCCTCTTGACTCTTCAAAAACTTCACTTTGCCCAGATCCTGGCTACGAAGCTTGCCCAGCAACAGAACCAACAGAACCAACAAAATCAACAAAATCAAAGTCAAATCCAGCAGACTTTCCAGGGCCCTCAAAATGGGATGCAGGCCCCTCAGAGTCATCCGAATCCCGCAATGGCCATGGCAATGCGACCAATCACCAATGATGATATTCAAACCGCTCGCCAGAGGCTGGGAAACAATTCGGCCAACTACGACGACGACCAGATTCGCGAGCTTCTTCGGACCAAACAGAGGCAGATGATCGAGCAAGCTGCCCATCAACGGGCTCTTGCTTTGAATCAAGGAGTCCCTCAGCCTTCTGGCTCCGTACCTCCAACCCAAACGCAGACTCAATCACTCAGTGTTCCCCAGCAGCCCTTGCAAGTCCCTGGTGATCTGCAGCCTCCGAATCAGAGGCAGCCACAGACGGCCTCTGCTCCCAAGAGTGGTAAAGCCCCGGCCGCTGTGAACCAGAGATCGAAGAAGCGACCAATCCCAGATGACGGGATTGAGATAACGGGCATGAACATCACCCCTCAGCAAAGTCATGCTCCTCCAACCACTGCTGCCCCTGCAGCTCAAAAACCAGGGATCAGTCAAGTATTCTCACAAGAGACCTTCAATTCCATGACTCCCGAACAGCGTCTGGCAGTTGAACAGACAATGCGGCGCCATCAGCAGGGGTACTTCCGCCCTCCGCATCCCAATCGGGCCGCTGCTGAACATAATTGGAATACGAATCTCCCACCGAAACTCTTGGAGGCTTATGCCGAGATCTCCAAGGCTGCTCCGCCCCCAAACATTTTGCCTATCTCTCCAGAACAGAAAGCGATTATGACCCAGCAGCTGCAAGAATCCATCGACATCCTCTCTCGAGTGGATATCATGATTTTGCAAGCATTCGCCAAGGCGAACAACCAAGAACGAAGTGTGCGAAACATACTTGCCATGCGATTCCAGTTGATGCGTCAATTCAAGAACACTGCGGAGTGGATCCCCAATGAGAATTTCACCGTCAACCCCGACTACTTGACTGGTTCCATTCTTTTCATTCGCAGGTTCTTCCAGGCGGTGATCCAGCGGGCAAATGAGCGCCGGACTGCTCCTTCCCAGGCCAACGCCCCGATTGCTCAGTCGGAACAGCCTGGACAGACTTCCGCTCTGAATGCGAACAACCTTAAGCAGCTACAGCAACAACAGGATGAGGCCCTTCAGCGCGCCCGTCGTGCTTCCAGCCAGTCTGCGCCCGTACCTGCACCTTTCGGTGCTCCCTCACCCCAAGGTGTTCCAGCATATGGTTCAGGAGGACTTGCTCCCGAGAAACTGAAGCTCCCTCCGCCCAAAAAGCGCAAGCAGTCTCACACCGGTGTATCCTCATCTCCCGTGCCGGCTAGTGCTCCAATTATTGCCGATGCGAGTTACAAGAAGGCCGTCGCGGACGCCAAGTCGACGGCTGCCGCTCTGGCTGGTGCATTCAAGTGCGGTGTGGTTGAATGCCAGCATCATTTCCAAGGTTTCCCAACCCAGGCCGCTCTAGACAAGCATGTTGAGGAGAGCCACAAGCCAGAGATGGAAGAAGTGATCGAGGATCCTATCCAATTCTACCTTGACAGCCTTGACATCGGTCTTGGGTTGACAGTAGATAACCAGGGAGCCCAACCGATTGCTCCTACCGGCACCAGCACTGCTCGATTGATGCCGTCTCCCGTCAAGCCTGGCCTGGCCACTCCCGCCTCCTCCACTACGACCCCAATGATGCGAGCCACGAGCCAGGTCGTTGCCAAGGGTGTGTCACCCGCTGCATCTGCCCAGCAGCTCACCCCTCAGCTGGAGCAGGCCAAGAAACCGGGTCAGAAGCTTACCACGCTTGAGCAACCGTCGGAGCCCGCTCTCGCATGGGCTAATTCCCAGGTGACTCCTCAGGAGCTTCAGAACACCTTTGATCCTCTTTTCGACGAGGTTGATCCGTGCAATGGGCTCAGCATGTACTCTAGCGAGCCTTGGAGTTTTGACGCCTTACTAGCCAGCGAGTCCGCTCGTCGTGACCCGACAGAGGATACTCCCGACTCCGATGATCTGGCCTTGGCCACTGAGACTCCCCAGGATGATCCTATTAATTGGTCCGAGTGGGCAATGTACGATGAAGAATCCGCTGCGGCCACCGCAGAGTGGATGAAGATTCCGCTCGAGCTCCAGGACAATTCTGGCGACGGTATCAAGGGTGTACGTGTTGACTTTGACCGCCTCGAGCGTGAGCAGCGTGAGGAGAAGGAAGCTGCCCTCCGCGGTAGGGCCGGCCTTGTTGTCCCTACTGCGGTGTGAGTGCGACGATTTGAATTGGTCGCATTGCACTTGACGAAGTTCTCTTTTTATTCCAATGTCCATTTCGGTACGACGAAAGCTGAGGCGGATCGATTTCTTTTTCATGACTTGCCTTATTTTCTTTTTCCTTTTCTTCCTATCCTGGCGGGTTTCCTCTGGCGTACATAGGGTACGGGTTTCTGTCATTTTCGACTTCTTTTCCTCTTCTTCTTCTTTTCCATGATGGGTCACAATCTGGAAGCGAGTGTACCATACCCAAACACGGGACTCCTGTTCTCTCTGATTCTTTCTCTCTGGCCGACTTTTCTTTTCTCTTTTCACCCCTTCTTCCTTCATTTCATTTGAGCGATCCCTCTGCGTGGATACTGAATTTTGTTCTTTTCCCTTTTTTTCGATTTGTGATTCCCATCTGGATCAGCGATGGCGTTCATACTGGGGGAAAAAAGATGATGGGTCTTTCTGTTTTATCGCCAGGATGGGGGTGATGGGTTTATGCTTGGTAATAGCATCTTTCTTCTCGATACTATTGATCTCATGGATTTGTCAATATCAGGGCAAATGATTTTCTTCTATCTTTCTTTGAATCTATACATTAGTTATTCGTAGAGTACGATCGGCTGTACAACTCGGTGCATAGTTTGGATCAGCTGAATGGATCCACCCAGTCACGTCAGCTGGCCGCTTATCAGCCCGATAAGGCCATTCTCCGCTTTGTTTGAACTCCAACCTCCTCCTCTCCACTTCTCCTCTTCACCAACTCTTCTCCCCCCGCCTCAAGTCCCTTCCTAGGATTACAAGGGACATCATGGCGAACCGCGGCCTCATTCCACTCCTGGTCACGATGATGCTCGTGACCGGAGTCTGCAACACTATTCTCAACAAGTACCAGGTAAACGCACGCTAGCCTGACTGATAACGCGCAGGATTTGAAGACTAATGACGACCCTGATCAAAGGATATGCAATGTGTACGAAACTGTGACTCGCCCAATCCCAAAGACCATAAGCTGTTTGAGCAGCCCGTCATTCAAACGTAGGTGGCATCCCTGGGGCCAGCAGAGTCGCATTGTGAAACATTGGCTTTGGACTCGTCGGACATTGGCTTACAAGATATCTCTGGATCGATTAGGGCTCAAATGTTTGTCGGTGAAATGGGCTGCTGGATCGTTGTCGGATTGTCGATTATTTACAAGCGCTTCGTGGCACCTCGACTCACTCGAGACCCGTCTCCGCTATTCGAGGGCGGCTATCGGCCCGTTGGTGAGGAGGATGAAGACGAAGACCACACTCTTGACGGGCGCAATGGCCATGGCCACAACAAGCCTGCGCACGAAGATGATGATCGCATCAAGTTGCGTGGCTGGCGGATTCTCCTGCTCGCTGCGCCGTCTTGCTGTGATATCGCAGGCACTACCCTTATGAACGTGGGCCTGCTCTTCGTTGCTGCTAGTATTTACCAGATGACCCGTGGAGCCCTCGTTCTTTTCGTCGGTCTCTTCAGTGTAATCTTCCTCCGTCGCAAGCTCTTTTTATACCAGTGGAGCGCGCTCTTCGTCGTCGTACTCGGCGTGGCCCTGGTTGGCCTTGCCGGTGCGTTGTTCGGCAGCGAAACCGGTCATGATATCACCCAGGATGACGGTGTCGTGAATGCGGATGGAAGGACTCCCGAAGCGGTGCAGACTATCATTGGTGTTTTGTTAATTGCCGCTGCTCAGATCTTCACTGCGTCGCAGTTTGTTCTTGAGGAGTGGATCCTCGAGAATTACGCTATGGACCCTATCCAAGTCGTCGGCTGGGAGGGTATCTTTGGGTTCTCGGTTACCGTGATTGGTATGGTGATTCTTTATCTGGCCGTTGGTAGTACCGATGCTGGACGGTATGGCTACTGGGATATGAAGGAGGGCTGGCACGAGGTTAGCACGAATCGCGCAGTGGCGATCTCGAGTATGCTGATCATGATCAGCATTGGGTATGTTAATATCTTCTTTTCATCCCTACCTCCCATCCTCCTCCAATCTTGCACCATGACTTTACCTAAATTTGAATACCTACTAAACCATAATCTCCAGCGGCTTCAACTTCTTCGGCCTCTCCGTGACCCGCACCGTCTCTGCCACCTCCCGCAGCACAATCGATACTTGCCGAACTCTGTTCATCTGGCTCGTCTCTCTGGGTCTAGGCTGGGAGTCTTTCAAGTGGCTTCAAGTCGTTGGCTTCGGACTGCTCGTATACGGCACCTTCCTCTTCAACGATATCATCCGTCCCCCTCTCAAGGCATGCCTTCCATCTAACCGGAGAGAGGGCCAGGTACTGCTCCCTGAGGAACCCATTGAGCATATGTAGAGCGGTACAAACATGACCAGTTTCTTTGCTGGTCATCTATAGCCTAGCCTGTGCGGTTGGCAACTTTTTATACATTTGCATTCGGTAACTATGCTGGACGTTGGCGTTCTCCTGCGTTGGTGCTTTTCTCTCGTCCCCTCGGAGCTTGGTTTGAATATACTGGTGTTGCTCGTTTCTGTTCTGTTCTGCTTTTCTTTTTCAGGCATCTATGTTCGTGGTTCCAGTCTATTCATGCCAATTTCATCGGCGTCTTTCGTATTTCATTTTCTCGGGATTCCATGTCAACTCAACAATTGATACTTTGGGCTTGTCTCTCCTTGAATGTCTAGCTAGGGTTGCTTGCAAATCGCAGACAGAATTCCCAGTCCGTTGAAACAGACTGCCCCATTTTCTCTTTCCTAACCCTCCTCACCAGGAAGGATGCGTAAACATATGCCCATCATTGCTCTAACAGGCTATTCTGCTTGATCTGACCATATTTTTTACTCAAGCGGCACCACTAAACAGAACCCAGTCAATTTGCACCATGCATCACTTATCCATGCACTGAATCATCTGCTAACGAAGCATGTACAAGAAAGAAAAAAAAAAGACCCTTCAATCTTAAGAAGGATTGCAACGGCAGAAATAGTAGAAAGGGAAATACGCGGGGAAGATGAAAAGAGAGCGAGGAATAACATGTCTAGAAGAGGCCAAGCAGAAACAAGATATGAAGGCGTAATGTGACTAAGGGGGAAATGTGTGTATAGAACTGTGAGAGGGATTTTGAGGGAGCTGCTCGTTGAATTAAAAGTTTGTCCGTCTGAAATGTTTTGTGACTTGAAAATGTCCCAACCATGAGCTTTAAACCTTGCAAGATACAAATGAGGAATCGCTTGTAAAAAGATAGCTTATGGCTCGGACCAGTCGACTTGGTCAGTCGCGGCGTTTCCGTCCCGAGTGGATGATACTCGGAGGCGAAGGCGGAGCTTGGGTGGGAGGGCCTAGATTAAAAGAGGTATGTAGTTAGTCTCATGTTTAGCAGCTAGTAATGGTGCACGAGTTGGAACATACCCCATTCAGTGCAGTCACACGCAGTGTTTGGGTACCCTCATCACCGGCCTCCAGGTCGGCCTTGCTGATAGCACTCAGCTGCAAGCGCTGACTTTTGGGCACAGCAGCCTGTAGGCCGACGTTGGCGAAGCTGTCAAAGTTGGACTCGTTGCGGAAGCGGGCGAGGATCTGAGCGTTGGGGCCGCTTCGCTGCACTTGCAGAGTGAGCACAAGACCGTCCTTGTTGTAGACGTTGTGTGCAGGCGTGGATGCGGAGACGGGTGCGGGCGAGGCAGAGGGCGAGGGTGCAGAAGCACCTCCACCAAGCAAGTCAAGCGAGGCGGAGGCAGGCTGCTGGGCTGGCTGGGGCGATGGCGAGGCACCACTCGAGCCGAACAACTCCATGATGACGGCGTTGTTCATGGAGGTCTGACCCATGGGCGCGGGTGCCGGCGACGATGTGCTCGAGTCTGCTCCGCCCAGGATATCTGCCAGCAGATCGGCGGTGTTGGACCCGTTTGATGTCGGGCTTGCCACGGGAGCATCGGAGCCACCCATCAGATCAAGGAGGAGGTCGTGCTCGGCGGGCTTGGAGACCTTGGTGGACTTGCCGCGGAGGATCTTGCTCTGGCGCTTCTTGGTGGGTGCGCCCAGCACACGCTGCTCTTCACGAATCTCAGGCGCAGGCATGCGCTCCAGAACACCACGCCGAATCTGGTCGAATCCGAACAAGTTGCTATACTCGACGGCACGCTGCTGGATCTCGACACTCAAGTCGGCAGTGCGACTGGAGAGGAGACGACGAAGACGCTCGATCTGGGCGGGGTCTGATAGGCGTGTGGTGAGCTTCATAGACGCGGTGATGATATACTCGACGACGGTCTGATTAGCATAGGTGCTGTTGAGGATGTTGGTGAGCAGGTCAACAATGTCGCTCTCGCGGACTTCCTTGACCAGCTCTTCTTCTTCGTATTGGCCGCCCTGCAGTAGACTATCGGCATATTCACCAATCGTCCAAGTAGCCGCCAGTGTAAGACCTTCTTGCGAGATATCCTCCTTCAAAGAAGAGTAGAGCTTCTGAACGGCATAGGTCTGCAGCTCAGGAGTAGTAGCGATGAGGCGAACGAACGAAGACAAAATCTGTTCCTTGACGTAGTTCCCAGCCAGCTTAAGAACCCGCAGGATGGTATCCAAATGCCAGCGCTTATTGGGAGCAAAACGATCAGCAGCGATACCAATCTGGGTGGTCATCACGGGCTTGAACTCGTTGTCGGCCACTTCCAGGAAAGCCAGCAATTCTCGCACCAGTACTCGCACGTTGCTCTCGTTGATCAACATGAAGCTGAGATCAAGCGCTCGCCGGCGAATGCTGATATCAGGATCCCGCAGACATTCCAAAATTGTGTTCCGGTGTCTTTGTACGGCGTTCGGTTCGATGGCAACGACCTTGTTAAGTGTGTTCAGTGCCACGTAGCGGATGTTGTTATCCTTGTTAGACAAGAACTTTCCGAGAATGTTGACACCCAAAACCCTCAGTCCAGAATCGGCTTCAATGTCGAGGATAGTGAGCACAGCCTCGTACAGGATGGAATTGCCCACGTTCTTTGACGAGTCGGTGTTGGTGGCCACCTGGGCCAGGATATCGTTGATCAATTCACTGGTTGCCGCATCTCCCCGGGCCAAGACCCGCAGGAACCGGAGTATCTTAACCTGAAGGAAAGGATCCGTAATGCCAGAGACATCATGCTCCGGGGCATATCCGGAAGTTGTGAGACCCTTCAGAGCACGTACGAGACCTCCGGCGAGCGGTCGGAACACCTCAATAACTCCCTCGGGACCTTCCTCCTCCTCTTCCGCCTCACACAGATCAATCGCAAAAGTCAGACCGCAAAGCAAGACGCCATGGTTTCGATCCCCAAGTAACGTCTTTGCCTTTTCTAGGAAATGTTCATGCAGATCTGGGACCTTGCGACATATCCGCATTGCACAGATGGCGGCTTTCCGTCGAATATAGGGGTTCGCTGTAGACATGAGGTTTTCGACTTCGGTGAAAAGGTCTCGGGACATTTCGATGGAGGCGATGTTACCGAGCGCGCAGAGGGCGAGACCGACGATGTACTGGTTGGAGTGGCTCAGGTCACTGGCCGGTTTATCAGCATTTCTGTTCTTTGGGGGGTATAGTGCGACATTATCAAAATGACTGCGGCACTGACTTTTGCAAAGAATTGGTCACTAGTGTCAACACCTCCTGATTCTCGTCGAGCAACAGCATCGTTCCCAGGTAGCCCAGTCGCTTGTCGGCGAAACGGTGCGAGGCGAGTAGCTTGAGACATTCGATCTGACCGAAGTGAGTCCGCTCACCCAGAGTGAAGAGATAGAGCAACTTGGCCACATTGTTCCTCCTGCGAACCCTCGTTAGAACCGCCTGTAGACATCAATGGGGGGGAGAGGACGAGGCTGTTGGAGATCTAACCGAATGCCCGAGTCGTGGCTCTCTTCGCGAAACGAGGCTCGAATAGCGGCGCTTTCTTTCTGGATAACTGCCCGCTCGTCGGCGATGGTTTTCGCCGATCGGACATTGCGGATAAATTGCTTCACTGTTGGACATGCGGGGGTTAGATCACTCATCCAACCTCAGGGGAGACGATGAGGGGCGGCAGGCGGCCAACTTACGGGAAGACATGGCGATCCACAACCCCTGGCGGGGTCAGGAGAGAGAAGTGACAATTGAAGAAGTCAGAAAGGAGGCCCGCGGTGGGATCCGAGACAGATTCGGTAGCTCGCACGACAGTAGTTGAAGCAATTCAGCGTCCGGTCTGGATTGGCTTTATTATTATGGCCCGTGACTTGGGTTGACCTGGCTTCTTGGCGCGGGAAAGATGCGCTAGTCCAGAAAGGGAGGCGGGTACTATTGGATGACATAAGCGGCAGTTATCCCGCGGGTCACATGATTTGATCTATACAAGAGTCCATATATGATCATGATGCATGGTTTAGAGTACGACGTAGGGCCTAGTCGCAATTCGATGAGATAGACCTAGGATGCTTGGTATTTGTGATTTTTCTTAGATCGACATGTCTAAGTAATCGCTATGAGTGCGCCGAGTTTATCTCTAAAATACTCTACGAACTGGGGTAAATTTTGCTTTAGCCTTTCTATACCTATCATATGACTTAATAAAGACTTTTGAAGTCGAATTCAAGAGAAATCCACAATGTAGTTGCCAAAATATTCTTCAAAATCTGATCGTAGTGGACCTTGAGGTAGTCGAGTTACCGCCTCAGACGTAGTTTACCCGGGGCAGATCCAAGACAGCCCGACGTAATGAGCATACCAAGTTTGTGAAGCAGCTAGGATGACGAGCAACGGCATACTCCTTTGTAAATTATTGGTCATAGGGCTAAATGCTATGGCCCTAAAATCAAACAGTTCGCAGCTCAGCCCTGTTCATGCCACCACATGGCATTACCTAAGGTACGTCCGAAAGGTTTTAAGGCTCACCATTGACGTAGTTGGATGGGACCCGCCCCAATTTTCGGCTTCCGTCCGGTCCCCCTCGGACCTTGACATAGATCAGTCAACAACATAATCACGATCCACACCTGACTTTCTCCCGATTTCCATTTTACCGTTCTATTGTCTTCAATGTGAAATCCTCTCTCTATCTAGCATACCTGCAATTGCATCCTTCCCCTTCCCGCCCTAGGATGTCCAGCGCCGTCGCCCAGAATGACCCGTCCGTCCTCCGGCCGCGCGCTATTCCCATCCAGCCCGACACAAAGGCTGATGTGAGTCTCACGCCTCCCATGCTGGACAGGCTGAGCTCAGATACAAGGTATGTCCCTCACACATTACCCAAATCTACTGCCCTTGAGTCTCCAACAATGCCTTCTAACATCTCATCCCTCAAACGCAGCGGCCGCTCAACACCCATCCCTGAAGATGCGCCCCCCTCGGCGCAATCGATTGCGGTAGCCCGCAAGCAAGTACGCGCGCGGAATCGCCTCTTTTATACCATTGACTATGTCCCTCGAGTGTCCCATTTCGATCCCGACAGCGACTACCACAATTTCCGGGGCTTCTTCACGTTGTTTTGGATCAGCTTGGTGATTATGGTGGTTACGACTGTACTACGCAACATCAAGGATACTGGATACCCGTTGCGGGTGCGAGTTTGGAGCTTGTTATCAGCCAATGTGTGGGAACTGGGTCTGAGTGATCTAGCCATGGTGGCCAGCTCGGCACTTGTCCTGCCCATGCATAAGCTCTACCGCGGCGGGCCGAGGTGGCTGCGGTGGGCACGTGGAGGCATGGTCCTTCAAAGTGTCGGAGAGGCCCTTTGGCTGGCTGTTTGGATTAAGTAAGTTTGTTCCCTAATTTAAACTCGTGGATATAGCCATTGAGCTGACCCATGGCTGAAAAAAGCTGGCCGTTTATGCGCCTGTGGACTTGGACAGCCCAGGTGTTTTTCACCCTCCACCTCTTGACGATCCTTATGAAACTACACTCGTATGCCTTTTATAATGGCCATCTTAGTGAGACTGAGCGACGCCTTGCCGCTCTTGACAAGCCCGGCCCCATTGAACCGACCTCTCCTGCTGCAATTCGGTACCCGGAGCCATACCGCCGCCGCCCGTCAATGAAGCCCCAGCATGATGAGGACGACTCGACCGAGCCCCTAGTTCGTCTACGGGAAGATCTGGCAACAGAGTTGACCTCCCCTCTAGGAAACATCTCCTACCCTCAGAACCTGAGCCTTGGAAACTACGCAGACTTCGTCTGTTGCCCGACTCTATGCTATGAACTGGAGTACCCCCGTCGACCTAACCGTCGATGGGACGAGATTGCATGGAAAACCCTTGCCGTCTTTGGCTGTATCTTTTTGCTCACACTCACGAGCGAGGAATTCATCGTACCCGTCCTCAGCGAGGCACACGGTCAACTAGAGGCTCTCGACAGCGTGGCCGACAAGGCACTCGTCTTAGCCGAGACAATCAGCATGCTACTGTTCCCCTTCATGGTGACATTCCTACTAGTATTCCTGGTAATCTTCGAATATGTGTTGGGCGCATTCGCAGAACTAACCCGGTTCGCCGATCGACACTTCTACTCTGACTGGTGGAACTCATGCGACTGGTGAGATCAACATCCTCCCAAATCCAAACCAAACCTCCCTCACAAAACTAACATCTACATCAGGCTCGAGTTCTCGCGAGAATGGAACGTCCCCGTTCACCACTTCCTCTTCCGCCATGTCTACTTCCCATCCCGCTCGCAGTTTTCCCAACCGGTGGCCATGTTCATCACATTCCTGGTTAGCTCGATTTTCCACGAAGTAGTCATGAGCTGTATCACCAAGAAACTGCGCGGCTATGGCTTTGGAGCTATGATGCTCCAGCTACCCATCGTCGCAGTCCAGAAGTCACGGTTTTTCAAGGGTCGGAAGACCCTCAACGTAAGTGCTGATAAATTCAACCTTTCTTTTGATGGTGAAATACTAAGATACGATGTGTAGAATGTTTTCTTTTGGTTTTCGATGATTCTGGGTCTCTCCATGGTGAGTTTATCTCCAGCATCTGTTTCTGCTCCCCGGGTCTTCAGTCACTAATAGTACGGTTTACAGATGTGTGTCTTTTATGTACTCGTCTGAGCCTGGTTCTGACTGTGTGAGGCCTGAATCGTGTGGAGACATGGATACGACTCATTGCTTGCGCGTTGGTATTCAGGTAGGTTGGAAATGTATAGTAAGGATAAGGTTAGGAGATGCGTAACTCTATCGGATACCCCCTTGGCTATTTTTACTGGGTTTGGGTTTGGGGCGGTCCTCGGAATGAATCTGTATATTGTTGCAATGAACTAAACCATTTTACACTCATATGCACTAAACATTATTTTAACTTTGATGTGTTGTTTCCCTCGGCGTGTATCCGGTAGCAATGGAAAGTGGAGATGTTTGGGTATGGACTTTGGGCATGCATAGAAATCGAAAATGTGGGTTCCAGGACTACTCAGGTAATGACTCAAAGGAATTAGGTAGGAACGTTAGGAGTAATTGAATGATTCTGGGACTATATCAAAACCATCAGGTCATATTATTCAACCTTCCCAATCCAATCTACCGTCGACGAGCCCAGTCTACCCATTACACCGCTTATCTAGAGCAAGACCAAGGAAGAGAGCACAAAAACACCAGAACAAGATCATAGTCATATCAAAAAGCGTTAATTCGTTACGTAGCAAGGCTCTCGCCCCACCGTCATTTCACGGGATTCTAGATAAAATGTGGTCCCGGACTAAAGATAAAAAAAAAGCGCAAAACAGACACACACAAAAAGCAACTCAGAGCATAACAAAGCACAAAACACCAAGAACAAACCAGACAAGACAAAAATCAAAATGCGCCAGATAGGTTGTAGTATGGTTGATTGTGAGATCATGAAAAAAACAATAACACCATATTCCCCAACCCCCAGACCGTAGCGCCGACAAAGAAACCAGAAATTGTGTAGGGCACGACCCCCACCGGGTGTGCCTGATCATGCGCGGATACCCAAACCAAACCGAACCGAATTGAACCGTCCCAATGCTAAAAGGGTGGGGAGGAAGAAGTACATTCATCACCCTGGGCGGAAGGTACCATGTCACCCATTACCGAGGGGGCAATGGAGGGCATGTATGCTGGGCCAGGGGTTTCCATAAGATAGTATGAAAGTGGACTAGGGCTGCAGCTGCAGCTGTCGTCCACAAGTATTGACAAGAAAGGGGGTTGAAACAGAAAAAAAAGATTGCGAAAGAACAAAGATGACGTTGGTGAAAAACACTGAATCAAGTGCAGGAAAATAATATGCACGAGCGTGGGGCTGTCGTCATTTATGGGGTTTTCGATCATGCAAAGGTTGACTGCCGTCTTCCCACTGAGGGATGGCGGGGGTCATTGTAGTAATGAGATCGGCCAGGCGAAACGTGGACGTCGTTAGGTCGAATCTCACGGGTGTACTGGACATCTTGAGCTCGGGGGCGAGCAGTGTATTCGACATCATCGTACGTCCGTACAGAACGCACAGAGCGGACCTCTATGCGAGGGGACTCTGAGTCGAAGGTGGCAAAAGTGCTGGCTCGCTTGGGGGTCATACGAGCCCTCTCGGGAGATACCGAGCGGTACTTGGACGAGGCTTTCGAAGGCTCGATGATCACTGGGTCAACGATCTTGTAGCGGGTGGCCGTCTTGCTGGGGGAGGAGCCCCTGGCGGGTATCTCGGGGGTGCTGGGGCTGGAGTAGCCAGAGTCGTAGCGTCTTGAGGATCGGGGTGCCGCCTCACGGACCATTTTGTCCAGAATGGTCTCGTCACGGCTAGAACTCTCCCGTTTAGGACGAGTGAAGCCGGTAGAGGTAGTGGCGCGGGCTCCAAACAAGGAAGGGCGGATAGATGACTTGTATGCAGGAGAGGTGGAAGAGCTAGGCATCTTGGGAACCTTGAACTCTTCACGCTCCCGACGCGGGGAGTCTAGGTCCTCCCAGGAGTTGTTGCGCGAGGAAGACTGGTTCCGGGCTGATCGGGAGGACCGAGCCGTGCGCCGGCTGGTGTTCATCTCTGGTTCGGCCGACTCATAACCACGGTGTCGCTGTGGAGACCGAGATCCCCGCGGGCCTTCATGCTTGGAGCGATGGATGTGCTCCTCAGCCTCGTACTGCTGTCGATGAAGCTTGTGGCTGCTGGATCGACCGGGAAGCCCATCTTCATCATCGTCGTCATCGTATGAATGACCACGATGCCGTACCGATTCCGTAGGCCGGGATCGCGATTCCCTGGATTCCCGGGTTTCACGGGACTCGCGGGATCGGTAAGTCGGCTTCTTTAGACGCACGTAGATTTCAGAGCCACTGGATTCGGAACCGCTATCGGATTCCGCAAGCGTGTCGTAGGTATCGTACTTGGCAGAGGCTTGCCTGTGGCTGCGGCGCTCGCGGTCGCGTTGCTTGGCTTGATCAGCCAGCTTTGCTTTGGTTGTCTCGCGCTGTTCCTTGGCAGCTCGATGGCTACTCGTAGGCGCGCGGGCCTTCTTTTCATCGGTAGATTTCGACTTGGATCGCATGCCAAACTCTTCGTACTTGCGCGACATGGAACGGGGCTCTTCGGTGTACCGCAATTCCTCATCCAAGATGTTATCCACCGGGACTCGTTCCTCAAAGACGCGACCTTCTCGCACTTCGCGGGGAGCCCCACTTCCACTTCCTCGTGGAGAGGAATACGGCGTTGACTCTGCGGTTCTTCTGCGCTTCTCGAGCAGTTCCCGCTTTAGCTCTGCTAATTTGGCCTTTTGGTCGTAGCGGGCGCGTCGTGTCTCATCGGATAGTGTTTCGTAGGCTTGCTGGACTCGCTGAAACTCATCTTGAGCAGCAATTCGTTGGGATTCATCTTGCACCTTGTCGGGATGGCACTTCAATACTCGTTTTCGATGGGCAGCTCGGATCTCGGAGACGGTGGCATCCTTGGAAACGCCCAGCACCACGTATGGGTCGAGATCGGGTGGCGAGATCATGTTCCGGGGGGAGGGGGGGAGGTCTGTGATCAGGGGTATCAGGGGTAATTTGAGGGGAGATTCCAATCCACCATTCAACAGGGAGTTTTCACACCCTGTTAAGAATTGAAGAAGAAGAAAGAGAGGGGACAGAGAGGAGTAGGATTGAGAATTGGGGGTTTAGAGAAGAGGGGGAGTAAAGAGGCGGTGGAGACGAGCGACGTATGTATGGAATGCCTGGGGAACGGAGATCGAACAGGAATCCACATCCAGAAGATACTGGCAGGGCCCGGAATGACCGATCAGAGGAGGCAAATAATAATCGGGGGAGTCGTCAGGAGATTGAGCCGAAGCCGACCATCTAATCCTGACCTAAGGGATTTGTCGTGAGGATTAGAAATGGGTGATGGAAGTTCGGCGACGGTCGGGGTAAAAGGGAAAGTCGGGAATGGTGCCGTGCCAATAAAAGAACAGCAAGAAAAAAAAGGTACACCAGGGGAGGAATCTTTTAGGCGTCTCAGAGTAGTCAAAGGCCAGCTCTGTCAGAATGAGACGGTGGTAGTCAGATGCCAAATTAATCTGAGAATATTTGATATGATTTGAGCCACAGTCTCAGACTCTCGGGACTGAAGTATTCCCCGTATTGGTATGGTAAACCGGTACACTTGGGACTGGATTTCCCTCTTGACTCCGCCACTGCGCCAATGCGGTGGCGGTTAAGTCGAAGATTCTGCGTGGAATGTCTCCAGATCGACCAAGAAACTAGACTTGCTCGCCTCACTTCCTCCTCATTCAGCACTGGATGCCCAACGCAAGATGGAGAGCGTGTCAGAGAGAGAGAGAGAGAGAGAGAGAGGGAGCTGGAGAGCTGGAAGACAGCTGGAAGGACAAGAAGTGGGCTAAGAGAATGTCTATCACAGTGTGAACTGGGGAGAGGATGATGAATGATCACCATCATATCATCATTTCTTTCTTCCCTGGACAGACCCTCCTACTAATAACATGGACTCCGTCCTCAAGGACAAAGACGAGGCGATGACACCCCCCAGGGCAGTGAGGCCTATCACCTATCACCCATCACCCCAACGCCCTCATGGCTAGGCGCTTGATGCGCTGCTTTAACTGGCTCTGATGGGCGCTCTCACTGGTGCGCCTTCATCGGCTTGGAAAAATAAATTGATTTCTGAATTTTCGGTCAGAGTCCTGGCCTGGGCCTTGTTCGCCAATCACACGAGCGTGGCATTTCCGAGGAGGCAGTGGAATTGGATATCTTCTCTCTTCTACCGTCTACACTACTCCGTATAGGGAGAACATGGCTTCCAGTCGTCCGTCAAGTGGGGCTCTCTATCAACACGAGGGAATAATCCCGCTCTCTGATCCCTCATAGAAAAGTCATCATTACACATCGGATTATCTGATTGAAGCATGTCCGTGATGATCCCAAGCCTCGAACTTTACTGACCAAACCCGAGATTCTCGCTTTATTTCCACTGCCCCGCATTGTTCATTTGGTCCTGCCAGGGTCTAGCAAAATAACGTCAGTCACCAACTAAACTTCTCCCCGATCAAGGACACTACACTACGTGCGTACAGTTACCATAGTTACGTATGTAACTAGTCAGTGACACGGGGCTAGCTTGCCATGTACATACTCATACCAGGACTAAACTGGGAAATCTTCTCTCTTACCCCTCCGCCACAGATCTAATCCTTTCGGTGGACCAAGTCTCGGACGTGCAGATCTACCGCTTCGTTACAGGGTTGGACCTGTTCCATCTCCCCTCAACTGACACTCCCTCCTGACAGGTACTGGGGTATGTACCCCACGGCTGCCTTTTTTATGGATCTACCGTGGCCTATCATTCCCATTCTTCTTACCTTTTCCCTTTCATTGAATGCCCCTAATAACTTATAGTCTGTTGGTTGGTAAAATACCTAGATCAAATCCCCCCCTACCAACCAACAATCATGTAGAAATGTCCTCTGCACAATGGTACACCAGAGAGACGTCCGATGTCGTCCCTTCTGACAAGCCAATGGGATACCCCGCATCGTGAGGGCGAGGGCTTTACTTTTTCTCGCCTCGTCTCTTTTCGCCCTCGCGCACGCCCCACGTCAAAGCTAACATCGCCCAGATGTGTCCGATTGGATGAACGCTGTGGCTGGCTGTACAGTCTTGATCGGTACATGAGCCAATGTAGATCCCCGAAGAGATTGTATGGAAAAGATACATAGAAATACAAGCAGCCGAATGGAAGCCCCCTCGCCACAGTTTACCCTCTGTAAAGAAGTACCAGTAACGTAATAATCATAGGTAACGATGGGACCTGACGGTCCTAACATTAACAATGTTTGGTTTCCCGAAACTCGTGGGCCGGGTGGTTCCGTGGACACCTTAATTTGTGGCTTATCGTTCCAATGTCCTGCCTGAAGAATTTCCTAGGCCCGCTACGGTGTACAGTGCGACGACTTTTTGACTATATATAGAATTCACCCTGGGTCACCGACTTTTTCCCCGCCATTTGGAATGCTCAACATGATACAAATTATTCCTCCAGGTAACCAGTCCAGTGGGTATGAAGACTTTTTCTAAATTCTGGTCATCGTCGCTGCTCAGAGCTGAAGGTTCAGCTTGGTCAGCGTGCAGCGTCAGTCCAGTGGTTCATGTACCTGGATGTATTGAGATCAAATGCCTATCCACTTACGAGGTAAATGCTACTTCCAGTATAGCCCCGGAGCCCTGCGCGACCACTCGGTCATTATTATTTGGCAACCTAGAATCATCCTCCCATCCCACCAAGCCTACTCCATATATTACTACTATTAAAGCAATCAGTCGGTCAACAGTGACACGCAGGAATGGGGCCGAGGTTGGGGACCCGCCTCATCGCCTTCCTCGTTCAGTCCATCCACTCTGTCCCACCAGGACCCATGATCCAACGTGTCCCTCTCTCTGCTGTACACTTCCAATAACCCAATCGCTAGTCGCCCCCACCCTACTACGGTATACAGTGCGGAGTACCGCAAACGGAGGGTATTTGCGACTTCCCCCCCAAAACAGAGCTACGTTATTATCATCTCTGTCTCCTAGTCATATGGACCCGATGCTGTGGTCCAACTAGCGATTTTCTACGAACGCATCAGCTGGATGCAGTTCGGTAAGTGTGAGACCGAGGCGGCTTTTTTTGTAGAGTCCGTGGGCTTTTACTTCTGGAATGTTGTAAGAAATCGTTGAGCGACATGGATTTCTTGAAAAGCATGTGGTCTAGAGACGGGATAACTATACTCCAGTCTAGTCCAATCTAGTACGTAGAAATGTCTCGGTCATTTGATGCTCGGAAATAAGAAAGAAATGTGATGGGCTCTGCCGCTATCCATTCATCCATTCATCCGTTTAATCCATGAAATCACCGATAGCCTCTCAATCTATGCGAGCTCACTATTCGTCAGACAATGTATCCGAGTCTCAGCTCGGACTCAAGATTCAACCTCATCAGACTCACTAGACATGAGCCCCGGGAAGCTGAATTGCAAAGGCCCACCACTCAAATAGCCTCCCACTACCACCTTTCAATCCCAACCAGTTCTGGCCGTCAGCCATGATCAAAACTGTATTCATAAAACCTCCGGTCCTACAGGCATTACCCGTCAAGTCACACACGCGTCCTTCCTCCCGAAACATAGGGTTGGAACGTTACCTGCAAACACCCTACTGCTGAAGCACTTTCATTATGCCCTGCATCGAGAGTTGATCAGTACTCAAACACCCGCGACATTACGATCCAGACTAACGATCTGATCATCGTGGAATCCCTAGTGGACCTACAATAGCTTCAGCGAATATATCCAAGGTCACACACAAAATATCAGCGCACCCACTGGACAATACTAATTCGACAAGGACCTGGTTTCCATCAAGCACGCGCAACAGGCAACAAACCAAGCCAAGCTAGATAATCTATGCAAGTATGAACCCCTGCATCAAGGTCATGTTTCACTCAATCAAACAAATGCCATCGACAAGCCACCATTCTAGAAATAAAAAAAAAACACCGCACTAGACCCTCCCCAATAGATCCCCCCTTCTTCCAGACTCCTCCAGACGATCTACCGAACAAGATACCAAACGAGGTAGGTGATACAGGCCCCACCACCTCAACCCATGCAAGCAAACCCGATAAACCTGGCTGAAGAAAGCCAGTCCCTGCACTCCAGATGATCGGCTATGCAGCTCAACAGAGCATCCGTGTCGGGGGAGGGTGGGCGATATCGCACATGGTTGGCGTAGCGGGATTTCTAGAGATTGCGCCGGTAACCACTGAGAGCGGGTATATAGGCGCCAGAGGTGATAGGGTGATAGGCTTATTGGGGATGGAGGGGGGGTCGAGACCGGGAAAGAGGCTTTGAGTTTGGAGGGGGATTTGCAGTGCAGATGACTGATGGAGGGGGAGATGTGATGGGGGGCGTGATATCACAGTTTTGCGGCGGCTTTGGCGGGCGATCTGTCAGATGCGCAACGGTGCGGATAGACCACAGTATGATGTATGATGTTGATGTACCACAACTTGCTAGTGCGGGGTTGCTGTTGCTGTTACTGTGGAGGCTCCTCGACATAGAAGTACCTCGTAACTGCAATCTCTAGCATCATCTAGTAATATCTTCGATATACCGGCGACTTACTATTACTGCAAGAGCTAGACCATCTTCAATTCGCAGGCCGATCAGGGCTCCCACCGGAGCATTACTCGGGACCGTCAGCCAGTCCAACGGGTCCCAGCCTTGCAGCCTCGAAACCAAACCTGCATGGCAAACCTGCAAAAAGACTCCGGGCATTGGCTAAGCATCCCACAGCCAATGGCAGATCCCATCCAGTTCGTGTAGCAGCAAATGATGTAAGCCATTAGAGTCTGACAGCATCGCCGGATGCCAGTTCCCCCTCCACCCGGCTCCTTGACAAGGGTAACATATGCATCAAAGCGACCAACCATGACCAAGCAAAAGGCCAAAGCTCCTCGAGAACT